GCTTCTTTTATCGGGATCGTAATAGCCTGAAAAGGCTCGAAGAAGATTGAGTATTGTTTCGAAGCCGTCAGCATGTCGAAAGTCATCTTGATGGACGGGTGATCGTGTCGCAGATATGTGCTGTATAATATGTCGGAGTTTTCGCAACAATGGCGGCATTTGAGGGAAGCCATCTTGCTGGTGAAGGGTCGTATCGATACTGAGAGCTTCAAGTAAGCCCTTTAAGATTTCGAAGGACTTGGTTTGCGGTGGGTTCGAGGCCGAAGTGGACGACCGGTATCTTCTTGGTATTGAGGCCATTTTTCAGTGTTGCTTTTCGAAATCACGGGTTCATTCCAGAAACCACCTCCCCCTGAGCCCTTCAAGGGTCCAGGCTGTTATCAGTCGTCGTCGGCATCGAAGAGTAAGATTTGTAACTTGATGGAGCTGCCAGCGCGGGGCGCATGAAGCTCTGGAGCGGGCGGAAACAGCGGTCACGGTACGGCCACAGTTGGTCTCTTGATAAGTTGCTTTCGCTGGGTATCGGAGGAAACGTATCGAGACTCGTCCAAAACAAAACACTGGGAGCTGAGAAATTAGCGAAGTTGTCGAAACAATCGGTCACCCACTGAACTGGAGCCTGCACTTACCTGTGCTCAATGCTGTAACTTAATGGGGGGTCAGCCTTGGAGGAGGGTGTGGCGGTGGTGTGGCGGTGGCCCCTCCTCAGTTTTGATGGATCTTCTGAGCTGACGAAGCTCGAGTAATGCTATTGGAGTGACATGTACGCGTGCGCATGATTAAAGTCCTGTACACCCGCGCGCCGCGTAAAGTGGAGGGTGCAATGGAAGTAGTTGACTGGTGTTGAAGCATTGAATTCAAGATGACAATATTGGACATAATGGCACAAATGGATTCCTTATCCGACGCTGCAACTGCCACTGGAACCCTACAAGTATTGTGTGTCAACGCCATAACGCGAAGCATTCAGGGGCAGAGATGCTTGTCTAAGTGATGATAAAGGGCCGAAAGAGGAAACAATTCCCAGAGCACAGAGTATATTTGATCAAACGTCGCTTCATTATTAACCTCATCCTTGTTCTAAAGGTTTGCATACACTGACCAGTAGTCTCTGAGCAGGACTTCTACAGCAGCTACAGAACACCGCTAGCGGACAGCAATGAAAGCCATCACAGATGCTTATTCCAACACTCCAGTTCCCTTATCTTCACTTCATAGCCTTCACTTGACGCCTTATCCTTTTTCAAATAGCCTTTCCAACAACTCTGACAATCTTGGGCTTGTTCGAATTATAATTGACATCGTGCGTACTCGCGCTAAACTTTGGCAAGTGCACCGTTAAGTCGTAGCTGTCGCCCTCCTCATCGTAGAAAGTGTACGCATAGGGATCGTCGGTATGGATTTTAATTTCGTACTTGTACCAGTAGGCCCAGTCATTTCGCTCGACGGAAGCCATAAAGATACCGGTCTTTTTGTAGAAGTCGCCGTTTTTGTCGAACCACATCAATGGGGACTCTTGCTTTGGCTCCCAGTTCACCTCAATATCGAAGTCATGACGGGGATAAGGCATTGTGATGATAATTGTATAGTGGATGAAATGAGTAGAGAGGTGTTTGTGGTAGCTTGTAGTCAAATGAGGTGATAACTGAGCTTTGTTGCTGCTGCTGCTACTACATCCAGGAGAGCATCTTCTTGTCCTCTTATATACATTTCCATATCTTACAAATCGGTCGAGACCAAAGCAATAGCATCGGCTAAAACATGTCGTCTGTGAATAGTCACGGTTAGCCCGTGTGGTTCAGCTGAACTTGCAAGCAATTAGATGCATATGCACAACGCCGTGGCGAGCTGAACCACATCTTATTGTCCTCTTATACAAGTTTTTATATATCATGATCGGTCGAGACCTGAGCGAGAACACAATAAACCAATTTTTTATGAACAGTAACGGTTAGCCGAGCAGTTCAGCTGGACTTATGAGCATCAGATCCATCTCAATAGTGCTGTGGCTAGCTGAGTTATACCCCTGCATGTGGGTGAGTCTGTCGAATCGTGGGTACAATACCAGAACTAATGCCCAAATGTCTCATGAGACCAGCTATTTCAGACCTCTCTACTACAAGTATGTGACTCCTCCTCGACCTTACAGCTTCAATTTTTCTCTCGCCATCCTCTTTGCGTCAAAGGCCTCCAATCTCTGTGCCCTCCGTGTGTGAGATTCTCAACGCCTTCTAGAGATATGTGTGTACTCGTTCCTCACCACCAATTCGACCTTGCCTCACTAGATTCCAAGGATACAGACCTGTATGTTACTATCCATATCACCATCAGAAGAAGGTGTATCGTCTTTTGCTTGATGCCAAAAAGTAAAAACCATTACTTGGTACGATTCCGAGTCTGAAGGTAAGGAACTGGCACAAGGCACCGCCTAACCGTAAGAATGGACATCCAGTACAGTCATTCACAGGTGAGAGATAGCGAAGGAAGAAGCCATTGAGAATATAGCTGGTCGGTAATAAGGATACCCGATTTAAGGTTGCTATTTCCAACATGGCGCTCTTGAGACACGCGTGTTTTTAGCGAACACACGCCGTGTTTTAATGACGTCGCGATTCTAGTGCAGGGTAGATTCAACAACATGAGATGGAAATCTGAAGTTGGGTGAGACGAGCCATAACAATCGTGATCAGAATATTTAAAAGCTTAAATTACTTTGACTACTATTATTTCTATCTGTGCCACTCTGGTATTGCACGTTGGGCAGCCTTCTGTCCATTTAATCTGTGTCGCCTGAGGCATTGAAAGGCTCAACTTCGCGGAGCTCCCCGTGTGTACTCAGCTTCATTGTGGCCTGCAAGACTTCGCGATTGCGTATCGTAAAATGAATCAATATTTCTCAAATATAATACCAGGCAAAAGGCGGAGTTTTTCATTAACCGAAATGTACTGCATACGTGTAATGATGATTTGTCTCGCATAGCAAATGCATTGTCCAAGTGGTAATTCGTGACTTGTTAAAGCAAGACTTCATCAATACTTGATTATTACTGGGAAAATAAGAGAACTAACTACATCTGATAGCTCGTCTTTTCCCTTGATGGCAGAAGATTACAACTGGTCAAAGAAGGTCAAGTCGTGATGCGCTCTTGTCAAACGGGAACCTTGACGGCTTGAGCACCTTTGAGCACTATCAGCACCTAGCTTTGTTTACCTACGGATGTCCATAATGTGACGCGGATCCTTGAATGTGTTGAAACAACAGAAGTTCCGAGGTCCGCTTATCGTTATCTCAAAAAGGCAAGTATCGGTATCGGTATCGGTATCAGTATCAGCTTATCAAGCGGATACGAATTGATAGACCGTCAGACTGCATCTGTTGAATTCTGCCTGGAATGATGAGCCAAAGCGGTGTTGAATGGCGTTATCTGACGGGATAGTCATGGCATCTGAGTTGCTTGGAAGTGGAGAGCTCTCCAGGGTTAGCTTCAGGGACTTCAAAATGCAGACGCGCTATGTACCTCATCCGGGCTACCGGGCTTGGAGCTCAGTGCATGATAAAGTGCACTGGCCATCATGTTCCATATTGGCATATCATGTTTTGAATGGATATGCTGAAATACGGAGTGAACTGGCAATGCATATTGCTCACCGAATCATGACGTCTTCCCTGTCGCGTATTGTCTTTCCAAGGAACAACCTCCCTGAGTCAAAATGTCACTCTTAACCCCAGGAACGGACTGGGGGATGAGGCGCTGTCGGCGTTGGCTTGGAGCGAACAGCGCTTCAGTTTTAGTTGAGACATGGGCAGGCACGTGCCAGGGACGTCGTCTGACTCGATGGATCAGGCGGATCAGGTCAGTGGGGACCAATCGGAGCCAAATCCCTCCCCGCATTTTGCTTTCTTGCACTGGGTAAAGCTACACCTGCTTTTGGCTGCAGGCACCGCAAACTGGAAGGTACCGTACCTTGTTGAAGCTCTAGCTGTCTGGGTGGATATTGACACTGCGCTATCAAGATACTTCGATCGGCTAGAGGAAGTACAGTGTTTCTTAGCTTGCGCAGCCATGATGTACTGTGCCCGAACACGGCTGAGTAGCTGTAATGGATCGCCATCAGCCTTGGGTGAAGCAGGCACCTCTCTGTATCCAGCAGACTGGATGATGGTTTACCTACGAAGATGTTTGTTTGCAATAGAGTTCCCACAAGCTTTCATCACAGAGGCATCAGCGAGAACAGGCACCAGGCTCAACAATTTGAGTTCAGTGGTTGCCATCGCTCCCTGTAGAATGTCATCCATGAGCCATGACCATGACTCGAGGCGAGGCGGACAAACACGACCGGGTTATCAGCCGTCAACAAGATGAGGCAATCATCTACCATCAGTTGACCTCGGAAGCATCAAAATGGCGGTAAACAATAGGAGAAAGACACTCGTAACGAGTGCAGATTGCTTTCGGTTCGTTTTCTAGAGATCTTCCAATGAATCACATCCATCATGACCATTCCTCAGGTTCAGACAGCCGGGTTAGAAACCGCCTCGGCCTTGCATTCAAAGGTACCGTGTGTCTCTAAACTTTGACACGGACTGTCATGATAGCTTACATGTACCTTGAGCACGATATGCCGTTATCGCATTGCCTCGGTGACGGCCATTGGCTCTGTAGGACAAACGCTAAACCGAATTAGGGGCTCAGCCACTGTGTTATCGCCCATCCTAGCGATGGATGCGTCACACCCTCCTGCCCTCCCCCAGGCCCGCTGAGGCAACTGGAGCTGTCGCACGCAGCTTGCGATTGCTTATCTACCCCAGGTCCTGCCGCCATCACTTCTTCTTCCTTTCATCATCCCATCCATATCCATCATCACCCTCTCCATCCTTTACAGCATCGATCTTGTCTGATTTTATTAATACAGACGGTCGAGGACATCACTTTGTCCACTTGTTTTTGTCTTTGAGTCGCAGGTAGACACAATTTCCGAGCTTTGCGCGTTTCGTCATCATGAAGTCCGCTCTCACTCTCTCCGTGGCCGCTGTCGCCAGCGCTGCCTCTTTCAGCGTCGGCACCGTCCACGACAAGGCCGCTCCCATCCTCAGCTCCATCGAAGCCGAGACCATCCCAGACTCGTACATCATCAAGTTCAAGGACCACGTCGATGAGCGTGCTGCCTCCAACCACCACATGTGGGTTCAGGACACCCACACCAACGGCGAGTCTGAGCGCCTGGAGCTGCGAAAGCGATCCTCCATTCCCTTCACAGACAAGACATTCTCTGGCTTGAAGCACACCTTTGACATTGGTGAGGCCTTCAAGGGCTACGCCGGCCACTTTGACGAGTCCATGATCGAGAAGGTCCGAAACCACCCTGACGTAAGTACCTCTTTTATGCCTCATGAATCATCACAAGCTAACCATCCATCCAGGTCGAGTACATCGAGCGCGACACTCTTGTCCACACCATGGTCCCTGTCTCCAACAAGGACATGATCACTGAGGACAAGTGCGACGGCGAGACCGAGCGATCAGCTCCTTGGGGTCTTGCCCGTGTCTCCCACCGTAACACCCTCAACTTCGGTACCTTCAACAAGTACCTCTACTCCTCCGATGGTGGTGAGGGTGTTGATGCCTACATCGTCGACACTGGTACCAACATCGACCACGTTGACTTTGAGGGTCGTGCTAAATGGGGCAAGACCATTCCTTCCGGCGACGCCGACGAGGATGGCAACGGTCACGGTACTCACTGCTCTGGTACTGTCGCCGGTAAGAAGTACGGTGTTGCCAAGAAGGCCCACGTCTACGCTGTCAAGGTCCTCCGATCTAACGGCTCCGGATCCATGTCCGACGTTGTCAAGGGTGTCGAGTTTGCTGCCACCAGCCATCTTGAGCAGAAGAAGAAGGCCAAGGATGGTAAGCGTAAGGGCTTTAAAGGCTCTGTCGCCAACATGTCCCTTGGTGGTGGCAAGACCCAGGCTCTCGATGCTGCCGTCAACGCTGCTGTCCGCACTGGTGTTCACTTTGCCGTCGCTGCTGGCAACGACAACGCCGATGCCTGCAACTACTCCCCCGCTGCCGCTTCTGAGCCCGTCACTGTCGGTGCCTCTGCTATTGATGACAGCCGTGCCTACTTCTCCAACTACGGAAAGTGCACTGACATCTTCGCCCCTGGTCTGAACATTATGTCCACCTGGATCGGTAACAAGTACGCCGTCAACACCATCTCTGGTACCTCTATGGCCTCTCCCCATATTGCTGGTCTCCTGGCCTACTACCTCTCTCTCCAGCCCGCTGAGGACTCCGAGTACGCTCTTGCTTCCATCACCCCCAAGAAGCTCAAGGAGAACCTCATCTCCGTTGCCACCGAGAACGCCCTTTCCGATATTCCCTCCGACACCCCCAACCTGCTCGCCTGGAACGGTGGTGGCTGCAGCGACTACAAGAAGATCGTCGAGGCTGGTAGCTACAAGGTCAACAAGGCTGCTCCTTCTTCTCGCGTTGAGAACATCAAGCACGCCGTTGAGCACGAGGTCGATGTTGTCTCTGGCAAGCTGACCACTGGCGCTAAGGAGCTTGGCTCCAAGGCCGAGAAGTTCTCCAAGAAGATCCACGAGCTCGTCGATGAGGAGCTCGAGCAGTTCATCAAGGAGCTCAACATGTAAGATCATAATCTTATCATGGTGTAATGGTTACGCATATGTTTGTTGGGATTACGGATGGCATTGGCTTTAGTTTGGGTACATGATATTGATGTTGGCGCTTGCTTTTTATGATGACCAGTTGTCATCGCGCGCCATTGCATGGGTTAGTTTATGAGAGCAAACTGCATTTAGGCATTGCTCATTATTACAATAAATCTCTTATCTAAGCGCAATTTTTCCAGATTCCCTGTGATTGTTCATGTGTTCCATGTATGTCCTTGTAGCCACCTCTCGCTCCACGGGCGGCACGATTGGCTTCCGCCATCCTGCTCACTTGCAAATAGTTCCCTCGTCCTGCTTACGCTACCTGTTTCTTCCCGCAACACTCATTCATTGCATTTGACAACTAATCCTAGGTATGTCAAGCCCACCAAGTGGGCAGCAGAAAGTTGGCCCAAGTCGTGGAGTACATCAACAAACAACCTGACAGTCTGGTCTAAGTAGCATAAGCTGGCCTACTAATTTCGTCTCTTAGGCTTCCAGCGCAGCTTTTCTCATACCCTGAGACCTTCCATGTTTTCGCTCACTCGTATCTGGTGCCACCGTCATCTATCACTCTCTTTTGGGGTCCATGCTAACCCGTCGTCAATAGTGTTTATTCTCACAACTACCACCTTATGTCTTCGTTTGTTGCCTGCGTTGCCTACTGGTTTATCATGGCGGCGATCAACTCCTACCGTTCTACTTTCTCAAGCAGCCATCATGGAAGCAAAAGAATTGATCACTGGAAGCATAAGAGACGAAATTAGTAGATAAGTTTATGCTGTAGGCCATGCTTCTCAGACTACTTATTTTTGTACCCTAAGACTTGAGGCCAACCTTTCTGCTACCTTGCTGAAGTAGTTCCTTCCTCCTTCCTTCTTCCTTCCAAAGGTATTTGTTCCTTCCTTCCTCTCTTCTGCCATGGCTTCGCTCGCTCTTATCTGGTGTCTTCGCCGGCCGTTAATCTCCTTTTTACACCTACAACCTCAAACCATTCGTTCGAGATGCTTCGCCGTAATAGCTCTCGAAACACCACGCGCCGCCCGCTCAGCCGGAGCAAATCGACCGCATCTGTTGCCCGAAGCCCCATTCGGGATCTGGAGTCTATTGACCCTGTAAAAGCTGAACGGGACGCTAATCTTGCTGCGGTCTTATCCTATTATCGAGCCAAAGACCAGGCTGACGAAAAAGCAAAAAATGTCTCCCTTACACGACGTTACCTAGAGACCCTGCAGCCACCCAACGGCCAGTGTCACAACACTCAAGAAGATGTTGTTTCTTCCTCATCCCACCAAAAGGTCAGAAAATCTCGATCCATGATGGTTTCGTCGCACGCTTCAGACCTGCGCCCGCGCTCTTCGCCTCTGCCGCCCACGAGCGGTGATGAGGAGCAGCAACTGAAAGATGCGCGACCCAAATCAGCGGCGCTCCGAGCCGCCACATCTATGAGTTTCCTCCGAAGCAGACGAAAGACGGCGGCTTCTCGTGCGAGTCACATCGAAGTCAGCGACGCGGCACTCCGACTCGCCAGAGAGAGGTTCCAACAGATACAAGAGGAAGAGGCGAAGCAGATGGGATCTACGCTATCGCGACCAAAGACCAGAGAGAGCCAACGCTCTACAACCCTCCGCAAATCCCTCCGCAACACTAGCAACACTTCCACCGCATTTACAACGTTTTCCACCAACAGCGCCTACGTTTCCAAGCAACATGTGATCCGAAACACGGCACGCAAAGTCTCACATGGCTTGAGGTCAAAGTTGCGAGGTCTTTTCGGTAAAGGAAAGAGCGAAGACTCTCAGGAACACGACCCATGCGCGACAGAGAGGGATTTTGATGTAGAGAGCTGTCTGCATGTTGGGGACACTGAGGCAATGGAAGAAGCATCTATGTTCCAGGTGACAGCACACGTTCCTTCGTTGCACGATGTACCTTCGAATAAAAAGCTCAGGTCTCGCAAAGGCAGCGTGGAGAGCTTTGGTGATCACTGTGTTTCTGACGATAGGTCTCGTGTCACCAGCTGGACGAACTCGATGACAGACACGAGTCAAGGAACCGAGGAAAGACAGCGTCTTTCCGTCATCAAAGAGAATGACTTCAAGCAATGGCCCGCTCATTCCACCATTCGGCGCGTTCGACCTGACGACGACTGCAAGGGCCATGAGCATGAGCGACAGTCTTCGATATCAAGTTCGGTCACAGAAGTCCCAGACAAAGACTCGAATTATGCGACCGAGACAACTGGGCAAGGGTACACTGGCTGTGATTGGAATGACGACAAAGCGAGTTCCGACCAGCGCACTGTGCTACTCGATGAACTTGATCCTCACAAGACCATCAGTCATCGAAGTTCTGCTTTTTTTGGGAGCCCTTCTCGTCAGTCGGTGAGATCGCCAAGCCCCTACCGTCGTGCAATTCGGGAGATGAATTCTTCTGAAGAGGTAAATGGTTTATTGGGATCACAATATCTTCATTCCCTATCGACCTTGAACCTACCAGCCCGACAATACAGCAACCCGGGTTCAGATAAGGACTATCACGCCATAGACGTTGACAGCGTTTATTCCTTTTATGCGGATGATGTAATCCCAGTACCTCCAGCCATATCTCCAGCGATAGGGTCAAATGTTTTCGAGCAATCTCCCGATCGAAGGTACACCCGCCGGCCATCACCAGAGATCTCAATCTATTCGCCAGCTAACGAACACCAACGTGACACATCCACCGCCAGCTCAGTGGAATGGAAGACCTGGTTGAGCTCGAAAGTGTCCAAACTTGAAGGCCCCACGACCCCAACTAGACGCAAGCAAGAGACCGGCGCCCTGCCACCACTGGGCCACCTCAGAGAGTTGGCTTCAATGGGCTCTACTCCAGAGCTCTCTGTAACAGCCAAATGTACACCAAACCGAAGCCCTCTGGGTAGTGTAAAGGGAAACGCCCAAGCATTTCCTGACAACAGCCCAACAAGACTACCGCGCCGAGCTGGTACCGTATACAACGAGAACTTGGCACCGAATTACGAGAAGACGACCGATAAAGAGAGAACACCTTCCATACCACGTCGGAGCACTTTGCGAGCAGTACCTTCGCTCCCAAGTGTTGACACGCGAGGGAATTTGATGGAGACAGGACCGAAAAGAGAAATGCAACGAATGAGGTCCATGAACACGTTAGGTCGTCTGAACTCGACACCGGAAGAGACTAAACGACGCTCCCGCACACCTGGGTGGCAAGGCTCACCAACCAGATCAAGCCCTGGTATTAACGGACGACACCGATAGAGTTACTTGTCGACTAGATCACGAGCAATGTTGGAGAAGCCAGGAGAAGCAACAAGAGATGCAGAGCAGAGAGCTCAGGCGATGGGTAGCAAGACAATGGTGGACATGTTTCTGAGTAGCCGGCGCAATCGTAAAGATGGAAGCAGTGGACTGGGGAGTTCATCAGCGGCGTTTCTGTGACGTACGGCAGGCCGACTTGGAGTCTTGTTTTATAGATATGAGTCATGCGAAAAACGAGAGTACATGGGTAATGGCTAGGCAAGGCTACACATAGACCCATAGACTTGTATATAAATTAGCAGAAGGGAAGCTTGACGACAAAGGCATACCTAGTAATACGATAATACTGTTATGAAAGTCATGGTATGAACTGTCTATGTGTCCTATCAATGTGGTATGATACTCGTCAAATGTTGTGATTGATGTGCTGTGATCCAAATTGCTAAATACATATAATACAAAAGACATGCTACTAGTCATTATGTTCTCTCTTCTTGAGAGGGCTTACATGTACCTCCCAGTACTTGGCATACTCCTTGGGAAATGTGTCTTCCCTCCCATCCACCCACTCCCCATACTTCTCATGCGTCACAGCCTCGCCAAGCACACCTTGCTTGGTACCATTCTTTGTAAAATCCAGAAAATCCAGCGTCACTTTAACATACTCCCCAAGAGCCTTGCGCACATCCGCAGTCGCGCCCGTAGCGAAATTGAGGAGGAGCGGTTGTAGCAGCGGCGCATCAGTCACGCTGGGATGCGCTGTTCCAATGCTGGTTAGAAACCACGCTGCGCCTACTTTGTCGCGTACACCACGTACTATTTCGGCGACGGTATCAAAGTGTGGTCGGCCGTAGAAAATACTGTGTGTTTTGGACCATGAGTTGGAGTGTACGACGAGAAGAGGAACCGGGATCTCGGTGTTGAGTTGGCCGCTCGATTTACCCGGGTCGAGGGCGATACCGCCGATGGCTGGGTTGGCGGATGTGGTGTTTGCGGTTTTGAGGGCTTGGAGAGCTCCGGTTGCGCCGTATGAGTGGCCGTTTATGGTGAGGTGGTTAAAGTCGAGACGGTTAGACCATGAGTCGAGGTTTTGTCCTTCGTGGCGAGAGTTGGAGGTGAAGATTTTCGAGCCTTTGCCGTCGTTGACATCTTGTAGAACACGAATAGCTTGTAGGATTTCTTCTGTACGAACAGCTAACTGTTCTTGCTTGAGAATGGTGTCGTTCATGGGTCGACTAGATTGAAGATCCTTTTCCTTGATGAGGAATACAGGTCTGTCCTTTTTATTCTTGATCTGGACCATTGTGCCGGGACAGCTACCGTCGCGATGTTCGAGCGCAGCGATGACATGTCCGTGACTGGCTAATTCGCCTATGTAGTGTGTGTAATCCGTTCTCGAACTCACAGAGCCGTGGGAAAATACCATGACGGGAAACTTGTCGTCGGAATCGAGAATGGGTGTGTCAACCTTGGCAGGGATCTTGATACTACCGACCAAAAGCCATAGCGCAAAAGTAAAGATTGGACGGACGATAAAGTTGTTTACGCCTGCGGCGCGAGCGTAGCCTTCTGCTGTAAGACCAATCGGTTTCGGAACCCAAGGATGCAACGCAGCGCGCGAAGCAGCGCCTTGAACGGTGGGATAATACACAGTAAACAAAACAGTCTCGACTTCAAACGCTGGTTTTCCGGTTTCTTTAAGGATAGTATCGGAGATACGTTTCGGTTTGTCAAGTGGAATCTCGAGATCAATCGCTCCGACGTCATGAGGACCAGAGTATGCAGGTAATCGCGACGAAAAGAAGGGCTGCCATGTGATGAAGCAGTAAACGACGTAAATGCCTATAACCGAGAATGTTATATAGCGCCATGTTAGACGTGGTCGGAGGATATTTTTAAGGCGTTGGAATATGCGTGATGATGGTAGGCGGGAAAAGAATGTTGATGGTCTTGGATCTAGCCATCGTGGTTTAGGCTGTGGAGATGAAGAAGAAGAAGAAGACATTATGAGCGGGAGATCCGGATCTGAATCTGAGGGTGTCGGGGAGAGGGAGTTTAGTTCTAGATCCAAAGAGTTTGGGGATTGAGATCGGGGCATGATATTATTTATTAAAAGAGTAAGCTGTAAGCGCTTGTAGTGACTGATTGATGTGATGATGTCGTTGATTGAGATTAGAGTCAAAGTGGGCTGGAGGCTTGTTTTTGACGATGACGCAAGTGGGTCGGATTATATCCGGACGATACGTATTCCCGGAGACAAAAAAACTACCTTAATGAATCTTGGGGTACAAAAATAAGTAGTTTAAGGACCATAGCCTAGAGAGAATAAAATGACCTACTAATTTCGTCTCTTATGCTTCTAGCGTAAACACCGTGCCTTGGTAAAGGCCATGAGACCTTGGACGTATCCTTGTTTCATTGAGTATGTTTACTTGATATGCATATCTCACTGAATCAGAGACTGTATGCATTTAATTTATCTCACAGACGTCGTCAGCAGATGTAAGAAGACGTGGGTGGTTGACTCACTGGTGGTTGAGTTGATCTTGGAGAGATGAAGTACGAAGTGGTATATGGATTGCGTTTGGTGCTTCTCGTACTTTTTAGCAAAAATTGTGCTTGATCACCTAGGTATGTAGAGCTGGTGGTGGTTTGTTTACGATTTTCCAAGTCTAATATCACCTTTTCCCCCGCTCTGAATCCTTAAGTAACAGAACGCAATGCCCAAAGAAGTAACCGTATTCTCACGCATATTTGGTAGTTTTTCACGATTTCCAAAGTCTAATACCGATATTATTTTCTCTCTGCAGCTTTAAGTTATTGAGGGTAGGGCTCAAAGATAGCCTTATTCTCACACAATATATAAATACTGTGACCTGCTCAGCAGTCCACTTCTTCTTCTACCTTCAACATAACTTAAGATAACACCACTAATCGACCATCACACCAAGCTGCCACTTAGCTTCCTCAATTTTCCCTGCCATAGTCTCTATTGTTGACACCTATCCCAGTTACAATAATATGAAGGCTGAACGCAGGAACCTGCATGAACCATATTGTTGCCAAGTGTCCCCTCTTCTGAATGCCTCAATTAGCCCTGCCCTCGAAGAAGCTGGGCTTAATGACCTTGTCCTGTTGAAAGTAGCTACTGCTTTATCCTTTGGCTTGCTAATATGCCTTTCTACTGAGGGGATTTGGTGTAAGCAGGTTGTCCGTTAACAACCATATTAATAAGTCAAGCTCTGCTTGGCAAATTGATATGACCTTTAACAGCTGCAGCCTGTTTCCCCCCCATTCTATTAACAGGCTGCTTGGTTTATATGGCTAAGGCCCTTTAGTCTACAATATTAAGTAAGCCATCGCGAAATTTTAAGACACCGAGAGGCTTGACAAGCTTCGTCAGGGAGCCATTGACCTTGGCAAGGCCGTTGCATTCTCTGCCTATACAGAGGTTAATGGCCTCCTGACGAATCTTGTCAGGTCTCTTGATGTTTTGAAATTTTGCGATAGCTTGCTTTGATGTCTTTAGACTGAAGGGTTTTATATGGATAGAGTAGTATACCAAATCCCCTCAGTAGAAAGGCATATTAGCAAGCCAAAGGAGAAGAGGTAGCTACGTTTAACATACTAAGGTCATCATCTCTTTCACCTCTTGTTTTCAGATGACTGATATTTAATTTCTACGTCTCGGCGGTACTATTAGCTGAAGAAACTGCTTGAATTTGGGAAGGAGTTTGGAATTCCATGAGGAAGAGCAAACAGGGTCTTTCTAGCGATAAAGTTTTCACTCAGGGCACCAATGTCAAGACTCCACTCGGAAAGCCACCCGATGTCGGATTAAGGGCGCAACTGACAACTCAAGGCGTAATGCATGTACCATAAAAGAAATTAATCCTCGTTCAGAGAACAGAAAAATAGACAATTAATATCATTAATCATGAGTCAAACATCAATTGAGTTGCGGGCTCGTGAAGAAGGATCTTTACAAACTGAAGATCTGGATCTCACGAGTACTCATGAATTCTCTCCACTACCGCCTGTAGATGGTGGCAAAGATGCTTGGTTCTTCCTTGCCGCTTCATTCATGGTTGAAGCTCTGACCTGGGGTGAGTTAAGTTCATAAATATGTTTGTTGATACATTGGTATTGATACAGGTCCAGGCTTTCCGTTTGCTTTTGGTGTCTTTCAGGATTACTACAGTACCAATGCACCTTTTGAAGGATCATCAGCTATTGCTGTGATTGGTACCTGTGCAATGGTATGCCTCTTGAACCATACTATCAGACACCCGCTTACCATTTCCAGGGAATAATGTATCTTGGTCTTCCTTTTGTAATGACCCTTCAACGTCTCTACCCAAAGCAAAGCCGCTGGTCTCCGATGATAGGACTCTTCATCATGTGCATCGCCCTCGCGCTGAGTTCCTTTTCGCAAAACACCACACATCTCATCCTCACACAAGGAATACTCTACGCTATAGGTGGATCGATATCCTACTGTCCATGTCTGTTGTATATGGACCAGTGGTTTGCTAAGAAAAAGGGCTTTGCGTTTGGAGTTATGTGGTCAGGCACCGGACTCGCTGGCTTTGCGTTACCACTACTTTTTGAGAAATTTCTCAATGACTATGGCTTCCGCACTACATTGAGAATATGGTCTGTCTCTCTTTTTGTGCTAACGTTGCCATTGGCGTATTTTATCAAGCCGCGTCTTCCGTACTCTGCTACGAGACATATTAATCCTCTGAAGCTGGGCTTTGCGATAAAACGCAACTTTATGCTTCATCAACTCGCCAATATTACTCAAGCGTTGGGATTCTTTTTGCCGGGGATTTACCTTCCGTCGTATGCCCGAACAGCTCTTGGGGCTGGGACATTTGCTTCAGCTTTGACGGTTTTGCTGATCAATGTTGCTTCAGTGTTTGGTTGTGTGGCTATGGGTGCACTTACAGATCGTCTACACGTCACGAATTGTTTCATGATATCTGCTATCGGAACAGCACTCAGCACATTTCTTCTCTGGGGATTTTCGACTAATTTACCTGTTCTGTACATTTTTTGCGTGGCGTACGGGATCTTTGCAGGCTCTTACACCACCGCGTGGACCGGAATCATGCACATGGTATCGACTTCTGTTGGAGATAGCAGCACTGGAAGATCATTTGATCCGGCCATGGTATTGGGTGTTTTATCTGCAGGAAGAGGGATCGGGAATCTAGTATCTGGACCACTCAGCGGGGCGTTGATCAAGGGTATGCCGTTTCAGGGTCAAGCAGCTGGGGGATACGGAACGGGATATGGTTCGTTGATTATCTTTACCGGTGTTACGGGTTTGGCTAGTGGTGCTACGTTTCTCTTTAGAAGGATTGGGTGGGTGTGAATTGCCTGCCGCGAATCGAGACATGGGTCGTGTATCTCAAGATGGGGGTAACTTGGTTAGAGAAACAACTCAAATTAGGGTAAAGAATGACTCGGCCGATTAAAATTGGATCTCAATGTCTTGAAGAAGAAAAACATGGAATTCAAATAGTGGCATAAGGAACCAATCATTGTTCCTTACAAGAGGCTTAGCTTTATTTGACACGCGACTAGAAGGTCACTTACTCACGGCAGATTATGGAAGTGGATTGATTACACAATTATGACACGATTCTGATGCTCAACTTTCGGTGAAGAATAGAGCTCAAGGTATGGGAATATTCTGGACCACAGTATTTTTAGCTTTTGCTATTGCGTTACTATTAAATATGAGACGCATCAATGATTATTTGATGACCATCTTTTTTTTGGTAGTACTTAATACCGCATCACATGTACCCTTTTTCTTCTGCCATATATTTATTTAATTTTGGTACTTTCTCTCTTTCATGCCTACAATCTGGTTATAAAAGAGATATAACAAAAGACGACGTATTCACTCATATCCAACTATTGTCATTCAATCATCATGGCGAAACAAGACCCAAATCAAAAGACACGTACAAATCATGGTCAAAATTACGAAACAGAGAACGAAAAGCTCAGATCCAAGATTCGCCATTTGAGTAGCGAGATAGAGATCATGCAGACTCTTCTGGACAACCACAAACACTGTTCCAAATATCGTCAAAATTTATTATCGAAGATGGATTCGAAAGCTGGAGAAACATCTCTCAAGTGTCCAGCTTGAACAACGACACAGTCAAAACAGTCACTTTATTGCGATGGAGACAGGGTTCAGCCTGGTGCTAACTCTGTTACGGCAGTGGCGCAAACAAAGCCGTGGATTTTATCTGATTGTTGGGAATTGGAATGCAGGAAGAGCTGAGATTATGGGATGGATTTGGAACTTTTGATATATCGATGATACCTCAGACTGAATGGATGGACGGATGAGTGGACTTAAATTAGATTGATGTCCTAGATATATGTAGCCTTTACTCAACACGAACCTTGCGACACTGAACTTTCGATAAATTTATTCATCCCTTTTGCCCCTTTTACCCTTGCCCTCGGTCGACGTATATAAATTACAGCGCATGATCAAAGACTCATATCATGTCTGACCTGGAGTCCACACTTTCTTGGCAAGACATGTGATCGTCGATGTGATCATGACTCGGAGGCGCCACCGGGCCTTTTCATTGGTTCATGTCAGTATGACGGATCGGGATTGTACCAAGACTAAACTCAAACGTATACAGTGCAAATCTAACACTTGATGGGGTTGGCTTCCAAAGTATGATGGTAAATCTGGCATGTTGCTTGGGTGGTATTTATGTCATCTACATGATAAGAATCGGTGTCTCACTACTGACAATCTCAGTCCATCTCCTCTGACCTTGCATACCCCAAATCGTCTTCAACGCTTTCACAGCAACAGGAATACTTCCGAAACTCGTCACACTATACAAATCCGCCAATCTAGTTGAGAAAAACTCCCTGTGCTCTGGCAAAACACTCTCTGCCGCTGCTACAAAGTACGTCCACACAAGCGCGTGAACGCCTTTGGTAGAAGCATCTAGGTTGAGCACCTTTTGACGTAGTTGCTCGACGAGATGGATGGACTCTTCATCAGAGAGGGATGATTCGGCGCGGCGCCGGTAGATGCTGCAGGCGTCGAAGATGGCGGAGCGGATTACTTCAATATTGGGTAAGTGCTCTGAGTCTGGGGGGAGTTCGGGATAGGACATGAAGTCTAGGTATGCTTCTGGGCCGGTGAGTACTTGTAGACCTTTGGATTCGTTGGCTAGCGGAACACCAAAGAGTTGAAACCTATGAACAAAGTCCAATTAGTCTTACGTCACTCAAAGAGGAAGTGTCTGCTTACATCTTGATTTGCTGAAGAAAGAAGTCTTTCAAACTCGGCGGCAGCATTGTTATCCAATCCGGATACGACGTGAGACAATTCAACATCTCGAGAAGATATGTGTAATTATCCGCTCCTGTGATCGTCTCCCCAACAAGAAGTACCAAGATAGTGGCCAGGATATACGGATTGAAAAGCTGCTCCGGGCTGAGTTGTAGAGAATCACGCCGTAGTTTCTGGACGATTGCTTGATGGCCTGTTTCGGCGACGTGTTGTAACCTAGGGTCTTTCTGACCGAGGTGAAACGCTGACACGACAGACACAGCTTGTGCGAGGTTGTCGTCGTGGTATGCTAGTGGTAGGATGACATCCCTGTATCCATTGCTGTTTGAGTCGAGGACAACCATGTGTGAGGCTATTATCTCGGAGACTAGTCTTTGTTAGAGAATGGATTCTTGGGAAATATGTTGGAACGTACAATGACTAAACATCTTTCTTGTTTGTGAACTTGACACTGCGTTGAGAGCTGGGTGAATCGTGATACGATGAGCATACGGTACAACAGCCCTTGGACTCGAGTCAAAAGAGTCATCAGATGATGGTGAAGCAACATCATCCGAAGAAGCAGAGTCTGTATGTTGCAACGTCGTAGGACTATTCCTCCCTTGACCGTTTCTCACGCGATCCTTTCTAAACCGTTTTCCAGGTTCAACCCATCGAAAGGACTTTTCAGGCTGATTAGGACTTGGTTCAGAAGAAGACGTTGTGGTAGTAAAAGTCAATGTCATGGGTGTTGCTGTGGTAGCCATGTGGCTGCTAAACCGGCACCGTAGACCCTGGCCGGAGCAGGAAATACCCTTCTTTTGGCACTTGAGACATTCTGGTTCTGTTTTGTCACACTTGAGACGCCTTTTGCAGCATTCGTAACACCCTATTTGCTAAAGTTAGTTTGTGTTTATAGAGTTAAGGTTGGTGTATTACCGTTGTTTCTTTTGGCAAGCGACATTGAATGGGAAGAGTAATGGGGTCTTCTCGCTCTTTTACCGCTTTTGGTGATTCAAGTCGATCTTTCCGGAGCGGAGCGAAATCTATATCTTTAATATATTCTCTTTCTCCTTTGTTCTACTGACCTTTCGCGATGCATCTTGTCGGCAGTTTGCTTCTATCCGCTGTGCTGAGAGGTACGCAGTGGGTATGAGGAATGCGCATAGGGGCTGTGCGATAGAGTTTAGAGGTCAGAGCGCTAAGAATTGGTCTAGAACTCTTAGACTTTGGATGATGGATGTCTGTCTACTAGAAAAAGCAAAGTCTAACCCGGATGAATTACAAAAAGCACCGATGTAATTCTTGAATTGAACTAATTGTAATAGGAAGGTATTGGTATTTGACATTCCAATTCATTATTTCCGATATTGTTCGGTAATTACTCAATACATCATCACCCAAACCGTTGCCCCTGTCGCCCCAACATGTTCAGAAGACTCACCACCAGTCCACCACACAACACACAAGCCATGGCGCAACGCCAGAAATGACCAATTGATGACGAATCAACACCAGAAGAACAATAGAAGGAACTCTAGAAGGATTCGATTACCACCCATGTCATCTACCGTGCCCTACGAGACACATGTTTTGCTCTGTCCATCAGCCGCAACTGGTAGCACTAAACCCAGCGAGGCAATTCAAGCCACACTGTCCAATCAAACAATTCGGGTCTCCCGTAAAACGTTGCGATCTACCCGTTTAACCGCGGAGATGGGATGAAAATTTGATATCTGGAGGCTACAACTCTTCGGAGAAGGGGAACTCTTAGGGAAAGGCTCGGTTAGGTACGTCTTGATCTAGAAATAGATGGTTCATCCGGGTAATGATTCCAGAAAGCTGGATTACCAGTCTGTTGGTATCGTTAGTATGTGGCTTTATTAGACTTTGAGACGTAAACCAGGCGGCCGGTTCCGACCACTCCCATAGTCAACTGTTGGTGTATACGCCAGCTCGATCGATCCCCACGGGGAATTGGAAGCTTTGATATCGGAATCAGGAACCGATAATTAACTCCAGTTCAAGTGATGGGTAGTGGAGTATAGGGCTGACCTCCAAGTTGACTCCAACCTGTCTGGTGTCAAGCAGTTCGTGCCGCATGTGGGGAGGTTCATGTATGCCGATCTAGCCCAAGTTGTCTATCGTTGACTCCAGTATCGGTAACTTCGCTACCTTGTCTCAAGATAACAAACTCATCATTCATTCGTACCGTAGCAATAGCTATCTCCATCTCCCCACTAAACAACACGACTCTACCCGCTTATCTTGAACATCATCCACTAATATCCTCGGGCGAATGTCACCCGAACCGAAATTTCAAGAGAATTTTTCAGTGGAGACTTGATGGTATAAGTAGTTATTCCCGGTTCAATATAAGGAGAAGAAAGAAGCGGTATCGGTGCACGTACTCTTACTCTGTAAACATAACATGATTCCGACTTTTGTTACTCCCCTACTCTACAAAATATACTGTTTCCTAAATCATACTCTTGAATCACCGTGAAAATGGCTGTGAAATCATCTCAATATGAAGAACCAACCTTTGAACCCATGACGTGAGTTTGTCACTGCAACATTACCACATGGATGAATGTACTCACAGCAAACAGGAGAATGGGGACTCTTCGTCGTGAAGGAACGCGCTCAGAGATGCAAGATCTTGAAATCATCGCTTCAGCAGGTGCTTCTTTTCGACCAGGCGACATTCCTCCTCCTCCAGATGGTGGCCTTCAAGCTTGGACACAAGTAGCTATGGGTTGGATTGCCATCTTTGCAACCTGGGGTTACGTCAACTCATTTGGTAGTTTCCAAGCCCATTACACGTCCACCCTCCCCCAGACACCGTTCCAGATCTCATGGATTGGATCAATCCAGGTTTGGTTTACTTTCTTCGGAAGTGCCTTTTCTGGAAGATTGCTCGACGCTGGGTTCTGGGTTCCTACTTTTCTCGTAGGCTCGACATTACAACTCGTGGGAATTTTTACTATGAGCTTGTCCACTTCGTACTGGCATCTCATGATTACCCAGGGCGTTGTTACGGGTATTGGTGGAGGCATCATCTTTGCCCCTTCGCTAGCTCTGGTGGCGACGTACTTTGAGAAACGAAGAGGTATAGCCATCGGTCTCGTCACGACGGGTAATTCTCTGGGTGGAACTGTTTATCCTCTCGTTGTGCGAACGTTGCTCCCATCGATTGGGTTCTCATGGACGGCGAGAGTGCTTGGATTTATTAACCTAATAGGCTTTGCGCTTGTGGCTGTTTTCATGAGGCCTAGACTTCCACCGAGACAAACGGGACCTATCATTGACTGGACGGCGTTTAAAGATATGCTTTATCTTTGCTACGTGAGCGGCTTGTTCTTTTTTGTGTGGTCTGTTTACTACACCTTCTACTATGTGAGTTTCCTTTACCCGATACAAGAGTCTGGTCACTAATGATACAGCTTGCATCTTTTGGACAAGATGAAATCGGCATGTCATTCTCTGACTCATCTCTTCTCACAACAATCATCAACGCCGTCGGTCTTCCAACTCGAGTTTTAATTCCCTTCCTCGCTGATAGAATCGGTCCTTTAAACACCATCGCACCAGCTGGCATGTGTGTAGCCATCGTTGCATACACATGGCTAGCAGTCCACAACGAGACAGGCGTTTACGTCTTTTCTATATTCTACGGTATAGCATCGGGAGCGTTCCAGAGTCTCATGCCAACAGGTGTTGCCAGTATCACAAAGAGACTCGACACTATTGGCACGAGAATGGGAATGTGTTTCAGTCTCATTTCCTTTGCGGGTTTGTCTGGACCGCCTATTGGTGGTTTGCTGCAGTCGAAGAGTTTGGAAGGGGCACATGTTTGGGCTGCTCTGTCAAGTACACTCGCTGCAGTTCTGCTTGTTCTCACAAGAGTATTGAAAGTAGGATGGAAGGTGAAGACTCGATGTTAATTTAGCTACGGACATATATAATGTTTAATCAAAGTCATAGAACTTCCAATCGGCTTTAAAGTCCTTGGAAAGTTCCTCTTCCAGAATCAAAGCCTTTACCATCTCAATAGGTAACCCACCAGTCCTCAAAATCGCATCGTGGTACTCCTTTTGTGTCATCTTTCCACTATTAACAGCCATTTCTCTCAACTTCCACAACTGCAAAGCACCCAGCATATATCCAGCCTGATAAAGCGGCGAATAAGTCCCCTCCACGGATCGTCTCACTTCGCCCTCTGCATTACTCCTCTCATGATTAATCCTGTCAACGAGTAGATCAACAGCTTCTTGAGCCGTCATCTCACCCAAGTGAAACTTGAGAGAAAAGATGATTCGCAAACACCGATGCATGCGCCACCAAAGAGCCCCGATTCGATTCTCAGGCGAATGATGGAAATCATCTCTATCGTAGAATAGAAACTCCCAGTATAAAGCCCAACCCTCTACAAAAAAGGGAGTATCGAAGATTTGTTTCCGGTGCGAGTTATACCGATCGGCCATGTAAAGCTGCAGCCTGTGACCAGGAAACATCTCATGGAATGCAGTGGCTTTGGCGAAATGTTTGTTATTGCCGCGCATGACCATGAGTTTAAGATCGTGCTCCATTGAAACAACAGGGTACGAGACTTGAATCGTTGGACCGCCGAGAAAGAATGGCGATACCTTTTGACGTTCTGCGTCGATCATTATCATGCGCCATGTTGAGTTCGACAAAGGAGGAACAGTAACCAGATCGCGTTCCGTGACGAAGAGACTTCCTTCGACGATCAAGCTGCGTACATATTCTGTTTGTTTTCCAGGATCAACATAATCGTTCTTGACGTGCTCAAGCGCTTTCTTCCATTCTTTTCCATATCCGAGAGCTTCAGATTGTTTTATCATTTCCTTTTCACACCATTTAAATTCTTGATTGCCGATTTCGATGAGTTCTTCAGGTGTGTATGGAATCATTTCTGCTTCGAGTTCAACTTCTAGACCTTTGCGACCGATGGGTTCGCCGACGATGATATCTTGTCCATCCTTTTGATTCATTCCTGCGAGTTCTGTTTGGACGACGGTGAGATACTCTGTGAGGGATGAGTTGGCAGCTTGCCATGGCGTGGTAACCCAAAAGTCGAAAAGGGGATCGTAGGTAGAGTAAAAGGTGAACCACTCTTCCAAACCGTCCAGAAGACCTGTGATGGCTTTGGTGGCGAGATAGCCGGTTGTTTCGGTGACGTTGAAACCACCGTCTCGTACCTTTGTCTGAACACGACCGATGGACTTTGTGATATTGTTCAATAGACCAGCTGTTTCTTTCGCCTTCATCGGCTCAACATCTTGTCTCGCTTCAAGAAGACCGACAAGATCCCCTGCGAAGGGAATAAGTGGCTCATAGCTCTTTTTAGACGTCTTTTGAAGATCCAGATTGTTAAGCTGTCGTGTGTGAAATGTGTTGAGCATGATATAATCCACTTTGCCTTCTTGGTCGAGACTCTCAAAGTCAATCTCGTCAAGAAGATCTTGTTCATTCTTGTGATAATCTTCTAAGGCTTCGTAGCGACGCGATGCAAAGTCAATATTGTAGAACTCGTTAAGTTCACCAAGATCTGCTTCTGTACGTATGACATGATCTGTCATGGACACATTGTGACCGCCAAGAGCTAGTAGGCCAAGTCCAAGTGAGGCGCTGAAGTGACTACCCACTGCAGCCAAAGACATGTCGAGAGGTTGTTGATATGCGTGTGAATTATGAATATGCAGGTCTCCCATGACTGCATTGAACAGGAGATAAACACAGATATTTATACTCTCATTTATCATTGTCTGGTGCTACAATTCGTCTCCTTCGTGAGATGAGGCAGGGTTCCCCGCTCAACGATATAGAGGCACTTTTGGTAGTCATACAAGGATACAGATAAACTCTTTTTGGTAGGTAAAGTTGTTTCATACGTCATTGGAACGAGGTTAAATGTGATTCTAATCTGTTTGTATCTTTGCAGGAAACGTTGCATGCATAGCCGAGGAGGGAAGGACAAGGTTGTCATATCTTGATCGTCTTATGTTTCCCGCGGGGAAGTTGATGCATCGGGATAAGACATTTACAGATTCCTCCAACGAGATGGATGGCAGAGATTTGGTATTAGAGGTATAGGATCAACTACAATGTTTGTGTAACACACATCTTTACACTCAAAGTGTAGTCACATACAGATATCCATGGCACTTGATTTAAGCATACTTACTCGATCAATCTCCAATCTCGATCCTCTTTATTCATTAGTCTCTCCCTGTCTCAATGTCATATTGTAGATCTCACGTCAGCACAATAATACGCGGTGCCTGTCGTATATCAAGTCGCTTTCCTAAACTTCAAGTCCTCCTACAACTTACAAGCTACACCTAAGAATGGCAGTCGAAAACCCTTTCTCAGTCTTTCCAAGGGAGATCAGGGACAAGATCTACAATTACGCCCTGCAGGACACAAAATTTTCAAACTTTCTCGCGCACAAGACAGCTTATACTCCGCAGAGAGCGGCTATTCTTTACATCAACGACGCTATCGCAAACGATGTCAAACATCTATTGTACCGAGACCATGAGATGGTAGTTCACATCGCCCAACCCCGTCGCTACACAGAGGGACCAACAGGCTATCTCTCCCACGTCCAAAACTGCTCAAACCTGATGAAGCAGCGCTCACATACCTTTGTCGCCGAGCTGTGGCGTTCTCAATATTAGCGATTAGATCCTTCGTATGAAGGTTGTAATGATAGCGAAGAGGAATTTGGGAGGAATGTAGGACCAGACTTTATTCCTGCGATTGCTGGCGATGACGATGGAGAGTTGCTGGGTAGGAAATTCTTTGGTGAATTGGCTGCCGTGCAACCGGAATTACCAAATCTCAAAAAGATTGATATTAATTGCTGGATTGTGATCTGGTTAGGATTTAGCAAACACTGGAAACAGCCGCTTGACCAGTATAACGGAACGAGAATGGGACACCATACTGACGTATCTTGTGGTGAACCACAATAAAGGGATTCTGATATATTGGGTTTCACTCTAGTAATATGTCCACAAAGACATATTGTCACGATTACAACAGTGGTAATTCGAAGAATAAACATATAGTCGACTTATAAATTTGATAAACCGCATGTATAAAACCACGCTATACATTCATATGCCTACTAACTTCTAACGTCATAACTCATATCTAAGCAAGGTCATACTCGGCAATAATCTTCTCAGCAGCCGTCATACCTGTCACATAAGCAACAGACTGAATATGACAATTAGCCAAAACAGGCACAACACCCATATCCGCCACACGCAATCCCTCGAAACCGATAACCTTGAAGTCACTATCAACCACAGCCTCAGGGTCATCCTTCTTTCCCATCTTGGTCGTACCGCACATGTGCCAGCTAGAAGAGATGGTCGCTCTCCAATGCGCAAGAAGCTCTTCGTCTGAATCACCCTGGGGACCGACCATGGTGTCGACGTTGTTCTTGACGTAGTTCTCATGCTTGACGAGACGGAATGCATCGCGGAGAGACTCAATGGCTACGCGACGATCGAAAGGTGAAGATAAGAACTTGGGGTCGAACTTGAGAGGGACGTTGGGATCGGATGACTGGAGTGTTACTTCACCTTGACTCTGCGCGTTATAGTAAAACACGAGAATGCAAGAGTAGTTGAGGTTATCATCCGGGAACTGAGGAATAAACCAATGAATAGGAAAGTGTGTCAGAATCTCATAATGAGGCACAGTTTCCTTCATGAGATAGGTCTGTTCCTGAGCAGGAAGCGCCTTGAACTCTTCCGACTGGACAAGCTTGTCAAGCTTGAACCAGCCAATACCCAACTCACAGGCAAACTTTGTCCAGGGACCTGTTCCGTCGCGGCGCCACTGCTCGAGGGCTTCGTCCATGGCTTTCTTGTCGCCGTAGAAGGGCTTGCGAGCTGTGTCGCCTTCTTTGCGGGTATAGACGAGGGGTGTGAACATGTGGTCGCGTAGACCTTGGCCGACGCGAGGGACGTCCTTTACAACGGGGATGTTGAATTGGGAGAGTTGATCTTTGGGACCGATTCCTGAGTGCATGAGGATGCTGGGGGTGTTGAGGGCTCCGGCTGAGAGGATGACTTCCTTTGAAGCAAAGTCTGAAACTTGTTAGCTTGAGAACTGGTCTTGTTCAGTGTGGGATGGCTTACACTTCTTTCCATTGACTTCAACTCCAACAGCCTTGTTTCCCTCGAGAATTACTCGCTGCACAGAAGAATCTGTCAATACAGTCAAGTTCTCAGGCTTAGGTTCCAACAGATCATTAGCTGTAGACCTTCGTCCCTTGTGACTCGAGTTGATCAGAACAGACATTCCAAGAGGGTTGCCAGAGTTGTGATCAGGGTTCAGTGGAAAGCCTGCATCCTCAAAGAGGTCAAGAACGGGAGGAAGATCCTTCTCCCACTCACTCGCATACCCAACATGAAGTTTTCCCTCACTTCCATGATCCTCACTCTTGGGAGCAGCATACTTCTTGTCAATACCCTCAGGTAGAGCACCGTGAAAGTTCTCAAGACTCTTATATCTCTTTTGGATCTTCTCCCAAGAGTATGAATCATCACCGACGATACGCGCCCACTCTTCGTAATCGTCACGAGCACCAACGCTGTAAACACCAAAGTTGATAGCGCTGGAACCACCAAGACCTTTTCCGCGAGAGTAATCCAGCTCTCGGCTATCAGCGAATTCCTGAGGCGTCGTCTTGTAGCCCCAGTTCATGTCCTTGTTCATAAAAGTGAGCCATCGCTGACCGTCAACGCGCAGGTTGCGGTCTTCGTTTGTGCCACCAGCTTCAAGGAGAAGAACACTGGGTTTCTTGGCTGACGAGGCCAGACCTGCTGCGACGGAGCTTCCAGCTGGACCACCTGTAGAGAAAAAGGTTAGCGTTGTGCAGATCAATTGGCAATAGTGTGGGAATCGAGTCATTGCGAACGGACGGTGGCGGGGGAATAACGGACCTCCTACGACAATAAAGTCATAACTTGATGCAGCCATTTTGTAGATCTTTGTGAGTGTGTGATAAGTAAAATGTGTTCAATTGGATGATAAAGGGTTGTGCGATTCAGTCCGACTTAATTATGAGGCGATGGTATGAGATTGCTTAATGTTGATATGAGAATACGAGGTTTAAAAGATGAGGGATCAAGATGAGGGGGAAGGGGTTACGAGAGGAGCTATATACTTGTGTAGTTACAATTGCCCCATCAAGACAAGTCAAGTTTAAGTGACACGCAATGCAGTGCAAGCTGAGCAATTTCATTGTTTGGGTTTAGTTATGCATCCACGATAAAACCCCCTCATTAGTTAACCTGGGGGCAGGGTAGGGCGTTGGTGACTAGGGCGTCAACGACTACTTTAGTATAGTGTAACGTTCGCCAAGTCCCTCATGCTGTATTTAGGTAGTACGAAACAAGACCAGTGTCAAGACAACGATACTGTCTGTTGGTTTGGTTGTTGTTGGGCATAAAGGTTATGGAGTAAGCGGGGATTACGCATTGATACATGGCGGGAATGGGCGGGTGCTAATGCCTTTTAGACTCTTTTCGTCGCTGTAGGTCTCAGGGGTTTCTGTCGATCATGGATTCTTTTATAATGGGGCAATTTGGTTACATCAGCTACAAGGAGTAATGTACCCAGGTAGATATCTACAAGATACTTCTGTCAAAACAGTTGTTTCGTTCTTGATTCAGTTTACATATAAGCGGGCTATTATAACAAGCAAGCCATGTCTTATATAATACACCAACATACATAAATAGTTTCGAATCTGACCTGACCTGACATTGACTGCCGAGAAATAGACCCGCTTTAGGACAAGGGTCTCACATAATCTACCTACGGTAAGACGGCAGACAATCCTTGAATATGGATGGCGAACGGTCATTTTGGTTGAATGTCACATTGAGACATTCAAGGATTAACAAATGCAAATCACTTTGTTTCCCACACGTGGTCTTTCGTCTTCATTTATCACGTCTTGAATCAGTTTCTATCATCGAGATTACCGGACGCCACATAACCGAGGTCTCGGTACACATGGTACAGCTATAGAGATGCATCAACTATTTTGACAGAATCTCTTAGCGACCGGTACGCTATCACTGGGTTATCCCACTAATACTTGCCTCTTAAAACCGGCGGGTTTACCGACCAAAACCTGTTCTCCCAGTGGCCAAAGCACCTATACTCCCCGTTCTAACACGGAGCATACTTCCTTTGACAGCTTAGGCGAACGTTCTTAGCCCGTTGATTTACAGCACCAACTACGGAATATTATCAATAAAACGTGGCATAATCTGTTTTCTGGCTAATCATTCCCTATTGCAGACACTGCGATCTACAAGGGGGTAACCGCAGCACTTTAACATCGACTCAGTGATCGGCTCAATGTACCTCATGTACCTTGATAGATGTTGTTCTAGGGACCTTCTGCGACGTATCAACCTAATCCGTCTTAAGACGGGCCAAGGGAAAGAAAAAGGAAGGGTTGTAGGTCACCGGGTTTCAGACTATAATGTCTCGGCATATGAACCCGTTCTTAGAAGGCAAACCCCCGGGTTTTGACAGATTCTGTTTTTAATTAAACGAGTTTAATACAGATAAATTCATGCTTGTTAGAGCTCAAACTGTATTTATTCCCGTGTGTCCGTCACGACCAGATCCTTTTTTTGTTCTTTTCCTCGAGACCCTCTTTTCAACCTGGATCTACTGTAAACGAGCACATGTCACCATGGACGCCATACAAGAACAGTTTACCCTTCTCTCCCTTGGTCTTTTCACCATTGGGGTGAGAATGGTTGTGAGGACGCGACAAGTTGGGTTTGCAGGATGGCAGTTGGACGATTACCTGATGCCAATTACTGGTGTAAGCTATCCTCACGTATCTCGCTAAGACCCAATCCTTACTGACCATTCTAGCTCATCTTCACTGCCGAGACGGTAGCAGCATACCTCGTCGGAGCGAAATTCCAAGGCCTTACGAATAGTTACATGACGGATGAGGAACGCGCCAACATCGACATGGGCGGAGAAGAACACTACAATCGTGTCTGGGGATCCAAGATTCAAGTCATAGGCTGGTCCTTTTATGCTTGTATTCTTTGGTGTCTCAAGTTTTGCGTCACTGCTTTCTACGCCCGACTCACGTATGCAATGCCACTATTCACAACTAAAGACTGGCAATACTGACTTATTTGTAGATCGGGCTTGTCGCATCTTAGGATTCGTGTCATTGTCGCTTACATCCTCCTCGGAATTACTTATGCTGCTGTCTTTTTTACTATTCTGTTATCCTGTCAGCCATTTCATCACTTTTGGCAGGTCAATCCTGATCCAGGTCTTATTTGCCAACCTACAAAGTCACCGGCATATGTTTTGGTGGTTGTCATTCCCAACATCTTGACTGACATTTACCTGCTCTCTATCCCACTACCTGTGAGTAAAGCGACAATCACTATCGGGATGTCCATCTAACAATTCTGCAGCTTCTTTGGGGTGTCAACATTAGTTTGCGACGCAGACTTACACTCATGCTATTATTCAGCGGTGCTCTCTTCATTATGATGGCTGGTACAATTCGAGCTGTCACCATTCTTACCGTATGCACCACTCATCTCATCTCTGTCAATTCTTACTAACATCAATTAGGCCGGTCCTGAAGGCGCTGTCTCTGGCAGCTCATGGGCATGTCGCGAAACCTTTGTCGCAATTATCGTCACAAACCTCCCCATCATCCAACCACTCCTGCGAAAAGGAGCCAGCCTCATCGGTCTCAGCGTCCTCTTTAGCAAAGCTACAAAATCTGCATCCCAAAGTCACCAACTCAGAAGCAACGAAGGCGGAAGCCGCTTCAACAACAGTCGCGTCAGAAGGACCAACAAATCCGACGCCGGACACCCACTATCTTCAATGCCTCAAACAACAGCCTGGGCAAGCGACGAACAAATTCTTCCACCTCCCGGAACAAGCGGAGGTAATGGCAAGGGGATCGTCGTGGCGCAAGAGATCAGCGTTCAGTCGGAAGCTTTTGACGATTCAAATTTGCGCGATGTAACCAACAAGGATCCAGCGGTTCATGACTGGGGGTACGATAGTAGCAGCAACAGCAGTAACCACAAAAGGACACGGACACCATAAGGGGTGGATCTGTGCCTGTTTATCCTACCTGTATTTTTCTTTGTACTTCTAGATATACCAAACACAATAATGTAATACAAAAAGTCTTCCGATTTCTAGTCTCATTCTGTCGGCGAATAATTAAACAAGGGGATCATCGGAAACACGGAAGATCACCATCCGACTAAGAAAACTCCCGCAAATGACCTGATCTATGGAGTCTTTAGCGGAACCGGCTTACGCCTCCGTCCCCTGTCCCCTGTTATGAACCCCTGGTCCAGGACACAATGCAAACGGAGGTTGCCGTGATTGAGTTTGAAGGACCTTGTTGATAATGAAATATGCTTAAACAAGAGTGGGTTTGTATTATAGGTTCTCGGTTAGAGAAAAGTTAATGCGGTTGTTTTAGTTGTCGTTCATAAGGATGGGATCCCTTGACTAAACAATTGGGGTTCAAAACGAGATGCGAGTCAAAAGAGAATTACAGACTCCGATCTGGTGTAACGTTTGTGTTCAATAAAGCTTTGAACCTTTGTATATCCGGACCTGCCTAATGTTGAAGTACTCCGAGAATGTTTTGAGCTTTGGTATATGCGTAAACTCTACGGTCATGCGCGGGATGTTGTTGACAATATGAATCCCATACCCTAGACTCTCGATAAATGCCGATTGAAGGTCTGATATCAAACTTGCGCTCTTATCCCCCGTTTTAGTGGATCGTCTGTGCCTAGTAAAGATTCCAGGGACTAGTCATAAATAGAGATCTTATATTATTGAGATACAAGAGATATCATATTCGATATTGTTAGCTAGGAATAAAAAGGTGAATTGACTGTTCTGGTTGTTGAGACGCAAGACTCCACAGCCTCTATACTACGTTACTACGTTACCACGTTACCACAACAAGTTGTCTATATCATATGTATTTACGTATCACTAGCGATAGTTATTCGTAAAAGATTGATAGTGATTTGGGATGGGAATTTGGGGGTTATATCGGGACTTGAACAGCCACTGTAAGATGGGAATGATTGGCTATAGTTTAATGATTATTCTTTTCACTGCAATTTTGACCCTCGCCTGGCGAGTATTGTTCTTTCTTCGTAAGACTTGTGGAGCATTTGAGAAAAAGACTGACTGGTTATATATGCATCTAGAAATCTTCCCAGTATACGCGGTCTAAGATGTGATTCCCACCCACTCTCGGCAAAGTTGGGTGACGAATAGTCACAATAATAGTGTCTTTGCAATCGCCCTTTTAATATAATCAATTAAAGACTCTTCAGTAGCTCCTTTATCCTTGGGGTCATAGGATCGACACGCTGCTCTGAAAACCGTACCAAATTACCGTCCACCCTCTCAGAGTGAATTTCCATCGGCTCTGTCTTCTGGAAAAGCTGCGCATAGAAATCTCTCAGCTCCATAGTCATCCTGGTGTCTAGACTTTCAGAGAATCCATAGTCTCGAGCCGCCTCAGCTATGTCAGGTACAGCAGACTCCACCGAAATATTTTGTAGTGCAAGGAAGTGGCGCAACTTCCAGATGGACGGAAGAGGTCTCTCTGCCTCAAAGAATTTTCGCAAACGATCACAAATGCCGTATTCACCGGGTTCGCGAGAGGGTTGTTTTGTGGACTTAAGCCAACACTTGTCGAATATGGTCGTGATCTCTTTTTGGTCCCACGCCTTCCAGAATTCGTCAAAGGTACAGACAGGATCCCTTTGCTTTGCCATTTCCTTCAAGATTGAGGATCCGAGACTCTCTGCGTATTCCAACCGTGACATTGATCCGAACAACATACTGTTATACATATTGGATAGTGATTGTTCTTCGTGCTGGTCTCTGCACACAACGAAGCCAAAATCGAACCAATGGCAGTCGCCTTGGTTCATTGGGGGCGGGTATGCATGTTGTAAGACCATGGTGTAGAATGCAAAGCAATGCATCTTCGAAAAAGGAGTCAAGTCTGCCAAGTCCTTGTTCCGATCCTCAGGGGCTAGATGCTTCCGGGCTTTGTCCTGCATGTTTCGTACCTGTGTCATAGGACTTGGTGGTCGAGGAATTGACTCATGGCCAGTTGGTAGCTCGAAGCGTTCGCGGTGTTTGAGAAACCATGGGAAGTAGCTTCCCGCGCTGCTCTTTGGTATCTTCTCAAAGTTTTCAACTATCTTTGCAGCGAGGTATGTGTCACCGCCAGGATCTGACCGCCACTGGTGAAGTGTTTCACGCGTAACATTGTCGGGAGGGTAAAGTAAAAGCCCTTGGAAAAGCCCAAGCAGATGCGACTGTTCACGACGGTTGTGACATCGGTCGAACCAGTAGTCCTCTAGTACCTGGGGATCTGTAGGAATTGTGTCCTGGAGGGCGTCTGCAAAAAGAAAGTCTGCTGACGTGACTTGTCGCATATTGCATTTGAGGAGGTGGGACAATGGCATTTCTCGTTCACAGTTCTTACTGCAGAACAGACCCTCTCGACAGTGAGAGCATCTTCGAGTTGTTTCTACATCCCAGCACACAGAACAAAAGTCCCTAGTGCTTTCTGGGTGTGTTGGATCTCGGACTTCAATTCTCGGGACTTCCTCGTCTTCGACAGAGTCTAACAAGCTAATCCAATGCCGTTCTTAGCATAAAACCGCAGATAGAGAAGAATAGTAAGAATGAATGGAAAACTAACCTCTTCGTGTTGGATTGCCTCTGTAGGTTTTGAGCTCGCTGGGAGTAGAGATGCTTGGATATGGCGTGAATTAGGCGGTGATCGTCTTGATTCGTTTCCAACGTAGAAATTAAACTGCCACCAACCGTGGATTCTTTGACCTCTCGTCTTCTCTGAGCCGGTAATAGTTTGCTGCGAATCAGCTTCTTTCGCATCCACGTTGTAACTCCCATCGCAGCCTCGTGCAATGCTTGCTGTTCGTCCTTCCCCAGATTGTCTCCAGGGGGAAGAGTCCAGCTGTGATTATACAGCTTGCCATGACAACCACGCGTTTTCAACCCTTGAAAACAGTCCAGAAATCTGGAACATAGCAGACAGGTATATCTGCTACAGCCAATATAGTCAAACCGTTTTCCATTGGCAACGTCATTGGGGTGGCTAATGGTAAAGACTATGAGCTGGAGTTCCGCATGTACTTCCCAAGTTGGTGACTTGAGTCGGGAGAAGTCGTTGACGAGTTTGTTCTTTGTCCATGTGATCTTTGAGCTTGATGTACCCATCAACTTCTTGATGGCTGTATCGTTTAACTGAATGTTGAGAGCTTCAAATGTTTTGGCTAGACTCCATTCTTGGCCAGAGGGTTTCTTTCGACCCTTTGACTTGATAACGGGAATGAGAGACATGCATTCAAATCCCGATATCTGCCTCGCAGCTTCAACAAGAACATGGAACGACATCTTGAGACGACCCAAGAAGCCGATTGCCTGGTGTAATTTTTCACCCTGTCGGCCGAGAGCCTGGAATGTCCCAGCAGAAAAGTTTCTATAGAGATCATGACTGAGAGTCACAAGGCTGTCATGTCGTTCTGAACTCAAGTCACCATCGCTGAAAAGTAACTCGGCCAATAGCTTCAAGTAGTCCTCAAAGTCAAGCAAAACTCCGACTATATCGGAAGGAATACTGCTTTTGCTAGACGACTTTGAAGAGGGACGCTGCGGAAGGAGGTGCTGGAAATTTTTTATGATTTGCCGCAAATTGACGATGGCATCCTCCAGTCTTGAGGATTGGTGACCAAGTAACAAATTCCAGAGTGCATCTGTGTGCTTCTCCGACTCAGCATCTGCCAATTTTCACATTAGCAGTAGTATCTGAATGCAGTGCCCGTAGATCAAACCTGAAGCAGAAGCAATAACCCTGAGCGATGTACATAAGTTATCTAGGAACCTAGACAATGCATCTCCCTCAGTGAATCCGGAATTTATCGCTACAAAGACCTTGACCTTATCAGGCCAGTAGAACATATAGCTAGCAACAACATGGCGACCGCCTTTCGCTGAAGAAACTGTTTCAGACAACCGGTCTAGGAACTTGCGGCGCAAATGGTCGGTGTCGAGGTTACCAAGTGCAACATTCTTCGAAGAGCTTCTGTCGTTAATGGACTCGTCCAGAGATGAATCATCTTCAAGTTCTTGGTATAAGGCTTTATCTTCGAATTGGCGACCACTCCGGAGGAAAAGTAGCTTGGCATATGCGTGCAGCTCTTTTAAGGTGGATTCCATTGAGATTCGTTCTTTATTGGTATCCATGTTGGTGATGACAGAAGAAGGAAGGTTATGATTGTAGAAATAGACAAGACATGATTGAGACTTTGTTTGAGGAGGGGTTCTCTTGTTAGGCTTGTTGGGCATCAAATTCTATGCATGTAACTCAGGTTTGACGAATCAATTGGAAATGCAACATGAGTGACATGCAGTATATTTTGCCACACAGCAGTGACATTTAATTCGTGTTATATATGTTGTACGTATCATTGTTGGGTCTCTGCTTTATGTTAAATAACTCAGTCCCTAAGAGTCTCTGTGGGATGCCTGTGCTAATGCTATTGTGTATGGTAACCACCATCGATAGTAACAAAGATACCGTGCATGAAATTGCTTCAGTCTCCCAGCAGCCATACTACTGCTTCTGCAACCTTCTCTGGGAGTCCTAACCGCTTGAGAGGTGTATAGTTATTGGACTTATCTCGGGCATTATTTCTCATCTCTCCCGATGCGTCTGTCAGAGGGGTTTTGATCCAGCCAGGAACAACTGCATTCTGCTTTACTTGGGGATGGTCCAGAGATAATGTTCGAGTCAGTCCCAGAACGCCGTGTTTTGTAGCGGTGTACGCACCCGAATGATAGAGACCTGATGCAGCAGCTAGTGACGCGATGTTGACGATAGAACCGCGTTGCAAGGGGGCATAGGTACTTTTAATTCTGTCAGCTGAGTCAAGTACACACTCGCGCTGGCGCGCGAGGGATACCACATACCCATTGTCCCAGGGTTCTTGAGTCTCCATCTGTCGAATCTGTTCACGGATACAGAAGAAGACACCAGTCAAATTGTTGCCGATAATCCTATACCAGTCTGGCGTCTCTGTATCACCAGCAGCCTTTTTGAAACCAATGCCAGCACAGTTGACAACATAATCAATTATGTCAAACGTCGTGACTGTTGCGTCAATCATTGACTTGACCGACTTCTTGTCTCGGACATCTGCATGGACCGCGACTGCCTTGAACTCTGGGTTTGTTGCAATCTTGGTGAGCTCGTCTGTGACTGCCACGGCCGCCATCTCGTCGAAGCCGGCCAATGTAATGCCGGCGCAACCCTCGCGTGCTAGGAGTAATGAGATGGATCGGCCAATACTGGAACCGGCGCCTGTCACCAGAGCGTATCCTGGTACACCGAGGGCAGATTTGAAGATTGGAGAAGTTGAAGACGACATGGCTTAACATAGTGAGCGGGTTGAGACTGTGGCAATTGTGTTGCACAACGTCTTCGTTATTTTGTCTTGTATGTATCACAAGTTGATTCCAGTGGACAGGTCGATCATACTGTCAAAGAATCTTATGCCGTGATGACCCCCACACATACTCTCATCGGAGACGACCTTTCCGACCACTTGAGAGTTTGTATTTGTGAGGCGCCCTTCACTACATAGGTGCTGGACTGCAGTATAAATCTCAAAGCGGTGTGGGACAAGGGAAGGAAAGTGATGGTCCCGAATCGTGATCTTCGTCATCCAGTCATATGTCACTATCAAATGGAAGATCCAAATTTTGAACTCTACATGCATGAGCGTGGAGAGAAACACGAGAAAATGCAAAAAGGGCTCATATCCACCTATCGGCTACTCATCACTGACAAATAACAAGCTTCGGTTTTGAAGTAACGTTGAGTAACTAACATTGTTTATGGCTCCGGTGGAAGCTAACTATAGTTAGAACTCCTTTAGCAAAGCAACGGAAACGATATCCACCGGAACGGTATCGGTATCAGGATCTAAAAATGGACGGAGAGTGATCCGCCGGTTAGAGTTTATGAGTCTGAAATGCTGGGCTATTTCATCTTAAGTGCAAATGGCGTACTGATAGCCGCTGTTTCCGCGACTTCCCGTTCTAGTCGCTTTGGCGTCGAAATGTTACCCTTAATTCAAGCTAAGCATTCATACTGGCACCTAATAACACCAGAAACTGTCTTAATAGTATTTGATTTACTTGTAAGGTGTTTTGATGTGACGTGTTTGTGAGAACAGTAGAGTACATTTAGACCAGGCACATATGGTTCTCCATATCTTGTGGTCTCCAAAATGACACCAAGATAAGCAATATTAATCCTATACAGGCCGAATCCTTCTCTGCGCCTGGTTCGCGATAACGGCTATCAGCCGTAGCTCAAACGGGATTCCCCAATCAGGACATTCCTCAAGAATCTCGGTTGATGTATTCCTAAAGTGTTCTCACAGTCTCTTTGTCTTCACAGACGGCGTTCCCCGTATCCTGCCCGTCGATTTCTTCGTCGGTCCAATCATCGGCCCCGGCCATTTCTTACTGCAACATAACCTCGTCCTAGGACTGGACACCATCCAGCCATCTTGCGGTAATACCTTTTGTGGAATGGACTCAGCCGCATGTTAATTTGGCTGAATCGTCTTTGGACACACTAGTCTATTTTAAGAGCCCCCCTCCGTTGGAACGAATTACTCAATCAAGTAAGAGGCACCGAGTATTATTGACTATGCAGTCTTTCAGCGTTTCCAGGTGCCGTCGATGTAATGCAAGAAGTAGGATAAATATCCTTCAACTACCTTCAGTATGTTTGTCTCTCATTCTCATCTCCCTCATCCACCAGCACACCTTGAACAAATTCTGGTATCATCAACTTACAATCCTCAACAATATGGCTGCAAACACCAATCAAATTACGGTCACTCTGCGCCAAGTTGCCAAGATGATCGACCATTCTCTACTTCACCCTACAATGACGGATGCCGATATCCTCAATGGTCTCGCTATTTCCAAGAAATACAGCGTCGCTACCGCCTGCGTAAAGCCCTATCTGATCCCGCTCGCCAAACAGGAACTTGCAGGTTCGGATGTCCTGGTCTGCCCTGTCATTGGCTTCCCTCATGGAAACAGCACGACTGCGGTAAAGGTATTCGAGGCTGACGCGGCTGCCGCTGCGGGCGGCAAGGAGATTGACATGGTCATCAACATCGGAAAAGCGATGAGTGGTGACTGGGATTACGTGGCGGACGAAATTCGCCAAATCAATGACGCCGTGCTGAAGCAAGGTGCAATCTTGAAAGTCATTTTCGAGAACGATTACCTTACGGACGATCATATCGTTCAGCTCTGCAAAATCTGCTCCGACATTGGAGTGGGATTTGTCAAGACGTCTACCGGCTATGGCTTCGTGAAGCAGCCCAATGGACTATACTCTTACAAGGGTGCGACAGTACCTCATTTGAAGCTCATGCGGGCAGAATCAAAGCCGGAGGTACAAGTCAAGGCTGCTGGAGGCGTCCGAACGTTGGATGATTTGCTGCACGTCATGTCACTGGGCGTAACTCGCATTGGCGCTACCGCCACAGTTGCGATTATGGAAGAGGCAGCGAAGCGAGGCATCACAGACCAACCCACAACTGTGCAGTTCAAGCCCATCGAGGAGGATGTAGCCGGTGGCTATTAGAGTCTGTTGTTCACGGTCATTGTAGTTGAAAATATATACATGGATGATCTTGTACTGAATCTGAGCCAAACACCTAAGCCAGGCCAATGGGCAAGGCCACGCAGCGTGTGATGCCTTAGGATCCAGAAATCATGATCAGTGACATAGTTATCTATTGTTAGCAAATGCGGCGCCGTAATCGGTGGAGCTTCTAGTCACGTGCGAGGCTGCTTGGTTGAACAAAACAGCTCCGATTTCCCCTCTTTAGATAGTGAAATTCAAGGCTCATTAGATCCTCTTTGGTATGCTCTATTTTGAGAAAATAGCTGCTGACAACATCTATCGATCAAAAATATGTCATTTGTTTGAGATCAATCGCTATATGATTGGCTTTAGATGCATAAACTCACACAGCTAGACTAATCTCGGAGCCAGCCTGAATACTACATGGGCCAAGACTAGTCCCGATAAAGAAATAGATTCCGACGTTCAAATATGACTTCTAAGTTCCAAGCACAGTATGTTTCCTCCCAATCATCTTAGGATTTGTTTATGCCATACGACCCGCCGTTGACCGTTCTTGCTTCAGAGGCTTATTATTAGGTATGCAATCGAGCTCTCAGAGAGTCTCTACTGCTTGCGAAAGGTGCCGCAAGCAAAAGCTCAAGGTTAGTTACCTTTGAAAAGACTTGCAAATCACATACCAACAGTTATTTAGTGCGATGTCCAACGACCTTGCACGCTCTGTATCCGCGCCGAGGTTGAATGCATTACTTCTCAGACCCAGAAATGGAGATTCCATCAACCCACACAAAAAGAAACCCCTACCAGAAGTCGGGAACCAGTACCTAAGCGCCGTCGCCTCCCTACTCCGAGAAACCAATCATCCACCTCGACGCCCCTGTCTAGTTCCAGACCAGTAGGTCGCTCAAGCTTTGAATTTCCCGATCCCAGCCTAAATCGCGGGCACAATGACTCTACTGGACACACGCACTGGAACGCTAGCTCTATTATCAGTCTCATAGAAGAGGTAAGATTGAGTCTGCTCCTCCACTATGTCAATGTTTTCACTGATGCAGCTTTCAAGGCATTTCAACGTCATGAAGTTCCATCCCCCGAGGACACAGAGACTTCTGCATTACTAGCAAGGAATGTCCATAGTCGACAAATTGCGAGGCAACCAGGCAGTTCTGTTGTTCATTGGTTTACCTTTCTCTTCCACCAGCAAACCTTTAGGCACAAATTCCAGAGTTTATACAACTCCGGGCCAGAGCAGCATTACGCAACAAACAGCCATTGTGGCTATATCGCTGTATTCTTAGCTGTTATTGCGACGAGTCTGCACTACACCAATGTTGAACAAAAACAGAAGCTTAGGTCCAACGGCATTGATACCGAATTGCTAAAAGACAAGATATTGCTAGCTCTCAAGTTGAGATTCCTAGATATCATTTCAGCAGGCTCCCTGGAAGTGGTTCAGATGTGTATCTTACTCGGAAGCTACTACATCTATCACGGACAGCCAGAACTAGCATGGCCACTATGCGGCAGTGGCTTACGCATCGCACAAGCACTTAATCTTCACCGAGAAACACCGCACAAAGAGGATGACGCATCATTCCGACAAATTATCGGAGATCGTAAACGTGCCTGGTGGGCCATCTACGAAATCGAGACATTTTGTTCCATGCTTTACGGCTTCCCTACAAACATATTCGACGGTGATTGCGATGTCGCATTTCTAGACCCTTACGACGAATGCTCCGGATCAGTATCGAAAGGACAGCACGTGTCGAAACCAAATCTTCTGTTTTTCAAATGCGCCATGTCAGAATTGTCAGCCATCATCAAGGGTACCGTGGATAACTTATATCGACCTCGCTCTGGCCAAGTTCAGAAAAACACCGACTACGGGTCTCGACTTAGAAACCTCGTCGATGAAGTTGAATCTCTTAATCAAAAGCTTGTAAACTGCAACGAACGACTTGACACGAAATTGAGATTCGACGATCCGGCTGTTGGTTCTGCTGTGGGTAATCATTCCATTCACAGCTTGGGAACATCTGAAACTGCCTTTGAAGAACGTCTGTTTAGGTTACAAGCTCTTTCCCTTAAGCTTGCATACGAGAATGCAAGAATCTTGATTCACAGACCCTTGCTTTCATTCAAGTTGCTTCAAAGATCTACTGCTGATGGAAATGACCCACAATCCCGTACCGATCCCTTTCAAGAAGCCATGCGTATATGTCGTGATGCTGCATTGAAGATATCAAAGGCCGATCTGAAAATTTTCCAAGAAGCTTCTGAGACATATGCGGTTTCTTTCATTGCTCTACATCTACTAACCGCAGGTGTAGCATAATGCATCTCAATAACTTCGAACCCTCTAAGCAAAGAAGCTTATGAATCTAGGATGGGAATTAGACGCCTTATGCAGATACAGAGTCTACTCAGAGAAAAGTCAATCATTGCCGCACAAGGTCTGGAAATAACAAAAAGGCTGATGTCTCTTGTAATGGCTAAGGAGGTTGATGCCATGTTTGAATTCGATTCTTCAACAGAAGCAGTCGATAGCCAACTACCAGGTAGCTTTGCAGCCACTCCTCATGGCGACAATGTCAACAGACAGCCTATACAACTCGTCGGAGACATGGCTTCATCACAGTTCTCTGAGTGCCCGCAATCCGCCACCAACGAGACTATCTTTTCACTTGGAACTTCTACCATCGAGCACGATAATGAAGCCGACTGTCATTTGCAAGACTTTTGCGAGAATAAGTTTCTAGCTGAAGCAATGCTAGAATATGAACAGGGTTTGTGAAGCCAGATTAACACGAAAGAACGAGACTGACCATGAGATGAAGCTGTTAGAATCCCCACAAATGCATATTCAAGCAACATATCGGCCTCAACTTCGAACCAAAACGACCCGTTCCTTGGGATCTCGTTCCCTTCACAAGAGCAAGGCTGGATATGGGGATGGAATTTCCCGGAATCGAAATAGGCAGCATATGGGAGTAAGTTGCAAATCCGCTGCGACACCAGACCTTGATTGAATAGTCAGAGCAAGGGAACAAAGAAGTTATATTGGTTCAAGAATCCCTGAGTCCATCCGCCAACAGAGGCATAGTGTATGATAAATAGAATAGAAGGTCATGTCACGGGATTATGTGTTATATTTGAATTGTCGGGCCTATTTCTAACGGCAAGACCCGCTTGAGTAAGCTTATCTGGTATATTAGACATGTTGTTTCCGACTTGTGTGTGATTTGTGATGTTTTGGTTATCCAGTAATTTTCGCATTCTCATACTCTGATATGCAGGCCTTTCACCATGTGTAACACATGACGCCCGGTTAATTATTGACACATGAGGATGTTGAGAGAAATGAAATGATTGGAGCTCAACGGGAGAACGGCAGACAAGAGGATGCAGGGGAGATATTATCACGTGCCCAATCACACGATAGCCTCCACGCTCGACATGTACAGAGTAGATACATATGAGCCACTACTATATGTCAGCTTCGTCACAGTAGGTGCTTAGGTATCATAGACGTTACTTGCTAATTAATCAATCTTTTCAATATCCCTGTCAGGGCCTTGAAACTGACTACTACTATGATTAGTAGCATTAAAGTGCTAAGTGAAACTATCCAATTGTCGACAGCTGTCTAGTTGTATGAGACCTATGACAAAAGAACTTCCATGTTTATCCATGTGTGTCATTTTGACAGATGAATCTGAAACTACGAGGGAGCGGGTTAAGATCAAATCGTGTTGAAACCTGATTGGATGTCTTGTTGGTAGATCTCAGACATTGTTACACAATCACAGATTGTTTTTACACATTCCGCTACCTTGAATAGTAAACATGGGGGCGGAGCAAGGCGCCTTCCTTAGCGTTGGTTGCCTTTCCGTCATGTAATTTCCGTTATAGGCTGTATGTAGTCTGTCTTTTGTTGAGAGGCAGATTCAGCCACTTTTCCCTAGCTGCTGACCATTTATTTATTTCTCCTCACTCTCTCACCCTGCCTTTCTTTCTTTCTTTCTCCTGCTTTTCCTCCTTCGTCTAATAGTCTTTCCATTCCATTCAAAATCACATCAAGAATACACCAGACTTTACTGCATACTTCTTACATCATATTCATTCCTTGTTCTCTATAGTACAAGTTCTTAGACATCGAAACACATTATAACAACCTATCCCCGGGGTCATTTTTATTTATACATCTTAACACTTAAGCTTTTGCCCAGTCCTTCTCAGTTTTATCCAAGTTGTTAACAAAAGTTAATCTATCCACACAGATCAAACTTTCAATAAATTATTAAATCAACAAGCTATACAAACAGCAGCAACTTCTTCCTCTTGCAACCTTACTCGACTGGTAAGTATATCAAAGACATAGTCAGTAAATCGCGGTCTCTTGCTGCATATAGTTAACCACTTTCACAGGCTTCATGCAACACAATGCCGGCTGGAATTACAATCGCCAATGACGACTCTTCGGATAAGCTGCACTCCGACGCTTTCAAGGCAGTTATTAAGTACTGCAAGAGTGGAGAGAAACCTGGGAAGCTACGGACGGAGGCTATCGATCCTCTGGGTCATCCATCTTTAACCCGCGACCGTCTCTCTGGCACTGCCCCCTCCGACAGGGATAGTGACTATGCCTTCGACAGTGATATTGACCATGACTTCGACATGGATAGAGACTATCACATTAGAAGGGATAATGACCATCCTTACGTTCCCGAGAATCTAAGACGCTGGATTAATGAAGAAATAGAAGACACAACATTCAGATCAGAAGAATCACTGTATGGGTTCCCCGCATGGTCCCCCTTGTCTCGCTTTAACCGCGTGCCCCAAGTCTCTCGTGCTGTCAAGTCTATTGGAGACTGGCAAGAACTCAACTGGACGACATGCCATAGTATTCACCCAATATCAAGATTCTCGGATAGTTCTTTCGTGTCTAAACCATACAAGCCATGCGTTGTAGCACAATGTTGCTTGGTTCAGGGACATAAATCACGTCATAGGATATGGAGAATAATGTGTGCCTCGCCTGAATGTACCCTGTTTACAGGTCATTCATCGCCGCATTCATCTTTACAGCGTTGCGACGTTGGTGGTTGCACTTTATCCGCAGGGCATTCTTGTGACCACATCATACCCAAGCCAACAATGCGGGAAATCTACGAGCTCGCAACTGATCACGCTTTGGCCGCAACGACGGCGATATCGAAGTTGAATCGCAAGGTTCTCGGGGCTATGTCTCATCAAAACAACTCACGACTAAATGAAACCCTGCTAGGCCAGTTTGTGGCATCGTTAGGTGCCGATATAAATGCAGAGCTCGTGTCAAGGGTGACATTTCAATACCAGGAACAATCTGAGCGACTACATAGGGAAGCTGCGGAAGCCCTGGCTGCCAATACGCTATTCGCACTTAAGGTGGAATCGACCAAGAAAGAATTAGTTGATCAAAGGGCAAAGAGAAGGCGAGCAACATCGGAGACAGAGAAGCCCTTAGTAATTCATCGTGACTTGGCAGACCCGTCTCGGTTGGGACTTCCAAATCCAACTGGACACGCAGCATCAAATGACGGTAAAATCAAAGGACCCTCAGTTTATATGGATTTGGACTTTTCGAATCTCGAGATGCGCCTTTTTGAGCTTTATCCATCTCATGGATCGGACAACATCCGAGGGGCTTTTCGTTGTGCTAATGTGTCGTCCTGTCCGGACTACACAGCCCTTTCGTACACTTGGGGAGACGACACAAAGCTTCGACAAATTTACTTTCAGAATGGGACGGAACTCGGCATCCGAGAGAATCTGTGGCTTTTCCTCCGCGATCAAAGTATGCTGATCAGTCAACCAAAACTGTTCTGGATCGATGCCATATGTATCAACCAAAGCAATATCCACGAGCGAAACCATCAGGTTAACCTGATGAGACAGATATATGCCCGAGCTGGACATGTTAACATCTGGCTCGGACAAGAGGATGACGATAGTGACATAGCAATGGATTTCCTTGCTTGTCGCGCGAAACAGAAACTAAAATGCCGAGGTTTGGGATATCGCAGTCCATGGTCCAGACAAGAAGGAAGGGCGCTGATGCATCTCTGTAATCGACCCTATTGGCGAAGAATGTGGATCATTCAAGAGATTATCTATGCCAAAGACATCACCATCTGGTGTGGCAGTAAGAGCTGCGAGTGGAGTGCTGCCGAAAGTCTCTATCTGAAGATGAAGTCTTTAGAGGATGAGAACTGGCAGACGCATCATGAATATGTTGTTCAGGTGTTACAGAGCTCTGCAGCTGTGATGATATGGCAGCGTGCCCATTGGCGACATCCCGATACCACAGCACCCTCATTACTGACTTTGATCAACATATTTCAGGATTGGCAGTGTACTGATATTCGAGATAAAGTTTACTCCTTGGTCGAGATGGCTAGCAAAGATACAGCCGTCACTCCTGATTACTCACTTTCAGCTCATCAACTCTATCACGATGTGATCGACAAGAGCAACGGCCCAAGATCGTGTGGTGTTCTTTCTCAAATTCTAGGTATTCCTGCCGACGACTTGAACATAGATAAGCCAGATTTGTAAGATACTAGTTGTTTTGACCGAAATTGACTAACGCAGCGTTAGGATTGAGTACCGAAGACATGCTTCTGACAAGTTGGTATTAAAAGCAAGGACACAATCAGATTGGAATTCTGGAAACATGTGCTAGTTTTGAGACTACAAAAAGACATCCTTGAAAGAAAAGTACAAGAATGTGTCCTTCTAGATACATTTTATGTAGTTTCATTTTTATTATCTTTCTATAATGAAGAGTGTTAGTTATTAAGCCCTAATCCAGCCCTGCACACTTTGAACGAAAGCTGCAACCTGTTCTTTAGTTGTAGCCCAAGACGTGACCAGACGTACCACAGCCTTATCATTAGCAACCTGTTCCCATACATAGAATTGAAACTCTGCCAGGAGTTTTGCAATCAAGGCATTAGATCATGACAAATACCTGATTAGTTTCTGTTTCACAGTCTAGGATGTGTCCTGCCTCAACAAGACCAGAGGACAGCAGATGAAATACGCTCCTTGACGATTGAATGGTATGAGAGAAGTCTTTGAATGAACCTTAAGGTGTAAAGTCACCTGAGATGGACACAAACTGACAAAAACATAGGTATATACAACTCTAGGTCAAACACTAGAATATAGGAGATCTATTTACAAAACGAATGTGGATGTTGTATTGAACAGCTCTTAAAGACCTGAGTTTACATAATCGTTCTCAGGCGTAATGCAGAAGTTCACAGGGGCTGCTATAGACCCTAGTCCACTCCCAGGACTGAGATATGGCCGTTTGCTTTCGTCACAAAAGTCCAGCCACTTGTCCTTGATAATGCCGTCACTCCCAATTTCTGCCGACGAGCCCGACATTCTTCCGTCCTGGTTCCAGATGCAGTAGACTCGATCGTAGGCCTCTTCGACGCGGAAAATATTGGACGAATCGCTCCGTTGGGTTGGGATCAATTGTAGCCCTTGCGCTTGAATCTTGTCACCAACAGTGTTGACCGAGCCGTCGCTCCGTAGGCTCAGATAAAAGTAAACAACCACACTTGGTTTATGAAAGTTGCAGAAGAAGACGTAGAGGCGGTAGCTCTTGCTGCCTTTGTCGTATGTTACGACCGTATGTGTAGAATGCGGTGTTTCGATATCAAATAAGGTATTGTGCATCTCCGGAAATTGGACCTGAGTGCTCTGCCACTGACATTTGTCCCCTCGTGCCCACTCGGTAAAATAGTTGAGTGACAGGCTATCGATAAACCATGCATTCTTACATGCAAAGATGGCATAAATATAGGAGATGCTAGGAAAAGTAGCTCCGGGGTTGACCAGCAGAAGTTCATGAGAGTTAAACCCCACCCATGTGTCTGACTCAATCATGACCGGTTTCCACTCCTTTGAATTTGGCGCCTGGACATAAATTGTCTTGCCGCCATTGTGACCTTCCAAGATCTGTGGTTGGACTAGAGCGTGCTCTCTAACGCTGACAGTGTTTGCTCGGTAGTTGGATCGAACAACGACTTCGGGCTCCCTAACAACCTCACTGGAAGATACCACGTGCAGATGCGTGGTAATCTTGACATGCAGCCGCGAAATTATAGGTATTGGCAAGTTTGAAAATTCGGGCATAATCGTTCGGAACGACATCCACAATTCCTTCTTGGGGGACGTAACAAAGCAATAGTCTAACAAGGAGTCGCGGGCGCGTATAGGTAATTTCATGAGGAGAGGGCCCTTTGGGATGAGTTTGCCTGTAGATTTGGGTGCTCTTGGATCAGGGACCCAAACAATAACATCGTAAATCGTGTGTTCGCTAGCATCCCGGCGTTGGGAAAGAGTCAAGAGCTTTCGTTGATCACTTGTCATGTTCACGAGCTGTGGTGTTGACGAAGATGCAGGTTGAATAACAAAGTTGGCAAGGGAATGGTAGCTATTAAAATAGATTTCTGCTTTACCTGTCAGAAAAGGTGGCGGCAATTGGATTATTCAAGTGTACTGTATATACAGCCGGGCCAGGTGTTAGCGCCTGACTCATTATGCTTGTAAGACAAGGTGTGAGACATGCCAGAATTCGACTTGTTCTGGACTCAACTTGTGTGGAGGTCTTTGTCTTGGCATTTACAATTAATAATATGAAGCAATAGTCTTATGCATGTCTGGCAATAGTCTTATGCAAATTTAGCAATAAATCACATTAGCCGCTTCGGCCTGAGACATACATTCTAATAATCTACGGTCCAGACTTATGTCGAAAAAATGGGGCTTGGTGGTTTTAGAATATCAGATCATGGAACTTGCAGATTGTAACCTCAGCTCCCACCAATTCTCTGTCACAAGGCATGTATCTATACAAAGCATATAATCATTATTGGAGCAATGGACCCACAGATAACTGCAGTGAGCCCAACCACTTCCAACACGATGGCCTGGATATAGACTGACGACAGTCTAGGCCTGGACTGAGATCTCGGCCAGGTCTCACCTTCCCCAGCAGGCAGAGACTGCAGCTGAGCTCAGCTGGCTCCGAAGACGCCACCGAGTCGTCAGTTAGGTTTGTCCTTCCTCAGTTTTAGACTATCTAGCCACTGACTGTAATGTAGTGAGTGCTTATTTTAGGAGTTCAACTACCATTCCTGCAGATCTCATCGGTTCAACTTCACTTCCATCCAAGTTTCAAGTTCCATAATTTCATTTTTACCGGAACAAGTCATGTCCCCTTCAACTGTAGCGCTAGGTCGCCCGATTGGCAAGTTTGATACTGATGTCAACGGCCTTGCTCGATACAGTCTCCCAATCGACCTCCCTAAGGGCAGAGGACATGGAAACGAGCCAGTACTATCTTTCGAATACTCTCAAGGTGCTCCAAATGGAGTTCTTGGCGTTGGTTGGGCGATTAGCGGTACATCTTCAATTCGCCTTGGGCCAGCCGCCCTCGCCTTTGATGGGTTGAATGATGCCCCGGCAGGATTCGATCCGTTCGTGCCCAGATTGGCACTGGATGGAAACGTCCTACTCAATATCCAAGGAGATTATCTGTCATCAGAAGCTGTTTACAGAACTGAAATTGACAGTATGGAACAAACGGTCAAAGTACTTGGCGATGGATTCGTTCTCAAAGATTCCACTGGCCAAACAACTGAGTACGGGACTACATCAGACAGCCGAAGTTTGGACAGCCATGGCTCTCCAATCGAGTGGCGCGTCAAAAAACGGATCGATCCCTTCGGCAATTGTGTGACTTTCCACTATGAACAAGCACTGGAATCTTCTGCTTCTGAGCTCCAAACAAAAAGCGCATGGTATATCTCAGCCATTGCATACACTTCAAACATTAAGACGGGTCTTGAAGCGAGGCATCTTGTGACTTTCGAGTACATGGCGCGAGATGACCCAGTTGTTCAGAGTGTTTATGGTGATAGAATTGTTTGGTCAAGGATTCTCAAGGCAGTTCATATTGGACTTGCTCAAAATCCAACCAAGAATCGCATTCGTTCTTACCAAGTCGATTACGTCAAATCTCCAACTACGGCCTCTTATATCTCTACACTGATTGAAGTTGGGTACCAAGGTGGTCAAGAGTATCGACTAGACCCAACCACATTCGAGTACAAGAGCTTTCATGAGCCAGCTGATCAGTTTCATACAACTGATAGCCCTATTCTATCCTTGTTAGAATCGTCTAATACAGTCATGGCGATGAATCTAAACGTCAGTGGCCGTGGAATGGCGGACCTGGCCTGTTTCTCGTACAATACTGCGGCACGGCAGTTCTCCATCAAGACCTTTCTGGCAGAGAGGACTGGCGAAGTCATTGGTAATGGTCCTGCGATCACCTGGCAAGCCTCACAAGGCGAAGGTTCTGATGCACAGCTGCCCTTTATTGACCCCAACTGCATCGCCAAGGCCTTTGGTGCTGACCTCAATGGTGATGGGCGTGTCGACCTGATCCTACCCTTCGAAGGCGCAAACGGTACAGTTCATCTGTCACTGTCCGAATCGATCGGCACTGGCTTTAAACACTATCAGGTTCTAGAGACCAACTTGCCTTGGAATGACAACAACAGTTTCAAGGCTGTAGACCTGACTGGCCGAGGGACGAGTGAGATCGTTCAGATTTTTTCCGATGGAGAAAAGTTGGCTCTTCGTACATACCCATCCTTTCAGAATAACGGCGAAAGTTTCCTTCTGGCGGGACAGATCCTGCATACGGACGATAATTTCGCTGGTACTATTGACTGGCTCGACATGGTGACACAAGAGAACGGAGCGAGGAGTCTGCTCCGTATCTGGCGAGAAACCGTTCGTGGTGGACTCAACCAACTAAAAGCAACGAGATACATCCTGAAGGATGCCAATGACCCGGCCAGTGGATTCGTTGAAGCTTCGACGTCCATGCTTGGACTGCCTGTGCCAGAAGACAACGCAGAGATCTCAGTTATCGCATGTGACATCAACTCTGATGGTGTAGAAGACATTATCACTTGCGTTGTTGAAAAGCCTGGAAACGAGATCTTGTTCAAATTCAATACTTTCCTTGGTGATGGACTTGGCTCCTTTTCGTCCCTTGGACACACTTTTGAGAAAGAGTTTAAGCTCAAAGAGCCCCTTAAGGATGGCTCATTTCATTTGGCAAATTTTCTTGGCTCGCAGACACCAGATCTTGCCTATGTTGGTTGTGAAACATCTTCTGGGGACGTAGTAGCATTTATCGCTGAAGGCTCACATAGTGGCCTTGTACGAGACATGCTGTTCGTTCGCATTGCCTCCAATGTTCCCTTCTCTAATGTTCGAGTGTCGGCATCGGACCTCAATGGGTCTGGGGTGAGCGATTTCCTCATACAGGCGGTTGAGGGTGGAACTCTCAAGGTTATAAACGCCTACAACGTAAATGACCCTTCAGACTTTATGGCCTCTACCACTTCACCTCTTGGAATGAAGACGGATATAACTTATGCATCGTTATCGGACCCAGCAGTATACGAACCAGACACGAAATGGGATGAATTTAGGTACTCTGAACAAGCTTCACAGCCCGTCCTCGGAGCATCAAACTTGGTCGTCTCGAAAATCACGCACATCAATGACGCCAAGATAAATGCGATTCCTTTCGGTGCATCACTGACGAAAATGTACAAGGGTGCGAGGATCAACCGCCTAGGACGTGGATGGCAGGGCTTTTCCAACATTGTCACGACAAACTTTTTTGAGAAGGCGGAACCGGTGATTGTCGATGAAGAGTTCCAACAAACCTTCCCTTTAACAGGTTTAAAAACCAAAATCGACACAATGACCTCCTCAGGCCCCGTACTTAAATCTGAGAAGACTGACTATGGACAATCCCACGTCCAATTGGGTCAGTGGAAAATCTTCCGCGTGGATCGCCTCAAAGCGCAGTCAGATATGCTTGATCAAGGATCAGTCGTAAGAACGACTGGTAGAGAAATTATCCCTGATTCGCATGGCAATACTCTGCAAAAACGAGACTTTGAAGTCCAGAACGGAAGACTGGTACATGAGTCTTGGGAACGGTCTACGTATACGAAGATCAATGGTATGGCTGGTTTACAGACATCCAGAAAATGGACTTCGAAGAGAGGCAATGTTGATCAGTCAAAATTCGAGGACGGAGACTTTTCCTTTTCGCTTTTCGATTATGATTCCACAACAGGAAATCTCGTAACAACCCGGGAGTGGTCCTCTGACGTTAGCACATTCGCAACTATCAGTATCGAGTTTGATGGTTATGGCAACGAAATCTCGAAACTTGACGCATCTGGACTGAAAACAACCACTGTATATGACGCTAAGCATCAGACCTTCCCCATCCGCGTAGCATACGAAGGAACTGGCGTTTCTCATTCCATGCTTTCCGTTTACGACGAAATCTCGGGACTGCAGATTGCACAGCGTGCTACAAACGGCCTCTTGACGTGTCGAGCTTATGACGCTTTTGGCCGTTCCGTACAGTCAAAGGTGGGGAGTGTAGATTCAGCAGGAACCCAACAGTCGGCCTTGGAATTCCTTGGGTCGACTTCTTTCATCTGCCATGAAGACATTATAACACACTTGGAAAGAGTACATCTAGACCCCCACACAAGCCTCAGTTTTGACAGAGTTGTTGCCAAGTCGGGCTTGCCATACCTCTGCGCTGTCTCGCTCGTGGAAGCCAGTGATGGAACTTCGGGGCGTACAGAGATTTTAGAGGCCACCAACTGCACCAATACCGTGTGCCGGAGGAGCAGCAAACATGGTGAGATGCAAAAATCATGGAAGTATTGGAACTATAACTTCCAAGGACTTTTGACACTTGAGAGCTTTCCCATGTATCTACCTCCTACGGTAGGTACGGACGAGGAGCTGGATTTCGTTCCCAACGCGTCGTTGTGTACCAGAATTACTTACAACGGTATCAATATGCCGATCGAGATGGTTCGACCTAGTCATACTGGGACAGATCATTTCGTTGTCACCAAGCTTGAATACTTCATCGGTGGAGCAGTCATATGCGAGAAGAACTTTCGTCGTGAAGGGATAGAAGACAAGCTTTTGTCAACTACATCCAAAAGCATGTCTCTGATCGCTGGTGAAGAACGTGTCACCAACATGGTAGATGAGAATGGCCTCAAGTCAACTTTTGTCTTCGACGCCGCTGCTCAGCTCATTACATGTCGCAATGCGGGGAACAAGACAGAAACGAGGAGCTACAACTCACGTGGTCAGATCGTGAGCCTCAACAACGTCCACCAGAACATGCATGCAGATTCCAGCTCTGTTGCAATCCGCCGTTTTTACAACGTTAGTGGATGTCTCCTGGCAGAGACGAACGCACTTGGAGAGACTATCGAATATGAGTATGATTGCATGCAGAGACCGCTTCGAAAAGTCGGAAAAGATGGACGGGCTATCAAGTACGAATATGATGCGAATGGCCTCGAGTCTTTGTCATCTGTCACCATGTATGCATCTCCTTCTGATCCCACGTTTGAGACCAAGACCACGTACGAGTATGATATTAGAGGTCGAGGTTGTACGAAGGTGATATCATTTGCGGATGGAAGTTCCTATGCCACCTCAGTTGAGCTTGACTGGCAGGATAAGGTTATCAAGTCTACCTTACCCGACGGAGCCACAGTGAACAAACGATGGCAGGGCGGACTCCTCTGTACGAACCATCTCGTCAGCCCATCCTCGCAGAAGTGGGATCTAAAGGCCGACGTCACCAGCTACAGCGCGTTCGACAAACCTCAAGGCTACCATATCACGGGAACTAGCTTCACCCGAGACTTTATCCATGAGCACAAGTTTGATGAACTAGGTTTCCCAATGAGTCATAGTTTGACAGCTGGTGTCCCATTGGTACAGAACCATTATCTGTATGGCGACCTCAACCAACTACAACGTGTTCATGAATTCGGCTCTGGGCAAACTACTGATTACTTGTATGCTGGCAAGCGCCTGATGTCATCAGAGGCTAGCAATAACGGCCGCATGACATCATACACCTACGATGACTCCGGAAACATGATTTCTAGAGGTGCGACCAAGATAGAACATGGTCTTGCCAGTACCAGTGGGATTACTGACCAAAAGCTTACTTTTGAGGTTGGATATGATGGGGCTGGCCGAATGGTTAGCCGTCAGACGCCGGGGTCGAACTTGTCCGTTGCTTACGACAGCTTTGGAAATATGTCGATGGTGACTGACGTTGCAATTGAGCAAACAACCAAGTTCTTGTGTGATGACCAAGGCCATACTCTTCAACGCACGCGGTCTGATGGTAGCCACGAGATATTCATCTCCAGAGGATACACTATCATCGTCAAAGCCAATGGACAGCGATCCATCCGCTATTCTCTCTCTGACAAGGACGATCTTCTTGCTACTATAACGAAGGATCAGAAGTCAGAATCAGTTCCTGTACCAGGGTCTCCGAGTGTCTCAGTGTATTATACCGACACAAAGAAGAACGTGACACACGTGTTCAATGCCGACGACCGAAACTTGGGCACCACTGCCACTGCCAAGCTTCGTTATGATGACTATGGCCTCTTCTTACCAGATCAAGAGAAGCCTGAACAAGAGACTCACTTGAACACGTACGAAGGAAGGCCTATGGAAGGCATTTCGGGTCTTCTTGACTTTGGCTCTCGGTGGTACGACCCCCTTGTTGGACGCTTCACTACGCCAGATGATATCACCGACCCGTCGTTGCTTGTTGCACAAGATGGCCTCAATAGACACGCGTTTGAGAACAACGACCCAGTCAACCATGTCGATCCCTCGGGGCACTGGAGCCTCAATGCCACCTTGGGCGTCCTAGCGGGCGTTGCTCTTATTGGTCTCGGGTTTGCCGTTGTTGCTTTCACAGGCGGAGCGGCAGCACCTCTAGTAGCCGTAATTGCCAAAGCAGCACTGGTGGCTGGGGGCATCGCGGGAATCTCGTACTCGTTTGAAAACAGTAACGAGATGGATAAGGGTAAATTTTGGAAGGGCTGGGGAATGACCGTGGCTGTCAACGCGGCGGTTGGTGCCGTAACATGTGGCATTGGTGAGTTCGTTGGTGCTGTTTCCGGATACTCGGCCTCAATGCAGCGTCTAGCCACGTCGACGAGATGGGCCATCGACAGCTACAAATACAAGTGGTCTCTAGTCGCCGTCAGGGTACTCGGTAACGCCTTGATGAGCGGTGTTAGCTCCGTGTTGACGAAAGCGGCGGGGCGGGCAATTGGTAATGAGTTTCTGGGTCAGAAGAACGATGTCTGGGGTCATGTGAAAAGTGATTTTTGGAAGGGATTCGCCACTGGCTTTATACTCGGTGCGGGAAATGAGGTAATGGGTAAATACGGCGACCGTGTGAGTGAAGTAGCAAAGGCCGATTGGCAGAGGTTTAAGGACCCTAGCTTCTCCAATGTTTACAGCAAGCCGGGAGTTTGGGACGATATATTCGCAAACTCAACTAAGACCTTTAGCAGTGGCGGTGGTGGGGGAGTCCCATGGACACAAATTACTTACAAGAACCCCTTTACTCAATAAGGGTAGGCGTTAACAAGAATTTACAACAGTTGAATTAATCTTTAAAATCAGCAATAGCACCTCGGTAGATAACAACTTCAGTAACGTGACTCTATTCAATTGTACGTAAATGTGCCGATCGACTGGCTTCTGGAATGAACCATGAAGGCTCTGAAACTAACTTCGCGCCCAGCATTACTTAGTCAAGGCGGCAGTAGTGGTAATAAAACTACAATCTCCACTGGTATCGAAACCACGTGTGCTACATGCTACAGAAAAGGCAAGGCGTCTGCTTTACTCATCGTGGATGGCAGCTTTAATACTAGCACCATCTTGGATCCAGTCGAAGATGCTGTGACAGACACATTTGACTAACTTAAAGAATGGACTGAAGGATTCCGCTTTGATGTCGATACATTTCAATTGGACGTCCCGCCCTTTGATATCGATGTAGACATCGAATTGCCCGACTTCTTCGAAGCCATACTTAAGTTCCAGTTTGACCGTGTCGAACTTGACGTGGAACTCGAAGCAACTTTTACAGGAGGAATGACATACCGAATAAATCTCCTCAAGACAAGAGGCATGCATATCAAAATCGTTGGATATATCTTCATGGGTCTAATCTTTCCCTCAACCTCGTACTTAGTAGAGGCTGAGCTGACCATCAAGAGCGGCTTCCACGTCAAGTTGGATGATGGTATCCTTCTCAAGATGGTGCCCTTTGCTGAAGATGTATCCGACATGGTCTTCAACGTTGGCGGGTCTTCATGGGGCCCAACAGCATCGACGGAGATCCCTATCTTTACTGCCAGCGTCACTGCAGTCTGCGCATTTAGCCCTACTCCGGCGGCAACACTATGGCTATTGACGGTCGTGCGCTCCAGAACGATGATGATGATCTTGAGACTACAACTCTTACCAGGCAGAAAATTTTACGCAATATAGCATGTTTGACTGCAGGACTGCTCGACTGCCCTGCGTCACTGCAGACTGCATTGAAAACATTTATCACAGAATCTCTGGTCACAGTCTTATCTTCAGGCGAGGACGCAATTTGGCCGATGATGACTGGCTCTGTCACCTGTAGTCCTATCGAATTCGGGGATAATGTTAAGGAGATGGTGACAGCCAATGGTAAACCAATAACCTATACTGGAGGCGGCGACAACGACAATGATGACGATTCAGTCTTTCATCAAAAGTCTGGGGGCGTATCAAACGCCATTATCGTTGGCGTTAGCTCCGATTGAGTATTACTATCCTTGTTGCCTTGATCTCGGGCATCTTGTAAGTGCCCTTATGACCCTGCCCTTATCTTGGTCCATATATACTGACTTTTAATGAAGCTTTTTACGCCGGCGTCGCGGCAAGGTTGCCACACCAATCCCTGTCTTCAAGACTCCTATAACTCGTATAACTATTGTACCCGATGTCAACCAATTGCCTCTAGTGAACCACTAGCAATAGGTGTCATGTATTGAAGACACACGTCATGAGAACTAGTTGTCTCTTGTCGAAGGAAAGTGCACAGTTGTTTTATAGCTACCTAGCAAGGATAGATTTCCATTCATGAACTACAATCGGACAAGTTCTGTTCAATAAGCTCTTGACCCAGGGTGCCATATCCTCAAGGTCTTTCAATAGAATAGTACCAGTGTTCACTACCATCTGAAGAGATATTGTAAAGATACCCAATATCCACACCATCTTTGTTTAAATTACGCGAATCAACTATGCGATCCTTTGAACACAATTTGCATTGCTTGAAAGTAACGCCAGATTTCCCTTCACAATTTACCCCCGAATCCCAGAATTGCGCGCACTTCTAGTAGACGTGGTCAGGATGTACTATTTTGATAGGTGCCATGATGTGAATACAGGCAAATACAAGATCGCTCGAGTTTAATATAAAGATAGATGTGCCGGTTAATGTTGGTGAGAAGTTTGTATGAGGATTTCAGTCTTTGGAAGAATTTATACTCGCATAATTTCACATGACCAGATTAAAAGAGTTATGTCAATCACAAAGGAAGATTATATAGTTGAGATATCATCATGCCTACATTCAGTAAATCTGCTTTATACTTCTGCGGTCACTCAAACTCACCTCTTTTGATAGATCGTCAGTGAGTCACCACAGATACTTACCAAGGCAAGTGATTCAGATTTCGCTCATCAGACCTCCCCCACCCGATACTCCCACTTCAGTTCCCTCAATGTACTTACTCCTCCACCTTATACCGCCAAATCTCATTGCCGTACACATCATGAGAGATGAGCTCACCAATGACTCTAGCTTCACGAGCCATCGCAAGGGCCCCGACCGTACGCTTTGCAGAACACCCAGCGCAGATATCGTTCTCCATGTAGTTGATACGCCGACAGGGCTCCTTGCCACGAACCTTGTCCTTGAAGGTAAGCTTGGTTGTCGGTCTGCATTGCCACAAGATGTGGTCTGGGTGGTCGATTTCGTCCGGCTTGTTTGATGCCACGAAGTCGATCGTGGTGAGATGCTTTTCAGTGTTGTCCATCTTGACTGATTGCTGTGAATAGATGTGAAAATTTGTTTGTAGTTTGTGCTGCTGTGTTGTAGGTGTATGTTACAAATAGCAAAGCTTGTGGTTGATACAATTTCTTCATGACTAGAAAGTAGGGTATATGTACGCTGTAGCAAGAACAAGCTGAGCGGAACACTGTGTATGTTATTGTACACAAAGACGTTGTTTGCTGTATTTATCATTTAGATCGCCTTTCGTCATCTTTGTTTTTAGAGACTTGTTCAGTCTTCCAGTGATGAATTCAATAAAGACAACTCAATGTCTTTGTTCAGGCCTCACGGTCACGATCACGACCAAAACTCAAGCAATGAAAGTACGTAGAAGGGGTTCTAAAAACTGTAACATTGTTCTACGAGAATAACCTTAATTTGTGAAATAAATATCAACTAAAGGGTTATCAGTGCCCCAAGCGACAAAACCTATCGATAATACCCCTTCTAGTGGGTAGCAGAAAAAATGGCCTCCTAAGTCTTAGGGCATAAAGATAAGTAGTCTAAGAACCATAGTCTAAGGAAAATAAAGTGACACACTAATTTCGTCTCTTATGCTTCCAGCGGCTAATATTTCTGATACCCTGAGGCCCTTCCAATCCGCCGATGGATGTCTAGCATTGTCGTTCCCGTATGGCCAAAACAACAGGCTTGTCTTCCTTCGCCAGCGGTTGATGTGCCTCTCCATTGAGCTTTGACTCGATGATGTCTTGGTTCTCGAAAGAAACTTGGGATATACCTTGATCCTCAAGAATCTCATCCATGTTGGCAGCATCACTAGCAAAGATCAAAGTAAGTGCGTTGGTGATTTCGAAAGAGGCGTCCATGTAAACATGACTTTCATCTTGCGTGAGCCATTGCTGGAGCTTTCTAGGTAAGACCGAGAAAAAACACAGTTGCTTGCTGTTGTTGTCGTTGTAATCCACATAAATAGTGAGATTGTCGTCGCAATCGGGGGAGATAGACACAAGTGCCTTTTGTGAAGCCCTTGCCTGGAATGTTTCATCATCCTGAACAATTATCAGATCCGTCGAGATGCAATCCACTTTGGCAATCTTTGTTGTTCGTAGTTGCTGATATAAAGAGAATGCATCTTCGCATGATCCGTAGCAGTTGAATGTTTCAGCAACACTAAAGAGATGATTGCGATTAGATTCAAGACCCAAGTTGAGATTGATGGACTTACCGAGCAATATGATACGCCTTGTCACTCAAATCCCATTCTTTTAAGATACATGACGGAACAACATTCATTGTCTCTACCACACGTATAGAGAGGCAACGATCTTCAATCGAGAGCCACCTAAAAAGTGGCTGTAGCCGTCTTACCTCCGTGACGTCGAAGCTCAACATCTTGATGCTAGACTGTAGTGACTTCCTGAGATAATCGCGGTCCCCAATGCAAAAATCTGTATCAAGAGAGCATAGTTCAACGGGGCTCGGCGGTTGACCTTTCGCAGTAGGGCGTCGCACGGGGAAAATCTTTGCTGTCCCCAGTGGTTCTTCTTCAAATTCGTGGAAGAATCCCGCCTCATCCATGAAGGATAACATGATTTTCTTGACTTGCTTTACATCCGTTGGAGTCGAGTACACGAGTTTGTCGTAAGCAGATATTTTGACACCCAGTTTGTTCACAAAGAATTGCTTCAGGCCCGGGTACCATGTCTTCAGGCTGCATTGCATCGGTGTGACTTCTGCCTCAGACCAGAAGCATTCCTTGACGGAAAGCCACATGGAACCGTCATCATCTTGGACCAATATGACTCTCTTATCACCAAAGGCAGTCCTGATACTTGATTGTTAGCTTCACTAGAAAAAGCGATTTCAAAGACCGGCATGCGTACCTTATTTCAGTTGATACTTTTATCTCCTTGTGCAAATAATTGTAAATATTTTCAACGCGAGCCACGTCGTTGCATCCGTTATCTCGCAAAAAGCATAGTTCCTCCACCAAGTTTTCCATAGAGGCATCTCGGATACGTAATATCACACAGAATAAATGTGACAAATCTTGCATCGTTTTCTTATCAAAAACCCTTTCTTCGTAAAACTTCTTGAGAGAGTATCGCGAAATCATGTCACTAGGCGCATTCCAGAGACAACGGGAGGTGTCCGTCCAGATTTCTCCTTTACTATCCACGTATAAAATACCGGAATCTTCAAAACCCTTCCTATGTTACTGTTAGTTACATCGTTGAAGCGGTAAAGATAGAAACCTACAGCGCTCTCTGCTTTTCGTCGGTAGGGCATATCTGAAACCTCGTTTTTATGGCAGAGTATAATTCGAAAACTTTCTTCATCTGCGGAGATGATAGCTTTTTGCACGAGTGCTTGATAGAGTCCAAAATCTGAAGTAGAAAGTCCAGATCGTTTTTCTGTCTGACGCCGAAGTGCTTTGTTAGAAACGACCACTTGGTGGTGATACACAGGCCCTCATATTTATCCCCTTGAAGTTTCAGGAACGGAAACTTATCGGGATACTCCATGTAGCGGGCCACAATATCTTTGAGTTCTTGGAGGGGTACACATGTGTTTCTAAGAGCCACAGAACGGTCCAAGCCGCAGAGGCCTTTGGCAGGTAGCCCTTGAATCTCAGATACCAGAGCTTTATTTTCCGCGATTTGAGGCTTTTCAAAATCCCAAAGATGTTGAATTAATCCCAGAAACCTGTCTGGGCGGTTCCTGAGCACATATGTACAGTGTTCAGAAAGAAGATTCGTATTACTCGTGGTTGACGAACCATAGTTGTCTGACTCTTGTTCAGGGAGGGCTTTCTGTCGAATCAGGCTCAGCCTTGGCCTTATTCCGAGGCAAGTACATAACCATGTCTTCCAAGACAAATGTAAGACCTGGTCATGCTTTGGTGTATATCGCAGTATGTCCGGATGTAGGAAGTCGACAGGATCGCTAAATCCAAACATACCCGCACCAAGGAGGCTCTGGGGAGTATATGGATGTTCCATCCCTGGTAAGTAGATGATACTTTCCCAAGGGTTCTTTGACTTCATATCCAGGGTCAAGACCCTCACAGCGCGGTACTGCTGTTCACTTTCAGAGCTGAAGGGTTGATGAGTGAGGTATAGATAGCCAAGATAGCTTTTGATATCATCAAGTGAAGGGGACTTTGAACTGGAAAGCTTAGCAAAGATTACTTCTCTCATCCGAGTCACAGGTACCTCCACCACTCCGAGTTGTTCATATAGCGCCTTCGAGTAGACGCCATGCTTTAAAGATTCATTCATAACTCTGCCAGGCAATCCCAAGGCAATGTCGATACCTTTTGTCGTAGGGAAGTAGACTGGCTTAGTCGCTGCTGATACCATGCTGCCATCCTTGATTTGTAAGAGAGGCAGCGATTTAATTCTGTCGGAATACTCATCGTTGGCGAGAAGCTTAGGAAGGAGCCGCGCTAAGGCACTATGCCAGCCCTTGGGCTGGCTCAAACCTGGAGTGATAAAATGCATTTCAAGCAGCTCGACACATTGAGCGTCAGTCAAAGCCGCAAGTCCATAGTTTTTGAGGATACCTGCCACTCCTGGGGGATAATTGCTCGAAAGAAATGGATCATTGATCTTGTCGTCCAACAATGGGTTTCCGCTATCGTCTTGAGCATCGGGACCTGGTGCAGCAAGGTGACTGATAAGACGCCAATGCTTCACGTGTCGTGATATGAAAACCGGGTTTCGCGAGATCCAATTTCGAATTTCGGTATCAAGGTCAGGCCAGAACGGAGCCTGTTCTGTTGCACCGGGTCTGAGAAACAACGGCCAGTGATATCGAAGAGTCGGGTGCTCGCAAAATTGCAAAATCGCTTCTAGGAACACGGAAGAGACGTCTTCCTGGAGACCTAAATTGTCGAATGGTTTGGTAGTTGTACTATATATGTCATCTTCGATGTCAACGTCTGCGTGAATGTGGAACTTGTATCGAAGAGTTAGCGCAGTTATGTCAAACTGGTCATGATATGACTTACTCCAAGTGGAGATGTTCCAAGTGGAATAAGGTTGAAAAGCTTCTTTGCCCTTTTATCGTCTGTTAAAGGGAAGGCAAGTATGAGCTTTGTTTCATCATTATAGTCTAGCTCCGCGACATGGTAAAGTTGAGCATCCATGTGCTTCTCATTGCTGTCAACAGTCGTAACTTTCACAGAAACTCGATGTTCGTCCATGATTTCCTTTTGAAAATGCCTGGATTGACGTATCTTGCCATCGTTATCGAAGTACTCGATCTTCATAAACTCCATATCGTCAAGGAAGAGAATACTTTCCTTCTGGAGACTCTCGAACTGAGAGGCAATGACTTCTCTTAGTTTCTGGATCTCTTTCTTATTGCCTTGATCGTGAAGATTGAGCGTAATGCGGGTAACGTTCTCGGGGACAGTGTCGACGGAGGTCACCCAAACAGGTCTCATGTCGCCATTGTCATGATCGGCGGGATTGTGCTGGAATTCGAACGAGAAGTTCCCCGACTGGATGCAAGTCCTCTTGGTCGCGGCGACAATTGTTTTGAAGTTGGCTTTGTTTGTTGCCCGGCAGATAGCTTGGAGGTCCTCTTTGGTCAGGTTGTCACTATTGCAGTCGGAAACAATCCTGTCGGGATAGACCTTAAAGGTAACAAAGGGAGAGTCCTCTTCTGCCTTGGCCGTGGTGAAGGTTTTGCCGTTGGTGTACCGGAGAAGTTCAAACAGTAGTCTCTTCGCGCATTTTTCAACGTGCTTCCCCAGAAGTCTTTCAAGTCAGCGATCATGCATACCAACATATTTTCAGGACACTTACGTGCTGTGGCCGCTCAGGCTTTGGATGATCTCTTCTGCTTCCTGTGCGCTCGCCATGGTGAGAAATTAAAATGAAAGGAAATAAACACTGATTCGGTAGTAAGTGATGAATACGTAGGAGAAAGGACTTTGAGGGAACATGCCGAGAAGGCCGAGAAGAAGAAGATAAAGAGGTATGAACTCCCTCGGTGTTGGCAAGGATTGGACGGATGGTGTAGGAAACATCAACCAACATGCATATTCCGAGACACCAAATTAGTGGGGGCTCTGGAAGAATGACCAAATACCCCTGTTATTCACCTGGAGCTGAACATGATCCCTGGCGTTTAACATACATGGCCCTGGAAATTAACATGGTGTGATTCAACTTTCACGGAAATCACCAGTCACAGCTCAGACTAGGGCGCTTATCTAGTATGTTTTCTCTTTTCCCATCTAATGAACTAGATGGCACTGCGGACAGCTTGTACCAAATGCAAGGCCGAGTCATCACACCCATCGATCCCCATGTCACCGGTGATAAAAGTTGAACAATGTTTGATTGAATTAGTTATTTCTACCCTGATCAGTATGAATCATGTCCCTAGAAACTTCCTGTGCTGACTTACTGAAATAACTATTTTCTAATCGGATGTGACATGATCATTGAGAAGTTTCTTGTACGCCACTATCTAGTCATTATTATTTGAGGCTGAATGCCTCTGATAATCACTAAGCCCTTTGTATACACTAGCCGCATCTGATATTAGAAGGTCTGCAATAGGCGTGTCATTCGTGCCTCCTCCTCCCATTCTAGATTCCACCGCTTTTACCATTTCTTTCTACTCGATGAGCTTTGGCTTGGGCTCTGCTGTAGGCTCATCTACCTTGGCACCCTTCTACCTCTCATCTCTAGCTCCTCTCCTTTGGGCGTGTCTGCATGCTGCTCGTCCTTCTTGTCCGTGATCTCCTTCTTGTCGTCCAACTCGAGAACAACCTCAGAATCCGAGTTTCCTTCTTATCTGTGGTCTTCTTGTTGTTGTCTAGCCTAAAACTGACCTCGGATTTAGAGTCCAAGTCAGAATCAGACCCAGAGCTGTCGCTATTGCTCTTGCGCTTAGCTTTAGCTTTTGCCTTCTCGCATCCGTCCTTACGTTTCTTCTTGCTCGGGGTTGCGCCTGATCTTGAAAAGCATACCATGCGATAGAAGACTTCCGTTGCTTCGCTCGTCGCATTCTTCGGGTCTGCTGTTTCGGTCACCATAGGTTTTTACGGATGCCATGTCAACGAAGTTGCTGAAGATCAATAGGGTTTGGGGCGACGCGAAACACAATGGTGATCGGGGTTCATTGCATAATAACAATCGTTTGCGTTCTTGGTACAAGATAACTGTTCGTCTCGATCCACGGTCTCTATCTTATCCAGTTCTCTGTTCGTTCGTTCGTCCACCTGTCAGCACGAAGTGGTTAACGCTGGTCACTTATTTCCCGCAAATTCGTTCTACTCCTCTGTTCCTCGAATAATTCCATGCAGATCAGCCAGTATTCCGAAACAGTCGAGTTTGAAACGCAAAGGCCTGATTGTTACAACTTGGTAGAGTGCCCATCCTTGTTGTACTCCCAAACCTCAACGCCGTCCGCGGTCTTCCCGACGAGTTCTCCCATGATGTGGCGGGTTCTGTCGACAGCGAGGGTGCCGACTTCTCGCTTGGCCTTACACCAAGTGCAGGTTTTGTCCAACATGCCGTTAATCTTGTCGCAGTAGTTCTTTGAGGCGGGGTCTTTCAGGCGCCTGTAGGCCCAGAGGACGTGATCGCCACGTGGTTCGGTGGTCTTGTCGGACATTTTGAATGACAGGCTGGGATATATTGAGTAGGACTTCGGTCGAGGAGTCTTGGTCGGTGCTGGTAGGGTTCTGGAGATGTCTGAAGGTTGATGTTAGTTCGGATACCTGACTACAGACAAAGGCCCAGGGGAAATCTAACCAAGATATGTAGTAACCAAAATACTGATGAAATGTATGTTGTGTGTCTTTAGAATGGCAGTGTTGTTGATGTTGTTGCTGGGTAGACCTTTGGATGAAGTTACGCAAGATTAGTTCGGTCAGGATGAAGGCAAGGGATATAAATACCAGCGGCTACATGGAGGACGTTTGAACGCAGTAAACGACTAAACGTATTCCGTTTGACGTTGAAGTATTCCAGCAGCGTTTGGGAAACAGAGGCTCCCGCGAAAGAATAAACAGGGCGTTTGGAAGTGGTCTGTCCGTTTGTACGTGTGGCATTGCTACTATCTTCGGCGTTGAAGAGAGTCGATAAGGTGATGAGAACGAAAAACCAGCAATTAACAGAGTGGGGGAAGAAGACGCTGTCATCCTGTTGAGATTGCAACACGCTCCTGGAGCTAGCGGGAACAGACAATACCACCCTAACCGCCCTAACCTGAGGACCGACATAAGTACCTGGCCGCCCCATGGAATTCTTGCGGCCCGCTCATTTGTCTTCACTCTTCACCCTCTCACCTCTTCTCTGTCACAATGGCCACTTCTTCAGACGACATGTTACCACCTGCCACTGACTTTGACGACTCGCCTGTTTGGATCAATGACCCTGAATTCCGTCAGCCTCGCTTCGAGGGCGATCCACGATGTCGTCGTGGCGTCATGGCCCGACTCAAAGCGCTTCTGACGTTAACAGAGGGACACAGACCGTGCCGATGGGGATTTGCCATTGTGCGCACCGCTTATGGGCCTGGCTCTGATGAGCAGTCTCGACGCGCTATCAACATCGTCAATCGCGTAGCTCAAGTTTGAGCCGACGACGAAGCGAACAATGTCAAAGAAAACATTGGGTATTACAAAGACAACAGTACAATGCTTGACCATATTCCCGTCGAGGTTGACATGCGTCCAAACGAGGAGTTTTTGCGCCGCTTCGAGAATGATATCCTTGAAGACAAAGAGGCCCTGGACAATGCTTCGTTGGCCACAGTTTGCGCCTATTTCAAGAAGTGGATTTCGTCTAAGAACGGCACTGCCCTCATTGGCGATATGCGATTTGCTGCTTGCATTATGCTCGACGCCGATACTTTGGATCAGCTCGCCGCTGCGCCTGAGGGGTTTCCACGGGACACCCAGGAAGGATATCGATCGTCGTACTGGCTCAAGCTGGTTGAAGCCGAACCAAATCCGGACGAGGCTGTCCGTGTTCGAGTGTACGGCCATGATGACCTGATGAAATACTGGTTCGATCACAAATTCCGCCAGCGCCCGATGACGGAAATGACTCACAGGCAAGATCGCGAGAATCCAGGAGTACTCTACTTTGGTAGAGCCCGGCTAGGTATGATGATGCCAACGATGGGTCTTCAAGGTTGGTGATGGGGTATCCCGGACGGTGTGCGGTCTCTATTTCATAATCTTTATGCTTTCATCGGTTCTTTCATCGGTTGAAGATACCATCCATGTTGCTAGAAGATATGTTAGCCTCCTAAATCTTATGAAATAAACGTAAATTACCTAAGAAATCTAGTCTAAGTAGCATAAGCTGACCGACCTAGATACAGGATGTCAAAGTTTTTCTACAATATAAACAAAATGCCACACCATAACACCATCTAAGCACCCTTCTTACTCCAAAGTCAGCATGTTCTCCGGCATAATATCCGGATCTCCAATCTGCTGTACAATCGCCATAAACTCCTCCGAAGAAATCCCAATATTATCCAAAAACTCCAAATCACTTATCCCCTCCTCTAAATCCGTAGTCAAAGGCCTCTCCTCATCCACTTTCCCTGCAAGCTCAGGAGCGGAAGCTGCTTCATCCGTCACTGCTAGAGACAGTGTTTGTAGACCTTGCTGTTGTACCTGCGCGACAAGTTCCTGACACTGCGCTTCGAGATAAACGAGTTCTTGTTTGCGGACTTTCGCCAGTCGGTTTCCGCGTGCGATCATGTTGTCGAGAAGTTGGTGAACTAAAAGGCGGCTGTTTTGGTCGTCGGCGACGCCAGGGAATAAAGCTGTTGCCATGTTGAGGTGGAGAGCGGCTCCAAAGGTAAATTCGATATCGTATGGGAGGAATACCTCTGTAGATTGTTAGAGTGAAACCCAAATCAAGGGACAGCCGTGTTACCGAGAAGACTGTATTCACTGGTCAGAATCTGGAGTGTCTTGACGGCTGATTTGATGCCTGTTGATATCACCGCTGCTGTTTGTCCGAGAAACGCTTCCGAGTTTTCAGCGCCCGGCTGACCAAGAATATCGAGACGTTCTTTGAGTACTGAGAGTAGAAGAGGGCGTGTTGCTACTATCACACACTGGATCTGTCAGGACCCGCCATTTAAGACATCGGAGATGTACCGACCTGGTGATATAAAAGTGTAATGTATTTCGTGCCGCGAGGCATCGTGTCTACCGAGTTTCGGAATTTCATTGATATTATCTTTTCAATCTCTTGCGCGTGGTGTGCCAAAGTGTGAAGAATCGCCTTGGTCTGTTCGAGGAATTGTCCGAGTGGCGTTTTCTCTGGTTTGTAAAGCGCTGCATGTTGTCAGACCGACGCCGATACTTTGAAAGCCCCGACTTACTTGTTAGAATTACTGATAGCAGATGCGACAAGTTCACCTGCAGACTTCGAGCGCTGTCGTCTTGAGATCCCACATTGGGAGGGTTGACTGGCGTGGAAATGTCACTATCCTGAACTGACATGGGCAATCCCAGAGAAGAAGAAAAGTGTCGGTCCATGATATACAAAGTCCACCATAAGTCGCGGCATCGAGTAACCGTTTCATTTCCTAGTTCGCTGTCCGGTAGCTGTGTATGTAGCCCTTCCAAAAGAGCTATCCTGATGGCCTGGCCAAGCTGTGACTCGTCAGCATCTCCGTTTGTAAGGCACATGTCTACTTACGTATACGTGCGCAGACTCCCTCTGGTCGATAGAGTAAAGATACAAGCCACCCATGGCCAAAACCTCAATAGCGAGCAGACTATCCTTCCAAAGCGCTGTATGATCCGGCATGAGACCCATCGCTCTCACAAAGAACTTCGAGCCGGGGGGTTCGGTGGAGGGCATCCATTGGGAGGAGTGAAAGGCTGTCCCAAAGGCCAGAATCAAGAGAAACTTAACATACCAGAGGCGGTTCTCCTCTGCCTTGGTCTGCGCGTCCGAGTAAAAGTCACGGATCTGGTTGACGAATTCCACTTCGTCGAAGAGTCGGTATGTCTGGCCCAGGTGGAATTTGAAGGTGTGGAAGAGGTAGATCGCGTAGTCGAGAGATGGTAGTCCAGTGACATCGGGCTTTTCGTGTGGAGGGCGGATGTTCCACGATAAGGTGTATACGTCGTCTTCTATTAATTGCGGCGGAATCATGTCTCCTCCCGGTTGCAGTTTGTCGCCCAACATGAGCATTAGTCGTAGTGTGAAGGACCAGGTAGACCACGGAGCCAGCCATACTGTTACATCAAAGTCAGTGCATTTTCAGAGAAACTGCTTGGGTGCTTACTCCAGGTACGTCTGTTCTTCCGCGTGTTCTTGATAATCTTGGATGGGATAGTAAACGCGCTAGGCCAAATACTCAATGGCGACTCGCTCTGCGGCTGATACGATGAAGATGAGGTGGGATCTTGGTTGACTAGGTCAGACTCGGATTGTTGAAGTGAATGCGAGCCTTCGATCGTGAGCGCAGGAGAAGCAAGCCTGGTATCGCCTCCGCACTCACCATTGACGTCGCTGAAAGCTGCATCGCTTGTACGTTTGAGGACGGGTGAAAAAGAATGAGGCTGGGATATGGTGGGAGAGCAGTATGGCGCAGATGATGCTTCTATGGACGAACGATACGGTGGAGGCGCGGAGGATAGTGTCGCTGAGGGAGTTGAGCGATAGATGGATGGTGTATCTGTATTCTGCCTGTTCTCAATGATGGTATTCGACGGCGAGCGCTGGTACTGCTCTACTTGTTTTTGAAGGTCCTGGAGATATCTGGGTGGACGTTAGTGTTGTTAACAAGGTTGACGTGGCTGAACCAACTTTTCCGAAACCATAACCTTTGTTACGCCTTCTGTAAAACGGCATTGTACTTGACGTCGCTGACAGTTCTGACACGGGTCCTGTCCTGAACATTTGATCTTGCTTTGTCTACAAGCGACGCAGCTGTGATGAAGTCAGTGCGTGAACGAACAAAGGCAAGACTTGAAGACGTACGCATTGGCTGTTCTTCTTGCCTTGCGAGGCTGGCTTTCTGACGCCATGACGTTGATGTTGGTGTAGAATTTTGCGATGCATCCGGCCGCGTCTTGTCTATTAAAGACGTTGATCAATGAGAATGGTCATAGATGGCAAAGATGGAAGAATGTCTGGAACGGGGCGTTTCGGCTGCAGCGTGCCCCTGTAAGGTCTCACTGGTTAGCGCAGTGTCCTCCCCAACACGGTATCGGGTCCGTTACCGGGTGATTCTGTAGATGTCTTTGATGTAAGGTCCGTTGGGTTTTGATGCACATCCTATAACAAAGTATGCGTGACGTTGGAGATGATGATGTGGAAAGTTTTCCATCGTTTATTATCTAACCTCTCTCCCTGCAGATACCCGTTTCGATAGCGGTCAATGACGCTGAACGTTATCTATCACGGCAAGATAAAACCAACACTCCCGCTGAGTTTGATCACGTTCATTACCAAGATAAGAATAGTCGCGTCCCCAACCCCTGCAACCATTCCCCGCACTTGGGTTAGGTAACAAACGACGATGAAATAAAGAAACTGGACTGATGTCAAATGTTTTATTCTTTCACCGGATACTGTTCCCGAGATAGCGCGGGGTCAATATTTTGGAGCTTTTACCGTTGTAGGCATGTTTTTGCAAACCTCACATAAGCCACGTAGTCAAAGATAAGTTGGGGAAACAGCGTGATCGGCAATGAATTTATTGTTACATCCAATGGCTCTCGGGGTATCAAGGGCCGGTAGACGCGATGCAGGGATCGGCAACTGTCCCGGTCTGATTGGATAACCAGCAACTACATAATTAAATGCTCTCTATATCCTAAGCCATTAAATACTTTAACCTTCCCTCAAAATTCCGATGGCTTGTACAGACGTCACGTCATATAGCCAGTGTTCGCGTTCGTCCGCAAGTACGGTGCCAAGAAGTCCGATTTTGAGGTTGTCATGGGTCAATGCATGCCATCCCTCTTGACGCCGTTGTCCGCATGCAGGACGACTACAATACTTTTCTGCCATGTCAATTTTATTGCAATACATACATCGCCAATTCTCGTGTTCCTTGATGATAGTGGTTCTAGGTGCCATGGTGAAGCCTACGTTCTGTGCATCAGGTAGTAGGTTTGTTGGTTTTCAAGGTATTTGCTATTGTTGATGAGTGTTTGTCTGGGATCGACTCATCTACTAGTAAATATATCGATTTGCCAAAGGAACAAATGGAGTCTAGATATTATGAATCAGGATCCAATTGCTCGCAGCTGCGCAGATACAACCCTGTCTTTGTTCACAGTTGAGCCATGTTTGTGATCATCCGGTACAACTGGATCATCTCTATCAAACCTTGAGTTCGAATCAGTGTACTTTCCAGCAAATGAGTGACTTAATATACCACAGTAGATAATTCTAAACGCCCCTTCAAATCAGTCTCAAAGCTCGTTGCTGCATCGTATGGCTGTAGTAATAGGAATTAGATACAAAAAGCTTGGTTGGTAACAGACGGACAAAGATACAAATAGGCATTGACGCTCAGAGACGTCGGTTATTATTCAGCCTAGAAATTGCAAGCTCGAATTCTCTTCAATGTTTCAAGAGCTCTGTGTCCTATTGGAAGGTCAATTTGCTTAGTGATCTCGATAATGGTATGAAATGCAAAGTCACTGGATGTGCCAAACTTAGTGGATGCATTACCCTCTAGACACGTAAGAGTCAGCTCAGGACACAACAACATGTTTATTTTCAGTATTTTCCCCGTCTATTTTATGCCGTCTCTTAACTAATTTGAAATTGTTGATATCAGAGTACGATCAGTCGGGTGCTGCGTCCTGAGTATCAATTCCCACTCTCCTACAGGGTAACTGACATTGCCCTAAATTTGGTGCCAAGATCGAGATCGACAGATGGGCTTCAGCGTACCAGAGATGATAGTCGTTGCAGACATAGGAGAGGAAATTAGTAGATTAATTTATGCTACTTAAATGACACATTGAGATTGCTCATTTTTGTGACCATGAGACTTTCGTCTCTGCCACCGTCAAGAGGGCCATAGTACGACAGACAGAATAATCTTGAAGAGACTCGTTTTCCATCCAATTAAGTTTGGCCGGAGGAACCCGCCCGGTGGATGGCAATGGCTGTCGTTGATTGGATACACGAACCCGCAATTACATCAGCGATCGTACGTACCTTGCTCTCACGCGATCAAAATAGAAGGTGCGGTAGCAGTGAGCCATCACCTGCAGTACCTGCTGCACTGCACTGACTGTAGCACCTAGAAAAAGGGCGATCGGCCGTTTTTCGGAATATTCGTTCAAAGCTTCTTCCCAGCCACAGGAACAAGTCAATCTTAATTGTCTCACCACAACACAGACCTTTCTTCATCTCTCTCCCTCGACGTCGATCATACATCGTACATACATAGCAAATGCCCTTGTCACGTCAACTTGGAGCCTCGATCGCATCGTGGCTCGTGTCAGCCCCGCCATAGCAAATCTTGCCCTTCCTCCCTACCTACGCTACGTCACCACTCAATCAATACTAAGCCTTGATCTTCGACAAGCTTTCCCCAAAGTCTCGGCCACAGCCATTACACATCATGGCGCCCTCACGAAATAACTCCAATGCCGCCGCCAGAAGGGCCATGGTCGTTGAACGAACAGCTTCTTCAGGCTCATTTCACGCCGGCGCGCCGATCCCAACTTTAAGCAACTTGCGACGCCAATCGCATCGATACCAGACATTTCCCACCACGCCGCCAAAGACACCCCTCGAACAGCCTTATACAGGTTCCAACGCGAGCGATTCCGATGATGAAGACGACGGCGAAGAGACACCATTGCCTGTTCGACAGCTGCTGTTGCTGGCCTTCCTCTCCCTTGCCGAACAGACCGCGCTGAACTCAATATCTCCATACCTTCCCGAAATGGTCCTCAATATGCCAGGCATTCCCGATGAAAAAGCGGGATTATATGTCGGAATACTTGCGAGTTCCTTCGCATTGGCGCAGCTATCAACCAATTTCCTCTGGGGATACGCCTCGGATGTAATTGGCAGGAAGCCGGTTCTGATCATGGGCACAATTGCGCTTATGGGCTGTTTCTGTATCTTTGGCTTCTGCAAAGAGTATTGGCAGATCGTCGTCGTCCACGTCTTGATGGGACTACTCAACGGAAACGCTGCTTGTGTCCCGACAGTCCTCGGAGAAGTCACAGATCGATCCAACCAAAGCCGCGCGTTTACATACCTGCCTGTCATTTATTCCCTCGGCAGCATTACCGGACCTGCTCTGGGAGGCATACTTGTCGGGACAATGGGTAAGAAGTACCCTTATTTGGCTCCCAACATCCTCTCTGCTGGTCTCCTAGCTGTCAGCGTCATTGTGGTCAGCATCTGGTTCGAGGAGACGCTGGATAAAACCCAAGTCGCATTTGAGAAGCCCTCATGGGTCGACAAGATCATTTCCTGGTTTCCTTCGCGACCCCCACCCCCTCGACGTCCCTCTTGGAGTGCGCGCTGGCCTCGATCGCAATCTCAGAACCAGCCCCTCCTCTCTTCCGGCCGAGCGCTCGAATCCGATTCGGACGAAGATGAAGACGAGACTGACGATAGCGACAACAATCTCGACCCCGCTCTGTCTGCCTGGAAGGATCTCAGCCGAACCACCATCCTGGTCCTGTTCACCTACCTCGTCTTCCAGCTGTCCAACATCTCATTCAACAGCCTGTACCCCATCTTTGCTGCGACACCTGCACCTGCCGGTCGCGACTTGCTGCCCAGTAGAATTGGTGTCAGTTTGAGTATCGCAGGATTGGCAAGCTGCATTTTCCAGGCCTTCCTATTCCAACAGCTCAAGGCCAAATTGGGCAACCTGGGTACCTACCAGATCTCCCTTCTGGGACTTGGTATCAGCATGCTGTTTATGCCGTGGGTGGGTTACGCCGACGACAAGCCCTTATTTGGTGTCGGAAGCGGCAAGATGTGGCTGTACATTGAGCTTGGCCTCGTGTTGATCTTGAAGAACTTGTGCGCCGTTGGTGGTCTATCAAGCGTAATGCTTTTGGTACGTCTCTCCCAAACCTTTGGTCTCTTTCCTAAAATTAAGTCTTGCTAATGTGTGTAGATCACAAACTCTGCACCGTCGCACGCGAGCCTTGGTAGTCTCAACGGCATGGCGCAAACTCTATCCGCCCTCGGTCGCAGCTTTGGTCCCTTCGTCTCTGGCGGACTCTTCAGCCTCTCCATCAATATTCGCCCCAAGGGCGAGGCACTAGCCTGGAGCATCTTCGGAGGTCTCGCCATCCTAGGCTGGGTGTCCTCTCTGTTCATCCGCCGAGACGGACTTGAAAGTGATGATTGGCAGGGCTCGGACGAGCAATCCGCCGACCAAGCTGAAGAAGCATAGCCAGCTCACGCTGAATAAACTCTAATAGAACATTTTAGCATTTTGCATGGAATTGGTTAGAGACTTGTATTGGGATATTCTTGTTTTGATGATGGGGCGTACTGGATGGGTACTACATTTGGAGAGTTGATGAAGTAACGCAGCTTGGGATTTAGTGTTCAATTGATACATAAATTGGATTGTTCGATTCATAAATTATAAATAACTATGAATATAGCCTATGCTTTAAATGTTCTAAACCGGTAACCACTTCATAAATCAGCACGCCGAAGATTTCGTCACGAACCCCATGCTCCGCCGAAGAATGGGTCGGTGATACTCTGTATTTTACTACAAGAATGCTTGTGCTATAGGGTAGGCTCATTGGGCAAAATTGAGGTCATCGTGTGGTCCTCTTTGCCTATCTCTGCCCTCTGTGGCCTTCAAGGCATTCAGGTCCCCCGATACAAGATGGGCTTCATGCAGGATCGTGTTTTTCCTAGATTGCCTTTGAGAGGGTTTGCACTGCAGCCATACCTGTTTGGAGTCATTATCGCCCGACAGCCGGTCGCGCAAATACTCAATCGTCTACAAACAACAAAACATCGTGTCTTTGCGTAATCCTTGGAGTAGTGGCAATTATGTGGTAAGTACGTTACATGCAAATTCCAACACCTCAACATGGCGATTCCCGAAAAATGGCAAATTTGACATCATTTTCGCAAATGCCGTTCGTTACCAACTGACTCGTGTAGACTACCAAAAGCTTAAAAACCTGAATCTCACCAGCTGACTAAGAAGCCTAACTTTTTCTCTGCTCCACGGATATACAGTCAAGTCAGGGTAAGGATAAGGCGGCTGAAGCATTAATGAGATCGGGAATCCACTCGGCGTTAATGCAAAGATTCGCTGCTTCGCTTCTTCGTTTCATACCGCTTTTGCTTACTATAGACAGCGCTAGAAGTCTGTAAAGAATTCTACGACGAACCAAAAGAAACGGAGACGCCGAGGCTATTCACACCGTCAATCTTGGTCTGTTTTGGGTAAAGTAGCCGAGAGAATGCCACGTTCTCCGCCCGTGTTTAGTTTTGTGCTGTAAACTTGTACCCTTGTCTTGATCTTAGATGCTGACTGTCAAAGGTAATCGAGATTAGAATCTGACACTGGGGGTACGACAGTAGACTCTCGTCAGTACGGTAGTCATTCTTTCGTGATAATTACTGATAATCAGTTCAATTGATCAAGATATGTTGTATGTCCAGAATGTCATCACTCATGAGGTCATTACCCCTTCGGGAAGTATCACCGTTACTTTGTGGATCGACGCAGTGACGTTTTTGGTTGTTGAGAAAAACTTCAATGCTTTTTTGTTTCTTACAAATCATCAAATAGCCTCGGTACGTGGTAGCGCCACTTTTGACGTGGCTACGGTACTTGAGAGGTGTACTCTTTAGCACCACTGTAAAATACATCCCACTTGTATATATAGATGCCATCTCTGTAGTGACGTCGTTCATTTCTCATACTCATTCATATCATACCAACTCTCATACATATATACCCATCTCTCTCACTCACCTTTATTCACTTAATCTTATATACACATACATATATAAACCGCCAATATGACACAAAACAAGACCTTTGTTTACAAGAAGATCCCCACCGGTCTCCCCGTTGCCGGCGAGCATCTCGTCACTGAGGACCGACCCATCGATATCGACTCAGCTCCCGAGGGTGGTGTTGTCCTCGAGGTCCAGTATGCCTCTTTCGACCCTTATCTGCGCGGCAAGATGCGCGACACCACTGTCAAGTCTTACGCTCCCGCTTTTGAGATCAACGACCCCATCATCAACGGTACTCTAAGCAAGGTCATCAAGTCCGACAACTCTGAGTATGCCGAGGGTGACCTCGTCACTGCCTACCTCCCCATCTCCGAGTACGTCCGTCTCGACAAGGAGACCATCCCCAAGGTCAACCTCCGCAAGGTCCAGAACCCCCACAACCTCGATCTCGGCCTCTTCCTCGGCCCTCTGGGTATGCCTGGTCTCACCGCCTGGTCTGGTCTTCACGAGATCGGTAAGCCTAGGAAGGGCGAGACCATCTTCATCAGCTCCGCCGCCGGTGCTGTTGGTCAGATCGTTGGTCAGATCGCCAAGCGCGAGGGTCTTACTGTTATCGGTTCCGTCGGTGACGATGCCAAGCTCGACTTTATCACCAAGGAGCTCGGCTTCGACGCTGGTTTCAACTACAAGAAGGAGTCCCCCAAGGATGCCCTTCCCCGTCTCGCCCCCAACGGTATCGACATTTACTTCGAGAACGTCGGTGGTGACCACCTCGAGGCTGCTCTCACCAGCTTGAACAACGGTGGTCGTATCCCCGTCTGCGGTCTCATCTCCGAGTATAACACCCCCGCTGAGAAGCGTGAGGGTGTCAAGGGTCTCATCAACCTCATCGCCAAGCAGATCAAGATGGAGGGTTTCCTCGTCGCCCACCCCCAGTTCGGTCCCAAGTACTACAAGGATCACCAGGAGAACCTCCAGAAGTGGCTCGGTGACGGTAGCGTCAAGGCCAAGCTCTTTATCACTGAGGGTATTGACAACGCTGCTGAAGGTTTCATTGGTATGCTCGAGGGCAAGAACTTTGGAAAGGCTGTCCTTAAGCTGCGATAAGTTAATGCGTTTATGCCATATATACATATAAAATAGGGCGGGAGAAGTTATAAAAGTATAATATCAAATAAAAATTATCAAAATATCAAAATGTTCCATACAAACTAGCAAGCGATATTCATCAACCAGGCTGGAATAAACATCCTAAATCTGGTGACTGCAGTAAGTGTTGAAAATGCGGTGAAAGTTGGGCTCAGGGTGAATCGTTCAATCATAATATAACTTTTGATATAGCTTGAGTAAGTGATGGCGTAATGCCATCTGCTCTCTAGAAGTCCGACTTGCGGTCGTTTTGACGGGTGACGCCAAGCTGAAATCGACCTTGGGGCATTGGAAAGATTCGCCGCTGTAAGCATAAGGGATGAAATTAGTAGGTCGGTTTATGCTACTTAGGTCAGGTCTCTTAGGCGGTTTATTTTTTGTACCTAAAGCCATCCTGCACTTTCCTCCAAACGAAGCAAGAGGCAACCTTTTGCTGCCTTCTTTACCCACTTCTGAACTCAACACCCTCAGCATCTTCATCATCAGCATCAGCATCAGAATTAACATGAATAACTCGGAACAAGATCCAACACCCTCAGACATATTGATCCCCCAGAGCGCTGTTCAACTGTACAGGCGACAACTTTTTCGACGACAGAAATGGTTGATAAAGAAAAGCCCGAGTAGCTATTTGTATCGTCTCCACTCCGATCGCAACGGATTACCCATGCTGAAGTTGGGGAACGAGCCCGATTCTTTCATACCGGCCGACACCTCAGTCGAAAAGCTGTACCATCTTCTGCTTGAATCCAATGTCCACGAATGGCTAGAGTCATCCCGCGCCGAAGTGCACATTGGAAAAATACATGACATCCAAGTTGAACTCCAGAACAGACCTCTGACTACCCATATCGAATGGGAAAAGGCAATTGAAGCATCCAACACGGCATGGGAATACCGGGATAAACGAACCGACCGGCGTATTATGCGGGTCGCATGTCAATTCTTGCACATCTTTATGCAATGCAGACGTACTTGCGTCCAGGAACTGTGTGTTCTACACAAGATCAACAATCCACTTTTGTCTTATTCGCCACCACTGTCAGAAACTGCTCGTATACTCGGAAGATTGTCAGGGACATCATTACCGATAGACCGAACTACCAATCACCGCATATGCGACGATGAAGAACATCGGATCTTTGCCGATGCCCAAAACGACATCGAGTTTCTTTCGGTATTGGACGGGAAAAGTGATATGACTAACTCGATGCTCGACAATATGGCGTACAAACGCATTGGTACTGCTAAGAAGATATGGAGTGTTCAAAAGAACTTGGAGCTGCTGAACACGCTGGACCAGATGCTCTAGGAGGTGCTGGTAGATATATTGACGACTACGGGATGTCCGGGTGCAATTAAATTAGGGTACACTGACTAGATGGTCTAAGAAGGAATACACTATTCATCAATTCTATCCAGTATTTGTGCAATGGAGAGTTGTGAGAGCATGAGAGACGAACTTAGTATACCGGCTTATGTGACTTAGACCAGGCTCTTAGATTATTTATTTTAGTAACCTAAGACTTAGGAGACCAACCTTTCTGCTACCCACCTGGATGGAGGCGACGTTAATGAGGTCGAAAATATCATAGGCATTCTGATAGGTCATGTTCTCAAGCTTGTAGTCATAGATGTCCATCATGAGAGGGTCGAGGTCACCGTAGAACTGTCTGGTGGCAGCAAACGTATCCTTGAACTGAGTACTCTGGAAGTACGACTTTTGGTCTTTGGTGGCAGCAGGGCAGCCGTCATCGCCCTTGATCCAGATGGTATCGGAAGAATTCTCATCCTCACCGTGAAGCACGATATATTGGTAGACGTTGAGGGGGGCCGTGTAGTTGGTGTCGTTGTTGAGCTCCTGGACACCCACGTTTTCATTTTCATTGCTACCGCTGGGAGGGTAAAGGCCCTAGAGGACAGCAGTGGCCGTATTGAGCAGGACTATCTGCCCAGATCTGGTTGGGGACATACTGGTCCTATGAGATGCCCAGAATCTGCTTGCTGGGGCACGCTCCGAGAAGAGCAACAACAGTCTCTCTAATGTCTACATGTTCATACTTTTGGTAACTCTTCGCCGGCGGCTGCTGTCACAACGATTTGATTATACTGCCGTCTACCTCAAACTATACCTGCAGCGGGATTTGTTCGGAGCTGAGAAGACGTAGTCTCTCCTGTTGTTGCATTGGCCAACTCCAGATGCCGAGTTAACTTGTAGAACCTTGTTTTAGCAAAAGTTTGAAAGCGGCCGCTCGCGTCATTGAGGGGTTCAGTATAAAGACTTATAATTAACAGATTTAATTGGTTAAGTATGTATAGTAAGATCAAAGAAAATAAGGTTAGTAAGAATGTAGTAAGATAAAACGAGTAAAAGTTGAGTACTAAACTTCCCCTCACGAATTACCCGTCTGATGTAATTGCACCAAGTCTAGGAATCATATTACCTCGATCTCTGCTCTTGACTCAATGAGTATGCTCAACGTGGCTTCGTGTCAGGCCGTCGACGCTGTCCTTACCAGATGCGCCACATTCTTAACATTCAACGCGAAACCCGACGCCAGCAATCTTGCCATCATTCGCGCAACCTTGGGTAGCATAGGCGACCTCACCAAGAACGTCGCCATCCGCGACCTCCGCTCCAACCTGACATGCACAGTCGGCATAGGTAGCGACTTTTGGGATCGCCTAACCCACGCGCAACGGCCAAAGGAGCTTCATGCCCTCCCCGTCATGAAGGGTCGCGTTCATGCCACCGTCTCGACCCCAGCAGATTTACTTTTCCACATTCGCTCCGACAGGAGAGATTTGTGCTTTGAGCTCGAGCGACAGGTCATGGATGGATTTGGGAGTTCTGTCCAGCTCACAGACTCGACAGTTGGATTTCGCTACTTTGACGCGCGAGATCTCCTTGGCTTCGTTGACGGCACCGCCAATCCTGTAGGACCAGCGACTATGCGCTCAGCAATCGTCACAAGCGAAACCGACGAAGCCGCAGCAGGAGGTAGTTACGTTGTAGTGCAAAAATACCTCCACGACTTGGCAAGTTGGAAAAAGCTCAAAGTTGATGAACAAGAATCCATCATCGGACGCACCAAGGTCGAGAATATGGAGCTCGATGATGCGGCTGAGGGGAAACAGGCAGCGCATAAGACTCTCACTTCGATTACGGACGACGACGGCATTGAGCTGGACATCGTCAGGGACAACATGCCATTCGGCTCACCTGCTTCCGACGAGTTTGGCACGTATTTCATTGGATATTCCTCAAAGCTATGGGTTATAGAGAAGATGCTGGAGCGCATGTTTGTTGGGTCACCGCCTGGCATGCATGACAGGATCTTGGACTATTCGACTCCTGTCACTGGAAGCACCTTTTTTGCACCGTCAGCAGATATGCTTGACAGTCTTGCTGATGTTCAAGATTAAGGCAATAGAGAACATCATGTGAATTTCTTAGTTCTGGGGATGATCGCTTGGTCAGACTGTCAGCTATTAGTAATAATCCTTACTAACCAGCTCGTTTAAGCAAACGTTAGCTTAAACATTCCCCTATTCTTACTAGTAATCCATAAACACCAATAGAAAGAACCAATTCACAGATGGAGGGGGGCTCGGCAAAGCACCTGGAATCCCAAAGTCAATTATCATGCTTACCCCACTTTGGAGGTGAACGTTGCTTATTATAACTGATAAGCATCCTCTTCCAGTTGGCTGAAAACATACGCTTGTAAAGTCTGTCAACTCAATGCGTCGCTACATAAGAAACAAATGCGAGAGCATACGAAGTTTGCATACGTAAGGGCTGCATCAACCCAGTGCTAACTCTAAAGACATGACCCTCGGACTTTCGTGCCGTGCAAACCAGTCAAAAGTCCCATGCAGGCTAGAAACATAACGAAAGTGCGCTCTATGCAGTGTATGTGCAAGACTTGAAGCTTACTTTGCGTCTGAGCCCGACTCTGTGCATGATTGAGTATGAAGTGAAGCCGTATTGGATCCTAATTGTCTTAGTTTGGGAGATCTCAGTTAACTACTACGACAATCACTCCCCAACTTATTGTTCGTGATCTCAAAGCCAAAGTCGACTAAAGCTGGTCCCAGAAGCATAACTTTCTAACCGAATACCCCCCCTTTCTGGATATACTTCCGATTCAAAACTATACCATCTGGGCTATAAGCGTTGTCTTGATTTCGGCATCCACTCCGACAAGGTAATCTGTGACCTGTCAGCACTAATCCATCAACTCTCTCTACCTTATTGGCAGATGTCACAACCATGTAGGATGAACATATCTAACACCTTATCTTTTAACTCCACCGACAGATCCTTGATAGTTGGCGCAATGTTGTCAAAAAACTGCTGAAGAGTAGACAAAACCACATTATCATGGTCGGAATGGAGCTCTCACTGAAGTAATTTGTTGGAAAAATAGCAGGTTGTTCCACAGTGATACGATCGATGTCTTGGGGAGATTGACCGATAAGTTTCTTCCAACACGAGCTTAGTGATATTTATTCTTCCTCATCATCCATCAACTCTAGCCATGAGCTGCTTAAAGATTTGGTTGATGTACACCTACGAACATCTTCTCTTGCACTAGACCCCTTGTGGATGCGTTAAAGAGTTCAGTGCTGCCATGCAACCTCGAGCTTCTACTGTTTTCTTACTGGCGTCACATCAGGATAGTGCGACTCTCCTCCTTGATTCACTTTGGCTCATACGCCACCCAGCTCAGCGGCTGCAAGTCTGACACAACAGCAGCAAAGCGAAGAGCAAATAGAATCATGAACACGATATCCGAGCTTGTCAATCAGTTAATCCTTGTTTGGCGATGAAGCTACTGCAGTTGTGCCTGGGGAAGTGCATGCTAAACCTTCTCATCCTGTAGCTCCTCATGTTCAGATGCCTGTCCAGACTAGATAAGCTAATTCTTCTTTAATTGGCCAATTCCTCGGTCCTTTGACCTTCTTTTCTTTTCCGTCTTCTCATTTTAGGCTGACCTTCTATCATTATTGAGCACAATCTAAAGATACATACCAAAACGCCAACAATCATATTAGCACCTCAAAATGGCTGGTAAAGTCCAAAACCCACCGTTTCCGCTTCATGAGAAAACGAAGAATCGCCCCGATGAATGGAAGATCGAACAGGGCATGTCCGCTGCCACGCTTCCTGCGTTGGACATGACCGGTCCCGAGACCGTAGCCCTCGACATACAGACATTCGGGCCACTGACCAAAGATCAGAAAGCCATTGACGCCGTCGGGGATCGCAGAAAGCTGTTCAAGATCGAACGAAAGGGCTGGAAAGGGTTAGTATAGCTTCCAGTTTCATGATACATATCTTCCAGTGCGGGATATGTAGTTTAAGACATCGAACTGACAAATTTGCTTTGCAGTTACGTCGAGTGGGAAAACTATCCTGACAAGAAGGCTGCCGCGTACAAGATCTTGACATCTCAGACCTTCCCACCGAACCCTGAGTTCCAGCTTGGCGAGATCCCGCCCACCAACCCTGTCCTGCCTGGCACCCATTGGAAGATGTGGCACCACGCCCTCGGAGGCGAACTTGAGGACGTTCCTGGTGACTCGTGGAATACGGTCCTCAAGGAGAAGCATCCTGATATGCTGCACTTGTTACAATTTCCTTACAATGGCGAGCCACCCAAACGATTGGTCACTGACAAGCCCATCACGCCAAACTCCCTACACTTTGTTCGGTAAGCTGCCACAATTCATGCAGCCGCTTGATTGCACTGACTGACTGAATGGCTCGCAGCAACCATGGAGGTATCCCAATCATAGACAAAGAGGATTATAGCTTCCTTCTTGATGGTCTTGTGAACAAGCCCCAGTCCTTCACCCTAGCTGATCTTCAAGATGAGTCACGCTTCCCACGCATGAAGAAGCATATTACAATGCAGTGTTCTGGTACCCGTCGTATTGAGCAGATTCTACGCTACCCAGGCCAGGGCGACGAAGTCCCTCAAGCTCCATGGGCAGAAGGAGCTATTGGCAACGCAGAATACGAAGGTGTCTCACTAAAGAAAGTTATCAAGGCTTGCGGCGGCCTGAAGGATGGCGCGAAGCATCTAGAATTCTACGGTGCAGATACTTACTTTAAGGACGATAAGGCTATGAATTATGTCGTATCAGTGCCATGGTCTAAGGTCAAGGCCAATGAGATCATGTTAGCATGGAACATGAATGGTGAGCCGCTACCACTTATTCATGGTTATCCGCTTCGTGTGATGTGCTTGGGCTATATTGGTGCAAGAGTAAGTCACTGTTACCCCTACCACTATCATTGATCTGTCGCTCATCCCTGGTTCCATACGTAGGGCGTCAAGTGGCTGTACCGCATCAAAGCTATTGAATTACCCAGCCGCGCTCCCGTCCAGAGCCAAGAATATCTGTACTTCCCGCAACAGGTAGCCAAGCACAACTTCAAACTCACCGACGGCATCCAGATCCAGGAGATGCCCGTTAGCTCAGCCATTATGTCTCCTTGGACTAAACAAGTCGTCATCCACAACGGCCTTATCCGCTGCAAGGGCTGGGCATATTCCGGCGGCGGTCGTTGGCCAGAACGTGTCGAAGTGTCTGCTGATGGCGGATTCAACTGGTACACTGTGCCCGAAGAGAACTTATCCAAGAAACGCCGGTGGTCGTGGCGTACTTGGACGTTCGATCTCCCCTGTGATGTTGAGGGGTGGGTTGAGATCGTCGTTCGCTGCTGGGATAACTCCCTCAACACACAGCCCCCGGACGTTCGAACTGCGTGGAACTGGGGTCTTCATGTCACTAGTTCTTGTCACAGAATCAACATCTTCAGCGTCAATAAGAAGCATGAGAACACCAAGACGAGGATGGACGAAATGGACAAGAGAGGTGTCCCGTTCGCACCTTTGACGGTTCCGTTGAGCTTTCCTGCCCAGTCGTGGGATGACTATGAGAAGTATTGGAAGGAGCATGATCCTCGTGATGCTGAGGAGAATTGATTGTAAATACTAAATTGAAAGTAACGAGAGAAGTATCTTATATTGCTTCAATTTGGCTGTTTATTTTCATACCCTAGTGTTTAGGAACTTACTAGCCTTGTGCAGGTGATAGAGGAAACTGTAAACTTGTATTAAGGTAATCCCAGGTGGCATGCGGTAAAGAGAGGCATAGCGAAAGCTAGATAACTCAAGGTAGATAAACATCTTCATAACAAGCACATTAGCTTGACAGGTCTTTAGATACCCGAATCCTCTTGCGTCGCGTTCTCATTCTTATTAAACATTGTGTAATACGCAGCCCAATTGTTGCATTGCTCCGAGTAGTGTGGTACAATACCAGACTTTTGGAATGCCGGTCCAATCTCTCTTGGTGACTCGACGAACTGAAGCGCAAGTCCACCACTGGCATGCCAAGCGATCTATCAAAGTCAGAAGATGTTTGTTTGTTAACGGATGTAGGAATACTTACATGGCAGTGCATAAGCCAAACGCCAGGATTGTTCACTAAACGGTTTGTCAGCAATTGGAAAATAATGCGGGAAGGGTACTCACTTTGGAATGCAACAACGAGGTACCCATTGACAGGAAGTAGTGCCACATCGCGGCGAGGCGGATTGATTGTTTGTAATTTGACCTTACTTGGATCAAACTCCTCCGTACCGGAAGCAAGAACAACAAAGTCATGACCGTGGATATGCATCGGATGAGCCACAGGAGCCTGTGTCTTGTAGATCTTTGGATGCCCAGGCATATTGTGCAAAGACTCCTTGAACTTGCCTTCAATCAAGAAGTACACCCAACTGCCGTTTGTATACTCAAGATTGACGGGTTCGTAGCCTTTGGGCCACTTGGGATGCTTCCAGTCTTTTTCGTATGCAACCTTGACAAGACTCAAACTGGGCTCAGCCCAATCAAGGTAAAATGATGAATCCTTAAGAACCCATTTATGAAGCTGAGAGCTTTCTGCAGTGTCGTCAGGATAACCCACTAGATGAACTTTGAAGGATTCGTTCTGATAGTTGACGTTTGTGGCGATGGAGATATTCCTCTTGACGATAGGTTTGAGTTTGGTGCCCAATTCGTCTAGACATCCGTAGCAGAGATGCTTCTCGTCCGGAGGTGGAGTCCATGGCAACTTCTGGTTATCCTTGTCGTAGCGGATAATACCTAGATTCGAGCGAGCTCCTCCATTGTTGCAGTCTCTCGCATGCATCCAAAAGTTGGTTCTCTTGGAGTTGGCTGAATCATGAAGCGTAGCATTTGCCTCAATGATGATATCATAGCGTTGACCAATAGCGATGTTGAGAATAGAGGTATTATAAGGCGTGATAGGAACAAAGTCGGTAGCAACAACAGAGAAGTTGTGCTTGTCGATCCAAAAGGTCATGTGTGTTGAGACACCGGTATTGACGAGACTCATTTTGTATTTCTTGCCTTTCTCGAAATTGAAGTCTGTTAATTTTGGGAGGCCTACGCAGTTCTCGTCACAATTCGGATTGTCCTTCAAAGGACAGCAGTAGTATGTGCCCTTGCCATTCATCAAGATGCTGTCTGGCGCTGGGGGTCGTCCTATTTTACTAGTCAGCGAAATATGTCTTTGATGGATGGATAAGTTAAGCGCTTACCTAAGTACTCAAGCATCACCTGGGAAAAGGCTGTTTTGTGGAAGTGATCTGTGATAAGTACGGGGCCGAGATCAACATCGTAGTTCATGCTTGTTGGTCCGTTGATCTTGATTGCGCCCAACAATCCATCAGCATCTGTTTATGAGTCAGTAATAAACCGTCTTATGAGCCGGTTTACCAACACTGAAGACTAAAATGACCTGAAAATGTTAACTCTTGTCCATTCCCGTTCAAGTTGGTGTATCTTACTGTGATACCAAGATGTCCCATACTGAGTGGCCTTCCAACGATAAGTCATGGTCTCACCCGGCTGCTTTCGTTAGAATTTGTAGCTGACCATGATATTTCGATCACACTTACAGGGATTGGGCATTCTGTTACACCTGACACACCGTCCATCCAGTTAGTGTTCAATTGTCGGATACCATGCCAATGGATCGATGTTCCGTTGAAGTTCTTGAGGTTATTGAAAACGGTGATTTCTATGAGCGTAAGCAATCTCTTCCAACTAATGAGTTAGAGACTCACCAAATGTATCTCCCCAGTTTCCTTCTAGGGTCGGTCCAGGATAAGACCCGTTGAACAGTAAGCGGTTGACCATATATCCGTCAGGGGCGATTCGATCTTGGCCAACCACAAGATAAAACTGAGCCTTTGATTAGTATTTACTAGAAAGAGAATAGAGTCAAGTTACAAACCTGTCTAGTTACACCTTCTGGAATAACCTCCTCATAGTCGGTTTCAATATTGAGGTTTGGAGTCCAGCATTGTCTATTATCAGGCGTATTGCATGAGCCATCAACAATAGTAGTAGGATCAAAGACGTCGACTACTGATTCAACTGGTGCAATTTGCGAATGGTCAGACGTAAATTTGAATTGATCATTGAAGCCACCGCTCACGAAGAGGAACTCTGTGAGCCTCTTCCAGAACCCCATTGCAGATGTTTAGATGACTACCCAGGGCAGCAGAGGATGATGAGCAAAGTAATGAAAGAAGAAAGCGATGCAGACAGGGAGACGTAAGAAAAGTCCTCATCCACAGACAGTTTAATATAAAGCTTTCAGCCCCGCAAGAAGGGATAGCCAGTATACGAGACATAGTCACATACCGAATTCGAAGAACCATTCGATAGTCTCGTGCGGCTGAAGTGACTTGATCTAGAAATCCCACGCGGTGGCGGCATGGCACATATGTGACTTGCAACTGCATTCCGGCCCCAGCTGAATCACCAAGTGAGTGTTTCTGGATCTAGTCCAATGCCGATCTTTCTTTTCTCCCACAGTAACGCGATAAGATGGTTTTGTGCCACAATACTACACTCCGGCGGCTACGCTTATCTTCAGATCAATAGTCCATTTGACTATTTACGCTAATGCGGGAGTAAGGCTGCATATATATTCGATCTAACTTAATCCATATTGCTTTCAACTCTGCTCTTATCTCTGTCCAGTGGTAAGAGCAAAGCATTGACGGCAATTGGAAGAATAAGTGTTTCGAATATGTGCAAACCGGGCAACAGAGAAAAAAAAGCCTCAAAGAAAAACCCACTCAAATTTGAAACAATTCACATATGACCTCGACCGGTCTTCTCAATTGATCTTGTGAAACAACTCACTACAAATCACTCTCTAGACATGTGAACGCTCTAGACCAAGCCAAATGCAGGGAGGCAGTTGAGGAGGTTACTATGTTTGATACGGCTAGTCCAGAGCGGTTGAGCGACAACCCTAAAATGGTACGGTGGCTCAGCTGAATAAGAACTGGACTAACCGAATCTCGAACCAACGTGCCTTGATGGGACGCTACTGTTGTATAAATGAAACAAGCCGTTACGCTTGGAATTTCAGCTTGATGCAGTCAATCTAGTAGTTAGCAATAGTGGCATGCGGAAAACTTCAACACCGGCTTAGTTGGATGCTGAAATGGTGGTGTTCCTCTGCCCCTAAAGCCAAGAATACGACATTGATATCACCCCCACGATGTTGGAATCTGACTCTCACGCACTGAAGACAATGCAATATCGCAACTCGAGTTTCTGGGGAGTAAATCGCGCATTGCAAGCCTTATGTCTTTCCAAGAGGTCAAGGCGGCCGATGTAGGCCTCCAGTAGCATCAAGAACTGTACGTAGGGTCCAAGATGTACGCTGGTAGACCAATGCACTCGACTATTAAAAAGATGTGATCCCAACCCATTTGTTCTTGCTTATCATCATCACCATCGGCATCTTGATCAAACATCGCAACAATGTCTGTTCCTGCTGATCCCTTGAACTTTATCCCCGCAGATCTCTTCTTCCCTACTGTACCCGGCTTCCGCAAGCCTAGGGACGTAGTCTCTGTTGAATCATCGCAGTCAATCAAGCCTCTCGACAAGTTACGTTATGCAGCTCACATCACCCTTGCAGGTGTCAACGGCGACTCTGAGACGCACTGCTTGGTTCAATTTGTCACTCCATTGATCTGGAGAATCAGATATGACCCCAAGTACACCAGTCTCAATGACTTTGACAGCACCAACACGTACGTAACATGAAAGACTTTTGAGCTTACTCTAATCCCAGTGCAGACGTACAATTGTCAGAGATACATTTCCTGAGCTTGTCGATGGACTTCAGCACGAGTACCGCGACTCCGACGCCTGGAATTCTTATCCTGCTAAAGGTGAATGGTATTGGAATACATCTTTTGTGGAGAAGGGGCCAGGCCATTATGTTCTGACTGTGAGATCAACATCCAGATTGTCTTGTTCATACTGACAAGAACAGGCCAACGAGTATGCGAACTCCACCGCCGAGGCTAAGCCCAAGACCAGCTTGCATATCTTTTCATCTCCATTTCGCATCGTTGTATGTTTGTATTATCATTGCGCTAGATATCGGCTGACACTTCACAGGCTACTAGAAAGCTCACTGTGTTACCGGAGGGTGATCAAAGTATCTCGCAATCCGTGGGTATCAACAACGCTTTAGAAGTTGAACAGATTATCTGGCAAACCACCGACCAGACATTTTCCTACGAAACGAACGGAAGTATTGATGTGATCAAAAATGTTGTCCTCAACGTCAAGAAACCTGGCCCTGCTGAGTATCTTGGCTTTGGTGAACAGGGCGGCAAGACTGTATTGAAGAAGCCTACTTATTTGAACTACTTTTGTAAGAACTCCTCCAATCCAGAGATAATTCAAGCTAATTGTTTACGTTATAGGCTATGACAACTTCAACTATCTCAAGGTCTACGGCAAGGGTGCACTTGATAGTAGAGAGCCGCTGTATGTATCATTTGAAGCATTGAGAACAAAGACTAACAGTCTAGCTATCAATCGTCCCCATTTTACCTTGAGATGAACGGAACTCCAACTTATCAAAACGTCACTGGTGTTTTGGTGGATAATTATTCCCAGGTTGCTATTGATCTCGGCAAGAATGATTCCAACATCATCAGCATTGCCACTCGGTTCAACACATTTGACGCGTACATCATGACAGCTGACAATGTACCAACTATGATCTGGTTCGTCATTTACTCATACACCTCTTCCGATCAATACTGACAATCAGATGATAGGCAATACACGTCTATTATAGGAAGACCCAAGCTCAAGCCCAGATACATTCTTGGACACCATCAAGGATGTAAGTTAAAAACTCGCTACGTGAACTATCTATATTGACAATTGCAGGCTATGGTTACTCTAACGAGGGCACGGTATACAATGTTGTCAACGCTTATCGTGGGTCAGACATCCCGCTTGATGGAATTCATCTCGACGTGGACTTTCAGGTAAGTCAATTTTGCCTTCGCCACAGTGGTACTAACGAATTTCAGGAACGCTACAGAACATTTACAGCCAGCACAGTGAACTTCCCCAACCCCAAGGCCTTTTTCAGCAATCTTAAGAACCAAGGAATCAAAGCCTGCACCAACATCACGCCTATCATGACCCTCCGAACTGAGGTTGCGGGTGATTACAAGCAGTTGGACGCCTTCTGGGATCATCAGAACCCAAACAACCCGGGGTCTAAGTGTATGCTGGTGAAGGACAAAAGATACAAAGACGGACTGAACAACTATCCTCCAACATACTGGAGATATGATGGTCCCAACAGCAGCGGGCCACTTGCGAAGGGTGTCAATCCTACTGTTTACGGAAACGATTACTATGGTCAACCTCAGCGTCTGTCGTTCGCTGATTACCCCGGAGGCGAGGTCTATGTGGACCAGTACAACTTCGATGAAAACTACAATAGTGGATACCCATTCCATGGCGGTGTCAGCTATGGTCAGACTTTGGGAACTGTGAGTACCTGCTCACTGGCATTATAGTTACAGGATGAACTGCTAACGTATATAGCCTGGATACTACCCTGATCTCAACCGAGCGGATGCCAGAAAGGTCTGGGGCGAGCAATACCAAGACCTTTTTGACGCTGGTCTCGAGTTTGTATGGCAAGACATGACCACACCCGCGGTAGGAAGGTCTTATGGTGACATGCTGGGCTTCCCATCTCGACTCCAGATGACCGACGACAGTCCTCACGGTGCACCAAAAGCCAAAACCGCTATTGAACTGTGGTCACTCTACTCGTACAACCTCCACAAAGCCACATTCCATGGACTTAACAGTCTCAAAGGGCGAGAGACTAAGCGTAACTTCATCATTGGTCGAGGTAGCCAAACCGGAATGCATCGCTTCGCCGGTTTATGGACAGGTGATAATGGTAGCTCTTGGGACTTTTGGAAGATCTCTGTTGCTCAAGTCCTTGCACTCGGTTACAGTGGACTGACTATTGCCGGTGTCGACATGGGTGGATTCACTTCTGACCCAACTTCGAACTCACCGTATCCTCGTTGGTGCAACCCCGAGTTACTGATCCGATGGTACTCTGGTGCTTTCCTCCTACCCTGGTATCGCAACCATTACATGCAGCATTGGGATCAGGAATCCAACCCACCAGCCAAGGTGTTCCAGGTCAGTTGCCCCTACACGGCTCATATATCTTGATGCTAACGAAGTACAGGAGCCTTGGGCGTTTAGTGACGTTTTGTCGAATCAATACGCCCATCTGATTCCTGAAGATCAACGCGTCTTGTATGCTGCTGTTGTCCCCATCTGCCGCTACTATGTCCAGCTACGATACACTCTTCTTCAAGTCATGTACGATTACATGTTTGCCAACTTGATCAATGGTCTACCCATCGCTCGTGCAATGGTAATTACCCACTTCTTCAAGTTTTTGACTCTTACTAACTGTTGTCACTAGCTCATCACTGACCCGCTTGATACGAATCTATTCAACAACAACGAGGACTTCATTGATACACAGTATCTGCTTGGTCACAACATTCTTGTTTGCCCCATCGTAGACCCTCAAGTATTCAACCGGGACATTTATCTCCCCGGAACAGATTTGTGGTACCCTTCCAACCTTGAGGTTGATAACGGCAGGAACTTGGGTCATGATCCTATCCTCAAGCATGCTGCCGATCTGAAGGAGCCAGTACAAGGTGGTAGAACCATCAGCTACGGATGCAGCATCCGTGCTACTTTCGGAAACCTTGACAATATTCCTTTCGTTACTCCTGTCTATATCCGTGGTGGTACGTGTTTATGTTATGCTAATGGGATGGACAATCCTCTAATAATTTACAGGTGCTATCATTCCTCAAATTGGTGTTCGTCAGTGTATCAAGGAGAACGACCACAACCCACCGACAATTCACTTTTACCCCGGTGGAAAGGGAAAAACGGTATGTTTCATGCAAAATATCTGCATTGAAAGTTGGACTGATTCTTGACTTTAGAATTACTCAATGTACCTTGACGATGGTGTCAGCAAAGACAGCGCACCTATCAATCTACCTCAGTACAAGTATCAAGACAAACCTAAGAAGGAAAGAAGCGCCAAGGGCATTCACAAGGAAGTGAAAATGACTCAGGTGCGTATCTAGACTTGATATTTCACGATATAGCTAACATCAGTACAGGAGACCACTAGCACTTCGCGAACTCTGACAATCTGCCATCCATGGGATGGATTTGATGCGACACCAACAGTCGGCGACGCTTACAACTTTGCTGTGTGGACTGTGAAGAATGGAAGTTCACCTCAAGTTCAAGTTTCGTTCGAGGATGAGACTGGCAAGACTGTCACGGAGCTTGGCCTGCAGTACAACTACAATGCTGGCCGAGGCGTCTTGACTGTCAACATCCCTGTGGCCCTTGTGCCGTCTCATGACTCCCCTGTTCACACCAATGGTACCTCGAATGGCATTGCCAATGGCGTGACCAATGGTTCCCCTGCCAAGAAACCACTCATCGTTGTGAAGATCACTGGTCTTCCTTGAAAGGCCATGGATGAAGAACCGCGATTCAGATAATATTTCCTATGTATTTTCTTTAACCTAATAATTGAGATAGTATCAGATCGTTAGAATGAATATCACTGTTAGTTTCTTGAGACGATAGACCCAGGATTAATTGACATCCATAATACTGATACACTTTGATGTTAGTAGATGACGGAAATCAAGTGACAAGTATGCAGCTCAGCTAGGACGTCATTTGTCTACTCCAACCCATCAAGCACAAGACTCTGCCAACTCGCACTCCAATCCCCAGATTTCTTTCTCCCCTCCCAAATCAACGGCACAACCACCTTTGCAGGTTTAGGCGTAAAGTAAACCCCCTTTTCATCCGTCACACCCAAACACGTCAACGCTCTCTCCTGTAACTCGGGCGTCACAGCTTCGCACCCCGCTACAAAAGCAGGCCACGCCAAACTCGTCGCAAAATCTTGCTCGTCGATCAACTCGCTCAAGCAAGGCTCTAGATAATCCAGAGTTTTACGGACCTGGTCTTGGAGAATCATGGCATTCATGTCGTAGACACGTCGGTAGAAGTAAATTACCAGTGCTTGGTGAATGGCGAGTGTCATGGAGCGGATCTGCGGTTGGGTGACGAGATCGTGGTCTGCTGTGGTTCTGGAAGATATTTCAACGGGTCCTGCAGAGTCCAATGTCGAGGGCCAGGCCCATATTCTGCTTTCCAGTGTTTTCGTATGCTTTGCCAATGCTTCTGATATGCTTGAATTGCATCGTGCGACATTCTCCAGACGTGCTTTCTCATTTGACAGAGAAACAGTCTGACTCAAAAGTGTCATCAGACTCTCGGGAATACCGTATATCACTGGGTACAGAGTGTGATTCCATTGACCTTGAATCTCTAGGTGGATATCGTTGTATCCTATGTCGTCTGTCTTTTCTTGTGCGGGATCAAGACCCATGTTCAAGCCCTCTTCTGTAATGCGGAATGTTCGACTGAGGTCTCCAACTTGATTTTCGCTGGCGGCACTCTCAGGGAGAGCTTCTGTGCAGAGAGACATGCTTTCTGCGATGACACGTAGGTGGGTGTACATGTGGTGCAGAAGACGAGTTTTGAAGGGATTTTGGTTGACAAGGCCTCTTAGGCGGATGAGGCGTTCAGCGTCGAGAAGGAATATTCTAAAAGCACGGGTACCATTATGGAGCTGACTTTGTCAGTGTTTGGTCGACAGTAATGAGCAATTAACTTACCGAAGTCATGGCCATGGCGAGAATTGCCATCAATAGCTCTTTATAGCTAGCTTGCTTAGGCCCAAACATTTCATGCTGAAGCGCTTGTCTCAGGTGATTCTGCGCTCTTTCATGATTCTTCAATCCAACTTCTTTCCATTTAGAATCTGATCCTGAGATGTGAAGCTGAAGTGCACTATGTGCGAGAAGAGTATAGAATATTGATGAGCGAGTATGAGATGCCTCATTCCAGAGAGATAACTCTGCGAAGGTCTCGAGCGCACAGGGAAGAAAGATTATCTCCCAGGGAGATTTGCGCTTTGCCTGCATTGTTGAACGTCCAGTCATGTTTTGTCTGTAGTGTCGGAGTAGATATTCTGCTTCCTCTGGTAAACCTGTGCGACTGGACGGTGTGTCTCCTGGGTACGGGATTATATCAGTGACAAGTTCTGGGTCGTGGGTCTCCTCTGGCTCATGTTCAGGAGGACCGATGACCTGTGATATAAATCCTGGACTGAAAAGTGCTAGCCCTTCAGCACCTATATGATCATCCATGAAGAAGCTTGTCATGGATGAGTCATGTACTTGATCCGTCATACTCGGCTCTTCGATGAGCCCAAAGTGTGGGCCCAGTGATGCGGTAAAGATATCCATGTCATCCGTAGGAAGTTGGTCTGGCCACTCGGAGCGCTGAATTTCCTCAATGAAGCCGTCTGTTTCGGGATACATGCTGGTGAAAGTATCATCGGTGTTTGTATCCGGCGAACACTCGATCGTATCCGATGGAGATATTGTCTCTCCCATTGATTGAAACACACCGAATGGACCCTTGACCAAAACTGAACCATGATCATCAACAGTCATCTTCTCACCAGCAGAGTCGATATCAGCTAGAAGAGACGCTGCGGTTTTTCTCTTCAAACTCTGAGAGAGCTCATCACTCATCTCCTTGCGTTGACTCTCTACTCCACAAATTAGCTCCAAATCCACATTTCGGTATGATCGGAAAACGTACCGGAGAAGAGTGGGTACCGATACTCGGAGCCCCGATGGCTCTGCTGCAACTCGGGCCTGACAGCATCATCCGTGATCCAAAACAGCCTCGCCCCATATCCTCCACATGTCAACCCCAGACGTTGACACGTGCCACATTCAGGCTGAGCCTCATCGCATTTCGCATGTCTGCTTCGACAGGTGCGACAGCCTGTAAACGTTCTTGTTCGTTCTACCTTGCCACCACCTGAGCCTGAACCTTGTAGCTTTGGCATATTGACAGAAATACAGAGTGAAGAATGACGAGAAGGGAAAGTGGATTATCCAAGAGAATTGAGGAACAGAGTAATCTGTTTTTGAAAACAGACATGGAGGAGGTGATATGGCTGTTCGTACTTTCGTGAGGTCATGACGAAAAGAGTATGTTTCCGCGGGGCTAGATATCTGTGGTTAGACTCAACTTTCGGTTCACAATATAGACGAGCTAGTGGTGACTAGAAAAGTCCACCACCCCAGTCTTAGGGTGCAAAAATAAACAGCCTAAGAAGCTCATCCTGACTCGCATAAGCTGACCTGCTAATTTCGTCTCTGGTTGCTTCGGTGGCCAAATTTTCTAACACCCTACGAGCGGCGTCCTTGATGTAGCGTACATTTCCATAAAATTGATCGCGGATAGTGTCAGGGTCGAGAAGAATAGGTGTCTCGGTGTAATTAATAACTTGGTAGACTGTCTCGTCATATAAGCCGATGACACTTTGATGGTTTTAACTTCCTTCGTCTGCCGTCTATGAAACTATGTAGTTCTGTAACATATGGTTGCGTCCACAAATACTTGTTCCTTCATACCCCTCATGAATACATGTAGTCATGGGAAAGATATTACTGTATCCCTCGATGTGGGATCCATTCTCTGTCGCATAACCATCCGAGCCTTCTTCAAAGATCCGACATCTTGGGTTGGGACCTTACAAGTGGAACACGCCTCAACCCAGATGCGTCTGAAGAGACTTTGGTACCCTAGAGACGATGAAAACAATTCATTCAGAACCACACCGTGGAGCGACCAGCCTCGCTACTAAGTTACATCAACAAAATAGTATCTGTGCTTGTAAACGCACGAGACAATAATACTCGAACCGCGCTGCCCTATGTCTCTGCCTATTGTAATAGTACTATTCTTGAGATTATTTTAGCGGAATCACTTGTTGATGTCGAGACGAAAGACTATCTAGTTCGAATAGCAATTTCCTTTGCCGTTGAGAATGGTCACGGACAGATTGTATCGCCACTCTTGGAGCATGGTGCAAATCCGAACTCGAAGGATCTGACTGGAGCTTACCTGTTATGGTATGCATTACAATGCGGCCATGTGACGGTTGTCAGAGTGCTTGTGGAGAGTAACTATCCATCACACTTAGAATTCGATACTAGGTCGCAGAGGGAGGATCCTCTTGCGTGTACGTTATCTAATGGGTTCCATAACATTTTCGAATGTTAGCGTAAGAGGACGGTATAGTACCCATGGCGGTTGGGTCTGGTACTGTTACGGTTCCTGAGTTGGCGATTAGAAACCGGGGAAGAAAGTATAGCTCCGAATCTTGTTACGAAGTATGGTATAGGTGGAGCCACCAATGACCACCTGGACTCCTGGCTGCTGCTACTTACATCGGGAGCACGAAACTTGTAGAGCTTTTACTATGGACTAATCAGGCTAATTCAAAGGCAGGGCGACAAGACGAGTTCAAGGGGCTTACACCTCTTATGGTAGCAGCGGAGCAGGTCTTTGTTCCTTGTGCTATATAGATATGTCGCAAGTTGACTAACAGCTTGGTATTCCGGTATCTCTTTGCATGTGCTGAAGGAAGAAGAAGTAGGCTGCTGAGCTGGTGTTGCCTTGAGAATAAGGCTTCATGAGCCCTACCTCGTGAACAAGCACCGACCACAGTGACACTTTCCCTACCAAAAAAAAAGGGCCCTGCCTGACGTGTGCTTCGTGTCTTCCAATCCACTGCCCGGTCGATTATTTTAACCTCCAAATCATCAGCACCTTTCGGCCTTCTTTCTTCACAACATCTATCTCACCTCACGCCCACATTACCGTCATGGATGACCGAAAGCACCATCAAAACGAGGACGATTTGTCCTCACGACCGTTTCAAAAAAAAAACCCGTTCGGAATCAAAAACGGAATCTTTCGATACAGGCGACCAAGTTTCACAAGTGCCTGAGGATGAAGCCTCGGAGCCTCCGCCAAATCTGGAAATTGTCGACGCGGTCAAGGAATTTATTTGTTCTCGTCCAGATGAAGACTATGCACCACCCACTTTCGACTGTGTAACGATCACGGTGCGCGTGGACTCCGCAGATCATCTTCTTGTGAGAGTCTATCAAGAGATCTGTCCAGAGGACATTCGGGGCCTTGATTTGAACTTGCTGGAAGTAACGTCCGTGGCCACGGATGGTATCGCCTTCGAGTTTGCCTCTTGGCTGGCGTGTATCTTTAAAAGCGATGTCGCATCTTTCGAAGTCATTCCAGTTCATTGCGAGGATGTCTGTCCTGAGTTCAACTCTTCTTTTACTGCCGTCCCCGAGCCAGCGATGGAATACTTGTACACCAAGTACGCGATTCTCACCGACTACGAACCCGTTACGAGTGAGGAACAGACAGCGATCAAGGATCTCGTTGCGTTAGAGGCACGCGTCTGCGAGTTACTGATGAAGAACCCCCATCCAAATATCGTCAAATACTGGGGGTGTTATGTTGTTGACGGCAGAATTCGTGCGCTCTGCTTTTCGAAGTACCGGATGACCCTTAAGCAACGCATAGATACTGGGGTACCGTTTGATACACAGAGCTGCGTGAAGGGTATTCGAGACGGTATTCTTCACCTGCATAGCTTGGATCTCATACACAACGACATCAATCCGTACATCATGATTGGTCCAACCGATAACCCTGTCATCATCGATTTCGATTCGTGCAAACGAGAAGGAGAACGTTTGGTCAAAATGGGAACTCCGGACTGGTTTGATGAGAATTCCAAGACAGCGGTGCCCGAGAATGATTTTTACGGTCTTCGGAAGATTGAAGAGTACCTGTCGCTGCCAAAGGAGAAGGTTGAGAATACGAATTAAGATGTTCGCATAGAGGGTCAGGAAGGGGCGGGGGCTTTAATGGTCAATTCATGTTTCCACCTGAGCACTTTCAAATTACTCCAATTGACTCAGTAACCGATGTCTTTAATCCGGCTACTATTATTGATAGCTCATACAACATGTCTAGCTAGAGTAGAATGAACAAGCATCCTAATGGCATTGAAGCGTGGATTTGTTATGCACTTGTGTAAATTGAATGAAAGAACGCATCTTGCTTGAGCAGCTATCTGATACCCACCGGCTGTGCTGAAGGATAGATGTAACTTCACATGCTTAAACTAGTATCAAAAGTCCACAGTATGCTTTGATATTTTTGTATGGACAAGCAGTTACATAATAATAACTCTACTCTATTTCCATCATCAACGACCCGAGATACTCACTGCGACTTTTGCTTTCAGGATCAAAATATGGTCGCTCACCCACGCTTACAGCCCTGGTCCCTTCTCTTGCACCAAAATCTCCATATAGGTAGTCAGGAGTAGCTGCGTGGTAGGTACAGCGATTATCCCAAATCGCGATGTCGTTGACGTTCTGCCACCGGCTTCTGACTTGCAAGTCATGATTCTCTACGACAAGCTGAAGAAACCAATTCAGAAAATTGTTTGACTCGTCTTCGCTAAACCCGTTTATATGACTAACATGTTGTCCCACGGCGTAGATGCTTTTCCAGCCTGTGACTGGGTTCGTACGGACAACGGGATGGATGGCTTCGAGCAATTCACCCTTGTTCTCTGGAGCACCGCGCTCACCGGTGTACATTTGCAACCCATTGTCACGAGCGTTCTGGTTGAAGCCGGGCTGAGCATATGTTGCTGTGAGCGTTTCAAGAAAGGTTCGCAGTGGATACGATATTCTATCGTAAACTTCATATCCCGATGCCCAAAGAGTATCTACAGTCGTAAGTATACGTCCACCAATAAGCAAGGCTTGGGGTTTTACGAACCTCCACCAGTCTTTGGTAGCTGAAGCATCCGTAGTAGAGTGTAGTCGCTAGGAACTGGCTCAAAAGCGATGTCTGAGTGCCATTGGTTGCGCTGAGACTGCTTCCTTTCTAAGAAGCGCGATGTGTTGAGCTTTTTAGCCTGTTCTGATGAAACCACACTTATCTCGTCGTCGGTATAGTTACTTATATTCGAGTTGTTGACAGGATGGATATGCAGTTTAGATGTGGATGGCTTGCCAGATATTTCTCCGAGACGCTGGACAAGTTCTTTCTGCAATTCATTCGTGATGTTATCTTGTTTCCGGAAGAATACTACTCCTCTTTGAGAAACTAGAATGCCTGTATTAGTCTTGACTTAATGGAGCCACTGTAGCATAAGATAACATGGTTGAGGCAGCTGACTACTTACTGATAATAGCCAGATCTCGAATGAGTTCATCTGAGTTTGAAGCTCGTAGAATGCTTGCAAGATCCACGGTGAGATATTCACGCCCGATGATGGGCGTTAGATCAAGATGTTCGAATTGATTAAAGGAGCCCTCGCTTTCGAGGGGTTCACGGTGGCCTGTCAGGACAGGGGGATAGTCCCCCTTTGGAGGAACGGATGAACCTTCGTTGCCGAGTTTAGAGGAAGGGCCTACCATTGTGACGAGATGATTGAGATTCCGTATATCGAGGTGAAAAACCACTACCCCGATTCTTTGTGAAGATGCATGCAAGGTTAATCGCGCATGCAGGCTGCGGCTTACTCCTCACTAACATGATTGGTCACATGTTACCAACAGGGCGCTCTTGACATAACATGGTGTTTTTGTAAATGATGTGATGTGTGAGAGTAAGGTTACTTTATGAGCCTTACCTTTCGTGACAAAGCTGCACGCTTTTCGAGGTTATCATAGAGCGGGCATCGACTATATGGTCTATAAGCTTACGGCTTGTTGCCTATTACCAACTGCGGACTATAGGTACAAATCAGGCTGGCAGCTCACGCACCTCAAATCTTGGCTCAGCATCACTCAAATTTAATTGGCTAGAAGCTCATAAGTTCCTTTGACTTATTGGGCATTTTTATCGAATGCTTCAGACCCCTCATATTGCTTACTTTTGCATAGCCACCTTTGAGGTTGAAACTAAACACAAAAGTCAACAGGCCCCCAACTGAATCGGGTGAGCTTTACTATCACAATTCTGGCAGGTTTCATCCGAAAAGACTACATTATTCTCTAAGGGCTTTGCCAAAGGGTTCTAGGCGTGGGATGGATCCTCTTAGCATCACCAGTGACTCAGTCGCTCTGGCCGCTGCGGTCTACAAGTGCGTAATTGAAGTCAAAGGGATTGTTGGCACAACCACCCACACGGCCGACTCGCTCTTAGATTTATCTGAAGAAGCTAGATTAATTCAAGCAGCACTGGAGGGCGTTGAGGACGCCTTGCAGGATGATCAGGAAGCAATCTCGCGATACAAGGTTGAAGGGGTCTTCTCAATTGCAGTCAAGGGTTGCCGTGCGACTTTGGCATGCATCAAGCAAGAATTTGAGCTGCTTTTCAATCGCAGCGACTGGCAATCTTGATTTATGGCACTGTGGAAGGAAGACATGAAGGGGTTGCTTGGGCGCCTTTATCGCAAACGAGAGAGTATTATGCTGTTGCTTCAACTTCTAAGCCTGTAGGTCGATCCAGAAACCCAATATAGTATCTTACTAACAACACGATCCTAGATTCCCTTGACTCGGAGAGAGCTTGACCACATGGAACCAGTTGAGGATCTCATTGACTTGAGCTGTGAGCCAGGTCAAAATACTACCTCAATGTCATCACAAATGCCCTCCCAGTCCTATCCGGACCTAGCAGGTCTGCAGTTCATGCCAATAACTGCGCACGAAGCAGCTGACGCTAGGAGTCTTGACACATCTCATACCGTCGAGCCGATAGATATACAAGGGATGGTCGACCTTTTGAAAGAATCTGACATATTACCTAAGTCAGGAGATAAGGGTTCCCCGCATTGGCTGTCCAAAGCCCGACGGTGACAGCAAACTCAAGCGCGGAATCCTAATAGTAGCAAGTTGACCCGTGGACCTTCGAAGTCATCTACAAACAACCCTAAGAAGATTTTAATTCCGCACTCTAAGAAAAACAAAGGCAAAAAGGACATTTCTGTTTTTGGATTGCACATCTTGGATGCTATAGGAACGCTGATGAAGTTCATAGGCTTCTTCTATATAATAGCCCTCATTATTGATGTTATATATATCCTTATCGGGAAAGTATGTTATTAAGAGAACCTGAATTTGATGTTCAGGATATTAATCTGTATAGATCTTTTATTAGAAATTAGAGTAAATTGACAAAGAGAATTCTGTTCTTGGCAGGGACCCAAAGACATTCTCATACAAAAGTGTCGAGATCAGCCGCATAAGCGTCACTTGATTCCCATCACCTAGCTAGCAACGGCGTAGTTCAATAGTCGTGTCTCAATGGATAGCCTTGTTGAAAGGAGCAGTTTCTCCGTTTGGATTAACCAATAGTCAGCTCTCTTTCAATCCTTTGCTGCAGGTTGCCTAGTTAGTCTTTCAGCTTCTGCACGTGCTATACACACAGAATCCTTCTGCAGTTTCCGAAGCCGCGTTAGTTAAGCCCAATTGGTAGATCTGAAGTGTGGTGGCTGACATCGGTGAAGCTAGGACTTTATAGGTCCAATATTAGCGACGGTCAGATATCAGGCTCTGAGTTTCGAGACAAACATGACAACCATCTCAAGATGAATGGCCTACATACGGCTATGTATCTGATTGTCTCCTGTTCCCCCAGTTCTTATTTCCATACCTCTAAACTTTCGCTTGCTCTGCGTTTGGCGACACTTCATCTCATCCAAATCCCACCCTCCATTGACGATCTCAGAATGGACAGTTCACCAGTCCAGACAGTAGTCCTCCCACCGGATCCCGTTTTTGGATCCGCCGATCCAATAGCATTTGCCTTTGCCATCGTCGCATCAATCCTCGCGTCCCTCACACTGATGGACCAGCTAGCCGGAGCCATCAAGCGAGGCGCAATCCTCTCCATCATCAAAGGAATGAGGTTAATCTTTGCACCCGATGCCGTCGATGCCTTTCATCTTCATGGAGATATATGGGCAAGATCAGATGCACAGAACTTACTCATCAGTCATCCGGGCCTGATGCATCTCATGCTTAGACACCCATGTACCTGGTCACCCTGTCATGACCTCGATCGAGCAAATCTCGCCATGACAGATTTTATCAATCTTTCTTGCATTCGGGTTCTAGACGATTATGATGGCACAACCAAGATTATGTTCTTGTTTCGGTGGGCTATTTCCTCTGTTTACGCGCTATGGCTATGGCATTTTCGAAGTAATCGGGCATTCGCTGAGAAAGAGTTCAACGAAGAACTAGATCAATGGTTTCTGTGTACTGTTGCAAGCTGCACAGATATGTCGGAGGAAGAGATGCGCTTCCTGGAAAAGATAGCTAATCTGCGAATGCTACGTTGGAACAGATTCCTCGGAGACGATGCGCAAAAACTTGCCTGGGAAGTCCCGCAGCAAAGGAAATACACGACGCTGTGGCTTCTTCTTGGCATGAAAGAGATTCTTGGAACAAATGACAAAGAAGGGTATCATAATATTGGCAAGACAGGTACATGGGTCAGCATTGATCACGTCGGTATGGCGGTACACTTTAGGTTTGGGCGCAAAAGACTTGGTTTCTGGACTGCCTGTCGCATATGGAATCTTGAGGGCAAGCAATGGAAGACTCCTGCCGGACATGCAGAATTGGCAATGAGCCCGAAATTATCCTGTCAACATCGATTGACGAGCGATATACCAGACTTTGGCAACTGCGTCGACGTTGGCTTGAATTCTCTCTTTTTTATGAGGACGGACAAGGCGTTCGTCAACGATCTACTACATCTCTTCGAAACGTTAGGCCCAAGTCACGTTCAAGGCCTTTTAATACCGGACGACCAACTCGCATCGCCCATCGAGATTATGCAGCTCAGTGCAAGAGCTTTGAAGAGCTGGTGTCGATGTACATCGATGTACAGATCCCTTCCCAGCTATCTATGCTGTGTTCCCGTTTGCGCAATCTTCCTCCGAGGTGAGGCCATAGCCAACATTGCGAACTTGCCTTTGCGTGCTTCGGGGCAGATAGTCTATATCATCATACCCAACGGGAAAGGTCTTCCAGCTCAGGTAGTGCCCACGGATGCTCCTTTAGTTAAACAGGGAGACAAGGATATCATTACATGTATGATTGCTTTTCAAGGGAAGGTGATTCTTGATACGGGTGCTGCATATAAGCCCGTTGTACCATGAGAAGGCGAGAATAAGAAAAGGCTTGAGGGTCATTATGTGATATAGAAGATCTTATCACAGACCAAAGAACCTGGCACATAAAATTTAACATCGTGTATCGATGTTCCCACAATAAACGGCTGTGAATCTTTTGTCCATTAACAATAAGAGACTTGTTGTAAAGAGGGTTGGCCTCGCCGCTTCCATTTGTGGCATCCAAGTCTTGCATAAGTAGGTACAAACTTGCCGCGATAGCCTCTAACTGCACATACCTGATCCACCAAAGTCTTAATCTCTGTTCTCAGGGTCCAGCGCACAACACTTTGACCCCATACTTGTATGCAATGACCAAGCACGAAGATTCCACGGCACGAGCCGAGTCAATGCCCTCTCCACTGCGCACTCTCCAAAAGCATCGTCGCAACCCGAAAGGGATCTATCGCAGCCCTAAGAGCCAAAAGGGCAACTTAATAGACACCATGTCAGCTCTAACAAGCAAGGGGATCCCTTCACCAGGCACTACGTCAGCTTTAATAGGCATCGTCGCAGCTCTAAGACACGTGGGCTCTCCAACTAAGACTGCCTAGGTTTGTAGTCTGCCTGGAACAGAAATATAATGTTTTAGTTCAAATCTCCTTCAGCGGGGGAATGAGACGGCCTAGCCGCTGTCAACGGTAGCATTGGTGAGAGTAGTAGGGTATATCGTTAGTTTCCGCCGGATGGGGAGACTATCTTTGTTAGTGGTATTGGCAATGTTGGCCCAACTCAATCAATTGTCTTGTGATGGGTATTTGCACTATAAAGTTTGCCGAGAATCTGTTTGCGATGGTGATGTTGGAAGCATTAATGTTTTTGTCTCACAAGATTGGCGTGTTGATGAATGTATACTTTTTACATCCACCGGCCGTTCTTCAAAGGGTCACAAAGTGTTACACTAACTTCAAATGAATGTCATTCTGGAATCGATCTGTTGGTTGAATCATAGACCGTAAATTTTCGGCAGCGGTACCGTACCTCTGGGTCTGGGCCTTTGTTGATGAAATGGCTTTCAGTAGCGCGGCCACGCCGACAAAGGTGGACTCGTGTTGATCTGGACTTTCATAGGCCCGGGATATTTTTTACCATTCTTTTCTCAGCCCTTTGATCGAGATTGAAGTAAGAAAAAGAAAGGAGGTTTGCAGATGGGATGAAGTGAAAAGTTATAGGGCTGAGAGCTGACGTTGTGATGTGGCCCACGCACAGCGCACCGACTCATGTCTGGAGCTGAATGTGTACGTGTTATTGAATCGACTGCATGTGAATGCAATATATTTGATGTTGAATGATGAAAAGTCAGTTTGAGACCAGAAACATCCCTGTTATCAGGCACCTAGTCTAATTTTATTTTTGTATTGCAGACTGATTCTCAGTCGCCGTCGCGTGAGAAAGTGGTGATAATTGAACTGTGATTACCCTACAGCCTCACCTGCCACATGGCCCTTCAGCTCAGGGGCTGTCCCAAGAATCAATTACCAGCTCATTTGAACCGGCGCAATTATCTATCCGCTTCAAACCAATCCCAATCAATTAATTACATACATTAGTCTGTTTACCCTCTCCAGCTGATGACATCTACGGATAACGTGTCCCGTGTTGTTTCCTGTTTGGCTGTAGCTGTGTTTCATTAGCAGATAGCCAAGATCAAATTGCCATCCTTCTTGATGAGCTCTGTATTTGTTTCATGTTTGAGGCTAGGTACTCTGCGTTACAACTCTCTCATACACTGGTGCTGACATGAGTGGTCCCAGACTTTTTGGCGCTGGTTTCAGAAATGTCTTGTGAACTGTCGATCATTCGTCCCAAACACTTGGTATGGATATGACGGAGTACTACTGCATCTGTCTCCGGCCCGACAGGAAACGATCATCTCCAATTATCACTCTAGCGTCCGAAGCGAAACGGTAATTTGATCATAGCACATACATAATTATCCCGTGAATTATCCCCATCAGTTGACATTTTTTTTTTCCATCTTTATCCGGGTTCCAATCTCCTGGGACAACCGAAACGGAGTTGGATGCTTCTTCTGGAGTAGTATTTCCCCAGTTATCCCAAGAATGATAATGGTGGCTTTTTTCTTAGTGGCAACAGGGGGGCCATCTCGCGTGATAGGAGAAAAAAAAAGAGCAGCTATTGAAGTGTGTGCGCACCAACGGCTTCGCGGAGAATGATGCCGTAGGGGAACCAGTCTGTGTTGGTTCGTGATCAGATCTAACGATTGCATCGTGGCGCAATGTCTGTGTTTTTTTCCCTCCTTGGTGTCTTTGCACTGACCTCTTGACTACGGGACAAAATATCCGTGACATACCCAAGGGTCCATCCATTAACTATGAGTGTGTCAATGCGACAAACATTAGGCAGACAGCATCTGGAGCTTAATCACGGCTTGCTTGTATCGAGTTAATTTGAATAGAGTTTATAAACAGAATTACCTGGCTTAAACATACCCGAATGAATGGTTGCCCGCGCAAGCCACTATGGATCGCGATGCAGATTCGAGATTTGGCCCGGATTCCGCGTTTGTTTGTCGTTATCAGCCACGTTCATTCGGGAAGTAAAGTGTAATTTGTTGGAGGTGGCTCAGAAATTAATGGACAGTTATCTGTGTGGTGGTAAAATAATTTACGTGCCGTGCCGTCAAAATTCGGACACTCTTTCCGATCAGATTGAGACCAGGTCAGGCCGAGTTCAATTCAGGCTGGAGAGCGGAGACTTGGATAAGCGAGGTTAGATGAGATGTCAGATTCAGATCCACAGATCCGAGAAGAAAAAAACGACAGTTCACATTCAACTCCATCATTTGCCACTGAGGTCAAACGTCTTTTTATCCCTTGCTTCTTCTCGTTCTTCGGCTTCTTTTTCTTTTTCTATTCTGGTTCATTCCTTTGTTCGTCCCATGTGGCTAGAGTGGAAACAAAGTGTTGGCGTCATTCCAGTCCCCCCAACAAGGTTACAGTTTATCTTCACTAGAACATGTAAATGACCAGAACAAGTCTCGGCTACCAAAAGACAAGGTGCAAGAAATTAATTCAGTGGCAGTCAAATTGCAAGACAAGTCTCAGTTAAACCGTTACAAAATGGCCTGACATCTCGTCATTTGTCTCTGACTCTTACTCTGACTCCTTGCATATCCCCAACCTCGAGTCTATCCGTTAAGCAGGGAGACTCCAAAGAAGAGATTGATCACATTATCACCAAAGCAGAAAAACCTGGAATGAAAAGTGATATTCCCCAAAAGTTAAATAGCAATTAAACTTCTGGGAACTTTTATTGGAATGCGGTTTGTTGCCGTTTGCCAGAGACTCTGGGGGAATGCGAAATTTACAGCGCCAATAGAGTTAATTACAGGCGGCCCCAGAGCCCCGGGAGTAAAAAAGTGGTGCGCCCGTAAGAAAGTGGGAACGTGTTCCGGTTCTTTGGGATGGGATGCATATTGCCTTGGCAGCTGTCAATTAATTACTGATACATCATAATTACTGTCTTGCATATGATGAGATCAGTGATAAAAAAGCAAAGTGAATGAAGTTGGCAGGTTAAACACAGAAACAGACGAACCTCTAAACGGTAACTAACTAACCCACCACCGCTAACCTCCCCTGTAAACTCCATGCGACATGTCCTTTTTCCATCACATCAAATAATGCCAAAACGAACTGTTGGTCATCCCTCTTTTTTTTACTTTTCTCATCCCTAGAAATCCTACTCTGACAAGGGAGAATAACCTCCATCATCAACCACTTTATTATTATTATTATTTTTTTTTTTTTATGTTTTGCTCGGTACGCCCCTTTCTTTTTTGTCAGAGTGGAGATTGAACTTACACCGGATCGAGCATCGCGCGGGAGATAAGCGTCAAGCTTCAGACCAAAGACCAAGGCAAAAGAGAATCCAGACCATTGGCGCCCTTGCATATGTACACTCCACGTGGCAGTTGGGTTTCCACCATGGACATGTTTGTACAGTGTAAAGAATGGCCATCTATTCACAGCAGAGAGGATGAAGAACAAACAATACCAAGGGTGGCGTTCATACCGAGGCTTGGATATAGATATGCGAGGCTGTTTAATTGACAGGGTCACATTCGCTGTGGACTACCATTTCCCATTGATGCAACACTACATCGGTAATAGCAAAGATTGACGATTGTCAAGGTTTGTATTGACCACACGCTGGCTTGTCCTTCTACAGTGGAGAGACAGACGGTCCCTAGTCAAAAGTCGTTGAAGGGGTCCGAGACATGAGCGCACCGTAGAAGCAGGGAGTCTATACGAAATACTATGTACATTTACCCGCTGAAGGATCCAAGCAAGGGATTATCACTTTCGAATCGTTTTGTTTATATCGAATTGAATTACTTATTTGTCAAAAAGGACTCTCAATCCCCTGTCCTGGTTTGGCGTCAGGAACGTCTGCATTTTCCCGATATCCTAGCGTAAAGTAAAATGTCCCATCCATCGCCAACAGACACACAATCCCCAAGCTCCAAGCCACTAACTAGTCTTGGGTGCAATCTTGGGTGCAAACTTTACCATTTCTTGTTCACCCTGCAGTAACAAAATGTCTCAGTGAAAGGGTGGCAGGGGCATTGAGGTAGTAGAACAGATACAGATAAACAGGGTAGTCGCCCTTTTTCGCATAAGATCTAGGTCTACCGAGGATATCCCAGAGTTGCATTGAAGAATAAATAGAGCACAAAGCATAAACCTGGCCAATATTACGAGATGAGATGAGATGAGATGGTGACTGCTACCCTCGAGTCTGTTTGCCGTCATCTACCTCGGTAGTTTGTATTTCTACTTAATCTGGACCCATCGATTCGTCATGCTTCACTCGGAAAAGTCTCGTAAAAAACGCCGTCTCTCTAGTTAGTTAATAATGACCGTACTTTATCTACCACCATTTATCTTAGCTGTGCTACCTTATTGCTAGGTGGTCCGTAAGATACGTACAAATCGTCAACTGAGCTTGGACGACACCACCAAAACACACCCCGGAACCCCCCTAGCAAAGCTTATTGGCCCCCTGTAAGATTCGTGGCTTTTTTTTTCTTCAGAGTTGAGCGAGAGACCTCTCTCGCTGTATCACCAATTCTGTGCACGCTCTTTGCCCGAGCGCGCATTTATTTATTGGTTATTGTGAATTGTTACACTGGATGAATTGATTTGTCATATCTATCTCCCTCGCTTTCGTCTATATGCATTATCGTCCTTGCAGTAGCAATGGAACCCAAGAAAGATGACCTCAAGTAAACCCGGCTTAATAGCATAATAGATGCCCAAACTTGACCAAGAAGAGTAATCTGCCCCGTCTCGTTAGTTAATTGACAGCTATCTACTACTCACTGTGATATCTCAAATGCCACAGCGTACCAGGGGTACAACCCCTCCAATGTTTAGACCCATGCTCTTAGACCCATGTCAAAGCGCCGATCTACCACTCAAGCAGGGGTTTCCCTCTGTCTCCCTACGTAAAAAAAAGTGATCGATGTGATGCGAAGGGAGTGGACACACCTTGTCCTGGGTCCAGTACAGTCCGGTAGATCCGTTCAGACGCATCACACTAAACCTGTTGGACAACGCCTCTCCCCTTCAGCTCTAGACTAGACCCTTGCTTAGTCCAGACCGGGTAACAGAGCAATTCAGTCAATGTCGCATCGCATACCAAACTACGTATGGATACTTGGAGAACTAGGGTCCCGCTTACTCTTTCACTTTTACTACAGTGCGGTACCTGAAGAGCTGACTGGTATGCTATTCCGCACTTTGGGAGCTCAAGATATGCTTGGCTTGCGGCCTCGACTCGACTACTCGCACAAGACCATACTCGTTCTGATAAAGCCTGTTGCTCCCGCTTTCCCTTCCCCTCCTCTCCCCTTCTACTAAGAGAGCCCATATCCCCCCTCTTGTCTTCCTTTCGCTCTTTTCTTTTTAATAATGACCACTCAAATCGCTTCTCTGGGTCCTGCTCCTGCTCCTGCTACTGACAAGGAATACTCTTTCTTCGAAGCCCTTGCTCTTGGTCCAAGGGAATCCTTCTCTCTCGTCTCAAACGAAGCCCTCGGTCTTCCCAGCAGTCCAACCAGCCCAACCAGACCTCAAGCTCAAGAGATACAAAAGTCGAGATCGCCACTGCTAGGTTCTCTTCCTGAACTTAATCCATCTGCTCGACCCGTCACGCCTCCTCATACCAAGAAGCGCCTCGCTCAGATTTCCGCTCAGGCGTACGTTCCCGCTAGTCCTGCAAAGAGCACTGCAGTGCCACCTACATCAAAGTCTGCTTCCGCCACAGCGCCTCTCAAAAAGGCACCCTCTGTCACCACAGTTTCCACCATTTCTCCTCCTAATACTAGCGCTGCGAGAGCACCCACCGCAGCTGCAACAACAAGAACAGTTCCCCGATCGCTCAACAGCAAAAAGAGCACCACAGTCATGGCCAACAGCGTAAAGGCTCAGAGCGCCTGCTTGGAGCTATGCCACAAGACCACCGCCCTCGGCGACCGCATCTCGGTTCGCATGCTAGAGTACCTCACAATGGTGACCAAGCAACCCCACGGCCTCGACGTCCTCGCTCACGACTTCCTCGACACATGTGAGATCCTGTTCTCTATCGAGGCCGGCCTCGGCGAGTGCATCCGCAACCAACAAACCTTTCCCGCCGACGTCATCTCAGAGCTGAGCAAGAAGTTCCGCGTCACACAAGCAGACTTTCAGCTTCTTGACCAGATGCTCGGCAGATTCTTGGAGAATGAGCGCAAGGGTACCATGGGTCGCATGCGTCGTGGATGGGGTCGCATCTTTGGTGATAACGATATCGAAAAGATGATCAGCGCCCTCGGTCGCACACGCGAGAGTCTTCGCATGAGCGCTCTTATGTTCCAGTGGAGCTTAGGCAACGAGAAGATTGAGAATGAGCTCGGTATCGGATACACCGGTCTCGCAGCTGCTCTCGACCGCATGGACTCCCGCGCTGGTGTCGCACCTCGATCAAAGGTTTCCGACGCTGGTGGTTCTCAGTACAGACCATCTTCTGCCTCTGCGCATCGTGGTATTGAAGGCCATGTCATGTCCATCAACTCGCAGCCTCCTCTTCCTCCTCTCCCCTGGGCTGAGCGCTCTGCTTCTCTACATACTGACCCCATCGCTTCTATTCACAACGATGCGCGCTCATTTAGCAATCACCACCACAACACTGCCAGTTCAGTGCACTCCAATGAGCGATACCACTCTGGAACAACAGCTACCTTTGATCGCATGAGCACTTTTGATGAGCACCACGAGACACGGTCGCAGCACACCCAAATATCAGATAGTGAAGTCTCTCTTGAAGAGCTTGCTGGTCTCGATCTCAACGGTGGTACCAAGGCTGTCCGCATCAAGGCTGACCCCTTCAGCATGCCCCGCTGGAACCCCCGCAACACTGTCGGTGCTGACGCCACGAACCTCAAGACTGCTCTCATCAGCGCTGTCCGTGGCAAGAACCACAAGCTCATCGAGCAACTCCTGGACCGTGGTGTTTCTCCCAACACTGGTTCTGATCATCTCGCCCTCAAGGAAGCTGTCCTCAACACCGACTCCGAAGCTGTTCGTCTACTTCTTCTCTTTGGTGCTGACCCCAACGGTATCGACCGCGACGGCATCACCCCTCTCTTCGCTGCTGTCGAGCGGTCTTTCATTGCCGGCGCTGTCCCTCTTCTCAAATACGGCGCTGATCCCACTTTCCAAATTGGCCCCGACAATGAGACTGCCCTTGCTGCTGCCTGCATGGCCAACAAGGTCAACTTTGCTCATCTTCTCTTGATCTACGGTGGCGACCCCAACCAGTTAACCGCCACTGGCGAGACACTTCTCAGCGCTGCTATCAACAAGAAGACACCCAAGAGGTTCATTGATCTCATCCTTGACTACGGCGCTGATCCCGATCTCAAGAGTCGTGAGGGTAAGACTGCTCTCTTTGAGGCTATCCAGAACTCTCGTGTAGACATCGTCCAGAGTCTTCTCGACCATGGCGCCAACCCCAACTTACCTGGCCCCAAGCACATGCTCTGGCCCGCGACATACCAGTCTGCATGTCTGCAAGTCCTTCTCAACCACGGTGCCGACCCCAAGAAGGCTCCTGGTATTATGGAACTTGCCGTCAGTGTCAACAACATCGAGTCGGTCAAGATTCTGCTCAACTCAAAGGTCGACCCCAACCAAAAGAAGGATGGTGTCTACACTCCCCTCTGCACATCGATCCGTGACAACCGACCCGACATTTTCCATTTACTTCTTGCCAACAAGGCTGATCCCAACGTCCCTGCTAGCGAGTATCCCGCTTTCAAGTGCATCACGCACAACCGTCTTCAGTACCTTCCTCACCTTGTCGAGGCTGGTGTCAACCTTTCTTCGCCCAAAGGTATTGTCGAGACTGCTATCAGCGTCAACAACATGGAGGCTCTTACATGGCTTCTCGAGAAGGGCATGAACCCCAACGACAAGAACCCCAAGGGTCACTCACCCTTGACGACTGCCATTCGGGAGAACAGAGTCGAAATGGTCGACTTCCTCCTCAACCACGGCGCCGACCCCAACGTTCGAGGTCAAGATTGGCCCGTCTGCATGGCCGTCCGCAACCCTCCCATCCTCAAGCGCATCCTTTCTGTGCTTGCCGAGCCCCGCGCCTTTAAGGGAGTCATGGAGATGGCCGTCGTAGCCAACCAGCTCGAATCCGTCAAGCTCCTCCTCAACGCCGGAGTATCAGTAGAGGACAAGAATGGCGGTGTTTTCTCTCCTCTCACATCCGCCATCCGCGAAGACCGCAAGGATATCGTGTGGTTCCTCATCAACGAAGGTGGCGCCGACATCAATGCCCCTGGCGAGCATTTGCCAGTGGTTAAGGCCCTCCGCCGATACCGCGGCGACGGCGAGATCCTCGAGTTTCTCCTCGAGCACGGTGCGGACCCCAACAAGGTCTACCGCGGCTGGAACGGTGTCATGCAAGCCGTCGAGAACGGCGACGAGCAAATCCTCCGTCTTCTCGGAGAAAAGGCCGGTTTTGACTTGGATGTCAAGGATGAGCTTGACCGATCCGTCACCGAGATTGCTGCTTCCAGAGGATGGGACGAGGCTGTTGCCATTCTTGAAGAGTACGCCATCACAAAATCTCCTTAATTTTTTTTTCTTTCTTTCGATGATGTGTAAGATGATGAATGCTTCTGGGTTTTGGGGAAATTATCTTGGAGTCTTGTTTGCTCTTGGTCATTGGGAATTGGGTTCATCCTGGGTCTTTTTTTAACACACTATATCCTCTTTGTTCTGTCTTTGTCCATATCCATCCATCTACACGCTGGTACAGTAATACTGGACCGATTGTACTTGCTCAGTCTTTAGACATGCATATTTTCTTTGTCAAATTTATTTATGATAATATTCATCATCTCAAAATGAAGCTCAACTTTACAATAATCGTCTGTGTATCCTGATTGAAGGTGAATGAAAGTACGTGAGTGTAAATATTCGAGGTGGCCGTCGCAGTTGGTTGTTTTAGTGGATGGCTATAGTGGTCAGCCACTGCAACATCACCTGTCGGCGTGGCAGTTAAACCAACACGACCGAGAGTAAACCATCTCAATTACATCTCAACATTTTGACTGACTTGATCTCAATTTATTACTTTCTGTCTACATCTACAGCCTATTTCCCATATTTATATGAACACTCTTAATTTGCGTATACGCCTCCAACCCTGCCTCACCAAGCTCCCTCCCAATGCCACTCTGCTTCACACCTCCAAACGGCACTCTAGGATCACAATCCTGACTACTATTAATCCAGACCATTCCCGCCTCAATCGCCGCAGCGACTCGATGCGCCTTTTCCAAATTAGTCGTAAACGCAGCAGCACCCAGACCGTACGCCGTATCATTCGCCAACTCAATAGCTTCCTCCTCTGTCTTGAAGGTAGAAATAACCACCACTGGACCGAAAATCTCCTCGCGGAAGACCCGCATGGAGGGCTTCACGTCGGTAAAGACTGTAGGGGAAATGTAGAAACCCTTGTCTGAGCCGTTGATCTTGAGGGGACCACCTCCGGCTGCTACTGTTGCGCCTTCTTTCTTGCCAATGTCGATGTACTCAAGAATTCTCTCGTATTGCACCTTTGACACCTGGGGTCCTTGGTATGTTTCCTTATCCCACTGGTCACCCACTTTACTCACAGTGTTGAGCGTGTTGACGAACTGCTTGATGAATTCTTCATAAATAGTCTCTTGCACAAGAATACGCGATGTCGCAGTGCAAATCTGGCCTTGGTTCGACATGATGCCGAAATGAGACCATTTGACTGCCTGGTCCATCTCAGCATCGTCAAACACCAACAAAGGCGACTTTCCTCCCGTTTCAAGGGTAATGTTCTTTAGTGTCTTTGCCGCGACACCCATGATGTTGGCAGCTGTGGCTGTAGACCCCGTAAACGCGATCTTATCCACCAAGGGATGCTGTACCAGGGCTGCACCTGTGTCTTTGCCTAGACCATTGACGATGTTGACTACACCAGGTGGAAAACCAGCTTCCTTGATGAGTTCACCCAAGACCAAAAGACTCAAAGGCGTCTGCTCAGCTGCTTTGATGACAACTGCGTTTCCACAAGCCAATGCAGGACCGAGTTTCCACGTAGCCATAGAAAGAGGATAATTCCAAGGAATGATCTGCGCGATGACACCAACAGGCTGACGAATTGTGTATGCAAACTTTTGAGGAGTCGTGTTGATGGTTTGACCAAACGTTTTATCAGCCCAGCCTGAGTAATAACGAATAACACCGACAGCTTCAACGAGATCATTCTCTAGAGTCTCGATGTACGTCTTTCCGTTATCCCATGCGTCAATGGTAGCGAAGAGTTCCCGCTTTGACTCGATGAGGTCTGCTAGACGGGCCATGAGTTGACCTCTGTCTGAAGCGGGGAGGTCCTTCCATGAAGGGTGACGCATGGCTGCTTTGGCGGCCTTGACGGCTTTGTCGATGTCTTGTGCATCAGCGGCTTGGACTGTAGCGATTTCATTTTCGGTGCTGATGAATGTGAGTGAGAGTAAATAGATGAGGGGGAAAAGACTTACGCGGGGTCGATTGATGTAAGGGTTTGACCACTTGATGAAGAGACGAATTCATTGTTGATGAATAGGCCTGTTGGTTGAGACCATTTTACCCCGTTGGGAGCGGTTAACTCGATTGAAGGTGCCATGATGAGATGAGTAGACTCTGTGAGATGAATGAATGAATACTTTGAGTTGAGGTCGAGGAGTCTCTTGTACTCATAGACAGAGTAGCTGATATGCTGAATAGTCACTCCGAATAGAGAAACTGACTCGATGAGAATGGAGAGCAGTTCCGTAACGATAGCATCGCGGTGGCCTTCTCTTTTTAAAAACACGCATCCACTGCCACCATCACCTGACAGGACAGGAAGGAAGGTGAAGCCTAACTCCACTGTATTTATAGTGACCCCGCACTAAACATTCCCCGCAGTGGGTGAAACAGCCAGCGCACTTTATCTCCTCTTTGTTATCACCAACACGACATGCAACACGCAATCAAAGATAACAAAATAGGTAAGCAATCTTTACTTTACTCTAAGGAATCTCTCAAAGCTTGGCCTTTTTCGCCTCAGCCTCTTCAGCCACAGCTCTAGGAATCTCCTCATCTAGACCTGTCTCAGTTGGCTTCCAACCCAAAACTTCTGTGGCGCGACGAGGCTTGCTTCGAGCATTGCTACCGAAAAAGACTGAACCGGCAGGTAACGCTGTGTCTACTTCGGGTTTCCATAGCTCTTCTACTTCTAGCGTATCTATATGTCCCTGATCCTTTGCTGCTTGCGCTACCTTGTCCGAGATGTCGGCCCAAGTCTGTGAAATGTTAGCAACAGTCAGTTACCCTGGAGAATGTTGGGTGCTTACAATCTCATTCGAACCAGGGAAATAAATTCCATCTTCTCCCCACATCTTCTTATCGTCATTTCCCTTGGCGGCATTCTCTGTAAGGATAACGAATAATCTCGCAAGATCCGCGACGTGGACATTTGTCCAAGCTGCGAGACCTTTACCCGCTCTCACAGCGTGTCCTCGCTCCAGAGCAACCTTGGCCAAAGAGGGGATCTGCACGCTGCGCTGCTTAACAGGACCCTGTCCTTTACCGTAGATAATAGGAGGATAAACATTGGCAGTCTTGATGGAGGGTGTTTCCTGTGCGATTTTGAGGATGTAATTGTCTACCACGCGAGACTCGTGGCTGCGGATGAGATCTTTGATTGACGAGACACCGTCCAGGTCATCCCAGACCGCGTCAGAAGGCTCACCAGGCTTGAAAGAGGGGGACGAGAGATCCTTTACAGGAAGCAGACTTGCGCCCGAAATTTGGATCAAATAAGCTATACATCATTAACATCATGTCTGACAATTGATTCAGTGCTCAACTCACCGCTTGATTTGTTCTTCAATCCTCGGTGAATAGCCTGCAGAGAGCCAATGTGCTTGTTTGACGCGACATCTAACCAAGTCAGTACAACCATCAATATCTTTTATGATACTACCTACTCAGCACAATATCGGCCTGTCCAGCCTCTTGTTCCACGAGTTTGCTGTCGTCCAAATCACCTACCACAGTGCGCACCGTAGAATACGCCTGTGAAATTGTCTCAGCGGCATGGCTGTCGCGCACAAGCGTGACGATGTTGTACTCGGGGTGAGTCTTGGAAAGCTCACGAAGGAGCTGTCCACCGACGTAACCCGAAGCACCAGTTCTGTATTTTGTTAGTAAGCGCGACAGACAAACAATTCAGTAGTGGTCTCACAGAAAGATGGAAGTCATTTTGTTGTGTGTGATGGATTATTTAGGCGCTATGTTGCACTGAAGATTCACTAGAGAGGGGTATCTATTTATGCCCCTCCAAAACAATCACCAAGATTATTATTATTAAGCTACAAATTACGACATGGCGGGGAAGAATGATCTTGATTGATTGCAAAGCCAGTGGTTTAATAATGCATGCTTATGAGTAATGTTTGTCGCGGAAGCTTACCCTTTTCAGAGACAACACCTTAAACAATCAACACCCCACTATTTACAGCTTCGGGTCGTCGAGACTTACCTATTTTTGACACAAACACCAGAATGAAGGTCATTAACCATCACGCGGGGTTGATCGGATTTGGTAGAGATAAACAGATGAGAGAAGCATATAATACAGACAGATGAACAGCAAGTTCACAAATTAATATCACATATTCTCATCATACTCATTTAAAATGGCCCCTCAAGAACTCACAGGCATTCTCGTCGCTCTCATCACCCCCTTCAAGGACGATGGCTCCGTCGACTATGAAGCTCTCGATGCTCATATCCAACGACAGATCAAGGCTGGTGTCCACGGTTTCGTCCCTGGTGGAAGCACAGGAGAATTTACTGCCTTGACCGTCCAAGAGCGCAAGGACGTTCTCGCCCAAGTCGTCAAGTCAGCCGCTGGCCGTGTCCCCGTCATCGCTGGTATTGGCGACCTCACCACTTCCGGTGTCGTTGACCTCGCAAAACACGCTGCTGAGGTCGGCGCCGCTGCTACCATGATTGTTCCTCCCTTCTACGATGCCCCCAACCTGAAGCAACTACGGGGTATGTTTGAGGAGATTTACAAGGAGAGCGGTCTTCCTATTATGTACTACAACATCCCCAGCGCCAGCGGTGTGAGTCTATCTCCCGCTGAGATTGCCGGTCTTTCAGAGGTCGGCGTCAAGTATCTCAAGGATACATCTGGCAACGCCCCTGCCCTCACAGATCTTCTCTTCCACCACCACAACTCCATCACTGCTCTCAACGGATGGGATACTCTTACTTTCTACGGTCTCTGCGCTGGCGCAAAGGGATCTGTCTGGGGAACCACAAATGTTCTTCCCGAATTGTCAGTCCAGCTATGGAACGCTATCGCCGTTGACGGTGATCTTAAGAAAGGCCGTGAGCTTTGGAGCAAGATCTTTCCCGTGTGCAAGTTCCTTGAGGCGCATCATTATGGAGCTGGTATCAAGACGGGTATGGAGTTGCAGGGCTACAAAACTGGCGGTTTGAGGAAGCCTTTTGAGCTTCTCGAGGGTGAGGAGAGGGCGGAGTTGGCGCAGCTTCTTAAGGATGCTGGTGTTACTTTGGCTTAGATTAATGCATTGGGAGTGTATGTGGTAAAGATTCAAAATAGTAAAATAGACAAACTCGAACATCACGATCATCTTTCACCGTAGCCATTGATATCTCGGCTATAATCCTGTCCAGCTTATTGTTACCTGCATTGAGTGGGATACCTTGTTTGGAGTTTTTTAATAGACAAGGAGTGAAAACACTACTGTGCCCTCGTAGTTTTTATAGATGTGGATAGCTTTAGCACCAATAGCACAACTGCTTGGTCTGATAGAGAAAAACGCCCGCTATTACCGTACCGTATTAACTCATGATATTCGGTAGCGCCTATGGATTAACAGGGGATTTTGTTATTAGGCCAGAGACGTTTTAGACTAAAAATGCCACTTCTCTTGAACTGATCAATAAATGAAGACCGCCGGATATGGCTAACGGTGTCCACAGGCGCTACCGAATGTCATGAGTTGATACGGTACTGTTACATATCTGTGATGACACTATAGAGACTAATGGTCACTATTTCTATCGTCTGTTCCCTTTTCTTCGCTCTGGTAAGATGCTTAGTATACAGTTATAAATATAAATTGCTGTCTAGAGCTTGTACTTTGATGCAAGGCTTGATACCCATGTTGAGTCCTGCGGCTTTCATCAACTTGATTCCTGTGATCCCTACTGTTACACATCTGTCATATTGCTGTTTAGGTCGCTGTTTAGTTTGACAAGATTGAGAATGAGCTGCGAATCATAATTGTGCTCTAACCACAACCCGTTGCAGTAAAGTACTTGTCGAACTGAACGCCATAAAGATCATGCATCTGATCAGTCCAGCTATCACCATGTTGACAACTAGGTAGTTACTTTGTTAGTCATAGCGTAAGTGTTCTTGTTGAGGAGATTAGTCGTTGGGATAACCCAGTTTTAATGTATTAAGTTTGTTTTACGTATGGACTATCGCGTAGGACTCTGAATTTACTGAGAAGGGTTAGGCTTCTCCGTATAATCGAATAGTCTAGACTTCCTGTGCTGTCGCGGTAGGCTTCCTCCGACATAATTCAGTGTCTGTGCATATTTGTCAACGAAATAGAGTGGATCGATGCCTAGACAACATCCTGGGGAAACGTGGAGGGCCAAGAAGTTCGGAGCTGAACCCCGACATCGATCCCTTGGCACTTGGCATCTCCATCTACTTGCCTGTTCCGTGAACTGAATAAACGGAAGTAGTTTTAGTTAACGGTCAGTAGCAAAAGGGGTTCTATTCGAGACGGGACTTGCGAAGATTGAGCGGTCTGTATTGGAAGGGTACGGAAGTCGATGACCTGGGTTCTCATGCCCTTCGCGATCGTATCACAAGATTCGCCATTGACAGTTACTGCTACTATAAGACTGCATGGAAGTTACTCAAACAAGTGAACACCCTTACTGTGAATATCCTTATGGATGGCCACTCGAGATGTTGCACCAAGTGTTTTACTGGGACGAGCTTATCAAGGCTCGTTGTCACTCTGTCCTTTCAACTCCACATTATACCGACGCCCCCGAAAGTCAATACGTCTTGTATGGGCCAATGTGGATGTTGTTACGAGACAACCTCTGGTAGTCTTACACAGCCACTTGAGATGAGTCTAGACTTATGAAACACTGATGACACTGTAGATCATCAAATATGTGCGCTGAAGATTCAAGGTATGCTTGCCACCATCACACAATCCGCGAAAGACAAGTACCGTGAAGGCAAGTATCGCGATAACCAGACAATCTCCTGAGAGAACAGACCGGTCTTATAGTCAGGCCAGATATCAATACAATACGAATGATCTAACCGAAAGCTACGAGGCAGTTATTTGCATGATATCGTGCTCGAGCCATCGGAACATGGCCCGTGTATACACCCATACTCCTATCCGGACATTACAACACGAAGCATGAATTCCTCAATCAGATTGTCGAATGTTGTATCGTTACGGAACATCACCCGTTGGTCTTACTATCGGCGCCTCCGTTTAGGTTACTACCGTCATCGGAACCGGTTCCACTACTTGAACAGGCTGACAACGGCTGAACAATAAACTGGGGAATTTAGCATTTGGACTCGTTTCATCTACCGTCCCGATGCTTGCCGTTATCAACGTTGTCCCCAGAATATTAGACAAAAGTAAAAATGCCTCGTTAATCTAATCTGGCGCCGTCAGTACCCCCTTCGTGTGTGCACAGATGCTCACGACTGATAACGACTCGCGGAGGGTTTCCCGATGGGTTACCATCGGGTCATGCAATCAAGGAAACCCCCTAATCCGTACAGGGGTTAAGTAAGTAACCCCGAATTCGTGAGTGTAACTGTACTGGGGATGACTGACCAACCATAACGCGTATGCGCGAAATAAGCCGTTCCAGAAGGATACTGCTTACGGGTAAATTGGAGTCGACAGCCTCATCTGTGTCTGCCGAGGAAGAGTTTTTGCTTGTCTATCGGGAATGCCGAGAGCTGAGAAACATCTCCGAAAATCTCCAATTTCGTGGTGAACTTGAAGAGTGAGGACTGTCTCTTTTATCAACACTTGACAATGGAAACACACGGGAAGATGAATGTAATTAAAGGCCTCTTGATCCCACAAAAAAGAGGATATCGTGTCATTGTCAGTGCCTGTTTATTCGTGCGGAATGTTGGGGTTTCTCCATAACTTGGAGACGCCGACCGGATCATGTCCCGATTTTTGTGCTTGTTACTGGGGGAAAATGATGGGGTAGAGATTACTGTAGGTAATGAAAACTCAGCCTCTGACGACTAAGAACTATACGTACTCACTGTGGAGAAGTGACTTGAAGACTTGACTCGCTAAAAAAGTTAAACCCATCAACAGTGGAACATAACGAACGTCATCGCTCAGGCCTCTTTTTGGACTGACCTTGTTTTCTTTTACGTGATAGCTTCTTTCTGTCTCAACAAGCACCTCATCTTCTGTGGAATAGACCCTCTTTCTCCACGATTTCATCGTTCTTCCCCATGGGGGAGTTCAGATGCCAAGCTCATATAACCTCTGTGCAAAGAATTGCTGAATGATGATCAATACGTCTGTTCATGGCTTTCTCCACATAAAGATATGCCAATCATAGATAAGTCCCGGGTTCTACTATCTCGGACATAGCGAACTGGGGGGGGGGGGCGATAGAAAGAACCTGTCTTGCAGGTTTTCGTGGTGCAGAGTATGTATCATTTGGGGGAGGAAATCGACTAACCCCGTATGGGTAAAACAACACGGGGATCGACTCCATAGCGTAGTTTTCTGGTGTCTTGACTAGGGGGGGCAAAACTTTAGCACTCCAATTCCCTCTGGTCTGGTTAGGTTTACTCTCATGACATACTGGTACCATGGCATGACAGACAGGGCCAGAGCTCCCGTCTCTCCAGAATGTCCGAAATGGATCTTTTGTATAAGTTAAGCCCACTATCCCCAGATTTTGATCATCTCCTCTCCACATTCCACTTCACTCTCTCTTCGTCTATCTCTACCTCCCCTCTCTTTCCTCTCTCTCCCCCTTCCTGTCTCTCCCCCTTCCTGTCTCTCACACAAATACTATTCAACTCTTCAATCATTGAGTTGTCTAGTCAAGATTTGTTAGTTCGTCTATTGGTCAATTGACTTTGCCCTTTCATACCGACGACAACATGTCGCACCACGAGAACAACAACCTTTCCGAGAAGGATATCAAGCGCGACTTGGAGAATGACCCTAATTCTCTGAACAACACTCCTTCTATCGCTGGAGCCCAAGTTCACGATGATGTTTTTGGTGATATCACAGATGAAGGTCCCAACTACCGAGCTGTAAGTGACATGTTACGCGCATCAATTGACTCGTTACTAACATCTTTAGGTCGGATGGATTGGTACCGTCGCCCTTATGATGAAGACCCAAATCGGTCTTGGTGTTCTGTCCATCCCAGCTGTCTTTGACGTCCTCGGAATCGCTCCAGGTATCATCTGCCTCATCGTTATCGCCGCCATCACAACATGGTCCGACTACATGGTCGGCGTCTTCAAGCGCAACCATCCCCAAGTATACGGTATCGACGACGCGGGTTACCTCATCTTTGGTCGCATTGGACGTGAGATCTTTGGCGTTGCCTTCTGCCTCTGTATGTTTCCTATCACCAGACCCTTATAAAGTATTTACTAATTGTCCATAGACTGGATCTTTGTCGCAGGTTCTGGTATGCTCGGTCTTTCTATCGGTCTCAACGCGGTCTCTCTCCACGGTACCTGCACAGCTGTCTTCGTCGCTGTAGCAGCCATTTGTGGCTTCTGCCTCGCCAGTGTCCGTACCCTTGGCCGAATCAGCATGCTCGCTTGGGTCGGTCTGGTCTGCATCATGACCGCTATCTTCACCGTCACCATCGCAGTCGGTGTCCAGGACAAACCTGCCGATGCGCCCCAAGACACCGAGTGGAAGTCGGACTGGAAGGTCGTCGGCAACCCATCCTTCACCCAGGCTATCTCATCCATCTCGTCCCTCATCTTCGCCTATGCTGGTACACCCGGTTTCTTCTCCATCGCTGCTGAGATGAAGAACCCTGCTCACTACACTCGATCTTTGATCGTGTGCCAGACTGGTGTGACTATCACTTACCTTGTCATCGGTATTGTTGTGTACCTGTACTGTGGATCTTACGTCGCCTCTCCCGCTCTCGGTTCAGCTGGTCACTTGATCAAGCGCATCGCCTACGGTATCTCTCTGCCTGGTCTTTTGGCTACAACCGTCCTCGTCATTCACTTTGCCGCCAAGTACGTCTTTGTTCGTCTTCTCCGAGGAACTAAGCATCTCGCTTCCAACAGCGCTGTCCACTGGGGAACATGGATCGCCTGCACTCTGACCACCACCGTCATCGCCTACCTGATCGCCTCCGGCATTCCCGTCTTTGGTGGCCTTGTGTCTCTTGTCGGTGCCCTTTTGGGTACGCTGATGTCGTTCCAGCTCTACGGTTGCATGTGGCTGTACGACAACTGGGCCAAGGGCAAGCGTGACCCCAATGTCAAGTGGTACCTCATGGTTGCTTTCAGCATCTTTGTCATTGTTTCTGGTACCTTCCTGATGGTCAGTGGTACTTATGGATCCATCGTTGGTATCATGGACTCGTACAAGGCTGACGGCGGATCGTCTGCTTTCTCTTGTGCTGACAACTCCAATTCCACTTAAGCGACAGCGTCTGTTTTGTGTTTTTAGCATTTCATTATCCAAAAGGGTAGAGAGAAACTTATCTAGAGCGGTCATATATTCATATTTTATGAGGTAGAAGAATAGACATACTATCCTGTTACAAAGAATCTTCTATTGCTATGACTGTAAACATCTTGAAAATTATAGCTTTGGCTTGTCCTTGTTCTCCGAACTATCGAGATTGCCTGACAATATGGCATGTCGGATTCAAAGCATCAGATGTCACGTAAAGAAACCTATGTTTCTCAGTCAATTGACATCTGTGAAGACATCACCTCGAAATGAATACGATAACCTTACACCTCACATGTACTCCTTCAAGACGTCAACGACGAGGCTAAGTCGCCTCTCCAAAAAAGACGTTGCGCCACTTCACCGAAAACAAATCTCCACTTCGCTCTCGACCTGCAATAGCTTCGATGCCATTATCAAAGCGCTATCATCATATCGAGATTGTAAATGTGGATATTTCAGATACCCACACAAAAGCAAGATTCTAGAGTTGCATCCGTTAAGTCATAGGTAGATCCCTCACATGTCCATCCTGACGTCTTGGTCTGGACCGATCAGCGGGAGCTAAAAGCTTGTTGTGCAGGTGGAGGCGGCTAGGTGAAGCCGGTACTTTGACCGTCTTGACGGGTACAGCTGGAGCTTGAGCTTTGACTTGGGCTTGCAGAATTTCTCACGGGACGGTCTAGGCTGGTCTGATTCTCAGTAGTAAGCTGTCGTCTGTTGATGTTTTTGAAACTACCATTCGTGAAACACAGCTGGACTGTGATATATGGCCGCTATGTGAAGAGCTCTCAGTTGGGGAAATACGAATCCGACCTGGGTATGGCGTCCAGCATAATGGTCAAGTAATTGGGCCTTGAAACACAAACTCTCCAACATTAACCCCTGCTTCCAGGGTTCGGTAAATGCTTTTAACAACCAAGTTGGGAAAGCTGTCCAGGGTGGGCCGACCCAGGCATGAGGCTACTGTGACTTCCCGCCAGGCTAGCAGCAGCGTGGGCGGCAACCGTCGGCAAAGAATGTACAGCCCTGCAAGCTGTTTGGACCGATCTCGGAACAGGTCCAATACGGTATTTATCGGCAGAGTTGAGTTGAACCTTGATTTGGGACTGGGTCCCCATAGAAAGTAGAGACATAGACTCGCTTTATGACTATGTATGAGTAGATATAATTATGTATCGATATCTTTTATCTGACCTATTCTGATTTCGAACGGAATTACAGACGGCAGAAGAATGCCAGGTAACACGCCGGCTATCCCGTCAGAGGCAGCAACAGCACGTACCAGTTCCTGGCGTAATGATTGAATATCAGCTCGTGATCGAATCAAAAGATTGGTTGAAGTCTGGCTCAACACCAGGAAATGCTGATACCACTCTTTGGAAGCATATTCATAGCACTGATTGTTATAGCTCACATCGGTCGAATCTTTCCCGAGTTCAACATTTACAGTTTCCTGGTCGCCTTGTAGCTTCCTCATCTCAAGATATCTCCAGCAGATTCGAAACATCAGACGATTGGCTTCATCCAAATTAGTCTCGGAATATGCCATGAAGACACCAAGATACATAAGAATTGTCCTGAAAAAGGCAATGACGATGCTGAGAGGGAAGAGCTGGAGCGAAACCTTGTCCAGGTGCATTCGCAGAATCTTTCTGAAGTCGTAGATCCAAGGAGCGGACAATAGGTCTAGCTGACGGAAATCTGATATCGACCAGTCTCTAATCAGACAGCTCTTCATCAAGTATTCCTTGGCTGTTTGGTGTGTCAGATTGACAGCGTCTGTCTTATCATCAAGAAAAAGTATAGGCTTGCACAAAGTCCAAATGTACTTTCGACAATCCAAGTACATTGTATCCGGGATCCTATCGCATTGTTTCATCTTCCACCCCAGGCAATAAGACATTGCCAGTTCCCTCTCTGTCAGTGGCCTACGAGCAGCAATGACGCAATAGAGGATAAACCTCACGCGCCTGTTACCGTGCGCCGAGGTGATCTTGTTTAGTATTCTATCGTATACCTCGCTTAGCTTAGCGGGCATCACCTTGTGGAGGCTCTCCTCAGTTACGTAGTTGGACCCTACGCGGCTGAGAAACTGATCAGGCGTTTCTGTTTTTAGGTACTCAATGAGGAGTGATACCCATAAAAAGGTGCGGCCTGTCGCATAGTAAAGCCTCCTCTTAATCTGTTCACGAAGCTCCAAGGGATAATTGGCAAGTTCCTCTATACGGGCATCAATGACCTTCACGATATCATCTTTGATATCGTCTAAATGTATATGAAGGCCAAGGTAGGACTGGGGCTTTGTGACTTCGGATCTGCAGTTCACGAGGATTTTGGCTTTTAGCGGACTTGCCTCATCACTCAAATGGTTGAGGAGATCGGAGACTTGAGAAGGTAGGCATTCATCCAAAGCATCGAGCAAGATGTAGGCCGTTTGGGTCAAACCCTCTGTCATCTTCCTCAGGCATCCCCATAGGCTGGATAGCTGTTTGAGGTCAGTTCTTGACACATGCCGGACGTGATCAAACAACTGCGGCTGCTGCTTTAATAGCTGTGCAATTAAGGAAAGGATAGCAGTCGTAGCGGATGATTGGTTGTCCGCCCTATCGTCAAAGAAAAAGAACAGAACGATGAGCGGACAGTCCTTATCCGAACTTTGTTGCAGATCGTCGATAATTGTGGTTAATATGGTTGTTTTACCAGCTCCTGGGTCTGCGGATATCCAAAGACGATTTTGTTCATTTCCGTATAGCCAGTTGTGATACTCGTCTCGCTGTTTGATCCATTGGCAGGTCCCTGGAACTCGCCGCTTGGAGGCTTTGATGGATTCCAGAATACCGTCAACATCAACAAGTCCTGAATTGCGGATCCATTCATCGCACGCCTGTCGATCATACGCTGAAGCCAATCTTTGGTTAGTTGTATTCTAAGTGGCTCCTACATACTAACATACCGTGGGACGCATGCTCAGCTCCAAGACTAAAGTTCAAGGTACTACCGCTCTGATGAGTACAAGTATCACTACACCACACTGAAGTGAATTAAGCTGTACTTACCCGGCGGTGACACTTTGTGCCACCAATCCCGTTCTTCCTCCTTCAATATTGATAGAGGTCATCGAGGAAAGAAACGTTATTGTATAGTCAGCTGAAGGTTCTGGGAGATGACTGGAGATTGACTACCGAGAATCAGTCTGTCAAAGAAGAATAGAATGAAATGTGACTGTAGGTTCAGAGGTGCGCAAGGTTTCAAGCTTCTGGTTACTGATGAGCTGCAAAGTATGCGAGCCACGTCATCTGACCCCAGACCGACAAGACGCCAGCTGAACCCAAGGCAGCAGGAGGTGTGATAATTGCCCGATGTCGTGTATGTAATGTGGGGTCATTCATCAGGTTATGTTGGCTGTGTGTCAGCCATCTGCAGAACCCGTCACATTTTGTGATTGATCATCTTGGCTCGCTCCACAGTCATATCCCGCGGCGGGAGCCTGGTACCGATGTCTGATCACAGATCAAAGTTTAATTTACTAAAGGTTAAAGTTTTTCCATGAAGAAACGATATAGTAATACTTAAACAAAGACGGGAAAGCTTCAAGAGAACATCAGATAATATGCATAATAGAAGTATGCCACTGACTATAAAAGAGAATATGCAATGTCCGAAGTATTCAGTAGAAACTACTGCAGGTGACTTTGCATTTCTTAAATGTTAAGACACAAGCGGAAGACAATCGACAGGTCTATCTCAATTTCGTAGAATAATACGCATTTTCGACCAAGAAAAAGGAACTGTTGGACATGTGCATGTATAGCATACCCGATGCATCCCGTCTTAGTATATCTAGTAGGCCGGCATAATTGCATATGAGTTATGCTTGTGCTTGTAATCGTGGTCACCTTAGCCATGCCCAAGGTTGAATGTGGCATTATGCAAGACTGGATCCTGTGCCACCATAGATACCATTGCACTATCCTTAACGGTGACATTCTGGATTCGCACAGCCTGAGATATGAGTGAGCAATCGACTACACCGTCAAATGGAATTTTGGAACAAACCTGTGATTTCAGTGCCGATTTGTCTGATAAGTGCCACTGCCCAATGATAGCCTTTACACAAGCTGCAGAAGCCAAAGAGGCATGCTCTTGCCAATCCTTGTTCTTGTGGCTATCCGCATAATCAGAAATGCTTTTGACGAAAAGACACGCCTGATGCATAGATGTACCCGCTCCCTCCATATCCAAGGCGATGACTTTACTTCCCTTGGCGAGATTGTCCCTGTGAGTTCCGCTCTTCATGACCGTATCGCCACACCCAACTGGTCCGAAATGGATAATGGGTTTGAGTTCAGTTCGTTTCTCACGACGATCCAAGTCGTCGCAATGAAGTGACTCGCAGGTTGAGCGCCTTGCTGTATCGCAAATCTTCTCGTCCTGTATGCAGCAGTCGGCGTCGCGGTGGATATGCCAGTACGTGGCATCATAGAGGTCATCCGCCAAGCGAAATCCGGTTGCAATGTTCTCCGTAATAGTCGTTTGCATTCTCTGTTGGAGAACTTCTTTCGAAGACTCCAGTTTCTTGATAAATGCTTGTATTTCGACACTTGGTTTACCAAGCAAAGCTTGGCTGTGCTCCGACTGCTCAAATTTGTCCGGGTACTGTCGACCCATATCAAATTGAACTACACTGGTGCCAATCACAACATCTCCAAGTCTTCTCTTCACCTCATCACCATTTTTCGGTACTCCTCCACAGATTCCTGCAAGAAGTGCCAACTTGATGGCAGTGTAGGTGTGCTTGAGGTGCGTGGAAGCGAAAGTTGCAGAGATTTTCCCAACGCTGGGCATATGAACAAGAACAACAGGGTGCCCATCCATTTCTCCTAGTGTGTATGCATTCTCATCGGGCTGTGTCTTCGTAGCTCCAGAGTAATCTGGATTGCCCACGGTATCATTCGAGGTGTTCTCCATCAGCTTTTGAATTGCGCGGGCTTCAGTTGGCAGAGCGCAAATGATGGCGATTTCAACATCACTACGTTTAACTCCTGACTTGCGTGACATGACTGGTAGTTGGATTTAGGTTTCAACATATATGAATAGAATAAATGACACAAGCATGGGACATTATAAATTTGGTAAAAGATAGTGCTGAGCAGGACGTGTTATTAAATACATATTCCTTTCGAAACATGTAGCCATGAATGATTGATCACATGTCCTGCATGTCAGACCAAGACACACACAGACTGTTAGTTATGGACTGCCTGAGGTCGTGGGAATGAAGATTGAGTCTGCCTAAATCAGCCTGAAATATGTACTCCTGAGCCGCCCTAAGCTGTCCCAGGTAAGGGTGGCGACGTATCATGTGCGCCAACTGCCTCAATTGGTGGGAGATAACATCCTTGACAATCTTCGTGTCCCCTTGGGGAGATCTCAAATCGCGGATTTCGAGATATAAAACTGTCCATGGTATTGTGGTATGGTATGGCATTCGGTTAAGATCTGATGACATATTACTCAAGTTTGATGGAAGACTTTGGAAGGTGATGCCTTCTCAGGTCTTGGTGGTATGGCATGGGTCGTGTCTGCTGTGCCTCGATCAGGCTACCTATCAAAACCAGTATCACATCAATATTGTCTCAGCCATGAGGGGAAACCCTACACACTCGGTCTCAGCATGCATGCGTAGAAAACATCTTTACCAATCTAAGGGATCGCCAAGATAACTCCGCCAATAGACTTGGATAACGAGTTGATGAGACTGCTTAAAGCGCAAATTTAGCAATTACAAGTTCATCACAACGACAGGCCGCTTGGCTTAAATGTGAATGAACACCATCTAACACTAACAAATGAATGCAGGCTACGCATCAATATGCGACACAAATAATTACCACCCGGGGTATAGGTGAGTTGTCTAGATATTGGGCAGTGTATTAATTCTCACCAAACTCAACCCTTGTTTCTTCTCACCTCCATAGATTCGCTTTCGAGTCTCAACCACTTGTCCAGAAATGTCACTGCTAAGAATACGAGTAGGCCAGACGATACAAACTTCTGTTATTTTTGTGTTACCAAAGATAGAGCATCTTAGACTCCGAGGTTTATGACAGTCTAGAGAGTGTGCTGGTTGAATTAGGCGCAAGATGGGCTCTTCGCGGACTGCAATGATGGGTCACATGGTAAGATCTTCTCAAGTTACTCATTAAAGCCAAGCTGTCCTGTTAATAAATCTCGGTATTTGTGGTCTGGAACTGAGTAGGGAGGAATGGAAAGACATGGCTGAAACCCGCATGAGCTAAAGACTCTGCTAACAACAGCAACCTGCGCTAAGATGATGCGTAGCCAATTGACAAGGCGGTCGGGTCACTAAAGCTGCATAAGTGCAAATTACGGTACAAATGATTCTTGAAAATGGCGGACTACTGGAGTTGGGGCGTGAGCTATTGCCAATTAACATCCAAGGATGTCAGCCACAAAGTAGAAACATCCCACGACCAACAAGCAGTGCAATATCACCTAGTCATTACCCTCAGTCTGATTCTTGTTTTCTTCTCTCTTTTCCTTTTCTACACCTTGAGCCTTTACATCTTGAGCACCAAGATGTCGACTAAACCTCACCCAAAAGAACCAAGGCCGGAGCTAGAACGCCGACAATCTCTAGATATACCTGGAGCCGACGAAGCGTCCAGTATCATAGGCGATGTTTCTAGTCGCATAGAAGAGGCTACTACACAAGTAGAAGACGACGTTGTTTCACAGTCACCATCACAAACATCAACTGTTGAGGAGACAACGAGTTCCACGGAGCAGCCTTCACTTCCTTTGACTACCATCTTCACACCAAGTAAAGATTGCACAGGAGATGATGCCTTCAAATCAAGGACAGTAGGCAGCTATGTTTACTGCCAGTTAGAGGACGGCGCAGACAGATCGACATGCTACCCATCCAGTTATTCGGAGTACCAGTACGACACGATGAAATACTACTCTCCAGGCGTGTGTCCCCTTTCATACGTTTACTTGTTAACCTTTAAATCGGGTCTTGGCAATTCGCCTACCACAACCTACGCTACATGCTGTCCATCGTGAGTATATATTATTACGCAATTGTCTAATGTATTACTAAAATAAAGCTTAGCGGTATGACAGAATTGGCAAACAATTGGTCCTGCCAGAAATCGCTCACGACACACGTTACAATTACCAATGTTACCGATTCCCAAACCACCGTTTATTCTACGACCTACTGGGCGAATCCCATTTTCGTCGCATGGCAGGAGTCCGATCTCTCTCGCTTTTACCCTCAATCTGAAGCACGTGCGGCTCTCCAAAGCGCCGGGGTGACGTTCCCAACAAACACAGAATCTGGCAGCTCGACTTCCGAAACAGAAAGTGGAAACACTCAATATGAGGATTCAGAAAGCGGAGGTGGCGGCTTGAGCACTGGTGCTATCGCAGGAATCGGTGTTGGTGCTGGAATTATAGGGATTATGATTATAGTAGCCATCTGGTGGTTTCTGAGGAGATATAAAGTGAGTCGGAGGACCAGCAATGTTGATGAGAGAGAGCAGCCGTGGGAGCAGCAGATTTATGAAGCTCCGGACACCAGAAAAGATTTCCAGCACATCCATGAAGCCCCGAACGACATAAAAGCTTCCCAGCAGATCTACGAAGCTCCAGACACCACAAAAGACCCCTATCAGATACACGAAGCTCCGGACACCACCACCAAATCTCCAGATAAGCTTCACGACGTACCAAAGTATGAGCTCCAGGGTTGATACAGGAAGGCAGGGAACGCAAACTTTCTTTATAGCAAGATAAAGTTCGCGGGAAGAGTGGAATATAATTATGGTCTTTGAAACTTACCATTTAATACGCCTCTCATTCAGTCCAAGACTGCGATATGCCAACGTCTCAAAATGCACGATGTATATAAACAAGCATTGTAGGATGTATTTCCATGTCCTAGTCTATCGAATATTCACTTCTCGCTAAAGGTCTACAGTGACCTAGGTGAATGATATAGTGAGCTAGCATAATGGTACACAACCTACTGCCTACATTCAGAAAGTGTCACTGTCCTTCTTTTTAGGGGATGCAATAAAACACTTCGGGTACACGATAGGGTTGTCATAGTCAAAGTCTTTCTGTGTATCTCGTCTCAAGGAAGGGGCGGGATGAAACATACCTTGTTGCACTCATCTCCAGGTTGTTGGAGCAAAACATCAAGTTAGCAAAGCATTCAAGACCAAGGTAAGAAGATACGAACATTGCTTGCCATCACGACATACGCCCCGTCAATTTTATCATTTCCATTCATAAGAGCTCTCGTCTTTGCAAATTCCATCTGTGAGAAACCAGTCAGTTCAGCACGTACAAACAAGTACTAAATACTTTCCCATTTCTTATGTGTGCCTTCGATATACGTCTTCATTCCTTCTGTCACGTAAGGCTCCGACAACCACTGACCATGAGAAAAAACATTATGAACCCGATCCTCAGCACTACCCTTGATGTTGTCAAATTTAGAACCTAGAAGCACGGCCTCGACGTACCCGGTGGTAACATTGAGAACCTCGTTAAATACCGTGCCGTAGGCATTTACCAAGTCATCAGCTAGATCATCCTTGGATACACCTGTAGGGAACTCGCCACTGTTGGCCGAGGCTGAGGCAAAAGCACCCGAGAAGAATGTTAGAGTACCCGCGGCACTAGTTGACTTGGCCCCAAGACCAGCGGCCGAGGTAAGGATGCCGACTAGCATATTGAGCATCATGGCTCTGTCGTCTTTAAGTGGTTCGCCGTACTCGTCGACAATTTCCTTGATACCGCCTGCGAGCTGCTTGATGCTAAAGTTGATAGCACCTGTCTAAATCTGATGAAATGCACTGAACATAACGCCGATCTGCTGATGGACATAGAACGTCGTCTCAGGGGGAGTATACTAAGAGCAAGGAGTAGTGCCCGGCCCTTGGCAGGTCGTCGATCCAAGGTTCTTGCAGTTCATAGTAGAGCCGCCCTGGCTACTGCCACCGATAACAGCTTTGAAGAACTTATCGGTCCACTTGTCGGCGTCGTTCTTGTAGAGCCAGTCCTTGAACCATTTGGCCGCACCGCTCTTGGTACACGACTCAAAGTCCTTGTCCTCGTCCTCAGAATCGAAAGACCACTTACAGATTTTGTCGGTGTTAGCGCCCTTTTCAGGAAGATCAACGTCGACGATCTCGTCACCTGCAATGCGTACATCAGTTGCTTTCAAACCATCAAAATCGCCAATGATTTAACCAATGCTTTCAAACTTCGGAGGGCTTCCACCACGATTGAGAGAATCCCATACTGAATTCTCTTTGATGCAAAAGAAGTCGTCAAGGCCATCCTTGTTCTAAAATATACCAGTCTATCAGATTTGAGAGTTGCACCACGATAGGTATGCTCACAAGATTAGCGAATGCGTAGCCTGATTAAAATGCATTAGTATTGTTCCAAATCATAGAATTTGTTGATGTACTTACGAGGGCCAAGATTACAGTTCATATCAACATAGAATTGAACCGACTTGTCAAACTTGCCGCCTCCCATGTTCTGTCGGAACCAGTATGCATCCCTGTCCTTGGTGTTGTGGTAGACACGGATCCAGTCATCGAGGGAATCTGTCCGAGGGGCATTGGGATCGCCTTTCACAATATTCGCAACGAAGATATGCCAAGGGATGTTATTAGTGATGGATTTGGGGTCACTGCCCTTGTCGATAACGGCGCTCTCAAGGGTACCCCCGTGAAGTGCTCGTATGGACATAGTTGCCATCATCGTGACCACTCCCGAGCTGAGTTTGGCCCAGCAGGCCTGAGTTTCCAGCAACCTTTTTGCGCTGCTTAGACTGGCCAGTGGCTGAATCTTCAAACCGCTGACTGCTGCAGGCGGCTGAATGCGGTCCTCTATCTGGCTGATAGCGTCCCACCAGACTCTAGCGAAGAACTTGTAGCCTTCATCAGTAGGATGGTCCTTGTCTGGCACAATGTCGCTCATCTTAATGACATCGCCAACATCGGCAAGTCCAATGCGGGTTCCTTTCTTGTATCCTTTTGCGACACTTCTGATTTGCCTGCTGATGTCTTTGCTACACGCATCCCGGTCCGCATCTCCGTTTCTGAGGAGTGTGCATAGAATGACTGTCACGCCGGGCACGTTGTCGAAGATGTCATCTACCAAGGCTTTTGTACGCTCGCCTGCTTTGCTGGGATCGTCTCCGGGGTTACAGTCATTCCTATAGCCACGTTAGGTTGCCAACCGAAACTGCTCCAGGCCGCACTCACAGTCCTGCGTTAATGAGAACCAGGTTAGGCATCATCCACTGGCTCTCTTTCCAAGCACCGTGTACTAAACCAATGGTCCAGCCAGGATGACCTTTATTGTCCTATTGGATGTCAACTATGCCGCCATTGTGAGCAAAGCATAAGTTCAGCCAACTTACTGAATCAGCCATGGTACCGCCAAATCACGTTCGGTAGGCAGAGCGAGAGAAGTTTCTTACATTACCATATATAAAATATTGTATTGAAAAATATGATAATTTTATTTCATATACTAACATGTTCTTTCAATGTCTGAGCTGCTTCACTTGTCTCTTTTTCCCCACTCTTATACAGCCTATACTCCCATTGATATAATCTGGTTGACTCTACCCAGACTTTAATATAATAGTTTCCAGACTTTCGACCTCGTTCTCGGGCATTATCTCGATATGAGTAACGTAGAACTGCTCGATTTCCCGAATTATGGACATCTCGTTAGTGGTAACCAAGTTAATGACCACACCCTTCCTGCCGGATCGACCGCCCCACCCAACGCGGTGCATATATTTGTCGGGCTGTTTTGGAAGGTCGAAGTTGATAACAAGCGATACCTGTTGTTTGTCAATGCCACGGGCGAGGAGGTCAGTAGCCATAAGGATACGAGAAGAGCCACATCGGAATCCCTCCATAATCTCACAGCGGTGGATCGCGTCCATATCACCATGCATAGAGGAGACAGTAACGCCGCGAGACGTAAGCTCATCAGTAAGCCATTCAAGCTTTTTGCGAGTACTGCAGAAGATAATTGTTTGGAAGATCCCCATAGTGTCATATATCTGAGAAAGCAAATCTAGCTTAGAATCTTCATTCTCAGCAGTGATATAGAAATGCTTGATACCCTCGAGGATGGGCTTGGCCTTGACGATAATACGGACGAAGTTGCGCATGAACTTGGTAATAATCGCGAGGACATCTTCGGGCATAGTAGCAGAGACGATAATGACCTGTGTAGACTGTGGTAAGAGCGAGAAAGTATCTTGGACCTGCTCATCGAAACCGCGAGACACCATTTCGTCAGCATCGTCGAGCACAAACATCTTCGTGTTATCGATGCGAAGGACGCCGCGCTGGATCATATTCTGGATACGGCCGGGGGTGCCGATGACGACTTGCGGGCCGTCCTTGAGCACTTCAATATCTTCTGTCAAGGGGCCTTTCCAGGCGTAGGAGGATATGTTCATAAAGTCACCGATAGCAGATATGACCTTATGAATCTCCTGCGCCAGCTCACGCGACGGTGCGAGGACCAGAGCCTGGCAAGCCTTCACGCTGGGGTCAATTCTCTGCAGAATAGAGATACAGAAAGCGGCGGTCTTTCCGGTTTTAGACTGCGCTTGTGCGATAACATCGTGACCTGCGGAAAAATGTGGTGAGTACTTTATTTATCGCGATGTACGCAGGCTTCCCTTGCGCCGCTTTGACGTCATGGCGAATTCAGAAAGGGGCTATTACCTTTAATCATAGGCATCATTGCACGCCGCTGGATAGCAGAAGGATTTTCGAAGCCATATGCATAGACTCCGCGCAGACTATTACTCTCAAGGGTCATGGCGTCGAAGCTTTCAGTGATCTCATCGAAGTTGGACTCAATCTGAGCTGCGTGAGTGGAAATAGTCAACCATATGCTCTTTGAAATTGTACACAGAGGTGCTCGCCAGACTCTCACCACTGTGACTTACTGGCTTCGATGTCCTCAAGATACTTGTCGGCCATGATTGCGGGCGGATGGAGCGACAGTGTTAATCAGCGTATCGTATTGGTTTCGTTGGTCTGTATCTTTGGAGCAAAACGCCGCAGTAGCTTTAAGTGAGAGCGAAAAGCTTCCTCTGCTATTTGTTTGACGTGTTTCCTTACAGACAGCTCGATATAAATTGAAGTAAAGCAGAATGAACTAGTGAGATATTTTAAAGCGTCTCATACTTTGCAAAAACACAACCTGCTAGGAGTCATACTGATGTATTAGAGGGGCAAGTGTCAGATTAGGCACCTGGCTTACCTAATAGCTTCAGGCTGGGGTGAATTAGATATAACCAATAGTGACTGCATATCGTTGACTAAAGCCGACGGACAACAAACGGATTGTAATCACCAAAGCCCTCCTAACCTTGACTGACCTAGACCTACTGCATGGTAATAACCCAATCAAGACGCATAAGAACTCTTTTCCAGTAAAATCTATAACCGTAATGTAAAAATGATGGAGGCAACTGGTAGTATAGGTGGGGTAAGGCAGAATGAGATACCACGAGGCAGAGTCCTTGCGAGCAGTGATAAGCAGTAAAGTGAGCACACGTAACAAGAAGATTTCGTGTTTGTTTGAGAATAGTATCTCAGCTTTAGAGGCTTCATTCTTTTAGCATGTCCTTATATCTCCGCCGAATTTATAATAAAGTCTGGCAATTTGAACTTACCCTCTATGGATTAGCGCACCTATTTCCATATGTTCGCCAGTATTCAATCTCGTTCGGTTGCTGGCTGCAAATCTTTTCAAAAGAGACTCAAATCCAGATAGCCCCCGCCACAGCGATAGGTCAGATTTATTCCATAGATGCTATCCTGTCTCATAAGCTATAGCGCTAACAACAACGATAGCATGATGGCACCAAAATCAAGTATCTACCTCTAGAACCATCTAACTTACGGCTATTTGTCTTGGAGCCTGGATCAGGTACCGATGCCTTCTCTGGTCGAATTCAGCACACCTCGTGGAACAAGGATTATGAAGCCTTATCATATGTCTGGGGTGATGTGCAAGATTCAACAACTACGTGCGTTGATGGAAACACTATATCGGTTACAAGGTCACTAAGGACGACACTTAATCATCTGCGTTACCCTCATCAATCAAGAACACTTTGGATCGACTACATCTGTATCCATCAAGAAGATGTAGTAGAGCGAAGTTAACAAGTCGCAATGGTGGGTCTGATCTACGAGAGAGGAAAGTCTGTTCTTATATGGATTGGTCCCTCTACCTTTTACAGCCCGGTTGGTATGGATATTATCCGTTATTTTGCCAATGCAGAGAAGCCCCAGGATCGTCCTGTGTGGCAGACCTACTCCCAGCACCAAGCCTATCAGCTGTTGCAAGATGTGTTAACTCGCAAATGGTTCTAAAGGATGTGGGTTGTACAGGAGATTGGACGATCCTACTATTCCAGACTGATCTGTGGAGGAGACTTCGTTGAATGGCAGTCAACAGATTGTGCCGCTGTAGGACGGTTTATACGAATGATCAAATATGCCGAGATTCTACCACAATGGACTCAATTAGGTCTCGATGCAGTGGACCTATGATCGTTACTGGAAATGCTATATTTTCAAGAGATTAATCGATTTACCAAACCTTGTGGAACATGTATGCGAAGAGCTCCTGATCTTCTAGATATCGCTCATACCATGCGGTACAAGGAGTGCTCTGATCCTCGGGAAATGATATTTGGCATATGTGGAATGGTTGAATACCTATCTCACTTGGAGGACTTTAAACTAGATTATAGTATGACAGTTGAGCAGGTGTATCAGGAGGTAGCAAAGGTATCATTTCAATAGCTATAATCAACCGCTAGCGCACAAACAATATTGTCCAGTTAAAATCGCTTCTTATCGATTATTAGAATGAACATCTCAACATCTCATACCATAATCACGAAAACATAGTTCTCTTCGAGCTGATCCAGACCTTCTTTATACAATCCACAGCATATCCTAAGCCTCAAGGCCCCGAATCATCTCTTCTTTCACCTCCCTCAAAAAGTTCTCTATGAATACCTTATCGTAGTAACTCTTATTCCAGCTTGCCGTCAACACATACTGATCCCTAAACGTCCAACCATGACACTGAACAGCCTTTGCTATCGTCTGCGTCCCCAACCAAAAGTCTTCCACTACCACCTCTCCTTCATTCTTTCCACCAGAGACGGGATACTTGCGATCCAAGACCTTCTCTACCAAGCCCATGCTGGCAAAATCGACAGCTTGGACAGTCGGCATATCGGGAGGTGGAACTGTGTTGACCAATTCAAGAATCCTTCTGATGAAAGGAGCACCGAGATCAGCAGTGGACACGGGTTGTCCCTTGTGATCCTCAAATCCAGAATTTCTGGCACGTCCGTACGACTTTTGTAATTCCTCACACACTTGATCAAAAGTCTTGTTCTCGTTTACCACATCCAAGACAATGACGGGGAAAGCAGCGCAGTATTCACCAATAGAATACTGAGGCGTATTGTATGGAGAAGGGAAGTCTTTCTGTATGTCAACGGGGGCAAATCTCCCGTAAGACTTGCACAGCGGGTGTTGTGGATACCTCGCCGAACAGCGAATAATCGCAGCATGGGTAGCGAGAGATATTGTGATGCCTTTTGCTTTGCTCCCTGCCAATAATTGAATTGTAGTCTCTTTACCAAAATTGAGAGTGACTCGGGTGGAGTCCCCGGGAATGGCTTCATCGCTTCCCTCTCGTGGGGGAAGCGCCACGCTGGGCGCACCGGCCAACATGTCAGTGTACATAGTATCTGCAGCTTTGACCATGTAGTCTGGGGTGTTGGCCTCGTCAGAAAAGGCGTCCAGGATCCAATCCACGTTTGGTGCTATGCTGCCATCGCCGACAGGAGATGTGAAAGTATCGAGTGCAGCGTCGGCGCCTTTAACGAGGGATTGTGAGAGAACATGAAGAAAATTGACCGCAATGGTCATTGCAGAACCTCCGTCCATGCGCCAGTGGCTTGTTTGGAAGAGCACTTGAGAAGAGGAGGGAATCCAAGTGCAAGTAGCATACTCTTCATCTTTGGCTGATTCGAAGAGAGCTGTGGCGCTTGTTGCTTTGTGATCAATTGTGAAAGTCTTAGCCAGCCATTCCTCAGCGTCATAGGTGGGAATGAGTATAGCGGGAGTCCTTCCGAATTCATCAGTGTGATTTTCCAAGTTGAGCACGCTTCCAAGGTGTGGATGGTGCTTTACTGTCGCAGCCCATGCTGTCCTGATGTGGGCAACTGGATCGGCCACCGAAGAAGGGAATGACAGCTTCAAAGCAGTGTAGATGGAAAGATGGTCCTTTGAAAGGGGAGCTGTTACGGTCTTGAAGTGATGGACCAGCTTCTCAACAGTTGAGAAGGGACGAGCTCGAACATCTGGATTAGAGGTGAGGGTGGTGAAAGCTGGGTCTGACCGAGCAGTAAGGTAGTTGGGGTTGGTAGAGCCCATGATCCTTATTTGGGGATGAATGCAGAATAAAGGATGGTGATTGTTTCAGCGATGCCAAAAAATCGCAGTTACTTGGGATGAGAGACTTGTGGTGGCTGATCAGATGGATATACTGCTTTTCATCCAAGTCCTAGGCTGTAAGCAAAGTGCATCAGCGCAAATATGACAACACCTTAGAAGCAACCAAGTCCGAAATGATTCAGTTCATTGTCCGATGGCCTTTGCGGAGATAAGAACAGCGGTCCCTAGATCGTATTTGTAAGCCAAGTACAAGAATCTCATTTACGGATACCCTATAAGCGAATATGGCACAATGGCAATTGGGGACAACAAGGTCCCTTGCTACCATTTCTAGCGGCACTCGGAACTTCTCCCGGCGGAAGCAAGTAATCCTTGTCAACTTCACGTAACATGAGTCCTTAGCGCGATGCATGTCAGCTTGACATGAGTCCTTAGCGGCATGCGAGTCCCTTAGCGTGAGTCCCTAGCGTCAATCAATCCTTTACGTTTCATCGCAACGACATGGGGGTTTTCGCTTCCTTCTGCTTACTACCAGTACCCTAGTTCGGGATCCGTCCGCAAAGAAGGGTCCTTTTTTGTATGTAGTGGCCAGATTTCACCGTGATGAGCTTCACAGTATATGTATTCAAGACAATCTGGAACGTGTCTTAGTATCAAGGAAAATCACCTACCTTACTTAGACCCATTTTCGTTCACCATCTCTTTTCGAAATGTCTGCCATTGCTGATCAAACCGGCACTGTGGGTTTCACCCATGAAGCTCTTGACCAAGAAGCTCAAACCTTCTATCGCATCATCGGCGACTTGAAGTCAGGCCAGCGACCCTTGATTGCAGCCCATGGCGGTCCTGGCTCAAGTCACGATTACTTCTTGAACCCTCTTGCGAGTTACCCTAAAGAAACTGGCAGACCTTTGGTGCTGTACGATCAAGTCGGCAATGCCAAGAGTACCAACTTCAGCTTTGAGTCAAAGTCGCTGCCCAAGCTGTCAGTCGATATTTACACTGCTGAACTCGACAACCTGGTGACAAAGCTTGGTATTCAGGAGTTTGACTATCTTGGTCACTCCTGGGGCGGCATGATGGGTCTTGAGTACATCATCAAGTACCAACCCAAGATTAAGCACTTGATCCTGGACTCTGTTCCTGCATCCGTCGAGCTGTGGACGAACAAAATCAAGGATACCTTGAACGAGCTAGACCCTGCAGAACGGGACCTGGCACTTGAACTGGACAGCACCCAGCAATACCAAGATCCACGCCTGCAAGCTATCTTGAAGAAACTGCAGGATAAGCATGTCTGCCGATTGGACCCTTGGCCAGAAGCCGCTCAGGGTTTCTTTGGCGTCGTCATGAGCAATCCGGCTGTGTATGCCACTATGCTGGGACCTAGCCAATTTGCCACATTGGGAGCGCTGAAAGGTAAGCTAACCCAAATTCTGTTCTTATAATATCTTGCTAACAAATCTCATCAGGCTGGTCTGTTATTGGCCGTTGCAAGGACATCAAGGTACCAACACTGGTGCTTCACGGCGAGTATGACTGGGCAGACGAAGCTGGTGTCAAGCCCCTTGTTGAAGAGATTGAGAACAGTCACCAGGTTACACTCAAGGGATGCAGCCACATGTGTCATTTGGAGGATCCGGAGGCGTTTAAGAAGGAGGTTTTTGGGTTCCTTAATAATTAGATGTAGACATGAGACTTGGACTGTGTATAGAATGTTTTTGCAATTCACATACAAATGCACATAAGTGCTATTCATCTGTAAAGAATGCCATCATCTGGACAACCAGCTTTGCTATGCGTAAATCTCGTAACAAAGTTCGTCTCCTCATGGGCAGAGACATCCCGTAGTCGACGACATGATCGTAGTTTTCGCACTTTCCGTAACTTCAATCAAATGGATGTCACCGCCCTAAACTCGCCTCGGAGAATAGGATAATGCATCCCCCCGTCAATCGTAATTGAGCCGCTTATTGAACCACTATCCATAAACCATCCTCTAGAAGACACACCCCCTAAGGCTGACGGAACCCGAGTAAATGATCGACAAGAGGATCTTACATCTTACGGTGTCGACCAACCCCTGTTCACGTTGCATTGGCTTAGACAGGGGCTATGGCATGCTTAGGGCTTAGCAGCCTATTTCCCGCCCCTTAGTTCCTCACATTAACCCGAGGACCAATCGGTTTCATTGTGGAGTTGCAAAAGAACCTGGTGTAAGATCAGTGAGACATTGTCTTTGTTTGCCCTGCGTCTTACGGCACGCCCAACAGCGGAAACGATGCAAGCGAAAGGACCTTTTCTTTTTCGGCAGATCCCTCGCTGATTAATTCGAAATCAATTATTAAGCCGTTGTTCAGTTAGACACGTGTGTCCACATGTCAGAAAGAATTGCTAGCTAAAAAAGATCATGTCCTACTCTCAAACGGCGACATTCAACAGTTCCCATCATACAAAGACCATGTCTGACAGAGAACACGCAGCGCCAGTCATGGCAAATGATGTTACTGCCGACCCTGAGCCTGCTTTCAAGGTCGAGACCAAGACTGAGGCTAGGGAGACGAATACCGACGATGATAGCCAAACTTCTGAGGTTGAGTATCCTAAGGGATTCCAGCTTACTTTCATTGCTATTGCGTTAGCTCTAGCCCTTTTCTTGATCGCTCTTGACATGGTGAGTTGTTTTCCTTCCTTTTTCTTAATTTCCAGCGACTAACCGCATTTCTCCTCTAGACAATTATCGCTACGGCTATTCCCAAAATCACGGACGAATTCCAGGGTCTCGACAAAGTCGGATGGTACTCTTCTGCCTTCTTCGTCACCATCGGATCTTTCCAATCCTGCTGGGGCAAGGTCTACAAATACTTTCCACTCAAGATATCGTTCCTTTTGGCTATCTTTATTTTTGAGATTGGTTCCGCTATCTGCGGCGCTGCTCCCAACTCGAATGCCCTTATCGTTGGACGCGCTATTGCCGGCGTAGGTGGTGCCGGTGTGAGTGCCGGTAGCTATACCATCATCGCCTACTCGGCTACGCCTGAAAGACGGCCCATGCTACTCGGTTTATTGGGCATTTCGTATGGTTTCGCCAATGTTATCGGTCCTCTAGTCGGTGGTATCTTCTCTGACAAGGTTTCCTGGAGATGGTGCTTCTATATCAACCTACCTGTTGGCGCCATCTCCATCGCCATCATCACCTTCTTCTTCAGTGACCCACCTCAGGCGAAACCAGCCCGCGTCCCCTTGAAAGAGAAGATTTTGCAGATGGATCTCGTCGGTGTTGGTCTTCTCATCGCTGCGACTATTTGTTTTGTCCTCGGCGTTGAGTACGGCCAAGGAAAATACAGCTGGGGAAGCTCCAAAGTCATTGGCCTCCTCGTTGGTTTCGTTCTCATCCTCCTCGTTTGGGCGGTGAATGAGTGGTGGATGGGCGAGCGTGCCATGATCGTGCCACGTATCATCAGAGACAGAACGAACTTGGTCATGTCTGGTGTCGCTATCGCTATCGGTGGTTCCTTCTTCCCAGTCGTTTACTACGTGCCCATCTACTTCCAGAGCATCAAACACGCTACTCCTATCATGTCTGGTGTTCAAAACTTGCCCATGGTTATCGCTGTAACATTCGGCATCTTCCTCGCTGGCGGTCTCATCTCAAAGACTGGTCGGTACCAACACATTTTGCTCTTTGCCCTTGGTCTCTCCACCGTTGGCGCGGGCCTCATCTACACCTTCGACCTGCACACCTCCACCGGCAAGTGGATCGGCTACCAAATTCTTGCTGGTGTCGGTTGGGGACTTGCATATCAGATTCCTTTGACTGTTGGTCAGGGTTCTTGCGATCCCATGGACATGGCGCTCATCACGTCAAACATTTTATTCTTCCAATCTTATGGCGCTTCACTTTTCATGTCGGCCGCCCAGGCCGCCTTTGTAGACCAAATGACGGCAAAGGTCATGGAACTCAGTGACAGCATCAGCAAGGACCTGCTGGTTCTGACAGGTGCTACGGATATTTACAATGTCTTCAAGGGCGATGAGCTCGCCGATGTGCTGGCTGGCTACATGCACGGCCTCAAGGTCGTTTATGCCATGGCCATCGGAACGATAGGCATCGGTTTTGTGATTGCTCTGGCAATGCCATGGAGGAAGCTCAAGCAGGGACAAGCCACAGGTGGCGCTTAGATGGCTACGGTGGGACTTGCAAGATTAATTTGAAACATTTCGCTGTTTGTTGGCGTGTTTGCATATGTATGGTCAGCGTTTGGCGGAAAAGACGGTCCAGGGGGGGTGCATTTTCGCAATCACGCAATTATAGAAGTATCATTTATACAGGGAAGAGAAAAATCATTTATGCAGGCAAAGAGAAAACGCCCCACAGTGAACTGGTGAAGTTACAAGGGACGGATAGAATGTGCCGTGAACAAGGCATGTAACTGAATGAAACCACTACACATACCCTACAGTTTGACGACATGACTGCTGTCAAACTAACAGATATGGCAAAGTTACTTCATTTTTGATGTCCTAGACTTTCGCTCAGGTCTTCTCAATTTTGTCTGAGATTCTTAATACAGGTTAATGTCTGCTTAGATGAATTTCTCAAACAATCCTTAAATTAACGGTTCTTTCAAGACTGGGTTCTCCAACACATGTGTGACTTATATGGCAGCTGCTCAAAATGTCAAAGTTTTATAGTGCTATTGTGAATGCCGTGGCACCCAGAAAGATGCATCGAAGGATCTTGTAACCAGGGACCTGGTAATTCATGGGTCCTTGTCAACAAAAACATAGACGGACCTGTCACATTTAACACGCTGGGTTCTTTTGTGTAGGGATGCATGCGTAACTGACCACCAAGATCGGTTGGAAGATTCTCAATTGTTCAATCTATTTCTGTTCTAAAGTAAAAAAATATGACTACCATTCTATTGTCACTGCAAAGTCCCATCGCGCCAAAAATAATGTACCACCAACTTTTCTCCATCATTGACCTCAAAGATCAAGTAGTCCCTCCCTAAGGTTGCTAAAGCCATAGACGTAAACCGGCTGCAACTTGGCAAGACCCTTTACCCTCTCGACATCTTCATCAACCATAGTTACTGACTCGTTTTCACTTTCACTAGTGACCAAAAGACCACGGGGATAAATGTGATCAGTCCCGATATCCTTGCCCACAAAGTTGAACAAGTCATGACGCTCCCTGTAACACCAAGGCTGACCATCCTTGTACACCAAATCGTGGGTATCACGGACATCGCCCGAGTAAACACTCTCAAACATACCACCCACGTTGACGGAAATGGATGACATCCATGGCACGCGGAACACGGATGCCTGGCCTAATCCCTGTGGGACAAGAGGGAACGACAGCTTGACTGCACCACTGGAGGCGTGAACTGACAGACGCACGTGGTGCGGGAGAGCCTTCAGAACTAACCCTGTAAAGGCTTCAGAGCGGGCCATGGTGGCTCGGGCGAGTTTCTTGGTAATCTTCTTTCCCTGCATGCGGCTGAGTCCCTGCATGACTGGGGTGTACTTGAGATCAATCTCGTAGAAACGGCTCATTTGGGTGTAGGTACGAAGTGAGTCAGGGTCGCGGGTGAAGAGTTCGTCAAGTAGCTCGGGATGGGTGTTCTTTTCGATTCGAGCACGGCAGTTGTGTAGACCCTCAATGTAGGATTCTTTGTCGAGGGGTACTGTGGGCACACCCATCAATTCGTGGGGGGAGCTGATTCTGACGTTCAGGCCGTATTTCTTGGCCATACGGTCGATGGCTTGGGAGTACTCCCAGACTTTTTCGTCTGAGGTTGGGTAGATGTCTGTTGTCATGATGAGATATTGTTCTTTTCCAAGACTCAGGGGTTTACGTACCATTAAACACTGCTCCGTCGGAAGCTACTGTCACTTGGGCTCCAAAAGGGTAAACTTGACCAACATCGAGTGTCATGGAATGGAGTTTGTAGAGTCCGATGTATTCTCCCATGTCAGGAAGTGAGCCAGTCACTTTATCGGGGTTTTCCTTGTTAATGTTAGACCAATAGCTTTATAAAGATAGAACAAGGAGAAACACGTACCGACTTGAAAGGGTAGGATGGAATGACAAAGTTGATGGGTTCACGACGACGAATCCAATACTCGACATGAGTTCTGAATTTGGAGCGTCCCTCCCATCGTTCAACACTGTCGGCGCCATCTTCTGTGGTCTTGGTATGCATACCATACTTCTGGACAACATCCAGAATGGTATCGGCCAGTTCCGTGATATAGAAATCGAGAGGAGCATCTGAATAGCGTCAGTATTGTTGTAGATATCAAAGATAGAAAGTAGGTTGACATACTGTCTTCCTCGTCTGAGAGCTCAACTTCACGTACTACGACGGAAGCGGACTTTTCAGCCCTTTCGGCAAAAGCAGATCTAACTTCGAACATGATGTATGACTTGTAGAATCACCTGGAAGATGCTTAGTGAATGTCTTGGAGAATGTGAGGATCTGAGGATTTCAATATTATATCAAAGCGTACCTAACCTGCCTTTTTATCTCAAAAATAACGGCATTCTCTATCTTTACAAGCCCGTTTCGTTTCATCGAATTTGACACCCTCCCTCCATGCATTGTCTTCGATCTCACTTAAGGCGCAGTCTGTATCAAGATGGGAGCCTAGTCTCCCTCGCCGCGTGAAGACGCTGGTACAGCTACTGTATCCACAAGACAATGAGACGGAGACAAGCTGTGGTGTGCCAATGACCTTATTCCGGGTAACCGGCGGCCTGTTGCTGTAAGAGCATGGGTAAAGGTATGGTTGAGAAAGCTTGACAAGGTTAAACAAACTTTGTTCGAGAAGACTCGGAGTCCGAGTGGTGGCTTGCGCTTACGGCGTGGTATGGTTCAGCTCGGTTTTGTTGATTGATTATGTTACGATACAGCTGTAAGCAACCAAGGACTTTTGGCAGGGTGTGACAGCTGGATCGTCATCCTGGGTTTAAGGGGTAAGGCGATAGCTCGATCTGAGTGGCGTGCTCGCTTTCTCTTGGTCGGCTTTGAGCGTTTATATTCATTGCTACGTTACTACGAACGACTGAGAGTACTATCTATAGAATCCTAAAGTGTCTGTCCCAAGGCAATGGAAAGAGAGCAATGATCGTCTCGAACGTCTGGAGTAGAAACGCACATATAACGACGATCATTGAGTCTGTGCGTAAAAGCTCTTGTTCTCTCCAAATACATGCAGTTTGATATCTACATTTGATCATGCCTCCATACTACGGATATGACGGAGAATATGCCTCGGCTAATGCTCAACTAGGACATGCTCGACCCTCTTTTTCTGTAGGGTTACTTAACGTTCACTGAGTAAACAATGAACTATGACTGGGTCTGGCATTCGGGGATTATGCGGTGATCCCGCGGCGTAATTCCACGTCAGACTTACGAAACTGGCGCTAAAGGACTCAGGACTCGCAGGGCAAAATTTTTAAACAATTAATCCCTACTGTAGGACCCTACGGATTTGATAGGGTTGTGCTCCAAATCTGGTGGCTTGAATCGTGCATTTGTCAGAAAAGGTAGGGGGAGTACCCTACGGATAGAATATACGATATTTCCTAGCGCATTAACTAACCAGAAACGTCAGCGGCACTTTTTACCCGAAAGGATCGATGATTTCATCCACGCTAGTAATGTCGAGATCGCAGGGTTCTACAGTACTTGCCTCATAGAGCTTACGCTAAGGACTCTCAATTTTTCTTTTTGAACGCAAAATGTAATATGAAGTCGGATTTGACCCGCAAAAGCGGCGTGGTCTGACAGTCCTGAGTAAGCGTTCCTCACGAGGTTGGTAGGTGACATTTTCAATTCTGCAGGGACGGATACCCCAACGCCATAAGCGGGCGTAATAATACCTGCCCTCAGTAGTTGCGACCATGTGTCGTTGATTTAGCAGTTCTCGTCGAATCTAGCCAAGTCTCTTAGTTAGGACATGCTAAAAGTAGTGGCCGCGATCTAGGCAGGGGTAGCCCTTGGCGAGTAGTGATGGCCAAGCCGAGTCAATCCTTATGCGGCGTAGTAGCACCGCAGGCCCAAGACTTCCCGCAATGGGTGCCGCACTAGGGACTCTGCATAGCCGGCTATCGTCAGCCTCAAACCCTTGGCCAGAACGCCTATCTATGTGTAGTTGGACGTCGTTCCATGACCCGAGTCTATCCACGTATGCTAAATAGCGATAGAGAACCAGGTTGCCTTTTCATCTCACATCACCTTCTAAGCTGTTCTGTTTGTCATTTTCCAAGATACCCAGGCCACATTGCTAGTTACCCACCTCGTTCAACTACCTCCATTCTCTTGTTACTCTCATCTGTTTTCAAAATGGGTTCAGTCAATACCTTCAGCCTGAGTGCCGACAGCACCAAGTTCCTAAATGAGTCCGGAGCCTCAGCAGTCGGCTCAGGCATTGTCCAGCGTTTTGAGCGCTTGACGGGGAAGAAACCTCATCACTTCCTTCTTCGACACATTGTATTTGCTCATCGACAGTTAAATGACATCTTGGATGCTTACGAGCGACGTGAACCTTTTATCATTTTTACTGGACGAGGGCCCAGCAGTACTAGTATGCACGTTGGTCATGCTCTACCGTTCCAGCTCGCCAAGTAAGTACTTTGTCGTTAGCTCACTCATGGACCAAACACTGACTTACGTAGATATCTCCAAGATGTCTTCAAGGCACCCACAATCATCATGTTGACGGATGACTCCAAGTACCTGTTCAATTCAAAGTACACATTGGAAGATATCAGACGCTACACAATCGGAAATGCAAAAGATATCCTTGCGTTTGGATTTGATCTGAAACTCACTTACATGTTCTCATCCCTTGAGAACAGCAATGGTCTCCTTTACGAATGCAGCCTCGAGTTTGCCAAGCGCATCACTCCAGAAGAGGTTCATCAACATACCGGCTTTCAATATGGAAGCATGAACATTGGCATGTTCAACTTCTTTGCCAAACAGAGCGCCGGCTTCATGCCTGGTAGTTTTCAAGACATTCTACCAGACGTCAAGACAAAGGGTTTGCCTAGTCTGACCATTATCGGTACTGATGTCGATCCTTTCTTCTGGATTAGTCGTAAATACGCATCTCAGGTTGGAGAACGCACACCTTGTTTCATCTACACATCGCTAGTACCCAGCCTCGATCCCAAGGACACGGGAAAGATGTCGGCGTCAGTGACTTCGTCTGCCATTTTCCTTGACGACGAGGTTTCTGTCGCCGAGAAGAAGCTGAGAAAACAGCTTAGCAGCAATGATGCTGGCACTAGGTCGACTATGCTTGATTACCTGCGGGCCTACCAACCAAATGTTGAGAACTTTGCAACGTTGGAGGATTTGAGCCATGATGAATTGGTGCACGAGGTCGTGAAAGCCATCAAGGCATACTTGCAGGACTTTCAGAGTAGACGAAAGGAGATCACTGATGAGGTGTTGGCGGCGTTTATGAAGCCACGAGTCATTTCATTTTCGAACTAAGGGCAAGTTGATTTTGTATAGAACAGGAGTTTTCAATAGACGTGCTTTGAGATATTCACTGATATTCTGGTGGTGTATCTTAGGCAGTAGGAATACGAGAATTTAAGCATATTTGTGCATTGGAGGTCTAGAAGTATGCAGTACCATTGAATCTGCATATACGAATCCGAAAATTAATATGTGACATTTCTTGGCATCTTGGCGCAACAAAAAAATTGTATCAACGGCATATACTGAGTACTGTGTTTGCTTTGACCACTTAAGCTTTCGCCCAAGCCTTCTCAGCCTTCTCTAAGTTATCAGCAAAGGTATCCTGAGTATGATGTTATCGGAACATGTAGTTAACGAAGATCAGTGAAATAAAGTAACGTCTCAGCAGCCAACAAAAACAAGTGCGCCTGTAATTACCAATGGGTTTGATGGGTTCGAGCTGAAAGTATAATGTTCTCTAGGCGTGCAGCTTGGTTACGAAAGGTAGGGCTCATGAAGTAGCCTTGTTATCATACAATACAAAGACAATGTCAGCTGCTGATCAGCCAACTTCTTCTTCTTCCTTTAGCTCAACTAAAACATTTACTGCCGAAATACCAAGATGTCAGCTAACTTGCTCAGCTTGTCATACGCCGTGATCCCTGTTGCTAATTGATTTTAGCCACAATTGCAGGGCCTCACGACACCTATCGCTATTAAGCAAATCGGATCGATATTTAGCTAGTGATGCTGGATAACTAAAATAGGTATGGTATGGTAATACGGTTACAGGGCCGTTCCGTTCCATCACGGAGCCGTCGACTCTAACTGCATTTATAGGTCCACTCCAGGGCCGGGAAGCACGGCATCTAGTTATTCTAGTTTCCTAATTGAGCAATGCCGAACAAAGACAGTTTGCTTGCTACACATAGTGGAGGCTATGTACTGATTACCCACTCATTAACATCCTATCATAATTAATGTCTACTCAAGAGGAACCTATACCTAGCCAATGTCTTCGCGTCTTCTGCAACGTGTCGTATATATCAGTGGATACTGCTTGTTGTGCAATGGGGCGGCTTATACAAAAGCTTCCATTGAATTTTGCATGCGAGACGCCCATAAGCAGCCGACATATGCAGGCCTACGAATCTACCGTAAGCGTCCTTTTATGCGATCTTACATTATATTGTCCGCAATGATCGACACAATATTTCCGCTTTTTCGATTGTCAAGGGTAAGCACCACACCACCCTGAGAGATGATAAATAATTTTCAGCTACTGTGGCTTTCACTTATTTCGTCTACTAAACGAGACCGTTCATTGCAACTACGGATGAAATCGACACCCCGTTCCATGGATTGTTCCATTATCCCCATTTTTACGCCACACACATGCGGTACGATGGGATCGAAATGCCTGACATGCAAGTGAGCGTCTCGAGTAGGTGTCACAAACTCCTTACCTTCACGGTTCCCGACGTATCAATTTCAAGGACTGGAAGGCGAGTCCACGGTTAGAAACGGCAAAACTCGGTGCTAGCCGAATCTCACGCAATGCACTTGGACCCCTTCGAGGACTTCATATTATGGCAGATTTTCCACTAAGCCTCGGCTTTCCTAACGTCCTATTTGCCGTCGCATCACTAAGTACCATTTTAAGGCAATTGCGCCGCTCGCTATCCGACCTGTGTCTATTCCCAATCACCTCAAACTCATCTGTTTTTCAACCTTAACATGACCTGGCACGGTCACATAAAAGACGGATCAAGGCCATTGATGAACACGGAGTGAGTCTTTGAAGAAACGCTTCCAACCTCCCCAGAATCTGCACGGGACTCATGAGTATTTCATGAGACTAACGCGGCAAGAGCAAATATTTGCTAACGGACTACATCAATGGCACGAAGAAATGCAATCCGCTAACGGCACTGACTATAGGCCAACAAAGTCTCCGCGCCAGTCACACCAGTCTAGAGAGCATCATCCGTTCAATGCTTCGGGAACGTCATTGCATCATCAACACGACACGCACAATGCTATATCGGATGATTTTAGTACGGGGTTCCCAAATGATTTTCACATGGTGCGTTGAATTCTTCGATCAACAGATCTGGTCAAACAAATTTGACTAACATGATTCCAGGCCTACGATCACACCGGAAATGGAGTTCCTTTCATGACAAATCACCAGGACCCTCTAGCACTTGTTTCAATGATGGCTGGGTGGCAGGATTCTCTAGCTTTTGACCCAACAATAACAGGCTGGCAAGATGCCATGACCTATGATTCGACAATGGGTGGCTGGCAGGATTCGTCCTCCATAGACTCTTCCAGAGCTTCATCAGTATCTACCAACAGCGGCTCCTCTTCAAGAGACGAAGGTACACAGGAATCATTCATTTGCAACGACGAATGCTGTCACGGAAGAGCATTCAGCAGCCGTGCCAATCTTCGACGCCACCAGAACGAAAGGAAGGGACTAAGAAGGGTTTATGCCTGTAGTTTCTGCCACCGCGTTTTCAGCCGTTCAACTGCTTGTCGGTTACACCAGCAAAATGGCGTCTGCTTCAAGTCCAATGGTTGGGTTGGTGAGAGCCCTCAGCAGTGATGAAGAATCACAATTTCGGAACGATATACGAACCCCTTTCCTTTAGCCTGCATTAGACAAAGATAGATAGATACATGGTCAATTAGATATTTATTGAGACACAAGTCATGACATATCATCCTGCTTAAGCTCCCCTCCTTAATTGAAACGGTGAAAACGCACATTATGAACACAGCTCATGAAGTCTATTATTCAAAAGCATATGGCTGAGCTTTATCCTTACCCACTAGAAGATACCTTTCTAGCTTGGCCCACAATATATAGTGAACTTGAAGTATGCGGGCTATCGATGCCAAGTAAGGCATGTCACCAGGCCTTGCCGTATGAGCTATTTCCATTTATCATCTAGGTTAACGAGAGAGACCGTTATTAGTTTCTTTGAGTCTCTGGCAAATTATTGGATTGTGAAGCTATCTTAACTAGACTCTGCTATAGCAGTATGCCTAAGTTATCCAATTTGTTAAACGTATATGGTACATACACTAATCTTATTCTTAAATGCTAAATCCATTAACAAAAATCAAATTCATTAAGAGCTAATATTCAAGTGAGTGTTAGTGTATTACTACTATCCACAAACTATTTCATCGAGTTGTTAGAGCTGCCTAACTACCCCTGGGCGCCTCTTTGACAGAAATTGCGACTTCTTCGTTCATAGCGGATATAACCGTAATAACTAATAGAACAGCGTTAGTAGACATTAATGAAAAAAGCTAAAAGATATATTTCTTACGTGCGTCTGTGCCGCTGTCCTCGTATTCTCTAATTACATCACCTATCTCACCTTCAGGAACAGGAACATCGTTCTTTTCTCCTCCATCAGCTGTAATCAGATGCAGAAAGTCATCATCGATGTAAGACTAAATTGTCAGCATGCGTCCTACATCCATAAAGTGTATGAACTGACAAACTGGTACTCCCTACGGCTAACATGAGGAACATCAACGTTGGCATCATGTTTGACTGAGTCCTCTTACTTCTTGCCATTGAAAATATCAATGCCAATGAAATGAACCTCTTCTTGATCGTTGGATAATTCGACAATCTTGCATGGGCGACCATTTATTACAAGATGTCCATTCTTCCTCAAAGTTGAAGCTAGGGCAGAATAGGTACCGCCTTGACCATCACCACCGCGAAAATCATGCTGCTATTTGTTAGTTTGCGGAACAGTAATGGTGGATTGGAAAAGCTAAGAGTGGGACTGGGAGAACTTGGTATTGACTTTACAACTTACATCATGATCTTCACTGTCAGACATTGCAATAGATCTCAAATCCAAAGTTGGCGGGCTTGATGGCAGAATGTACGAGGTTAAGGGTTTATTGTGAGGAGGTTAATAGATTGTGGACAACACTGAGTAACGTGCTTGATAAGCGAGTGCACCAGACAAGCGAGTGCACCAAAAATCCCTCACCTTACAACATTTTAATCTAATTGAAGATATCTCAACCATTCAAGATGTCCCAACCTTCAAATGAAGCTAGAATCCTTCTTGCCCTTCAGGCCCTTCAAAATGACCAAAAGCTAAGCTTACGACGTGCCGCAGATGTATATAACGTTGACTACTATGCATTACGTCGTCGTCAGCACGGCATTTAATTATAACGCAATTCTATCCTAAACTCCCGGAAACTATCTGATCTAGAAGAATAGATAATAGTTTAATTTATTCTTGACCTAGATTCGCAAGGATTTCCCTCGCGATTGCGTTTTATGGAAGAAATAGCCAATTCTCTGCTTATAGACTGCAATGCGCTACCTATTGGCAAGCGTTAGGCTTATAACTTTATTAAACGATAACCAGAGCTAAAGACGCATATCTTTCGCAGATATAACTATCAGAGAGCTAAATGCTAAGATCCGACGATTATTCGGGGCTGGTTTCGGCTTATATAGAATATAATCGCAAAGTATAGTATCTGATTAGGTAATATCTGGAACTTTAATAAGACCGGCTTTATAATAGGCCTGATACAGTCCGGGATGGTTATTATAGGCTCAGAAAGGCAAGGAAGACTGAAATCAGTCCAGCCTGGAAACCGTAAATAGATTACTGCAATTCCAGCGATAAACGCTAAAGGTCAATCGATCCCGCCGTTTATCATTAATTCAGGCTAATATTATCTTGCGAATTAGTACCGAGAAAGTAACCTCCCGGCCAACTGGGTTATTGCAACAAGCCAAAATGGATAAACAAATAACAAGCTAGGTCTTAAGTGGCTAAAACACTTTAATTAAGCGACAGCTAAGCAATCAGTTAGTCTGTATCGTCTCTTAATCCTTAATAGTCATAAAAGTCACCACTCAGTCGACTTTGAGAGATACTGTCAGGATTACAAGATTATTACACTTTGCATGCCTACTTATACATCCTACTTACTCCAGCCTCTCGATATTAGGTATTTTTCAGTGCTGAAGAATGCTTATAGTCGAGAAATAGAGCATCTAATTAGATGCTCTATAACCTACATTTCAAAGACTGAGTTCTTCCCTGCCTTTTATACAGCTATAAACCCCAACGCCTCCCAGGGAGGCAAATTAATCACTAAGTCTATGGGTTTTAAAGACCCTAAAGACAGTAACAGAGGCTTAATCTCAATCTAAATACCTTACTAGACGGGTTATTATGCATAAGAGCAGCTCCCCAGAGTTAATAATTCAGGCTATTAAATTAAACATAAAAGCAACATTGGCAGTTATGCATAAGGTTATCTTATTAAGAGATTAGGTCTAAAATCTTAAAGAGGCAAATAGGATATTAAGCCGTCGCCGGAGGGCAAAAAGGATAAGACTACAGAAAGGAGGGTTAATGACTATACAGGAAGGATTACAGGTAATTAATCAGATAGATATTGATACGCAGGTAGTGGCTGAGTCATCGAGAAGTGGTAGACAAGGAAGGTCGGTTAGACCGGGTGTTCGGCGATGTAGTGTATGCGGCAAGACCGGGCATAATGCAAGAACCTGTCAGGAGGATATTCAGGCCTCTGGAGATAAGTATAGTGGGTGATTTTAATTAATTAGATAGGTTATAGTGGTTTTATGTTAGAGATAATAAAGAGTATTAAGATTTTTGGTGCACTCGCTTGTCTGGTGCACTCGCTTATCAAGCACGTTATTTATGATTTACTATTATGACGTAGGGCGGCCGCCTCTTACGCTATTGACTAAGTCAAAGCGTAGCACTAATGCCTTTTGACCAGTATGATATCGTAATTTGCCCACTATCTATAGAGATCTGCACCAGGCTAATGCATGTCTCCAACTGGTTATTGTAACTTTCCCTTTTTCAACTTAGAACTCACTATCAATCAGCCCGATTTTCTTCTCAATTGGCTCAACAGATAAAATATCTTACCTATTGACTTTGACAGCATGCCGGCCGTAATGAATTGAGTGAAGATCTACTGAGAATTAATATAATTGGCCATTCAGGTGCCACGTATCTCAATGCCCTTTCCTTCTTCAGCAATGGACAGGTAAAAGACAATAGATTAGTATGTTAAAGAGATCCGGTGTTAGGAGAGTACCACCGCAGGCAACAAGGGTGGCTCGGTCGTTGGTTTAAACAATCAGTAGCTTGCCAATTATATAATACCTCTTGTACCAGTTACTTGATTCTCAATTTGATTCCAAAGGCGCTAAAGGATCCGCGACTGAGACTGGCTGCGCACTTTGGGGTACTGGCGCATACTGTCAGCCATCTGTTAACGAAAACCAGTTATTCACCAAAAATATCAACGTCGTCAGCAATTTGTTTGCAACCTGCAACAACTACTGCTGCTGGGTTTTCATTTCTTAGAAAGAGCGATGTAGGTCAATGTCTCTGTATGAGAGACAAAACTGGCACAATTGCTTACCATTGGCTTTACACGTATCACATCGCCGGCGGTGCTCCAAAGGTCTATGGGAACAACCTCCTCCATGTCTTCAACTACTACTCGTACGAAAATTTTCACTATGTTGTCGAGTTCGGAGAGAACGGTCAAGTTCTTATTCCTGTGGCCTCTGGTGCTCGTTACGTCCTGAAAGACATGTTCCTAGCGTTGGAGTACCTACATGATGAATCGGATTCATGGGACATCCTCTGGCCAAGGCAATAGAGCAGGACAATACAGACCTTACTAAACGTCCTTACGGCACTGCCTTGTAGGTTGCTTGTTACTCGGGCTCTGAATCCATGGCTACCTGCTTGGACTCTGGATTTCCCAAAGAAAATAACTACAACCTAACTAGAGCTGGGTCAATGATGAACAGCAACATCAATTGGATACATCTAATTGTTAGTTCAATAAATAAGGTATTTTAGAATCCAGCCGTGACCAGCCTGTGTTTTTCTGACTAACGCGAAGTACTATCTATAGCGCGGGTCCGTGGACAGCTCAGGTAAGACATGGCGCTAGGTCTGGAGCAGTCGAACGCCAATAACGCGGCTAGACTATTGGCAAGCCATCTGGCCATTTTCCCAAAAACGTCGTGGTTGTTGAACTATTGCAGTCGAGAGCTTGAAATATCTTCCAGCTAGCGCATGTGCATACTATTTACCTTTTGTGCAATTATTATTGGACTTCCAAGTTCCATGAACATTTGTAGTACATACTGTCATTCATCTATATAAGCCAGCTCCCCTTCCATCTATAGAACTTAACCATCACCGACTCACCTTCAACCTACCACTATTTCTTCTCAAGACTCTCAAGTACAAGCTATTCTCTCATTGCAATTACTCTGATTTTTTTTTTTTTGGAAACAAAAATGCCACACACAAAGACCCCCATGGACAAGTTCTACGACGAATACAACCGCTGGCACAAGAATGAGCTTGACGCCATTAACCCAGACCGAGGCGTCTCGATCTGGTTCATGAACAACACGGACCAGGAATTAACCTGGTCAGACTCAGGAGTCGACCACGGCGAGCGAAGCAAACTGGCACCCGATACAATCGCTCCTTGGAAATGGGGGAGATGGGCATTGGAGTCTTCTGGATTCCAGACTGGATGTGAGGGCTGGATGACATGGGTATTCAGCGATGGAACCAAGGTCGAACTGGGATATAATAACCCGTACTATGGGTCTAATTCTTATTCCTGCAGTGTCGGTTCGAGTTCATTCACTATCCGCAGGGAAGGGGGAGATGGAAATTGCGCTATTGTTAACTTTATTCTAAGCCGAAGTTGATGGGGATTATCTAAGAGGCTGATAGTAGTTTGAAAAACTACTATTTGGGTTTCTAGGGACATACTAGGTACTGGGCATGGCGGGATGCATAAAGCGTAGGTGGGATCCTCTTGGGTGAACTGCGACGAATGGCGCCCTCGACCCTTTGCCAAATTGGTGGATGCCAAATGGTCCCCATCCGGGCCGTCGACTCGGAAAGAGTCCAAGAGGGTTCTGACAGCGCTGCGACCTGGATGCTTGGAAGCGCGCTGCTCCATGCGCTTGTACATAGCAATCTCATTCTCGACACGTTCGTCAAGTGCTTAGGAGCGTGCAGAGACCTTGAGAACGACGTGGCATCGTTGTCTGCGTTCTCGGGTATGTTCGGGAACGATATATTGTGGGAGTGCGGAAAGGAATGACCTTAGGTCGTTTGCCAGCCATACTGTTGAGCTGGCACCAAAACCAAGCTTCCCTATCATTTGGTACCGGTCAACAAAGACTTCACCGATACGCACAGGATAATAACGTGCTGGGAGATAGTCTGGCAGTGTCTCCTCCTCGACTTTACTACTGGCGGGGATCCGAATGAAGTTTTGGTTGGGAAATATCCGTCGTCGTAGCGGTACTTGACCACTTGACCGAGACCATACACGGGAGAAAAATGACATAGTCAATGATGGCGAAGATGAGATTTACAGGCGATACATACACAGAGCTGGGACGCAGTTGTTGTATTGGTGTTTTATCCATCAACCGAGCATGACTAAGAATTACCCCGCGCTTCGAGCTATTCCTTGAAAGACAAAGAGAGATACATATTGTCACAATGAAGCTGGCAGCATTGTGCATGATGGGTGAATCGAAGAATGCTTATGCTAATTAATCTGCTACTATTTGTATAGTCCACCATGGAACATTGCACGAGTTAGAGGATTATCTTCAGTTTAGACATCACGAGAAAGGGTTGATAGTGAAGTTATTACATTCAAATGAGTAATCTATATAAGAAAATAGTTTCCGTTCACATAGTCTTAATACCCAAAGCCCATCGAAAGAAAGCTTTTACTTCTACAGGTTTCTCAGTCAGAACATCTAACAAATACCCTTGATTCCAGAAGTATACCCGTCCAAGTTGTATTGTGGAAAGTCGTTACTAGAGGCCCTGAAGCATCGTTTGCTTCTCTCGCTGTAAGTGAAAACAGAGCAATTGTGATCGGTAGCGCACGCCTGGACACAATCGTCTAGGGTATTGGCATCTATAGCTTGAGTAAGGCCACTGAGGAGAATGCCACACCTAATCTCCATTGTTCTAATACACTGAGTGGTATCTGAGGGACATGTGGCGACGGGGTCTGCAGCAGTAGTCGTCGTAGTTGTCGCCTCAGAGGTCAAGGCTTCTGAACTTGCTGCCAAGGACGTGGCAAGAGTCGTGGGAGTGTATTCGGCCGTGTCCGTCGAAATGGCGTCGGAGGTGACATCCGTGGTACTCTCTAAGGCAGTGGTGGTAGTCTCAGTGGTCTCAGCTGCTGTGGCAGCAACAGTCTCAGTAGTCTCGGTGGTTCCAGTATCCTCGCCAGCTACTGTAGTAGCAGTAGTCTCAGTACTGTCGGTAGTCTCGACAGCTACTGTAGTAATCTCGGTAGTCCCAGCTTTTGCAGTAGCAGTGGTCTCAGTAGTCTCGATCGTCTCGCCGGTTACTGTGGTAGCAGTGTTTTCAGTCAGGATAGTGGTAGATTTGTCAGTCTGTTCGACTGCAGAATCGCTCAGAAAGATCGTGGATGATTCGGTGGTTGGCGCTGCGGACAATGTAGTAACGCTGCTGATCTGGGAGGCAGTGGTGGTGATGGAGCTTTGAGGTTTGCATGGTCCAGCTAATGCAACACCAACAGCGGCCGGGAGCATGAGAAACGAGCGAATAGCGACCATGATTATGGCCAGGAGATGAAATTTGGCAACAAGTTCAAGTATAGCAACAACCAGAATGGAAAAGCAGAAAGACGAAAACTGAGGATACTGTTATTTGTATTATTTTCTTCTTTTACCTCCTCGTTCTTTCATTTCCTTTAGCGTTGTTATTAAGCTACGACGATTAGATCTTGAAGATCCCTATAACGACTAAGCAGATAAAAGTTAGCCAACCTGGGAGGATCCAATGGTTCTAGATTAGTGACATAGTCTAGACTCTCTTTTAACGTTCCTAACCCAGTATTATTTTCTTTTTAAAAAATAAAACCCAAGTTCGTAAATATCGCATCGCCGATCGATGACCAACTATCGGATTATGATTCACACTAGACGACATAAAAAGGGTGTAAGCCGGATGGCACATTTTTAGGATTAATATAAGCATGGTAAACCAGCGGAGACTACGACAAATGCGACTAGGAAACATTTATTGTATTATGGCTCTTAGTGTACAAATAAAAAGTTCACTATAAGGTGAGTAGGTTGCAGACATATGCGGCAATGTCTGCATGTTCTTGAATATTCTCTGTTCTGACTCTCCAATTGTTTGCCTTTTCGTATCCTCGCATATGCATCGATGCCTGTGGCTTACAGCCGAGTACAAGCTGGCAGAGAGATTCTCCACAGTCAGTTAAACTTCAATTCTTATAGATTACTTCAAAAGAATATCACAGAACATGAACAATCCATCGCCGAAAATGGATCCAGCTATCGCCGCCCAGCTTGTTGAAAAAGCCCGCAGCTACGGTCTTCATTCTTGCGACTACTGCCAAGCAGTTTTTATTGACCTCACCTCTCTGGCCCTGTCGAGTGGGGAAGCTGATGATCACGGAAGCCGGGATGTTAATGAGCTGCAATCGGGAATGTGGGACGGATCCCTCTCTAGTGCGATGAGGTTTTGTAAATTTCAGTTCTCTCAAAACATCATCGCTGAGGCCCAATTTAAATGTCCCTTATTCGAGATAGAGTTGCCCGTTAACCAAGGAGATTTGGAATTGCGCTATTTTACCGTCGGCTTTAACCCGATCCATTATGAGATATCACTTGCGAATATAAGGCTCGACATTAGGCTTCCGAAAGGTATTGTAATGTTATATTCCTTCAAAGTATGATGACTGACTGACAGTTTCCATCAAAGATTTAATGTCGTTGGTCCCAGATCTAGGAACGACTGGAGTACCGATTCATCCTTGTATCAGATCTGACAAGACATTTTCTCGTGCTCAAGAATTGATAACCAAATGTTTGAGTGAGCATGAGAAATGCAAGAAGACCGGATCAGCCCCATCGCGTTTACTTGATGTTACCTTTAGCAGGACAAGACTGGTCAACACAAAATTCATGAAAGATCTAGTCTGGGTGGCCTTGTCGTACTGTTGGGGCGGTCCACAACATTCCCAAACAACATATCTCAATCTACAAGACCTTTATCGTGAGATTGTGTTAGAAGATCTCCCGCTTACTCTCCGCGATGCCGTTTATGTTTGTCGACAGATGGAGATCCAATATCTTTGGATTGATTCTCTCTATCATTCAGGAGGAGACAGACAATGCCGATCAAAAGAGAGAATCCGATAAAGATCAAGAACTTCGAAAGATGGCTGGTATCTTCAGTGGCACAGTCCTTATTATTGCTGCCTCTTGCGCATCATCAGCCGACGAGGATTTTCTCCAAGATCGTCAACAGTACGAACCAGCAATCAGCATCCCTGTATGCGTCAATGGGATCTACGATATGGCCCAGTTAGTTTTACAACGTGAGGACATCGACGAGTCGCTGGAAGTAGAGCCGATCGATGGTAGAGCGTGGACATTTCAGGAGCAATTGCTTTCATCACGAATGTTGAGCTTCACAAAACAAACTATGCAATGGCATTGTCAGTTCTGGGACTGTAACATCTCCCAGGATGAATTCCATCTTCTTTCTAGTCCTGCTGACTACTTAGCTGCTTACGATGAAGGTACTTGGGTAGAGCTAGTCCAGGAGTATTGTCACCGTGATTTGAGTAACTTGGAAGATAGACCTATTGCCATTGCCGTGGTGGCCGAGACATTTGCCACTAATACACCCAATGTCACAGCGTCGGACTTTGTAGCCGGCCTGTGGAAAAATAACATTCTGGAGGAATTGCTGTGGTTCCCCAATAGACAAGGTCCCAGGCGCGGTAACTTACCAAAACTGTAAGGTCCTTCTTGGTCTTGGACTTCAATCCCAGAGATGATCGGTTATTGTTGGGGAGTCGAGTTTGAGCCCACAGCTTCTTTAATTGGTATAGATATCGATCTCGCGGATCCCCATTTCGTTTTCGGCGATGTGAAAAGAGGCAGAATGCGTCTCAGAGAAATCATCTCGCGCCACCACACTGAACGCATGCTGCCACCGCGCCCCGATTGGACGACGTTTGACGACAGTTGCCCGCGACTACATGTAGACCGTCATAAAACATCCATGGAAGTCTTTCTTCTGGAGTTGGGCATTCAACATGACCCGACGAGGCCGAACAAAAGTGTTGGTTTAGCGCTTCAATCGACCAGAGAGATGGATCAGTTCGTGAGAATCGGGATATATACTGAAGATGATGATAAACACTGTCGTGGCTATTGTATGGCTTGTCAAGAGAATGGCCCAAAAGAAGAAAGAACAGTAGAAATTATGTAGCTGGGTTTCGGGTTACAGCCAATGAACCTTATTTGTAAAAAGTAGACAAATACTTATTATCTTGGTCGACATTTAGTCAAAAGCAGTAGTTGTATCACAGAGAAATGAAGATTTGCATGTAATGGCATTTAGAAGAATGTCCTATGAAATAGAAAATAATCCAATATATTACCTCAAACCTGGAGCTTCCATCCTCCTCCACTTTCGATCAATATCCCTTCGGAGGCCTTTCCAACCTTGGTTCTGATCCCCCATGACTGCGACTTCTCCGCAATACCATTTTCCTGAGATCTGTTCTCCTGAAGAGCAAAGAGCTCAGTAGCGTTAGAGCTCTTGACGACATCGACGCCTATCCTGGCAGTGTGGATTACGATGGCCACGACAAAAGCCACAGTAAAACCAACTTGACCAGCTAGCAATGTCAACCACTGCCAACGTACAAACATATAGGTCTCTCGATTGAAACTCGTTCCTCTTGCAGAGCCCTGTGTTTCAGCAGATCTAATACTACCACAGCGTTAGTCATTTATCAGATGCGATGCGACCGAAGACTCACAATGCTGTCATTCCTTTAGCGATGTTATTTGCATATGTCTGTAGGTTCTTCCAAGTCAAATCGTCAAATTCTTCATCAGGTGTTGTACCGGAAACTCCGCTCATGAGATTATATCCAAACTGGTATGCTAGTCCTGAGGAGAAGTGATTACTTAGATCAGAAGACCAGGAGCCAGAGAAGGCCTGTCGGAAATCTTTATCGATTCGGATATGGACTAACGAGGTAGTGACGTTGAAAGATCCTCGTCCTTTATCGTCTGAGAGAATAAACGAGTTCCATGTACTATTATCGTTCGAGGTAGAGGTCGAGGAGCTGATGTTGACAGAAGATGCTGATATTGTCGTGCTATCTATACCATCCTTGACTTGGACGGCATAATTCTGAACGCAAAAATGCCATATCAGCTCCATAGCTCGAAATCTGGTCTTCATGTTAGGACTGGCATTGCTGTAAATGATAAAGAAATGTGCAACTGTTGCTTCTTTAACATCGGCATCCCACTCCGATAACATCTTTCGTCTTGGAACTTTATCATCATCTTCGGGTTGCTGGTGAACGGGGGAAGAGATGTTCGTCATGACATGGAACTTCTCCGTAAAATTCAAAAACCCTAAGCCGTTGGGCAATGAGGCATTGTATAATCTCACTCCATCTACGCCTTCTGTAGGCCCTGATACGTTAAGATATTCAGTGACATTCTTTATGCTAGCGCAAAGACCAAGCGATAAGACCGGTGGCCATTCGCATAGCATTGTAGAACAAGCGGGTTCAACGTGAGGAAGTGTTTGGTTGACAGTATAAAAGGCCGCTTGATATGCACCACGTGTGACACCCTCAAACACATCCTGACCTGACCATTATCGTCATTAGCATTGCTCTTTCGATAGCTTGAAAGTTTACATACTTTCGAGACCCGAGTCTAACAAGGACTGGGGGAAGGATCGAGAAACTTGTACGGAAGCAGTTCCATTTGGTACGAGGATGTTCTCAGGCCGATATGTTATCGTCGATTGTGTAACAAATGATGTAGCAATGCCCGTCGCCCAAACAAGAGCTGCAACAGCGCTGAAATAAATGAACCTGCGAGAACAGAGTAAGTAACTACAACCTCATTCTTATCCAATACGTTGTCCAACATACCCTCCTCTGATTTTTGGTACCAGGCACATAGCGCCCCATGGGCCTCTGCTCGCTTGATCAAAATCATGCAAATGTTTCAACGGCCGTCTCCCTGTTGCAAACCAGTTCCATTTTAGCTGCGATAGTCCCTCCTCTATCGGAACAATGACCATAGCACGACAAATAGTCGAGAGAAGTGCGATTATGGTATTCACCGTGAGTCCTAGTGGCCAGTCTGGAAGCGGATGATTATCGAAGTGGAATAAAACAGCAACCAGGGCTCCGAAGAATGAGAGTGCAAGAGCGCACCAGATGAACTCCGCTAGCCATGGTCTCACATGGCGCCATGTCGTCTTCTTCGATGCTGTATTACCAGCCATTGTAGGTTCCTCCGACGGAATATAGGTGTACCGTTGTGGTTCTGGTTTGGTGATGTGAGTCTTGTCGGTGGATGTCTTATGCATGCTCTAATCCACAAGCATAGGCCGAAGAAGACTCGCAGTCGCTAAATGTTATAAGATGGGAGGTCGTGTACTTGTTTTGATTTACCGACAATTCAAGGACGAGGTGCAACACAGTCACAGCTAAACTTAGCTTCGCCTGGGAAATGCTCTTGGAAAACCCACTAACAAGACTATATGACAAGCCACATCGGCGGAGTTTATATGGAAACCTGAAAACCAATACTGCCGCGAAACTCACCGATTGATCCTTGGTTGATAGCGAATAAGCCATCAAGATTAGACATTTCTGAACCCGTAACCCAAAACAGGCGATATCTTTCGATGCAAAAAGCAAATCATCTGTAGCGCAATACCATACCGGATTTGGTTCCAAGGTGCGCATGTCCGAACTGAGATATGGCCCCCTGTCCAATGGATTCGCTAAATGTAGGGCTGCTTACGGTATCCAACCAACGTTGATCTTTGACTAGGAAACTGGACCATGCTCGCTAACCCCTCCTTTTTTCCCTGGTTAAATTCTTACTGCGTATTTTGCCTTGTCGGTAACAGTAGGTAGAATGCCTACCCGCCTTGAATCTATAACATCGAGAAATAGTACTACTGAAGGTCCAAATCACCAATTTAGATTGCTTTATATATAAGATATAAACATTGTTCTAACCGACATCTCTCGTCCCAAACCACCATTTCCTCGCTTGACGCACAATCCCATCCCATCCCAAAAGACTGTCTGCCTTGGGATCAGTAGCCTCCACATGATTCAAGTTCGCCAGAAATATCGACGGGTATGACGCCATGTATGCTTGTGCCATGAATCTCTCCATGAAGGAAGTCTCGAGGATCACCGGCTGATGTTCCCCTGTGTGAGGAAAGTACGGCGACGCCGTCAAATATCGGATTGCAATACCCAAGGGAAAGGTGGAGGCTAGGACTGCATAGCTTCCGCACTGCGATTGGTGGCAGAGAGGTATGGCGTATAGAATCTTGTGTGCGTATAATGTAGGATTTCGTGGATGTTCGAATTGCCCTTCCCCTGGATGTGGAAACGGAACTTGCGCCTCACGTGCCAAAATCTCCGGCACGTTTGAATGCTGCCGCGCAAAATGCATTGTAGTGTAAAGAATGATGCAGCAACTCCAGTATAAGAAACTCGGTTGCAACACAGCAATATCCTCGTCAGTCTGTAATGATGGGAGCTCTTGTCGCCCCACTACCGTGCTGTCAAGCAGATAAAATGCATCGGGCATAATGTCTTTCCATCTCACCAAGATCTGCTCAAGTTGTAAACAATGACGTACAAGCTTTTCAGTTGCTTCATAAGTTTCTACCTCGTTGGGATCGAGGTCTCTAAGCAAGTCTAAATCTTGAAGAAGTCCAGGAATCTGAACTAGTACATCAGTCAGCAAATCAAGCGGGGATTTCTTGCGATTCCTCCACGGGAGAAGCATCCAGTCTTCTTCACTGAAGAATGAACGTTTTCTATCAGTCACGCAGTTGATGTACTGTTCAAAGATTAGTAAACGTTGAGCCGGATAGGTATTCCAGCAGCCTCTACATACCGAGACGACCCTGCTATCCGCCAGTAGATGCCGTGCCGGACCTTCCCAATATCCACAAGGCCCTTTGGCTTGGAAAATTGCCATTTCGCCGTCACTGTGAGCCTTGTAACTGTCTATCTGCTGCTTTGGCCCTGATGAAACTACTCCCTTGGCTCCATATCGAATCTTGTTAAGTAAGTCACCAACTAATACCCTAGCAAGTAGATCGCGTTGAGGGGGGCATGAAGTACGTACCTCATAAAACCGGTAGAGCCGTACTGCAGCAATCAAACCGTTGCTTGTAGCTCTCTTAGGGTCACGAATCGCCATAGCAGTTTCTCGAAGGCCCGCACGGTATGCCTCAAATGCTTTTGCCCTCAGCTGTTGATTGTCGTCTCGCTCCGCTAATGCAGCTAGACCATGCGCCAAAGTGATGAACTGTAGAGATTTCTCAGATCCACTAAGATACTCATGGTATCTGACCCAGCCAACAGGGGATAGCTGGGACGTGGTAGATGAGAGCATACGGCCATTGGGAAGGTACGCCGAGAGAAAGAGGCCTATGTACTTGGTGTCCCTCGCACTTCTGACCAGTGAGTCGCACAAGGTAATACTACCTGACTCAGCTGCCGTCCGAATAGGATTGTGAGCCTTGGTGTACGTGGCCAGCTTCTTGCTCGTGGTATTAATCCAGATGTGAGGGTGATCGTAGCCTTCGCATACGTAACCCGCTGAGATACACCGCTGGCAAAAAGGCTTCTTTTTATCGCACTAGGGGATCAATGTGATCAACATTTGCAAAACAGTAGATGGTAATTGGTCAACTCACTCCCTTCTTCCTTCTGGGACAAGTCAAACAGCCTCCCGCTTTAGCTGGGACGCCGACCATAGTAACAAGGGAGGTAGCGTGCGGTTTGTAGTCGTCCGGTGAGCGTCACAAGGCAACACAAAAACTCAAGTCAGAGTCAAATAGACATGACTGTTGCGCGCACTTTGTAGGCCTTTTAGGTAGAAATCGCATGAACCCACATTTAGGGCAATGTCTGTCGATTGGGTGATGACAGCTTACTTCATATTCAGCCCCAGCTTGGCGCTTACGCCGATGTATTTTCAAGTTTATAATCCCTGCGCTGGAGATGATCTTCACAACGCTCCACATTTCTGCCAAAGGACCATCCTGCGCATCTGACACTCGCGCACCTTCTTTCTCTTTAAGGAAGGGTAGCCAACTGGATATTCTTACAATACATGCTTGCATCTTGCATTATGGATGCTGGCAGCGAAGAAATTGTTTTTTCTTTCTTTCTTTGTTCCAATATTAATTGGAATCTTGACGTCAGATGGGGCTGACAATGGATGTACGTAGGACTCCAACGTAGAAGTAAATTCAAGATCAAGGCTTTATTTAATTGTGTATATATATGTGTGCATGCAATACTCTGAGCTTCAACAATGATATTATTGCTTCTCAAACATCCGCTTCTACCAGAGAACAAGTCAGTACAAATACAGTTATCAACATGGGTTCATCAACCCGCCCCCCAGCCAACCGCTTTGTTGCCGTAGCTCGTCACGTATACAACCCCATCGGCTTCAGCAAAGGATATAACTTCGTCCTTTGGTTCATCTTTGCCGGCGGTCTACTGGGTTTTATATGCGCTCGAGCCCCCTACTTCGACTACGATGGCGTCTTTTGTAAGCCTGACTCAAACGGTGGATTCTTTGGCGCTGCGGCTGGCGAATGCTGGTCCTATGCACAAGAGTCCCACCTCAAGTTTGGTATCAAGATGCATCTGTGGACTGTCCTTCCTGCTGGGTTCCTCGCCTTTCTTCATTTCCTTCCGATTCTTAGACACAAAGTTATACTCTTCCATCAGATTAACGGCTATATCACCATTCTGCTTAGCATTGTGGGCACAGCTGGTGCTCTGATGATTGCTCATGTATCTTTTGGCGGAGGCGCAGATATACAGGCTGCTGTTGGATTGCTGGCCATTTTGTTCGTTGGTAGTCTACTCGTTGCTTTGTACAACATCAAACGACTACAATTGGAGCAGCACAGGGCTTGGATGTTGCGAGCTTGGTTTTATGTAAGAGACATTCAATTCATCAATCGACCGACTGTTAAATACTAACTGTAAATAGGCTGGAGCAATCATATCTTGTCGACTCGTCATGTCCAGCGCGGCTATGATCATCTCCAAGTGGGGGGCAGTATACAAATCTTTCTCGTGCGATAAACTCGCCTCATTTTACCAAGACGATGAACAAGGTTTTATGCAAAAATATCCGGTATGTAATTCCACCGACGGGTGGGTTGCGGTCAAGGCAGATATCATTGGCGGAGACGGAGAAAACGCCGCTGCAGCAATGCATGAAACCTTTGGAATGGCGGTTTGGTTGGCTCTGGCCCTGCACGCTATTGGGGTCGAGATATACGTAAGCCCACGTGTTCATTGTTCCGCTGCCATAACTAACTCAGCTTTATCATAGCTTCGCTTGACCCCCGCTGAGTCTGAAAGACTTCGAAACATCTCCTACAAACGCCAGATAGAGGCTGGATTTAAGAACCCTGGTAGTGCTGGGTTGACTATCGATCGGCTCGGAGACTCCACTGCTTGGGAACCCGCCATTGGTAGGAATCAGCGAGATTCGGCATATGCTTTGGTTGACCATGTCGGAAGGACGAACCTCAACGACTCACGCTCTGAATATGTATTATTGCAGCCCGGCCATACGCAATACGATCCATACATGCCACATGCCTGATGGATGCGTGTGAGAGACCCGTCGACTTCCCAGATGGATCTAATATCCTAAAATCACAAAACTGGATTCAGCCACTATGTATTGGCAAAGGCTATTTTTGTATCTATTAACTTGAGTCTAAATCTTATAAATCTTTAAAGATTCTTTGAGTATTCCACTTCAACTGCAAACTCGTTATCTTTCTCATCAACCAGAGTGACCGTGATACCCCATCCAGGTACCTTGTATGACTTCACACCACTCATAGTAAGGGTAGCGTCATTCAGAGGCTCCCAACCAGAAATCTCGCTGCCGCAACTATCAGAACCAGGTGTAGCATCTAGCACACGGATAGGCCCTAACCCTGTACTAAGGCTCGTATCAATAGTATAAAGGAGAACACCGGGTGCACAGATCTTCTCATCAAGACCTTTTGCCACGCGCGCTTCAGCAACAAGAGCAGAAGTCTTATTGGTAGCCACGACTATAGCCTTAGTGCCACCTCCTTGGGTCGCCACAGGTGTAAGAGTATGCCGGGTAGTGCCGTGTTCAAGAATACAGTCGACATCCTCATCCTGTAGCCAACCTAGCCTCCATTTATCCCATGCGAAAAAGTCAGAAGCCATTCCTCCAATGTTACCCATAACATCCCATCCACCAACATATTCGCCAACGGCCAAGTTTGAATCGAGAGGGTATAGATCGGGCAGACACATCGAGTGACCTGCCTCATGGTTCAGCGCCTTAAAGCCCCAAACATAAGGATCAACACCAAAGGTGATGGCCCTGTTGGACACAAATGTGTTGTCTCGCGTAAAAGCACCAAAGCTCGAGGCCAAAGAGCGACCAAACCATGGATTGTTGCGAGAAGTGACGATATAGAGGATGTCTGTCTTGGCCGGAGGTGGGTTTTCGCCATTATTCATGTATGCGTCCAATGCGTCCTCGACGTATGCATATTGTTGTTGGTTACTCAAACCTGCATCCCAATTATAGGACTCGGCAGAATGAGGCATGCGATAGAACTTGGAAGTGTCGGCGGTGATGTTGAGTGCGAGCTGACCATAGCTAGATTCCTGGAACCACTTGTTTGCATCGGGAACCAGGAAATCGTAATTCTCCTGAGGAGAATCCTCGGTGGCTTCGGCGTCAGAGAAGTCGACAAAGATCATAAAACCCTGGATGGTTCCAGTGCTGGGAACGCAGTCGCTCATAAAGCCGTGACCGACACTTAGCCATGCATAGCTTCTGGGTAGCTTACAACTCGGAACCCACGGAGTGTCATCTTCAGGGAACGTTCCATTGACAGATCCGGTTCCATTGGTAGGTGTGTTTGGATCCAAGGGTTGCGTTTGGTTGCTAAGTTGAGTGAAGTTTGTTGCTGACTGTTGACAGATGGAAGTTGCCAGTGCCGCTGGTAAAACCAGTGAAAGTAATGTCGCCGAAATCATGATGTCAATTCTCAAACGTTGAGAGTTTGATCTGCTCTGAATATCATGCCGGCTTTTTATTCTCTTTATAGAACCATATTTACTCCTGATCCGTATTCAAAATCTACCGAGGCCACTAGGCCCAGCAGTTGATACCTCAAATAGACTAGTTAGACCTGTCAAGATCTAGCGTTAAGCTTAAAGTGGGACAAGATGAGGAATACGAACATTTGAAACCCAGGTTTGAGTAAACCCCTTGTTTATCAACCCTGGGACTATCCATATAATTTCGTTCTTAACGCGTACTCGTAAACGATCGTTCGTTCTTCACGATCCTAGTTGAAATCGCATAATCGTTTATTGTAGTGCTTAAATTTCAGTTGGGCGCGTTACAGGGGGAAACCGACCTCCCCCACAGGTCGACACCGCCAGTCTTTTGATTATGTAACTGGTCGATCTCAACTACCCTGTACCAATCCAGCAATTACATTATAATACAACATATGGTTGGCCTGTACAGAGTAGCGAATGTCGGTTTCTCCCCAAGTCAACTTTCTTCTCCGGTTGGCTGCAATGATTTGACTCAGAGCAACAATACGAAATTTGTGTTGAGATAGAAGTTTCGGGTACAGTATGGTTGATTGAGTTTTAAGATTGCTAGTTGGCGCTCTTCGAAATACCTGAGTTTGACAGTGACAATCATGGCTGTTTAAAGCGGAATGAGCAGCAGGCTTGTAAAGCGAGTTTGCGCATCAGACGTCCGGAGTTTCCCCCTTACCCCTAGCCTAGATCCTAAAAATTGCACTCAAAATGCTAAGAGACAGTGCTAAAAGTCTTTTGATCATAAGACGCTAAGAGACAATGATCACCTCCGCCCGACATCCGAGAAGGACCCGCCATTTCATTTGCCTCATCATGCCAAATACGATCTAGGGGTGAGTTGCAGGGTAAATCGGTATGGTTCAATTACTTTATAGCTTAGATTATTTTAGCCAACTTAGTTTAAGCCTGAGTCTTTGAGATTCAACAACTCTAATGGTCGCCGATATGCATATCCATCAGAGATCAACCATCGACGTCGAGTCGACGCTCGCGTCTCTCACTCTTGCTGAGAAAATATCCCTTCTATCAGGTTAGTATGCAAAAAGTATTGAGTATCTCTCAACTCACTAACAATTGGAAGGGTCCGACTTTTGGCACTCTGCCGCTATCCCGTCTAGGGGAATCTCTGCTATCAAATGCACCGACGGTCCCAATGGTGCTCGTGGCGGTCGATTCTTCAATCCAGTTCCAGCCCTATGTATACCCTGCGGGACTGGCCTCGGTGCAACATGGAACCCGGAACTTCTCTATGCAGCAGGTCAGCTTCTCTCTCGAGAATGCGAAGCAAAAGGCGCCCATGTATGGCTAGGTCCGACAGTCAACCTTGTTCGAGGCCCTCTCAATGGTCGCGGATTCGAGAGTTTCTCTGAAGACCCTCATCTGAGTGGCGTGCTAGCTACGGCTATCATCAATGGAGTACAGAGTCGAGGTACAGCAGCAGCGTTGAAGCATTTTGTTGCCAATGATCAAGAAACTGCCAAAATGTCAACTGATATCTGCATGTCGGAAAGGGCACTGCGGGAAGTCTATCTCAAACCTTTTCAGATGGCGGTGCGAGATGCTAAGCCAAAGGTTGTCATGTCATCATATAACAAAGTGAATGGAGTTCATGTTTCTGAGAGCAAGAAACTTTTGCAAGATATTTTGCGAGGGGAATGGGGGTATGATGGGCTGGTAATGAGTGATTGGTAAGAACACCATATCAACTGCTAGCTTCCAAGGCTAACAAGACTAGGTACGGTACATATGGCTGTACTGATGTTCTCAACGCCGGCGTGGATATTGAAATGCCCAGTCCTTCCAGACATCGTGCAGACAAAGCTATAGTAGCAGTCGTTTCGGGAAAGGTTAGTAGAAAGACGATAGACGATCGAGCAAGAAAGGTTCTTGAACTAGTCAACAATACGGCAGCAGCACGAGTATCGACAAAAGAGACGACTAGAGACTCACCAGATGATCGAGCTCTCAACAGACGGCTAGCTACAGAGAGCGTCGTTCTTCTCAAAAACTCAAGTAATATGCTACCCCTTCAGGCTCAAGGCTGCGAGGATATCGCTATAATAGGACCAAATGCCAAGCTTCCCGCTGCGTGTGGCGGAGGAAGTGCGAACCTACGGCCATACTATACAAGCTCGGTCTTTCAAGGGATTAGTAACCAGTTGCCCCCAAATGCAAGGGTTCAATTCGAGCCTGGCGTTTTTGGGCACGTTTTACTCCCATACTTCACCGGGGATCATGTCACTGATGAGAACGGAAATCAAGGTGTTTCCATCTCTTTCTTCAACGAACCAGAGTCTGCTCTCAACAGAAAACCCTTTGACCAACAAAACATACCAGATACGACTTACCAACTAATGGACTATAACCACCCAGACAAAAACGAGACTTTCTATATGTCAATGAAAGCCAACTTCAAACCCGACATTGATGGATTGTATGAATTTGGCCTTGCCAGCTATGGTACCTCGAAATTATACATCAACGACCAGCTTGTCATTGATAACGAAACAGCACAGACCCATGCTGGAATATTCTTCGGGCACGGGTCTACAGAAGTGCGTGGATTGTATAAGATGGATTCAAACCAAAGTTATCGCCTACGAGTCGAAACTGGCAGTGCATCTACATCAAGGACTAGCGGTGGTTCATTCATTCCCATTCCTGGAGGAGCCTGTCGACTTGGCGGCTGTCTCAAGCTTGAGCCAGCAGAAGGTATCAGGCGTGCAGTTGCAGCAGCAAAAAAGGCTAAGCATACTTTCATTGTTGTCGGTCTCAACGCAGATTTGGAAAAGGAGGGTAAAGATAGAGAGTCAATGTCCTTACCACCTCACGTCGACGACCTAGTATCAGCCGTCCTGGAAGCCCAGCCCAACGCCATTGTGGTAACTCAAGCTGGAAACCCCATTGAGATGCCATGGCGCCATCAAGCCAAGACTATCCTTCATAGTTGGTATGGCGGAAACGAGGCGGGTAATGCTATCGCGGATGTGGTATTTGGTAAAGTCAATCCGAGTGGAAAGCTCCCAATGACCTTTCCAAGCCGACTCCAAGACGGACCAAGCTTCTTGAGTTTCGGCAGTGACAATGGTAGGATCTACTATGCTGAGGATGTATTTGTTGGCCACCGTTGGTTTGAGGCACGGGGCATCGAAGTAGCTTTTCCGTTTGGGTAAGTCATCATCTCTACGATTTTGTATTCATTTACTAATATGGCCAAGTCACGGTCTTAGCTACACAAAATTCTCTACATCTGAGATTACGATAAAGGAGAATGATGTACAAATTGACGTCAAAAATACAGGCTGTACGGCTGGCGCTGAGGTGCTCATGCTGTACATATCCTTTGACAATTTCAAGTCGGGCAAAAAGTCGAGATTTTTACGGCCTGTTCGAACACTCGTCAGTTTCAAAAAAGTCTTTCTTGAGCCCGGTCAAGAGGCCTCGGTTGTTTTGACTTTGGACAAACACAGCACAGCGGTGTGGGATGAGATGGCGGATAGTTGGTTGTGCGAAGCGGGGACATATACGGCTTCTGTGGTGAGCTCAAGCGACATTTTGGAAACTAGCTTTGTCGTAGACCGAGACATGTATTGGAGCGGAGCATAGGTTCGATGGATGCATTGCAGGGTATGTATATATATCGACATTAATTACGTATAAATAAAGTAACATCCGGGCCTTTAAAAGGGATTCGCATCCGGCATGGTCCAGTCACCATAATTGAGAGGCCAAAACGAGTCCATAAACACATCTGGTTGCCCAGAACCATACTGTCCATGAAGCCCGATGGCCAAAAAGCTATCCAGCTGAGGTTCTTCATCTCCGAAATACCCACTAAAGTCGGTTGCCTCTGATTCCATTGCCTCGGAAGGATGAGACGTGACATTGATGGGACCAAAGTCCGAATTAGCCGCCACTGTAATTTCTGCTGTAACGCGCTCCGACGAGTGGGTAGCAATTGATGAAGTCCCAGCTTCAGTTGCATGACCTTGCTCTTCTGGTTGGAAGTTCAAATTTTGAACGACTTCTGTGACACTGTGCTTGGAAAAGACCTCGCGTACTTGCGAGTTACCCTCAGCTACTTGCGGTCGTGAAAATATATTGCTTTCAGACTCTTCCTCATCCCAGATTGACGGGCACGCATATGGTCCATCTCTTATTCTTTGTGCATCATTTACCAAATCATTTATACCCTTCAGTAATATTGCCGTTGTGGGTAAAAGCGCAGCTTGTTCTTCAAGCGCTTGCGAACAGGCGGTAAGTCTTGCAACCAGTTCTATCTGAGGCATATCGCCCATAGGATACTGCCCGAGTCTTGAGATAATCCTCGCAGAGTGAAATGCACACATAGCCATAGAAGGATCACTGATTAATTCAGAACCTCCCACAGCTTTTGGAATCTCAAGGATTTTGGAAACAGAAACAGCATGGAAGAGGCACTTTTCACGACAAGACGCTGTGAACTCGGGCGATATTTGTAGTATTTCCGAGGCAGGAAGACCCTCTCGGAAGCCGGGGATAGTGAAGCGGAAAAGATCGCAGTGTGTTTGGTGATACCAAGCATGCAGCATCAGGAATGGTGTACGGGAAGGCGAGAATGCGCGTAGCGAGAATGCTGTTTGATCCAAATTATAGCGTGCTGGCAGCGAAGCAGAAAATTGGCGCAGTTCGTTTTCGATGGATTCGACGGCTACTAGACATTGCTCAATTGGCTTTCGGTGGTTGGTAATCGTTAGAGTAAGTCTATGACAGTCAGTTGGTACATCTAAAGAGAGAGATACAATGCTGTTACCTTTGTACGCGATTACGAATGTCCAGGACTCGGATGCAGTAGCCTAGAAGGCCTATACTCGTTGTATCAGGATGTGAAGGCGGATGAAGAAATTCAGTAGTGACTGGCAGGTCCATGGAAAAGGACTTTTCGTTACAGGGCAGTCGAATGTGGAGAGTTTCAGGAGTACAAGCCGTAAATTCCGCCTTTCCACTCGAATACAGCGAGTCCATGATGTAGATGGACCACATCAACCGTCGTCTCCGCTCTTGTACTAAGAACTTTTGTCGAGTATCCTCATGATTGAGTCGAGGGATATAGGCAAGTCGTGAAGTCAACGCCATGGATACAAGCATCTTACTAACGCGCTGGGAAAGGTAATGATCCAGCGTGATAAGTAACCATGCTTCTACGTCTGATATTTGTGGGTGAGAGAGTTGCTGCAGGAGACGTGACTCGGCGTCTTGAATCCATTTTCTTGCCGTGTTGCGATGCTCAGAACTGCCTCGGTGTATGAAACGAGATGTGATGCCGCATATTGCCGACAGAACGCATGGGTTCAGCTCATTCTTGGACCATGATTGGAGAAGAGTTGCTCTATGGAGGAATCCGTAGCATGGAATTGGGTGGATGAGATCAAAGTAGGCGTCAATGTGCTGTTTGACTGTTTGTTTGTTGATTCCGAGGTCCCTTATCACGATGAGACATGTCTGTATAGAATTGGTCTTGGGGTAGGCTTACAATAGTAATTGTTGAGGCATCTGCATTGATGCGGATGACGCAATAGGTTGTACATGAGTCTGTGTTGGTGCACCCGAGTCTCCGGCTGGCGATACGAACTCGGATGAATCTGACGTTTCGACCTGAGGTGATTGCCTCGAGTCATCTACCTGAGATGTTGAAGATGTCGGGTAATGACAATCAATGCCGCGGTCCAAACATCGAGAACATGTCGGTCTTTTGCCAGAACACTTCAATTTGCGATCCTTGCACCGAAAACATGCTCGCGATACCCGTCGTCGCTCCAAGATTTCAAGGTTGCCGTTATTTTCCACGGGCGAAGATAGTAAAGAGCATGAAAACTTGAGTCGTTTGCAATTACCACAGCCTCGAGGGTCTCCATCGCATCCTACCTAAAATCCCATCAACAAACAAATATGGTATATGATGGAAAAGTGCATACCTTGCGGTTCCGACATTGAGCACATATTTCGGATGTCTTGCGGATGCGCGTACGTGATGCATTCCTCTGATCAACCATTATCGCGTCGATCCGATAATTTCGGAAGAGAGCTGCAACAATGGAAGTCGGGCGGAGGAAGAGGAGAAGAAATTTGCCCCAAAACTTAATCTCGTTTGTCAATTCCCCCCGACTTCCGAGCTCGGGATGCACTAGCTACTTTTGATACTCCACATACCCCAGACCTTTACCTTGGTCCCATGGGGAAATCAGGAGAGCTACGAAGCTAAGCAGTCTTTTCATCGTGGTCTTGACCGGAGTTACCTTGCTGTTGGCGCAACTCGTGATACTAAGATTTTGCGGGGGAAGATGCTTTACGATTCATTCGACTGAGTATATCTGCAGCATCACCCCGGCCTCAATTGCCTGTCATCATCCAGCAGACATCAGAGTCTAGCAACTGCTCTGCCATCAACCATTGCCACGCTACACCGACACCATGTTGTCCAACCACAGAATTTTAAAACACTTCAACTGCCATCTAGGCATCGCCTTCGCCGTCATTGCAGTGTCGACATTCAATTACGGTTTTGACAATGCAGCCTATAACAACACCCAAGCCATGGAGGCATTCCAGACCCAATTTGGCGAGTGGGATGCCGACGCTGGAAAGTACAGTATCCCTCCTTCGTGGCTCGCCCTGTTCAACAGCTTGAACTATATCGGTTTCGGTGCGGGAGTCATCATTGGCAGTCTAGTTAGTGAGCGTTGGGGTCGAAGATGGTGCATGTTTGGCATGAGTGCTTGGGCATTGGTCCCTGCCATTATGGCTGTGACATCTGTCAGCAAGGAGCAAATCATGGCCACCAGAATCCTTAACTGTAAGTTCAGTCACCCTTCTATTGCGTCTTGTCAGCTGACCCTATTAGACATCTACATTGGCATGGAGCTCGCCGTTGTTCCCGTCTACCAGTCCGAGATAATGCCACGCGAAATTCGTGGGTTTGCCGTTGGCTCTTACCAATTCAGCTTGATGGTAAAGTCCTTTCCTCAATTCCATGTTTCTCACAATGTAACCGTGTCAACAGTCTGGCACCCTCATTGTCGCATGCGCTTGTAGAGGCACAAGTACTCTATCAGGCAACCTCTCGTTTCGAATCCCCTTCGGCCTCTTCTTCATCATCCCCGTCTTCGTCATGTGCGCCATCTTCTTCATTCCAGAGGTACACCACCATCCACATACCTACATCGAACTCATAAACTAACCATTTAGTCTCCACGATGGTTGCTCACGAAAGATCGAACCGAAGAAGCACGAGCGGCGCTTGGAAAACTACGAGAAGGAAAACAAACCGAAGCTGAGATCGACGAGCAGTTTGCAGCGCTCCAATACGCGTTGGAACATGAGCCAGAGCAGGGAAACTACCTTGAGCTCTTCCAGGGAAAGAACCTCAAGAGAACTGCCATCGTTGTCGCCATGAACTTTTTCCAGCAGGCGACTGGTCAAGCGTTTGCCTCGACATACGGTGCTATTTTTATTCGAGACATTGGGACTGTCAACCCATTTACCATGACTATTGTCAATGCAGTCGTCAACCTCTGCTCTGCGTTTGCTGGTCTGTATCTTGTTGATCGGGCTGGTCGCCGGTAAGTGCTACTTATCCAAGGTTGAGAAATATTGCTAATTCGGTGTATCCCTTTACTATTGACTAGTGCTGGATGGATGTTCTCAGCAATTGTCACCATGGGCGCTCTGGGAACTGTATCGAATCCATCCTTCGGTGTCAAGTCGGGTATTGTTGCCATGCTCACGTTATTCGGTTCTGAATTCACGTTTGCCTTTGCGCCTCTCAACTATGTCATCACCACCGAAATCCCTGCTCTCCGTCTTCGAGACGCATCTCAGCGAACTGCCTCTATTGTCAATGTCGTGGCCAACTTCCTTGTCAGCTTCAGCATTCCTTATATGCTCTATGATCAATACGGAGGCCTAGGATCCAAGGTTGGATTTGTCTTTGCGGGTATCCTCGTATTAGCTATCCTCTTTGTTATCTTTTGCATTCCTGAGTGTAAGGGGAAATCACTTGAGCAGGTTGACCGCATGTTCAATGAAGGTGTTGCCCTACGCAAGTTCGGCAAGTATAAGCCCGAGGAGATGACAGGTGATGTGGAGGAAGTAATTGAGAAGAGTGGAAAGTAAACTATTTCTAATGAATTTTAATTATCTATGTATTTATTTAATTAATTAAAACTGTTGAAGTATACAAGCCTCAATGCTACTAGGATGTTAATCCTTTTACTTTGACAAAAACTACTCATTATATTTTCTTTCCAAGGATTTCACTCTTGGTGCCTAACCAGATCCAGCTTAGGCAACTTAGGCAAAGGTTAACTTTTGCAATGCCGCAAGTCTCAGCAAAGGGCCACCAAGTATGCTTAATACCCCTGACGACAGCAGACTTTCTTTTGGCACTAGTTCAGCCTTAGAGATCTAACTATCAACGCACTATTGAGTCACTAGCTCAATAGACGATCAGCCAGCAAATTAGAGATTACCATAGACGAATATAGTGGAATAGTAATGACTTGATGGAAATCATTGACTACAGTTTGTACCAGGGTATGGGCACTCATATATACACAATCATTGACAATTCGTTCCTACGAATTCCTATCCAACATTCTCACTCTTTACAACCCACCTCTGTTCACTCATTAAGATGACTAGCCTTTCCGTCCTCGCAGTATCTGTTGTCCTTCTCGCCTTGTCTGGTGTCAATGCTGGACCGTGCCGTCCTTCATCATCGGTCGTTACAACAAGTCTCGAGACGACTGCCACCCTAACGGAGATCAGCGAATTAACAAAGACCCTTGAATCAACATCCTTAGTTGAGCCCGAGGTGACCGAGACTCCGACTATTACACTCTCTACTACCGAGACAACAAGCGCCGCTGCGGAGACCACCGAGACTACCAACATCACTGCTGTTCCAACTCCCACCACTTCTGAGACTACAACAGCCGCCATCAGCACAACCAGCGCAGTCCCAGTTCCTGAAACTCATCGCAGCTGTATTGTTCTTCCCAATCCATACACTGCACCCGATGGCAGCAGCTTCACAATTTCATGCAACAATCATGCTGGCGTCTACGGGCCGATTGAAGATTACATCGTTACGAGTTTCGAGGATTGCCTGCTGAAGTGTACAGAAGATTCCATATGCGTTGGCGTGGAGTATATGAAGTCGATTACCCGCTGCACTACTCTCCTCGCAGCTGGCAGTCCTACAAATGATAATAGCATCGATATGGCATTGAAAAACTAGTAGTTGGAAGTGTTGGAGTGCTCTTTGTTATTTTCTCCTTGGCTTCTACCAAGTTTAAGGGTATTCGAAAGACCGGGCGAATATTGTTGCCTTTTCATTCTTAGTTTGAGTTGAAATATAAAATTTCTCAAATACCCAAGTAAGATGCTTGCAAGCCAAGGTGGATGTCGGCTCTTTACCAAGCCGGCTATTTTATCTCTACTGAATGAACCAACAGCTTTATTGCAAAGTTTTCAGCAAAGCACAACCAACAGACAAATCAGGCCACTGTCTTCAGATCTCCACAGTTATATTAGGAAGGTGCTTGTCCCAATGCGTAAATGTATGTGATGAAGCGAAATTACCTATACGGCACACTTTGTGTATAACTGACATCGACTCTGCTCTTCAAGACATAACTGTGACGCAAACCATTTATTCATTAATCGCTATGATGGTTGCCATTAAGTGCACGATTCGATTCTACGCTGTCTTGGCATTTCTTTTCGCTTTCGTTGTTGCTGATGATAAATCACCAGTAGATGAAGTTTATGACCCATCTGCAGAATACGATCCGTCGAACAATTATCGCCCACGAAACATAACTGGCCTAGGGGACTTTTATAGCTGGGTTGGATCGTGAGTCCTAAAGATCAAGATGAACAGGGGACTGAACGGACAGGAAACAGTTACTATAATGCAACGGCAGAGGTAGAGCTTGAATTCCTCTTCAGCTGGCAATATGGCGGGCCATTATGTCCTGTGTGGCAGAATTACACCCATACCGCCAAATTCGATGCCGTTCTGAGTATCATCGAAAGAGGCCACTGGAATGCAGGAAATAACTCCATCATCTTCTGGCTGACACTTCTCCCACAAAATTCGCCGTCGTTTAATATTTCCAGCTTAACATACGAAGATATGACCAATGGGAAGGACTTCGGTATATCGTATCCCATTCTATCTAACTCGTCAGTTCGCTCCAATCTCATACTGTCTTCCTTACTGAACCCTTATTAGTTTATATGAGCATAGATACTATCGCCCCGAGAACAGCAGAACATCACCTCCTCGTTATGGCTCGAGCCTTGATCTTTTTGACTTCACTACCAGCCAGATGTCTGATGGAGCTTACAATACCAGTGGTACGGTTCTCCGCCAATGTGACCGCGAAGGCCATATATCAAGTTTTGCAAACTTTAGCAGCATGCCAGTCTGTGATTCCACCACACAGACCGACGACGCCGGCCTATGGATCTTGAACAGCCCATTTTGGAATACCGAGGGCGGGGATGAATTTCAATACCCTCATATCAGCATTCATTTCGATGATAAAACCGCAAGTCTTACTCTAGACGCTTCTTTTCACTTGGAGCCGTATATCCATCCCAATCAGACAAGAAGGGGTCCTTCCGCCCAAGGTTTCTTACGTGTCCGCTTCTCTGGTGTCCTGGATGAATATCACTCTGACACGCTGAACCTGAATGGTAGTACGCCTACATGGTTGCGGACAGTTGGATTCTCAAATGACTCTTCCAATATTGGATACTCGGAGACTTCCGAGAGTTCAGCAGAGAAGTTGAATCTCGGACTTGCATTTACTTTGATAGGAATTACTACGTTTGTCATGATAACAATTCTATAATTAATCAAATACGTTGTTAAAACATAGGTCACAATTACTCAATGTCTGAGAGAGGATCTATCCATATACAAATTGGTCATTGTGCAAGTTCCGCCTCTACGTGACTGTTTCCCCTTTTCTTCTAGCAGCGCTTTGTCCAAATGCATTATATTCCACAGATCACAATCCCAAATCGTAGAACCAACAATACCGGCATAGAATGATAAATATTGATTAGCCAAATCCAGCGAGTAGTGCGAATGTGGCAGACTGACATATTCGACACACAGCCTCAAAACATCCAATGCAAAGGTGCAAGTGTACCTACTGCAAAGATTTCTTGATTTTGGATGTTGATCCTAACCTGTGGACTAGATAGTTAGCCTCATCCATACCAAGTCTCCATTGCAGACTAACCATGGCGCTTTGACCTCTGACTTCAGCTGAGATTGTGTTTTAGGTATAGATCTGTCAATATTGCTTGGTTGATCGTAAAAGATAGATATCGGAGCGGGGTTACAACACATAACATTTGAACTAAGAAAAGAGTTGCCTATCAATAGGAGTGTTGACAGCTGAAATGGTATGAAGACTGTCAAAATTGAACTTTCTTTTAGGAAGCTGAGATTATTCTGTCCCCACCCCACATGGTATATTGCTCTATCATGTTTGCTATTGGTAACAGAATACTACGAAGAGGGCATTTGAGAGTCTAGGCTCATTAACCTCTAATAAGGTTGACATATAGGGGCAGGAATGCATGCCAGCATAGGGAGAAAAATAATTAAAAGGTCCTTGAATAGATGAACTCGCTCTTAATGATATTACATATCTTTTAATGTGTTGTTCCAGGTAAGACGTCACAGAAGCCAATGGAGATACGACACGACGACACGTAACGATGATGCCAATCAAATACTATAAATCCATATTCTGTTCTGTTGAATGATGTAGTCTGTAAGACGTAAAACACGCAAATAATATGAGTCATAGAGACGCCCTTGGACAAAACAGAGATTTCTCTTGTATCATCATATAGATTGCAAGTGATAGTGAAATGGCCAGCAATCAGCATTAACCGGCTGCTTTCAATAAGGCCGCATTTACAAACCTATATCGCAACCAGGATCCAAAAGACTACCTCAAAACATTGTCATCCCTTGAATACACGATCCCACAGCAAGTCCAACCTTTATTCCATCGACTCTATGAATTGTCCAGTCGGGGTTTAGCCAATTCGGTGATTCTAGACGTGTTCTGCTCGTACGGAATCAATGAAGGTCTACTTCGGCATAATATCGACATGGATACTTGGACAGCTCGCTACAATGCATCGCAGCTCAGTGCGGAGAATCAAGTACGGGCTGATAAGAAGTTCTTTGCGACTAGGACACGACCTTTCAGACCTGTGGTGGTAGGACTAGATACGTCAGTACCAGCCACTCGTTACGTTCTCGATACTGGATTAATCGATTCTGGCTGGTCCGAAAATCTGGAAGTCCAAGATCACTCTACAGACTTTTGCAGAGCGGTACGAGACGTCAGTCTTATAATCTGCACAAGAGGTGCTAGTTATGTAGGTTCTCGCATCTTTTCTCGCATCATGAAGGCGATCGAGAGGCCCATGAATCTCTGGATGTTTTGTACCGTATTCCGAATGGTCCCTTGCGACGATACTGCAGCATCACTGCGAAGTCACGGGCTCGAGACGGAGAGGCTTCCTGGTGTTGTTCTTCGTCAACGTCGGTTTGTATCAGCTTAAGAGCAGAGCGATATTATCGAAAAGGTGCTTGCTCGTGGGCTGGACATAGTGAGATGTGAGGATCAAGGGTACATTTTTGCGGGAGTGTATATATTTCGTCCTATCTCGGACATTTATGAACTACCTGTGGAAGAATTGGTGAAAGAACCCTATGGCGGTTGATGGACTATACCTGTATTTGGAATATAAGACCAAGAGAGAAACTGGAACCAGGAAAGAAAGGTTTCAAGGATTGCTGGGTGAGTACTATGTTGTGGAATTTCGTGTGCCGAGTGTTAACTGTGATAGGATGCCACGGAGTATGTATGGTATTCTTTGAAATGATTGTGTCTAACATCTATGGGGAAATCATCAACCACTGTGTCGTTGGTAACCACCAATTGATCGGAACATGGGAATACGATGGTCAGCTATATCAGTTCAATGGTTACTTCTCGACTTGAAAGATTCCTTAAGATAAAATTTGTGCTCTTCTCGTAGTTGGATTGAGCCTGGCTCACAGTCTTATATACGGCTCATTGATAATAATATCGCTTTCCAGAACCCAGATGATCCGTGAACGCCATTTCTGCCCGTGGAAGAAACATGGAAAAACTTACGCCTGGAAGTCGCCAAGTCCCAAAATACCAATACGGGAAACATATTGCACCGCCACTCTAACACTGCCTATTTTCGTATGTGACATTCCATGTCACCTCCTTGTTGATGATTATCTCATGACTGCCTGTCCGAGAGATCTCTTCCTCTGTTATATTGTCCAAACTAGTGCTCTCACACTCATGTGTCACTGTTGCTTGATGCGCAATAACGTCAGGTCTCCAATTGCAAGGTTGCCCACAGCTTGATATCGAAGCAACAGACGATATAGTTGATGTAGTGACCTCTGGGCAACTAATATTGGCCAGCTCCAGATCTTGCAGTGCAACCGAGTTCCGTGCGTATGCATTCGTCTCGTCAAAGGCAACGGGGAATCCCCAACCAATGTTGAAAGAGGACATGAAGCTCTTGAGGTTGGGTGAGGTAGCGGATAGAAGAGACCATGAAACCATGATCTGCTGCCACATGAGGGTTTTTGTGACCGCGAATTGAGGTTCATCGGCGAGCGGGTACTTGTTGGCATAGGCGACGTGCACGGCTGTCAGAGCGATAAGAGGTAGACGGAATGAAAAGGCAGCGACAACCTGCCACTTTCGACTGTGGCCGATATTGACGGACCATACCAATTGGACGATGAGGGCAAGTGTCAGGAGTTCCGTCACTATGTCGAGTGATGCGATAGATAACCAACGGCCCCTCTGCGTGATACTTTTGTTAGATTTGGGCACGTTAGGAGAGAATCTTCGTACCTGATGTGGACATCGATCGAGATTGTGTACAGTCAACACACTGCCAGGATCGCAATTTGTGAGGAAAGAAAGACTCGATGAAACGCCCCAGATAGCAGTGATAGCCATAAGGGCGATGCAAAATGGTTCGCTTTTACCGGGTCTGCAGTCGATGATGCGTCGGATGAGAGCAAGGACTGAACATTTGGCAAAGGTCAGTGTCATAAGGAAGAAAACTGTCGATGCTATAAGACACTGGATTGTGGTAAGTGAGGTGCGGTATGTAGACGACATGAAGTGAAGCTTACTTTTGACGAGACTGCCCATTGCTCCGGAGTTGTGATGTGGTTCTTCTTGCCAAGGCCGTTGCCTAAGCCGATAAACATGGCCACCATCTGGCCCAAGTGCATGACCTGTGAAGTTGCCACTCGGTCAGTAAATGATGTGTCACAACATGACCTGTTAAAAGGTTTTTACTCACAACAGCCACGCCATACAGCGCGTCGTCCACGCCCAGCATGCTGTATTTGATGTAGCACCTCGCCACAGCCACATGTAACGCGTAGATCAGTGACAGAATAGTCACTATCCATAGCTTCCCAGCATGATCATCTGGGGTGATGGGAGAAAGACGATTTGACTCATTCTCCACCATGGTGAAGTCGGAAAATAACAAGTCTAAAATGAAAACATGACAATGCGATCAAAGGTGGAACCCGGCTTCTTCTTCAAGGAGTAGACAATGTCTATTGACATCTGATTGCATCTCAGTGGCTCAATTAGGCTACAAAGAAGAGACATACAGGGTCTGGCGTTGGCCGTTGGTGATGACTTTTGAGGCTTGATAGGTGATACCTAGCACCGAAAGTCTTACTTTAATTTCGTGCTCGGCATTTCGCCTGGATCTGTATTCATTGGGGATCGGGAAAGCGAGTACCAACGATCTGAGATGCCAGCTGAGATCCAGGCAGACAGATGATAGCATCGAAACATCACTGCCATGCTCTGTCTTAGAATTCACAGCAAACATTTCCCAAATCGTACCTCAATAGAAGTCGAGAGTGGGGAAGCGCCACGTTCCCAATCTGGGTCTGAATAAGGTCTTGTCATACCAGATGATTCTGGGCAAGCCTCAATCACTAGCGAACCACAATCTGACGATAGCGGGAGATTTCACTGTTGGTTCTATTGACATACAAATCCATACATCACCCCTTGGACGATGGAATTCGGAGCAGGATGGAGCACGCGAAGCCTGCTTATGTTGGCCAGTGTGAAACAGTTCAAAGTTTTGAATAAGTTGTAAAAGACGGTGCACAATAACAGCCCAGCCCCAATCGGAGTCAATTGTCAGTAAGAAAAACCTGTTGTAGTCACATTAATTCATCGGAGATAACATTTTAAGGTTAAGGATGGATCAACAAGAGTACTGAACCCACCAAAACTCGGGACGGCGCGAGCAGGGTGGTGATCCCGCCTGGTCTAGGCTCAAGGGAGAGGATTTCACCCCTGTCACATTGTGCATTCACATGTGCTACTGCAACAGCTCACTTGATGAACAAGGATGAGACAGATCAGGGCTCGGCATGCCAAAGAGGAAACTGTCGGATGTGATATCGTATTGGTGCATGTTTCTCGAAATCTTTATTTCCCGCAGTCTTTTCCTTCTTTTTTCTTCATGTCAACATTCACTTTCGCATCATTTCAACAGACACTACTACAGCGTCCGGTTAGGCATTAAGATGACTAGCAACCAAGATAAGAAATCGTTCGAGGTGAATGATGCCATTGGCTTCAGCGACAGCGACAACAATGTAGACGAAAAGAAAGGCACCCCGGCCGATCGCGCCGACATGTATCGGTTGGGTAAAGTACAGGATTTGAGGGTTTGTGATTATCCCATCTCGACGCCATTGTAACAACGCACTGACCTGTCAATAGAGAAACTTTCGCTTCCTGTCAATCTTTGGTTTCTCCATGATCCTTATGTGTTCATGGGAGTTCTCTCTCAGGTAACATCCGTCTGTCAAACACTTGGTGGTCAATTGACTGATGATATCCCCGCAGTGTATCGACAATTGGTCTCGTCAATGGTGGTACAGCTGGCTTAGTCTGGATGTTTTTCATCTGCTGGATTGGCTTCCTGCTTGTAAATACATCAATGGCCGAAATGGCTTCAATGTACGTACTCATATTCCCAATGACCTCGACATCCCTAACTAATGGTTATTGCAGGGCCCCAACGACCGGAGGACAATACCACTGGGTTTCCGAATTCGCACCACCGAAATACCAAAAGCTTACCAGCTACCTCATGGGATGGATGTGCGTCCTGGGCTGGCAAGTAGCATGCGCTTCGTCAGCTTTCATCGCCGGCACTCAGATCCAAGGTCTGATCATCCTGAACAACCCTACCTACGTCCCTCACCCATGGCACGGAACACTCCTTGCCATCGCCGTGGCTGCTTTCACCGTCGTCTTCAATACTCTCCTCGCTAGGAAGCTTCCCTTGATCGAATCGATTGTTCTAGTCATTCACATCTTTGCCTTCTTCGGTATCCTTGTTACTCTCTGGGTTCTATCCCCAAGAGCCAATGCGAAAGCGGTCTTTACAGAGTTCAACGATGGAGGCGGTTGGGGAAGTCTCGGTGGCTCAGCACTTGTGGGTATCCTCGCTGGTATCTTGCCCCTACTCGGTGGCGACGCTGCTGTTCACATGTCAGAGGAGCTTCGCGATGCCAGCAGTACTCTTCCGAAAGCTATGATCTTGACAACCGCTGTTAATGGTCTTTTCGGATGGATCATGGTCATTACATACTGCTTTTGCATCGGTGACTTGGGCGAAGTTATATCCTCGCCCACCGGGCAACCTTTCATGCAAGTTTTTCTCAACTCTACACAGTCCGTCGCCAGCGCTACAACCATGTCTACATTCATCATCGCCATGACAGTATTTTCGAACTTGACAATGGTGGCTACAGCATCTCGACAGCTTTACGCCTTCGCCAGAGACCACGCTGTTCCATTCGACACGTGGTTCTCTCACGTACCAACAGGATATGATGTCCCTCTCAACGCAATCTTCGTGACATTCATCACCTCAAGCCTGTTGTCTCTCTTGAACATCGGATCCTCTGTCGCACTCAACTCTATCACCTCACTAGGAACAACAGGTGTTTTGTCCAGTTACATCGTCTCAATTGGCTGCATGATTTGGAGACGATGCACCAAGAGTCCGCTACTTCCTTCCAAGTTCAACCTGGGTAGATGGGGTCTAGCTATCAACATCGCTGCAGAGGGTTTTTTAGTGGTGGTCTTTGTACTCGCTTTCATGCCTGGCAACCCAAACCCAACAGCATCCGAGATGAACTGGAGTATCGTGATGTATAGTGGCGTTGCTCTTTTCTCTGTTGGTTACTACATATTCTGGGGGCGACACCGCTATGAGGGCCCTGTGGCTTATGTTCGCAAGCTTGAGCAGTGAAGGAAATGTACCTGGTGGTGGAAGTAGTGGGGTTGGTCGTTTGTCTCAGTAGCCAGATGCGTTTAGCAAGTGCCTCGAATTATTTTAAACTATAAAACTCAATTGCCACACGATCTAGGTGCTTTTTACTTTTAAATCCGTTAATTGCAAGGGATCAGGTCATTTTCACTGAAACACCGCTTGCATTCCGTTTAGTGTGGCGTGCAGGAAAGCCATGGTGTCTCGTCCATGCTTCCTCAGCTTCTGGAAGTACTGCAAATTTAGCCTATAGAAAACTGCAGTGGCTGTTTATGCGACCTGAATGACTGGCCACAAATTGTCTGTTGGTTCAACGCGCAAGTGAAAGTGGTGTGGAGATCCATCGGAATCAGACACTTAATCCCTGAGAAAGATCCCTGACAGCACATCTACCTCGCTTCTTCGAATGAGCGAAATTGAATTCCAAGTCGTACGACATGAAGCTAGGTCAATGACGATAAAATTAGGTAAGTGCAGATAAGCAGTTGTGGACAAGAGTTGGCGGCACTGATGTATAAGAATGATGGGCTCTGCACTCCGCATGCAACCGATAATCACCGCCACTACCGATCCGACAATTGGCTTTAGGCTCATCAGAGCCATGTCTCACATCACCTTGCGCGATGCAAGCTACTTTGAACTCACCGAAATCGCCCATGTCATGTCAAAGGCGTTTTGGGATGACGAGCTCTTCGGTGATATAATACATCCTCATCGAAACATCTTTCCAGATGATCCACATCTGTACTGGCTGCGACGGGCACGCGTCAACTACTGGGATTATCGCTGGCGATTTATCGTTGCTGTAGCCAAGGACAGTAGTGGAAAGGAAGTCATCGCTGGTATTGCGCAATGGGAAAGATTGGGAGAAGGAGGAAAGAAACTTGAATGCTTCTATCTGGATCCTCGTGAGGACTCCTTTTCTCACTCTAGATCTTTTGACAGCTGACTTGTCGTCGTAGGAAATCTTCTCAAGCCACTGTCTGCATTGGTCATGCACGTGAGGGCCGACCTCTCGCCCAATCGAGCAGCTGACCTGCAAAACGAAGACATCATTGAGCGATCATATCCATGCTTCAAACACATTTGGAGTCGTAAACGAGCCGAGTCCTGGTATCTTGCAGCATTAGCAGTAAATCCGGGCTTCCAGGGTCAAGGCGCGGGGAAGAAACTGACACAATGGGGAATTGAGCAGGCGCAAGCTGAAGGTGTTTGCGCCTCGGTCATTGCTGCTCATGGAACGGATGAATTTTACAAGAAACTTGGGTTCTATGAGCAGTTTGGTAGAGCAACTGATGGGATAGGGAATCCGCTGGCTCATGTCCAAGGGTCGAATATGTATTGGTACTGGCCGCGGACTTAGAACTTATGCTACAACAACTATGACAAAAGTGCCTAGTAACACAGAATCATATATGAATAGTAGACTGCTGCGATACAAGTCTGAAATATCATCTCAGATTAAATTATGGACTAGCGGCATGATGTGGTTCGGTTCGGCCCGGCCCCACCTCCCGATGGATCTCCGAATAGCGCAACTTATATATTGACTATCATTTCATCGTTGTTCTGATGAGGTTGTATGTTGATGATATTTACTGCCACTCATTCCAACATCCTTGCCAAATGCCCATTTGCAAATCCGAACAACCTCTTCCAAGACTTAGCCGCCGTGCGTAAACAAGACGGAATAGAATACAAGGAACACTTAAAAGGCTATCTGGTTATACGATTCGACGATATCGTGGCTGTTGTTAATCGACCCGATGATTTCAGCTCGCGACCCACCGTGCCTGAGTTCCCCAAGCCGGTAAAGATATTGTTCAAGGACAAGGTACCTGAGAAAGGCACTTTACTAGCCTGGGACAATCCGGATCATGACCGACTGAGGAAGAGTGTCGCCTCGTTCTTCGTTCCGCGACGCTTGCAGAGGTTCGAACCTATTCTGAGAACCGCCGCGCATGAAATCATCAACGGCTTTATCGACAAGGGCACAATTGACACGAAGATTTGCATTCGCTTTGCCCCTTCCTCTACGCAGCATCGTCACGATTGCTGGTCTAGATCCAGAGCGATGGCAATGGATTGGCGAGTGCCTGACTCTCTTCGGGGGCATCGCGAGACGAGATGACGAGGAAAATACCAGAATTCAGCAGAAGATCCAAGATGTACTGGATCTACACGAGTATATCCGCCAGGTCATCCAAGATCGAAAGGTGGATCGTCGTGATGACCTCATTAACCACATCTGGAATGAACGTGATGCTGGAACTGTAGTGATAACAAACTTTGAGCACCTAAGCATGATTCCGGGTTTGCTTCTCGCTGGTCATGAAACAACAACAAATGTGCTGACCATGGGTCTCGCACATATCTTGCACCACGGATTATGGGACCAAATATCCTAAAGCGACGAAACACGCAAAGCTGTTATTGAGGAGCTTCTTCGGTTCTAGTCAGCTATCACAGGCATGCCACGCTAAGTGACCACCAACGGCGTGCAAGTATGTGGGATGAAGCTCAACGCAGGAGATCGTCTCTTTGTCGCCTATAACTCAGGCAGTCGAGATGAGACCAAGTTTGAGAATTCAGACAAGATTGACATGTTACACCAGTCAAAGACTCAGCACCTTGGATTCGGGCGTGGTGTTCACGCTTGTTTGGGTGCACCATTTGCCCGCCTTCTTCTGCGCACAGAACTAGCCGTACTGTATGACAGATTACCCAATTTGCGTCTTGTTACTCCATATGAGGAGCTGCCATATGGAGAGGTCCATAAAGGACGAAATATTAGCGAGACTTACTATGCCTGGGACGTTCCACCCCCAGGAACCACACGGAAAGTCGAGAATGGTTTATCCACGCCGAATGCTACGAGGCAATCAACCGTAGTGCGAAACATTCCTATGGTGATCCGATCAGTCGATAAACTGGCTCATAACGTGATGCAAATCTCGTTACAACCGAAAGATACCTCTCAACAAGTCAAGTGGACTCCAGGTTCTCATATCGACATCAAGGTCGGCACTCTCGGATATCATCAATACTCAGTCTGCTCAGAGCCCGCAGATATGAACCAACTAAAGATTGCGTACGTCAAGAAAATCAAGGTACCGGTGGATCGCGTTTTCTACACGACAATGTAAAAATGGGTGATGAGATGTCCATCCGCGGGCCTCGAAACAACTTCAAGTTCATATCAGGAACACGTCGTACAATTCTGATAGCCGGAGGTATCGGAATAATACCGATAATTCCTATGGCAGAAGAAGCAACTACTATGGGTGTTGACTATAACATCATCTACTTAGGTCGGTCAAGAGCTGGCATGACTTATGTGGACAAGCTCACACAACGTCACGGGGAGCACGCTACAATATGGGCTACCGATGAGCACAAAGGGACTCGGCTGAACCTTACAAAGCACTTCGGGGCTGAAGATCCCAATGGGCTACGCGTTTACTGCTGCGGTCCAGAAAATTTACTTACAACTGTCGAGGCGGCTTTGGAACATGCTCCGTCAGGAATAGTCCACGTCGAACGGCTCTTTAATCCTGTTGTTCCACTTAGTAGTTCGAACAGCGCATTCGATGTGCTGATGGCCAAAAGCGGACATGTCTTGCACATCCTCGAGGACAAGACAGTTTTGGAGGTGATCAATGATGCTGGTAGTAACATCCTGTCTACCTGCAACAAAGGTTTGTGTGGAACCTGTGAGGTGAGAGTGTTGGAGGGGACGCCGGAGCATCGAGATGTCGTGTTGACAGCAGAAGAAAGAGCAGAGAATTCTTCAATGATGACTTACGTTTCACGCTGTCGGAGTAAAAGCTTAGTGTTGGACTTGTGGTAGTTTACATCACTGTCGTTCTTCTATGAAATGCATTTTGTTTATATCTAACATGCCAAAAAAAACACTCCTCGCAACTGCTTGTATATGCAAGTCTATATGGTTACTTGGAACGCCTCGCGCTCTGGATCCTGAAGCCTAGCCAGTTCCAATATCAACCTATATAAGTAAATCGCCATGTCAACCTCCCTCACAGCTTTTCCCATCCACTTCTTACCCCGATTCGCAATATCCTCAGCCAATCTCTGACCTTTCTCAATCGAGGTCAAGTAGGTAACCAGTTCGGGTAATTCCTCCAGACTTTGGCTCACGGGGATATAATGCACCCAGGGCATCAACCTCTCATCATGCCACTCCCGCAGAAGAGCTTGTTTCAATGGGAGGGAATTGGAAGCCAAGAGCTTGTAGTATCGTCCACTAATGCCATTCCCATCTAGGTCAAATGCAAGTCTTGAGCTGAAAGCTTTGTCCTTGTCGGCCCAGGACTTGACGTCGAAGTAGGTACTTTGGTCCCGGCAGAACTTCCGGTCGCATTGGAAGATCCTCGTGAAACCAACGTCGAAGAGTCGTCCGTTTAGAAACCTTGACTTAACAGTGCTGATCGAATCTCCCTCTTTTCGTAGGTACGATTGTTTTTGATGTCCCAGGTTCTGAGTCATCGATACGAATCTTTGACGTTGGTAATCTCTCCACCGACCGTCTTGTGCGTAACCACCAGTTGTTGAACCTCTCCAGTAAAGATTGTTATTCTTCTCTGACCATTGCATGTCCCGGTCGCTATCATATTGGAATTCTTTCTCGATGTAGGCTGGGCTCGGGAACAACACATCCCCCATCGTCGAATATGCGCCAGTTGATAGTACTGGTACCAAGCCCTCAATGAGAGGGAATGTTTTCGGGCTTATAAATGCTCCGTGCAAACGTTGATATTCGGGGTGTCGACATAAATCTGACTCGGCCAGGTGATCTTCAACAAATGGTAACCCAAAAGCCCCAGCATTTTTCGTAGCCCCACCAGATCTTGCTTGTGATGTCAAACAGCGCCTCGTTAAAGTGTCCCAAGTGGGCCGTTGCGACATATCGGTGAGGTTGATTTCCTTCTTTTGATCGCCCTTTGGTGAATGATTCATCAGTCTGGGTTCATCGAAATGATTGATGAGAAGCTTGACATTTGGAAGAACCCCTGGGAGGTTATATAGTAGTCTGTTGAACAGAAAACTATAATGTCTGTCATAAACACGACTCTTGTGTTTACATTTCATCGTAGATGTCCTGCCCAGGAACTCGCAGAGCCAGACTTCGTTCCCAGAGGTTTTATATAACTTGTCCATGGCTTCTGCTACTTCTTTTCCGCTGAGTTTCAAGAAGGGCGATATCGAGTCAGTGATCATGTCAAAGTCGTCGATGATAGGAGATTTATGGTGTTGAGCGAATTGGAACCAGCCTTCGAAGCCTGTTGGAGGGTCGAGGCGGTATCGGCGTTTGTACTCGAGTGCAGCAGCTTCGTAGGTCCCGGACTGGTTTCTCATCGTTGATTCAAACTTTTCCATCGATCGCCCAGCTAGAATTTCGACGGGATGTTGTCGACCATGACTGAAAGTGTTGATCGCTGCATTTTGAGTTTCGTAGATCATGTATTCGTTAAAGACAAAAGGAAGGATTGATAGAGATAGGAACAGCCATATTACCGACTTTCCCTTGGCCTGTTTGGGTAGGAACTGCGTAACCTGAGCGAGGGAGACAGTCGACACCAAGACGTGGGAAATGGCTTGTAGTTGGGAACTTTGAGAAGAGGGATCCCTGGCACATGCTAGAACAAATGTCCCAACAGTGGGAGCTATGGACCAAGACATTTGGGTTGCCTAATTGTGTTAGCGACTCTTCATGACATTTGATTTGAAGAAGCACGTACAGTTTGTATAGTGAAGAACCATGATGCAGCCTTTAATGAACCGGATAGTAGTATAGTGACAATGTCACTAGTCGGTGGTCCAAGAATGAGTAGTTGCGTAAAAACAGAAAATACGAGTAGGCATGCTGTTCGAAAAGAGATATCCTCGATACATGTCGCGATGTCGACAGACAGCAAACGTAGTTTTGGGCCTGGAATAAGGATACTATAAACAACAAGTAGGGACACGACCAAGATAATGGAGATAAGTGATCCGAAGAGATCTCCGTTTGAGAGTGATAGTACAGCAGGGATGGCAGTTAATGCAGCACCCCAGACCGTGTTGATAAGAGGGGTTTGTATTTGAGGATCAAAACTTGTTGAGTGAGATGTGAAATATGCATGTACAGCAAGCAATAGAGGCGTTAGAAGAGGCTGCATCTAAGTTAGCATGAACAAACAAATCTAGCGAATAATCTCACATAAAAGCCAACTTTGTTACTCTCAGCCTTATAAAATGCAGCTGCGGCAATACCAACAGGGACAAGCCACGGCGATATTGTTGACGGGTTTTGTTTCTTCGACTCTTGTGTATGTTCAAATGACAATGTTGAGTGAGAATCTGATGATGGAAATCGTTTAAAAATAAAGGGAAGAATAGCCCAACACACTATCTCTGAGCACAGCTCTAATCTTTTCGCCGGGTAATATTGTGTAAGGGTTGTGAAGAGTATGGCACCAGCCGCAGAGCCCACCGCCGGGTCAACATGTTTAAGGAGTGACATCATGGATAAGACACGGATTTACCGGACACCTTAAATAAGGTAAGGCGAAGCTGAACCGACAGTTACAGTGCTGAGCCTCAGGAATCAAATCATTCAGTGACAGCAATCATATTTGTCACGAGGAAAGGGCACAAAAGGGGGAAACAAAGAGGGATATTATGTCTTTTGTCATTGATATTTTAGATGAAGCCAAGTGGTCTTGGCATACCTGACCATCATAACAAAGCTTGGCGAGTGAACAGGGGTAGTCTAACAAAGGATTCGAAGCTAGCATTAATGCCTGGACCTAACTGGTGGATTGATGTCGAAGATGTGGAAAGTCGTATTCTCATGGGGCTATGCTCAATGATCTGTTGCATATCTATATGCTAATAGAAAACTGTTTATGGAATTTACATTGGTTCTTCGTACGCTCCCACCTATGAACGAAGTGGTCAGTTATGCTAGGGAGTTATGCTAAGGAGCTACCTAGTCTGGCGATGATCCTTGTAGATGCATTCTAGGCACACACTTTAATCCAACACAACGACGAAACGAATGAATTTCTATATAAATGTAAGTAAACAAGACTTGAGAGACTGTCCAAGGATATTTTTAATTGAAATCTTTCATCTTGAATCCTATCCAGTTTTAAACTGTCACCTTTCTCAATATCCACATGCTTCGAGGAATGATGTTTCACCAGAATCGCCCCAGTGTTACTCGATATGGATTAGTCTGGGGCGGTGCTATGCACGTTCGTATTGCCTGATGTTCTTATTCGTCTTTAAACGAACGTGACTTCTTGGCGTGTCCCCCATGGCTTGTCACAAATCAGGGGAAGGGCAGCTTCTGGAGAAGCCAGCGGAAGATTCATCGTGGCAAACCTTAATCCATCATCATCAGATACTGACATCAGGCTCAATCGGTCAAAATACCCCGAGTGGCTTCAGCTGAAGTGTCACTGGTAGCATATATGTTACATTTTAACTCAGCTGGGCATACAGCCTCAGCCTTGTTTGATCACAGCCCTGTTGGTGTAACGGGCCTCTCCAAAATATAAACATTGTCGTTACCCTACACAGAAAATACTGATGAAATTGAGATCCCACTTTCAAAGAGACTCGTGGGTATTTGTTTTGTCTTACTACCAGCGCTAAGCCACGTCTCACCAACGCCACTTGATTGGCTGTCATTGTGCCAGGTTTCCTCATCTTTCCGTTGCTCACCAAATATTCAATCTCGCTTACTCAACCTAAAAACACCATGGCTGGCGTCCCGAATTCGAGAGGATGCGACGCGTGCCGCAGACAAAAGAAAAAGGTAAACCACCACCTGACGTATTCTGATTACTTAGCTCATGAGTGCCATTTCTAGTGTGATCAAGCTCAGCCAATATGCTCTCGATGTGCGCGTCTCAAAACGGCCTGCGTAGGAAGTGGTGTGAAGCGATTCGTATTTAAATCGGAGAACCAACAAGCAGCTAAAAAGGTTTCGCAAGCTGTAGTCATTACACGAACCAACCCGACACCAGCTCCAGTGCTAAGCAATGAAAAGACCTTAATATCCGGAAAATTGGTACATATCCTCAACCTCGACGATCCAGCATATGATATCTCGACGTTTGGCTTATTTGTCGTGGATCTCCCTCGATATGTCGGCTCTAGCAAGTCCCTCGACGCGGCCATCAGTGCCTTTGTCGCGGGATTCGGTACCCTTAAAAATAAAACGATGTCAAAGATTTTTGCACTAGATCGATATGTTTATGCTATCAAGATGTTGCGAGAAACCATGAACGACCCTGTATTAGCGAACACGAAGGACAGCATGTGCTCTATATATTTGATTGCCATCTGTCAAGTAAGTACTCATTGTATCACGCGAGAGTCTGTATCATTAACCTGCCACAGGAATGGCTGGGACATGCCTCTGGGTATACAAAACACTATGAAATGCTTGGGCATTTAATCCAAAATTCTATTCAGAAGCCCTCTTTTGATCCCTCCGATCTACCTTTCATGCAAACCATTCTCGGTGCTGTGGTAAGTTGAGTTTATCTTCAGTAATTAACATGTTCATTGTGCTCACTCAAACAACAGATCCTCGAGAGTTTCAATAATCCAAACATACAATTGGGTCCATGGTACTGGCAAGCAATGTCGTTGTTTAGTGGTGGCGTTCGACCCCTCAAGTCTGGCGACGGCATGTCCTTTACATCGCTAGATCTTGCCACTATGGCAGAACTGTCTTGGTATCTCCGCGAACCAGATAAATACCTTTATCAAATACGCTCTACCTACGCTGTCCTACGAGCGGAACAACCGCGACTTATCCAAATTGCGAACATATCAGTCTCCAAGGCTAGAGAAACATGCTCCACATCCCAACAGAGGAGACTCGGCATGCGTTTCCATAGTGCAATCGCAGCGATGCTCACCATGGGGATAGTCTTGAACCGTATCATACGCGTCTACGATGGCGATCCTACTCTTATGAAAGAGGCTCAGCGCTACGTCGACGAAATTATTGACCTAGGTATAGAAGCTAGCTCCAATCGACCGATTGCTGCGGCTTCCATAGCGACCCCTCTCACCATAGCGCTGGCTGCCGTGGAAGATTACAGGTATGCGGAGGTGGAGGTGTTGCTGTTGGAGTACCAGACTGATTTTGCCGGATTACATTATTTTGACGATGTTGAGAGGATTCGACGGCAGTTTGAGAATATTGACAAGAGCTATCAAAAGAAGAGAGGGCTGCTGACACCAAATGAGCAGGGTGTGGAGGAAAGCTTGATAACAAAAGAAACAGAGATGGATATTGGACCTGGGTGCACGATACTATAGAACAATAGGTAGATAGACGTGGTACGCTTAATCAAGAGTTAGCCGTCCCCTCGCTAGTACGTACAAAGTCCGCCAAGCATAGGTTAAGTTGCAAATCAAGGCTAGTTAGCGTCGCACCACCTAGCGAATTCCGGTGAGTCATGCCGATGAAAGTGGAGAGAGACTGAGAAATGAACGAATATCTATAATAACAAAGTACGCTCTACAACACCGGCTTGCTAAGTTTCAATAATTGCGTTAATAAATTGACCATTAACGAAGCAATCTCATAAGCATTCAAGATGACTCAAAATATTTACGACAATGCCGAATTCTTCGCTGAATATTCCGCGCTTGACCGATCCATCAAGGGTCTCGATGGAGCCCCAGAATGGCCGCGGTTGAGATCTTACATCCCAGACCTCAAAGGCCTTGATGTCCTTGACCTTGGCTGTGGCTTTGGATGGTTTGCTCGCTGGGCACGAAGCACTGGAGCCAGCACGGTTCGAGGCATTGAGATTTCCAACAATATGCTCAGTCGAGCACGAGCCATGACCAATGACACAAAAATCATTTATGAACAAGCCGATCTCGACAACACCAACCTTTCCGAATATGGTACCGACAAATACGATGTGGTCTTTAGCTCACTGACGCTGCACTATCTTGTCAATTTACCAGAGCTCATTCAACAAGTGCAGACTGTTCTCAAACCAGGAGGAACATTTGTCTGCTCAATCGAACATCCCATATACACAGCGCCAAGCAAAGCTGAATTTATCACTGATGCGGTATCAGGACGAGAATACTGGCCACTTGATAACTATCAGAAGGAGGGCCTTCGGGTGACAGATTGGCTAGCGGAAGGAGTCCAGAAACAGCACAGAACTGTCGCTAGTTATGTTAACCTGCTTCTCAAGGCAGGGTTTCGGATAGCAGAATTCGATGAGTGGTGTCCCACGCCGGAACAGATGGAAAAGTGTGGTTGGCATCGAGTATTGGAAAGACCGGTTTATCTTTTAATTTCAGCTGTGAAGAATTGATTTATACCTTGGAAGGTGTAATTATTAAAATGCATGTAACGATCCTTGTGGTTAAGTCGCCTGAATTTTGTAATAGAATAACAAGTAGATTGACTCCGACCTAGGAGTTTGCACCAATGTCCTTCAGAAATGCAACAATGGCCTCACTCATCTGCTTTAACCCTGTATCCTCAAGAGGGTAATGTCCTGCACCCTCCAACATGACCTTCTTGACGGGAACCTTGGTGATGTCCCTCAAAAACGCCTCCGACACCCACAACGGCGTCCACTTATCCTCGGCAGGCTGTGTCAAAAGAATAGGACAGACATCAAACTCAGCTGGTTCCTTGACCGGTTTGTAAGACATGAACGACGCCAGGAACTTCATAGTCACCCACGCGTTCGCAGATGTATTATCCCTGTAGCACGCTTGCAGTGCTTGTTGGTTATTGACCAGCGTGGACATTCGGCCAGTCAGCCACATGGGCATAGAAAACCAGCCTAGGCCGATACGGTCCATTATGCCACTGCTTGGCGCACCGACGCGACTCATAAAGAGGTTTCGACAGGTTGCGTCTACGACAGACTGTATACGCATGTCCATGAAACACATCCCAACGATACCCTTCACCTTCCCGTTCAAACCCGCCGAATGGAAGGTCAGTCCTCCACCTGCACTGAGCCCGTACAGCACAATGGGTCGCGAGTCATTCCCATACTCATGATCGACGAATTCACTCGAGATATTGACCCAGTCATCAAAGTCCCACACGTAGTTCTTGGCTGGAACAGTACAGCCATAGCCAGGCATGTCGATGGCGACGAGTTCAAAGCCTGCTTCGTGAAGAGGCACACCGAGAATCATCGACATCATTCGTCCGTTTGTGCCCATTCCGTGATGCATGATCAACCGGATTTCAGCAGAAGGATTGCGCCATCTGTCGAGATGAAGGGCATGGCCACGGTGATGCCAGACTTCTTCAACTGGGGAGTGATCAGGCGTGAAATGGAGACGTTTCGGGAGGAAAGATTGTATCTCTTTCCATTCTTTTTGATCGGCGTAGGTTGGGTAGTTAGCCATGATGGTTTTCTTGGTAGATATTGGAGTTTGATGGTTGACGTGGCGTGGCTCACTGGGATATATACCTGTACCAAACAAACAATATGTTATTGTGTTATTGTATCATTCTGTCATCGTGCATTACCATCAATTGTTACAGCCATTTAGAATCTCTTTTGGCCAACGTAAGCAGTGGCTGTCGCATTCGCAGTCGCATGTTCGATCCTTTGGGGTAACTTGGACCACCCTCAAAACAGTCTTTGTCAAACTACAATGCGTGTCAGCAACAAGTGAGCCAATGAGAAACATTAAGATACTAGTTCAACCCTTGGCCAAATTGAGTTGGTCCGAAGCATGGAACGTCGGTGATTTCTGGAGAATGGATTCCGTTCCAACGGAGAGAATGGAATGACTATTTGTCCCTTCCCACGAACATAGAACAAATATTCTTGAGGAGGAAGACAATTTGCATTTTTTCTATCATAATTGTCCTTTCGTGGTCAACTGAAAGTCAAACGACGCAAGACCAGCTACCCTGATCTTGGTTGGCTCCTCCGTCTCATCAATACAGTGCCATATTGACGAGTTCAAATCCACCAACATTGACGTCAAACCTCCCCTGCTGAATCTGGTAGAGGAAGGTATTGTATACTTTGTACTCTTTTGGAATATTGTCCATTGAAACTGCTTTTACAGCCTGGAGGAGAAGTTGCCAATCGTAATGCCCTTCCCATACTTCTCTGCCAGTTCTACAATCGAACTAGCAGCACTGAGGTCGGTCAACCCCACGCCAACGCACTTATACACAACAAAACCCTCCTCAAGCCAATTGTTCAAATGTCGCTGCTTATCTGTTTCCCAAGTCTCCTTCCATTGAAGGACCTCCCCGATCTCAATGATCTGATCGGCCTTGACTTTGCTGTTGGTAAACTCTCCCGTGCTCTTTTGTGCAATCTCGCGGTCGTCGACTAACAAAACACCACCAGGTCCACCACTGGGGTTATATCCAGATGTAGAGACAACCTCATTCAATATGATGGGATCAATCTCGAGCATATCCGGTTGCCAAGATCCTACTGCAGACAGGTATAGACCCCGGCCTTCCCTGAGTCTCGGTAGAAGCCACTCGGCAGGGAATAAGGCTTTCTTGGAGGGGGTTGTGCAAAAAATGACATCTGCGTTTGTGATTACGGTCTTGAGTCTGGACTCAGAGTCTGAATCTTCAATATTGATGCCTTGAAATTGGGCAGGCGAATTCCACAGCGAGTCATTCTCAGATGATATTTGTTTGATCATCTCGGAGAGACCCTCGTTATTGCGCTTGACGATAGTAACATTCATTATATCTTCTCCTCTCAATCTGAGCGCCAGACGCAAATGCCAGAGGGCTTGCTTTCCTGCGCCAAAGATGACAACATTTGATGTTGTCTTGCGGTAGAAGTAGGATACCATAACATTTAAAGGCGTTCGGTATCCTGTCAACTCATCTCCATTAAGAATACCCCTTGGGTTACCTTCTTCATCACAAAGAGCCACTATACCATGTATGGTTGGTTTTTTGACAGCCGACCGGTAAGACGGTGAAGTCGTAGGATCAACGGTAATCTTGATGCCAACGTTGGTTGGTGATGTGAAGGGACGGAACAAAGTCTTGACCCCATTGGGACGGATTACAACGCTTGCGTCAGGCTGGTATTTGCGCTCCTCGCCGACGGAGAAGTCTTTCAAAGTTTGACCTAAGGCGTTCTTGATCGAAATGGTATCGTCTCTTGATAGGTTGATAAGAATGTCATGGATAACAGGGTCCCCAAGAACGACACAGCTAGTCATGTTCCAGTATACTTGTTTCGATTGAGAATATAAAAAATGTTGAGTTGGTGAATAGTTGTTGTTTAGAAAAGTTTCGAAAGCATAGTTTGTTATATCTACCGAGGCTCCAAGTGGTACGTCGGGTAGCGTTTCCGTAGTGTATTGGGTAGTGTTAGCGTTACCGCACTGTATGCCGGATAGGGTCCCGGCAGCGTTGGTGGTACCGCACCTTAATGGTTCTGATCTTCCTACAGTACTGGGGTTAGCGTTGCCGCCGCAGAAATACTGCGATCACGGTCTGAGGTTGCACCGCCGATTGCAGGACCGGGCCGCCATATACCGGACGGTATCCGGAGTTAACATTGAAGCCAAGCACGACTCCATCTCAATGTTTATACGTCTACGCGAATTTGTAGTAGATTTGCGAGTGTCGTAGAGAGAAGCATGGCTGGGGCCCGGAATTTTAAAAATTGGGGCCTGATATAAAAGGTCACATTTAGATTTTGCTGCTAAATGTCATACTCTCGGCTTTCAATTTGCATGCACAATATATTTCTTTGAATTCGAAGTCTAATATCACTGGCAATAATTTCTCAAAATAACTTCATCTTGTTTTTCCTACGCCGGTAAACGTCTTATGGACTTTGTATTATTATACCATTATTTAATCCTCGGGATCCAGGTGCCATGAGTCGCCAACTCGAAAACCTTCTGGGAATGGGTCCGTGCTATCTAAAACAACCTGCTTGAAAGAGGTGATCCAGGCGCTCCCGGTAACAGAAGGGTAAACGGCACTGTAATTCCCTACCCTAGTCGTACCGTGGATACGACCGATAAACTCAGTTCCGATAACGCTGCGGTGATAGAGGGGTTCGCCTTCATTCAATTGTCCTCTTTCATATAGAACCGCTAATCGGGCACAAGTTCCAGTGCCACATGGGCTTCGGTCAAGTCGACCAGGAGAGACAACAACAGTGTTGGTAGCAGCCTTTCCATCCTTGTACGGTTCAAGAGGCTCTGTGAACTCAAGGACGGACATAATATTGATCTCAGCGTTCTCAGGATGACTGAAGCCTGTTTGTGCCGCCACAGCTCGCTTGATACGCTCTCCAAGCTCAACAATCTTGGCTCCGTTGGTGTTCTTTATCTTGACCCCCACTGACGCAGCATCCACCAGGATGTAGATCATGCCGCCGTAGGCTATGTCAACTTTGATCTTTCCGAGTTCAGGGATTTCGACTTCTTTATCCAAGGCAAAAACGAAAGCGGGAACATTGTGGAATCGGACGCTCTTGCACTTCCCATTCTCACACTCGGCGTAGACAGTAATCAAGCCCGCTGGAGTATCCAACTTGACAACAGTTTCAGGCTCCTGCATAGGGATCATGCCAGTTTCCAGGAGACATGTTGTCGTGGCAAGTGCATTGGCGCCGGACATAGGCGGATAATCCTCGTGTTCCATGATGATAAACCCGGCATCAGCTTCAGGGTTGCAGGGTGGAAGAACGAGATTGTGACAATGATTCATGCTGCCACGGGGTTCATTAAGAACAAGCTGACGGATCTGGTCTTCTTTCTTCCAGAAGTGCATCATCTTCTCAAACATGGTCTTGCCAGGGGCGTCACGAACGCCTCCGACAATGACATCGCAGACCTCGCCAGCACAATGAATTCCAACGGTATTGAAGGATCGCTTGAATGGCATGGTAAGAGATAATTCTTAAGTTAAAGATGAAAGTGATACAATATGATGAGGAAGCCGAGTTTAGGGACGAAGAGCTATTTAAGATGATATCGGGCTCCTTTTTCCAAACCGTTATAAATTAAGACAAAGTCAGCGGCAAAGTATAACCGGCTACCGTTCCCGGTTATAGTGCAAAAACTTTATTTATTAAACTGTGAAGTCGTAGGCACAAGCTGATATATCAGAAAAACAGATGAAGGTTTTACACTGTAACCGGAAGCGTAGCCGGCTTAACCCCACCAGCTTGAGCTTCATTTGGCAGGTCTCTTGTGAACTACTTATATCATGTGCAACTTCATCTATGTACAGTGGTTAGCGTAGCCGACGATAGACCTGAAAGATTGGCTTCCGGTTCTGATGTTTATAGAACTGCCAATCGGATAGAGGGTCTACTATCTATATAGACGGGACAATAGAATAAGTAATAGCTTTATTCCATCTCGATATAGATGATTCTAAACGATGGGAAGGATGGAAAAATACAATGTAATCTAAAAGTATAGCTTCTACCAGTACTTAAGTCCCTCGATAAGTCCTTTATTTCTTTTCTGCTACAGAGGGATTATCTTCCTCAAAACTCTCACGAATCAGGAACTTCTCATCGTTCACATGGTGATGTCGTACCCAAAAGATAATTGTCTGGACGAAGAGAACGATACCAGGAGCGGCCCAGGCCCACTGCAGAAAGCATGTTAGAAAGATACCAAGATAGGAACATGTATACTTACAATGAGATTGGGATCATTAATAGAAGGAATCAAAATCTGAGCCAATGCAGAAGATAGAGCCTGCATAGCCAAGTTGATTGCAACGACAGTGGACTTCATACCTTCAGGCGCCCTAGCATATGCCATCTCGTACGCTGTGACTGCAGTAAAGAGTTCACCGATAGCACCGAGCATAACGACAGGTAGCTGCCACCAGATGGAAACGGGGGAAACACTGTCACAGGCTGAAGCCTGGTATCCGCAAGGTGAGGTTTTATAGACCCACCACTGTAAAAGTGCACCAACGAGACTGCCGATAGTAGCAGATACATAACCAACAGTCATACGACTAATGGGACCAAACTTGATGTGGTATCTGTTCAAGAGAGGGTAAAGAACAAATGACATGATGGGCGCAAAGACCATCAGGGTGAGTGGGTTGAAGTTGTGAATCAGATCATTTGGTGCACCTTTAGTGGTCATGGACGCTCCTTGATTTGACAATACCGTACCAACACCGCCATTATTCAGGTAGAATAGTGGCTGATAGAGAAAGATCTGGCACGCAGATAGAGTTCTACGAGCATGCTCGACTGCCTGACTATCCCAAGACACTGTCTTGCCCTTAGCAGCAAGGACTGATGGCTTGACGGACTCGAAGAAGTTCTTAGCCCAAACCCTGCCTCTGTTCTCTTTGATAGCCAAACTGACAATCTTCAAGAAGTTGTTGAGATCGGATCCTTGAGGCGGTGCGCGCTTAAGAGTCTTGTATCGCCACATGAGTAGCACTGGTAAGAGGATGTAGATAATGCCTGGGAGGAGAAATGCAAGCCAAAAGCCGACGTACTTCTCGATATAAGTTGTGGCGATCATGAAGAAAGCACCGATGTTGATGCACATGTAGAAGATCAACATGATCCTCTGGATAGTGGTCTCGGGATCGACGATGACCCTTTCGCCAGACTTGAGTGTCTTGACATATTCTGTCTGGTCGGTGTATTGGTCAACGATGAGAGGAACGACATTGGGCTTGAACAGACCTGCTCCGATAGCGAGTAGAAAGAAACTGATCATAAAAGGTGCAAGTCCATTACCAGCTTTGAGAACAGCGGGAGCTGCACCCCCAACCATAATAACGTGTGCTACGCCACCAATGATAACTCCGTACATGATTGCCCTGAAACGACCGGTCTTGGTGTCCCCGAGCCATGCACCAAAGATTGGGATTATATAAGCTAAGAAGTTGAACAGGAGTACCATAGCCGAGGCAAACTGAAGGCCCCGGTTTCTATTGTTGAATTTGGTCAGTTGACAGTAAAGTTACATAGCAAAGTAACATACAGTGCACCGGCATGACCATTGGGGTCATTCTTGGCAACAGCTCCAGCTCCGTTACCACCCTTCGGCAACGGGAATTGTACGAAATTGTTAACGACTGTCTTGCAACCATAGAATGAGGCTCGTTCTGCAAGCTCAACGATGCAAAGAAGGTATGAAACCCATGGGATGCGCCCTGCTATCTTTCGTAGTTTGACTTTCTCTTCGGTGGTCGGGGGTAAGTGATCCGAGGCACTATTGGATGGTGATATGACATTGGCCTCCGGGTCGAGTGCCAGGCTTTTATCTTGCGGAGCCTCAAGTGAAGCTGCTGTCCAGAACTTATTAGTCGTGCCCGGCTTTGACTAATTCCACTTACCCATATTGTAGGTGACGCTGACGGTCCAAAAGCAACAGGCTATTTTGACTTCGGGATATTGGCAAATGGATAAAAAGCTGTGACATATGGGCTAAATATTCCATTTATAATAATTGGTTTTAACAATCAATGTCACGTTTCGCCCCTGGAAGATGTCGCCATCATGTCAACCTTGACACCATTTACAGTTTACATAAAAAGAGGAACTCTTTTGGGGCATCCATGTTGGAGCCAACCATTCGAAAATGTACTGAAACCTGTTAATTAGTATGGCAAGGAGTAGTAACAATATTGGCCCCGCTGTTGTCGGAGTCGGGCCGCTCCGATCCCAGTTAACTACCACCCGGGATGTGGGAGTTATTTATTAATGCACAAACTTTCAACGACTAATTTGTTAAGTAACTTATCTCTTACTAGAAGGCAATATTAGCTTGACGATTTCGAATAATGTGCGAAAATAACCAAACAAGTCGAGAGTGAATAATGCTATGATTTATATATTGGCCTGGAGAAGAGTCCTTATTCAAGCACTAACGATAGCGATCGTCGGTTTAAAGTGGATTTAACCCTACTTTACTGTAGCTCTACTTTTTGAGCATAGGTCTTCTTACCATATGAGCCTGCTTGGTGCGCTAAACACCACTTTGGCGAGATATTGCGCCACCGGCAACCGGCTAAACCGGCATCCCAGATGCTACCACTCGACACTTCTTGGATTGTGTGAGTGTTAAAGTATTAATGACTTGGAAGAGGGAACCTTCAGTAACAGTTAATGATGTTAATAAACAGAATAGGATATGTAATTATACTATGATATATAAAAGCACAATGGGGTATTAAAATAAGAGAATTGCCAGGAAGTCATCGGTAACTATTACCTTGGTTGTTCCATATAAACAGTGTACCATAGTCGCCGACGAGCATGAATGGATCAAATAAATGGAGAAGTTCTCGAAGCCAATGAGGGACCTTTGCGAAGAAACCTTAAGAGAATTCGTTAATCCGCTAAGTTCATCTCCAGAGGAGGCGAGACTGATTTCTACTGCTGACAACCAGATCTTGTCTTCCCTTCGAAAGGACGTTATAGTAGCTCTTATCTACGATGGAGTTGATACACTTGATCCAACTTTCTCCAACCAATTTGTTGAAGGAAAAACGTTTGACTATCAAGGAGATGATGGAGTGGGCCAGTACTATGTCTCAGCAAACGACCATGGAACCGACATGGCCAGGATGATCTTGAAAGTCTGTCCCATGGCAAGGATTTACTCGATCAAACTGAAGACGCAACCTAGCAAAGGCGGGCAACATTTGACTATTGACGAATCATCAATTGCGCCTGTAAGTCATCCTTCCATATATCTTCTCCATGGCGGCATTATAGTAACCTAATTTTAGGCGATTGAAGCAGCCTTGGAGAAGAAGGCAGATGTCATCTCCATGTCGTGGACAATCCCCATCCCAGAGGCAGGGACTGATAATCAGAAACGAATTGACAAAGTTATTAAGTTGGCATGTTCAAAAGACGTCCTCATGTTCTGCTCCTCGCCAGACCAAAGGACTCAGACCAAGCATTATCCTTCTCATTACAATCGTTCGAAAATATTCTTGATTGGTGCTGATGATGATAGCGGAACAGCTTTCAACCATTCAGGGCTGGACAACGACTTCATCTTTCCTGGAGTCAATGTCAACACAGGCAACAATCACAACAGGTCCTACTCAAACGACCCAACATAAGCTGTTCAAATGGCCACAGGTTCCAGTATTGCCACAGCTCTGGCAGCTGGCCTGGCAGCTATGGTGACTTACTGTTTCAAGGCCAGTGCACTTGCTGCTGTCACAAAGAGGATAGCACAGGGTAGACCCCCTGCCTCGAATGGGACTGAACTCGTGAAACCGCAAGACGTGGGTAGGATCGCACACCATGACAGATTGAAGAAGGTTTTTGACAGGATCGGCACGATGGATGGTCGAAAGTTTATTGCGGTTTGGCGGATATTCAAGCGTTCCACTGAATGCTTGACTTATGAGCCGAGGTTTACTCATATAATGGAACTTTGCAGAGGCTTGATGGACCGTATGGATCGATAGACTAGTATTATGAAGTTTACCCATATCACTTCATAAGGTTCGTCAATTCTATTATTACTAGTTTGTACCTGTATCTATTGTAGTAAATACATTCTTATAGGCAATACAGCTTTCTTTCAAGCTCTCTTAGTCCCCCAGCTGCTTCTTGAAGTGCATTCACTACATCGATAAGGAAGATGCCTTGAAGCTCCTCATTCTCTAAGTCATTTTCCCCAAGTCCAAAGTCGCACCCTAGGCACTTCCGAACAATAGTTGCGTATCGAGGGCCCATCCGGTTTCGTAACAAGGGGCTTTGTGCCAGCTTCTCTGCAGCATGGTAATCGACCTGTTTCTTGAAAGGCAGGTTTTTCAGAATGCCGGGCCGGAGTAAATGCCAAGGCTTGCTATATCCTAGTTCTAGTAACACGATGCCAAAGCTGAAGAGAACCTCATTGCGCACGACTTGCCTGACGGCGACGTATGGCAGAGAAATGTCCACAGCCTTGCCTTTACCCGTTATGTCCGCTTTCGAGAATTCAACTTTGAAATATGGTGAGGTCAGACTAAGATTGGTCGAGTCTTGTAGCCAGTCTTTGATACCAAAGAATCTAACATGGCTGCTTTGCCACATTTCTGGTAACCAGGGTGTCGAGTGATACTGCAACACTGCACAAGCCAAAGAGCTAGCAATTTGTACCATGGCGCTTCTCGGTAGATTCCGAGATATCTCGTCCTCTGCAACCCATGAGATCATTTCCGCCAGACTCATTTGTGAGCTTGTGGGAAATCGTGGCGAGGATGGCACGTAGAATCGATAAAGCCCACTGTGCTGTATATAGCCGACGTAAGTTGGCTCACAAGCTGAGTGAGTTGTCTGGAAGTGCTGACATATATCGTCGATGACTTCCAGATTCGTCAATTGCGTGTCTTCTTGGTGAGTATCATCTTGTTGGCTCTCATTTAGATCGTCTACCTCGTTCGGCTTCAAAGAAAGTGCCTGGAACCGCACAACTTTTGTTGTCTTTGTTGTAGTGAGTGTCTGGGATGATATCGATTGTCCTGAAAGCTTATTAGGCATTCGTTGGGCCGACTCCAGAACCAAAGGCTGCGAATGCTTTCTTAGCGTATCGACAACGTTCGACCAGGTCTTGTTGATTTCTAGTTTGACCACAGGCGATGAGTTGGATGAGGGCTGACACGTTCTTGCATTATCGATGCAGTCAATCTCAAGCCAAAGCGGGGATGTCTCCGATTCTGACGGTGTCACAACAGCTTCAAATTTGATACCTTTCTGAGATTGTAGTTGTTTGTTGTCGCCCCGGAAAGTAATGCTGGCCACGTGTCGTTGATGCAAAGCACACGGCCATCTAAGTGCTAATGTTTCGTATAGGCTAGACGACGCCGCTCTGATCTGACGATACATCTCGAGGCTATTCCAACAACTAGGTTTTATGCAAGCTGTGGGTTGATCCGGAGAGGAGCTCGCAAAGCCTGGATCCTTCAGTTCGTCTATTATTTGAGACGTTATTCGATTGAAGTCGGCTGTGAAATTTCGGAGATCTTCGATGGCCTCCTGAACAATATCTTTCTTGACGCATAGCTTGAACTGTTTTCGAAATTTTTCCACGGACAAAACCTGTACGAAAGTGTCAAAGGCGTGAATTCACATAGTCGAGATAGCAAACCTACTTGAGTTGGCTTGGTGGAAGAAACACGAAAACTCTCAACCTCAGAGCATATAGCCTGTAGGCTATCATGAATCTCATCTAGTGTAGCCTTCCAGCTAGAGAAGGCATCTCGTAAAGTCTCTGCCCTTGTATGGTCTAACCCACGAATACCGAGATCATCCCAACTTCGCTCACCGGAGATGAGACTCCTGGTCTTTTCGGCATCGTTTGTCACGGCTGTGAGAAGCTTGGTGACATCGCCCCTAAAGATAGTCTTCTGGGCGTTCAGGATGGTGTCTAATCGGGAGAGTGCTCGTGAGTGTTGTCTAAAACCGCTGAAAGTCTTCGAAACCGTCTGGTATCGATTATATGCTTCTAGGACGATGGGGATCCCCCCAAGCACGACACCAACAATTTCGAAGCCACTCATGATGGCAGGCGATAACCAGATGAGGCCAGGTCTTCGTCTTTATTGTTTTTTAAGACATCTCATTTCTGGTAATGAGGGATTATGTGCACAGTCCTTGGGCTCTTTCAGCCTCATGTATGACTCGTATACCCCGCAGCTGACAAGACGATCAACCCACAACATGGTTGATAAGCAATTGTCACACTTTTCGCTGAGGTTCGTATTTAGCTTATTCCTACACTGGTTTTTGGTCAACATTGTCCTATCTACATGTCCTGTTTATATCATTCTGTCTTCTTTTCTTAATTCCATCTTAGAACCGCACCAGTCTATAGTCCCGATGAGTAACCGATAACAAATAAGCAGACCTTGAGTGCAAAAAGGATGCAGGAGTACGCTTCACATGTCCCATTACCCGATTCCGATCTCTCAATCTCCGAACTTGGTTCCGATGTGGATTTCTCCGCAGGGCTATCCAACTCTTCGAAAGGATACGTTGACGTACAGAGCTGGCTCCCTGAGCCGTCAAAAGACTCTGTTCTCGGTCTTGCAGGGTCTCTTTTCGAAGCAACACTAGCCCTGTTCATTACCCTGGCTCGTTGTTTGGCAGGCGATAAAGACATACCAAATTACACGATAGAATCAAAAGAGCTGCTCAAGGGGGTTGAGCGGCTCTTCCTATGGGGCGATGGATTTTCCGCTAGTAGCGGCCAGTTGGACGATATTTTATCAAAGTCCAGCGAATTGCAACAAACCGTACTCTCGACGTTATACGAACTGGGTGTGACTTTGAGAAATACAGCTATACGGACATGTTATTCTTCTGGAAGTCACGGACCTCGCGGCTTAGATGTACCCATGCGAGAACTACAGGGGTTGTTAGAACAAACTTCGATTCTCCTTTATGGGTCAGACGGTTTAGATGACAAGGACACGGTCTCAGAAAGTGGCTCTTCCACGAGCGATTTATCTGAATGCATCGAGGACATCTCTACCTACATCGATTGCTTGATGGACTTGTCCCTTGCCCTCGAAGATCCAGTGGTTGATGTCGAAACCGTCGATGCCGCCATCCCGATCTTCCAAGATCTCGAGACCTTTGATGTATCGTCTCCCCAAGCTTTGGCATTCTGCCGCAAGATCCGCGACCGGTTTCCCAAACTCGAGAAGTGGCTTGTGGAAAGACTAGGAGAGAATAATGCACGTCGAGCTTCATCTTTGAATGAGGCACGCGATCGGTCTTTGGATATCGAGGCAATCATGTCTGAGATAGCGAAGTGGACCATTGATGAACCAGAAGAGTCCGTATTCCCCAGTGAGGCTCTCTTCTCAGACAGTCAGCCAAAGCCAACAGAAACGACCCGCTCGACTAATCTATCAAACTCTGTGTTTGACAAGTCGAATCCTGACTCTTTTAGACGGCTTGCGCCTCCATCAAAGCCAGCAAGACGAGTCACTCATGTCCCAGCTAGCAATGCGTCTTTTACAACTTTTGCGTCATTCTCAACTAAAGCCTCAGCAATTTCCGAAGGTCGACCACGAGTACCACCACTTCCCGAGGAGGCCCTCGAGGGAAACACCTTCTCGTGCCTGGCTTGCCATCAGAAAATTTCGATTGAAATGACGCGCAAGGATTGGAAGTATGATACCAGGCTCTCCGGTCTATCTTTTACTAATTCAGTATTCTAGGAAGCATATTTTCTCAGATCTTAGCCCATACTCGTGTACAGTACGTACCTGCGACTCGGGGACCAAACTATACAGTTCAACACGAACTTGGGTCGAGCACGAAGCCCAGCACCGACTGCAAGACTGGCAGGGTACCGAATGCCCCTTCTGCGACAAACAGTCTTCCCTGATGTCCCCACAATCGTATTATAAGCACGTCGGCGAACATCTTCGGGAGATATCTCTCGCGGCGCTACCGCATAGCTCAGATTCAGATGTTGAGTCCTCAAGTTCAGACGACAAGTCGGAGGATGGTGACGATTGGGCAACAGTTCCCCATTTTCCTGCCCCGTCTGGGACTCTCAAGCGAAAACGCCCTGAGCAAAGCATACAAGATCAAATTGCTTTAGAGGCAATGAGACATGGACAGCGAATTTTGGCGTCAATGGATGAAAGCGATTAAGCGGTTAATGTGAAATAAGTCGACTCAGTGTCTTTGATAATTAACTGTGTGATGAATTGAAGACCTGAGGAGGAAAAAGAATCACCATAGGATAGGTCAATGGAGATTTTTTTATTACTTGCATACTTTTACAAAGATTGTCTTGAAGTTGCATTACATTTTATATGTTTAAACCCCACAAGAATATGTTTCAACTGTGGTTCCTTGTGGTTAAGAATCAGGGGTGTCACGTGCCTGACAACGTTTTATCTTACGTGTCGCTTCACGTGCTGTTTTACGTGTTACTGCACCTTCGACGTGCTGATGTATTATTCACGTGCTATCTCACGTGACGAATACAACATCAATCATCCTCATTGCTCATTTCATAACTTATGCTTCAAACTTACGTAGCTATTATAATGAAGAATGATTATCATTGAATTACATTTCTTTCTCTTTCCAGCTTAAGATTTCCTGGTCAAATTACACGGAATCGGTTGTCATGAAGCTCATGAATTTTACTGAATTGTCGAGACCATGCACAAACAATGAATACGTTTATCTTCCAACAATTTTACCACGTAGGTACTGTCAAAAGACAATCGATAAGCCTCTATACTTGTTCTGTTTACTGATCTATTCAAAGGGTGAAATATCCCTTGCAAAAGCGCGTAAAACATCAACATTCCCAACGCGACAATGCGACTCGGGTTACCCTGTAGAGAAAGAAACCGCGTCGACATGGCACATCACTTTAACGAAAGTCTAAAGGTATACCCGTATATCCGAAACGACAATGCGAAAATCAGCTAACACATGCACCAAGCTATGCGAAAATAGTCAACCGTGTCCAGCCGCGTTCAAATGTCAAACCACCACAGTCAGCACTAAAGGACTCACAACACCACGTCCAAAACCTCGTGTAGCCATCTTGGCATTGCTGACCGACGACAACGGATGGCACGAGCTTAACCAAAACCGGATCAACTTCCAGGATAAGATTAGACGAAACGTTTGCCATCCTGTCGGCGAAAGAAACGAAGCGACTTCGGCCTACGCAATGATCAGCAGATGGTGGAAGCAATGGAACCCAGAAAAGAAGGATTTTTTCCACTTAGTGAGATCCTAGTTTTTATCATGTCAGAAAATTCCACCTTTACCCTCCGATCGGAGAGCCAGGAACAAAAAAAACCTTCAAATGCTGGGCAGGATCCATAGTTCTACGTAAAAGAAATGGTTTCGCGAGTAAGGGAAACGGCCGAGAGATCCACTTTTGCTTGGGTAATTGATCAATGCAGGGAAATAGGAAGGTAAAAGAAACTGATGACAGAAATGATTCAGAGTTCAGGGTTGGAAGAAGCTTAAATTGAATGACCTCAGAAGAAAGAATAGTGGCGATACATTGACGTCCGAATGGCAAATGCCGTGTCGGATCCGGGACTGAGTTACAGCAGACGGAGTCAAACTACGCCATCAAACTCCACTAAAGATAAATTTTCAGGGCATTTCTTACGCTGTAAATGAAAAACGTCAACGGAGGCGAAGAACCCACTATTCCGTGACCCACTCCGAACGAATTTGCCGGGGTCTCCGAGAACCAATCAGCTTCAACCTAAAGATCAAAATATGAGCTGAGCATCAACAGATTCATTTGTGATGCTGTCTCTCATTTCAAGGGACCTTCCTAACCGAGACTCTACTTCCCAATCCCTGAACATGTTCGTCTCGCTCTATCACGTAATAATGCAATTTGTCCCCCACGGGGTTACTCGCAGATGGTACAACATCATGTGCTGAAGAAGAGTCAATGTGACTAAAACCTCTAATACTAGTCCTCCCATTGGCTCGGAATTACAAAGAATTATGTATGGAAGGAATCTAAGAGCCTAAGTACGGAGTAAGCGCGGGTTTGACACTAAAACCCGTTGCTCTAAAGTCCCGGTCCCCATCGGAACCATGCCATAGCTCCCGCCACAACCTCCGATCGGAGCTTCAGGCCTGGGGTACAAGCCTCAACAGCAGGAAAAAAGGGTGATATATATGGAGAACTCCGGTCCGCTAATAACGTCAGGGTCCGCACATTCGTACTGCTTTGCTCTTCCTTTCGTCTTCTACTCTCCTTCTGCCCTTCTTCCTAATTCACTCTCCCTTTCATACTTGTGAGGTCCTACAAGACATTCAATCCTTCGGATCACCACATACACAACTGTGCATCCTTGGTTGGACGTCGCAGTCGACCCTTCAACATGGGCATCATGAACTTTACAAAACGGTCCTCCGCAGAGAAACCTGCTACCGAAACACCAATGACAAATCACGACACAAGCGCCTCAGATAACGACCAACCGAAAGACGCGACAGATTTCCAAGAAGTCCCCGCCGGTACCGTTGAGAAGGGCAATATTTTCGATCAAGGCGGCAAGACATATCGAACCCTCGGCCGCTGGGACACAGTCCTCATCCTCTTCACAAATCAGCTTGGTCTGGGTATCTTGTCCCTACCCGCGACGATCAAGACCCTCGGTATAGTGCCCGGAATCATTGCCATTCTGGGCATCGGCGCAATCTCTTGGTATGCTGCGTATTGCTTGCTGCAATTCTATCGCAAACACCCCAATGTTGTTAGTATCGTTGAGATGACAAGGATCGTCGGTGGACCGTGGTTCGAGACTCTGGCTGGTTTTGTTATGATGATCCAGGTCGTCTTTATCGTGGCTTCTGCCACTGTCACTCTGTCCGTCGCGCTCAACACACTTAGCAGCCATGCGACATGTACTGTCATCTGGATTCTGGTGGCTTGTGTGGCTTGCTATCTTCTTTCCATCCCACGAACCATGAAGTTTGTTTCCAAGGCTGGAGTCCCCAACGCCGTTAGTGTCGTGGCTGCTTGTTTGATCGTCTTGGTCAGTTTGGCTGTTTCTGGACCTGCCATTGCGCCGTCCGATTGGCACAGGGAGCTCAAGATTGTTGGAAACCCCACGTTCCGCGATGGTCTCAATGCTTGCCTGCGCGTGGTTTTCTCCTACGCCGGTACCTTTACATTCCCGTAAGTCAACTTCAAGAGTATTAAAATTGGTGTTCGAGACTAATATTCTCAATAGCTCATATATGGCCGAGATGAAGGCTCCCGAGAAGGATTTCAAGTTCGCCTTGGCCGTTCTCGAAATTGGAAGTACCCTCTTCTACATCGCCATGGCCGTTGCTTTGTACTGCCTCGCCGGCGATCTCACCACATCCCCCGTCCTCAGCGCCGCTTCTTCGATCCCCGCAAAGGTCGCCTACGGGATTGTCCTCCCCGCCGTCGTCGCCACAGCCCTGTCCATCGGTCACACCGGCTGCAAATATGTCTACGTTACCCTCATGCGCCAGATGCGATCTACCCACCAGGTCACAGATAACAGCGTCAAGTCCTGGGTCACCTGGATCCTCTCAGTTACTGGATTCTGGGCTCTGATCTTTGTTATTGCGAATGTCATTCCTATCTTTGACTCCATCTTGTCGATTACATCCGCGACAACCATTCCCTGGTTCACATACGGATTTGCGGCCATTTTCTGGCTGCATCTTAACAAGGGTCTTTACTTTTCATCATGGCAGAAGATGCTGCTCACTACTTTGAATGTCACCATGATCGGTGTGACACTGTTTTTGAACGCGGGTGGATTGTGGGCTGCTATCACGGAGTTGTTGGATCTGTTTGCCAAAAACGAAGATGGAATTGGAGGTGTTTTCTCATGTGGAGATAACTCGATCTTTTAAGCCAGTTTTATACAGACTTTTTAAAGAACATCATATTTTATTGTTACTACGGATTACAGGATTCCAGATGAGTCCCTCCCAGACTGCTGTGATTAATACTAATTCATCGCTTACTCCTTCGATGTGGTGAAGCCACTTCTGCCACTCTACAGACTCGTAAACGATACGTCTACCAAATCTTAAGCTAATCCAACTATTTGATCGTATATTCAGGCATGCCTTCATGAACAGCGCCTATTTCACTGAATTAGCAAGCTTGACTCCGAACTCCTCTATAAACTCCTTCATGAACTTCAAGCTTGCTTCTGGGTCTGATTCCACCCGTTCCCAGTTCCTCAAGATCTCGGTCACCTTACCTAACTCTTCCCACACCTGAATGAATTTATGCGAAGTAAGGGAACCCAAACTCTCGAATGCCCCTCTCATAGCATCTCGTTGCTTAATTTGCTTCAAGCGCTCCGCAGGAATGGCAGGGATAGCATCACTGTTGCGGTTCGCAATCTTAATTCCAAGAATGCTAGCCTTGAGACAATATAGTATCATGGCAGCAAGACCAGCTCCGAGAGCAGTGGCTACGCTAGATCCGGTGTGTTCTTGACTTACCGTTCCTTGAGTTGAAATAGAAGACTTTCTTCGGATCTGATCCTCAATCACATGTACGCCGGGCAAGATGAAAGTGATATCTTCAGGCGTCCAGTTAAACACAGTACCGTCCGCATTCGCTGCCCCAATGCGGAAGAACTTTGTAGGAAATGGAGCACTAGGGTAGTCAGCTCCAGTAAACTTTCCTTTGTCTGGTGCAGAACAAAACATCAAGACGTTTCCATTTATAGCTTGTTGTAGGACGCTGCGAACAGGGTTGTCGGCATTTTGACTATTTTCCATTGGCAAGGTCCACGACATGGAAATGATATCTACTTTCTTGTCCAAGGCTGCTTGAATTGCCTACAAGCTATCAGTATGTGTGGTGGTACTGTGAGATGGAAACACTTACACGAGCTGCATAGTCAGCATGGATAGTTAAGTTACCATTGGGATCGTTGAATGTCTTCAGGCGTATGGGATATATCTCAGCCATCGGGCAAACACGTAGTATCATACGAGCCATCGTTGTGCCGTGGCGTTTTGCAGATAAGTATGGTGGGTTAACTCTCTCATCGTCAAAGTCAAAGCTTTTTCCTTCGAGGATTTGGTTCGGTTGGTCAATCTCAAATTTGTCCACACCATCATCAATCAGCGCTATAGTCACAGGCTTCTCAGCTCGTTCGGTGGTTCCCATATTTTGGTTCATATCTAGAAACCTGTTGACCGTGCTGTTCCAGAATGGTTCCATGACAGATGCAAATTCTTCAACAGACCTCAACCACTGATGAGGATTAATGCCTTTGTCGGAAGCAAGAAAAGTGGTGGGTTGCACGCCATGTGGCGTCACCCCTTGTTTGGTGCCAGTGCTGGGATCGACCAACTTGACTCGGATATGCCCTGATGAAGAGTCGTCAAAAGGCACCTCATGGCTAGAAGATGGCAATTCTCCTCCAAGAGAACTGCGATTCTTGTTGAGCCTGCGCTCAAAGTCTCTGATCCTGTTGTCAATCCACTCCTTGCTGTCACAAATCTTTGTTACGGTCAGCATACGAAAGGCAGGAAAAGAGGCTCTGGCAGATAGATACATACCATGTGGGGTAGTGGCCGAATAATCTCAACTTCCTGAAGAAACCGCATCTTTGGCAAAGCATCTTCATCGCTCCAAGCCCTTAGGACAGCGTTACTACCACTCCATATTAGAGTTAGCTTTCTCATCTGTGATTCTACGACCGGGTCGTGGTCGTTCAAGCCCTCACAAGACGACTTTTCTATCTGGCTGCCGATATGTAATATTGTCTCTGGATCCAAGTCCGTCTTCTTCCAATCAAGGTGCTCAATGACAAATTTCCCCAAGGTCTCTTGGATATTCTGATCGCCATGAACTTCCTGTTCCGCATCGCTTGGCTCTTCAACCGAAAGCTTAATGATATGCCGCACGCCCTTTTCATAAAGCCAGTCAAGAAAATATTTGACATCTTTGCGGCCAGATGGTGATCTATCAGAAGCTTTCTCAAATGCTTCTTTTTCCGATGGACTGGGCTTGTCGATGACTTTGACGCATGGAAATGTTGCATATTGTAGGACGGGATCGAACTTATACCCTCGCGACTGACCTGCACCAAACCTCTTCTTGAAGTCTTTCCAAGATATCTGAGGTGGTAATCCACGATAGTCAAAGCCCGTTTGAATATCTTACTCTCTATGTCAGTCAGGTTCATAGAAGAAGTGCCGGGCTGTTGCTCTTACCATTTTTGTTGTTGCCGTAAAGAAAGAACATGACCATCTCAGGGTTGCGCGTCCTCATATAGTACAGCTTGAGCTTCTGAAGAATTTTATTAGAGTTGTTGATATGATTGCGAATCTTCTGTTCTTTCTGTGCTGCTCCCACCAACTGATCGGCCTCCGTGGCTCCGCTGTCAGACTCACGGCCCGTGTTGGTCCGTCTGACTCCAGTATTTGGAGCGGTTTCTGTTTGGCGAACGGGATCGACAATCTTGACCTGCATTGATTTGTCTATGTCTGGCTTTTTCCCCGAGCGGTATGGACTCGAGTCTCTGTGACCATATTCGCCATTATCAATTGGCTTGTAGTCTTTGACAAAGAAATCGTCTTTTTTGAGTCTGGCTTGCTCCTCCTCTTTCATCCTTTGCCTCAGTAGCTCGCGTTCTTCGGTAGCAGTCAATGCTTGAACTTTCCGAACGGATGTCTCTCCATTGCGGTCTCTGGATACTTTGGTCGGCGCGTCGGTCTTTGATTCTCTGCCTCTGGTTTGTGACTTTAAATCCCTGGGAAGTAGTCTGTCCCCTGTTCTCTGTAGATCGGGAGGATCTGGGGCTGACTTTGGAAGGGACCTCGATCGGATCATCTGTTGTACCCAACCGCTTCTTGTATCCTCATGCTCTTGGAATACAGAGCAACCATTTCTGTCGCATATATCAAGAAAGGTCGTTGTTGACTTTGGCTTGTGTAACCTCTCAACGGAGTCCTTTTGAATGAGCAAGTCGATAAGTGCTGCTCTTTGCTGGTTGCACTTTTGAAATTGGACTGCATGATGCATCGGCGTCTTCTTCATATTATCTCCGATACTAAGAGTTTCGTTGGTGGCGTGTTCCATTAACATCTTTAACGATTTCCAGTTGAGTTTCTCCCCAAATGCGGCATGGAGTGCTGTTTCCTCCCCGTCATGGGCATAACATAAGGCAGTGTTGAGGCATTCGATTCCATTTGGCTGGTTCTTGTGGTTGACGCAAGTAGATATCATGTACTCCAGTAGGCGGTCTTGGCACCACCTGATGGCCATCAAGATAGGAGTTTTCTTGTCCTTGTTAGGGACTGAAATGAGATCTGGAGCCTGGTCTACCAATCTCCTAATGAGTAGTTCTACATTCTCTGGTATCAGGCCATTATGCTTGACCACTTCAACAAGCATGTGGAGGATGTTGCCTGTGTGATCGTTACATTGACGAGTGACGTCCCCGAAGCGACGAAAGAATTCATCAACCTGGCCATGACTTGTGAACTCTCGTTGGGTTTTTATTACCTCGCCTGCCTCTTCCAAACGGTCAGCCCATGTTGGGTCTGGGTGTTGGAAGTGGTAGTTCCGATAGATATCGTCATCAAGCTCGTCTTCTGCCAGGTCCATTCCAGCTCCAGGGAAACCCTGGAAGCCATTATCCAAGTCGACTGGCATAGTAAATCGAATGTTTTCTTCCTCTCATGAATGATTCATGAATTCATGAAGAAAGTTCGTTAAGTAATTACAAAAACTCGAACAAGGCTCCGTGACTAGGCTGTGAAGAACTAATTTGGGCGCTGACATGCAGATGCCCCGCACAAGCTGAAAACGATATTACACAGTGTGAGATACATGCCAAGAGCGAATGCGTTGATAAGAGTTCCATGCCCATCTCTATACATGTAGGCACCTGATTACACATCAATCCGTCAATTAAGCACAATTTTACACTTCATACACAGGATGTCCACCGGAGAAGAAAACTACGTGGAAGATGGCATCAAGTGTCTTCATTTGGGGATGTATGAGACTGGAGTTGGCGAATTTAACGTCTTCAATCTCGCCACCAACCACTACCATCGATACGAGGCCCTTGAACGCACTGGCGCAGTCGATATCACTTGTTACCTTGAGAAGGTCATTCATGGAACCTTGAGTCCTACCCAATACGGATCTATCATCGTCATGCAATGGTTTTTCCAACCAGGGCCAGGGCGTCGTATTTCCGAAGCCACCATCAAACTACTGTTCGAAGTTGAGTCAAGTGATAGTGATACCGAGCTCGAGGTCAAATATATATCGTTCGAAGGGACATACAGCTTGATGCCTACGACGCAAGAAACCAGTACCACTAGGGGTATCGAGGCTACAGCTGGCGTTCAAGAAGTTGCCCAGGCCAATTTAACTGCAAAGTGGGAAAGTGCAACTACAACAACCGCGTCCGAGTCTATTACACTCAACGGCGGCAAGCGACTTTTCAAGAATACACCGCCCAAGCGAATCGCCAAATGGGAACTTTGCGAAAACAACTCCCAGCCTCAAGGGATTCCTGGTATGCTGAGGGTCGCGGTGCTGGTCGCGAGAGATGACGAGGAGAAATTCCAATGCAGGGTCGACTTTGCCTGTAAGACAGACTTAAAGACGAAACTGGCGGGAATGTTTGAGAAGATCCCGAAAGACGATCCGATTGTTTTCCAACCAGATAGCTCGGATAAAGGTAAGCGAGAAAACAGAAATATCACTTATGATGCAAAAGACTTGGGGAACATCTGTCTAGACGATTTGTCTGAGGTCACTTATCGCAGAGTCATCACAAACGGTGAAAAGATTTGGAAGTAGTTAAATACATATTCTGTACAATTGAAATATCTTATACAGTTTGAACATGAACTATTATTTATGTCCCCGTTCCATCGCTTTCCGTAAGATCATTAATGCTCGTCCACTGGCTGATCTTTCACCGTGCGGGAATGGTCTCAAGACACTGGACGCTGACACTTTCGATGTGACTGGGCCGCACTCAGGTGCATTATCACTGTAGGCTACGAATCAGATAAAATTAGGATTCCTTCCTTCTTTGACATCTGACAACATCATTCAAAAAAGCCACCAATAGAACATACCCACGTGTTGATGGTGAGAGCTACTTTCACACAAATGGTCAGCTTGTTTCAACCTTCCCAAAAAATGTTACTTTTTTCCCACGCACCATTTTACCATTTTTGACACCTTTACTGACAAAGGGTCTGGGGGAACAACAATGGAGATGCCATCTATCCGTCACGAAAAGCAATCTGATCCAGCAGTTGAATCGCCGGAAGGGCTCCTCACAGATAATGCCCTAGATGAAGACACTCATCTTCTCCAGAAGTCACCAGATGAGACTGAAGGGCTGGACGACGATTTGATAAGCATACAGACAGAAACAGACGTTCTTCTTCCCGTAGATATAGATTCAAAAATCCCTCTCCAGGAACACAAGCTCGGACTTGATATCAATGCGATCCGCGGTTGGTCCGGTTCCGAATATGACGACTATGAGTATGAACAATGGTGAGACTTGGAAACAAGATTGCTGATTGATATAGTGTCATTGCTGTCCATGGCATACGAGACGACTATAAAACTGCCTGGATAGACAAGAACGGTGGCTGGATCTTGAAAGATCACTTGTTTAATGGCATGTCGATCAGGGAGATTGATTACTCGTACGAAATTGACGAAAGCTCGGTCCTCTATCATCAAAATGGCATTGATATTCTTGCTGAAAGGCTCGTCGACATGTACGCAAAGGAGCGTGAGAGTCTGGCTGAAGTATGACCCCTGAGAAATATTTCAACCTGAACGAATCTAATACGTGCGCTATAGACGGAAACCGACAGGCCCGTCATCTGGGCGTGTCACGACATTGGGGGCACTATCGTCAAACAGGTATGCGTGACCATATGGGTGATAATATGGCTATTAACCCAACAAGGCTCTTTTTATAGCGTCACAGAATACTGCAAAATATGGTAAAATATTCATGCACACAACAGGAATAGTGAGTTTTTCCATATCAGGAACGAATTTTCACTAAGTCAAAGGTATTCATCGGCACACCGCATCAATTTCAATCACAAGATGATGCCGTAGATCAAATTTATAAGCTTGTCAATCTTCCGGGACCTGATATTAAGAAGCAGACTTTCATGAAAGTAAAGCATTTGGCAGACCAGATTGCCCGGACTAATACGAGATTTGTGGCCACGAAGCTTCTCGACAGAGCTTGCATCTTCAACATAATATCTCAGAGCATCTCCGACAGCTTGGCAGGCAAGGCTGATGATAACAAATTTGAGGGCGCTGATGGGTGCAACTATGAGCAGGATAGGACTTGGAGTAAGACAACAGTAACTCCTTTTCACCGGTATACACACTTTATTGGGCATTCATTCGAAGCCAGTGGAAGGCGGCGCAACAATCAAATCAACCATCTTGATCTCATCCGCGACGAGGGGTGTTCACTGCTCAACTTATTTTCTGACATATTCAAAATGACTGGGTTTGGTACATCTTCCATATCTTTTCTGTAATACCTAACATTATTGGGATTGTCTAACCATCCATCGATTGCTAGTTCTCAAAATCAGCTATGGACTTATTTCACTGCAGACGCGTCTATTAGCTCTTGCGCCTCCAACCAGAGCGCTTGGAATACCCTTCGACCCGGTATTGCCATATCCTCCCATGCTGAGATGGTTACATCAGCAACAACCATATATATCGTTTAAAAGGCAGAAGTCTGGTGCTAATTACCTGCACATTCATAGTGGTGGAAAGTCTTTGGTTGACAGTGAAGATCTTTCACGTCGTTTATACGCCCACCTTGACGCAGACCTCGCGCATGGGAACCCAACCAAAACTGTCGTTTACTTCGAATTCAACCAACATGACTCACGATACCGGGATCTCAAATCTTTATTGGTATACCTAATCAATACGATGGTGTGGCACTTTTGGCCCATTATTGAGACATTGGTTTCTAAAGAGCTAATGTTCTTGGTTGACACGAAGTCTTGGACTATGGAGGACCTGTACCATATATTCCTCAAAATTCGACTTTCTCTGCTTTGGAGGCAGGACTTCACCTTTTTCATCAGCTGTTTTGATCAGTGTCCAGAGGATCAAAGACGATGGTTCATGGATCGTATTCTCAAGGAACAAAGCTACTCGGAAGCGTCTTTTCGCATCATCATATCCACATCGACTTGTGACAGCCTCGGAATTGATGATATAGCTCCAGATAGGCATTTGAATCTGCTAGAATGCCCCCGGTTCAAGGAACAACCACAAGACGCGCTGTCCTACGAGTCAATGAAAGGCCTCAATAACTTGGTGACCAGACGGCCAATATACAGCCGATTCCTATCCCGGATCAAGAGTCTGCTCGAAGAATGTAATCAGGTGCCAAAGCTGGCTCCTTTAATTCTTGGATGGCTAGAATCTAACCATCGAGGTAAGAATGGGGATGAGATTGCGGCCGTCATCACATCGTTATCACCAGCGACTGCAGGCAACATTGCACACATCTTTTTGAGGCATCTGCCACCTATTCTCCATCAAAAAGCCAAGACAGCCTTCACTTGGATCCAGCATGCTGCAGAGCCTTGGTCAGCAGATGCCCTTGTAGAAGCACTCGCATTGCATGCTTCTCCAGACACAGAGCTTTGTCTTTATGACCTCGACAAAGAGACTGAGAGGGATGAGTTGATCAAAGAGTTCAACGGGATCATCACTGTGGACAATGGCGACGTCAAATTCTGTCATCCTTCGTTTTATCAAGTGACAGAGCTCATGGGAGGTCAGGGCCTCGAAGAATTCGCTGCCAGAGTCAACAGCTCAATGGCGACTGTTTGTTTGCGTTACTTTCAACTAGAAAACTCGCAGTCATTTCTTGACGAACTTTGCTTGACGAAGCTCGCCGATGTTCCTCCAGAGGCGCCGCTGGAGCCCTTCATCATTTACCACCAGCGCACGTCTATGAGTGAATACGCAGTTCGATTCTGGGCCGACCACTACAAGGCTAGCGGGAGCTTCAAGCCAAAAGACCTAGTCCGTGACATCTTTGGTGACAAACGTTACAGAGCTCGTTGGGAAATTCCTTTTTGGCTTATGTCGAACCCCTTCACAAGGATCGGTCGACACTACATTTCCAGGCTCCCAGTATTCGCCATGCTGGGCCTGGAAGACTTGATTGATGATGAAATCATGGCCGATTGTGATAAGCGATGGTTCAATAAGGATTGCTGGTTTGCAATTGTGGAAGCCATACGATGGGGAAACACAAGAATCGCTACGAGACTCCTTGGCCATGCTGAAGTGGATGAAGCAGAGCTACAGGTTGCTCTACTATGGGCCGCGGCACGAAATGATCAAGGCATCATCCAAGACTTGCTTGCTAAGATTCCCGACATAAGAAGGTTTGAGTGGCCCGAAAGTCTCATTTATCGATCTGCAGCAATGGGGCAAGACCGGCTACTCTCTGCTATGCTGACATCTGGCTACGATATCAATAAGGTTGGAATATACTGGGACGTTCCCCCTGCTATGATAGCAGCGTGGCGGAATCAGCTTTCTACACTCGAAATATTATTGAAATCGGAGCAGAAACTGGATCTTTCTTTCATAGACAGTGAAGGCGACACTTTGTTGACGGTCACCACGAGAGGGGGAAATCCAGACCTACTCGAAGTCGTCATGAACGCTATCACGGGAGATGCTGGGATCAAAGTCACCAAACATACGAGAAACGAATTGGTACAAGCTGCATTATGGTCTTGTTCACAGAGAGCTCTCGATTTGCTCCTTAAATCTGGAATAGGATACAGGGGGGAAGGGTTTCAGGACCCCGTTACTGTAACGGCAGCTGATGACGGCTTCTTGGAGTGTTTAAGCGCCTTTCTTTCTCACGGATTTGTCCCGGACGCAGAGGACTCTGCGGGGACTGCACTGTATAATGCTGTCTCAAAAGGCTACGTCGATATCGTGAGGCTTTTACTGAACCATGATCCTAAGCCAAAGATGGATATAACGCCGCCAGGAAAGGACAGTATCTTGGTCAACGCTATCTGCGGCGGCAACGTTGAAATCGCATCGCTTCTCATTGAGCACGGCGCCACAGTCGATTACATTGATGAAAATGACACTTTCAACAAAACACCTTTGTCTAGAGCCTGCGCCGTTGGAAACTTGGAAATGGTTAAGCTTCTCCTAAAAAACAAGGCTGACATCAACTATACTGTCGACTTCTCTCGATCACCTTTATTTTCAGCTCTTTATAGCTGGAATTTCGAGGTGGCCAAGTATCTTCTGGCAAACACCAAACCTGACGTTACGTGGAAATCATCTGGTGATATCGGGATGCTTCATATGGCCTACACCGATTCTGAGATCCTTCGTGAGCTATTGAGAAGGGGTGCTCCCATCGATGGTATGAGCGCAGGGGGAACAGTTCTCAATCTCGCGGCATATATTGGAGCACTTGAGTCCATCCAGATTCTTCTTAGCAATGACCCAAAGCCTGAAATAGACGTCAAAGCACCTGAGGATTCAGTCATCGAGGATAATCAAGGCTGTACTCCACTTCACTCCGCATGCAGGGCATGCTCGTTTGGATGTGTCAAAGCCCTGTTGGCGGCCGGCGCTAATCCCCACGCTATCAACAAAATCGGTATGGATCTTGTTGATATTCTACTTCGAGCGCCCTCGGAATCAGAAGATTGTGAAAAATGTTTGAGGTTGTTATTCTCTGCACCTTATAACTTACCCAAGGAACGGGTAGATGAAGGGGGTCGTACCCGTCTCCACAGAATCGAAAAGTCTACATCTGTTGACTTTGTGCGACGCCTCACAAGTCTCGTTTCTGAAGTCGATGTCAAGGACAAAGAAGGATACACGCCTCTAGCCGTGGCTGCCAGTAATGGAAACACAGATGTTGCCAGGTATCTGATCGAATTAGGTGCCAAGGTCAATATCTTCGGCTCGAAGTACGGCAGCATTCTTCATCTAGCTGTCAATAATGGCGCTACAGATCTTGTCAAACTTTTGATAAGTTCTGGGGCAGATCCTGAGATGGTGGACCCCCAATATGGCGAGTCCCTCATGTACACAGCTCTTGGAATCACTGCGTCAGGGAGCCGGAATAGTATGGTTAGATTCCTAGCTGATGAGGTCAAAGTTTCAATCGGTAAGCTGGGTGGTGAATTGGGATATCCAGTGATCCGAGCAGCACACTTGGCGTTTAGTCCCTTCACCGAAGTCGGTGACGAATTGCTGAAGTTCTTTATTCGCCGTAAGGCTCGACTGGATGTTACCGACAGCCAGGGTCGAAGTGCAGTGCATTTCGTCTCAAAGTCCAAATTTCATGATTTTTTTAAAATCTTACTACGAGACAAGGCCACGATCAATAAGGCGGACAAATTTGGGCGCATGCCTATTCATTTTGCTGCCGCAAATCCGGATCCCACCTACCTTGACTATCTACTAAATACGGGAAAGATTGTCGATATCGACGTCAGAGATCTTGATCAATGGACACCACTGATGTGGGCCGCGCGGTCTGGTTCAAAGAGTAATATACAGCGTCTTCTGTTAGAGAAGGCTGATATCTGGGCGCGGAATCTTTCTTCCAACTCCCAAGATGGCTGGTCACCTTTAAAATTGGCACGCTTTGCCGGTCAAACTTTTGACTTGAGTGACCTCCAACCCCAGGAGCCGTCGAGAGTCCGCCAAAATGGTACTGTTGAGATATGGAATGAGGACTTTCACAAAAGCAAAGCTGGGGATGTTAAAGACAGCGTCTTCTGTGATAGTTGTCTCACGGTAAGTAGAGTACAAAATACGCTATTGACAATTTCTGATACTTTCAGGACATTGTTGGCTTACGATGGACATGCATGGTGTGCGAAGAGAGCTTCGATGTTTGTTTCAAATGCTTCCCCCATAGGTCCAACTTTCATGACCTAGAACACAATTTCGAGTCGATCGGACCTCTATATCATGAGGATGCCAATGACGACATGGTCACAAGTCATGATCCAAAAGAGGGGGTATCTAATGTTGATGGAGAAGGGCTCGTCTTGGAAGAAGACAATACAAACGGCATCAATCACTTAGATTCGGACTCGGATAGTTAGCAGGGGTTATTTTAGTTCCATTTAATGAACGATTCTTGGTCTTGTCTCGGCGTGATTTTGGTAAATAACGTCCGCTCCTTTGTTGAGTTTCCTAGTTGTTCTCTAATGCTTTCCACTTGACCCTCAACCCAGCAATGTGGTGTCTTAACAATATCCCTTTTCTGTATATGACAAACTGGAGTCGAATTAAAAGGATCGTTTCTCCTACTGTCAGTACCTCTGAGTAGTTCCAAACATAATCCATCAATATATCTAGTGGATCTTTTCCCCAAATGTGGTGCGGAGTACGGTTTTTATCTCCTTGTTAGCATATAAAAAGTTGTTTTACTGTACTATATAGCCCAAAAACAAGAATCACCGCTAAAGCTCAATGCAAATTCAAGCATGAGGTCATGATCAGCAGTTGAAAGTCACGTCTTAGAGTCACGAAGACTTACATTGGTGCATCTATTTTTCTTTCTTTGTTTCTCCGCACCATTTTACAGGGATGCATGCTTCCCTCTAGATGCGTTCCAGTAAAACTTGAGATCCTTAGCGGAGTTAAATAAACCTCCAATCATTGAATCGGCTCAAATAAGATCTACAATTTGCGGGGAAACATGAATTCGTATAAGTAAAAGAGAGACATCTGGGATGAAGACGTAGTATCATTAGTTATTTCAGAGCTTAACATAGAGAGACATATTGCCTCTACTCTGGTTATGAAAGCTCACACTCTTTTAGCCGTTCTGGGGACATTCCTTTGCAACAGCGGTTCCAAGAAGCCATGGGGCACTCTTGCAGCTCCATCACCCTTTGACTCTAACGCCGGCAGAGAAAAAATAAGTATCAATGACGATTGGAAATTCAAGCGCTACCCTGTCAATCCTGATGGTATCATCTATGATCATCGTCCAGATCTACAAAATCTGACAGATGTCACCGTGCTACGACCATGGATATTGCCAACCGGCAATGACTACATTGTTAACCCAAAAGACCGTCATCCTCAACCGACCAGTCCTCCTCCAAAGGAGGACGTGCCGTTCATCCAAAAGTCCTTCAACGACTTATTCTGGGAAACAATCAAGCTTCCTCACGATTGGGGGGTCAAAGGGCCGTTCTATACTGACGAGAGCCCACCAGTAGGGGGTGGAATGGGCCGGCTTCCTGTTCAAGGAGTAGGCTGGTATCGAAAAAGTCTACATGTCAGTAACGAGGACAAAGGGAAGACAATTTATCTCGACATCGATGGAGCCATGTCCTACGCCATGGTGTGGCTCAATGGACGCCTCGTGGGTGGCTGGCCCTACGGCTACAATTCCTTCCGGCTCGACTTGACACCCTTCCTCCGATATGGCAAGGACAACCAACTGGCAATCCGTCTGGATAATCCATTAGATTCTGCACGATGGTATCCAGGGGCTGGCCTATATCGCAACGTCTGGTTGACTAAGGTCAATAGTATCCATGTCGGGTACCAAGGAACCTATGTTACAACTACCAAGGTTTCTACAGACGAGGCTACTATGGATCTGAATATCACCCTGATTAACCGCAGTAGCAAGAAACAGTCTCTGAAGGTCAAGACAGAAGTATTTCACAGGTCACGTACAGGTGGAGTTGGTGACAAGACTGGGAAAACAAAAGTAAAATCGACAACTATCCTCCCAATGAAGCAAACGGGACTCGCAGTTGCTCTTCAAATCCCCCATCCTCGCCTTTGGGGACCGCCACCTACTCAAAAACCGAATCTCTATATCGCAATGACGCAACTTATTGTGAACGAGAAAGTGGTGGACTCATATGTGACCGAGTTCGGTATCCGTACTCTTGAGTTCAAACCTGACAAGGGATTTTTCATCAATGGCGAGCACATCAAAATTCAGGGTGTTAATGAGCATCATGACCTTGGATCCCTGGGCGCTGCCTTCAGCACACGAGCTGCTGAGAGGAAATTAGAAATTCTTCGAGATCTCGGAGTTAATAGTCTCAGGATGTCGCACAATCCACCCGCCACAGAGTTCCTCCAACTCACAGACAGGATGGGATTCCTCGTTGTTGACGAGATTTTTGACTCATGGCAACGTAATAAGACGTCTGGTGATTTCCATCTCATCTTCGATGACTGGCATGAGCAGGACGCACGCAGCTTTGTTCGACGGGACAGAAACCACGCTTCTATTATAGCATGGAGCTTCGGTAACGAAGTTGGTGAACAGTACACAGATAAAGAAGGCGCTGCTTTAGGGAAGCATCTTTCAAACATAATCGCCTCTGAGGATCCAACGCGACCTACAACAGCCTCCATGAACTACGCAAAACCGAACATGCCCTTTGGTGGCTCTATGGATCTTTTGTCGATTAACTATCAAGGTTCCAGAATTCGAGACACTTCCAACTACTCTAATCAACAGGGAATTCGTACTCATCCCCTTTATCCAGAGTTTCACGAGGCCTTTCCAGACAAGGTTATAATTGGCAGTGAAACAGCGTCCACCCTCAGTACGCGTGGCACTTTCATCTTTCCGGTGGATGCTGGTAATACTGGCGCACCCGTCAACGATACATCGGGCGGCAACTCGACGCTAGGCTATGTCAGCGCTTATGAACTTTACACTGCGAACTTTGGATCACCCCCCGACAAAGTCTGGGTGAATGACGATAAAAATCCATACGTTGCTGGCGAATTTGTGTGGACAGGGTTCGACTACATCGGTGAGCCGACTCCCTACTATAGCGCACGCAGCTCGTACTGTGGTATCGTCGACCTTGCTGGCTTCAAAAAGGACCGGTACTACCTCTATCAGTCTCGCTGGAGGCCCGAAGTCCGGACGGCACATATCCTTCCTCACTGGAACTGGCCCGATCGGCGAGGCAAAATAACGCCTGTCCATGTTTTTTCACCGGCAGATGAGGCAGAGCTATTTTTGAATGGAAAATCACAGGGGAAAAGAGTCAGGGGCGATTTTGAATATCGTTTTCGTTGGGATGATGTCGTGTACCAGCCTGGGGAGCTTCGTGTGAAAACTTGGAAAGACGGAAAGACATGGGCGACAGAGACTATCAGAACCACTGGTAAGGCATCAAAACTCAAACTTACAGTGGACCGCCCAAAAATTGATAACGGCGGCGAGGACTTGGCTTTCATTACGGCTGAAGTTCTGGATAAAGATGGAAGGGTCGTACCGACAGCTGCGAACAGTGTTTCCTTTAGTCTGAAAGGGCCCGGTGAAATCGTTAGCACAGATAACGGTGACCCTACTGATCTGACAGTGTTTCAATCGCCAACACGGAAAGCACTGAGTGGTTTGGTATTGGCGATTGTGCGAGGGGATAAAGGTGGGCGTGGAGTACTAGAGCTGGAAGCAAAGTCTGATGGCTTAGAATCAGCAACAGTAAGAGTTTATATAGGATAAAGGAGGGTACACTTTCGGTTCATTTTTTATTTCATGTTCCTGAATTTGATATGCAGAGAAGCTAGAAAGGTAGGAAATGAGTGTATACAAATATAGGAATCAATTTTCACCAACTGACTCGAGGGACTAAACCTACTATAAATGGAATTCAGGAAGATGTTCAGACAGGTGACTGTAGTCATGCTGTTGTCGAGACAGCGGACCTCATGTAATGAGTAGGACTGCTTGGTAGAAATGCCTCATGATGTTAAACAGTGCCTAAAGCCTGCTGCTCCTACTCGTATTTGACCAGCAGAATCTCCCCGATATATCGTTCTGAACACCTAAGTCGAATCTGCAAGTGTTTAGTATCCACACAGTGCAGTGGTGAGGTTCGAGGAGAATTGGAGGTGTGATCATGACAGAAGGTATTGGTGTTACAAGATGCTGCTTCTAAGATGCTAGTTAGCAGTATTAGGGTATAGGAAGACCTAGCAAGTACAAACGCAAGCAGTATTGTTTCAAATGACAGAAAAGGATTCTTATATGCAACGTCTTTCAGTCGAATCCCAAAGCTATCTAATACTCATAATTGTCAATAGTGAGGTTGATCCACAATCATGGTTTATTAACTGAATGGATCGCATGAACGAAGTTAATCTCAAATCAGAGATAAACATATCAGTCGTCATCTCGTCTTGTTCTCTTCTGGTTCCCTCCTGATCCATAAGATCTCCGCTTCTTCGAACTCCTACTTCCAAGCAAAGACCATACTTGCAAGTCCAAAGGCAAAACCCCATCATCAGCGTTTCTCCTAAGAAATTCCAAAATATCAGATAAAGGAATAGAATCCGTTCCGCAATAAACAGAAATTGCTCTTCCAAAAGCTACTTCGTCGATCAAGTCTGAGCGCTCAAACCAGGAGCGTCTCAATAACTGCGTGATGCAAGACTTTTCCTTACTGGAGAGGGTTGGACTTCCTGACTCAGAAATTGGTGAACCATCGTCAGACATGGTGTGATCCGGAGACCTTTGCTTATTGTTTAAAAGAAACGAAATGATGACTTGTCGACCAAGTTGAGTTTCGTTGTCCGAAACTCCGACCCAAGCCACGACAGAGTGAGCACGGCGATAAATTTGTCCTTTCATCTCAGAACAACTGCTCTTTTCTCCATCGTTGGTCTGGTCAATGCAAATGGCTTCAATCCACATTGGTCTTCCAACGCGAACAACCTCGGGGACAGGAATGAGTTCTCTAGCCTCTGGAGGTTGATGCATCTTGTAAGCTATCTCCTCAACTTGGTTCCATTGTTTAGAGCCCATGTGTGGGAAATAGTCGAGTGGGGTACGACCATGTGAATCAATTACATCCATGCTAGCGCCATAGTCAAGTAAGATACTGACAATCTCAAAATGACCATTCTCGGCTGCGTGATGAATTGCAGTCTTTCCAAAACAATCCTGGGCATGGACGTGAGCTCCCTCCTGAAGCAACTCGCGCACTTTGGGTAAATGATTATACTCGATAGCGCGGATCAATTCAGTCTCGCCAAACACATCGTCGCGATGACCAATAGGATCATTGACACTCTTGGCCATCTGCAGTGCTTCGTAGATGTTTCTCGTGACAAATATAATCTTTCCATTGACAGCGATGGGGTAGCGATGCATAGATCCATATGCGTCAATGTCACCTGGGTGAGCACTGTTTGGGTTTCCCCATGTTGAAGAGATCAAATCGAATTGAGGGGCAGAGTCGATTTCGAATGTCTCTAAAACATATTCGAGCAGGGGTTCACCTAAGATTGAAGGTGGTGAGAGTTGGCGGGGTCTTCGAATGCATGAAAGAAGGCGAATTGAAGATTCAGATGGGAGGTCTGTGTAGGTAAAGTTGGCGAACTCAAGTGCCGGAGGTTGATGATTGAATGCAGCCATTGTGATTTGATATATTGTCTGATTGTGATTTCTAGAACACACTGCCTCAACCCAATTCTTATATCTTTATGTTTATGATCCTATTCCTCTCAAATTGTCTTGTGTGCCTATTTTGATGCAGGCGATGAGTGCTCTGCCTAACACAGCCCCTCTAAGTGGATACGTCCTCGCTGTCAACTCCTTCGGACTATAAGTTGGTTGCCTCCCCAGCCTCTCGAAACATCGTCACGTTGGAACTTTGGTCAACCCTTGGATCGATTTCATGTGTTGGCATACCAAGATATTTACCCAATTTCTCCAATTGGCTGGGTCGCATTTTATTTCTGTCGGTTATCTCATTCATCAGGCAACCAAACGGCAAACTCCACGATCCTACGGGCCTCACTGTAACATCCCTGTAAGTCTCGCCAACCCAAAACGCAAGATCAGATTTATACTTCTTGACAATAACGTACTTGAATTGTTCTGGCGACATGTAATTCGCCCTTATTCCCTTCAATACAGCCTCAGCAATTCATGAAAGGGGTCTCCAGAAGCCGATTTCAGTTAACAAAAACCCTCCGGCGTAAATGTCGTGAATTCTTTGGTAACGCGGCTTGCTTTCCACTGTCTTGCTGGATCCTGATTTAAGTCGTTTCCGTATGTTGAGATGGAGGTAGATAGCTTCATGTTCTTTTACAGAAGCAAGGATTGGCAGCCCAGTTGGTAAGTGTGGTCGACATCCAACACGTGGTTTCAGTCGATAGCATAAACTGTTACCAGAACGACTAATATTTTTCAATTCCCCATCGATAGTTATAAGCAAACTTTCGCCTGCCGGTTATTAAATAAACTATCGTCAAATATCTTTCCACCATATTTTATCATTCCTCAATCACAACTTCTGAATACATAACAATACGCTAGAAGGGGTGCAAGATATGGGACGACTTAACAGACTCAATCGCCCGTACAATGTTATTGAAAATGACAAGATATGAAAGCCTGCCTTAATCAATGCCTTGGCTGTTCCTTCGGAGTACGTCTCGTGCCAGTTCTCAAATAAGAGATAGACACGACAATGATGAGAAGAGGAATTAAGGTTCCGAATTCGCCAATGACTAGAATTAAGTATGTTAGAATCACTCCAGATACAATATAAGCCCATTCCAAACTTACTCATTTTGGTACGAAGCCAATTTGAAGGGATCCGGAGTTCGCCTTCATCGTTGTGTGGGAAGCCGTCCGAGTTCACAGCAAACAGGCTTGTCATGAATGACAGGGGTGTCTATCAAAACTGAGTCAGGTGTTGCTTCAAGGATGTGGATACTATCGGTGGAGAACTCACAAAGACGACAGTTACAACTGTAAATGGAAGAATGATAAAGTTCATGAGACGTGCCGATTCGGCTTCTTTGAGTGACGCTTGGGCTAGCATTGCCTGGGTGATATTGCTGAGCTGTTCAAGGCACATTAGATTAGCAAGATCGAACATATGATGAACCTAATTCAACTTACACCATCGATTGTCGTGGCAGCATCTTCGTCTATCCGTTTGATTCGTTCTCTTAAGGCAACCAAGCCAGACTCTCGAACCAGAGCAGCTTCTTGTTTATCAAATGACATGCCCTTGTCAGTGGCAATAACAGTGGCGAATTCTTTGAGAACATCCAATTGTTGCGTAAAGACTTTGTCGACGAGGCGAAGTTCTCCACGAATATCTTTGACACGCCAAGTACACCCTGCCGCTTCACTGATGGCTTTGTTGACATATTCAGAGTTCCAGTCTTTTCTAGTGAAGCTGTTGAAGAAACCAGCCTCTCGGTCCATCTATACGAAATAGTTGTGTTGTCAGTAGTGTGATCCTCTAATGCGCTTAGTCTGGAACGTACCTCAGAAGCAAGTTCGTTTTCGAAGATATCAAGGATGTGTTCCCCAAGCCCGGCTAGCCTGAACCTTTCTGTAAAAGTAACTGTTTGCTGCACAATGTGCTTCATGAGATCATCTGCTGTAGATACCTCATTCAGTTCACTGTGTCGGATAGTTTCCAACAAATCATCTGCCATGCACATGTTTTCTCGAGACGGTATTGCAGTAAGAATGGTACCTAATATATAACGCTTATTAGGCAAGGGCCCATTGACGAGGAACGAAACATCGCTTACCATCGTGGAGCTTCCATAGCCAAAGCTGTCGAACCATCAGCCATCTCGGGCGGACTTCCTGCTGAATACTTCGCATTCTAGTTGCGTTTCCCGTACCCTCACCTTTAAAGATATCCCCAACATAGTCTGAAGAAGCGGTACGCGGATCAGGTCCCTCGCGGAGTCGATTCCTTGGCCAATATTTGAATCGGGACCCAGAACTGGTACGCGGAGCCTCTAAGGGTTCGTGTTTCTCTGAAATCTTATCACGCCGTGCCGCTGCTTGTTTTTCAGACCATCTGTAAATCACTTGATTCTCTTTTGATCGAAGCCCTGTCAGACCCTCCGTGTTGTTGAACGTCTGGTCCAGAGTTTGTGGCATTTGAACTCCACCTATCCTCGTGAGAGGAAAATATGCGTCTTCACCGCAAGTTGTGTGTTGTAGATGAGAGGCCGTCGCTTCTATGTCCAAGAATGGAATCTGGATATAGTCATTTCAACAAGTCGCCATATACTAGTAGCCATGGTCTTACCACTATAGATACCATTGACCCTGCCTGCGACATAATACTAGAGTCCTCCGAGTGTGCGTTCGGTCCGTGGTTTCCCATTTTCTGTTGTTTAATTAATACCGATATCGATGTATAGACTTTACGTAGCTACCTTAGCATGTGCAGCTCTTATACGAGACCTGCTTTCTTTTGCGTCGCGGACTTTGATGTTGTCTTGAAAGAATTCCCAGATTGCCCTCTTTGCACCAGGGCTCGTCAACTCATCAACGTGGTCCAAAATGAAATCCTGAATATGGAAGACTGATTAGCAAAGCAATTCACCGGAAGTCGCAGGGCCTTTCCGGCAAAGCCGTATTTCACCGCTACAGAAAAAGGTAGCAATGAAAATAAAGCCAGAGTTCATGCTATAGTTCAGACCACCTACTTTGATCCATGTCATCTAAAAAGAAGGTTTTAATCAGATAGATTCAAAAGACTGAGTACTCGGTATGATCTTACATTAGTGGCAGGGAAGTTCACCCATCTCCATGTATCATCATCGACCTGCGTATCTTCGTGAGTTGCTCCTCTACGCGATACAGGCATGATCTCCAATTGACTTTGAATGTCTTCCCAAACGCTTGCGGCTTTTATCTCGCAGTCGTCAAGGAACGTGACGCCCCGTCGTGAACTGTTCAAATATAAAACGTCAGAAACGTATTGATCCGTTCCTACCCAATTCCAGAATAGGTGATTTTCTTTGTCTGTGAATTTGGTATTCCTTTGAAACCTGCAGTAAACGGGAGACTTCTTGCAAATTTGCATTTGCCTTTTAGAAATCTTTCCATCCCTCGGTGGTAGTTTGAAAGGTTTTTCATGCGTAGAGAAACCTGTCCGAGCTAGTATTTCCAGGTCCCTAGAAAAAGTTCCATTGTGATCGGAGGTCTCCAAATATGCTCGGGGCGTTCTCCCGTCACTGTCAAGGGCTTCCAAATCTGCGCCTTCCTTAACCAACAACAGAATGGCCTGATGATCTTGTTTTTCGCACGCTAGGTGAAGAGGTGAACGACCTATAAAGCTTCAATTAGATGATGATATATTTAGAGCAGGAGTTCTTGTACTGGGGCAGCCAAGTCTTGATTAATCCTTGATGGGACCTACCGAAAATGTCCTTGCTGTTCACTTCGGCTCCGTTCAAGAGAAATTCTTGTAGTAGCGGAATGATATCAAGGTCGTAGTTACTCGAACCAACAAGTAAATGAAGAGGTGTCTGAAATGCGTAGTTCAGCGCGTCGACATTGGCACCATGCTCCAATAGCGACTTAACCATTCCGAGTACCATATGCGACTCTTCGGGGTTTTCCTGTGGTTTGCATTTTACATAGATCGTGATTAAAGTGTGTAACGGAGTTTCTGAATAAATGTTGCCAACTTCGATGCATCCAAGAGGCGATGCTGAAGAGTTGGTTTCAAGGATGGAGTCTACAAATCGCTGGTTTCTTATTGAAACTGCCCCATGGAGCACGGTTCGTTGAAAAAAGCCGTTTTGTGTCCTTAAGTCGATATTGGTATTTCCCAACAAGTAATCGACATCTGACGCGTGGTTCCGATAGATGCATACCCATAGAATCGAGAATACGCCTTCGTCGCCATCGAAGAAACGTTGAAATTGCCGTATTTCCTTCTGAGTAGGTTGTCGAGACGTATTTGCTAACTGATCCCTAATATCCTTCATGTGAGACTCGATCCGGTCCAGAGAGGAGATATTTTGTAGGGTATCGGTGTATTTTCTGTCACTGAGATCGTAATCCTTGGCGACAGCTCTTGCAATATCAGGTTTGACATATCCTTCGACGCCTCTTTGAACACCCCCTTCTACGCCCAACATATCATGGCGTATTCCTGCTTCCGAGTCCAAATAGAATATTTCCTCGAATTCTTCAAGGAGTTTTTTGATTTCACCCTCTTCCTGCCAAATGGCAGCGTTCCAGATTTTATCTTCTTTGTTGGAAACAAGCCGTTTCAAAACAGAAGCTTGCCGGTGTTGCCTATATATTGAAAGATTTGGTTTGATGAACCTATACCAATAAGACATGAGATAAGCTCTGAGCCAAATTAGTATCATATCTGCAAAGATAGAGAGATAAGGATTATCGAAAATGGAAATAATAAACGTGAGTTAGGTCTGAATTTAAATTAGTGACTAGTTATAGACTTTAAACACTTTTCTGTCCTGATTGATAATGCGACACATGCCTTCTCGCGTAAATCAATATGGCGTCAGTCATTACGCGTGATATGACATGCATTGTTGCGGGGCCTTTTGTTATTTCTGTACGAACAGCCTGCAAAGGTCATCACAACTTGGCTATCTGTGAGCCTATTGATGCGCGTAAATTAAGCCACAGCGGGATATTTCGCATCTTGTAATGAGCATTCCGCCTGATGTTGAACATGATTGGCTAGTTCTGCTCGTCTGTGGCAGGCCTCAATTTTGATCCTGGTTGATATGACACTCATCTTGTCAGCCTCCGGTATAGGTACGTGCACGGAGCTGGAACGGGCCGTCGGCTGAACATTTACATTGCATAGATGCATGTGGAGTATCTCGACTTACGAGAATAAACAATATTCCAGTCGCTAACCAATGACAGCAGGAAAGACCCATAATATGGTTCTGTGCCTTGCTAAAGCAAGATTATCAAGATAAACGGATCGCAATCCTTGCTCCGGCTCTCGGTCTCCTAACGTTATCTGACGTGAGCCAAGAGAATAAACAACTCAGCTAGATGACTTTTGAGTAAGAGTGAGACGATGGTCGTCAAGAGCTAAAACACAGCATCACTTTTCAGCCCAGCTGAGCCTCGTTTGCTCCACTACCCGCCCCATAAGTAATAATCAGATCTGGGTTCTGCGGGACATCGTCGTCGTGCCTGGGATTGAAGGATTCAATCCTTTCAATTGTGATGTCACTGACTCAATTGATGGATCGGTTCCGTAACGAGGGGAACAGGAATTTGTATGCTCTTGAGCGACATAAATATGGCCTCTTCTCCCTCATAACGTCGATTTATTAAAAAGCATCATCAATCAACATCATCACATCCCGAATCTTCAAAACGTCAATCAAAATGCATTCCGCCTGGGTACGCCATACCACCATTTGTCCCCAACTGCCATAGCCAGCTAACAATCATAGACTCTCTTCACTCTCCTCCTTGCCTCCGCTGCACCAGCCCTAGCCGGCAAGTGCGCCGAGCCACGCGACGTCGGTGAAAACCCCAACTGCTTGGGAGGTTCCTACATGGAGTGTGTTTCCAGAAACAACGCTCTTTGCACAGGCGAATGCTTCAATCAGCCTGCCGGAGGTGCTGGTGCTCAATGCCACACAAGTTGCACTACCAGAAACCAGCAATACTGCTCTGGCTACTGTATGAAGATCAGCAACTGTGACGAGTGCAAGGAGAGTCTCGTAAAGATGGGAGGTGTTGACGACGATAAGGTGAACGAGGATACTTGCAGCCAAGAAGGTAAGTTTTGATTGGTCATGAATTTTATGGTTTCGCGGTTACTGATTCTGATACAGGAGACTCTTACTATTGCAACTGCGACGCTTAGGTACGCGATTAACGCGCTTCGATATATATTAATCCGTTCAATTGACAACATTTACTTATTCTGCAACTGAAGTCGATGACATTCCATGCTGTGTTTCCTCACAACTTTGACTGCAACCACTTCAAATCCCTCCCACTTGTGACATCTGCACGAATTTCCTCCCTCGATCTTTCAACATCTTTCCTCACAAGATCAGCATACAGTTGCTGAATCCTCTCCGTGACAGGTCCTCTCTTCCCATCCCCAATGACTCTTCCATCAACCTCCGTCACATGAATCTGCGAAGGAAACGTGCCAGTGCAAAATGCCTCATCCGCACCATAAACTTCCGTGAGTGTAAAATCCAACTCTTTGACAGTAATTCCATTCGCGCGACAAACATCGATCGTCTTTTGTCGCGTAATTCCCTGCATCTGATTATACTTCGTCGGCGCCCAAATCTCATCACCCCTCACGATAAAGAAATTAACAGAGTTACAAGTCTTGACAAAGCCGCGAAGATCAAGCATAAGTGCCTCGTCAACATTCATGACATTGGCGTGGATACAAGCCTGGACATCTGTTGCTTTCGAAATGTGATTCCACTGTTCGTCTTTGACGTCTGGTGGTCCGCGACGAACCCACGTTGTCGCCAATCGCAAACCGCGATATTTGGAGTTGGGATCGACGGCTTTGGACTCGGGGATGATGACGATTAATGGAAGACCAATGTTGACGCTGGGATTTTGGTAAGGCGTTGATTTAAGACCGCGACTAACGACGAGACGGATATGTACGTGTTCATCTTGGTCCATATCATTTGCGTCAAGAGTTTGGTGGATCAAGTCGAGAAGGTCACCTTTTGAGAGACCTAGATCCATGAGCATTGCCTTTGCTGATTGGAAGAGGCGGTTTATGTGTTCTCGTGCGAATTGCAGGCGGCCTTTGTTGGCGCGTATGCCCTCCTTTGGGATTGTTAGAGACGCGTAGATGAGTCGATTGGTTGGCCACATACCCAAATGCCATCGCCGATAAGGAAGTTTGAGTCAAAGACTGAGACAACTGCTTCTGGTCGAGGAACTAGATTAAAGTCTCCAGTGACACCATCGCGAATGCCGACCTTCAACAATAAGTTAATGTGTGTCTCGAATGTGTGACACAATGAAACTCACCAGAATAGACGCATTCTTCGCGTTAGGCACTGAACTGTGCGTCGAGCCACCGTGGCTGTCCTTCTTATCTGACCCGCTCATGATATAGACTGTTTTTCCCCCGTATTATTCGAAATATGTATTCGGAATTGCGAGTAAATCTAGAGGAATGTCTTTATATCAGTCACAACAAACAATTAGGGAAATGACAAACAGCGTTACTTTGATTACCATATAATTTCACTGACTCGGTCTCCACTGATGGAACCATTCGCCTTTGACCCAGGCTACTAACTCTCTAGTGCCAAACGACAGGCTTTGTCCCACTCTAGATGACACTGTTACCATCTCTAGACCCTATCATCAACGTTGGCTTGGCAAATTTCTCCACGCTAGATTGACGTGATCGCAAGGTTGACTACTCGCCATCTACTGTGGATACGCGTTCTTCAACATTTCCATGATAACTCTCTTCTATTTCCCCTATCGTCGATAAGAAAGAGGAACCGTTACCTCAAAGTAGAATAGTTTCTCCTTGAGACTCCATTCGTTAGACTCAATGGTAACCAACTGAATCGATGCATCATGAAAAACTTATGCGAACTCCCCGTTGACCCACTCAATTCGGGGAATCTTTTAACTAATCTCATGGTATGGTAGATCTTTAAAGATGACCTACTTGGCACCTTGGAATTGGTTTGAGCCTCTTTACTTCACTCACCTTTTGACTTTGTCTTTTGCTGTCTTTGCGTATTAAATCATGTCGTCGTCGCAAGGAAAAGGCGATAAAAATCCTGTCAAGGACACACCCCAGTCCATTGGCTCCACTCAGGATGAACTCCCCGAATTGACCAAAGCCCAGGCAAAGCGTCTTCTCCTGAAGACGGACCTGGTTGTCATGCCTCTGGCAATTCTCAGCATGACTCTCGCTTATCTGGACAAGGTGATACCAAAATCCTTACTTTCAATAGCCGCCCTACTAACCCATTGAAGAACGCATTGGGATACGCCGCCATCTTCGGTATGAAAGAAGACGCCAACCTCAAAGCCCAAGACTACAGTTGGCTCGGCAGTATTTTCTACTTCGGATACCTTGCAATGGAATTTCCTAGTCTTTGGCTCATGACAAAGATCCCTATCGGAAAATACGTCGGTACTTGTCTTGTTCTTTGGGGTGCTTTATTGTGTTTCTTAGCTCTCTGCCACAATTTTGCCGGTCTAGCGACGATTCGGTTCCTTCTCGGTGTTTTCGAAGCTGCGGTTCTACCTTGCATGATGATCATCAACTCTATGTGGTATCTCCGAAATGAGCAACCTCTTCGTACGGCGTTCTGGAATAACACCTTTGCTGGTGTTTTCGGTGGTATTTTATCTTATGCCATTGGAAAGATTGATGGAACGCTTTCAACATGGAAGGTCAGTCTTGGAACATCGCTGCGGTTACGAATTACTGTCCCCAAATGCTAATAAGCCTCACAGTACATCTTCCTCATTTATGGAGCTTGCACCGTCTTCCTTGGTGTCCTCGTCTTCTTCGCTCTACCCGACACTCCATCCCAAGCATGGTTCTTCACTGCTGAGGAAAAGAAACTCGCCATTATTCGCCTCGCCCCGAATCAGACTGGTGTCGAATCGAACAAGGGCTTCAAGACATACCAAATTCTCGAATGCCTTCGCGATCCCAAATGTTACTGCATCTGGCTCGGTGCTTTAGGTTACGCCGTCACCAATGCAGGCGTCACAAACTTCAACCCACTGATCATCGCTGGATACGGATTTTCGAAAACCAAGACTGTTCTCATGGCCACCCCCCAAGCCGCCGTTGCCATGATCAGTCAGGCCCTTCTCACAACCATTTCTCTCTACGTACCCAACCTTCGATGTATCTTCTGGATTGGAGGTGCTCTGTTGGGTATGGTCGGAGCTATTATGGTGCACTCTCTTGATGTCGAGACGCAAAGAAATGCTTCTTTGGCTGGTGTTTACATGATGGGCTTTTATAACGTGCCCTTCATTTTCTTGCTTAGTTTGTCTTCATCCAATACTGCTGGTGCTACTAAGAAGAGTTTCATGGGCATGTCTATCGCCATCATGTACGGTATGTATCGTTTATTTGCCAGAGCCAACAACCTTATACTAACATGGATTTTACAGCTGTTGGTAACATTATCGGACCGCAATTCTTCCTCAGCACACAGGCACCAAAATACGTCCTTGGTATTGGCGCCATGCTTTGCGCCTTTGCCTTGATGGCTGCTGTTGGTCTTGTTTATTACTTCCTTTGCGTCATCGAGAACAAGAGGCGTGATAAGCAATTTGGAAAAACTCATGATGTAATTGATGCTGGATTGGAGGCGGAGAAGAGCGACAAGACAGATTTGGAAAACTCCAACTTCCGTTACACTTACTAAATCTCGGCAGATTAGTCTTGTCTGGCAGTTTGTGTTTATTTCAAAAAATACAGAAACTACAATATCTTGATTATTACATACTCGCACGAGTGAGATCATCGATTTGCGGGAATATCCGAAACTTTATTTCATGACCAATTATTATCCCTATCTTATATCCTCCTGTATATATAGCATGGCAACTGCAAGTTGCACCTGAAACCAAAGCTTAAACGCTCTCGCGCTCATCAGCTAGAGCCTGAGCCTTCTCATCACTGATCTTAGATCCCTCAGCGTTGCGTCGGAACTCGTCCTCCTGGAGTCTCAATTCCTCAGAGAGCTGGCTGTGAGCCTTCCACACAGGTTTGATCTCAAAGAGACGATCCATGGTATCAAGAGGCAGACCCTTAGTCTCAGGGATAAAGAAGAAAACAAAGATGGACGAGAGAATCATAAGCGAGGCGAAGAAGAAATAGACACCGTAGCCCATCTTGATGAACATCTGGGGTGTGAATCGAGAAACGATGAAATTCCAGAACCAGTTGTTGGCTGCCGCGGAAGCTTGACCGATAGATCTGCGACATGTTAGTAATTGTGTCATATATGTTGGGTTCAGTAAGTTACATACCTGGACTTTTCGTTGAACATCTCAGAGTTAAGAACCCAAGGAATGGGGTTCCATGTGGGGGAGTAAAAGACGGTCCAAAGATAGAAAAAGAAGACAGCGGCAATACCACCGCCAGACATGCCAGGAGCCTCAGTGCCAGCGGCAGCGGCAGCAGCCACCTTACCAGCTGGGTCCGCAACCTTGATGTAAGCTCCAATGAACCACATGCAAAGAGAACCACCAACTGAACCAATAATCAACAGCTTTCTGCGTCCAACTGTCTCAATAAGGAAGAGAATAAAGATAATAGTAATAGTCGTCTTGACTACACCGAAGATACCAGTGGTGAGGAATCCAGTGTTGGTTCCTGTGATTCCGATACTCTTGAACACAGTAGGGCTGTAGTAGTTGATGGCGTTGATACCTGAACCGTTCTGCCAGAGGAACATCATACCACCAAGGAAGAAACGCCATTGGATGTTGCGTTGCTTGAGGCAGGCGAATGGCTTCCAGAAACCGGGGCCGACTTCTCGGTTGTAGCGCTCAAGTTCCTGGTCCATGTAGCTGACTTCCTCAACAATGTAGAGATCATCAGCGGGCAACTGTCGCAACCAGCACAGGTTCTTCATGGCGTCTTCACGACGACCCTTGGCGAAGAGCCAGCGAGGAGATTCTTTGATCCAGAAGGCGCCGAAGAGCAGCATGCCGGCGGGGATAAGTTGGACGGCGAAGGGAATGATCCATTGCTTGTGGCTGGGGGCCATGGTCTCGGCAAGTCCATAGTTGATCCAGAAACCAACAAGACCACCAATTTGCCATCCCAGTTCGTAAATACCAACGAGTCGGCCGCGGATAGCAGGAGGAGAGAGCTCGGAGCAGTAGATGGGAACCATGTTGGAACAAGCGCCGACTCCAACTCCAGCAAGAACACGTCCACCAATGATAAGTCCCAGGCCTCTCTCCGCATTAGCGCCAAGCATCAGGCCAGCACCGAGCATAAAGACGAAGCTGAAAGCGATAAGAGAGTAACGTCGGCCGATGAAATAGGATGTGACGTAGGCGAACAAACTGCCGAAGAAGGCACCGGCCTGGTAAACAGACACGATGTTGGCTTTGAGGAGAGCAAGGGCATCGGGTTCGTAGGAGGCGAAATCGAATTCCTCGGTGAAGGATGGAAGGGCGATTGTGGTGCCGATAAAGGCAGAGTCATAACCGATCATGCATGACGCGAAAGAGGCGATAGCAGCACAAGTGTAAACACGCCAATTGTAGACCGCCTTGGGAGTAGGCCGATCCTCATTGACAGCAAAGATGTTATTGATGGTGAAACCCATGATTGATAGCAAGAGTGCCTTATCGAGCACAGTATCGAATCGAATCCCAGGGTTGTTGTTGGTTGTGAGTGAAGAGAGAACAAAAAGCAGGGGCAACTTCTCCGCATATATATATAGAGATGGGAACTGCAGAAATTACCGCGCTTAAAGGTTTACCCCATATTTTCAAAAGAATTTTCCCACTAGCGCCAACTTTGCGAGCATGGCAAGTCATGCGTGGTCTTGGAAGTTGAGCTAAAGTGAGTTAGAGCAACGCTAGCAGGATCTGGATCCCTTCAACCCCGCATACCCAGGCTGGGGTAAAATGAGGGGGACCTTTCTAGTTGGAACAGAATTCAATAGACAAGGAGAATATTCAGCTAGTAGGCTTGCGGGGGGTTAAAGCTTTATCCCTGCGCCGAGCTTAATGGTTCTCCCCAGAGTCATCGTCATCCAAGACCATCAACACGGAGCAGAACAGGCTTGGTATGGTTTTTGGCGTTGAACTATTCATTTCAATATTTTGTAGACATCGGAGTTTTCTCGCCATGATTATTGTTTAGGAAGTACAGTATTGTTTCGGTAGACTGCCGTCGCGTTTCTCAAATGTTGGTGATCAATTGCGCGACGCGTCTGGGACTGTGAATGAGTTCGTGATTGATGTTATTCAGCAGAGGCCATAGCTGCACATGGAATCACACTCAAGGACTTGGAAAGTTCTGACTCGCCAGGCAATATTAAGAACAATGCTGAATAACATGATAATCTCAATTTGAATACGGGCAGTTCTTCAATGTTAATTGAACGGACGTGACAAGTACGGGAGAGCCAGCTGATTAACGCAGAAATCTCGAGATTCATCATGTATATATGCAGACTCAAGTCTTCACTGCAGGAAACTCACAACAAAGCAACAACCAGCACTCACTATCAACTACACACGACATCAAATACAGTAAGAAACATCTAACCAACGACTAACAGACCGTCATCATGGATCCATGGGCCGAAGCCAACCCACAAGACCGATACTGCTTCGTATGCGGTCATGTCAACAGAGACAGAGAACGCCTTTTAATGCACAAAGCATGCGTCGATGCCGGAATACAAGTGCAAACCGGATTTTGCTACCGTTGCGGCAATTCTTCCATGTCTGCAATCGATCTTTTCTGTCCTGATTGTGGACCGGATTGTCTGCCAATTAACGAAACAGTAATGTTAGTAGCCATAGGCGCTTGCGAAGCATGCGAACAGAGGCAGCGTAGTCCTGGCAGTACCAAGTGCCAAGAATGCTTAAGCCGAAGCCTGCCTACTCGGCCACAACAGATGGCAGGAGACCCATGCACCACCTGTAGGTCCAGGCCGGCTGAGCACGGTTTTAGAACGTGTCAAAGATGTTTAGGGTACCATCGAGCATCAAGAGACAGGGCACTAGCTAGAGCCGACGCAACTGGCTTGTGTATCAAATGCCACAGGAACCATTTTGAACGAGGAGGACGAGGACGAACTTGCGAGGAGTGTAAGGAAAGCGCGCGCCAACGCAGGGCCGGGGGAGGTTAGTAGCATAGGAGTACATTTTTCTAAATATCCTTTAGCATTGGTAGGGTGGGCCTTACCTGCTGGTTATTCCAACTCTTTCGCGCTTGAGCATTCTTTGCAGTGGTCGAGACCATCATTGGTACTGGGTTCTCAGGGTATCAGACAAATTTACCACTGGAAGCATAAGAGACGAAATTATTAGGTAACTTATGCTGTTTTTGCAAAAGGTTTTAGACTAATTATTTTTATACAATAAGATTTAGGATGCCAAGGTTTCTGCTACCCACTATCTAGACTGCCAGCGAAGCCTTGCTGTAGCAGCCATATCTCCCAGAATACACCAATGGGAAATCTACCATGGTGGTAATGGTGCTGATGTGACATGGTGTCCACCACTTGGAGCTGGTACGTCCTCATGTCCAGGGGTCAGCATGTTCAGAATCCACATTGCCAATACAATGCATGCGACACGAACTTTGGGCGCCGTAATCCGTTCATATCCAGGGACCTTTTCCAGCCACGCAAAAGAAGACGCAGATGCCTTTTCCTTTTCCTCAGAACTCTCCATGATCAAATCCACGATATAGACTGTTGACTTTGCCACAGAATTACTGACCCAGAGAAATAATGGTACAATAATCACCAGTGCCCTCCATCGGTCTCCCATTACAGTGCCGTCCCCAAAGAAACCATCGACAATCAAAACACCCTCCGTATCGGCTGCCATCAAAAGATGATACTGTAAGATATACGTCTCGAGAGAACATCGACCCAGCCAAGCCATGGCTCTTGAATGACAGTTCCGAATAGGCGCGGAAATATTCCGAAGTGCAATAAAAGCCAGTATCGGGATAAACGAGACCAGGGGGTGCCATGTCTTGTACACCTTTGTTCGAAGGTGTAAAGTTGCATTGAAGTAATACATCGTAGCAAATAAACCCGCGACAGCAAGGATGATTCGAAGACGAAGACGAAAACCGGTTTTCTTCATCTCGTTGTTTACCACAGCAGTCAACATGCCGACGTAAACGACGAACATGTCAAGAGTAACGCGATACTGCCACTCCTTGTGACTCCATTGGATGTTAAAAACCGTCTTGAGAAGACCAAAGACAAATTCGGTGAATGGAGTACCCATGAAAATTGCAGAGACTAACAAGCTCGATATGCAAATCTTGGATAACACGACCTTCTGGTCGCTGTTGTAACGTTTTCCACCAACAGACATTGTTGCATAGACAACAAGAAACCAGAACGAGACAAGAGGCGCAAAGTAGTAAAACATGTAGTCTGTATCCATGACATATGCTAGGCAACAACTAAGAAGATTGAGGCGCAACAGAACGGCCCCAACACGACGCAATGAGAAGTCGTTTTTCCTCAGAAAGTACAGTGTGTGTCCGTATCCAGTCTGGAACAGGTATGCTGCGACACACAATCTGATGAGGATGTAGATAGACTTTGATCCTTTGATGGCTCCGGTCCAGTGGTAGATGAGAATTAGGGCTTGCATCCAACCCTTCCATTCCTCTGTTTGCTGTCGCGAGAGAAAGGCCTCGTTTGTTTCATTAGTTGATAAAGAGGTTTCTATTCCCATTGGGATTGGAGATCGCGATCGACAGATAGTGAGTAGAATAATTGCAAGGCAAGGAGCGCAGAGAACGGCGAAGTCGATTGGTTGCCAGAGTTTTTCACCCTTGGCCATCATCTGTGTACGATCCGCGTAGTAACACATGAGAAGAGCCAAGAGAAATGACCCTACCCTCATATTGAAAACTCTCCATTGTGGCTCGCTTCGGTCATGGTACAGATCCAAAATCTCGCCCATAAGACAAGCAACCAGGTAAATAATACCCAAAGCCACCATACCGAGTTGAGTAACTGTTTTGATACCGTAGTCGGTGCAGCAAGTGCGTTTATACGGATATGATTTCATACGATCGAGCTTCGCATTGCACCTCAAATTCAAGATGATATTGCCCCGAGTGTCTGCAATTCCATGTTTAACATGTAGCCCCGTTTTATAACCATCGAGCCAAGTTTTGTTCTGGCCATACGTGAGCATTGGTATGGACCAAATAATTGGAAGTTTCCAATCCTGCTCGACTTCACGTAACCAGTCTCGCATCATGGCAGTCTCGCCTAATCGACGAATTGAGTCGATGATATGTACGGGATCATCTCCCAGGTACACAGGTCCAGCCGGAGGACCATAAAACATCTGATTTCCTAACCCATCAATTGGGTCCATCGGGGCGGTGAAGGGATCATTATCAGGTGTGTTGTCGTTAATGAAATCGAATATCCTGGACATGTACTCCTTGTATGTGCCGAAGCGAGTATCCCATGGAGAATTCAACATCTCCAGCATAAACGGACTGGCAGTAAGAGCAAATGACGAATTTGGCGAAATTACTGTTGTGCCTCCCGGTAGTGATGCATTCATTCTGGTGAACCAGACACCTCCAGCCATGTACATCAATGCAGGCGCTTCCTGCTTCTCAACGGATGGAGTGTTTTGTTTTTCATTCGCATACATTTCGAGATTGTGTCCAAATTGCTCCTGGCTAGCATTTTCTTTCCACTCGAGGAAGATATTAGGTAGTCGCTGGATCATTTGGCCGTAGTATGTCATGTTGAAAAACTGGGACTTGGGCATCTTGAGTTCCTTTCTATCGCGGTTGGAACGCTTCGCATCAAGCTGAAAAGGATTCGAATTAGTACTGAGCCGTATTCAGTTCTCATCCTCATTTTTCTTACCAGGCGACTAATTCCATGGCCGACGTTTCGAGATGTCGAGTCTCCAACAACAACTATTCGACGACCTTGCATACAGCGGCGGATATCCTCGGACTCGTACTTGTTCATGATGCATCCATCTGGTTGCCACTGTTGAAAAGGGTACCTGTTTCCTTCTTCGTCTGGTGGATCGATCCAGCGTCCAGTGCTTTGGATAGCTCGACAACGGTAAGGGTCATTTCCGGGGAAAAGTGTGTTAAAGCCAACAGCAAGTAAAAAAACCGCAGCTGGAGTCACCGAAATGACTCTGGCCCAAAACGAGCCCATATTCGCAGGATGAATGGGAATATGTTTACGAAGACTGCCGAGAAAGTCTAGATGAGACAAGAGAAAGAACAAACGGCGTAAAAGAAATTTCAGCTTCGAGAAAAATGAGAAACATTGAGAATCTAAGAGTTGGATAAAAGTTAACTCCTTAAATTACTTGTTGCATGTGAATTCCTTGCATAAACATGTCTTACTTGCAATGATACCATTCCAACTTGAGGCTAGGCAGCGCGTGAAGGGAGGACAAACAAAGGAGAAAAACGGAAAAGAAGGCGGAATACCGGGACTAGGTAGGTAAGCATAATGCCCAGTGCCTAGGGCCATGTCTAATAGGATGAAATAAGAAATGCAGGGATAGTTGTTCCATCCCTTGCAATTGACCCTTGTCTAGGCTTTTCGTTATCCTCCCTTATTTTGACTTCCCTACAAGGTTGCGTTGTCTCAAGTCATCATTTGACATGAGATACGACGACTAGACTGAATTCACGTTGAATGTCAGCTATGCAAGATGACCTCACTGACACACTGATGTACACCAAATTAAGCAAGCTGGGAAGAGGCTTTAACTAGGTGCAGTGATCTTTACTCCGTAGCCTCAATTGAGTAAATCAATTACCTTTTTCGGATTAATTTGTCTGATGCTCTATGTCAATGCGATACGCTCGGGCCCTTTCAGCTCAACCTTTACCCCCGATGAAGTCCTCTACGATGTATATAAACCGTATCATCTGCTTCGGAACCTATAACAACACGTTCATCTTTATACAACAGCTCCAGAATACCCCTTCTCAACATCAACTTATATACTTACTACTTCACTACTTTTGCCCAACATGGACTTCTTCCAAGAAGTTGACGGAGAACTCGTCACAGGCATCAATGTGCGTTTTCTCTAACACAACATTTTCATCTATTGGAGTTACTGGCCAGCTGAATATAGTGCCAACTCCCCGGCGGCTGTTCGGATGAGTTTAATCAAATGGGAGCAGACGAGGTGTGGGGTCAAGACGGCATGATCAAGGAACAATGTCTGATGCAAGACCTTGAGGGGGACATTAAGCCCCTTTTCTCTATCATTGAAATCAGGCCTACACACTTTTTCAAGGTCGGAGATGAGGGGATCTACGGCTTTAGCGAAAATACCGGAGAATTTTTCAAGACTAAAGACCCAGACAATGTAGTCGGCATTGTAGGGCGGCTCAAGGAGGCGGAACTCATGGTTGCGGCGTTACTTACTGAACCTATGTCATTATCGTTAGATTAGCTTACACTATCAAGGGTCTGCTGAAGACGTAAACACAGCCTATTTTGTCATTTATTTTCCCTTGTAATTGTGTCTTTCTTGTGTTTCGCTGGGATCTGACATATTCCACTGTCCACGCGTGTCAATGCTACACCATAGTTAGTCTAGGCTATCAATACCGGCCCGCCACTATATACCCAGGCTCTACCTATACAAAATCAAAACGGGTCCTTTGACTCACACCAAAAGCGCACCAGGTTCCAGCATACATATGTGGAGGCAGCTGAAAACACATTCGAGGCAATGATCAAATACTACTGTAATGTTCCATCGAACTGTCTCTCCTAACAGGTTGACACATGTCCGACTTCTTGGTGTCACGCTATTAGTCTAGCAGGGCACTGTTCGCTCAAGCTCCTCCATGGTAAATTCATAGCCAAACTAGTCGTTTCACCCGACTCCTAATTCTTGTCGAACGTGGACCAACAAATCTATGCATACTTGAAGCATTCTACACAACCTCAACTGCCATACGTGAAACCCCTCAGCCAACATGTCGCGCAATCGCAAGACAGCATCAGTATCGGTATCTCCGAGTGAACCTCTTATCAAAGACACAGCTGAGGCCTTCCAGAACACGGCAGACACGATCTTCGAGAGTAGAAACACTCTTGTACAAGGATTGTTGGCTATAGCCGATATACGTGAGAAGCTAACCTTGACATCATCATTTCAAGCACTACTGACACATATGCTTCAGCTGAGTGGTTGCAGTGAGTAGGTAGAATTTCCATGGGGAATATGGGCTTAATATCTGAAGAGAAAATGAATTCGTCCACACCGGTTACAGGGCACCTTCCAATTCTTTCAAGAAAAGTGTTCCTAGTATACTGGCTATACATAATGAGACAGGTAAGATTTTCCACAGGTCGAATACAAGCCATTCTAACGATTGGGAGTAAACATCTGGTCTCACATCCTCAGCTTCATCTTGTTCTTAGTTATTCCTGCGTACGTCTTGACCACTAAGATCCTACCTCGCTACAAGGTTGCCACCCTTGAGGACATCATAATCTGCACAACATACTTTATAGGAGTAGCAATATGCCTCTTCCTCTCTGCAACGTTCGTGCTACACTCAGATCCTCTTCGTTTGGTTTAATTATAACCGGCCCAAAGATACCATACAGTCTCAAACCATTCATCCCACGTTCATCATTTCAGCATTCAGCTCGACTACCTCGGCATACTCATTCTCATGAACAGCGCCATGATTCCCCTCATCTACTATGGTTTTGTGTGTGATCATTTACTGCGCAACGTGTACCGGGGTTTGGTTTCTGTCCTCGCCGGACTATGCGCATTCTCGACGATGCATCCGAGATTCCCCACCGCCAAAGCAAAGGCCGTCCGAGGAGCACTTTACTCTGCATTTGGAGCCAGCAGTTTTGCACCAATTATCCACGCTGTTATAAAATATGGCTGGGACGTGCAGAAGGACAGGATGGGGATTATTTGGTAAATGTTTCTTTTATAATTATAGGTATTTAATTATAATATTTATAAAAGTTAGTAAATTAGCTCAGCAATAGCCTTATATGAAATTAAGTTTAAGGTTTTAACAAGATAGTTTTGTCATTAAATATAACCAATATACTGAGGCAAAGGGGTTATAGAAGGAAAACAGGTTTAATTAGCTAATTTATATCCCGACTGTATACTAATCCAATTTCTCAATAGCTTTCTGTATCTCATGGCATTTAAGAGATATTACCGCCTCAGTACCCTCCGCCAAAGCCACCGCCGCTAAAGCCACCTCCGCCTCGAGCATTGGCTAAGCTGACTCTAATTTGGCGACCATCAAGTCTGCAATTGCCATCATATTAGATAACATAGGATTTCGCAATAGCTGTAGTAATGCTTACTCTTGTTCATTCAACGCATTGACGGCGGCGTTGGCCTCGTCTTCACTCCCATAGGTAATGAATCCAAAGCCTCTTGACCTGCCTGTATCTCTATCACGCATGACAATCTAGTAATAGTTAGAATTTCTGTGGTGGATATTCCGATATTGGGAGAGGGCTTTACGGAATCTAGGACCTGGCCATAGTCGGAAAAGGCTGATCTAAGTGAATTATCGTCCGTGTTCCACGATAGGTTCCTAACAAGACTTGCTGTTAGAAAAAGTTAAATTCCTGGTGTTACTTATCTTACCCGACAAAGACTTTGGAAGACATAATGGCAAGTGAAGTGTTATTGAATGAAGAAAAGTATCCGAAATGTGGCGCTGTTCGTTGATATTCAGAAGGATAGTTGAATATGGAAGCACTGAGGCCTTCCCATATTATATACTAAGGACTTGAGCTATAAAACCACTATCCTCTATTTCCCTCTCAACAACCAGGCATTCTCGCCCCTCAAGTCATCCACGTCATCTGACATCACACCGCTCCTCTTTTACGTCAATTTGAAATGACCTATGTCTTACGGACAGAGCCTGGCCAGGTAATTGGCAGCTTTGAACATAGCTGTTAGCTGCCTGTAGTTAGCTCAATGAAAGTCGCTGTGCGTCTTCTGCATGTCTTAGTTCAGCTGGAGTTTTCGCGTAGATCATCAACGATCCTAGGGGACGTCAGCCACTAGCGTAAATCGAACCGTACGCCGTGGCTGGCTATCTCTTCAGTTACAGAACCTCGGCGTTTTTAGGCTTTACCGATTCTTGTTTTCATTCAAACCGAGGTCAATGTAAAATTGTGTCGTTTCTTCATACTGGAGAAATTGTAGTCCACTCTGCGTTGGCACAGTGCGGTATTAGTGAACAATTAATCATCTCCTCCTCTTTGCTCTCCTTGCTAACGTTTCCCCTGTTTTAAATCATCATGCATCGCTGGATCTTTCTCAGTTCATAAGAGAAAATCACATCTACGGAAAAGGCTTATCGTGGCTGAAATAGCTATACCTTCAACTTCTTAATAATATCTAAGAGGTAGTAAGCCCTCTTAGTCCTATAGTTAACCGATTAGATATATCAAAGAAGATGGTGTTAATCCACAGGCGTTACGTGGTCTTGATAGATGCTAGATAACCACCAATAAGATTTCCAGCGTCTATAGATGCAGCTACATTTATTCCTCCGCTCAATTTCCACATACAAATGAAGAATCTTAATCGTCCGAACACCCATTAAGCCATGCCCCCAGAGCTCCGGTTTTGGGGTCAACGACGACATAAGCAGCCCGCGAACTGTTCACCAACATTGCATAGCGGACGTTTGCCCCCGAAGTCCCAACACCGTCCGAGTTCCTACCACCGTCGACCCATCTCTCGTCGAAGTCGTAGTTGTTGGCCCACATGTGAACTGTTCCGTACTCGAGCCCTGTCCAGACATAGTCGGCTCGTTGATCACTGGAGGATACAAGCTTAGAAACGCATAACTATAGACTTCAAACAAGACTTACCCGTTAAGATAGGGAAACTGAATCTCTTCCGGTCTTTGACCAATACCTGAGGCGTCTTGGTCAGGCATGGGCTCCCACTTGTCGGCGTCGTTGTCGTAGACGTTGCGGTAGATGGTTGTACGGCCATTTTTGCGCAAGTAGATGTAGTCGTCTCGCTTGAAATTGAGGGTTAGCTTCCACTGCTAACTACTCTCTCCATTCGTATTGGAACTTACTCCATCAGAGTCCACGTCGGCGATTCGAACGTTCTTCCCTGGTCCGAGACCAGATGCAGTCTCGCCGATAGGCTGGAACCGCCAACCGTACTCGTGCTCTGAGTCCTTACCCTTATTCAGATATACCCTCAGAGCACCGGACTTTGGGTCAAGGGTCAGGTAATCATCCATCCCGTCGCTGTTTATAGTGTCAGCCTGCTATCCAGTGGTAAGTCGTCAACAAACAGCCGAAGGACGCACCCATCTATGTCACCAAATGTGACCTGTGACGCAGGAGCAGCTCCTGATGCAATTGGTTTCCCGCCATTCAGTGGGTTCCAGAGCCAGCCAAGGGAGTCGTCCTCGTTCGGACCCTTGTTGATGCTACACCGATGTTAATGATCACTCCGAATGATATTGGAGAATATTTGATAGACTTACTATACTGTCGGGGCGCCAGTCTTTGGGTCAAGCCAGATGTAGTCATCAACCTGCATAGCCATCCGTTAGCGTCACCCTTTGGAAGCAGTAGAGTAGTGTAACGTACCCCGTCGCCATCAATATCAGCAAAGCGGAGGCCATCTATGGCCATGCTGTCGTCGATATTTCCACGGTTATACCAGAGAGAGAGGGCTCCCTTCTCTCCGACATAAATGTAATCGTCCTTGCCATCCCTAGCCAGGGAGAGAAATCAGTATTGACTGGAAGACAATGCATGGATAACAGTACTTACCCGTCCATATCCGCTAGGAGAATCGACTCTGGCTTCTTGCGAATGCCATCCGCGATGGTCTTGGCCGGACCCTGGTTGACGTAAAAAGGTACGCCTTCATTGTTCGTGCGCTGATTCAAGAAACCAGTAAGTCCGCCGTCATCGTCCCAAATAAGGTAGTCTATCATGGTCAGCAACAGCTACACGTCCGGCTTCGCAAAGTCCTCACCATCTCGCCCGTCTCCATTCATCTACCATGAGTCAGTAAGTTTACTAAATGGTTCCAGGGAAGGGAGCAACTTACATCAGCAAAGACGATCTTGGAAATATCCTTGGAAGCGCCAGTGGCGATTCCTCCCTTGGCGTGGAAGACAACATCTCGTCCTCCAGGCGAACCTGTGTTCATGTGATGCTTCAAGGCACCGCCCTCGCCGATATAGACGTAATCTGCCCTCCCATCGCCGTTAATGTCTGGAAAGCGCAGTGTCTTGAGGTTGGCGTGAGGAACTCCAGAGGCAATTTCACCGCCCGGAACAAACTTCCATCCATTATCCCAGTCGGCATCTGGGCCATAGTTCCACCAGATTCTGACAGACCCTTTAGAAGGGTCTACCACTAAGTAATCGGCCATCTAGAAGCATGAGTCAGCGGTCGAAGCCTGGACTCCTAACGGTAATACTTACTCCATCTCCATTCATGTCCTGCAAGTTGCATTAGTCGAGTTATTGTGATAACGTAGAATAGTAACTTACAGCGATATAGATGGTTTCGGCAGGGCCCACTCCACTACCAATCACACCGTTACTATTGCCTCCTGCTGGAGTCCAGTGATCTGGTAGATTGTTGATCCAACATCGAATCTCTCCAGTCTTAGGGTGTATCCAGACATAATCTAGATGAACAGCACGTTAGACCAGAAAATGGACTGAGATAGGATACACATACCAGCCTTGCCGTCACCATTCATATCATGGAGCCTGTAAGAGTTCGTCAGTCACTTACCACAGAAAAACAATCAGTTCGCAAACATACCTGACGTAACGAGGATCCAGGCCAAGGCCATCGGCAACCTTGTTCCCTGAGCCCCATTTCTTGAGATCAGCCTCAACCCATTTTTTGTGATACTTCCAGTCCCCAGACTTGCCCACACCTCCACGAGCGATCTTGCCGACCTCCCTCCAGATAGGCTTCATGATACACTCTTTATGTCTCAGTTGGTTTACCAAGTTCATGGCCCAATCAGCTACTTCAGCAATCTCCTTCTTGGACTTTTCTCTGATGGGCAGCTCGCCCCAGTCCGGTGCGGGAATATTCTTGTCAAGGCCCCCGTTCTCGTCGCTTCCACCATCTTTCGGATCAGAGCCCTTGGGTTCTTTGATCCAGCCTTTGGGGATCTGCGTGACAAAGTCGTACCAGTATCGACCCATCTCATCGTAGCCCTTGGGGGTTGGATGGATGCAGTCGTCGAGAAGATCGGTGCTGAACGTGGTGAAGTCAACAGCGAGGACATGCTTGCCGTCTTCCCTGCGCTTTTTTACCACGTCGGGGATCAGCTTCTGATACTCCTTGGTTCTGTCGGACTGCTTGGTGTCGCAGGTATTGATGATCATGGCGACCAGGATAGTAGCGTCGGGGCATGCCTTGACCATCTTGTCGATTAGCTTGCCCAGGCGATCAGCTGCTGCTTTGGGGTTGTTTCCCTGTTGGGAAATCTTGGGGTTTGGGTTCATGTCGTTCGTGCCAGCGGCCAGAAGGATGAGATTCGGTCGTTCTTTTAGGGATGGCTCAACATGATCAGAGACGTATTGGATGGTTTTCCCCGACCACGCAGCCTGAATACAGCGTCATTAGAAGGTCCATCTAGTTTAATAAGTGGTAAATGCAACTCACAAAATAATCACCCGACACTCCTGATGATTCCATTCCAGCATAAACCACCTTGTTCTCTGATGGACCATGTCAGCGAGTGGTCAATTATGTCGAAGCGAATGAACCCACCAGATAAGTCTTCCTTAAGCTGGTTCCTATAGCCTCCCTCGCCATTGTGGTTAGAGCCTCGGAAACCGACCGTGATGGAATCTCCGACTGTGAGTATACGGAGCTTCGTGCCTCCTTGGACCTCCTTTCTACCCTTGGACTTCTTGTATTTCAGGACATATTTTGTCGAAGAAGCAGGGCACGATCCCCCCGTTTCTGGTAGTTCTGGTCTTGCCTTGTCACCATGAACTTCCAACTTGTGATTTTGCATCTGGAATACAATCATGTTTGCGATGATCCTGTGCAGCAAGGTCTGAGGATGGAAGACTCGTAGGTACCTATAAGTCAACTGATTAGAGATGCAGTTCAGTCGGCATTGTGAAGAGCTAAACGTACCCGTCAGGCATGACGCTGCTGATGAAGTCATTGGTGTGAACTTCCTCGTCTTCTAGTGCTGCCATCTCCATTGGTTTGGCCGTTCCGTCAATCTTGTCCTCGTGGACAAGCTCAACTTCAGGTTCCATTTCCATGGCAAGACGCGCGAGTCCGTCGAGTTGATACTCAAATGTGCCGTTCTTGTACTCATCCCCAGGCGATCTTTTCCATGGACTTGAGCCTAGAGGATCGAATGAGTTGAGCTCAAAGAACATGAGATCCGGACTATCAACGTTAGCAACCATGTCTTGTCTTCGATCACAATGGTCGACGTACCGCGTATTGCTTTCACTAGAGCTTTCGTCCACTCCAGACTCACAAAACCTGCCTTTAAATCTCTCGACATAGCTATCGTAGTTAATGAATTGAACTTGAGATCCAGCTCGCTCTACCGCCTTCTCCTACATTTCACTTTAGTTAGTGGTCAGAATTTCCAGACGAGGGCTACATACGATCTTTTTATTGACCTCGTCAACTAGTCCGTTCATGGCGATACGTCTAACATCATCAAGCTTTTCACCGACGTGAAGGTTATTCCATAGTTTCTGAAATTAGTTAGCAGCGCATCTAGAAAAAGAATATTTCAGTACAACTTACGTTGATCCAAACAGCCCATGACACGTCGTTGCACTCTTTGGTGCCCGTAGCAAAGAATTTGGCGTAACTAATATCGATCAGAAACAACCCCAACAGTAATGTGACTTTGTAACTTACCCTGTGTAGTAAATCATGCCGCTGTAGAGGTCAGTCAATTGTCTGCGTGATACTGATCAGCTAGAAGAGTGCTTACCCATTTCCGAGCTTCTTTTTCGTGGCCTCAAGTAGTGTGTCCAAGCTTTCATCGAATTCTGGACTTCGAATAATCTTTTGAGACGTCTCGAGTTGTTTTTGACAGCCACGGGATACAACATCTGTGTCGATGTCGAGGTTTTGTGCCCACTCTTCCTCTAGGATCTTTCCTAGCTTGACGGTTGACGCCTGGTTCCTGTTCAAGACGAACCAGTTGAAGACACACTGATTGAGAATGTTAGAGAGCTCAGCATCGTTCCCCCCTAGAGTAACATAAGTCAGCACATCTACAAAGAGTATAAGTTCGAGGCAGCATACCAGCAGATAGCAAGATGACATTTTGACCACTATCAACATTCGGAAGTTGATCCTCAATCACCTCCTTAATGACTGCACCTGAGCAAGAGTGGAACTGAAACGTTCTCTTCGACTTGTCGCCCAGCCTCACGTCTTGATTGACTAGGTTAGGATAGGCATGGTCGTATCGACTACACCACCAGTCTGTGTGGACTGTCAGTTCTCTTCTACTCTTGGGGGTCGTTGGTCAACATACTGTCAACTCCACTTAGCCTGTCACCAGCCCCAATGCCTGCCGAGTATGAGTCTCCTACCGCCGCGAGTTTTGTGATATCAGATAAGTCTTCAAAATAGAACGTGTCAATGTCATCGTCAGCCCTGAGGAACAACGAGCTGAACAGCGTTGATGCCAAGTTCTCAGATGTAGGCATGCAAGTAGTTGGTACTGCCGCTGAAAGCATGGCAAGCCATGGTAAAGACCTCATGATGCAGAAAGAGATAAGGAATGAATGAAAAAGTGTGGTGTCAAATCGACGGTGATTGTTATGGCCGCCAAGGCCAAAGCTAGATATAACTTCAAAAGATATTGTATTTCCCGGCCTTTCTTAGGTTCACTCTCTGGTCTCTGCATTGACCGGGAAGTGTTGTTGGTGATAGTCCACGAACGGGCCGCAGCGACCCATCATGTCGATCGGAATACTAACGACAATGAAAGGGCCCTCGGAAGGATTCAGGGTGAGACGCATATACATGAACCGTTTCCTGCAGATCGGGCCCTCCTCTAATCTTGCAACATGGTCAAATTGTGAAAATCTTGCTATCTTTGTCCAAAATTGCAACTGCCGCCATCTGTTGGGCCATGGATTCCTGGGTGGGCTGATTGATTTTCTCGTAAAATACGGATCAGATCAGGTCCGTTCTATTCAAAGTGTGCAATTCATTAAATTAACCATTACGTGAAGGCAGTGCGTGTTTTACCATTAAGCTGTCAACCAACACAGAGTAACATCCAAGTATACGGCGTTTTGCTCATTGGCCTGACATGGGACTGGCTCGGCGCTTACAACGGAAGAGTGGGGATCAGAAGGATTAAGCCCAGTGGATCCAGAGTCTGCAATAAATTGAATTATCTATCATACTGGGCTAGTGCACGTTTCATCGTCAAGCTGTCAACCAACACAGAGTTAAATGATGGTGCTTATTGGCCTGATACAAGAACGGATCGACGTTTACAAAGGAGAAGCGGATTCCGATAGAGTTGGTAGATCAACTCAGCCCAACCAAGCCAGCTTACGCCACGGAAGAGCCGGCGCTAATGAAACAAAATACTTGGCTTCAGCTCCGTGGGGTTGCAAGGATCGCAAATGCCAACATAACCCGCCGACCATAAGTCATGGCAAAAGGATATCAGATGGGTAACCCGGTATGTCTAAAATTGGACTCCATGATCTGATCACTCAAAGGGGCCGACAAGGAAGAAATCCATCATTGAGACCTTGCAACGCTCTAACCAACACTCAAAGAGTCAATCCAGTGAGGCATTTCTGTTCACGTTTCACTACAGACGCTGGAGTACGGGGCTGACTACGAGGCTCATCGAAATTTAATGCCTGTGTCAACAAGTCGAAAATTACCTAGATGATTGAGGGCCTTTTGACGCGTTGACCCCTGTTTTGCTATTGGCCAACACGACATGGTTGAGCGGTCTGGGGTGAAGGGTTTAATCAAATCATTTCTTTGGCCTTGATTATTTCTGGTCTCAATGTCAAGTCAGAGGCAGACATATCTAGGTTGCTAGACTGATCAAGACGATAACCTTCCTGACCATCCCCAACCCTCCAAGGGACAAATATTTCTAGAATCTTGTATCTTTTTTCCATTGCCGTTCCAAGTCCCATCTTCTCAAAATGGTCAAGTTTACTCACCAGCTGTCTTGCTGGGCTATCCTCCTTGTCTTGTTGCTTTGCCAAGTACTCGACGCTGCAGACCTTGGTGACGAGCCCAAGACGCCCGCAGGCGAGCTTCAAATTCGTCTTGATTGGCCGTTAGCCAAAAAAAGCGAAAGTGGACAAGCAGCCAGACTCACGTGGTTATTTTCAACTCACATCACTTTCAACGAGCCAGTCAAGGATATCTCAAGGGCACAGCTCGGTGGCCTAGCCCAGAATGCGTACCTGGAGATGGAGACTGACATCAAGCAATACGGTGTTAAGTACAAGCCAGGGAAAAAGATCTTGGCGATGCCTGGTGTTATTACCTTGTTGGCTTTCGATAATGAGATTATCTTGAGCTCCTCCATGCGGGGCCCCAATCTCATCACAGGCTTTGAGGATACTTCCCTATGGGCGCGGCTCAATATGTGCGACGAACTTTACAAACAATACATCGACGAAAATGATGTGAGAGGCCATAAGAATGAGCGATCGTGTGGAGAGATTATGGCCCTACACCAATACCTTAAAAGATATCCTGAGAGGGACATGCAAGAGCTCGCCGCTAGGGACCCAAAGGTCATTATGACCACTGTCACCCAGCCGAACAAACAGCCCATCAAGATCATTAAGCCTTGCGGAACAGATGAGGTTAGTGAGACACATTATCTAAAGTTTTATGATGATACTAATTACTTCTTTAAGGAGGGCGCTCATGGCTGTGACCTGCTGGTAGGAGGATTTCGCGACAACGACGGTAATGAAATTGAAGGCCCAATCGCAGATTATATTCCTCAGGATTCCCCGATAGACACAGACTTTGAACTCGAGGACTTGGCTGGTGGCGTTAAAGATATTGACCAGATAGGGTCGTTGTGCGACTAGGCGTTGAGTCTTGTATGAGGATGTCGTGATCTTGAAATTGGAGTTGTTTGACTCGGGTTGTGCGATGATTGTTTTTTTGATTCTCCTTTATAATCTGTGTCAAGACCAAAATACAGTCTCAAAAGATCACAGTTTACACTTAGCGCAAGATCTGGTTACAATAAAACATACGTTATTCATTTATACCACACCAACTTAATGTTTGCTTGAGTCGCTTTTAACTCTAGTCTTTCCCTGTCTTCAACAGCCGGCAATTGTTCAGGGCCCCAAAGGTCTAAAGTAATGCAACGTAGGCTTGTTGAGACCAATTGCCTATGTTCCAACTCCTCTTCGACCACGGCGATAAAATCATCATCCTCCCAGTCCATTTGATCGTAATTAACACATAAGTCATAGTTCAAGACAAGATCCTCAACACCAACGGGCACGCCATCTCTCAACCGCTTTGAAGTTGACTTTGGTGAAAAACTCCCCATGAGGAGTGCCCAAGGTATCTCCAATCTCCGCAAGCTATGCAGGTTTGTCATCTTATCCAAACTACCCTCGAAGTACAGAGGTGGGGGATCGTAGTCGCCACACGAAAAAGCTGGGCAACTGTCGCCTGTAATCGTCAGGTCTCTAAGAGTCGGGCTCATGAGACAAAGGGCCGATGCCAGTTCGACAAGCTGTACGACTGGCTTGCTCACTGTCTTATCAAGGTCTTGCTGATACCACAAGTCCCATTTGAGCGTTTCAATGTTCTTGAGAGCCGACATGAGGGGCCGAAGGCGAATTTCTCTGAGCCTATAGAGGTTTAAAGAGCGAACTGATGTGACCCGGGGTGCTGTCGATGGCCATTCGAACTCTTCTGGGCTGTCAACCGCTATTGAAAGACTGTGAAGCTCGGGCAAGTAAAACAACGGAAGGACATCTTGGGTATTTTGATAGGCCATCAGACGATATTGTCCTGATTGTGAGGAAATGTTGACTTCGGCGATATCCTTATAGCTTGGCAATCGATGTTTTGATGGTTCGCAGAGGGCGCCTCTCAGTACCATTCCCAGATATCGATTGAAGATGGTCCAGTTCTCTTGAAAGTGGACAAGTTTCAGATTCGGAAGCCTTGAGAACAAAAGAGCAACTACCGCATCCATATTCCCGGCTAGGAGCGCTTGGATCCATAGGTGGGCTTCTAGAATCTTTGTTTGTCTGATCATGTGAGAGGCTTGATCAGTCTGTAAGCCAGTGATCGAAATCAGGGGCAAGCGTGGGTTCCAGTAGTCGGGCTTCCCGTGGGAGTCATCGCCTTGGAGGAATAAATGGTTGACAAGACCACCAAGTTCAGGTCGATCCATTATTGTGCGCAGGAAAGGAACGACGGGGGGTGTTTGTGTGTTGCTCTTGTCCCATTTCAGTCTGATTCGAGAGTAAAGAATAGGTTCTACAGCACGCCGAAAGCTCTTGTTTGTTTTACTAAGGGAGGATAAGTCATAGGCTGAGAGGCTATTGAGAATAGGTAGCTGTAGCTCGCTTGGGAGGTCGATTAGGGACCTCATGATGATTAGCCTTCCTATTAATAAATAGTGTGTAAAAGAAAGATGCCTCGACTGACTATTAATACAGTGGGATTTAAGAAGTGACTGCGTTTCATGTATGTCTGCACGTGACGTAATTCAAACGGATAAGATCGGCAGGATGAGCTGACTGAACTAGATGTTGTTGAAATTTACGGATAAAGGTAACTCCGAGACTTTATGCGCTCATAAGTTGGGCATTGTCCCATGGTATAATGGGTGGGCTCACCCTCTGGAGAAAAACCAATCTATGTGTCGCTATCCATTGTGTACTGAAAGCTGTCGTGACCGTTAGAAACCGCCAATGCATTTGTGAATTTTTTTTCTATTAATCTAAACTTTATCTCAATCATGCCTTATCCGTCATTGTATTAACTTATCATATTATATATTTAATGTCTTATACTTCGTAGAGTAAAGTAACTTTCGTTGCTTAGCTTACCCTATCGCGTGTTGGCAGGGGGGTTCTTGGGACTGGAAGGGTACTATCGTACCAGTGTGTTAAAGAGTACTTAATGAACACCAGAAGATTACCGGTATTTCACAAGTACTCACTAACATTCATTGAAATCAGCTGTGAAGCACTAGCCACTCAGCGTCACGTGCCTATCGAAGCTCCTTCGTCGGCCCTGTTGGGCGAACCCGATACTTCTAAGAATCTGTTGGACATTTACAAACATGCCAAGATAATCAGACTTGCCTATCTCTATCTATATAGAATGCTGTTTCTTTGAGAAAGTATTTTCAAGAGCTGTAAAAAAAAAAACACATCTAGACTCCTTATTGATGACATGATGGATAGTAGGCTTGCTGCTTCTCATGAGTGGTCTGACTATAGAGCCGATGAATGTTATTAACGTCAAATCTTAGTGCGGAAACCTTCCAGAACGTGCCCAGCACTGGATGATTTCTTTCCTTTTCTTAATTGTCCAATCTTAAATTTTGAGATCCTACATAGAAACGACTTAGCGCAGGAGCTAGGCTCAGGGTCAACGATTATTCTATTGGTCAAGCTGACATTTTAGTCACTCCGTCCCTTGTAGCAGGGGCTCTCGTTCTCGAGGACTTTGGCCTAGTGGTCCTTCACGACAAGCACTTATGTCTACTCTATTACTACTCAGTTTCCGATTCTCAGCAATATCTCGACCATCTTCTATTCCAGTCTCACCAGCCGATGGTAGTCCTTCACTATGCTCTGGGAATTGCTGGGCCGCGTCTATTGTTGGGGACTGAGGTAACTCGTCGATGTTGCTTGTCTGCCTGCTCTTCTTCCGCAGTCGGTGCCACGTCAACGCTCCTGCACAAAACAGGATGACAGATACCGTTACAACGGCGAGAATGATCTTTCCTGGGTGGGATGATATTGAATCATCGATCCGTTCAATGGACCAAGGGTAGCATTCGGATTCAACGATGATAAAGATGCTTATACCCATATATAAGAACGGTATTACCAGATGTGCATATTTCTCAGCGACCCTGAGGAGATGCTTCTGCTTCATCACCAGATATCCAATAAGGCACAATACCCCCAGCAAGATATAGTATGTGACAACATACACTGCTATCTCCGCACCTTCGGTTTGTGAAAAGAGAGGAATATAAGTTCCGATATTGTCTCCTCCGTTTATCACTGTTATGGTTGCAACTTTGATGGCATTCCTAGTACTGGAAAAATTTGGAGCCTCATCCTCTTCGTCGTAAGAAATGAGCAACTCGAGAATTTTATAAATGCCGAGCAAACCTGGGAGCAAACCAAGGAAGCCAATTGGCTCAGATGGAAGGGCGAGTGAAGCGCCGAAGCCAATCATGGAGATAACCATAATGACGGTAAATCCGACATATTGCCCAATAGTGATTTTAAGGGGCGTTAGCGTGTTGCTGGGAGACGACGACTCGGCAAAGAAAGTAACCAAAATGAAGATATCGTCAATGTTTGTAATGGCGAATGTACTGCACGCAGTTCCGAGCGTTTTACCGAACTCCATGACGGGCAGAAGAATTGCGACTAGGTCAGTCGCGAGACTTGGGTGAGAGGAAAAGTTGTTAGAGAAGAAAAGAGGAACTGATCATTCCTAGCTACATGGAGTTATTTATCGCGTTCCACTTAATACTTAATGCCAAGTCACTAGAATGATTGAATAAGCAGGGTTCAATTACGTTCAATTGCACACCAAGCATAATGGAAAGTCATGTAGTTATCAATTACTTGTTCATCAACATTATAGGGAGAGTCATAGAATGAGGACCTGCACTAATACAACAGATTCTGAGAGTTACCTCGACCTGCCAAGGAAGACAATGAGCGGCATTTCAATCTAGATGCGGAACAACATGAGAAGAGCGGGGCTCAACACTCTGTCCAATAGAAAAGCTTCCATGGCACTTCCTTGTAGGTCCACCACCAACATCCCCGTTTCATTCTCTGTACCATAACAGTTCCTGTGTCCCATCAGACTGTAAGTTTCTGCATTACCATGTTGTTAGAGATACCGCGTTCTAGGCGAATTCTCAAGCTTATTGAAGGTAAATAATCCCGATCAACACTGCCGTAGTCCGAACTGCTTCCATATCTGGTCAATGGCCATGAAACAGTTCAACCGCTTCTGAGCAAGTGTTACAGGGTAACGTCTGTGCAGAAATAATTGTACAGAAATCGTGCAGGCGAGGAAAGTGAGCTGTTCTTCATTATACTATGTGGTTACATGTGCCGAACCCTCGATACACATTTCAATTCTGCTTGCTCTTGTAGTTGAACTGGCTTTGGTTGCAACCCGCCACACATGAGGTTTCGGTACGGTTGTTTGGTCGGAACGTCGACATGGTACATCAGTCCATCGACAAGAGAACATTCTAGGCATAGTACCGGAGCTATTTACAACTGCGTGTTGTTTCTCTACCTTAGGATTGTGACACGTTGCCAAAAAAGACCCTGACTGATACCGCAGAACACCATCGGGGATGGCGCTTGACTGCCTACTGGCTATGTCTGAAACACGTTTTTATCACATTCCAACTGTTGTGCCCGCAAATCTGCATGTAAGAACGCCTAGCAAGGTGAATTAGCTAGCCATAGGGTAGAAAAGCGGAGGTGGCGCTTCTTAACGTCAGCTGAAATCTGAGCCAAGACAGCCTCTTCAGCAGATCCACAAGATAACCGTCATGTCAACCATGTTGTGTTTTCACACCGCTGTCTCGACCTAGGCTCGTAGACTCGTTGGCACAACGCCGTTTTATGCTCGTAGATCCCTGCTCATGATGAATGAAGTCTCTAGATTTCTTACCAGCACTCTCATGTGCTGCAATTCGTTGCTGAGCGAGACATGCATCTTCACGCATTGGCTCGGACTAAATTTCACCAAGGTGATTCTGGGAGATCCTGCGAGACAAAAACCGAGTTAGATGCGGGGTCTTGGGATTCAGGAAGCATTGATAGACGCCTCTTATGCTCTAGACTATCATCTGATGCCAGAAGCAGCTGTTTGCATATCTCGGGTGAGCTCCCGCTGAAACAATCCATGTGCGTTGGGGCATGATAGTGTAGAGAAAATGGAATATGTCTCGGGAAGTCGGATTGAGTTTGCAAAGGACCTCACATGTCAAGCAGTACTCAACAGATACCTGCCTGTCAACATTTTCAAGGTACTGCAGGCGATCGAATGACTTCTATAAAAGACTGCTCCCGTCTTCTACTGACTATAGACGCTTTCTAAACCACAACAGCAAATAAACAAGAAGCACCAGAACTCCAACCCCAAAACCATCACCACCATGAACAACTCTACCATGGATCAGTTGAACGAGGCCCATAAGCAGGGTGTCGTACTTGGTCTTTCTGGCTTTAGTGTACATCAGCGCGTCGACATCGACGTAATGCTGATGGAGCAGCCTGATACCTTCAATCTGTTCGTTATCGCCTTGATGGAACTCCAGGGGAAGGACAACCTGCCTTGGCAGGATCAGATCCCCGACGGCTTCTCCTTCAAGGATGGTAAACAGCCGGACTTGAAGATGTCCTGGTTTCAAATTGCTGGTTTGTGAACCCAGTTTAGCTCAATACATTAATTGGAAAGCTGACTAGTCTTAGGCATTCACGGGTTGCCCAAGGGCCCCTGGGAGGGCGAGGGGAAGCAAAATGAGTATTGTAGACATGGCTCTGCGAACTTCGGAACCTGGCACCGTCCGTATCTGGCAATGATGGAGGTAAGAGTAGCAATAGATATGCGATGATGCCACTAATTGCAACAAATAGCAAACCCTGTTCCGCCAAATTGCCAACGTCGCCAAACGGTTCTCTGAGTCGGACATCCCGGATGAACAGAAGAACAAGTACCTCGCTGCTGCTCATCAGTTTCGTCTTCCTTACTGGGACTATTACCGGCCTCGAGGGGACAAGGTTATCATTCCAGGAGTTACGAACCCCAAAGATGGTACCACCACCTCTCCCTATGACTGGGGCGCTCCGCAAATCTTCACACTACCCGAGATCATGGTCAGGCGTCTTCCAGATAACAAACTTATTGCTATGGCGAACCCTTTCTTCAAGTTCCAGTTCAACAGTGAACAGATCCAGGTTCTAGGCGTCGATAATATCCCGACTCAACTGGTGAGTGCTACTCTATACCCGAAGGAATTGATTGTTAATACTAGATTATGTACAGGCGTCAATTTCAGAGACGATTCGCCATGGTGGATCTAATGAAAACGCTACCGAGAAGATGAACAAACTATTGAATACAGTTCGCGAAGACCAGGTTCGCCACTGCCTCGCTATGATTGAAGACAAGGTTTACCAAAATTTCGGAACGTTTTCAACAGATGCGACCGACGAGAATAAGAAACAGACACCGGAAAAAATACTCGAACGACCTGCGGGATCAATTGAGAGTTTTCACAATGGCTATCATGGAACTATCGGAGGCCCGCCTGGAGGTGGTCCCAGAGGACATATGAGTTTCATTGCTATGGCGGCTTTTGACCCGATCTTCTGGATGCATCATTGGTGAGTATGGTAGGAAACGATGGTTGATGTTCATTAGCTGACAACGGTGCCCAGTCAAATTGACAGACTCTTCGCGATCTGGCAAGCTGCCAATGGCGAGAAACACTGGTTCAATGAGCTTGAGCCAAAGTACCAGGGAATAGGCAAAGACAACCTGGTACCATTCCGCAAATGGCCTCTCGTGGACAAGACAGACGCCAACAATCGGTACTGGAACTCCGACCGAGCCAGGTATACTACAGATCTTGGTTACACATATCCGGAACTCGCCAAAGGACAGACAGGGGACGCGGTCCGTAAAGACTTTGCGAGAAAATACGAATGGAGCCGACGAACTACTGCAGAGCTCGGTTTTGGGACACCCCCAGATGATATGCTGCCTTTGCAAGTCGGAAAGGCCCAGGTCTTCCAGTACTTGGACGGTATCCCATCTGGAGATCTCTTGAAACATCCTGGTTTCCCCATGCAAAGGATGCAACAGCAAACTGTCATGGCCGCCATGACATCAACCCCGCAGTACGCCGATGACTGGTACATTGATGTTGTTGTTGAGAGGTAAGAGCATACACTGACGTGGTTCTAACACAGGCTGATTGGACTTCACAGAATGCTAGCTAACGGATCTTACACCATTTTCTACATCATTGGTGACATCGAAGGACAGTCTGGTAGGGAATGGTCGACTCTCCCTGGCTTCGTGGGTATGTCCCACATCCTGGCCGCGCCACGCGAAGCGTGTGAGAACTGCGCCCGTCAAGATGATGAAGCCCAGCTAGTGACCAGCACAACTCCGATCACTTCACTGCTTCTCGACTACTCCCAGATTGGAAAGTTGAGTAGCATGGAGGCAGATGACGTGAAGCAATTTCTGATTAAGAATCTGAAGTGGCGAGTCCAGACTGTAAGTGCAACTTGAGTTCAATGACCTTCAAGAGCTCAACTGACTTCTTTTCCCAATTAACAGGTAGCCGGCGAGATTCTCGATCCCAGGGTCATGTCTAGGGACCATAATTTCAACCTCAGCATCAGCCGCAAGCGAACGCCAGTGCCACGCAGCGCGGGTGAAGTACAATATGACACTTACCCTGATGTCATTGAGGCTATCATTAGCAATTCTTCTTAGCTGTGCCATCTCTTTTAGATCGCTCAGATAATCTCATCCATTAACAATTTCATTATTTTCGTTCTTGTATTATCGATAATGGACGTTCTTCACATAATGAACGAATGTTACGTATGACGTGCTATGCTTAATCATCCTCTCCGGAACAGCTTACTACATCAATGACCGCTGTTGGGAATCTTAAGAGGCATAACAACCATGAAATCAGGTACCAGAAAAGTGCAGACAACGACATTTAGTGACCGATTAATTAGTTGGATCATGGTTGCGACAAAAGCGTCTATCCCGCAGCCTCCAAAAGTGGCAAAAAAATACAACAACGTGAGCCAGATATCGTCAAACCTTTACGTATCATGGAGTTCGTCATGTCTGGAAAGGTTGTCCCAGTACTGGCCCAGTTACGACCAAGGTTAGACGAATGTACGCCACTCACCGGTCTGATGATTTAACCCAGGATATTGTTCCTTCATGTATGTCTAATCTGACAGCGTCTGCAAATGCCGTAGCAGAGGCTACCATGGGATCAACTAAATGGCCATGTCACAAGCTGGAGTCATTCTGTCATTGGTACTCACTGTCTGAAAAATCTCAGCTACTCATGTCAGCCTGGCATTTTCACGGAGATCTAACTGTAGACATACCTTGTCAGAAACATTGAGAGAATGTGACCTTGGACGCCAAGAATACCTTAGGTGATATCTCACCAATAGCCTATAAAGAAGAGTCTTGCGTTTAGTCATATTTTCCCCGATTTGCTTCAATTTTCTCACCGATGAGTAGTGTGGCTTAGTAGGCGTAGCTGAGACCCTGTTTTGTGTTACCTACTGAAAGATCTAGATCTTCGGATAGCGAAGATCATCCGGTGCTGACAGTGATGAATGACAGACATAATTCGTCTTTCTCGGCTTTACATGGACAGGGTATCGTATTGCGGGGTTCAACATGAATGTTCAGTCAGCCACTACATAGCTCGCATACGCCATCTGGGACATACCCAATGTCAGACAACAACACCTTTTCTCATATGTGATTTTAGAGCAGACTTAGACTTGTCAATAATCCAAACAAGGTCATATTACTGTTAAATTGTCATTAAAATGTTCGCACGAAGAACCCTCATCTCCATAGAATTAAGACCACCCAATCCAACATTTAAGAAGTGGCAATGAGGTATTTTGTAATGGTGGTGTTTTTACACACAGGTTGTGATGACGGCTTGCAGCCTGCATTAAACTATTGAGTGTTTTGTCTGCGCAATAATTCTTGTGACGATGCTAATGGGTTGACAGTTATATCCATGCCGCCAATATCTATCCAGCCAGCCACATATTTCAGCTCCATATTGTATTGCATCAGGTTCCCAAGACGGCATTACCGGTAGAAACAAAGGTAGAGTACACAAAGTCAACGTCCGCAGTATCGGTTATTTCTACCACTTCGATTTCTCTATAAAAGTCCCTCCTTCTCCCGCTCTCTAGATATTCCTCACCAGCTCTTCTACATCTCAAACTACACTCAAACACAAATATCAACAAAAACATTATATCTTCCATCATGTCCACTACAGCTACATCCAAGACCCCCGGTTGGGTCAAGTCCCAGGGTACAGTCAAGAACTGGAACTGGCGAGGTGACACCCAGGTCCCCAACACAGGCATGTCCGTTGGACCTTCGGCCGTTGTCTTTCGTGACAGCATCTATTGCTTCCACCAGGGCCATGGCAACAACGGCCAACTTTGGTACAATGTCTACAATGGTTCTCGTTGGCTCGGAGATCTCCAGGTCCCCAACACCGGCACCTCGGCTGGACCATCCGCCCTGGTCTACAAAGGCATGATCTATGTCTTCCATCAGGGCAGTAGCAACAACGGCGAACTGTGGTACAACGTCTTTGACGGCTCCCGATGGCTGGGAGACACCAAGGTGCCCAACGTTGGTATTACATCCGGTCCATCTGCTACGATCTACATGGACAAGATCTACGTCTTCCACCAGGGAAGTCGTGGCAATAACGAGTTGTGGTACAACGTCTTCAACGGTTCCAGGTGGTTGGGCGATCTTCAAGTTCCCAACGTCGGCATCTCCGCGTCACCCACTGCAACGTACGTCCCGCACATGAACACGATTCAGGTACTTCACCAAGGCATCAAAGACAATGGTGAACTTTGGACCAACACTTTTGATGGTAGCCGCTGGCTTGGTGATGAGAGGGTTCCACGGGTGGGCATCTCGGCTGCACCATCCGGGATCGCATTTGACGACAGGGTGTTCTGCTTCCATCAGGGAACTGGCTTCAATGGTGAACTGTGGTACAATGGATTCAATGGCGAGTCCTGGGAGGGAGACAAGCTGGTGCCGAAAACGGGTATGTCGTCGGACCCCTCTGCTGTGGTTTACCATCACAAGATCTACGTTTTTCATCAGGGCTACGGAGACAATGGCGAGCTTTGGTTCAATGTTCTTGAGTAATGGAGGTCAGGTGCTTGGATAACTCCGACAATAAACCCAGGGTTCGCTTCTTGTTCGGGATCCTCTTAGGAACTAGCCTTATACCATCACTCTTTTGTTCTGTAGGTAATTATTACCAATCAGATATTGCCCACTTCGATTGAAAGTGATGAATACAGATTGTTGGAGATGGCTTTGCTTCCATCCTGATGTCTCTCCACCGAATACGGTTTGGATTTCACGTGTACCCTAGAAAAGCCTCATATGAGCACACCAAGATTATTGGTAAAAGATGTCGTATTGTTATCAGCTACATTACCATACCCTGATTCAAACTTCTTCTCATTCAAACGCCAAAATGTACATATGGCACCCAGTGACATGGCACGTAGTCATCTTCTTCACAAGACAAAATATCCCGTTGTGAGGCTCTTTCCTCTTGAACTTCCCCAGTCAAGCCAATGTTCCGAACCTCGTCCTTTCTCACCCGCCCTTCCGTTCTAGAAATAGGCGTGCTTAGACACTTCTTTCTAAGCGCTCGCGAAGCCATATGGAGCCCTCGACAAACTGAATCGTCACTCATGCCGCCATCACGTATTCCCTCATAAGTGGCCTTCGCCATATCAACACAGGTTTCGTCACTTACCTCCCAGAGTGCGCCAATAACATGTCGAAATCCTGCCAACCTGAAACCACTGATAAGATGAATATTTTCGTCTAGGAAAGTATTATTTTTAATCTGACCTGTCCCGCATGCTGATAGGTATGCTAAAAATGGTTGACTTTGACGAAGATTTAGGCTCAAGAGCTTTCCAACTTCCAGAGTGTCACTTTTGCCGTTATCTTCGAGAAGCAGATGGCTTCTGGAAGGATCCTGGCTGTCTGTGAAACCGCGACCAGCGAAATGGAAGATCTTGCAATGTGGAAGTTGTGACAAGATGTCGTTCTTGTTTTTGCCAATGACAGGATCCAGTGACATGGATGTGTGGAGCTTGTGCAACATATTGATCTCGTCAGTGGCGAAGGGAAGCATCGTGGCCCCAGGAGTGTTTTCCATCGCCACAAGCAACGATCCATTTCCCGTTACGTCTCGCGTTGTCTGTGTGTCGTGGCGACCATTGATGATTGCCTTGACAGATGAGCTGTAGGAAGACATCACTCTCTCAATAACAGCCTCCGTGGATCCATCTGCATGATAACCTGCGGCGTGGAGAGGAAATCCACAAAGAGGGCCAGTTGGTATCCAGCATACCCTTGGCCATTCCTCATCGGAGATGGAAATCTTGGTGAACCCAAGAAAATCCAAAATCGGTTTCATTGCAACATCCCATAGCCAGGAGAGAACAGCGGGGCTGCTAATGCTATCTCGGTGTCGTGATTGTGCTTTGAGCTTTGTAAAGCTCAAGTCTGGGAGAGCCATGGAGAGGATTCTGTCATGCAATATTATAATGGCATCCGATCAATAGCCACTCACGTTAATAACGGCAATAGGATGCTTTCTTGCCGCCAATTTGAAGGCCTCTTCGCTTGGTGCACGTAAGAATTCTTCAAAGCCAGGCAGCTGACGGATCTTATTGACAAGGTTTTCAAAGACATTGCCTTTCTCGTATCGTTGCTCGGGGTCAGTGTCTTCTGCGGCGGGTATATCTAACGCTGAGCGTTGAGCGAGGAACTGGCTCGCCAATTCAGGATGTTTTTCCTTCAGAATGCCGACCTCGCCGCGCAGATCTTCAATAGATGTCGCCAAAATATCCCTCCCAGTTTCCAAGAACTGTAGTGCGACTGATGGCTCTTTTCCAGCATATAGTGCCATGGAAGCTGCCTGACATGCAACCCCTTCTAGATCTTTAAGTACGTACTGTACGTCGAATGCTTCCAGGAAACGAGGTATAAGTGGGGGAATCAATTTCATGAGTAAAGCGGCTATTTCGTAGCCTTGTTTCCAGTCCTCGGCCAATGCAAAAAAGCTCATCGCATCCTCAGCGGCCGTTATTTTTATGTAATCATGCATTGAGGGATCTTGTATCACTATTTGAAGGTAAGTGGTGCCAGTGGTGAGGTCTTCCTCGTCTCGGGTGATTTTATACTTGAGCTTGTAACGGTTCCCAAGCTCGAATAGACGATATGCACGTGGTGCAACTGCAGGCAAGGTGTTTTCTAAGCTCTCTTGCATAAATTTGATGCTTTTGTCGATATCAGTAACTGACTTTGTGAAATTGAACCTTTCTAATGCCGCTCGAGATTTCCATTGAAGTTGTGTCGCTTGCTGTCCTGGGCCATGCGATGAGTCAACGGCTTTTTGCCAAGTCTCGATTGCGAATTCAATGTCTGAAAGGACCTTTGTTTCGGAAAATATATCCTGATAAGCCTTTGCGAGGTCTCCAAGTATCAATAAGCAATTTGGGTCATCGACTTCAGACATCTTAACCGCATATTGGAGTATTTCGATGGATCTTGCTATATCCTGGAATGACCCACCCTTGCGCCATTTTACCAAATACGCCGTTCCGAGATTCGCGTAACAAACTGCGAGTCTAGGGTCGCTATTCGGTGTGTGATCGATACATTCTTGAAACAAGGCGATGACCCTGTTGATTTGCAAAGGGTCTTGGTTCCTCAAATACTTGATTTGATGGCCTAATGCGAGGTCCTTTCGCATACAGTTCTTGATTTGATATGTACCTGTTGTCGCATCGCAGGCTTCCTGGAGGAGTTGCAGAGAGGTGTCCATATCCCACATGGTTTCTATGACTTGGTACCTCGACAGGTAGCCCAGGCCAAGGGCATGAGTCAGGTCGATACGGATTATGTTGTTAGGTAAGTCGAGGTCGAGCCCCTCCTTATAGTAGCGAATACTTTCATTGACATCAGCCACATCCCCAGAGTTATTCCATCTCATGCAATATGCATCTCCGAGGACTTTCATCTGTGAACCACGCAAAGAATGACTCGTTCCTGTGATCTTGATAGCTTCACGGCAAAGACTGATCGCAATATCAGCAGTGGCCGTGTTTGCATATCTTTCAAATCGGAATAGGTATGCTGCAGCCAGACACAAATACTGTAAAGCTCGAGCTGGACTTTCCAATGGCGTTAGATTGACCGCTTCTCGAAGGTACTCGATTGCAGAATCGATGGCCTCAAACGACGCGTTGAGATGGAACTTTTCCATTAGCGTCATACCCAAAGTGTGGAGATAAGATGCTCTTTGTGCGTGATCATGTGAAGCTGTTTGAAGCCAGTGACGAAGTTTGTCGATCTCTTGTTCTATATCTGACCTATTCATGTTTTGCATAAGTACTGGAACCCATGGCTCATCGCCTAACGGCAAGCTGGCGTAGAAGAGGGTTCCGTAAGCACTGCGTGTATACCTCAGCTTTGCACCAATGTATTCGGGGCTCTGCATGATCGAGTAAGTGATTCCAGTGAGAGTCTTTTGTTCCGGGTATATTAATATGATTACCAAGATGAGAGTTGGGCATTGAGGCTCTGGCAGTAAGACGGGTGCCTAACGAGGTTCTGGTGCGCAGCCTTACTTTTGTGGCCAATCATTCATTGAATCTGTAAGACCTATCTAATTGGCCATATACATCCAATAATGACGGACAGCTTATTTTATTTACCGTTAAGGTTTCAACACATTTATTTTCACTTTCTATCTACCTAGTCATTTGAATGTATCAAGAAATATCAGTGTTGAGATTAATTCTTCACCAAGTAAATTACAGGATCTGACAGTATTTCAGCCGATGGGCGGATATAACAACATTAGAAAACATCGAGTGCCCCTCCTATACTAATCTAATAACTTGACCAAGGTAAAAGACCCTTTGCAGGTCTGGAAATCATTCAACTACCTGTAAATATTTTCTCCAACATCTCAACTTCCTTTTCCTCCCTCTTTCCATCTTTCTATTAGTAAGACAGAAACCTGATGACCATTTCGCTCGAAGGTCCCCTAGTCGCGTTGACAAGGAATGTTCCCCCACAGCTTAGACGGGGTGTTCCGTTTCAAACACTCGATCCTCCTTGGGCTGGGTAATTTCGCCACGATCAAGAAACTTTCTTTCACTACCAGCTCTAGGGGGCAAGGATTGACACGAGACTTGAACTGGAGGATGAAGATCCCGAAACCCATCATTTATCTCTAAACTTTCAGGTCGTTGCATGAGTGGGGCTACGGGTTGGTGTCCATGCATGCGGAGCCGTTGATGCCGTCTGACCATGTCTTGGCGCATATTGGATGGAAGGTGATCCCCGGCTATATTGCTGACAGGCACTCATTTATTTACCCGTTACTTGAGCTTCGTGGCATAACCACATTTATAAATGATATATAGATGGGATCATAGATCATAGAGGTGTAAACAAAAATTCTATGGAGATAGACCTTTAATGTTAAAGATAGCTGAATGAAATCTATATTATTAGAATTGGCTTGGGTTGGAGGCATGGCTTTTTATAATGGTCTTCCAAGGACTGATAAATTTATCCCCGTATTTAAAATTCACATGGCGCTTGACTATCTAGTTATTCATAAAAGAATGGAAATATATTTAGGTCTCTAACAAAAGTCTAACTTATAGGGTTATAAGGGAAAACTCGGTTCACCGAGAGGAAAAACCCCAATCTTCTCCAGCACAAAACACTGCAACTGAATTGCCTCAACCCTCGAGACAAGCCAATCTATTTAGGGACACTGTCGCCCTCAACATAACAGAGGATCCAACCCATACTGAGGTTTATTTGGGTAGTCAAGGGGGTGACATCAGCTGGGGTTGCCTTGTTAAATCTAAAGCTTTCCAGCGAGACGCCGTTCTTGTCCTTGTACATCTGACAGTTGATGAGGTCGATCGTGGGAGGGCGTTGGAGGTCTTGTCCGTTTTTGATGGTCAACTTGTCGAGTGTCAAGGTCGACCAAGACAGGTCAGACGGGTGAGTCAGCTTGCCAAGGGGAATGCTCAGAGTCGTCTTTGAGTTAGGGATGGCCTTATCCCTGGCAATAATGGTGACAGTTGCTTGAGGAGCGGGAGCTGCGACAGAAGCAGCTGTGAAGAAAGCGGCGGTGAGCGTGATGAAGTTGGTGAGTTGCATTATGAGTGAGTATATGTTTAGATGGTTTGAGTAGAGAATATGAGGTGAAGATTGTTATTTGTAGTAGTTTGCTGGTTGATAGAAGCTGAAGTATGAAGTGTGGGGAATGATGAAGAGAGAGTTTAGTTAGCATATTCGCTCCCTTATATACCCAACCTGAGTGGCCTCACTCTTGCAGTACGATGTATTCCTATCACCTGGCGTGTTATATATGGCTTCTTTAATTGGTTGAGCTCAGTGTCAAGTGGTCTAGGCCTAAGTTCGAGTTTGAGTTGCGCGAGGCACAGCTAGAATTTCAGTTATACGAGTTAACGTATACGAGTCAATTACTATAAATATTAATATTTATGCTTACATACAGTAACCAGACTAGGGGGTCTGCAGAAAACCTCAGCACTAGTAACTACTGTGCCGTTGCCTTGACATTCTAACTATTAAGTTATCTTATCTAGTCGACAAGCCAATAAATATCAGCGCAGTGGTATAGGTTAGAAATCGGCTGTTTTTAGCATAAGCCTTTCCGATGTTCCCTTGCCATGAGTGCCATAACAACGAGCGTGCAGCATGATACGCGAGAGAATGTCGAATGATTGGTCGATCTGATCACTGACCTTGGCGCTGTCCTTTCTATCAACAGGTGACAGAGCCGCGACAAGCCGAGAGAGCCTGTGAAAACAGCACTTGAAGTGGGCCAGGTTGTTTGTCAAGATGTAGAGCTCCCGGGCCATGGTGATATTCAGGCCTCGGATCAGGGTCATCTTTCGTATGTTTTCTATAATAAAGGCCTTGACGCGTACTCAGTCTATAATCTAGGCCCAGTAGTAAGCCATTTACCAATTCGAGGTAGGACTCTTTGAGCTGCTCACTGACATAGGTAATTAATGGCCTATAAGATCTCCATGTTATTTCCGCTTTAACTATTAGACTTCGAGGCACACCGACATCAGTTATTTCCGCTTTAAAATGAATCCATCTATAGCCGTCGACGCTTCCTCATTGGATGAAACATTTGCCTTCATCTTTGCGTTAAAACAATTCTAGAAAGACGCTATATGTGGTAAGAACAGGGATTATCTCCGCATCAAGAAAATTACAGTGTTCCAGCCAATGAGCAGATATAGTTACATGGGAAAAAGATCGATTGCCCCTCTTATGCTAGGACAAGTGAGATTTTAGCTCCAGTATGACCAGGGTAAAGACCCTTTGCAGATCTGGAAATTATCAAACTGCCTAGGCAGGCGTTTTTTTCCAACCCAAGCCCTGATTCGTACTCGGCTTTAATTGGACTCCCCATCACCAACGTTACTACAGGCAATGTAATATTCTCACTCGAATCAAGCTACCTGAACCTCGAATGTTACAACTTGACCATCTCCAACACCAGCTTCTATATTCCGTGGAATTGGACAGACCCTCCTACCTGGGGAGAGTACGAACAAACGCAAAACGGCACATGGCATAGGCACAATATCACCAAAATACAGACCCCTCGGGCTATAGCGTTGGATCGATTTGTTGATCTGTACTGGGCCTCAACTGCTAATCCCTAGGACCGTCTTGAAGATTACGTCTTGGCAAAGAACTACTATGGTCGTCCAGTTCTTTTTGAGAACGAGACTGATTTCCATGCCAAGCCCTCGAGACTTCTTTTTAACTCGGCTTACCAAGATGGACTCCGTACCGCAGCTAAGGGCTTCAAAGCTGAATGTCATGTCTTGCAGCGCTATGTTGAGTCACAAGTCCATTGCTCTCGAGTTAATACATCTACTCCCCAGAACTGCTCTGTCACTGAATAGCGTCTATCTAGTAAGAAGCATGCTACAGAAAATATCACATCCCTTTCTGCGAAACTGTCTGGAGTCGTGTATCGTCACTACCCGGAGTGATGGGCGGGGCACGGGTGTAAGCCGATATCGCATGGCGATATCTGGATAATCCATTACTCAGCCCCGTCAGTAATCTAGGTGTGGTACAAAAATCAGAACTGTTCGAAGGTATCACCTTGCAACAGTTTGGCCGTCGCTTGGCGCAGGTAATCAACACGTACTTGCTTGTGGGTCAGGTCTATGGAACGGCCACGGAAGCCGACTCTAACTTCGAATACAATATCACGGCGCCTGTTGAAGTTGGTAACTTTGTTGAAGTCTACACGGTAGATTGGACGTGGATGGCCTTGTTCGTTGTGTCTTGCGTCATACTCCTAGCAAGTGGTATTGCAAGTATAGTCTTCGCTTACTTGGCTATCGGGCCGGAGATCCTCGGCTATGCTTCCTCTATTGTTCGAGATTCCAAGTATGTTAATCTTCCCGCCGAAGCTGGCAAGAAAGAGGCATTTAAAGTGGTCAAGATTATGGGACAGAAAAGACTGAAGTATAACTATATAGATTCAGTTGCGGAGGACAGTCAACCTCTAGTGGGCGTGGGATTGAAAAACGAAACAAATTCGATTAAAATATTGACCTACAACTCAGGATCTACCAAGACAACGAAGTAGTGACGTGTAATATGAGAGGGCTTTACACGCACACCAGACACTGCTGGGTACTCAGTGGTCGAACAGGAATTAACCATCATGAAATCGATGTCAGTACTTCAGAAGTCTTGGAGTCATCATTATTGATATCTGTAACAATTAGAAGACATACGATATATGAACCCCGAAAACCAGTAAACACTACTACCCTCTTAGATATCTCCTATCGAAGGCATTCAGTTCTTGAGCATAGAACGCAATATGCTCGGCAGCGGTAACAAGGTCTCGTCGTTATGCATCTCCTACATGGGCCACCTTTGCCGCTAGACTCGAGCGTATCTATTTTACAATTTACCCCGAATGCTTGAGTCCTAAATGGAGCCGGTCCAGACAAGCGCGATTTATTTACTGCTCTACAAACTTCAAATCACCGCCTGATTTCAATGGGCCTGTCTTCCCGTCGATTGGAGAAGGGAGCTTACCTTCCTTTCAGCTTGTCGCAGTTTCAAGGTTCTTTACTTAGTAACCGTGTACAAATAACTCTGTAAAGTTCTGTTGGTTATACTGTTCATAGTCATGGGACTTTTAATCCCTGTATGTTAATTGCTAAATGGGTAGACTTGAGGGCTTTAACTGAGTAAACTTGTAAAGCACTGTTGGTTTCACCATTGACAGCCATAATACTCCGAATGTATGTACGCTAACTACGTAATAACAGAAGCAAGAGAAAGAAGTATAAAGGGTAGCTAATCACCTGCTAAATCACATTAGCTAGTAACATATCTTCTTTTATCGCCACTAAATGACTCTTTTAAAATGAAGCTTACTACAGCCCTTACCAGCTTTATAGCCTGTTACCCTGTTGGCATATATGCCAATGTAGGCTGTTGGAAAGGCTATTGCTGGGACACCTGCGGTTCAGATATGCCGGGGGACCCTAAATGGTGCTGACTCAAGTCGGATAGAGGATATGGAGATTGGGTTCCATGTCCTAATGACGAGCACTGCATCAAATTGTCAATGCATTTCTGGAAAAACGGGCCAGATCGTATTGGCGACACATGTATAAACCCCGCCCTCTTTTAAGTTTTACAGTTTCTAATGCTATTATAGTTCCTCTGCAGTGCGCTAGAGGAAACTGTAAGTATTGTGGGTGGCCCCTAGTATGCGCTCAATCTCTACACAGTTTTGTTTTAGTACGTATTTACTATATGACCAATTAAGTATTTACTAATAGTTATATATCAAGGCTAGATTGGAGCACTTATTTTTATTGAATAACTCTACGTCTTGAAGAGAACGTTCGGGCCATCCAGCATGAATTCACATGGTACTCACGAGTACAATTGAAAGGCAGTAATGAGAACATTGGATAGGACCTTCAATGACGAACAAATGATGGTATATGATGGAACAGCTCCACAAAGACAACCAAACAGGCCAATGTGTGAAAGAGCGTAGCACATGAACCAATGGTTAATACAAAATATATACATCATAGAAAGTTCTTTATCAGCGAATGTCTTGACGTCATCGGTATCACCCTCTGCAACAACTATAAGATAGAAGTTATATGCAATTGGAAACTGATAATCATTTCTACCCTCTTCAATATCTTTCATCAATATCCGCAATATGCTCGGCAGCGATAACACATTTGACCCAAACAACGACATCCCGGACCTAAGCGGGAAAGTCTTTGTCGTCACCGGAGGCAGTGCAGGCATTGGTTACGGAATCTCAGCCCACATCCTCCAGCACAACCCAGAGAAGCTTTACCTCCTCGGCAAAAAGCAGCACCATCTCGATGAAGCTGCCGAAGGTCTGAAGAAATTCGGCGACATTTCACGAGTGGAATTTGTCCAGGTTGAGTTTGAAGACCTTCATGGCACGGATAGAGTTGCCAAGAAACTCGCATCCGAGTTGGAGCGGCTTGACGCGTTGGTTCTGAATGCCGGATTGGGCGTCGGACCTTATGGAGAGACAAATGACGGCATTGATAGTCACATGCAAGTCAATGTCTTCGCGCAACACCATTTAGCCATGACCCTTCTACCCAAGCTGATCGCTACTCCCGACAGTAGACTCTGTCTCCAGTCATCAGACATGCATCGCGCAGCACCCAGCTCCATCAAATTTGCCAACATTGAGGAAATCAACACAGATATTGGCCCCGCGTATCTTTACAATCGTACCAAGCTTGCACAGATTCACCTCGTGCGCGCTTTAGTTCGACGCAAAGAACGAGGCGAGCTTGGTATGCAGCCTGGTAAAGGACCATGGATTAATGCCACTCATCCCGGCGGTGTCAAGACGGATCAGCAAAAACAAGCGATTGATGCGTATGGGACCCTTGGTAAAGTTGGTGTGGCTATTGTCCGGCCATTTTTGAAGGATCCCGTTGACCAAGGTTGTCGGCCAATTTTGTTTGCTGCGACGAGTGATGCTGTCAAGGAGGAAAAGATTGATGGCTGTTATATTGTTCCCGACCGGAAGATTACTGAGCCGACTTCGCAAGCTCTAGATGACGAACTTGGGGAGCAGCTTTGGAGGCTTACTGAGACAATTTTGAAGGCCAAGCTTGGGTCAACAACGCAGTGAGAAGTATCACGCGAGGGAGTGTAGCTCAAAAGAGAGAATTTTACCTGTGACAGTTGGATGTTTCTCTTGATCGGGATATTTCTCATTGTGATAGATTCGTGTCACGAATGATTTTACTCTGGTTCTTGATAAATGACAAAGCTGTTGAACTAAGCTTAACTTGGGTAATTTACGTTAGCATCCAGCGCCGCATGTAGCATTCCTGCTAACGGCGCTCGCCTCATAATAGAGTTTCAGCTGAAGACGTTTTCAATGTTAAGGTTTGCGCGTTGTAAGATATAAGCACTGGCTGGAGACCCCTCTTCCTGTCAGTCCGTTCTTACCATGATTGTTCATGAGTCTTCTGTATAGGTACTCATGTGAAAAGCAGCACAAATTGCCAGCAATCCACCGTCAACAATTCTTCCATGAGCAGGATGTCAAACAACCAGCCCCAAGTCGCCCCACCCACGCATTCCAGCCGCGACACTTCAAGATGGTCGTGGTGGTACCTAGGTCTTGGAGTCGCAGCACTCGCTACCTTCGTCCCCGCTATGACCTCCAGCTCAGAAGCACGATGCCCTCAAGCACCCATTCAATATGCCCAATTGCAAGATGAAATGACAACATCCATGCTAAAGAATTTAAGCTCAGACTGGTTTCAAGAGCATAGTATCAAACGAATGACAGGTGCCATTCAAATCCGAACAGTAGCATACGACGACATGGGCGCAGTCGGCCAAGACCCTCGTTGGGAAGTCTTTGACGAATTCGAGAACTATCTACAAACTACGTTTCCCAAAGTCTATGAGAAACTCAAACTCGACAAGGTCAACAGTCACGGACTTTTGTACACGTGGACTGGCAGTGACACAACTCTAAAGCCAACGGTATTGATGGCGCACCAGGACGTTGTACCGGTTCCTGAAACGACTGTGTCACAATGGGATTATGCACCTTTCAGCGGTGAATTTGACGGTTCATCCATCTGGGGCAGAGGTGCCTTGGATTGCAAAAACACACTAATTGCATCTTTGGAAGCGGTAGAGGCTCTGATAGATTCAGGATTCAAGCCGCGACGCACAATCATCCTCTCGTTCGGATTTGATGAGGAAATATCTGGCCATCACGGAGCTTCGTTCCTTGCATCATTCCTTCTTCAACGTTATGGAGAAAATGGTGTATCGCTCATTATCGATGAAGGTGCCCCCATTCTGCCTATATGGGGTACTCATTTTGCTATTCCCGGCGTATCCGAAAAGGGCTACGTCGATGTTGAGATCGTTGTCCGTACCAAGGGTGGGCACAGTTCAATGCCGCCTTTACATACCAGCGCCGGTATAGCCGCCGAGCTAGTGAGCAGTATCGAGAAAACTCCGTATCCGCCTCAGCTTCATCAAGACAATCCACTACTCGACTTTCTGTGGTGCGGTGCCGAGCATGCCCCAGGTTTTATGACAGGACTCAAGTACCTTCTTCCTCGAAGAGGCAGTACAGGCATACTGGAGAACATGAAGCGACTGTCGTTCCCGAAACTTGTTTCTCGCGTTAATAAGATGGCTGGGTATCTTATCTCAACCACTCAGGCAGTTGACGTCGTGCATGGTGGCGTCAAAGTCAACGCGCTACCTGAACGGACAACTGTCTTGATCAATCACCGCGTCAATGTTGGAGAGAGTTCAGATCTAATTCGACACAAGATCACCAAGCTCGCTGGTGTGATCGCGAAAAGACATAACCTTACCCTGCATGCATTCGATGATTCTAAAGAAAAAGAGTCGTCAATACTCGTTCGTTTCATGGGTAGCGTGCTTGAACCCGCACCCGTGACTCCCACTCATGCGGGCAATGAAGAATCCGACACCCCGTGGTCCGTGATATCCGGCACCACCAGAGCTCTCTACGGAAAGCAAGTAGTCATGGCGCCTGGGATAATGCCGGCAAATACGGACACAAAATACTATTGGAAGCTAAGTCGGCACATATTTCGGTATTCTCCGGGATGGGATCCAGAGACACTTTCAATTGAGGGCATACACACGGTCAATGAAAGAGTCAGCGTGGTTGCGCACATCAAGACTGTGCAATGGTATGTTTACTTCCTCAAGAATGTGGACAATGCAAGGTTCAGTTGAGACATGACGACATGGTGGGCCTCGTCTTAAAGGGAGAGATTTCTGATATTGTGAGCTGTCAGACAAAAATTGTCACGGACCATAAGACATTATTTCGGTAGATTCGGACTTCGGCAATTGAATATTAATGGGCAAATGCATTTTCGGTATATGATTGAGATCTCCATATTGTTGTTATCTAAGCGAATACCGATATTGATATCCGTTCGGCAAGTTTCAACTTACTTTCTTTTAAGTATCTACCGGGTAACGATATTATGGTGGTAAGATCACTACGTCATTGTGTATCGCGTGTCAGCATATCGAATGTTGTTGATTTACCCCAAACGCTAGGCCTGTCATCTTTAAGAACAAGCCAATTAACGACTGAAAAGTCAACGGCGCATGCACAACATGCCCGGGTCAGTCCGAGAAGGGTCTGATAGTCCGAGCCATCGGCTCGGAAGAGACTGAGGAAGATTGAATTAGACCCTTGAAGATACTTGATGAGGGGGAATACAGGGTAGTAGTAATAAGTCTAGTAGGCTGTGCAATCAGTCAGCCCAGTCTCGAATACGCGTATCGCTAAATGATTGGTCCAAGCCCCGTAATAGAAGCGAATCCCACGTAATCATTGGCGAGAAGGATTTTCCGAATCTTATCAGCCCCTATCCTTCATATACTAGTCTAGTCTCTACCCTTGTTTGTGCTCCCGTCCACATAACTTCAAGACTGCAGTTCCTTCACAACACCGTGGCCCCCAAGACATGACTACTACACAACCGGTGCAGATAATGGCGCAAACCGCATCGCCCATGCATTCCAAGGTCGACAAGAAACCGCTGCTGAGACATAATGAGGATGTTCGCTGTCTTGTCAGCACTGCGCTTTTCTTCACCGTCTTCTTGATTACTTGGCGCAATTTCACCTCCCCCACAGATGGCGGCTGGGTTTCATTTTTGCTATGGCTTGCCTTGTTTCAGCTCTCCTTCATGGGCTCTGTCACGACACATAACGCCATTCATTTGCCCGTTTTCTGGTCCAAGAACTGGAACAAGTTCTACCAGGTTTGCCTGTCTCTGCAGTATGGCGGCGCCGTGTCCGTCTTTATCCCAGGACACAACTTGTCTCACCACAAGTATCCTCAACAAGCAAGAGACGTCAGTGAGTGCTTTATTCGAACCTTCAACCTTCAGCCCAAGATGCTGACCACCTTCAATAGTGCGCACGACCAAGGTCCGATACAGCTGGAATCTCTTGAATGGCCTACTATTTTTCTGGCATGTTGTCCTCTCAGGAAACAAGGATGACAAGTTGTACTTTGAAGCCCAGGCCCGTCTCAACCGACCCATCGTCAGACAGCGTCAGCTTGAAGAGATTGCTGTCTGGGGTACTACCGCAGTTCTCCTCTTGATTGACTGGCGACGATGGATCTGGTTTGCTCTGTTACCCCAGTTCTACGCAAAGTACTGCATTCTCTCTCTGAACTTCCTTCAGCACGACGGATGCGACATGACCTCCAAGTACAACTTTGCGCGCAACTTCACCGGCAAAACGATCAATTACTTGTGCTTCAACAATGGTTATCATACGGTGCATCACCTCTACCCCGGACTGCACTGGTCAGTCCTACCTGAGAAGCATCGAGAGCTTATCACGCCAAATGTTGCCCCTAGCCTGGAGGATCCCAACATTTTGCTGTACATGTGGCGCAACTTCATTTACCCAGGCCTCCGCGTTGACTACAAGGGCAAGCCCCTAATAATTACCAAAGAGGAAAATGAGATGCCAGATGAGCCATGGTTCTACACCGAAGCAGAAACATTTTCCAACACGAAGGAATACCTGGCAGACGGTATGCAATGAGCGACGAGGGGGAGTCAATATGACGCTGGAGGGTTAAGGGATGTGGCCATGACCTTCATTATGGATAAAAAAAGTAACATTATATGGGGGCGGATCTTATTTAGCATTGATAGCATTGGCATCTCAAAAAGTTAATTAATGACGCAAAGATAATGAGAAGAGTTGTAATGTCAACAGCGTCACGTGCAAAGTCACATGGCGGGCGGAAGAGATTTTATATGGGACTTTCAACAAACTCCGTTTTTCAGCGTTTCAAATTCACTTACAGAACAATTGACGAGATCCACAAGCACAAAACCCTGATATCTCTCAAGCTAAACATCATTTTCGCAGAAAGACGCAGCGATGGTGAAGGCTACCTGCTGTTTGAATTTTGACAAGTAATTAACAATTGACAGGAAGTGCAACCTTTTAATCAAGAAGCCTTTGACAAGGCTCGTGAGGAGAAAAGTGAAGATGCAATTGAGGGCGCTGGTCAAACAATTCACTGGAGTAATTGTGATCGTGCATTCCAAAGAAAAATCGGAGGAGGGGCGTGGTTCGGCATGGCGAAGGAGGGAGGTTGGGTGACAGTGCCAGCAGGTTATTCTGTGTATTTTATCAGAGGGGCGAAAGGTGAGGTCAGGATAGAGTAGCTTGTCGTTGATGTTACAGGACCCTCATTACAAAGATTATTGATATAAGCACGATGATTGGTGAAGCTGCATGGGGCCGGGTCTGCAAACTTTACGATGAGAGGACGATACTAGTTGAATTGCTGCTATCTACCACAATATGAGATGGAGAGAAATCTCTGCATACTGATACCTCCCCACAGTTGTAGAAGGCATAATGAATCATTGCTTTCAACTTGGACAAACGACATCATCTTGCAGCAAGGTATTCATATCGAAATATGAATCAGAAACATATTTACCCTGTAGAAACAAAAGACTCAGTCACTTGATGCTGGAAAATTGGGCTGGATGTACAGAGTATAGCAAAAGAATTATTTGATCTCAACTTTGATACAAGATGTATTGTTATCACGATACACAAGACGACTGCTGTTTAATATTAAGTAAAGATATAGTGAAGCTCTCCTATTGTTTTTGGCAACTTTCTATTTACTCTGATATTGCCAGATTATTCCCGCTTGAAACGTCTACTCATCCCCTAAGGCTTTAGGCTAAAAGTGTTTGATGAATAGTAAACAGATACAGTCGGCCGCCGTTATTGTCTTGGCACATCTAAATCCGATGGAAACATATGCTGATCTTTTTGGACCCATTGTAGATGAAACTCAACTCCGATAGACTTAAATCTAGAACAGCAGTCGGTATATAGCAATCTAATCCATCGCGCCTTGGCTGCCTTGGCTTGCTTGGCAGAAAACTTTTTTAACCACTCAACTAATCATGCAATTATAGAATGTCACCTGCTGTAAGAGTTTTTAACATGCCATATCTCTTGGCACACCCCTTCACTTAAACAATGTGATATCCCATCATCTGTATCAGGCAGGTGACGTTGCGGAGGATCGACACACACGTTTAAGCCTCCAATCACAAGTATAACAAATTACCGTTCAGGAAGTGGCGCAGAGCTTCGGAGGATTTTCACTACCTGACAGATGCACTCCTGTTTTTTCTTACTGTACTGAATATTCAAGTGCAATGGGATATCACTCTGGTTGTATAAGATGTTCTGTATAGCCATGGATTATCAAAATGCAGTGAGGGAAAGCCATCTACATTAGCCAAATACTTAGAGATATAGTTAACTGATTAAGAATTTTTCCCTACGATGTGAACAAACCACAGCATTATCGCTGAGCCCTGGAATGAAGGATATAGTTTTCCGGCACTGTACTGGAAGTTCTCCCGCCGGTACGGATAGCGCGGATATGCGCTTATGCCAAGGTTCAGTATACAGGGGGACTAAAGTCGAGATGCCTATCTGGACTGTGATACTGGCGAATATCAGCCTTATGTGAGTTAATTATACTGCGCCGGGGTCACATCAGGATGCGAATCCTGCGATAAAATGCCTAACCATGAGAAAATAAAGCTCCGTCTTGGGGGCCATGAGGTGTAGTTTAAGAAGCAAGCTCCCTGCGCCCTATACTAAATTTTGATGGAAAGATGACCTACGCCTACCACTCTTTCTAGGCAATCACATTCATTATTCTTTCGTTCGAACTTCCCTAGTCATGATCGTCCCAAAGGTCCTGGCTGGGCTTTTGCTCTCAGCGGCTTTGCCCACGACAGCACTTCCATGGCCACATTCAACTCAAGAGATGGAAGAATTGCTTGACTACAACTCTACCATATCTGCTCGGGCTGACGCCGGGGACTTCTACCTACGAATAATGCCCCTGGGTGCATCGATCGTAAGAGGAGAGTACTCCCAGGACGAAGCCAAGAACGGATTCAGGAAGTTTGTACGTGATAAACTACGCGAGCAGAAATGGAAGGTCAACATGGTTGGCAGTCTAAACTCTGGCTCCATGGCAGACAATGTAAGTGATGAATTATCTTTCTGGTCCATGTTCAGGTCTAATCTCGATTGTAGGACCACGAAGCTATCTCGGGTCAAACCGTGGAACAAGTTGCCAAACGTGGTCGTGATTCTGCAAGAAAATGGCTGCCTAATGTGGTACTGGTCAATGCAGGAACTAACGATGCCAATGATAACCAAGCCGATGTCAATGCTGGCCGCACTGGCCTCAAGATGAAAGAGCTCATTGAAGGCATCTTCGCTGAGGTCCCACAGGCTGTTGTGGTTCTGTCTACTCTTATCCCCAAGGTCGGTAACGCGGATTTTGTGGAGAAGATTAACGATCAGTATCGCACTGTCTACCGTCAATTCGTGCCTCTTGATGATAACGGCAAGGAAGAAACGAATCCCCAGTTCAAGGTCGTATTGGCCGAGATGCAGCCATTTCTGAAATTGGAAGACATTCATGACAGAACTCATCCAACTATCCTGGGCGAGAGAAAGATGGCAGCAGCTTGGGTTTGGTAAGTAATCTCTGCATCGAATGTCAGTGTAAAAGCTTACATGAAATAGGGCCATTAATGTTGCTCATGACCGAGGCTGGATCCAACCTCCCAAGCAAAGCAGCGCCTTCGCTGATGGCGATGGTACAACAACGTGTCGCAAGGCATTCGGTAGCGGAGCTTCTGATAATAGAAGTGGCCGTCAGATCCTCTTTGCAGCAGATTCTCTCATTCGCGATGACGGTGGCTACCGACACAGTTCTCAGCTTCGGGAAGACCGCAAGGGTTCCTTCACCAACACCATCGGAGGTGGGCCAGACAAAGACATGACCAAGACATCCGATATCTGGTTTGCCCAACTTGTTAATCTTAACGGCTCACCTAAGGGTGACGAGCGAGACGAGATTATCCTGGCGCCTTCGGACAAGTCTGATCGCAGGTTCACCATGTATCTCAACAATGGAAACGGAGAGTTTAATAATGGATTCTCAATTGATCCAAAAATGAGCTGTTCTAATGCTCGTGAGTCCTGAACAGCCACGCATAGTTATATGCACTGACGCAGTTTCCAGATATCCGATGGGGTGACGTGAATGCTGATGGCTTGGATGACTTTATCTGTGTCCAGGCAAATGGAGAGCTGTAAGTCCACCACGGTCTGCATACACCACGAGCTAACGGTCTCTAGTTATGTCTCAATCAACAAGGGTGGAAGCCCACCGACGTTCCAGAACGTCGGTCTGGTAAGTTGCTTTGTGTACCGAAACGCTTGAGAATTTGTGAACTGATATCTATTTGTAGTACAAGAAGCAGGAGATGGGACTTGGTCGAGATAGAGTGCGCCTTGGAGATATGGACGGTGATGGCCGTCTCGACTACTGTGTTATCTCAAACGCTGGCAACATTCAGTAAGTTCTTCATTCTGATGCTGACATGGTGAGGTCTAACAGCGATTAGTTGTTGGCGAAACGGTGGAGTTGGAGACAAGGCCGCATACTGGCAAGACATGGGTGAAGGATCACACATCTTCACAGCCAAGAACAAGGGTGACATGCGTGGTGTTCAACTTGGTGAGTACAATCTCTTCCTTTATTTCTGAGTACTGCTAACAGATCACTCAGTGGATGTCAATGGAGAGTACGTTCACAACATCTCACGAATCCTTTGGGCTCAATACTGACTTATAAAGCGGCCGATACGACTGGACATGGATGAGTATGTCTGGTGAAGTAGACACGCAAGTAGCCCTTCAGCAGTACAACAAGCAAATGCTAACAGTGACCAACAGTTACATCAACCAACGCGGTGACGGAAAAGGTATGAAGCCATACTGGAGAGCAGCCGGCATCACACATGCAGGACGACCCTACAGCATCGGTGAGAACCGAGAGTTTATCAAGTGGGGTCGCATCTTCAGTGGACGTCCTTCATACGTCAACTGGCAGCGTGAGGGTAACCTATGCAATGGAAATGTTGTATGTCGAGTTACTTATCAGGTTTGGGAGAACAAGGGAGAGGGAGGGACTTCACAGAAAGGTATGGCAGATCCATGAAGCAGAAACAACTTTACTAATATCTCGATAGGCGATGGCATCTTCTGGGGTGACACTACTGGCTCTGGTGTAGACGACTACGTCTGGATCTCCATGCATGGTGAAGTCAATGTTTTCGTCAACAAAAACACCAGAGCGAAACATGACTTCTACGAAACCAATGCTTGGGGAACACCTAGCATGCTCAAGACAAATCTTCCACGCCGAGCATTACACATCGCTGATTGGGATGGTGATGGGAAGGACGACATCATTGGTGTCACCAACCTCAAGACTGGATCCCTCAAAGTTTGGTTCAGCCGATGGTCCAACGGGAAGCACAACTGGGAGGCACAATCTATTCCCGATCCTGGAAGAGAGTGGTGTACTCAAGGCGTTGGACGACTGCCTTTCGACAATGCCCACCACTTTGCTGACTTGACGGGTTCTGGACGAACGGATTACATCTGTATGGCACCCTCCGGTCAGGCTTGGGCTTGGCTTCGAGGCAAGGATGGCGTCGCTCGACCTTCTGGACAGATCAAGTACCATGAGGAGTTGGACCGAGCCAACTTCCAATTCGCTGATATCAATGGTGATGGAAAAGCTGACTTGATCCACAAGGACAAGTTCACCGGTGACACTCGTGTCTGGTACTTCGACAGGGTTGTGTCTGAGGCAGAGCGACCTGGCAACTCTGGCAGCATCATCAAGTGGGATCGACCCGAGAAGCTGTTCCGTGGATCAGTGCGAGGACCTGACACTCATTACCCTCGGTTGAACAACCAGGGTCGCGCCGATATGGTCTATGCAAAGGCCACCAATGCACATGTAAGTCGTTGACACTTTGATGGTGCTAGACACACATGCTAACATCTCATGCAGGCTCATATCTCTTTCAACACATGCCCTGCTGGAGGAGACGACGACAAGACGGACACTGATCTACCCACCTTCACTCCTCCTGATCTCAACCCAGACCCAGAGGATGACTGGTTTTGTAAGAAGGGTAATGGAGCCAAGTGGACAGACAGTCTCTGGCGCCAGCACGGCGTTGGAACCTGGTTGCGACAGAGAACCGATCTATACAGCTCAGCTGAGAATCGTTGGCCCAATGATGAGAACGCCAAGGGTGTCCCGCGTATCATCGCCGAGTACGATGTTTACCATCGTGACCAAACATACAATTGGCACACAACTTGTCTGAAGTAAGTCATGGCCCACTTACAAAGTGAGAATGCGCATTAACAATGTCAAAAGTATCGGTGACACCTGTGATTTGAAGAATGCTCCCGAGTCAGCTGCCGACTGCTCAAAACACCAAGAACGAGGCTTTGCCCTCTGGGCCATGAGCAACTTTGCCCAGTTTCAGCAAAAGTGGTACGAAGCTGTCGGAGAGGGGTAAGTAATTGCATGAGCATCAAGACTTATGTCTATACAACGTCACTAACAAGGTCTGTCTAGTGTCAAGAGTGCCCAAGGGTCTGCCGCTGGCATAGCCAGCACGTTTTTGCCAGTCTCGGCTAAGGATGCGATGACCAGTTCCGCCGCCTGGCTCACAATTGTGGCAGGCATTTTCACAACCATTGGCAGTGTAACGCCTGGCATCATCAATAACGGGGCCAACCTGGCAGGAGGTGCTTTTACCATCGCCGCCGGTGCAACATCGTTCGCAGCAGACTTTCCCGAACCAAGTCTTGAGTTCCAGTCCTTTGCCGATTTGAGTGACACACTCGGAAAGCTGCTCACCTTCTCGAGGGAAGCCATGGGAGCACAGTATGATCGATACTTTGTTGAAACGCCACCAAACAATGACCGAGAGCGTGGCTCTGAGCTATCTCGCGCGCTCGAATCCGGAATTTGGGCGAACCAGGACATTGCGCAAGCTGGCACTAATACCATTTGGAAGCCGGAGAGAGTCAAACAAATGATAGAGGCTGCTATGATCAGCGAGGTTTGGAACGGTGGAGAAGTTGCCATCTTCAAATGGGGTAAGGATCACGCACTGGCTAAGTGGGGATTCAATCCTTGCTTCGGTGGTGATAAGTATGGCATGGACAAGCACATCGCATGCGTTAACGGCCAGAACTACCTCATTGTGAGTTTCAAAACGACGATGGACATGAACAGTCCACTAACCTTTTTTCAACAGGCCAAGCAAATCACCAAGGACGAACAGATTGATGCCGAAACGTGGCCTGAGATCGGATCCGATGAGAAGTCGCTTGGGACCTACAGCCTCAACCACGTCACTGTCATCGATGCAGCTGAGAGGACGCAAGAACGGGCCCAGAGATTCATTCCTCGTGGCCTCGACAATCTTGGAGAACTTTTCACTGCCGGCGCCAAGCAACCTGAGAAGGATGTCCAAGCCTACATGACCTACTTCAACGTTCCTGGTAAGAGCACCCTCTCCCATTCATTACCATGTGATCAGACTAACCATTTGTATAGTGTGCGATCTCAACAAGCTCAATAGCTTTGACTTGTACAAGGACCATTTGACTGAGTCTCCTGCAGCCGACGTCTGTTCAAAGGCGGACTCTTACTTTGGCAAATGGATGAAGTTCTGTGTTGCACACATGCTTGCGAAGAACTGCAGAAAGCTCAGTCTACCAGGTGGAAACTGGCCTTACCAGAATGATATTTGAACTTCGAGGTGAGGCTATGGGTTTTTGTGGCAGGATGGTGCACGTGTTGGACTGAGGAGAATACGCTCTTTACATTTTATATATCTTTTTACCTTGTTATTCTGAAATTACACTTTTTCCTTTCTTGACAGTCTCTATCTGCTGAGAGATCTGACATTATGGCGATGATAGATTACCGTGTTGGCAAGTACGCTTACTTTAAATCATTTGCTTAGATTTAGAATCATCTTTCACTGCATTATACAATAGTCCGCTGTTACCCTTTATTATCGTAACTCGTTTTCGGTTTGCTCATCTCGAAAGTAACTTGGCGCTGCGGTCTAACAAGCAAGTGTCATTCACTATCTCAGTGGCAGTCTCAACGGTGACATACGCCTGTGTAGTGATCGTTGTCGTCACAGTATCCGTCTCTGTAGTAGTACGTGGTCTTGGTATAGCAATGACATTGACCTTGCGGCTGAACATTTTAACAATTGCAATTATCTCCAAGACGGTAGTGGTGGCTCGGGGAATTTTATAGGAGGGGGCACTTGATGTTCCCAGTTTGGTTACGCAAGATGTGGTCAAAGTGGTGCTTGCGAGGGCCTCAGTGCTGATGGCAATACTATGTTCTATCTATTTCTATCCTTCTTCTGTCCTGCCTCGAGATTCCAGCCAAATGTAACACCATCAACTCCATGCTTCTTTGCATATTGTACCTGCTTGAGTTGTGTAATTCCAAACAGATATTAAGGAGTATTGTTTGGCAATCAATAAAAGCTTGGGTAGGTAGTCTCGAAGTATAAAAACGCAACTGCATTAGGCGAGCTTCTTAACCGTGCTGCCACATCGACTTAGAAAACCCGCCACGCCCTACGGATCCAGTTCTTAATCTTTACTGCATATAATAAGTGAAAACAGGCCTAATATGGGGTTGCCAGTTGCCATTAGGCGTCAAGCAGCTTAGTTGATTGCTTGCTAGTTTTGCTGACAGGCTAGAGGCTAGCGGAACATCAAGACTCAAGTTACAGGACCCACAAGGCATGGCGGATTTCTCAAGTCAACGCCTGCCACTCCACCTGCCAAAGTACCCCTTACACCATGCATGTGTGCCAGTAAGAGTCCAGCGAACATCTCACTCTAATAGAGGTGAGTGTATGTACGAAGCCCTTATGCAGGAGCCCACATAGCTTAATTAGCATAGACACCAAGGCAAAGATGCCATCGGTCTTCCGAACGCTCAAGTCATCACGACAGAATAGGGCCATATCGGAAATTCCATAAGCCTGCGATCAAGGTAATATGTAGCATTGCATCCGCAACGGCTACTGCGTAACAGTTGATTTCAGCGCTTGAATTCAACGCCACATACCGCACTGAGACTCACTGTGCTGCACGGCAATCCTTGGCGATGCGGGAGGCGACAGAACTGGTCCGTGAAGCAGTTGGCAGCCCAGTGCGATGACTGCGTGGTTGCGTGACAGATATATACATTGCCTTCGCGCCCTGCTGAACCGTCCACTTGCTCATGGATGCACCAATACCACCGATTCCACCAACCATCAGGTTCGCTGCACCAGGATCAAACTGTGACTAGGGAGGTACGTGAAGGTACGGTCCTAAGTCGTCGTCTACGCAGGAGAGAACAAGTTTACACATGACCCCACACACTTTATGCAGTCAGTCTTAATTGGCTCTATGCACTGCTATCACAGTGATGGCTCTGCAGAAGTGAGGATTGTGATCGTAACTTGATGAAGTCCAATAGCAATCTTGTTCTAGCCGCCCGTTTTACATGTTAGAATCCTCATCTGACACAGTTGTTGTGCAGCGAGCAGCCGACTCAAGATCACTTGTGATTTCATTGTTTTCAAATCCATATATAAGATTGGTTTCTTCATTCTTATCCTATCATCCTCAACCATCCTCGATCACTTTCGTCATTGCCTTCAAAATTGGATAACTTGGAGGCTTCTTCTGCTTATTGATTTATTGAGTTTATACCATTTAAAAGTGTTACCAGAAGCCATATAGAGTTATGCCCCCCTACCCGTCGAAGCACCACTGTCCGGTCTGCAAGAAAAGGACAAAGCAAATGTCCAGGAACGGCCATTGTACCAAGCATCAATGGACATGCGCCGATAATCACACGGAGTGGGTGCAGACGAAGACAGAGTCGTGCGAGCAATGTGGCAAGGACTATGACGATAATTGTTCCAGGTGTGACAAATAAATATCTTCCGGTAGGCTTGCTCTGACCAAAACCTTCCACCTTGTACTCTGTACTCTGTTTTCTGACGTTTGTCCTACGAGTAGCTGCATTTGATAGATCTAGTTTGTGTGTGGGGTCTGATACTGTCTCAACCTGGTTATGTTTGGTGGACGGCAGGGGCGTGTGAAGGTAATTGTGATTTGCGGGGAATGTGGGCGTCATTGATCAGTTGTGTTTGAATAAATTGGTCTCATTATCTGGCCTAAGTACTGTCTTCTGAGGTAGGAAACTGCGCCTATGGTCTAGACATCTACATATGTGTAGAATTCAAAGTTATTGAAATCCATTTACAATTATGCCTCGAGCGCTTTGTTCTCGATTACTCAACCCCGTATTTCTTTGGTAGTCATCGGTGCAGCTGAGTCCATAGGATGTCCTTCATCAGAGTAAAACTCTGCTTTGTAGTCAAGTCGACCCGAATATGCAAGACCTGTTCCGTCTCTTAGCGACTTGAGGTAGTAAGTTGCTGACTGAATGAGGGTGTCTTCAGAACACTGCATTGTCATGAATGAATCCTTGAAGTTGTTGAGGAGAAAGCTTTTTGCATTGATAGCTGCAATAAAGACTTTTCGAGCCTCTAAATCGGGCAACCCATCGAAGATCTGCGAAATGAAATGGCCCCGAAGAATCGCATTCTCAGCATACAAGTGCTTCGACCATGATACATCCTGGATGAAGATGGGGTACTCGTAAAGATAGTACAGCGGGCCGGTATGAGCAAATTCGAAATCAATCAGTCCCGTAAGCTTTGGGCCTGAACCATCTGGGGACTCCAGGAATAACATATTCTGGGCGTCAAAGTCGGCATGAATGAATGCAAATGGAGGCTTGAGATAGACAGCGTTTTCACAGTGTACGGAGATTTCTAATTCTCTCCTAATTTGCTGGAAGAGCTGTGCCAACTCGGATGATTGAACTCTGTCTGACGATATGAAAGATTCCAGATAGGTAAGTGAGGAGTCGAACGGTCCCCGGGGTTCTTTGTAGCAAGGACTCAGAATTGGACCAAGGCCGTCCTGAGTGAGACACCCTATTTCGTCAAATCTGAGGGAAGCGAACTCGACGATAATGGATGCAATCTCGGACACAGCCACTTTCTTCTTCTCAAGCGACATGTCATCCCAGGTCTTGTAAAGATGACGACCGGGAAGCCTTTCCATGAGAACAAATGCAGCGCCAACAGTATTATCGGGGTCCAGGTCTTGATGATAGATCTCGGGAACGGGGATGCTGGTGTGCTGCTTGAGGTAGCGGATCGTGGCAACTTCACTCTCCTCCTTGGCATCGTTTCCCTTGACGCGGGCGAAACGGGCGATGCAAGAGTATTTAGCGCGTTTCAGCGACTCATAGGGTGTCGCATCAGTTTCCTCGAACCCAAGCGCAAAGATCTCATGCCAGGAACCTCTCGTGAGCCGCTCAACGGTAGTGCACGTCGCGCGCATGGCTTCGGTCGCGCGGATCTTCAGCTCTTCTATATCTAGGTCTAGCTCAGGTGGCTCGTCAGAGTCATATTCATCATCGGCACTAGAGTAGGAAGACATTTTTGCTGGGTAGATAATAAAATAAAGAAGAAAGAGAGAAAGAGCAGGTTATTAAAGTGGTGTAATTGAAAGTAATTGAAAGAGGGAGGTATTGTTAGTAAATGCGGGGCTGTAATTAGTAGAGCTGCCAGTTATATTGTCAGCAAATGCAGAGCTGTGATTGGTGGAGCTTCTACTCAAATGCTAAGCTGCTCAGTTAACTAAAACTGCTTATGGTATCTTAACCTTAGATAGTAAAATTCAAGGCTTATAAAATCCTCTTTAATGTATTTATTTTAAGGAAAATAGCTTTTAATAATATATAAAAAGGGCTATTTTTTATTATATAAAGAAAAAGAAATTATTTATTATTATTTCAATGGACTAACATCTTCCAATACAATCTGTCCATCCTCAGTGTCTGCATGAACCAGTCGTCCCCAACCTTCTTCCACGTCTCGTGATAGTACCCTCCACCAGTCCCATGGACGCCAGACTCAGCATTCTTGTTACCGGCGTGGTAAATAACCGACCAGACAGCCTTGATCTCGTCTGGTGCGACCTGCTCCATTTCTGCAGGACCGATGTTGTGAATGGCTTGTATTTCCTTGTTCTCATTGTCGAAGAACGCAGCCCATTCGTCTCGTGACGACCATGAAAATGTCGTGCCGTCTCGTATAATTACGCTTCCATCAGGGTCGTGGAACGAGTATGTCGCATTGGGGAGCATGATACTGTCGAACTTGTCCCATTGCTGAGTGTCGGCGAGACGGCAGTATTTAGCCTTTTTCTGCGATATGATGGCGTAGGCCTCTGGTGAAACTGCCATTTTATCTCTGGTATGGATCTGAGTTACTGAGTCTTCAATATTTCGGCAATGGTAACCTACTGGATGAAAGTGAATTGGAGCGATCTAAGAGATTGTGCGGGGTTTTGTGAAACGAGAAAGGGAAATAGTAGAACAGGCCTTCACTCAAGTCGTCGTTATATATGGGTAGACAAGTCGCATTAGTCAGGCTTGGCTTTCTCACTCATTGTAACTCTATACCTTGCACTTGCGGTGCTGCTTGCTCTTCTGGGCCTATCGTTCGGACAAGTTTCTAGACAAGGATAATTTGCTGACAAGCCGCACATCTCCACCTAGAAAGTCACAGTAACCGTTCATCGTTCAGTGGAAAAACAACCTCAAATTCTGTTCTTGGGACTATATACGTAAACGACGAGGCATATCTGTCGATACAATTGAAAGCACTGCTCTGTCGCAAACCGACCTCCTAGATCGAACTAGCCCTGTTGTACTTGCCGAGGATGTTCATACCCCTCAACGAGGAGATAAAGAGTACCAATGTAACGATCTCCAATAGCATGACACCAAGACTTGCAGCATAGGTATAAGTCTGTAGTAGATAAAGTTAGCTCTTGTGAATCGGATCCATTACGTAAAAGAGGTAACTCACCATCTCTGTACACAAATTCGCCCAAGGTATGTAGCTTTGTCGCGTGTTGTTCTGGCATGACCAAGACCAAAGATCCCAGTGATTGTTCTTAAGGACTTCCTTATCGACGATAAGGTAAACGGATGCCGCGATCCAGCCAGCAATGACAATGCCGGAGCTGGCAAAGACAGCGACGTTGTGTACTGCTCCATCGCGCATCGAGCGGAACTATGACATAATTAGATCTGGTATGATTGGAGTTATCGGAGCACTTACGAAACTGAGACGCGTCACGAGAGCGACAAGTTGAACGACGGATGCAAAGATGGCCATGGCCAGCATGAGCCACGTAGAGAGCATTTTGATGGAAGGCCATCGAGTCCTCACCCACCCATCCTCGTTTCTGTCAATAGAGTTGTGTGTTGTTTGCCAAACATTAACTCCATGTGCCAGTAACCCAAGAATGCTCAGATTGACCAGTAGAATGAGAACTCGCAAGGCGAGGCGGATGCTATCCAGAGCACCTCCTTTGGACTTTGGCGCTGCCCGGCGCTGCTTGAGAAGAGTTTGTTCGTCGGAACTTAGACGAGCTGCCTTTTCAACATGCCCATTGTCGACTTCATCATGAGGATCAAGTCGGTTCGAGTATGAATCGTATCCAGAGGGTATGCTCAAGTCCATGATGAAAATAGAGTTGTTGGATAAGCTTATGTCTAGTCCTCCATATAGGCTTTCGTACGCGGGGACCTTATATTCTTATTCGATTGTCATGTGTGAAACGCCCAATGGCTTGGCTTCGGGGCCGAATAGAGATATCCGAGAATCCTAGGTAATCGGCGAAGTCAGCCTCGCTTGGCGTCAGACCAGACAGGCCTGACAGCTAACACTGCCACGTCGCATAACCAATAGTATTGGAGGGAAATTTGAGCGAGCTTACCATCAGCCCTAGGAGAAAATCCTCCTCCAAAGTCCCAAAACTAATTGCAGAAGGATTTGATTAGTTTTGCACTTGTCCCACCCAATTGCTGATGCGTGGCGCAGTAATATCAGCACTAGGCGGCCACGTTACCGTTAGTGTCCCACTAAAAGGAGGAACTTACCGACCCATGACCCTTGTCAGAGCTCTATTTCCGTCCGGGCTGAGTGATCCTTCGACGTGGAGCAATTTCACCAGTTGGTAATCGTGAGAAATGTCTTTGACTTACTATGCACAACAGGATAAGTCTGAGCAGCCACAGCCTCACCGACTGAGATGAACGCAGAAGATTGGAAATTAGATATGCAGTAGTGCTGACAATAGACGGGGGGCCGAAAATATTTGGTACCCGACAAGCCGATATTGACTTGCTTCGATAAGAAAACGAAACATATAAGAACAATTGCATCTCGGTTCAAAAAACATCATCACCATCAATCAATTCAGCATCATCAGTCACTTGCATAGCAACATCTCAACAGCATCTCTTTACTACTACAAATATTCCATTGATACCCTTTTCATTTTCACCACAAACAATCCACCAAAATGCAGTTCACATCCATTCTCCTCCTTGCCAGCACAGCTCTCGCTGCTCCCTGGGCTCCTCAATCTTCTGCCCACCAAGCCAGAGCTGATAGCATTGATGACCAGCTTCCCCCCATTGTACCAATCAACACACGCAGTGGTGACCGAGATCTTATCTCCAAGATCATCACCGCCCCCACACAAGCCGAACGAGTCAAGCTCCTGAACCAACCCGGAGATTTCGTCTTTGACTTCAGAGCCGCCACTGGAGCTGGAGAGTCTAAGGGAAAGGGTGGCAGATCCGTTTCCGCTACCTCTCTGACCATGCCCGCTCTTATCGGCAATGGTGCTTCAATGACAGTTGCTTTCCTCGGTCCCTGTGGAATGAATACCGCCCACGTCCACAACCGAGCAACCGAGCTTAACATCATCGTCAAGGGCCGCCTAGTCACCAACTTTGTCGTCGAGAATGGCGTGAAGCCCATCGCCAACACCATGGACACATTCCAGATGTCCGTTTTCCCCCAGGGTGCCATCCACCAAGAGTTCAACCCTGATTGTGAGGATGCTGTCTTTGTCGCTGCTTTCGACAATGTGGACCCTGGTGTCAGTCAGGTTGCCCAAAACTTCTTCTCTCTCAATGGAGATGTCGTCCAAGCTACACTGGGCGGTGTCCAGACCATCGATGGTAAGAACATTGAGTCTTTCCGCGAACACATCCCTGCCAACATTGCTCTTGGTATCGATGCCTGCCTTAACAAGTGCGGTCTTAAGAGAAACGCAAAGCGCGACTTGAGTGAGCTGTTGAACTAGAATGATTTATAACGTTTTTGCTGGTGTTTGTCGTTTGGTTATTGGATAAAATGCATTTGTACATACTTAGCTTCATGTTTATACTTTAGCGTCTGCTATCAATTCAATTAGAAATCTTTAAAGTCTTACATCTGCGTTCAAGATTTATACCTATTTTCAGTATCTCATGTCCTCAGACTCGAGGGAGAATTTCCCATCTGAATTTAAGTTCTCGTCACGAGCTCTCTTTGCTTATTTCATTATTTCTCGTCTGTCACTTAAAAAAGCTTTAGGTTAGGCACTCGATTCTACTTACGATGTTGCTTCGGTGGATATCAGTGGAGACTTCACAAATGCTTCGCCCACTTACCTAGGTAAACGCTCAGGCCTAAATACGAATTCATGTTAGTTTCTTCTACCCCGCCTGCTAGCATCGTTTATTAACCGCGTGTGCCCTCAACAGGTACCTCAATTCACCGCTTGCGCTGGGCTTGCTGATATTATAAGTTCATAAACCTGATACCCCTCAAATTCCAACAGTTAAGATATTCGACTTTTACGAAATAGCCAAGTCAAAATGGCAACCGTCCACGGTATTTGCAGTCCCAAGTTCGAGGGAGTTCGCTCCATTCTCGAGAATTACCTTAACTCTGGAGACGAGCTTGGTGCTTCCATCACTATCAACATTGACGATGAAGTGGTTGTGGATATGTGGGGTGGACACAAAGACCAAGAGCGCAAGGAACCTTGGGATAAGGATACCATTGTCAATGTCTTCTCCAGCACAAAGACAGTCACCAGTCTTGCGGTTCTCATCCTTGTTGATCGAGGATTGATCGATGTTAATGAGCGAGTCTCCAAATACTGGCCCGAATTTGGTCAGAACGGCAAGGAAGACGTTCTTGTCCGACATCTACTCTCATACGCGTCTGGTGTCCCAGGCTGGGAGGAGCCCCTCTCAACAGAAGACATGTACGACTTGGAGAAAAGCAACGCGATGCTAGCACGCCAAGCTCCATGGTGGACACCCGGTACAGCTTCTGGGTATCATGCTTTGACTTATGGTCATCTTCTTGGAGAGCTCGTTCGTCGAGTTTCTGGCAAATCGCTGCGTGAGTTTGTCGCCACCGAGATCTCAGGTCCTTTGGACGCCGACTTCCAGATCGGCGCCTCGAAGGAGACGTTGGACCGGGTTACCCCCATCGTACCTCCGGACGCTTCGGGTATCTCAATCGATTTTGAGGCTGGGTCTGTACAAGCAAGAACATTGCTCAACCCGCCCGTAGATCCCAACTGCGCAAACAGTGAAGGCTGGAGGAACGCAGAAATAGGCTCTGCCAACGGTCACGGCAACTCACGATCGCTCGCACGTATCCTGTCTGTTGTTACTTTGGGAGGTGAAACTGGAGGCAAGCGCATCTTGAAGGAGGAAACGGTCAATTTGATCTTTGAAGAACAGCAATCCGGGACTGACTTGGTTTTGCAAATGCCTTTCAGAGTTGGAATTGGGTTCGGATTGACGCCATGTGTCGCACTAGACTGGCTCCCAGAAGGCAAGGTGTGCTTTTGGGGTGGCTGGGGAGGTTCTTTTATTGTCATGGATCTTGACAGACGCATGACTATTTCTTACACCATGAACAAGATGGGTAGTGGTCTTGTGAGTAGCGACAGGGCTGCGGTTTATGGCAAGGCTATTTATGATGCAGTTAAAGAGTAGCGCAGCATGCTAGAATTTGCACTTTACCAATTGTCAAACTTTCAATAACATTCTTTCTTATCCCTGTTTTGCATCCCTTGCTGGTGATGTTACCATTCATTGGTAGCATGCTGTCTCACATGGCCAGCCTTAAGCCCCTTGGCCAAGACTTCGCCCTTGCGTATCATTCCAGCCTAACAAGTAATTGGTATTCATTTCCATTTCAGAGGCTGAACATGAAACCCCATAAATTGTTCACTTCCACCAAAAGGCTTTAATATAAGACATATACGTGTCATTTCCGTCAATGTTTTGCGATTTATATACCACCAGCTCTAGAGTAGTGCTTTTTTGGCAGTCCCGGTCACTTCTCTTATTGAGCTCTCAATATGACTGTGAATTTGGTCATTCCTGGATCCAGAAGGATTCCTTCTTATTTCTATGTATTCATCATTCTTACGTTATTATTGGTGGCTCTAGTATCGTCAGACTGGCAACCTGCCAGACTCGTTTCCAGTGATGCCGACCGAAAATTCGCCTTCATCATACCGGCCACTTCGTCTAGTCCTGACCTCTGCAAATCCATAATCACCGCACTAGGCCTCGGTTACCCAAGCCCGATTATCCTCAATTGGGGTCTTAACCATCCCTCGACTTCGAAATGGTCCGGTGACCCAAACCTGGCAAAGATTCCTGGTATCATCAAATATCTCGACACAGTTATGCATCCCGATGCACACGCCTCCGAGAGACTACGCGAAACTGACATTTTGCTCATTGCGGACGGATACGACGTTTGGTTCCAACTACCGGCGCAGATTCTCCTCGAACGATACCACAAAATAAACAGAGAGGCCAACGAGAGGTTGTACCAGCAATGGAATAAGAGGGGCCCAATGCCAATGCGACAGACTACACTACTTTCAATTGGAAAAAGATGCTTCCCTCAATCTCTAGAGTCTGGTTCAGACCTACAGTGCGACGAGTGGCCTGTGAGCCCATTAGAATCAGATCTCTATGGTCCTGACACTGAAGAGGACGAGACATATTATCCAAAAGTTCGGCCTCAATGGATAAACGACGGCGTCATCATAGGCCCTGCTGGTGATATAAGACGCTTTCTTCGGCAGGTCCAAGCGAAGCAGGAGAGAGGTGTCGGTTTGGGTTATAACATGTATAGTTTCCAGGATGCCATAGGTCAAGCTATGGTTGAACAGGAGGTTATGCGGCAATGGCAAAGAGAAAACAAAGCCCCGAAGCGAAACGTGATGGATGTCATAAACAGCAATCTTGAATTCCATGCGGGTCTTGATTACGGCCAGGAGATATCAGCGCAGACCATGTGGACACAAGAGCTTGACGGAACGGATCACGGAGACTTTGTTCGATTGGGCGATCAGTCAGATATTGACCAACGCTCTGAGGCTTTAGGTGTCATACCTGCATGCATACGAGGTGTCCCAGAGGATATAAAGGTTGCGAAGAACCCATTGAGCGACATGGTAGGTGGGGCCAATTGGACGAATATGCCGCTATACGCCGACTTTTATACCAATTCAGTTCCTGCTATTCTCCACCACAACGGCATGAGCGACAAACGGTCTACATGGTGGACCAAACCGTGGTATCACCAACACCTACGAATGTTGGTCAAGTCTCGCATGGGACGAGGTCACCCTGACGAACCTCTTGCAACAGTGAAATTAAGAAACGGACGTATTAGGTACTGGCCATTATCTGCAGAAGAACAAGATCGGTATCCAAGGCATTTCAACGGGACGGCGAATGGGAGGCTGAAAAAGATGGAATTTGGGACTATTTGTCGACATGAGAAGAAGGCTCCTCTTGGACCGAATCAGCAGTGGTGGGAGGAGGTGTTTCGTGATACTGGGGGACCATGGGGACAAGTCGGTTGAAGGAATACGCGCAGGTAGTAGATGTTCTCGTTTTGTGCTGTAATTTACTTCGATTTTTAGTTCAAGATACTCGTTCTCGCATCACTTACATGCCATGATGTGACTCGAGCCTAGACCACCGTAAACAACCGGGGATGGGCTGAGTCCAGTGACGTGGCCTAGATGCGTTCGATTACTGCTGAATTGAGTAAAGTCCAGTGGAGCTTGAATTTGCATTAAAGTTGTGCCACTATAAATAATTAGTCTGTTGAAGCATTAGCGGGAAATGGTACGCCAATCACATTTTTTTAAACCTCCTGCTGACAAGAAAGACACACCAAACTTCATTTGCGACTGTGTTTTCCAGTTTGTTGTCTTACCATATACACTGCTTGATGCGAGAACCAGAATCAATAATGAGTTCTAAGCGTGCTATCGGGCCACTGGACAATCGGAAAACGCTAACTCGCTGCCAATCATGTGCAAAGAGACGCATCAAAGTATGAGAGTTCGTGAAGCGCCCCTGTAGTAACTTCAGCTGACATGCTTCTTAGTGTCAAGGTGGCTTCCCTTGCGAGTACTGTATTCGCACCAACAAGACATGCCTTCCTCAAGCTGTCACAGCAAACAAAGTAAAGTTTGTCCGTTGCAAAACATTTCAGTCATCATCTCAAGTGGCAAAGCCTCCTATGCATATTACCGCAAGGCCTGATATCACGTACTTGGACTACTTCGACTTGTTCATGCAACGCTGCCAGTTTACAAAAGGATCTACAAATTTAGCGTCTGATCTCCTACCCCTGCTTCAGTCATGCGCACCCCTTCGAGAAGTTACAATTGCCATCGGCGCACTCGAAGCTAGCAGGCGGGCTACCGTGCATATTGGAAGCGACAGGCCAGCGCCAATTAATGTCGCCTTTGGATCGTATGGCAGGTCAATCCAGAAGCTCCAAGATCGACTCCAGTCGTCGGACGCGTTAAGGTGTCAAGGTGTGCTGTGGTGCACACTACTTCTTGGACTCTTTGAGGTAGGCTTTAGCTCTGATGTTGAGACGTAAATACTGACCGTGGAAGTTGATGACGCAAGTATCTGGTGATCCATGGGCCAATCACATGTTATACGGGACCTCCAAAATTCTTCAGTCGTCCGGCATAACGAAACCCAGTGGTAAGCTCGGAGCTCAATTCTTTGGGGCTTTCAATTGGTTAGAAGCGAATAGAGCCATCTTGTATGGTGAAGACACTATGCTTTCAGAAGAAGAATGGCAAACTTGTTACCAAACTCTTCCTTCGGCCTCGGATAGTCAAGCTGATACAATATTTGAGATCTTTATCGAGATTTCTTCCTTCAGCAAAAAGTTAGTTTCTCTGTCTAAATCATTGCACTCTAAATTGACGTTAAAGAAGATTCTTTGATCATATTGAGAGTATGCCGGAGCACCTGCGGTCTTGTCATCCCCATATTAGTAGCCTCGCGGATGAGGGCCGCATGTATCAACAACGACTCCACGAATGGCATGACCGAACATTAGCAATTGAAGATTGCGTAGAATTCCACGACAAACTTGCGCTTACAGTTTACCACGCCCTGCAGTTGTTTATATGCATGAATTATACGTTCTACAAATTCTGGGATGAGCATAAAATTCCCAGACTTGATGCAAATGAGACTGATGTTCACGTCTCAGCTATCATAGCTCACGTTGGGGATATTCTTGATCATTCGAACATTTCAAGTTTACTGCTTTTGTTTCCGCTTCGAATGGCTGGTGCGAACACGAGCAACGCTTCAGAAAAAGGTCAGATTATGAAGTTACTGCGCAGGATATCGCAGAATGGATTCGTGGTCTCAAACAGGATCGTGGTTGACCTAGAAGAGGTCTGGACCTACAGAGATCTACTGACTGTTAATGTATAATTAGTTGTATAAATAAAGAGATGTCGTATACAAGCATCGAATATCAAGCTAGACGGACTCAATATAACCAATTTCGGTAACTATATATCATTCACCGTATCCCTCCATCATTCAAACATACTATTTGGATCAGGGAAATCCACTCCAACACCGAGAACAGGGAAAAATCGTCATAAGAATCAAAAACCCTGCTTTCCGGAGCTACTATTCGAATCCAACTCGAGTGACAGCCCCATTCCGAAGAGCCCCGCTGGCATGCTACTTTGCCTGTATGTTTAAAAACTCCATAACAACTCGAGTTCGTAGTTCCGGAGCGAAGTAATCATAGCCTACAATGATGGCGCATTCGTTCACGTATATAGTGACTGGGATTGCGCCTTGGTACATCAAACTCCACTGGGACGATTGTCAGCCAGCATACTTGAGTATTGGGACAAGGGGATCTTACCGCTGCAACAGGAGAAGGGTTGAAATCTCGCTCAACTAGCCCTTCAAAAACAGCACCGGAGTCGACCAAGATGCTTTTGCTGAAGATCGGAAAGTTCGAATTCACGTAGCCCCTCCAAACGCTGGGGGTGGTGTTTTGATGGTTGTAAGTCGTCAGCGTATTGTCCACCAACCCCGACTTTGTAATGTTGGAATAGTCGAAGTATGACGAAGCAAGTTGACTGCCGAAAGCTTCATCTACACGAACGAAGTTCTTGGAAGGAGAATTTTCGATGTAGCCAACTGTGATGTGTGACAGTTCGGCATTCCTAACCCAGAATGTTAGCAATAGCCATTGTGTTGGGGCTTTGAAGTACGGACCACTTGTGCTGTACAAAGTGAGCCGTGTATTCTGGCTTGACGATTGGTGGTTTTGGCTGCTTGAAACCAGAAGAAAACTCAACGATGGAGGATGGGAAGGGAGGGCATTTAAGAGGAGGAGCTGCGGCCACTGCAGCAGCAAAGCCAATGAATAAATAATGATAAGACAACATTTCCAAAGTAGATATAACTCGAGATGAGATGTTAGAATGATCTATATTACTTGGGCTTTGATCCAGGTATTTATATGTAAATACAGTCTTACAATCACATTATTTATCTTGCGTGGATCTTTCAGCGCGTTCAATAACTACCCAAAGAGGTTAGTCTGGTTCATGTCGCGAACTTGGGGCTGTGTGTCTGCGTAAGCTTGTCAACGAAATGCGTTTAATTCTTTCCTTTCTCGGATAGTACCATGTATTTAGTAAACAATTTACTTTAGTATTAGCCGAGACACGTCGAAAGGACTGCTGGTAACTGTACAAGGTTCTTTTCAAAGGCTGATGGGGTGGATTGACAAGCAGAATGAATGAAATTGTTTAGGCAATTTGATTACTCTGCTGAAATATTGCTACCCTGTAAAATTCAACCTAGTATAGTCGATACGTATTCTACACTTTTACTCTCCACTTAGACCCCACTAGGAATTGCCTTGATACAATTGCAACAGCTGCCCCAAGAAGAATAGACACGCCACAAAATATGATCAAACCAGAGAAATCACCACCCTGATCACTAACTATAGCTCCAGCGATAGGGCTACCGACAAGTACGCCGAAAGCTGCAACGCCATACAGGGAGCCATTGCGCGTACCAATACTGCGCACGTCTGAGAACGAAGCCACCATGGCGGGGACAATAGAAAGTGTGCACCCAGAGGTGAAACCATATAACGCGGCGTAAGCTATCACCGACGCAGTGGAATGGGCAGTAAGCCAAACGGTAAGAGTAAAGATTCCACCGAGCAGAGTCAGAGGAATCATGACGTTGAAAACACCAATTCGGTCGCCAAGATAAGCTGGGAGGAGTCTGCCAAATGTGCTAGAGATATTTGTAAGCCAAACGGCAATTAAAATGATGATACCCAATAAACTTACGATGTGGCGTTGACTATGGGAACCATGTATTCAGCTAGTTTCGGAGATACACCAAGTGCCTTTGCTTGCACAATGATGAAATTGAAGGGCAGAAAGGAACCCAAGTATAGAAGGAATGCTGCTATAGTCAGGAAAAGAAAAGGCATCTCCTTGAATGGTGTGACAAAGTCCTTGGGGTTGAACTTTCTCCGTGGTGGCGGTAGTCGTGACTTGATAGTCAGGTTTGCAATAGCCAAAAGTCCTAAAAAGAGGAATGCGACAGATCGCATTGCCCAGCCAAAGCCTATCCTGACCACGAGGTGATTGACCATGATTGGGAGCACGACACCACCAAGACTAGATCCAGCGGTGACAATGCCGAATGCTATGGCGCGGTGTCGAAGGAACCAAGTACCAACAGCAGCAATAGCTATAATATACCGTATTAGCTACTTTTGAAGAGAATTGACGATACAAAAACTACTTACGAGCGTAGAACAAGAACGAGCATCCTATCGCACTGCAGAAGCTTTGTGACAAAAGAATTTGGTAATATTCTTTGGATATTGATGTCATCATCAAACCAAAAACATGGAGGAATGAACCGAGGAGGATTGGTATGCGAGGACCAAACTCGTCAGTCATTTTTCCAACGACAGGACCCTATAAACCAGTTTAGAAAATGCCGCTTGGCGAAAGTGACTAGTGGGTATTAGAACTACATACCCAAAAGAACATCATGAATGATTCCACTGATGGTATCCATGCGATGGTGCTTGAGGAATATGACTTGAGCTGATTATGTTCATAATAATCCTGGAATATGCCGATACCTAGTGCCGTTATTATCCGTCAAACTCAATTGCTCATGGTTTAATAAACGTACAATTAATCCATCCGAAACTGGCAAAGACCGCGCAAAAGCCTCCTGCGACAACGGACCAAGCTTCTAATCCTCCATCAGGGGGAGGACCAAAGTCTTTGCCAGGACTGTTCAATTGTTTTTCCGCAGGTAATTCTGGCTGCGATTGGGATTCGTCCCCAGATGGAAGAAACGGGGGTGTTTGATTGGGATCTTGTTTTGGTTCAGACATTCTGTGTATTGGATGGAAATCGAAAAATTGGGTTCAGAATGATAGAGAGGAAGTTTGATGCATTGAATGCGGCTCTTGTCGAGGGACACATTCTTTCTTATAAGAAGCCAGACTTTCAGACAAAGGTTCTTCTTACAAATGCTACCCTTGACTTCGCGCTCGCAGGATGGTTCCGAATAGGGTTAAGTCGTCTTTAGGATCTGAGCGGAGTGATAGGGCTAGATTCCCTGTCAAAAACCTCGAATAATGATGCTCTATTTGGCTTAGCTCACTCTGTCGCAAGTCAGCCACCTCGACATCATCGCTTTCCCGCCTTATTAATCCACGTTTCCTTTCCAACAACGTTGAAAGACATTTCGAAGCATGGTACTTAATCCGGTATAGTGCCTTGTAAAATTGGATATCATCACAGTCTTTCAGGCCTCGTCTCCCGCTCTCCCCACCATGGTCGGCATTGCTGGGAAATCCAAAGCATGTCACGACTGCAAGAGGCGTCGCGTCAAGGTACAATACAACCCTAACGTTAAGTCAATCTCTGACCAGGATATTAATAATGTCTCATTAGTGTGATTTCACAACTCCGAAATGTTTTCGGTGCACCAAAGCAGGAATCTCATGTCGTGGATACGAGAGGTCGACACTTTGGGTCCACCGAACTCAAGCTAGACCCAATGTCTATGCGTTGTCGGCTGTGAGAGATGCAAAGCTCGAAGAACATCAGCTAGAGAACTCACAATCAGTCGACTGGTTACATGTGCTACAGAACATGCGCCACCAGCTCTATTCGTCTAACCCTTCCTATAAAGTAGCGACATTTCGATTACAAGCGCTATCCATCGCTGACAAGATCTACCACCCATTGCCTAAAGTCACTGAAAGCTGCGAAGACTCGACTTCAACGCCATCGTCCTGGTTCAAAGCAGTATGTCAAATGCCGAATCCCAGCGAGGTACTGGATCACTCTCTCTTGGCATTTTGTGCCATCCAAATTCGTATATCCCGGAAATCTGGAATTTCTTATGGCGAGACAATTCAACTATACAACCACGCTCTATCGAAGATTATCAGCATCCTCGATAGTCCGGAAGATGGTGGTAGTGACGAGAGTCTTGCAGCGATTATTATTCTTTCCACCTGTGAGGTAAGAGAAGACATCTCGAATTAAAATTATTTACTGACACGAAACAGCTATTTCTTTTTAGTTCAGGCTCCAGTTGGAATGCACACGCCCAGGGTATTTCCGAGATGCTTCGCAATCGCGTCGCGTCAGGAAACACTACAAAGAGCTGGAGCGATCTTTGTCGTCGTCTTTGTGTAATTTGTGTACGTGTATACCAACTCTAGATGGAATCGTGCTAACCCAAGCTTACACCATCCCAGGTCATCCAAGCAATGGTACAGAAACGCCCTCTTATACTTGAGCCTGATATCTGGCGGCAACAAACCAAACCTCACTCTAGCCCTACCTCTTTCGGCGGGTTACTGGACCTCGCTGTGGACATACCCTCGATCATGGCGAGTGTGCATACAGTCTCACGAATTAATTTGCTTCCACAAGTCAACCAACTTGTTCAGAAGTACCAGGAGCTCGAACATTGGCGAAACAATTATAACAAACACAACTGGGATTCAAGCCAAACACTTGTATACTGGTCCGTTCCTGCGCAGGCCAGCAATCCAACTGATGACGACCACACAGAGAAGCTATTCCCATTCGCCCTCATCTTCTCGTCTATTGCAAACGCCAGTGTATGGATATTTACGTCTACCATAATGCTTGATATCCTTGACACAATTCTTCTTCTTTGTTCAGAGAACCAAGATGACAACACTTTGCTCCCATATGAGGATGAGACACTCGGCAGTATCATGTCGCCCAATTTGCTGGATACCCTACGGGTGGATGCTGATAAATTGAGTCGACTGCTATGTCAAAGTATTGAGTTTTGTTATCGCATTGAGAATGGTACATTTGGCCCGCAAATAACATGCTATGCTCAAGCGACATTGTTGAGCTACTTTGCAAACCGCGGACTCCGTCGTGAGTTGGATTGGTGTAAAGCTATTCTTCGGATGACTGGCCCGGGAATGAGCTTCGGGATCAATCTAATGCAGTTGAGGTCAGTGCCTGGAAATGTGTGAGAGAAGAAACAAAGCGCACATGTAGATATATGTTGACAAAAGGGACGTACAAATGGTATAATAGAGGTAAATGCAAAATTGATCTTTCATCCCTGCATGCCTGTCTTTTATGCAATATTTTACTGACAGGAATAGTGATTTACGCGAAGGCCGTGCAGTGCATGCCAAATATCTATTGGTCACAACCCTCAGATTTATCTTTTCTTCTCTTTTTCTAAGCTGGTCCAATCTTAACACCACCTCCATCAAACTCAACCTCAACACCAAAGCCCTGTGAGAATGGCTGAGCACATTGAAGAAATGATTGAGAACGCCTTTGGGCCCGACTATGAGGCCAAGCGATATCCTGGCGGTAAGAAGAACCCCGACAATTATTGCCATTACCGCAAATGGGGCTATACACTTTACCGGACATAGTCCGACAAGGAATCCGACGAGGCTTGGAAAATGCTCCTTCACTCCTTGAGACACCAGACCAGATTGGCATTCGGCGGCTTTGAAGAAGAGGTTGTTAATCAAGACGACGTGCAACGACTGAAGAACCTGTTCGAAATCGATGGTCGTGAGGACCCTTCGCAACTTAGAGGTCTCGATGCCCAAGGGTTTCGAGATTTCTGGAACGCTGAATCCCTCAAGGAGGAGAAAGCTGCAGTACAAATACCGGGTAAAAGACGCCGCTTGACAACAAGACACAGCGAAAGCCTTGGCATGGCAGATTGGGTCCATCAATTTATATTACTCGCCGATGGGGCAACTTTGAAGGACGTGGCAAACGGCGAACTTGTTGTCAAAGCTATCCCATTGCAGTGGAGGGGGGTTGGATGCGGATCCCAACAAGCTATCTATTGGACCTTTGGATATTGCTGAAAGATTGGTCCTGTCGTACAGAAATCGCCCTGCGTTTCCATGGTTCCGAGGAAGAGCTTCACTTTTGGATCTGGCCGGGTGATGATAATCGCCGTAGCACTGGGAGGTATTCTGAGATTCGACGATTCCCATATTACAACAATCAGCACCTTGAGGGAAACGACCAGCACTTTGAGGGATTGTTTAGGGAGGCTGGCGAAGAGGGAGTTTGACAACTCAAGAAATTATTCCATCTCGACGCTCAAAGTAAACATACAGAGAGTATTTTATAGGAATATGCATTAATCATCTCTGAAAATCGGTCGGTAACTCATACACTGGTGCCTAGGGCCAGACAGACAAGATAGTGGCCAAATATTCAGTCATCCTCGGGCCGCAATATAACTAGAACTTTTGAACTGAAGCTACCCTGTATAAGCTACATAGTTCCACCACTGTAACTTCACTTTAGGGGGTGCTTCAATACCGTCCTGCCAAAGTGACTCATCTCTTTCATCCTATAAAGCTCATCGATTGCCTGCTTGCCTGTACCATCAAATATGCGGACAGGAGTTGGTATATACTCAGTTCCATAGTGCTCAACAACCCAGCCTAACGCTCTCCACATTCTTTCCGCAGCGACCATATCTTTAGAAAGAGTGATCTTAGTCCCATCTGGCATATCAAATTCTAGGTCAAAATGGCGACCGGCCATAGTGGGTTGGAATCCCTCTTGTGGGGTCAGCAAGACTGTTACCAAGCTTACGTTATTATGCTCAGGAATAACACTTGCGAGTAAATCCTGCGAATTCGGATAGGCGAAGGACCCAAGCGCGTCAAATCCCCAAATTGTGCCCTTGGTTCCTTTCAAAGCTGACTTGACCTGATCGGCGACGTCCTCGTCGTGATAGTCGAAACACTGAGTTGTACCTAGGGACCTGAGCCAGTCGTGTCGCTTAGCGGATGCTATAACAAAAATCGAAGGAATGCGACTGGCTCGGGCAAGCTGGATAGCAGCCATACCGACACCTGTAGCGCCACCCCAGATAACCAAGGTTCCCTCTGGCTCTTGGGTGTTGGCACGCTCCTCGGGAGTAGCTACGCTTGGAGGCAGGGGTAAACGGAGTCGGTTATATAGTGCATCATTTGCAGTTTGCACCACGATAGTAAGGGCGGCAGCTACATGCGGTGGCACGTTATCAGGCACCTTGGAAGCCCAAGATGGTGGAATAGCGATGTATTCTTGGTGTGTACCATAGCGCGATGGCCGACCCTCGCCGGCTGTCACAAGGCCGGCAACGATGTCACCAGCTTTGAAGGATGTGGCGGCTAGACTCGGAGTCTCGAGGACCTCACCACAGAATTCATTGCCAAGGACGTAGTTCTTGAAACCATGGAGCTCAAGGGTTCGCACATCAGATAGATTGGCGCCTGAGTATAAGACTCTAATGAGGATTTCATCGTCTTCGGGCTGGGGAGCTGGAAGGTCGTGGAGGATAACTTTACCGACTTCATTGCTGTAGATCGCAGTGCTCTTGGTTGGTGCGGTGGTCATGGTCGGTGGTTGATTTTACTGGCCTTGTTGGAGCAGGTATTATAGTTCAAGATGCGAGGGTAGAAGTCGGAATCAAGTCTCGAGTTGCCAGGCTTTATAAAGACATGGTCGACCCAGTCCGTCGCATGTGTCGATTCTATGCGGACAAACACTTCAAGCTCCGCATTTAGCTCCTCTTAGTACAGATTAATTGGCGTGTTACCAACACCGCTACGTCCAAAGCCCGCTAAAATCCGCAATGAAAAACCGCATAACTCACCTAAAACCAGTCTCAGAGCGGCTTGTAGCTTGATGCATGAGGCATTAAATCATGTACAGCCTCCAAGGGTAATAAAGGTGAATTTTGCCACTGAAATCTGTACTTATCAGTACGTATACTTAACTCCAATTTGTTAGTAGAGCTAATAGGACTCTATTGGAGCCAACCAGTTGAGACTAGTCAATTGCAATCTAGGTACCAGAATTCACATTTATTACCCTTGGGGGGTTGTAGCGGTCTAACTGCCTGCATCCGCCGTATGGCGGGCGGTACGGTGTTTCCCAACTGGCAAACCCAGTGGCACCAAGAATAGCAACTTTCATTTTTTCAACGACTCGAGTTTTCAACGTTGGATGACTTTACGATGTAACAGATGTTAGACTTTCATCGTTTAACTCAGCCTTTTATACCAACTACTCTGCGGAGTTGTGCATGCACATGCAGAGTTAAGGGCGGTTTGAGATGCGGAGTTATGCCCGCCACCCCTATGATCAAGGAGTCCTCTACGGACAATAATGCCTGCCTGCAGAAGCTCCGGCAGACCGGACCTGAACAAGATTGCGATGGTCCAAAGGACGAATAAAGACATGCGATTTGTGAAATATTCGGATGGCTGAAGGACGCGTCTGAGGTCGGCATTGCAACGACCTATCGGCGAAACCCTTAATAACGTCAACTTTTGTACTAACTGATTCAGGCAAGTTAACATTAGCCTTCTATTGTTAATCAAGGGCAAGGCATTAATTGATATAGCGAGCATAGAAAAACGTCAACTGAATGACGTCGAGATGGCTTATGTAGATCTGTAGAATTTTCTATTCGCTTAGAAAATAAGCTTCCGACGCTAATGCAACCTGCTGATAGTCCAATAACCTTACCCATGCCGATAGAGGGATGGGAAGGAATAAACGAGTAATAGAACCAAGCCTCGTTAGCTAGTTCTTCATATGGAAACTGAGACGGAGCGTGTTAAGCTTATAACAAGGCATGTGAATGTTTTGTACCTTTACTATCAAGTCAAAAAATCGCGGATTAAGTTCAACCAAATCGAAGACAAAAGTGTAGAACCTGATTTGCCCTTCTGGAAGCCTCCGAGTCAGGCACAGACTCAGACACCGAGCAAAAAGGCATGTTACACTTTGTCGGTCAGATCTTCGGGTGAATTGTTCCATCAAGGGGATCTTGGCATGTTTAAGCCGCATGGCAAACGGCAGCGAGAACGCGCGGCCTAATTGATCAACGGTTGTGATGTAGTTTCCAGATGCAAGTGATGAAATTGCCAGGATCTGTTCGGCATATCGAACAAAGGATATATAGTCAATGATATTCGCACTCAGAGATCAATACCGTCATCGCTAACCATCCTCATCCTCATCCTTTCCCTCTCACCTCTCTCGCAACGAAGTCTACTCTCAACCCTGGCCGCTGTCAGTTCTGTTGCTGCCCAGAACATGTCTTTCGGCGCCGACAACTTCTACCGCGGCGAGTCCGTCAAGCTCTAGCCCATTACCTTCAACACCAAGTATAACAACTCCATCGCCGGTAACCTCTTCCTCGCCAACAACCTGAGCACGACCACCAGCCAACCCACCATTGTCGTCGGCCACCCCATGGGTGCCACCAAGGAGCAGAGCGCCAACCTGTACGCTCAGAAGCTCGCCGAGCAGGACTTCTTCGTCACCTTGACCCTCGATCTCCCCTTCTTCGGTCTCAGCGACGGCCTTCACAACCTCGTCTCCCCCGATATGTACACCGAGGCCTACAGCGCCGCCGTCGACCATCTTGGCACCTACGACTTTGTCGATCGACAGCGGATCGGAGCCCTTGGTATCTGCGGTAGCGGTGGTTATGTCATCAATGCCGCCAAGATCGATACCTGAATCAAGGCCATAGCCACCTCCTCCATGTACGACATGGGTGCGGTCAGCCGTGGCGGTCTCAATAACTCTCAGGACCTTGAAACCCGCATTGAGATCCTTGCCAACGCTGCTGAGGCCCGCCGGGCTGCCGTTGATGGCGAGCCTGAGGCCATTTCCATCGGTACCCCCCTCGAGCTCACCGACGAGACTGATGCCGTCAGCGCTGAGTTCTACGACTTCTACCGCACCTACCGTGGCGAGTACACTGCTGCCGGCTGGATGGTCAACATGACCAGCTACCGAACCCTTGCCACCAACATCAAGTTCTTCAACTTATACCCCTTCCACAACATGGAGCAAATCGCTCCTCGCCCTCTCCTCATCGTCTCCGGTGACATCTCCCACTACCGTGAGTTCAGCGTCGACGCCTACCGCGCTGCTTCTGAACCCAAGGAGCTCTTCTGGGTTCCCCAGGCTAGCCACACCGACTTGTACGACCGTACTGAGATCATCTCCTTCGACAAGTTCACTCAGTTCTTCCGCCATAACCTCGCTGCTGGCAACTCCACCAATTGAGTGTCTTAGACTTGTACCTTTTGTCAATTTCGACACAGTTATTCTCAGCAGACTACTGTTTTGAAACGTATACCAGGATTAGAGATATCTCCCATGGTTTTCAATTTTCTTCGATATAGCGCCAGTGCTATCTCTGTATCTACTCAAATTCAACCCAGAGATCTATATCATTTCTAGCATTATTATATACAGAGTCGTAAATTTAGTTCTTATCATACATTTGAATCAACTAAGTGTACTATAATCTCTCTGTCTGAGGAAACTGTAGTAACTTCCAAGTCCACCGGGATATATTTAAATAACATGCCCATATTATCGAGATAGTCGGAGCTTTCTTATCCCTACACAACATGATGTAGCATACCGATTTTGGCGATCTATTGCGATGAGGCAAGCGTCCAGTAGTCAAACTTAGTGGAATGAACCAGAGCGGCACGACTGATCTTGTCACGATCATAAACTGGTCGACAGAACATTATACATATAACCTATTTGATGAGTTTACACAGCGCTTGTACTAATGCACGCTTTCGTCGCATGTTTTCTTTCAATCAACTCTCTACTTGACCTCTGAAAATGCCTGCAACGCATCGTGCAACTTGCCAAAAGTACCATCAGATCTTCAACTATGGCAAGCTTCCAATGTTGAGGAACAAATTACCTAGATTAACATGTGGGGGGTCTTAGACCTTAGCGGTTTCTAGATCTTGTCAGCAGGTTGCATGAGGTGGGGGGAAGGGGGGAGGTAAATGGAAACTACTTTTAAGAGTTATTTAAGGGAGATGCGCCAAAATAATATCACAAATTCTAATCAACCCAATATCAACATTTTATAGCAACGCTCGACTCTAACACACCGGTATGGCACACTTATCAACAACTATGACCTCTGTCCACGGGAAAACATTCCTCATCACCGGTGGTGCTTCGGGCATCGGCCTGGCAACCACGTCAGCTCTGCTCGACGCGGGTGCACAGGTAGCGGTTTGTGACATCAGTCAGGAAGGGTTATCGAACTTTCTCAACTCTCTCGAGCACAACCAACACAGCAGAGCATTTGCCCAAAGAGTTGATATTACCGACCGAGAATCTGTCAAGGCATTTTTCCAAGAAGCCAAAGATAGGTTTGGCAAAATCGATGGTTGTGCCAACGTTGCAGGAACAGCAGGACGGAGACTGGGCCATGAACAGATCTGGGAAGTTGACAACAAGCAGTATGATTTTGTCATGGATATCAACGTTCGAGGCCTCTTCAATGTGCTGGTAGAAGTAATGAAACCTGGTTTCTTAGAGGAGCCAGGTACCTTTGTGCATGTGTCTAGCATGTACGGCCAGCGGGGATTTCCAAAAGGAAGCATATACAGTGCCAGCAAGCACGCTGGAATTGGCTTAGTCAAGAGTGTTGCAATAGAAGTAGGCAAGCGAGGGATCCGTGCGAATATCGTGACGCCGTAAGATGCCCCCCCTGATCAGGAAGATGTCGTGCTGACACTCAGTTACCTAGGGGCCCGATTGATACACCTATGCTCCAGATGAATCAGGAACATAGAGGTGAAGGAACGGCTCCAGACGTTCCATTAGGAAGGCTTAGCAAGTCGTCCGAAGTTGCGAATGCAGTGCTCTTCCTTCTGAGTCCATCTTCAAGCTATGTTACGAGAGCCACCTAGGCGATTGACGGTGGAGCAAATGCGTAGCCGGTTGTTAGAACAGAAAACATCCTAACGGCAAGATGGCACTCATGCTCTGTTCGTTAAAATGATTGCAATAGTATAAGGGCTATATCTTACACCTAATGCAACTACCTGTTAAAAACATAGTATGTACTCTTATCCTTAGTTCTTAACAGACAAAGACAAAAATCAAAACAATGGGATAGGTGGATTTAGGGTCAAGATTGAATCCAATAATGTGAGCGCCAAAATGACTTGCTTATCGAAATGTTCATATATGCTTCATAATCACTAGCATCAAAAACTATATAACAAGCCGACTTCTGACAACAGCACGAAAATTATATACATGCTTGCCACTGCTTTTCTGTATGCCTCTCTCACAACATGAGCCTTCGGATATTCAAGTTCCGCAACAGCAAAAACGTTTGATGCGGCATCATGGCCTGAAAACCTCCTTGCCATATCCTCGCCGAGAACAGACGTTAACGTCGATTGTTGACTGTCCATCACGTTATCAAAAACAACAGGTAAAATAGTTAGAAACGCAATGTAAAGAAAAGGAGGACAACGAAGAAAGTTGAAATTAAGTACTGATTGATAAAACTGATTGATAAAGTAGACCGAACGGAGATCTCGGCTTCGCCCGTTGGAAAATGAAATCCGATCCCTGTACGTAATGACCGATGTGGATCATAACCCGTTGTGCAAAAGCACTTGATAGTTGACTTATGAGACATGGAATCATATATACACGTAGTTCATGCATTAACTGGCTCATATATCTTGTTATTGCCGATAACCTATTGCCCCTTCCCGTTGTATGTCTAGCCTGGACTACACCCTATCTTAGAATCTTGTCAAGATAAAGCTTGAAGTATCCTTTTGAGCCCTTCGTCCAACACGTGTTGTGGATGCGCAATTACAAGTCGAAACCAGCCTGAATCCTCGCTTCTGTAACCACGTGCAGACGTGATGTAGACATTCTCTTTTCTCAGAAGCGCGAGAATTTCATCATCGCTGGCAACTTGACGATGGGCTGCTGCCGTCAGGTTTACCATCAAGAATAAAGAAGCGTTCGACTAGCGGTACGGTATCCCGTGTCGCTGTAGAAATCCAGTAACATTCTTATAGCTCTTTGCTAGACGGGATCGGTGTAGAGATATGTAGTTATCAGTGAAGTCTTTATTCATCAGCAGTGACGCCGCTGCGATATCAGAAAGACTTGATGGAAAGTTGAATAGTCTATTGCAATTAAAAGCCGAAATCAGATATATGACGATCTGTGGACTTACGAGAAGCTTTCGAGCGATTTATGAAACAACGGATTACATTGGCTTATGAGGCAACCGACACGTAGGCCAGTGGCACCAAAGTCCTAGGATGATGTTAACTCTCCTTATCTCGCCACCTTCGTGGTGCTGCTCTCGCTTGCCTTTCAGAAGCCCGGTTCATGGTTCAATATGATCTCAACACACTGGAAACTCTCTTAGTTATGACGTATGGAATATGCCATAGCGAAGGAGTGGATCGTGCTTGGATTTTTCTGGGTATTGCTCTTAATATGGGTATTGTGTTGCGATGCAACGCCAATCACTCGAATCAAAACTTTGTTGAGCAGCAGAGGCGACGACGATGCTGGGCCGGCATTCGAATGCTTTATACCTACCAAGGTATTCTTTTCCGCGATGTCGATCCCTCGTTCCTCCTTTCCTTTCCTTTTACTATGCCCGCAGAGGTTGACGATTCCGATATACAAGCGGATTCAATTAAGGAGCCATCAACATATCCAAACAGCATGTCGCTCACCAAGTTCAAACTTCGCTTGTTTGAGCTGTCAACTCAGATATGCTCCCGACTTTCTAATAGCTCATCATGTGACGAAGCTACTATGCATCACTTTGACGGTCTAATCGGAGTCGAACAACAGCATTGGGCGTCCGCTTATATACCTTCTGGGTGTCCAAGCTTCCTCGATACAGCAGGGTTCGCATATTGGTGCATACTAGAGACATATGCTTACCAGCTTTATCTCCTGATTCACCGGCCTTTCTATCATTCACAATCTCCCCAATTTCTCCCTTGCAGTAGAAAGAAGTATGTCGAATCAAGCATAGCGTTATTAGAAACGTACGAGAAGTTGTGTGAGCGTCCTACGCTTCGACCATGCCGATGGCTGGTAAACGGTATGATGAGTTTCAATGCGCTCCAGGGAGTAGTTGCTTTGGCAGCTTGTCTGATTGACAGATATGGACAAGAGGATACCACAGGATCCACCTATCAGGCAGTTTTTGATAATGCCGTTATGCGGATTCGGTCACTACGGAACTCTAGTCCTGTTTGTGAAAGAGCTTATCCTGAGGTCCAAAAGATACAGTAAGGGCATACACTTCCCTTAAAGGGTAGAATCTCACGCATACAGAGAACAAATATCCATACTCAACACTAACGAGGCCCATGCACCGTCTCAAAACTGGGACGCCAGTGTCAATTGGCTTGATGAAAACTCCATCGATTGGGTAAGTGTTGTATACCTGCTAGCTGCCCTGCATAAATTTCAGCTTACAGTACAAAGGTCTTCTGGGATAATCTAATCGACAACGTTGGCCTCAGTGCTCAGGACTAACTCAGCTCACAAGAAAACTCTGGACTAAAACCAAGTATCAGAATCACGTGCCAGGTAGCTCAATAACCGGCGAGTTGATGATTGGCCTGATGTGGGTGTCTGACATCACCGTTGACTACACCAATTTCTCCGATTCCAGCAGCTACTAGCTTGGACCAGGAAGGTCTGGAGTGTTTAACTTTTGTTTACGGATTAGTTCGGACATTTTCAACTACTGAATTCTCTGACAATAGATAGCAATCGAATAGTGGTGGAGAAGTTAGTAACGCTTCACCTATTAAATTATGGCGGGTATCAACACAGATCGGGGATATCGGGAATGCTGGTCCTGGCCAAGAACGTCTAATGTCGAGGGTCTCGGATATTGCAGGATTATTATCAAGTAATTGCAAGATCCAGTTTAGTCCCCATATCCCAGAGTATGACAATAATAACAATATGTAGACACCGGTGCCATCCCGTTTTCTACTCATAATCCGATTTGATTGATAAGAAAAACTCAGAAACGGTAAATGCCCACAGGTCCTTCCTTTATTGTTAGTCACCATGATGTTCAATCACGGGTTTTACAAACAGCTAATGGGTCCGTTTTTAAGATCTCTGATGGTGTCTTGTTTATTTTCTGTGTTGGAGATCGATACGGAAACGTGAGTACAGCACAATGAGATATCCCAATGGCCTAGAATGCAGCATGATTCTGCAAACACAGATGTTACTCATAACATACCATGATACAAGCACCCTTCAATCCGCAATCTATGACAGTGAAGAGCACATACCACAGGGCCCCCGCACGTTCATTTGTGACGAAAACCCTTGCCGGATTATGTCCGCACATCGGGAAATTTAGGTTATCAGATAGTGCCTAGGCCATTTCTTTAACCCATCACTTCCTCTTATCAGATCCACAAGTGCGCTTCCGTGAAGAAACCGTTCCTCCTCTTGGTCTCTCATTGGCTTCTATCTGAATGATTTAACTACATTCGTCTCGGCAGTACCCTGGAAAAAGACGCTTTCGATTATCTATAAGATCTCTAGTACCCCCCTTATCAATCACCCACATAAGCCCTCTGCTCCCACAAGCATCTCCTTTTTACCTCTGCGCCTATAAATCATCACTATCGCACGAAATGGCCGACACCAATGGCATTGCGACCACACAGCTTCAGGATAAGCACCGCGAAAGAAGCTCTGCCCTGGACATACACGAGGCCATCTGGGATTCCAGAATCGATATGACCTCTTCGGAAGATGGTGTCCGGAAAGACGAGAAAGAGATACCGGGCGCATTGCAGCAGGTAATGACTACAAATGAACAGGTCCTGTCGCATATCTTGTAAGTGACTGTCATCCTCACTCACGGAAGCAAAGTAACCTAATAAAGTATCTAGTATCTGGTTACTGGTCTTCGCACTCGGATTCTCCAACAGTATCTTCAGAGTCCTCACCCCTTATGTCGTCAGCGACTACAAGAAACACGCCCTGACAGCGACCACCGATGTCGTTGCTAATATTGCCAGTGGCATCTTCAGACTTCCGTATGCCAAGCTGCTTGACGTTTGGGGCCGGCCCCAGAGCCTATCCCTCATGGTCTTGTTTACAATCCTTGGTGCAATTATGAAGGCTGGCTGCAACAATGTCGAAACCTACTGTGCCGCTCAGGTGTTTTACTATGTAGGATACTATGGCATTCAATTCAGCCTCGTTATCTTCATTTCCGACTCTGCTCCTATTAGGAACCGAGCTCTTCTCTTTGGCATCGTCTGGTCTCCATCACTCATCTCGACTTGGGCATACGGACCTACTGCCGACCGGATCTTGACAAACCTTGGATATAGATGGGGGTTTGGAGTGTGGTGCATCATCATTCCAATCTTTTGCGCTCCTGTACTTGCCCTGATGTTTCGCTTCGATAAGAAGGCAAGGCAAGCCGGCTTGATTAAACGAACAGAGCATGGCAAAACTATCACTGAGCGCATCATCTTTTATTTCAAAGAGTTTGACATCCTTGGACTGCTCATTCTTGCTGCCGGCCTGAGTCTGCTTCTCCTGTCGCTAAGTATTTATTCTTACCAAGACGAGGGTTGGGGTTCGCCCTTGATCATCTGCTTTCTGGTATTTGGTCCTCTACTGATCATAACCTTTATCCTCTACGAAGTGTATCTTGCACCTGTCACATTTCTCTCGTCACGGTTGCTAAAGGATCGGACTGTTGTCTGGACCAACATCATGGCTACAACACTCTATACCTCCGAGTTCATCTGCTCGGCGTATACATACTCAATGCTCATTGTGGTCTTTGACCAATCCATCACCGCTGCCACCTATATCAACAGCATCTACTACGTCGGTTCTTCTTTCTGGACGGTAGTCCTTGGGTTCATGATGCGCTACTACAGACGGATAAAGATATACACCTTGGTCCTTGGTATTCCATTCTTTATTCTTGGCCAAGGTATGATGATTGCATTCAAGCCTGGATTTACACCCATTGGTTTGATGGTTGTTTGCAAAATTCTCGTTGCGTTTGGTGGTGGCACCATGTACCCCATCGAGCAGATAACGCTTATGGCTGTTTCTCAAGAACATACGCCAGCACTTCTGGCACTGGAGTCTGTCATCATCGATGTTGGCAAGGGTGCTGGATCAGCCATTGCCACTGCTATCTGGACCGGTATGTTCAAAAACAAATTGGCTGAGTATCTACCTACAAGTGAGCTTCGAAGACTCAATGACATCTACGGAAGTCTCGATGCTCAGTCCTCTTTTCCAATTGGAAGTCCTGCGAGAAACGCCATTAACCATGCTTACCTGGACACTCAACGTGTGATTTTTATCTCCGCTACCTCGCTCTTGGCCCTCACCTGGATTTCCATTCTGTTCTGGAAGGACTACGATGTCAAGAAGATGAGTAACCTTCGAAAAGGCATGCCGGTCTAGGTTGGTAATCTTCTTCCTGCTAAAGGCAGTTGTTTATCTAAGTTGTATATAGCACCGTAACTCCCAAGGCTCTAATATGCTAGACATATAATTCAGGTAGAATTTTGCTTCTCTTATGAGGGCATAGACGGATTAAGGACGAAGATTAGATTCAATACTATCAGCGCCAAATTGACTTGCTTATCGAAATGTTCATATATGCTTCATAATCAATATCATCAAGAAATATATACAAGAAATATCCTTTCGTTATCATCCATCTATTTGCGGTAAGCAGTCCAAGCAGAGTGCATGCGGGTCTCCTGTCCAGGAGTGAACTCCTCGTAGCAAACACTGCGATTTGTATTAGCATTACATTCGAAATGATTTGAATGGGGAATACATACTCATCGGAGTAATCCATGTAGTTGTGGATAGGGTCGTCACCAGCCTGGTTGGGGCAGGTATCCATGCGAGCAGGGCATCCACTTGTCTGGCGGGCCTGGGCAGGGGTATCGGCAACGAGGTCACCACCGTTGCAACCATCCTGGAAGGTATGGAAGAGGTTGAACCAATGACCAACCTCGTGGACGGCAGTACCTCCCAGGTTGTAAGGAGCAGCAGTGCCACCAGGAACGGTCTCAGCGACGATGACGCAACCGTCGAGGATGAACTTCTGAGAGCCGGTTGAGATGTTGGGCTCGGGGAAGTAACAGTAACCAAGAGCCTCCTGGCCTCCAAGCTTGGCGACATCGGTGAAGTAAAGGTTGAGGGTCTTGTAATCGCCCTGGCGGAGCTGTCGCTTCATAGCAAGTTCACCATTGCCAGCACCCCAGTTGGAGTTGGTGGTGAAGGTAGTGTCGATGAGCTTGAAGGTAATGCCGTTGGGGCTGTAAGCGTCGTTGAGGGCCTTCAGCTGAGCCTGGAGCTTGGCAGTTGAGATGTACTTGGACGAAGATGAGGAGACAACGTGGAAGTAGGTGTCAACGACGATAGAAGCGGCAGCAACCTTGGAGATAGACTCAATCTTCTTCAAGTTCTGGGCGTGCTCGACCTGCTGGGGAGTAGGGTCGGCAACGGCACAACGAGGAGGAAGGGCTCGCCCGGCAAGACCAGCAAGGGCGTTGCCAAAGAAAAGAGCGAGAGCGAGCTTGGAAACCATTGTTGCGATGTTGTGACTTGAGAAGTTAAGACGAGTTGATGAGTTGATGATAGACTATAACATGTATGATCTAGGCTTCATATTTATAATTACATTCTTTATCTATGTCAACAATGAAGACCGGACGATTTGATCTGTCTATCTTGTCAACTTGGTATCTTATGGCGATCATTTCCGCTTATGCAAGGTCTCCGTTGACTTCGATCAAAGGTTCATCTCATCGCAGCATAGATAACAGTCCTTGTTGTTTTCAGCTGCCCATAAGAGCGATGTGATACTTGTAGCTCCATCCGTAAATTATTCCGTTTGATTCGACCTGCCCCTTTGACTCGTGAGTGGACATGCTGTTCCCGAGTCTATTCCTGGAACATGTTAGTGTAAAACCGCACGAGTCAAAGTACCCCTGTACCTTCTGTTCCTGGCAGTAACCGCCGTAGGTATACGAGACGACCGAATGCCGGGCGCCAAGAGGTCTCCATTCTTGGAAGGACACTCGAGTGACATATGGGTCACATTGAGTGATTAATCAATGCACTAATAGTAAGCTTAGAACAAGCATGATTGCTAACTGCCGATGCGGAGAGAAAGACAAGAACTTTTGCCAAGGCTATATTATGCGAAGTAATGCAGTGGGTCTTCTGCCGATACCGCTGATGACAGACAGGGGTGAGAGCGCACTAGTTACGAAGAATCGGCAATAACACCAAAATAGTCTGGAGACAAGGGTATTACGTTCCTTGTCCGTTTACCCTAAACCTACCGATACACCATGAATTTCTCCTGTTTTTGCACCTACTTCCAGCTCAGTGACTTGAATATAGCCTTCTAATGCACTTGATATACCCTATCCCCAGCTATAGAAATCCTGAGTGTATACGGGCGAGAGAGCGGGAGTGGCATAACTCGCCCTGTAATATGATGTGATACGTTTATTACTTATTTCATTGTTTCACACCATTTCTTGTGGTAGGATTTTGACCGAGGTAAGCATACACAAATTGGCAGATCGATCCTGACACTATGTACAACAAATTTAAGATGTTGACCTGAGGTTACCAGCCAGATAGAATCCACCCTGATAGAGGCCGGCCTGAGAAGCGGCAAAAGGACCTGAACCTGACCATGTGACCGGCAATGAGATGTTTGAAACCAATCCAGTAATCTCCGGAGCATCGTTCTGATTGTCTGCGTTGAAAGAGCTTTGTGCAATCTGCAAGCCACCTTGCGCGAGTCCACCCAGTGCTCCAACCAGTAACAGACTTGTTCCATCTGTCAAGACCGTACCAGCAGCTGCCGCAACTAGCCCAGCATCTTGGACTATCTCTTCAGCGGTCTCTATACCCTGGGATTGACTTATCGTATGGTTATTGACGGTTGGCTGGTTGGGTTCATAGCTGAGAGTCTGGTTGGACGCATCAAAGGCTAATGTCATCCAACTTTGAGAAGTGTTGTATGCTGTAACCGTTCCCAGTACATTTTCCTTGACAACAGTCGAAGTCTTAGCATACGTGGAGACAATGCTGTCTTGGACAGAGATTTGCAATTCTGTCAAGAATGGCAAATAAGGAATTTCGGTAATAGAAGGTGGCGATGATCCACCTGTGAGAAAATCCTTAATTGCGTCTGCCGCTTTGTTAAAATCCGAAGCAATAGAGCTTGTGTCAGAGTGTGGGATGTCGACCTCAAGCTGAGGTTGAGGGATGGCAGTATCTGCTGTGAGAGATATGCTAAGGAGATTCGTATCAATGCTCATGTTCTGTGACGGAATGTCGAACTGGTCACTTGCTGCCGTTGCCAGGAAGTTTTTGAGAAACAGAGCAGGAGAAATCATGAACGCTGCCTGACAGTCTGCTGGGATAAAGGATGGGCTGATTTGCGGAACCGAGCCCGGAGTAGTGTTGCCTCCAGTGTTGTAGGTCAGGCCAAGATAGCTATTGGCAAGACCGCCATCCACAAGCTGAAGATAGGTATATGCCACAACGGAAGGCTGGCAAAACGCCCATTGTGTATCGGAACCAACACTAGGATCCAGCTGGACACTGGCAAAGACGCGGTTGAATTGTGACAAGTTGTTGGACAACCAGGTGGTCAAAGCCTGATTGATGGCATCGCTGTCGAACTGATTCGCCAAGGGTTTACCAGTGTTATCTAGCAGTGACTGGATCGCAGTGGGAGGCCGGCTGCTGTCAACCACCAAGCTTGACCATATGAGCCAGTATCGATGAATTTCAAGGTGAGTTGCACCTGTGCAACGAGCGAGGTGTAGCTGAAATTGCTTAAGAGTTTGCCACCGCTGCTGATAGATCTCGAGACACTTTCGAGCGGAATACTGAACACAATGAGGTCGGAAGACCCTCCTGTCGTGATCTGCCATGTTCCAAAAGCGGCCTGGGCCGACAATTCGTCGATCGACACTTGCATGCTCAAAGGTGAGCTATTTTGATTAACGATAGCATCGTTGACAAAAAGGACTGTGACAAGAGAGACAACGTCCCATCCATTCATGTTCAAGTTGTTCATTTTGAAGGTGATTTTGCAAATCGTCAAATGTGTTAATAATTTTGTTAATGACCCGGATAATGCTTCTTGTGAAGAATTCCCCTCTCGATGACATGACCTTCTTATATCGTGCGTAAAGGATGGGCTTGGTAGGTTTTTCTGGGAAGACCATTCATTCAATAAAATGCAGTAGTATACTATTCATTGCCATAAACATACATCTGCATGCCATCTAAATGTGTATACAGGATGTTCAAAGCGTTGGGTTTCCGCAGTTGACATGTATTTGCTGGCTTTCTATTGGATATGGTAGGGTCGTGCGTCTCAGCTCTCGCGTTTTCGGACTTAGTACACTAAAACTCGGCTTCTAGACTATTGAGGGACGTTGCCGATCTATAGTTCAAGCCGGGATTCACTGCCATCTGAAAGATGTCTCAGCCTCAAGAGCAGTCTAGATGCCAAAATGTACTCATTTTCATCAGCCACAGAATGATAGTTCAGCTGAAACATCAAGCGAGAACTTCAATAGCCATTCCTATAGGTTTCGTTAATGTGATAACGGAATGTCTCAGTTTGATAGCAATGCAAATCCCTGCGCTTGCCCAGATACCCTGGTCACAGCGTGATAACCCAGCTGATATGTCACTTAATCTATTGAATCGTCTGAGTTGGAATGGCAGTCTAGATTTCTAATTTGTTACTATCTATCAGTCACTGAGTGACACCGTGGCCGCAATAGGATTCTAGATTCTTTAATTCGTTTTTTTAGTCTAATCACAACCTCGCACTTAGTCGCTGTAGGTTCAAGGCCCCGTCGTAATTCAAAATTGAGTAGTTTCTATGCTGTCTGGTGGAGTAGAACTCAAGTCTATAGTTTCATCCTGGTCGACGAGGTGAGACCAATGAATCACCAAAGTGATGAATACGCAGCATTTATCCAGATGCTGTATTGTCGATACGACAAAGTGAACTATAAAACAGTTCTATCTTGCCCGTTCCTGATCAAATCAACACACCATCAGTTTCAACATCCTCAGCAATTCGACATTTCTCACTACATTATCACTCAATCTTTGCAACGGCTTTCATTATGACTACTATTGATACAAACGGCTGGGACTTGGTCTATGCGACCAGCTACACCAACGTGAACACCGAAATCGCAACACAGTGGTCAAGCTTGATTGCTGATCTGGCGATTTCCCGATACTCATTTGCTGGTTTGACCGATCTCAATGTCACCAGCGCAGGCCTCGCAGAGTCACTTCAGATCGGTTTTACCAGTGCATCCCAGTTGGGTAGTGAAACGTGAGGATTATAGTAGATGGGACATAGCTCGTTAGGGATGATGATCGATATTTATCTACAATGTCAAGTAAACTTGGCCCAATAAGACACCTTATCAAATCACGAAATTCGGGAGCGTATATAGAGTGAAGCCATCAATAAAGCCAGCTCGTCATCAACTGGTCAGGACATGTAACGGCAATAGGGTCAAGTTATGACTGGACAAATAAGCTGTTCGCTTTTTTTGACTCCTTGAAGCTATGGAAGGACTTGGCAGGGTCTCTATGGGCGCTACCGAATTTTCTAGGTTAATATAGCAAAGTACCCACAACCAGTAAGTGACCTCCAAATTGTTTATAGATTTATGTAAAAACTATTTAAGCACTTTATAGAGGTAATTAACCACTAGTAGTCGTTAATTATGAATGACTTTTTAATCATAGTCTTTACAGAAGTCATCCTCCTTCACCCATAATCCATCTGCAATCTTCAGGCCTGCTAAAATGTAAACACGTCCACCTACTCTGCCAAGAATGGATTCCACATCTGGTCGGTTGATCAGTGGCAATATGCTGTCCAGTTGCGTGTTCATTCGGACCGTTTCAAGACGACGCACAGTGAATCTGCGTGTATGAGCCTCGTTTCGACTATAATGGTAATTGAAGAGCTGCAGTGAAACGTTATGTGTAACTTCCTGCTCGATGCTCAAGTCACTAAGAACATTGCGAAGAATTGGTATCTGTATGTTTTCTTGATGCTCCAGCATTGAGTCCAGGTTCCTGGGATCGCGGAAGATGGCGCCAAGTCGGAATGGCCCAGGACGCTCTCCTACCTCATAGGATCCCGACTGGCCTCGATGACGTGAGATGTAATCTTGTTGTATATAAAGTATCCAGACCGTTGGATTATCCTTATCTTAAATTTCTAGTCGCATGGCTGCGTTGTTTTTACCGCGACTTGAATTGCCCTGATCATTGAATCCCTTTCAATCATGCTGCGTGAGACCTAAATGAGCGAAGCCTTTTTGCAGTTACTTAGACAAACACACGTGCTCGAAATTAGGTTTCAAGATGCAAGAAATGATTCTCAGCTTTAAATCCAGAAGTCTATCATTTGGTGATGTATTAATTTTGCGTTAAATTACAATACCCCATTTGCGGAGCTACACGAAGGTTTCAAGTAGACGATGGCACATTACTGAAATACGTCATTGCACTTCTTGGAACAACATTTATCCCTCCGTCTTGGCGGAATCTGCAGCCCGACGAGGCAGTTGGTCATGGCTGCAATACGCGCAATCACCTAGTACGCGAACAAGAGTCTCGAGAAATAATGACAGAAAACTCTCGAGCCCATCCATTAGGGGGGCCGAATTCTAGCCGCGCAACAAGAGCGTGTCTTGTATGCAGATCACGAAAAGTCAGATGCGATGTATCGGTCCGTGGACTTCCATGTACCAACTGTTCCTTGGACGCGAAAGAATGTCATGTTGCCGAAAGGAAATCGAGACAGTAAGTAAATTCCTGTATTCTATTACGCACCTTCAACCTCTATCTTAATCTTGACGAATTGGGTAGACAGCTTCCTTGCCTCAACAAAGCTAGCGTGCCGGCTGGAAGTCAGCAGAGATTCACCGCCACAGCGCAGGCGGATCAAGCCACGCAATCCTTTAACATAGCTCAACCACAGCAGGACGATTTTGATATACGTTCCGACTATGGCACGTTTGAACACACAATTACGGATTCATCCAGCAGTATGTTTTAGGTACTCTGAATTTATATGGAATGATGCTTATTGACCAATAGCACATACTTTTGACAACATCCACACTTCTCAGAAGTCGACGGGTAGAAATACTGAATCACCAAGACCCAGTGCGGAATCGCATGTTTGCTATCAAGATTTTCGGCAATATGGATTTGTCAAACTCAACAATATAGATTCTTTGTCTGCGCAAGACTTGGGTTACCTCCAAGCACAACGCTGCTTTCATCTCCCAGTCAAGCTTCTGTTAGATGAACTCATCAGGCTTTACTTGTTCCATGTCCATCCCATGCTTCCTATACTTGATGAGCAATCCTTCTGGGCCAGCTATTTTGAAGTAAAGGATGGGTCGGATGGCTGTAACAACCAAATCCCACTTCTCCTCTTATGGAGCGCGCTCGTTGCTTCCAGTGGTGTAAGATGCGCCCATCACTTTGTTCATCTCATTATTTCCTGACCTTCTGACTTTTTTCTCTCCAAGTTTCTTTCTCCAACCTCTGCTATATCTCTTGGATATTCTGATGTTCGCAATGCACGAGCTGGGTTCTACCAGAAAGCCAAGGTGATTCCCTTCCTTCCTATCTTCTAACGCCAACGAGGATAAGACAGAATTTAACCCCGACAGATACTTTTCGATGTCGGGTCAGAGTCCTCATCAGTTGTGTTGGGGCAAAGCGCCCTCCTTCTGTCATTTCAGACATTTTCCCCAAGCTTCCAAACCTCTGGAGTCAGCAGCATCTTTATGGGATCTAATACGATCTGGCTTAGGACGGCAGTTCGACACGCTCAACTGGCGAATGCCGAAACGATATGCTGCTCTCCGTTAGTTTCCACCACCTCGTCCGGTATGGCAGGCTCGACTATTCTAATTAGACTGTGGTGGTGTTGCATCATTCTTGATAGAGTGATAGCCTTGGGTCAAAGGCGAGATCTTCTGATTCCCAAAGATTACCCAATACCGAGATATTCCTGGTTCGAGGACGATTTACCATGGTCAAGGTCACAAATGATGGGCATCAAACGACATTTCAACGTGCACTTCATGCATTCACTTAAACTTTGCGCAATTGTGAAAGGTATCCTCACATTGGACTCTCGCCCGCAACAACTCAAGAACAAAACGTTATCACAGCTCAAAGAATCAATGGAGATACTTGAAGAGAACCGCCATTCCCTCAAACAGTGGCATAGAGTCGCTATGCTTGATATCCCTGAACTAGGAGACAACCAAAACTCTCATACTAGTCTGCAACACCCGCCCTTGGCGGCATTTACGAGGATGTTAAGAATAGGATTTAGGTACAATCAGGTTTTACTACTATTCCACTATATGATAGCTAATATGTTGTGTCAAGTGCCGCCAAGATGTGTGCTGGTCACCGAGAACTTCTATTGAGTACAAGCATTCCAGCTACCGGAGATGAGACGTTGGCTACTCTTGTCAACGTCTCAAGAGCAGGACAGGAGATACAAGGCGCAATTGTAGAAATATCAGATTGTGTTATAGAATTCATACAACTTGGTCTTATTCCTCACTTGTATGTTGGTGTGTAAGTACTCTCTCATCAATAGCTGAAAGTACTTGGTTGACTAGATTGATTAGTGCTGCATGTGCAGCATTGCCATACTTGATGCAAGTACTGGACTTGAAGATCTTTCGTCATTCCAGCCCCGAAGCCAAGTTGACAGATCAATATCACCGCCTCCGTTTACTCACTGGGGCCGTGAAGGAATACCAAACCCGTTACGGCGGAATGGAACTATTTGGCAGCGCGATACAGTTCATTATCACTAATTTTCAACTATTTACACAGCCCATGTCAGAAAGCGTAACGTACAGTAGTTGGCAAGACGTATTGGTTCATGACCCATCTCTCTACATGAGGCTTGTATTGACTCTTGAACATTGCACGACAACAGCGACAATCCCCACCGTTCAGCAACTAGCCACCACTTTCGAAGGAATTTTAACAATGCCAACGCGTCAATACTCTGGCTTCAAGCAGATCGACGACGTGAGTAACTCTGCGTCGCTATCCAGCTGATAAAGCCGCAACTGGCGTCAGTATACTAATTCATATTAATTAGGAAGCGCCTCAAGGAAATTAAGAGAACCAGATAGCCACACAGGACATCGCTAAGCATCGAGACACGTTGCCGTGCGTGCCATTGAAAAACTAAAGAAATGCGTTTAAGGAGCTAAATCTCCATCCATTATCTAGAATAGGAAAAGAAAACAGCATGTCAAGAGGAATTATTTTTAAACCGGCGCTTATAGCATATTTGCAGCCCACTCTAGCGAACATACATCAGTAGTATGTTTTTGTGTCCATACCCGTCTGAAATGTGTAATTGCACCCCCCTCGTTCCAGTATTCTCTCCTGATAGCACGGAGAGTTCTTCAGTTTATAGTAGTGATTCGTCGGTTCATTCTCATCAAGGCTTCCTCCCTCCACCCAAGAAAGCCGATATGCACGGCGGCTGGACCAAAAACTGGTTGCGTAGCTATTACTACTAAAGAAGCTGATACTGCTTCCTTGGTGGTGATATAGCCTAGACGGCGTAGATCGAAAGTCCGGTAAAGGCTGTTGGCGAGGACAGAAGCGGCGTTTAAGAACATATCTCGCTTAAAGAATGCGAAAATACCATCTTCTGGCCGAGGACCACATGTGTCAGAGACCAAAAAGCCAAGTTTCCCAAATACGCCAGAAAAGTCAAGATCGGGACTCGATGAGATACGATAGAGTGACCAAAAGTGAACAAGTGCTGCAGTTGTTGCTCCGGCGGCGTAGACTAGTCTCAAAACTGAGTGTGTTGCCTCCTTTTCCTTTCTCAGCTCCTTGTTCGCTTTGTTGCATTTCTGCTCGGTTTGGATGGATGTGTTGGTGATTTTCCGGCTGTGGAGAAGACTCGATAATCCGGCAGTAATAAGACTGACATAAACAGGAAATGGTTGCCAGAAGCCCACGAACTTCTGCCAGGTATTCTTGTTCTGGAAGGGCCATAACATAAGCACGGTGGGCAGGATAAATCCAAGACCAATGCCAGGGATCAGTGCCTTGGCAGCTCCCTTGGTGATTGAGTGCCTGGAAGTTGTTCCTACGGATCCATAGAAACCTTGTTCAAGCACGGATATCAAATGGTAGAGCGGGGCAATCTGACCAACTCCCTTGATTTGATATACGGCCCCAAAGACAGATGGGCTACGCAGTCGTTCGGTCAGTGCTTGTTCCATGTCCAGTTTAATGAATAACTTACAAGGAAGTGAGGAATCCTTTAGAGCCAACTCGATAACTTTCAATAGTCCAGTCAAGAGTGGTTGATAACAGCAGAGGTGTGAAGGAAATCCATTGGATTTGCGGCGCCTTACCAAGTGCTGTAAGGGGAACTCCAAATGCAGCCACCAACATAGAAAGAACGTCATCCACACTTTTGACGCCTGTATAGTCGTTGACCAAAGTATCGCTACCAAAAGTGGTTGGGATTTGCAGAGGGGTTAAAATCTGAGAAGCTAGCCGATAAAGCACTCCTTGGCTCAGAACTCCCAGGCCAACAGAAGGCCAATTCGAAGCTAATGGCTGAGCGGGAAGTTCATCGTTGTATGGAATCGTGTGATCTCGCTGAGGTATCGGAATACGGTTTAGTCGACTGGCATTGACTAGCTTGCTGGCGGCTAACTGAAGCGACGCCTCAGTGTCGATGAGATATGGCAAAAGAGGGGCGACTATAGCTTTGAACGGTGTTGCTAAAGCGTGCATCTTCTGGGTGTCATGGGAGTCTTGGAGAAGCCACTTGACGCGTTCAAAGCGCTCATTTTGCACAGAATTGAAGGCGGCAGTGATCTCTGCATTGGTCCATTCCGGGCTCGTGTCTGAAAGCAAATGGTTCACTAAACTGGCAGCAGTCTCCAATGCAGAGTTACCTCCATGTCCAGTTAATGGCTCTAGCTATACATAATGCTCGGTCAGAAAACCAGACATATCATAAAACGCGATATCATACCTTATGGGCGGCGTCGCCGATTGTAATAATGCGGTTGAAGTGCCACTTCTCGAATACGTGCTCATGGAGTGGAGTTAATGTGGAGCTTATCTTAGCTTTATAGAGTTGACCGAAGTAGACATCCGGCGTGACTTTGTCTGTCGCATGCTCTTGTGCAAGTCTTTCCTCGTCTTGTTTAGTGTATCTCGGAATATTATTACCGAAGAGAGGAGTAGGGAGTCTACTAAAGAGAAACCAGTAGATCCGTCCTCCAGGTCCAGTGATAACCAGATAGGAGAAGTTATCGTTGTAAACATACTGCGCACCGCTCGAAAGCGCCTCAATCGGACTTGAGATGCCGAAGATGCACTTGTAATAACATGGTACCTCTGGAACATATGTTAATTAGTAAGGTCACGTTAGTTTGAGTACGATAGTGGTGGGTTCTCACTTGACCATCCATCGGTGGGGAAGTACCCAGGGGATGTCTTGTTTCCAATGCGCCACATCTCTCTGCGTACAGTACTGTAGACTCCATCGGCGCCGACAACAATATCCCCTTTAAAGACATCACCCTTGCTTGTCTTGACTTGGACACCGTTATCCAGCTCTGTAACGGATTCAACCCTTTGCCCCGAAAGTATAGAATCTTTGGACTTGAGGTTGTTATACAAGGCTTTCAACAGCATCTGTCTGTCAATAAAAATGGTAGGGTATCCGTGTCTGCAAGAGAGGGCTCGTTAGTGCAACACAGCTGTTGCTAGAATCTGGACGTACTTTTCAGTGAGAAGATTATGGATGTTCTGGTAACACCTTATTACAGAGCCATCTGATCTTCGAATGTTGGACTCGTTCAGTGGCATATCGATAAGTGACAGGAGTCCCTCAGCACATCCAAGTTGATCAAGAATTCTCAGTCCGCTGGGGTGTAGACCAATACTTGCACCAACTTGGGGTGCAATTTCGTCATATGCTTCTAGGACGATGTAACGTATGCCGCCAACCTTCTCTAGCATGTTAGCAAGAGAAAGGCCAGCGACGCTTCCGCCGACAATAATGACTGTACGCTCAGACTCATCCATGATCTGCTCGATTGGTGAAAAATGATAGATAACTTGGCGGTAGGATTTCAAGTTGTTTAATTGATCGAGTAGCCGGATCGTCGCTCGATTTTATGTTAATCTACAACCACACTATACTCGATTCGCGGAAACATCAAGACCCCGACGATCCATCTTCGGGCTTCGGACCACGCTGCATAGTTTCGGATATCCTTCATGATCAATTAAATGATGGAAAAAGTGTAGCAGTGCTACAAGGGCATGATTAGGAAAGCAAGATTATATGCACGGGCAACGTCAGTCAATGCCCACTACTTTGACGATATGAAGGGGAAAATATGAACAAATCCTAAGTCCTGCATATTATCCAGGTAAGACGATTGGCCGGGTAATTCGGTGCTAAGGTCCAGCTTGGTTCTAGGTTTGTCTGTATTTCCCTCGGCTCCACTATCACCTCGGCAGATGTGGGTTGGTTTCGATACATCTTCACAACAATGCAGATTCAGACCGGGATCTTGAATCCTACAAGATTCCATACGTCAGTGATACTCTACAACCTTGCTCCATTGATATATTCTTCGCCGAGCTCCGACTCGGAGATCGTGAACCGCCGTGCCGATGTCATTCCCATGGGTCATAATGGTACGTTTTCGTATACAGGCTTCGACCATATCGAACAACCCCTGCTCAAGACTGATAATGGAGAGTATATACATTGATTCCAGGGTGATTAGTCTGGGGGCTTACAGAAGATAACGGTAGAGTGAACGAAATGAACAGCTCTCTATGGAATAAACACTCAAAACATCAAGATGGTAAGAAGTCCTCAAAATAGAGGTATAATACAGACATGAAACTCTGTTTGGATGAATTGAAATCCTAATTCTGGGGTTTTTAGGTCCTTTAGGGCCTTGGTCACGAAAACCATGGAAAGAACGCACACTCATGATTGATATGACCATTCACCTTGGTAGACACGAAACAAGCCATTAAACGGCTAACCCACACTGGCCGAGAGGCCCCACATCAGCCGAACACCCTGGGCGGAATATCCTGTTCAAGCTTTTCATCAGAATCTTCGACCGTCTCATGCATATAACGCAACTTCAGGATGCTAAAGGCCGTATCTAAAATAGTAAATTCTCCGCTTTTACACTATCCACTACACATATTAAAATATACCAACTGTAGGAACAGCGAAGAAATCTTACATCAACGTTCAAAAAAGCAGCCAATGGTTTTCATGAGTTGACATATCACACAGCCAATCCCAATTTTCCCCATAATCGTCTCCTACCTCATGTATCCGTGCATCTCTCCTCTCCCAAAGTTTTAGAAGAACCATTTCTGCACCTCTGGCATTTGCACAAAGTGTTAAGCCCCATACCTTATCCAGCGTCGATAAAGTCCATGCTCTATGATTAGGCATCGTGCTTGCAAACCCGGCAATGACAACAGGCCATGTTAAAAATTTGAGATAAACCGTGTTCTGTATAGGCATGAAAGCGGTGATTAGATCATCAGTGATAGGTAAGAGGTACTGTGTGTCCTGAGTGAGACTGTACAGAAGACGGGATATGTATATCGCTGCAGATAATTTCCAGATAAGAGACATCTGTACAACAAGATGATTGGGTACGGTTTCCAAGTATTTTGTGGTTGGTATAACCTTTTCGGCCCAGTCTAAGCAACTGAATTGTTGGATCTTTACAAGGTCAGACTTCAAGTTTCCAATTGCTGATGTGCGTTCGGGAGTGATTGATGAGTCCGACATAGCTTGTCGCGCCGTTCTTGACATTGCCGTCGCCGAAGTAATTAATTGCAGTATTGCTACAGGGCAAACAAAACCGTTACCGAATACTAGACGTGATTCAGGTGCTGTTGTCAAGAGTGTTCGCGTCGTGACTGACGTAGATATGATGCCAGGTGGTACGAATGTAGAACCGAATATCTCAAATCTGTTGGTTATGTATTAGCCTTATCTAGGAATGTATGTGATGCATGAGAACTCACAACATCAACTCATCCACAAGACCTTCCAGAGTAGAACTGTTCTGGATGCCAGCTTCGAGCATTTTCTTTGCACCTTCTAGGTGAATAGCCCACGATCCCGCACCTGTCTCAAAGCATTCCAACAGAGCGAGAGTAATAGCAATTCCAAAAGTCTGGAACTTGTTTTTCTGGTCAGGGTCTTGTAACGCCATCGAAAGAAACTCCAGAGCTTTCTGTTTATTAGTTATACAATGATGTAGTAGTTGTGACTGGAATGGACTGAGTTCTTGATCGTTGATTTGGACGTTCTTTGCCTGTACAGCATGAGCTAGCATGATGGGTGAGCCAATTGAACCATGCATAGCATGAAGTGCTGCCACAGCCATCATGGCATTTGCCACACCCTCGGATGACCCGACCAGAGTCATGAGTTCTCGATACGGAGTCCAAGCTTCATCGCTGAAGGTGAAGATAGAACATACTTTTCGATTAACTTGACGTTCAGTTAGCTACAAATCTCGATGCAACGGGGTGACCACAGAAACCATACAATAGTCTAGTAGGTATCTAGTATTATAACCCATATCTTGAAAAATAGGGTCAGTCAGTTGGGTTGGCGGGGACGCCGTTATCAACAGAGGTGACCTGTTACTGTATGTAGGTGTGGATGCAGATGAGGCTGATGAGACGTGTGATTTCGGTGGGGGCTTATATTCTAGGACGACCAATTGTTGTCGCTTTTTCCGCGGACATGTAGGTGTAGTAGTAGGACAAGTTTCATATGCAGTATCCTTCATGAAACCTCTGCTTGCAACACCGCTCATCCACTTCAATGGTTTACCATACCCTGAACATTGCAAGCCATTGGAGATACATTTTCTGCAGGCCGGGATAGTGGCATCACATTTGAGACGGCGACGGTGGCACGTCCAGCATTTTCTGGGTGCCGTAGACATTAAAATTTGATAGGTTAAAGGATATAAACTCTGGCCAGGTCAGGCCTTCATATCGATAAAGTGATGATGGTACATGTTTTTGTTTATCTCAGTCCTTAGAATTAGTAATGCAGCATAATTGAACATTCGGAATAATAGATAGTCCATAAAAGATTGAGTCATCGTAATCCGCGGATTGCGGACCGATGATGCCGATCTAGACCGATGTTTAAGCGACAGACGTAATTGAGCCCCACTTGCCTATTTGGAGCAACAACTAGCAATGCCAAGACGACGCTATTTTGCAATTGTACATAAAACTACCACATTGAGGCAATGATAAGTAGAGCCACATTTAAGCTTGTCCCTTCGCCAACCGGTATAAAGTCATAGGAAAAGCCACAATGTTTGACGAAAGATCTTTCTTATAGCTTTAATTAGAAACCGACCTAGAACCACCATCAATAATAACCTGTTACACAACAACGCAAACACACCATGCCACCCACCCTCGTTTCCAGGACCAACACTCATGAGCACCACAACAATCACCCAGAAACATCCCGAGAATCTCAAGAAGGCGTCACTCATGTCACAGTCGACGATGAAATTGAACATGCAGTTGCAGGACTCCACAGGGCCGTCACAGAACCCCACGCGAATTCCGCTGTCCAAGATTTGGAGAAATATCTGCAAAACGACCAAGGCAGCCCCGGACCTCCACCGTTGAGCGTATGCTTCAAATCAGTCACGACATTCGGTCGATCAACAGGCGCTGCTCCCATCAAAACAGTCAAAGACGCCATCTGGAGGACCCTGACGCTTCAAGACATTTATGAATTGACATTCAAAAAGATCTTGTCGCCTGCCAAAGCTGAAGATGGTCGCCCGTTGATCCGAGATTTCTCGGGCGTGGTCCGCAATGGACAGATGATGCTGTAAGTCCAATATATCTTAATACGATAGATCTACTAACCTTCAATAGTGTACTGGGCAATCCTGGGTCGGGATGCAGCACATTTCTGCGCACCATTGGAAATGATCACAAGTCCTTTCTCAACATCAAGGGCTCAATTGACTACTCTGGCCTTTCACCACAGGAAGTCTCAAAGAATCATCGTGGCCTTGTCACGTACATTCCTGAGGATGATCTTCATCTACCGACATTAACCGTCCGCCAAACCCTCGACTTTGCGCTGCAGAACAAGACACCGAAGCGATGGATACACCAAGCACCGCGCTTCATTCAAGAGTTTGGCAAGGCATTCGGTATGACACATGTCATGGACACGCTAGTTGGGAATGAGTATATCAGAGGCGTGTCAGGTGGTGAACGAAAACGTGTCTCAATCTTGGAATCCCTGGCATCTGATGCGTCTGTGAATGCATGGGATGGATCTACTCGAGGACTCGACGCGTCCTCTGCCGTTGATTTCATCCGGTCTTTGCGTATCATGACGGATGCTTGTCGTCGGGCAACAGTAGTATCGCTTTACCAGGCTTCAGATGCTATATGCAATCTCATGGACAAGGTTCTGCTGATCGACGAAGGACGCATGCTCTACCAGGGCCCGATCAAAAACGCCGAAGCCTACTTCTACTCTCTAGGATACGAACGATTACCTCGACAGACATTGAGTGACTTTCTCACGAGCGTCGCTTCAAGCAGCGAGGACAACATTCGAAAGGAAACTAGAGACAAGGTTCCCCGTGGTGCCGAGAACCTTGAGAGAGCATTCCGCGAAAGTCAGGCATTCCAAGATGTCCAAGACGAAATCAAATTGTACGAGGCAGAACAAAATGATATTTTGGACGGGTCTTCAATGAGCGACCAGACTCCCATGACAAACGCTTTAGCAACACACGCCAAGAACAGTAAATCGCGCTTCGTCCGCCCCAAATCGTCTTACAACACCTCCTTTTTTCGCCAAGTCTACCTTTGCGCCAGGCGTGACTTTTGGCAACTCAAAGGCCACAAAGCACCCTTGATTTCCAAGTACATCTGCATTGTCGTCTGTGCTTTTCTGCTAGCTTCCATGTTCTACAACATGCCAGCAGACACCGGCGGCGTCTATTCTCGAGGTGGTTTCTGCTTTTATTCTTCTGCGTTGGTCGCTTGGTTCCAATTGGCTGAGTTGGATGCTGCATTCCATGATAGGACGGTAGTCAGTCGTCAGAAGAGGTACGCGATGGTTCGACCTAGTGCCGTGGTTATTGGCAAAGCAATGCTTGACGTCCCTTTGATCTTTTTTCAAAGTGCGATATATTCTATCATTGCTTACTTCCTCAGTGGATTAAGAATGGATGTAAGTTCAACACCACCTTTGACTATCACCGCGCCTACTAACAAGTGACTAGGTCAGTGCCTTTTTCATCTTTCTTTCGTCCATCTTTCTTTGTGCTATGGGCTTTACCGCTTCGTATCGCGTATTCGGTGCCATGTCCCCTCAACTAGAGGTCGCACTCAGATACTGTGGTGTCTACCTCATCATTGCTATAGCTTGCGGTGGTTACGTACGGTCTGTTGGTCGTATGATTGCCGATGTCCCTTGGGTAGGCTGGCTGGCGGTGAGTACCATGTTCAATTAATCCAACCGTCATTCTGAAGCTGATCACTTCCAGTACTTAACCCCTGTCCCCTTTGCCTACGAGAACATCATGTCGGCTGAGTTCAAAGGCCGAAGCTTCCCCTGCGAATCCAACTCTATCATCCCCGCGGGATCGGGCTACAATGATCCAAGCTTTCAAGCATGTGCATCAAAGGGGTCTACTCCAGGTCAACTTCACATTGACGGCAGCGAGTACCTTCGAAGTGAGTTCGGCTTCAGCTATGGTAACATCGGCCGAAACTACGGTATACTACTTGCATTCATCTTTGGCTTCCTCCTGATCAACATGTTGATTGTGGAGCACGTGGATTGGGTACGCAGTGGTGGCTCAATCCTTGAATATGCGGGATGTAAAAAATCTGCAGCCAAACGTACTCGTGACGAAGAGAGCGTTGAGCAGCCGCAGGCCACAAGTGGTATGGCCGATCTCACATCTGGAAACGGCCCAAATGAGAAGCTAGTTCAGTCTGGCTCTACGTTTACTTGGAAAAATATCCATTATACTGTTCCATACCAGAACAGCGACAAACAGCTACTTCAAGATGTCTCTGGCTACTGCGAGCCTGGAAAACTACTAGCTCTTGTCGGAGCATCTGGTGCTGGTAAAAGTACTCGTGAGTTTATGATGTCTTCATTTTCTGGTCTAAACTAATATTATGCACAGTTCTCACCGTTCTTACTCAACAAGCCACCGGTACCGTCACAGGCGAGATGCGAGTTGATGATCAGCCCGTCGATTCATCTTTCGGCAGTAGTGTCGGCTACTGTCAACAAATGGATATCCATGTTGAAACGAGCACTGTTCGAGAGGCTTTTGAGTTCTCGGCGCTTTTGCGACAGAATGCCAGCATCAGCGACAAAGAGAAACGAGCCTACGTTGACAAAATCATTGACGTTCTCGGAATGAATGAACTGCAGGACATGGTTATAGGCTCATTATCGCTAGAGCAGAAGAAGCGCACAACTATCGGTGTAGAACTTTGTGCAAAGCCAAGTCTGCTATTGTTCTTGGACGAACCTACCAGCGTGAGTACCTAACCCGGACTATTTTTTCCTGAACAATACTAACTATAGATCAGGGCCTTGATAGTCAAGGATCTATGAGTATCCTTCGACTGCTACGACGACTCGCTGATGGTGGGCAAGCCATTGTCTGCACGATTCACCAAGCAAGCCAGGAACACTTTGATCTGGTGAGTCCCGTCACGCACATTGGTCGATTCCTAACGCTGACTATTTCCAGTTTGACAGAGTTCTTGCACTCAACCGCGGTGGCAGAGTATACTATTTCGGAGCTGTCGCCAAAGTTCTCAACTACTTCTCAACTCGAGGCGTCCATGTCCCCCCTCACAAGAACGTAGCAGACCTTTTGATCGAGATTCCTGTGCGAGAAAAGCCCCCAACAGGTGAAGAAACATGGCCAGATGTTTGGATCAAGTCCTCCGAGGCTGCCGAGGTACTGGATACTATTGAAGGGTTCACAACTGCGAAAGAAACCACCAGTGAATCTCGGAAATCCGCTCACGCCAAATCCGGCTTTGCTTCCTCTACGTTGAGACAAGCCAACCTCCTCACACACCGCACACTGGCTCAGTACTGGCGCACTCCCAACTACATCTACTCGCGCCTCTACGCCTGCGTTGTCCATGCTGCCCTCAATGGTCTCATCTTCTTACAACTCAATGACACCGAAGCAGCTATGCAGTACCGTATCTTCTCAGCATTCCTGGTTCTCATGATCGTTCCCGAAATTATCAACGCAACGGCAATGATGTTTGATGAAAACCGCAATATCTGGCTAGGACGCGAATACCCTAGTCGTATATATGGATGGATGGCCTTTACTACTGCGCAGATACTCGCTGAAGTGCCATTTGCGTTGGCTGGTGGTTTGATGTTTTATGTCTTGGTTTACTTCCTTGTCGGCTTTCCGTTGGGTGTCGCAGCTGGATACACGTTTTTGATGTTTATTCTTTTTCAACTGTTCATCACTTCGTGGGGACAATGGATTGCTGCTCTTAGGTGAGTCTGAAGTCTGGCTTGCTTTGTTGGTAACTTACTAACTTAATGATCCAGCGCTGATGCATCGATGGCTGCAAATATCATGCCTTTCTTTGTTATAGCTGCTGAGCTTTTCAACGGTACGAATGGTCTCTCAAATTGTCTACTCTTTGCTAATCAGTGACTCTATTAGGCATTCTGCAGCCCGCATCCCTCATGCCGGCCGTCTGGCACTATACCCTTTACTATTTAGGACCATTTACCTACTGGATTTCTGGGACAGTTGCCATCATTCTCCCTCGCATTGCAGTCCAATGTGCCGATTCAGAGCTCATTCGCTTCAACGCTCCATCAAACTCGACTTGTGGGACCTATGCGCAAGACTGGTTGGATACCACAAAAGGCTACCTTGCCAATCCTGATGCAACTTCGAACTGCGGATATTGTCAATATGCCTCTGGCGAAGAAGTAGGTTTACATTTTCGCTCTTTGATCTAGTATTAACTAACCGGCCTAGTACCTGTCCACGCTTCAAGTTCAAGCTTCCGATGCCTGGCCTTATTTGTGTATTTTTGTCTTGTTTACTATCACCAACTATCTCTCTGTATATATGTGGGTATACTTGAAATCCGTCAAGGGGTGGCTCCCCTGGTAAAATTCGAATGTTACACACAGGGCGTAGCTTGATTAAGAGCGGGAGGCATAGATAAGAGGAACTATATGTACAAACCAGGATATGCAAGTAATAAAATTGTATTGATATTAGGTCTAACTACCTGTATCTATCTAAAAACAACAGCAGTTGCTTAGTTGTGATTACTCCCAACACCATCGCTGTATCCTCCTGTGTAACGACCAAGTAGCTAACGCCCAACTTGCCAAATAGCTCCACTGCATACTCCAAAGGTGCTTTAGAGGGTACGGTTAATGGGCTCCTGTCGATGGCCTCTGCCAATCCTGCTTCAAGAATTGACACCTCTGAAGACTCTTCAATACCATCCGTCTTTTCGATCAATTGTAGTGCAGTTTGCAATTTGGTCTGCGTGATATATCCATGACAAATCCCCGATTCGTTGATGAATACAAGACCAGAGTCGGTCAAGCCTTTGTTCTGAAGCTGTGACAATTTACTTCGAAGGATTGAAGCAGCGACTCGATAGTCAGGCCCAACAGACACAATCACGTCGCCGACTACATCTTTTGAAGGAATGAGTACATCTACCGTTGCGCTACCCTCATTGTCCCTATATTCTCTGACTCTTTTGATAGCCACTTCAGCGTCCAAGAAAGGGTGTCCCTGCAAATGCTGGGCCAAGTCATAAACACCATCAGCACTAATAGCATCAGCTACCCATTTGGCTGTAAGGATAGCGATCATAAACGGAGGAATGAAATTAACCTCCCCCGTGAGTTCAAACATGATGACAGCCAAACTGACAGTCATTCTGCTGACTCCAGCTAGAAACGCTGCTGACCCGACCATGGCGAAAACACCTGGTGAGATGTCGGGAATAAGTTGACCGATCGTCCGACCGAAGAGGGCACCAGCGTCCATGGCGGGGATGATAATGCCAGATGGGACTTTGCAGCCAAAGGTGATAGTTGTCAGAAGGAGCTTTACGAACGTCCCAGAGATCAACCATGCGTAGTATGTTCCCTTGCCGGTAAGTTTAGCCTCTTGTTGACAGATCCAGTCCTCTTCGACGTCATTACAGTCAACCAGAAGTCGCTGCATGACAATATCTCCTGTTTCTCTGATCAAAACGTTGGGAAACTGAAGCACGGCAGTTACCAGTGTGACAAGCGCCAGCTCAAACACAGGGCTATTCTTGATGAGAGGAATCTGTCGGAATGACTTGGCCCAGAGAAAGTTGGCTCTGCAGAATACACCACCAAAAATACCGCCGCAGATCCCAAGGATGATAAAAACAAAGTAATGGAGAGCATCATAGTCGACACCATAATTCGTCTCAAAAAGAACAAGCTTGCCTGTCCCAGTAGGGTTGAGTTCCTTCAAGACAGCTGCAGCAACAACAGAGCAAAGACAACTTCGCCAAAGGACGCGACGAGGGAAATGAGTGCTGATCTCCTCATAGCTGAACAGAACACCGCCAATTGGAGCACCAAATGCAACAGACAATCCCGCTGAACAGGCCACGCTGAGCATTTCCCTCAACTTCCGCTGATCGTTGGCGTACTTTGGGAAGCAGATGGTGACGAGATACCCAACGCAGGCTGATATGTGTACAAAGGGCCCTTCTTTTCCTAAACACATTCCAGTTGCGACAGCGAAAGTTGCTCCGACCGCTTTGACGATAAGGACTTTGAGGTCGAAGAGATGAGGAATGGAGAAACCTAAGAGAACTGTTTTGATCTCAGGTATGCCACTTCCTGCAGCCATGTACATAGTTTTTCCGCCACTTTTTCCAACTTGATCTGACGTTTTCGTCTCTGAGCTTTCGTTCTCGGGGGCAACCGAGGTTAGGGTTGACTTTGTGGTCATGGTGACACTTCCAGCGATGATACCAAAAGCCAGTGCAGAGCCCACGTAGATAACGTATGCAAATGCATAGCTCTCCGTCCATGGTTTCCAACCCTGACATGTCTCCTCAAAGGCACAGCATGCTCGACGGCTAAGAAGCGGGTTTCTGATACAATATCCGTCTTTCCAGTCCGCTACTGTCTCAACACTAATGTCCACCACAGCTGCGACAGATGCTGTGAGAAGACCAATAGCAAATGCAGCGAACCATCCTTGCGAGGCAACCCAGAGTTCAGCGATGCGGTAACGGATTCCGTAGCGGACGTTCAGACCTGAAACATCGCGCCTTTGGCTGTCTTTCATAAGGTCTTGAAGCCAGTCAATTGTATGGTATTCATTGTAAGGAACATCCCCTTGAGCGGTATTTGGTGTTGACAGGATGGGATGCTGTTGAAAGTGTATCAAGGGTGTGGTTTCCGTAGCTTCATTCTCGTTCCTAATTACTGAGTCAGAAGTCATGTTGTCAAAGGAGAACAAAAAAAAGGCAGTACAGGGGTGAGAGATCCTAAAACAGAGGGGCCTCAAAGCATTAATAAAATTCCAAACAGAAACCGTATCAAGGCAGATATTTCACAATCGTGAATTGCCCCAAAACAATGCAAAGAACGTAAAACAAGTGACGTCAAAATTTGGCATCTCCGGCGCACGTGAGAAAGATATAGCAGACCGCCGATCGCCATGCTCTCACGTGTGATACCCAGCGAATGGACGTTAGAACGCTTGGGGCGCTTATATCCATTGTTCCAGATGAGCATGCCTATTGGGAAACGTGGTGGTGGGCATGACTCAATTGCTGACGATCAGAGAAATATCATCAAGGATAGTAGGTGCGGGTTTCTCCGGGTGGTTGATAGTTTATCTTGGTTGTCATCTCCGGGATAGATAAGAGGAAGAAGTATAATTGCCACTATCTACAACCACTGCCGAAAGGGTTAATAAATTCATAAATCGTTAACAATTCATGATAAACAGCAAGTATTGCTATAGTCACTATACTATCTGCAGCTGGAGGATAACAGATACATTTAAAAGTATGAATTATTGAGCTGGGCTCCGCGGAGATGCATTTTTGTATTTTACACGCGTGACACCTGCCCCATGACAGTACTTATAATTTTGATTTTTTATCTGTCAAATAATAAAACGCAAATCTGTATTCTAATATTCCCTATAACAAGTTCTTATTGTTGAATACTTGGTCTTGTATCGTATCCAAGATCGTCTATCAGCGGTTTGCTTGTCTACGGCGTGTTTTTCCGGATTCCCAGTCGGATCAGAGCCTGCCTCCGCAATCCCGTTCGAGTAGGTTTAGTAGGTTCCAACTCATCTAACATGTAGTCGTTAATGGAATCGTTATCTGCGTATGCGTTTTCATCTCGGTTGCGTCGTTTCTGCCTGCAGTACAGCCATATTAATACCAGCACGATGCTGGCTAAGAATAGGCCCCTGGGATAGATTAGCGATTTTATATGATGACGACACTGCTTCTCTTCACTTACGTGATAGATGCAACAACCGCCCATTTCATCCAGTTTGCTACAGGCTTTTCGCATGTGTTCATTCCCGTAGTATCGACACATCTGCGCAGCAAAGAATTTGTCTCAACGAATGGAAGAAATTGGGCTTGAACCGGCGATGACATGATGTTGCTTTGTTATTGATCTGTTTCAAAACATTGTAGATAGGTCGTCGATTTCTTAAATCACTGGCCAAGGTTTCTGCAGGCTATATATATGAAAGTTGAACGTAAACACAACACTCAATAAATGCAAGACGATAACAAGCTGGTCTAAAAATAATATGGACTTTCGGGAGTTTACTAAACCCGGTTACATACTATGCCTATGCTCCTTTACCATTGACAATACGAGCCCCTGGCCCGGGCGATATGTTCCCGCGTATTCGCGTTTGTTAGACTCGTATTTTTTAGTAGGATATAGAGAACATGTTAAATTCCCGCTTGTTCGGGAAGCATAAAGAGTGCGAGAACCCGTGAAATTCAAGGCTAATACATAATGGGCAATACAATGGTGAATAAAAAAAGAATTCATATAAAGGTAGAACATCAAAAAGGAAAGTTATTATAAACGGGGTAAAACCATGGATCCCAATCGCAAAAGTCTATTTTCAGCGATACATAGACAATTGAAGCATCGACTTGCATCGTCCATTTTGATTGCCACATTAGCAAAACAAAAGGCGAAGTTCATTTTCATCCCACTAAGCCTTTTCTAGTTAATAGCAATTTCCCTCGTAGCAGTTTACATGGCAATCGTCCCTTGTGGAAAGTCAGCAAACTGTATGGGTTTTCATGGTAGTTCCATACGTACTCTGTATCACCGCACATCCAAGTGTTCTTGTTACAGCACTGCATGTCTGTCCCTACGCATGTCGCGTTGGAGTGAGGAGGTCCGCAAAGACCATTATAAGCGCGAATAGGTTCTGGGACTGTAAACTTTTGTTAGCCAGGCGCTTTTATATCAAGAATATTTGTTGGAAACCTACATCCTTCCACACAATATCTGATATCAGGGAGGATATTCTTGCAGTCCCCTTTGAGCCTAGGATTCAGCTCGTAAAAGGTATCCAGCGTGATTTCATATTCTTTGGCTATCGTGCCACAAGTTTCAGAGTCGACTTTGGATGTAGTTTTGGTACTGAATCGACAGTTGATGCCGCCAGTCTGCATTATTCTGGCTCGCCATGTTGATGGTTGACATTCATCAGCAGCAATGGCTGAGCTGACAAGCACCAAACCTATGACCGAGAGTTGTGCCCACGAAAACATTGTGGATAAAAAGAAATGGATTACGGGAAATTTTGTCAATACGTTGAAGGTCGGTGACAAAAGGCGATGTGATATATTTGAGAGTTATAGCAGTACGACTCATGTTGGACCCTTAGATCTCTTGCTCCTCACGGCCATGACCGAAAGATTAACGAGCTAACCGGGTTAAATTGGGCTGGCAAGATGAGCCCCGCTTAGTGTGATGGTCGACCTGAATGTTTGAAACAGCACTACTTGCTTACTTCAATGCGCCTATTTTCCGGCCCGTACTACAGGGCCAGAATCCTTCTCCCGTAAAAATGACGATTGCAGATCTCTAGCTGTTTCAACTAGAGACGCACTGTTCCAACAGTAGACGAAATTCTGAGCTCTTGGTCAATATGATCTTCGGAGCCGCCTCAAGCGACATTTTGAACGTGCATGATCCCTGAATACCTGGGCAAGCATATGGAACAATTCTTTGGACGGATGTGAAAATTCCTTCAGCTCAACCTTTCTTTTTGGTCGCATTTATGCAAGGTAAAACCGGGTCCTCTTACCAAGATAAGCGTCCAGCCACGCTCAGGTATATGTCAAGGAACCACTCAACAGGATGGCCGATGTTTACTAAATACATTTTCTCATATGTCTACATAAAAATAATCATTAAGATAATAGCAATAATTCTGATTTCAGGCCTTAATACTAAGAATATTACGAATATTACGTGATGATACATAGGTAGTTATAGTAGGAGCAGAGTGTCAATAAACATTAACAAAACAGTGTAGGGTAATTTTGTTCATTTCGCTGCTTCGCGTCCTTGTTGAGAAAATATAATCCCTATACAAAAAAGGATTAGCTCGATGCAAGGTAGACTCTGAATAGATTTTTTTTTTTCATTATTTGCCTATGGCTCTGAGCCCTGTCTTGCTCCCCTGCGCTTTCAATGTAGCGAACATCACATCATGTACACAGAACATTAGTGCTTACCACTGTCTAATTAATTCGCACCATCATTACATCACACAAAAGGGCCATTACGATACTGGTTTCGACGAAAATGGTCGCTACTTAATCTCAGTATTCTAGTGCTATGACAGGCTAATTTAATGCTGCACATCGTTGGGGTACATCTCCTCCAAAATCTGCCAGATTCGTCGGCGATTAGTGAATCCACCAGGAACACGCAGGCCGACCTTTTCATAGCTCCACACAAGGTTGTTGTCCTCCTGTGCCTCATGGGTTGATATCTGCGCTGGGCTCATTACCTGCCTGCTGATCTTTTCCCAGTTCCATTTTTCGATCTCAGCAGTTTCCTTGCCAGTTTTGTGATAAACAGCTTGGGCATCAAGGTCCCAAAGGAAGGGAATCTGGAAAAAGAACTGCTTCCACACGGATTGGGGTATTAAGTATGTGCACTCAAGCGAGCTTTGGCCATACTGGAAGAGGGAGTAAATATGAGCTTTGACCTTCTGAGGCAATGCCTCAACATGGTTTGTCAATTGCCCGAGATCCTCTGGTAACTGGCTAGAGGGCTCTGGTGCATGCTCAAGATTCTCAATCAAGGCAGTGGTTAAATTCGGAATGGCAATTGGGTCCTCATTCCACTGTTAAGAACTGTCAGTGAAAATAAAATAGCTGTTTCTGAAAGCACGCGTGGACTTACCCATCCATTCCACTCATTTCCGAATAGGTAGAGAGTGGGTGAGGGGACGTAGTAACGTTCCAGCCCGCAAGAAAATGGCTTTCCAGGTTGAGGGTTTGGTATGAAAGGGGTAAAATGCATTCCAATGTCGCCAGAATCCTCCATTTTGGATCTAGCGCAACGGCGTTCCAATGTCAACCAAAATTCCCCAATTGAGCGGACTTTGGCATTAGGCGACGCGCTTATAACGCGTTGGAGAAGCTGCTCGCAAGATTTGTGTATGCCAACATACATCTTGCCCACCCATTCCGAGGGATCCTCTGAGTCTTCATTGACATCATAGTCCCATTGAGGGTGAATTTCTTGACGATCGGGAGGGAAGGTTAGGTTGCCACGATGACTGTTCGCGAAAGCATCATAACGTGTGACTTGTTCGTCTGCCACCTTCAAGGATGGGGGCGCATCACAGAGTTCTGGCCAATGGGGACCAGAAAATGCAACAACTTCGCCCTTGAGTACCAAGCCACAAATTGTGCAATGGATAAAGTCAGGGTTGAATGCCATTGCTTAATGTCGGGGAGGGATAAAGAAGTGACAGAATCGCGGAAAATGGTGGGAGAAAGCAAAGGGAAGTTGGAGAATAGAAAAAATTGATAAGGCTGAGATACTTGGCGCGTTGTATGAGATGAATTAGAGTGCGATGATCAAAAGAGGCGTCGGGTATCTCGCGATGAAACGTCAGGACGATTTGCAAGGATAGAAAACTCCTCACGACAGCGGAGAAAACGATCCTGAAGCGGTTATCACCGCCACTTGTCCCTGTTTTTAGGGCGGACTGGAATATGCGTGCGCCTAGACTAGCATACGGATGTCACTATCCAATGGATAGTCTCCAATTGCGAGTGTTCCATAGTAGTCCCCCCAAGGACCCTCTATAAATCTTTCTTAGGCTTCTTTTCAGCACGGCCACTACAGCGATCCGCGGCATTGTTTTGAAACAAGACATTGCGGGAGCCATCAAAGAGCTTGTCAAGGGTCAGGTCCAAAGAAAATGTGGTCAAGCCAGGGTTCAACCATGTACATGATCTCAGCTCTTCTCCATTGTTGATGGTCTGCGATGCATGTCAGACTCCTCTCATTTCGCCCTTGACCGTAGTATTCCTGCCCATGGACGCAATGCTCACGATGTAATCACTGCGCCATTCAGGATTTTCTCAATCGTGAACTAGCTGTTTTGAACGGATACCAAGCATTGGCCGGGATGACCGTAGTATGTTGCAACAAATCTGACAGTGGAGCAACTCTGCGGAGTGCTTCATCCTACTCCTCAGGTACGGGAAAGATGCTGGGAAATCTGTAGCATCTTATTATATAGACAATGCGACACCTTTGTATTTCTGACTATTGATACTTCATATCTGTTTCCTTCAACGGAGTTGTGTTCTCTTGTTTGTCACTCGTTTCGACAAAGTCATTCTTTTATTAATATCCATACCATGAAACGCTCTTTACTATTAGCTCTTTGGAGCACAGGGGTTTTGGGTAGTCCTTGCAAACCATCCAAGCCTTCAGAAACCTCAATTGCTGACGGTACACCAACCGAAAGCAATCACATCTCTTTGGGTCTTTCATCTACATATCTAGACTCAACGAAAACGGGTCAAGATAGTGAGCATGAGACCTCAACAGGGACACCCTCCAATGAGAGTGGCCAGATCTCAGTGTACATTCCTTTCTCTGAGTCTGACTTGAACTCTCATATACAAGACGCTGTTTCCAACACCCTCGATCATCCAGAGGGCTCTGTCACTGGCACAGGATCTCTTCCGGAGCCTACTTCGGAGGGTGACAGTCTGCCAGGAACCAGCACTGGTGATGTCAACTCTGAAAAGACCTCTGGAGGTGCGGGTAACTCCGGATCTCCTTCCTCTCCTCAGAGTGAGGGATCTTCACCAACCGGTATCGTTGTCTCCCCCGGAGAGCAATCCGGTACTGTTACCAACCCTGAGGCTTCTGGTACTGCTACAAGCCCTGATGACTCTACAAACCCTTCCGGTACTGTTTCTGGTTCCCCTGAAGGATCTTCTGGTCCAGCCAATACCGAAGTTTCTGGCCAACCAACCGGGACTGTTGACGTACCAGGAGAGTCTGGAAACACAGATGTCAACACGGCAACAGACATCCCCACTACTATCCCCGGTGGCGTTCCTGGTGATGCTTCTGGCACTGTTACCAACCCTGAGGTTTCTAGCCTATCTGGTACTGCTACAGTGCCAGGAGAATCTGAAGTCACAGACAGTCCCATTGGTATCTCTGAAGGCATTTCTGATGGCCCATCTGCAACTGGTACAGTACCAGGGGAGGGTGACACCACTGCTCCTGGTGGGGGTCCTGGTGAAGCTTCTGACACGTCTTTCTCAGTCGGTGATTCCAACCCAACTGGAGTTGCCACAGATGGAACTAGCGACAGTGGCCCAGCTCCCTCGAATGACTCTACCAATACATTGGGTTCACCAGAAGAGACTATCTCTTCTCCTAGCAACCCCGCTACTGGTACCGAGCAAGGTCAAGACACTGCCACACAGACCGGCTCAGCTCCTGGTACGGATGAAGCACCAACTGGTACCGAAACATCAATTGCTGGCCCTGGCCAGCCTGCCACCACTGCTCCCGGAAACACCATTTCAGATGACCAGGGCACTTTGACCCAGAGCAACGGGGACGAGTTCACATCCGCCGTCTCTGGAGACGTTACCGGTGCTGTCACAACAGATGCAAATGGTGCGCCCACTACTCTTACTGAGAACCAAGACCAGACTACTGGATTCTCAGAGCAGTCAACTGGTGTCCCTAGCGATCAGAACTCAGATAGTAACACCACTGAAACATCTCCGGGCCAAGAAGATTCCTCAGCCGCCAGCACCACTGATGCAAATGTTGCTCAATCAACAACTGAAGGAGACGACGCTACCACCAACCATGTTCCTGACAACACCGATGTCGTATCCACTGGATCTTCTGAAGCCAACAACGGTGCTACTACCACTGAATCCGGACCCATTGAGACAACAGACTCGAATGACGTGCCATCGACAACGGTACCTGGTCCATTCGCTACTGCCAACCCAATCACCACCGCTGCTACAACTGCAACTGATATGCCAGTCGTAACGGAAGCTCCACCTGGTTTCAATCCCAGCACTGTTAGCGATCACCCTGAATGGACTTCCAACACTTGGATCACCACTACTTCAGAGGGTTCTGACCCAACTGTTGTCCCAGTCCTCGTAGGTTGTGATGACTGTGGTGGAAGTGGCTCTGGAATTATTCTCTGGGGCTTTCCTCCTGTTCCTAACACTTGGTTCCAGCTCCCTGGTCTGCCCAAGTTTTCTTTCCCTTGCATCCCTCCTGCTTCCGGTTGCACATCAACTCCCGTTACTGAAGAGAGTGGAGAGGATGGCGATGAAGATGAAGACAAATCTTCTGTAACAACCTGCACTGATAAGGTCAATGTTACCGATTGCTTTGTTGCTTGTACAACGTATACTGGCCCAGCAGGAGAAACTGTCACTCCGGAGTGTCAAACAACCTGTACTAGAACACAGACAGGATGTAGTGTCACTGGCACAACCACGACATCTTCTGCTGAAGCGTGCGGACCCTCTGGAGACAGCGAGTGTACCTCATGCAGTGTTGACCTTACCGCCAACGATGATTCTGAGTCATTGGAACGAAGAGCTCTTGAGCGAAGAGGCGAAGTGGACATCAAGAATGACATTGCAGGCTGCGATTGGTCTGGAAGCACAGTTGGTTCACCAAGATTCCCAGCATACCCAGGTGGAAACCGCGTTCTGAAGAACGAGGCTGCGATTGTAGCTCAGAATTCTCCTTTGAACCAGATCAAGCGATGGTGGCGAATGACACGCGACAACAATTGTGTGCCGTCCCTCAACAACATTGACGAGGCTCAGTATCCAAAGAACCTGCCAAACATCGAAGGTCCTTCCATTGATCACGTCTATGAGAAGAGTATGCTCTTGGACTTCTGGAGGTTTATCATTGATCCAGCTGCTCCTGCTGTCGTTGGAATGACGGCTGGTACACCTAACAAAATCAACTGTAATGACATCAAGTCCTATGGTGGTATCAACTCCGGTACAAACCTGATCCAAAAGGTTTTTGACACTTACCCCGGTAGCCAAGACGTTATCATGCCCACCGACGCCCAGTTCATGGATGACTTTATTGGTATGGATCAGTGGACCAACGGTAATGCAAAGGCCCAGATTACGGATCCTCAGGGCACCAAGGACCAGGCCGACAAGAAGACCACCAATGGCAAAGCGGTGAAGGCTAAAACCAGCGTCGACAACGCGAAGAGGTGGATCAAGGATAAGTTGCTCTTCCTCGAGGCATTAGCAATTGGTGTCGAAATGTTCAATGTCCAAGAGGCCAAGGATGCTCTCATTCGACAAAATCTCCGCATTTACCAAGCTCTGTAAGTAAACCTCCCTCGCTTTCTACAACAGCCACTAACTCAGTCAACAGTGTAGATATGGATGAGAATGCGAAGAACTGCATGAAGGATGATGCCGTTATCAAGGGTGTCTGGTCATTCGCCGACAAGTACCAGGCCTTCATGGCTGACAGGTTCACTGGCAATCAGCCTCACTCCATGAACCAGGGTGTGGTTTATGCCAAGAACAAGCTTCTCACTGTATTGGCAACGGATGTTGCCAATGCTGCCAAGATCAAGAACATTCCTGCGGGTGAACTTACCTCTTGGCAAAAGAGGTTGGCCAACATGCAAGATGCAAACCGCGCTTGGGAAGTGTCAATCAGTTTCGTTTGGGCTGGTCCGACTACATCCAAGAGAGATACCGATGGTCTCTCTTGTGACCGTCCCAACCCATCCTTGACTACTGAGTCGACCACTGAGCCGACCACCGACTCTACCACATTTGCGACATCCGTGAGAACATCATCCGACATCACGACTACCTCCGAAGAAGACGTACCTTCTACAACAGAGCAGGCCACTACCTCAAACAACCCGCCTCCTTTGACGGATTTCCCGACTCTCACCCAGCAAGTCCCCGATGCCACCATCTCTACCCCCGATGGTAGCTCATGTGCTGAGACCGCTACTGTCACCAACTGTAATGTTGGTATCGGAGGAGGTCATGACGGACCTGCTTGTGTAGAGAGGGAGACTTGCAACTCATGGGTCAACACTAAGACCACGAGTACCACTCCCACACCTACGCCGACTCTCATAAAGCCCGATCCCGGCCAGAATGAGAAGCACTGTTACGACTCTGGCCAGAAGTCTAATTATGAGGCTATCACCTACGCTGCTGAGTCGTTTTGTCGTGATGTGGTAAACGACCAGGTTCAAGGCCCAGTCTGGTCGAACTACAAGCTCGAGGGCAAGAAGGTACCTAGTACAGGTTACCACTTCAAGCTTGCTTTCCAAGTGTATGAGGGATGTATATGGACGGCGAATTATGATGAGTGTATGCGTTATATGAAGGTTCCCATCGACAGTTGCGACTGCTCGGCTAAGGGCAACAAGCAGGGTGGCTGGGTTGAGAATAACTGTATTATGGCCAGGATCGATCCCAACAGTGGTATCTGATCACAAAATTGGAGTTTAATCTGTATATATTTATTGTTAGCAAGCCATATAATTGCAAATCGTTTCTGTATACTATTATGAACTACTGTGCTCACATAAGACGGATGAGTTCTTTTTGGAAACCGCCCTGACACTTGGCGATGGATCGCGAATTGGAGGAAGAAGTAGACAATGATAGATATATATAATACTGTGCTTTCAGCAATTACGCTTCAATAAAGTCTCTAACCAACGAGTTGAACTTCTCAGGGTTTTGCCAAAACATAAAGTGGCTACCTTTTTCCTCGGCTGAAAAGGTATAGTGCTGGGCAGAGGGAATCTGGGTTGCAACACACTCTACTCCTTGATGGGGGAAAATGCTAAGCTCTCCAGCAACAACCAAGGCAGGAACATTGATGCGAGGAAGAACATCACGCCAGTCTCGGAATGCATGATCAATCAAGAGAGTGCCAGCGCTTTTATCGCTCATCTTCTTGTTTTGCTCAACAACCCAGTTGTAATCAGCCTCGGTGAGATCGTCGGTGAACATGCTCTTGACCAAAGCTGGGCCTTGGGCTGCCATGTCGGTGGCGGTTTGGTACACTTCATCGGGAGTGAAGATGGCACTCATCTCTTTAGCCTTTTCCTTAGGCCAGGTTGGGTCGATCACAAAGTCAGCTGGCTGATCAGCAAAGACAAACTTGTGGATAAACTTGTGGGAGGTAGGGTACTGATCCCAGAAAGCCCAGGTGACGGAGCAACCCATAGAATGACCGATGATAGTAATGTCCTCGAGGTGCAATTGTGTGATAAGGTCGTTCAGGTCGGCTGCGAAGCGAGAAATGCGGTAGCCAAATTCGGGTTTGGCAGACTCTCCATGGCCACGCATGTCATAGGTGGTAACTCTGAATCCATTCTGGGAAAAGTACTCGACCTGCTTCTTCCACTCTGCAGCAGCCTGTCGCCATCCAGGGATAAAAAGTAACTGCTTGCCAGCCGCAGGACCGGTTTGGTTGTAGGTCAGACTGACGCCGTCGCTAGTCGTAATAGTCCCAGTCTTCATCTTTCCAATTGAAACACAACCACTGATCGTAATAGTCAGGGGGGATTCCAGAGAGATCTAGAAGGTAAAGACAAAGAGAACTGGGAACTTCAATATAAATAGGTATTTATCTGTGTTAGCCGATTCTTGTTTAGATCTCGCCTCGTGGTGCAGGAGTGATTTTGAGACAGATATTGGATCACAATGTATGACGAGGAGGAGGAGGGGAATAACATAGTATGAAATGGCGCAAAGACTTCTGAGTTCAGGGTATCAGTAACAGGGATCGGGGCGTTTAGTAAGCTGGGCAGGTTATCTGACAGTAAGCGGGCAATATCCACTTAGCTGTGTCAACGTGACGCTGACATACAGAGTGGAGGCTTAGTATTTCCGTATTGAAGATCAATGGTTGATTTGAATACTGATATTCTCGTAGGCTGTGCTAGAGGAAGAAGGAGGGCTATTAAGTAGGTATTCGTATATACCACAATACTGTTGCATCGTATGATGATCAGGTTGCTTCTGTGAGTCCTGCCTTCTATCCTAACGAAACCGGTCCTTTTGCTCAAGAACTTAAAACCCATTACTAAAACTTCGGCCGAACGATCTATAACATAAAAAGGCTCCATCCAAAAGTCAGCACTGTAATCCAAACACCGCCCATTTGGTTGATCATAGCCGCTGTGCCTTTGATCTCCTTCAACTCCGGTTCCCTGGCATGAGAAGCATTGTACACTTTCTGTTCTTCAAAATCCTTCTCAATCTTGTCTGGACCGCCGCATTTCTCATGGACAAGTTCAAGTTGACCTCTCCAATAATCATCATCCAAACCCCATAGGTCTAACGCCTCGATTGAGGAATTCAACATGACTTTGACCACCATACCGTAGCAGGGGTGACATGGTTCTTTAAATGGTTTCTCCTCACCATAATTATGGCGACCCCGTAATTCTTCCACAACATCTAAAAACGTCAGTCATGTGCCACATGGTTATTCCTTCAATACATACCAAAGCAATATCGACCAGACTTGGTGTCCCTGATACAGGTTGCGTTCCACATTTGTTGCACCTGGTTGGCTAATTTGACTTCGTCTTCGAGCAGAAGCGGCGGGAAGGCTCTGTTTAGATCCTTGTCGCATTCCTCGGTCACTGTTTTGTTCCATCTCTGAAGGGAGTCGAAGCAAGTTGTGAGGCACATGGCGTCAGCTGTTCTGTTACTTCCCAGCCATCCCATTGACCTATATTGCCCTACCATCCTGGTGTCCTGGTCGCAGTCAATGTTGCTTGTCAAAGCTTTGACACAGCGTTTGTCGAAAAATTCGGCACCGTTGACATATTCCTCATAATGGAATCTGAAGGCGTCGACAGCCGTCAAAAGGCTAAGAGCAACGATTAGGCTCAACATGATCCTGTTTGTTGAGAGTAGAAGCTGAGTTAAAAGGCCAGCCATCACTGCTCAGAAAGGAAACGGATCCTCTGAGTTTTTATCGAGATGGGTGCGAACCGTGCACATGGACGAGTGGAGTATCTACCAGGCTAATTCATTCTTTATGTAACTGTCTGTTGGTTCTAAGCAAGAAAATACACATACGTTCTCAAAATAGCTGTCGCGTTACAGGGGCACGGACAGAGATTCCGAAGCTATCTCGATTGGCATTTATTTTAACGCATTTAAGGCAGTTTTTTGATGGAAAAAATTGTCAACTTCAACACGTTCGTATGTCACAAGTCTCGTACGTACCAAGTGCATGTCCCATACTGCCGTGGTGATTAACCAGAACGAACCCCTGATTGTGGTGCCACAGACCTATCGTTGGAACTAACAATGTACCCTGTAAAAAACCCACCCGTTTTGTAACCGAGGCCCTAACGAATGAAAAGTTTCCAACATCGTTCCATATCTCGCCAGTGCGACTTGCCTTCACGTGTTAGCCGTTCAGTTCCGAAACACTGACCCAGATGACACTTTGGTATGAATGACTGGCTTAGTTTTGGTAAAAATGAAGAGGTAAGAAGCATACTGGACTTGCTGCGGCGAAAGCCTCATGAGATGGACTGGCCAAGCTACAAACAGACGTTCATGGAACTAGATGCAATTGAGGAGTCCGATGATAAAAAGTGTGACACTTCGAACGAGAGAACTGGCAAAAAATAATGCCCGCGAATAACCCTATGAGGCAAGTACGGCATTTCTCAAGTTCCCCTACCTTGAGAACAAGGACGAAGACAAATGATTTTCAATTCAAACCAAGGAACTATCCTCCATCGACTTGGCAAAACCACTCTTCCTCCTCATCCTCAGCTTTGCCTCCACTGGTGGTGTTGGGAGATGTCCGAGGTTAAAGAATCCTGGTTTGTTATCAACTTGTTCAAAATCGTAATTGGTTGCCACATGAGCTAAGAATATCTTTAGTAAAGCAGATGCAAATTGTCGTCCTGGACAAGCATGTTTTCCGTAGCCAAAAGAAAGATAATTCTCAGAAGGCGAAACCATTAGATGTGTGTTGCTGGGCTTTTCTCCGTCTTGGGAGAGTTGCATATGTCGAAAAGCGTCGTATTTGTAGGCATTCGGATATATATCCTCATCATAATGAACGCCCCATGCCGAGACACCGATGCGTGATCCAAGCGGAAGGTGGATGCCATAGTCTTTGAGTGTGATTCCTGCAGGCTGCATGACTTGAACACTGAGAGCTTTGAGTGCCGTATGTAACCTGAGAGTTTCCTTGATTGCACTGTCTGCAAGATGCAGCTTGTTGACACTCTCCAGTTCGATCTTGGCTGATAGCGCTTCTTCACTCTCTTGTTTCAGAATATCCCATATCTCAGTTGAGTTCTCACTTGCGGAGATTTTGAACAGGGTATTCGTCATGGCAAGGGTGGTAGACTCCAAAGCAGCCATGATGGTGGCGAAGAGGCGACAGGCTACCATGTCGGCCATGGTTTCTCGGGGTTCTTTCTTGCGAAGGGCTTCCTCGATGTGCCACGTCAACACGTTCTCTTGCGAACGAGTCTTCGAAGCTCCATTCTCTATCTCAGCGATTCTCTTTTCGATATATGGACCAAGAACCTTGATCGATCTCTTGAGGTAGACACGGTTGAGAATCAAGATGAACCGAGAAGAGATAGGCTTCAAGAAGTCAGGGAAAAGTGATATAGCTATCGCACTTGGTATGACAGTGCTGGAGAATTTGTCCAAGTTGTCCACGAGTTGCTGGTCACGGCCTATACTGGTATCAGTACTAGTTCTCTCGTAAGATAAGAGTGCCTTACACAAATCATCACCAACAACAAACCAAGTGATTACTTTTGCAAAAACACGCCGAACGAGAAGAAAAACTTGTACTTCCTTCCATTCAGTGTTGCATCCAAAGATTTGGTCAATTGAAGATGTTAGTTTCTCTCCGAGTTTGGGTACCAGATTCGGGACGTGTCTGTTCATCTGGACCCGAAGAACATCGTATACGGCAGTCTCCTTCTGGACGGAGGAGCTAAAGAAGGCATATTTTGCTGCGACAAGCTCATGCTGTATTGGTGTGGGGTTCAACACATTATCGCTCTGAGTCGTCATCCAGTGAATGAGATGCTTGGGTAGAAGAATCTCTGGTCGACTAAATGGCAGGGCGACGGCGCAAATAGCACCATTCTTGCAATACTGGAGACACTTTAGCTCATGTATTAGTGTCGTCGGATAGTTGTGATACCTTTTGGTAAGCATCTTTCATGACGTCTGGCGTATTCCATATTCCTCGGATTTGCATAAACAGATAAGGGGTGAAGCCTCTCTCAGTTCCTGACCATGGTACCGTCCGTGGGATTCTTGAAAGATGACTGGAAGAGGCGACAAGGCGCCATACAATGACAAGAAGGGGGAATATGCAAAGAAAGATCATGATTGACTTGATTTTACTATGGTTCCGTTTGGTTCAGACAGAAAGACGATGCAAATAAGAGGAGACAAATGGAACATATTTATATTCAATATGTGAATCTGCAGTTGGTTACTCTTCTGTATCTTGAATGGCCCCTCTGCTTCTCACATTTTGTCTCAGGAGAACTTCACTTTGCAGTTATGTCTAAAAATATGAATAAACTGTCCGCTTTGATGACGGGGGAATACTTGTGCGCTTAACTGCATGATGATCTGAGCTCGGCAGCCTAAGCGTACCAATGGGACAATTTTGAAAGCAATTATTGAGGTATTTGTTGGCTGTTGGTTGTTGGTTCTCAGTTGTTATCTCAATGGGAATTCTATTTTTGTAAGAGAACGAATAGCATATCTTTTAGGCCTACTCTGGCTTGTGACTGTGCCTCCTTGTCTCTTTGCGTGACTGTCGCGGGACCAACTGCATACTACACGTAGCTTTATGTAGATGCTGCATGAACATTGCTAAGAGGTTGAAATCGTTGCATATCTGGTCTCAAAGCTACCTGCCACTTTGTGATGTGGATCTCAATTCTTTGGACAATTTTGTCAGAACCGGGAGGGCAAGATATGAATTGATCAATCCGCAAGAGTCCCTGGTAATCCACATGAATATCGCTAACTCAGGCCACAGCATTTGGTTAGCAGAAACATGACTGCTTCAATGCTGTTGGCCACATGTCATTGTTCTACCGATACGCTGATCCCTGTTACCTGTAGCATTCCATTCGCTTAGCATCCCCACAACCCTAGTCTCGGATGATGTTGCTTTTCTGGGTAGGTCTGAAGCCCCTTGTACGTACTGGAAAGACGTTCACTGACGATAAATGTCTGAGAACGTGAAAAACGAACGCAGATACCACACTCTCATATCTGGCTGTAGAGGATCTTCCTAAGCGATCTTCCTCTGCTTGTTAATCACACCAATTGTCTCTATATATGGATTCTGCATGTCAATACGTATCACCAACTATACATTACGTATGAAAACACAATGGTTCTTCTTATCATGCTTGAGCTCTCAACTCATATCAGCTTTATCTTTTGGTGCCTGAAGTAAACCTCTCTACGTGGTTGGTGTGTCGGCTCAGATTGTTAAATGTGAGTGTGGTCACGTGACCATAGTCATCCGTTGATGTCTTGAATCAATCCATTCAGATATTATATTCACACTTTGGTTTAGAGGGTCTCAAATCAGATATGTGTACCTTTGAAAAGTAAACTCCCAATGAGATACTCAATTTTCCACTACTTAGTTATAGTCGTGTAGCCTTACGTTGCAATACAGTGAGCTTTTGTTTCTCCAAAGTTTATCGATGCGGAATTTTAACGAGTTCGCTGTCGAATTCGTTGACTTCATCTGCTCTCAAAGTATTTGCTCTAGCAAAAAGGAAGACAGGTAAAGCTGACATATCGATACACATTAGATCAAGTATCAAGGCAAATCATGTTGGCAGCTCCAATAAGGACGGGAATGCAGGCTCTACCCTGTAGAGATCGAGGCGCTGCAGCTGACTAGCGTGTATCTTATCCTTGCCAACTCGGATCGCATTTGTGGGTCTGACGCGTTGCAATAAAAGGCATGATAGAAGAAATGTGGCCTGCCAGCCGAAACCGATCTCACGAAAAGCAATGCCCACTCTTTTCTTGGCATTCAGGCTCTGTGAATCAACCATAGGTGATTGATAACTTGCTTGTCCTGGCCGACTGTATAGATGAAGAAGAACATCAAATGTCCAGGCAATGGGAGGTTCTAGAGCGAGAGACACCAGAAGCAATAACGCCACGTCAGTAGAAGCTGATGAAAAGCAATGGACCGTGCTGCCAAGATCAGGCTGCATGGAGTAAATAACTCATGCGGAGATGATCTTCGCTTTGTATAACACAGTCCTTGTTTCTTGTCTCATAAATCGAAGAATTGTATCAGTAATATTATCCGCTAAACACTTCAAGAGTTCGTAGCAAGGGAAAAGTCTTGACTTACAATGTGACCTATTCTATATGGAATATTAATGTCGCAAGAATATTAAATGTGAAAAATAGAACAACGTGGTATAAGACTTGAATATCGGCACCACATCATCAAGCAGGCTGGAAGATCGGCGTTGGACAGCTGACTTAGGCTGACACTCCCATGCACCAATCACCACATGATATTATAAATAGTCGGATAATTCATGTTGCACTATGGGATACTCAGCCAGCCCCAAAATGCATTTCTGCCTAATCCTTGACATCCAGTAAGGTGCTATTGCATGGTTATCAGTAAGTCCCCGGTGTCTCAGATCTAAAGAGAAGGATATGTAACTGGTAGGACTTAAAAGGAGAGGAGAGCATATCAAGTCCGGCAGAATAAGAATGCCGAGCTCGTGGGAGGTCTAGACTATCTATAGAGGTAATGTTAGTACATGCAGACACGTCTTGTCTATAACAGTGAGCTGACTAAAGTACCTACTTCAACATGAAACAGATGATAAGCACTATAATAGCCATGCATATAAACGGCAGTTGCACAGCCTTGACTAGCACGAGTTAACTGGTTAGAGGCAACTCAAGTCAAATTAAGTAAATACTTGGGTTACGCAAGTAATAACCCTTGTGATTAAATTGTTGGTCGGGTGAAATTCTAGGACTAAATTTGCCAGCTATATGTATACACAGCTTGGTGCATTCCAACTAGAGCTTCTCGCCATTATTTAGAAAGCAACCTGACACGATAAACTATTATATTCTACATACCCTCCAGCCGCAATGATCTTTTAATCGTGATTGCTTGCTCTTGTGGCTTCGTTGCCTGCAATTAATTCGAGTTCTTTCCAAACTCAGTGCACACTGCCTCCGCAAGATGTTAATTATGTTTCCGGGGCTAGTGTACGCTCAACTCTGGAAATCTTTCTCTGCACCTGGACGGTTTTACACCTGAACATACCTCAACAGACAACAAATGTTGAGAAAGACATGTTGCTTACGGGCCGCAACCGATATCGAGCTCCAACCATTGGCCAATACTAGACGCAATATCCAAGCGCAAGTATCAAACAGCGCTACCCCAGGTACTCAAAGCAAAACACCAAACAGCTCCATGTCTCGCTACTTTCGAAATTCCATAACATGGTTGTCAAGAAAGCCAAAGTGGATGCTTGTGACTCTCATTTTACCAGAGATTCTAGTTGGGAAATCAACGGGTGACTTCGTTGGTGCATGGAGATCATCACGTTGTCAAGTCATGCGTACAAGGGCTCGAGAGTCTGGAATAGAATGGACGATGACACACGCATACTACGCCAATATGGATGGTTTTATACTGAGGTACCGATCGGGTTTATGCGATGACTGTCGGATCTCAAATATGGCCAAACACCCCGATTCGTCAACATCAGTTGAATTGAACAACATTGAATGTCACCATTCCCCGGGTTACACTACCCCCTATCGAAGTTACCAGTAGTCAAGACGACGGGATGGAAATTCTATAACTCTCACTCCACGATTCAGATTGATGCAAGAGACCCAACATTCAAAGCTACTTCTACTGTTGAGCCTGCGTGGAAAGGTGAGCTTCCAGTCGCAGTTCAGGCTTTGGACCTATGTGCGATGTCGAGTCACGGAGCTGTGGAATGGTTACCACCCATTACGAAACATCAAATCAACTTTCAAAGCAAAGAAGACGCTCTAGTCAAGATTTTAACATTACTACATGTACTATGGCTTTTCGCACAACTTCTAGTGAGGAAAGTCCAAGGGCTTCCTTCAACACAGCTAGAGGTAGAGGTAGCTACTATTAGTTATGCATTATGTACATTTATTACGTACGCGTTTTGGCTTCAGAAGCCAAAAGACTTAGTCTCTACGACGGACGTCATTGCTGCACGAGAACGTACCAAGGAGGACATAGCCAAGCTGAACTATCTTGCGACGGTTGGTTTCTTCACAGGTTTGTTCCAACGATACAGTTTCCCACCGATCATGACACATGTCCCGAATGACGCAAGCAATGGAGAGTCAAGTTTTGGATTGATTGACAATGGGTTGCTGTGAGCCTTTTATATCAGAAGATATTGGATTTATCATAGGCGCTGTTGTTTTTGGCTCTTTTCATCTGATCGCCTGGAACATTCAGTTTCCTACAGTAACGGAACAAATGCTCTGGAGGATTTCAAGCTTGATAACAACTGTCATCGTACCCATCTGGTATATTATATTGGTACCTCGCGAGTTGACGGGCCTCTTAATGAACGAGATGCATGAAGTAGATCAGGAGAAGACGAAAGCGATAGTGGAATACGTGGTCCGAGGATATACCATTACGGTCTACTTGATATATGGACTTTGTCGGGTTTTCATCATGGTTGAGTGCTTCAGAGGATTGTTCTACTCACCTCCCGAGGTCTTCAAAGCGACTTGGACAGAAGTGTTACCTCGTTTCTCCTAGCAGCAAAGAAAGTAGTTTTTTACTTTTAATATACTTCTTGTCGGTTTATTATATAAGGAGACATAATAAATTTACAATGTATAGTTCAAGACAAGTGTGGTATATTAATAATCTAACCTATCCCCTTCACGTTCACAATGTGATCATACCGAGAATTTAAACCATGTGTCTTTTTACACAGTGCTAACTCTAGCCTATTTAACTCTACCTCTTATAATGGCGAGGAACAGTATGATTTTGTCTCTTTTTCTTCCCCTTCGTACAAGACGCTTTTATTCTTCGCTTGTGTTGATAAAGCAACATTTAACGCCGGGTTCCCTAGGAAGAAGTTGACCAGTTTTAGACATACTGTTATCTTCTCATACAATAGAAAACCAGGTCAAGAAACATAGTAAATGCTTGTCAACTGAGAACAGTCTATCTGAGCTATGTCTCTGCTGTTCTATGGCATGCAGGTAATCCTTTGCTTACGTCGCCGCATATTACAGTTTTGATAGAGAATTTGCCTTGGTTAGTTGCTGCCCGGTAGCAACATGTTCACGAAGCTCTGTGTCAATTGTAACGCTGACTTCAATAAGTTCTTCGTCATCAAACGGCCTTCCAACAACCTGAATAGTGCTTGGCTGGTTGACGAAAAGGTTTGGGTCGTCTGCAGAGCATGTAAATTAGACCACGTTATTGAAAGCAGGGGTCGCAAAACATACACATTTCGTGGTTCGTCTTGTCATACGGGTTTGACGTCAAAGGCTTGTAGGATGTGCTTGGTGGATCACGCTCCGGACTGATCTTGAAGTTGGCAACAGGAACAACAGTAGAGGGATAATCCAAAAGATTCCACATGCTAGTGTATCCCCACCATACGTTGAAATCATGTGGGATACCAGCTGAGGGGGAACATGGACAGATGAGTGCGTCCATGGGACGTCCGGTTGAGGTTATGTCCTTAGTCCTATCCCAGGCCTGAGCGAAGATTGTTTTGTAGGCTCTTGTCTGAAGGTTGAGCTAAAAGGTGGATGGGTACTTAGCATCCTTTCTCTTGGCAATTGTTATTTTCGTACCTTCAACACTTCAGTAGCTGCGAGTGCCCTCGCATGGAATACCTTCAACAGGTCGGCAAAGGCTGGGACTAGGGGCTCTCCAGATATGGCTACCTTTGCCAATGTATCTGCGGCACCGTCTTGGAAGATCAGATCGTACTAGTATCCTCATCAGTCTCTAAAGCACGAATTGTTGGTGTTGATAGACTCATACGTAACACTTGGCTAGCTCCCAGCAATCGACAGGCGGGCTAAAATCAACCACTATTATATATGAGCGCATTGAAACAGACATAAGTTTCATGGAGAGCACACCTTCAAAACCGGCGCTCAAGAGGACATTCTTGGTATGTTCAATGGCTCTAAGCACAGGAGGTTGTGGCATCACCACTCCGTCCCACTTCATAATACCAACTGCAAGCTTCTGAGGCAAAGAAACCTTTCTCCATGGAAGAGGAACTGAATTTGTATCATATCGATGTTGAGCTTGATGGGAGCCGATTATCTCGGTGAATAGCCGAACGTCGTCGATAGAGTAACAAATAGGTCCTGCAGAGTCCCTGACAGTCACCTGGCCCGTCATAGTGCCGGCCCAATTTCCTTTAGGGATACGCTGAGATGTCGGGCGAATAGCATAGAGACCACAGAAAGCGGCTGGCGCGCGGATGGAGCCGCCGATATCCGACGGAAGCGCAATAGGAGCTCCTCTCATCGCAACCAGCGCAGCGTCTCCTCCAGAGCTGCCGCCGGCACCTAGGAGGTTATTGAATGGATTCAATGTTCGACCCCATAGGTTGCTTGTGGTCTCTAGGATGAATCCCGTCTGGGGCATGGTAGTTCTGCAGAAGAAGACGGCACCCGCCGATCTCAGGGTTTCGACGATGTCGGAAGTGTGATCATATACTACACCCTTACCGATGATGTAGCCTCGTGTCGTAACATGACCTTTAAGACCGTACGTATCCTAGTGAGGGTTGTTAGGGAATTTCCGAAGGTATAGTGTTACATACAAGTCCCAGTCGTACCTTGAGAGCAACAGGAATACCATGTAGAGGTCCAATAGGTTCACCACCGCTTTCAAGCTTTCCGTCGAGTTCTTTAGCGCAATGGAGGCCTTCTTCATAGAACCAATCAGTAAGACAATTGACCTTTTTCAAGATTAGCATCCGGTCAGTAGTTGTTATACAAGACTATAATCACTAGTTGATGAGCGATGGCAGCCCTGGCAGCAAATGCCTCCAAGATTTCGGTCGCCTTCAACGTGCGAGACCTGATACGATGTTGGAGTTCTGATACAGTGAGCTCCGTTATAGCGATCTGTCGTTTACTTAAGACTCCGCAGGTGAGAGGAATGCGAGAAATATTAGATTGGCCGGAGTACTACTTGGGGTCGATTCTCCATTGATCGGGTATCGCCCGCAGAAGTTCGGCTTGGGCCGCTGCCGAGATATCTTTCCATGAAGAATTACCCATACTTGAAACCGTCACAAGTGTTGCCCAGATACGTTTATCGGTGCTGGGAGAATCGAAAGACTGTCACGATGTGCGAGTATCGTTCGATTTTGCTAATCGGCCAGGCAGGGCACCCGTTTTATTTGCGACCTATCCTCCAACGGTAAGCCGGAGTACAGTACAGCCCCCTCACTTGGCTTCCGAAATGCCAGATCATTCTATGGCTCGTGCCGGGCTTGAACTGACTAGCAATGTACATCTATACCGCTTATCGTAACGGAGTGAGTGCATCAGAAAAGACCCGATGTTTAACTTTTATCGGTCACTTTACTCCCGATTGATACCCCGCTGTTGGATAGGTTATCTGTATCCTCCGGTCCGGTGAGTCCCAAATTCCGTTCTCCACCTCCCCTCTTATCGGGAAGTAAAACTTGCCGGAATGCTAAAAGTCGCCGATGAGCTATCACGTAACATGTTAACTTCATGTCGAAGAATCACAGGCTAGTTTTAATTGGAACCATTACAAAGTAACCGTTACGCTTCTGCAGTTCCGGGGCTTTCAAGAAGCAATAAATTACAGTAGCGCTCCACGACTGACAGATCAATTTTCTCGTGGCGCAGGATCCCGCGCTAGTCGTGTGTCGTTTAATAAGACACCATCGTCGTACTTCACTATTATGAGTCGTCAAGTGCGGAGCATTTACTTGTTTGCCATCTTCATCAGCGGGAAGCTTCCCTTGAACTAAGTATCAGACCCTGGCTAATCATTGATCTTAATATCTTACATTAACTACTAACTACTATAGAGCCCTTGTTCAAATATACCTTCAAATATACCATGCACCTCAAGAGCTAACATTCAGAAAGCTTGCCCCCCAGTGTAAAAAGTCTTGGTATGTGACATCGTTCATTTCTTCAGAAAAGTCGAGGTAGTTATAACATAGCAGTTGGTCCAAGCGATCCAAGTCTTTCCTTCCACCACTCTGGGAGAACACGCCGCCCAACATGGCTCTTAGTAAATCAAGACCTTGCCTACAGGTTTTGTTCCATTGAGACGTCCGGTCCGAGATAGATGCAGCTACTAGAGCCGAGACTGCAGCGTGACATGAGGTAAACTCAATGTACGACGATCGTGATAGGCTAGACTGGTCTTTAATCCGCTGACAAAGGTCAACTATAGCAAGAGCACTTTCGATACAGCTTGTGATTAGTTTACTTTTCGTGTCCGTTAATAGGCCAGTTCTCATGGTCTCTTCAATAGTCCTGTCGAGAATGAAGGGCCGTCCGATGAAGATATGAATGCTGTGGTAGCTCAGTGCAAGGTAAGCGTTGTGCCGGAACAGTGGTTTCTGTGGACAAAGGTCCCTGCCAAATATGTTATCGGGAAGGTTATCCCAGTATAGAAGCAGCTGATCCCGGGTATCAAGAACATGTTGAAGCTTCTCAACTTGTTGAATTGCTTCTAGGTTCAACAGTCCGTTCCTAAAATTCCATTAGAACATTACGATATTCAAGGGCCATAGCATCATTACATCGTATGCCAGACATGCTCCAACATGTTGGTTAAGATTACCATACTTTTCGTGTTTTGATGCGTATCGATACGTTTAGAAGACATGTCGACGTTGCCAAGCATGTCGAAATCTTGAACGGGCGGTCGTGTGGGAGCGAGGGACTTCCCATGGTAAACAGAGTTTCTCCTACGACGATATTAGAGAAGGCGGGTACCTATTAAACGGGCAGCTTACCTTTCTAAAATGAAGGCAGTGCACCATACCCTCCTCCGAACCTCTATTTCCCTTGCCGTAATTGATGTATTATCATCAGCTTCCAAACAGCAATCTGTAGCAATTCTGAGACCTATTGAGAAATAGGTAGCAGCAAGGTTACAATGCTCAAGGGGGAGAAGGTAGAAGCCCATCAAAAGTAACGCTTGAACGCTTTCCAAAGAACTGATTGCCAAAACATCCGGTACTAGTTTAGACGCTTGGCGGAAAAACATCAAAGCAAGCGCATCATCCAGCCAGATGTGATGTTCTTGCGTCGTTTCCTTTGGGGAGTGCTCTCCACCTTGGAGGTGCGAGAACTGAGCGCCAATGGCAAATACCATCAGAGCGGTGCAGACCCACGGAGCGTCCTGCGCATTTAATGTACAGGGTGCCTTATAAAACTGCTCAATGCTAGAACGAAACATGAGTTCATCAACGTAGAAGTAATTCATTTGACCAAACTCAAAGAATATGCTGACCAGACTCGAAGCTGTGTTAAAAGTTGGAAACACGGATGCAGATTCAACAACAATCATGCCATGTGATAGAAGCTGCGAGGAGTTCGAATCCAGGGCAACATCATCAACCAGGCATGCCTGCTGTTTGCCAATGGTCTGGGTAATCTCGCTGAGTGAACCTGGATGTAGATTGTCGAATTTATTGAACAACAGCCGGAGGAAATGTGAATGGGAGAGGCTCTTGGTATCCTCGGGGGTCAGTCAGTATTCTATCGTTCAGGTCAGAGTGTCCTTCAGACTCACCGGCCGAGGGTTGTAATTGGATTTGCCCGCCTGGGCTATCCAAAAGTCGGACTGCCAACTCCGCAATCGATTTTTGCTCAGGGTGCTCTTGATCGTGAGATGACACATCTTTATGTATCGGCAGACTAACAATAAACTCTTCCAGGTTCTCCTTGGTAAGATGATCAAGTCCAGCGTAATGCCGCACTATGTTTTCTAACGCATGGATCCTCTCCACATTCAGAAAGTCGGTATCTGTCTCAAACAGCTCTGGGAGATCCTCCATGGCGTGTCTTTCATGATGGTGCAGTTTACGTGGCCGTCCAAGGGGCTTTCCAGCGTACTTAAAACTACACTCAAGACCATGATTTTGGCATCTCGCACAAGGCGTGGTTCCATCGCAACGCTCTTTTCGGCGTCGGCATCGGTCGCATCTGCGTACACCCATGTATCAGTCGGGCGGTTCCCCATACTCACTCCAGCGACTTACGCCTTATTGGTTCTTTTGGGACGTGAAGAACTCATTGATTTTTATAGCCGGGATGTGGATGAGATTGGGCGATGCAACTTACCTGTGAAGCTCTATTATACTTGGAACAACAAATACTACGGGGCTCTGACATTAAAATGTAAAATGGATTGGAGGTGCATGTGGAGAAAGCGCTCATTTTGTTCAGTTAGCCGGTTAATCACCGGACCAACGAAGACACACGATATGTAACCTCGTGGGTAAGAGGATGTTAGTCAAGGAAGATTGACTAAGTTTGGTGACAAGTGTCATTCTCCGTCCCCACCTAGACACTCCGTTCCCGCCTTATCGTTCTTACTACTTGCGTCTGAGCATATTTCAGTTTAAGCCACCCGCATGCGGAATATGCCCTTTACTGTCTCGGTGGACACTTCCGTAACCCCCAAGCAAAAATCGGAGCTCGCAGTATTCATCTTACAGGTAGTCCAGAGTGTTTATTGGAAACTACTTTGTAATACATCGTAAATAGAGTAGTTCTAACTAGTATCGTTGCATTTTGGCAGTTTGAGAGCGAGATCGATATGGAGGAAACTGCCCATAAGGAGATTTTAAAAAATGTTTGTATAATCCAATTTCACATAAAGAGCGCATCATTTCGTGACATAATTCACTCCCAAGTTTCACAGTTTCGACAGAGATCCAACTGTAAGAGTGCCTGTTTTCTGAATCAGGTACTCTTCAATGGCCACGTCTTTACCTGCCTCCTTGCCATACCCTGACTCCTTGATACCACCGAATGGAGACTCTGCCCCGGATGCATTGCCTGTACTCAAAGTTAGTATGATATACGTAAACAACATAATAAGGCAGGAGACAATAGTACCAGTATTCATGCCGATCATCCCAGCCTCGAGACTCTCAAGCAATCTCCACGTGCGGTCAGTATCCCTTGTGAAAAAGTAAGACGCAAGACCCATAGACGTGTCATTAGCTTCTTTAACCACTTCTTTCTCTGTCTCGAATTTGTATAAGCCCAGAAGTGGTCCGAAGATTTCTTCATTTGTAGTCAACATGGATGCAGTCATATCCGAGATAATAGTTGGCTCGAAGAAGTAGCCGTTTAGACCGATGGGAGATGAGCCTCCACAAAGAACCTTGCCTCCCTTAGCGACTGCATCGGCCACATGTCTGTTGAGTTTCTCAACGGCTCGAGATGTCGTTAGTGCTCCCATGGTAGTGTCAGAATTGGCGCCATGACCAACGCGGAGCTTCTGAGTGGCCTCGAGAATCTTCTGCGCAAACTGGTCATACACACCACTCTGCACATAAACACGATTCGCATGGGTGCATGCTTGACCAGCCGTGCGCCACTTTAAGATCATAAGTGCAGCAACAGCTTGATCCAGGTCTCCGTCGTTGAAGATAATAAAAGGGCAGTTGCCTCCGAGTTCCATTGTGACCTTCTTTAGCCCATCGGAACAGTGTCTTGCAATAATGCGACCGACAGCAGTGCTGCCCGTGAAGGTTACCTTACGGACAAGGGAGTGTTTGCAAAGTACCTCGCTAACCGAAGGAGTATGTATATTGTCGGTGGTGATAACGTTAAAAACCCCTGGGGGAAAATCTGCTTTCAAAGCTAGATCGGCAAGGGCCATAACGCTTAAAGGCGTCTCAGGAGACGGTTTGACAATCATTGAACAGCCTGCCGCTAGAGCAGCAGCAACCTTGCGGATAATCATGGCCACCGGGAAATTCCACGGTACGAGGGCGACGCTGACGCCGATGGGCTGTTTGATGACAAAGGTACGACGATCAGATACGGTTGGGATCGCGATAGAACCTCAGATACGTTCTGCTTCGCCAGCGAACCACCAAGCAAATCCCAGGGCATAATCGACTTCGCCGCGAGCCTCGTTCAACGGCTTGCCTGTCTCGTATGTGACCAGCTTAGCGATGTCTTCTCGTGCATTGGCGATGAGCCGATACCACTCGAGGAGTTTCTTGGCACGTTCACGAGGATTGACATGTCGATACTTGAGAAACGCTTCGTGGGATGTGGCGACATACGGTTCAACATCTTCGACTTTGTTGATAGGGCAAGTCGCAAAGACTGTGCGACTGCCAGGATCTAGATAAGGCAGCGAGAGTTAGCATTCTGTCATTCTACATGGGAAAACGCCAGTGGAAAAGAAAGGAATTCTTACCCTCCACGTCAAAAGTCTCGCGGGACCTTGAAGAAACCCACTCCCCATTGAGTAAGGAGCTCTCGTGGAAAATGGACGGGTCGTCCAACTACATTAGTGTAAGCTACGGATCATCCGGTACTATCAAAGTAATGGACGATGTTGTTGCCATACCTGGAATGGTAGCGTCTTGGGCATGATGATCGATAAATGAACCCTAAGCTTTGGCAAAGGTGTTGTTCACAAAATGCTGTGTGGACAGGACTTAGATTTTAACTTGGAGACGGATACCTATAGTTCTTGCTCTGTAAGGGCGCATATCGTCAATTAATGAATGTCATTTCAACACTTGCGACACCGGGAATATCAGACAAACTACATCAATTTTACATAATGATACACTGACTAACAAGATGACATCCGAATTATGTTCCGATAACCCGGCAAGACATGAATGGGCCAGGATCCGGTATCATTACAACAGATAGTTGAGTGGAATACGCGCCGGTTGCGCTGACCGGTCCATCTTTTCCGGTGCTGGCTCGGGTTGCCTTTAGAGGTTCGATCAGCATTTACGCGATGCGCATGATGAGTCGAGAATTTCAATTAGCGGTTTGTCTTAGCTGAGCTTTACCTTTGGAGGGAGGAGGGGAAGGACTTATATCCTCCAAAGGTAAGGTCGCGGTGAGTTATTCCGGTCCCGGCGCTGAGGCATCGGGGAGATAAATCAGGTTTGGGGCAAAAATTACCCGATGGACGCGTTGACGTGTCTCAAACCGGCCCGGCCCTTGTCATCTCTTTTGTTTCAACTGGAACTAACAGCGAAGTCTCTTTGCTTGATACATGTTGCCCAGCTGTTTGCTTTGATTGTATAAATCTCTTGTCTTGGATCGTTTAATTCAACTTCATCATTCAGTAATTTCCCAGTTTCTCGACAAGCATTACTTCTCAAGAAAACAACTGCAAACACGTCTGCCATAGCGACAATGGCTGCTGCATCACTGCATCCCTTTGATCCTCTGAGGCCCGATGAGATCTCAAGGGTAGGTCAACTACCAATCTCCCATGCACATGCTAATGGTCTGTTCAGGCTTCAAGGATCGTCCGCCCCCACTTTGGTGGTCAAGACCCCAACTTTCGCGTCATCACTCTTCTTGAGCCAGCCAAAAAGCAGATGATTCCTTACCTTGAGAAGGAACATCACAAGCAGCCTACAGGGCATGTCCCCACTCGTTATGCCCGAGTCGAAGCTTCTATCAAGGGGGACGCTGGCGAGAATGAACTCTTTGAGCTTATCGTCGACCTTGACGATGATAAGGTCGCCCAGAAGCAGCATGTCAAGGGAAAACATTCATACATCGATTCCAATCACATGAAGGAGGTCGAGGCTGCGTGCCTGGCCAATGAAAAGGTGCAAGCTGAGATTCGCACTCTTGACCTCCCAGCTGGAGCTACTGTTGTTGTTGAGCCTTGGGCATATGCGACCGATGGCATGAATGACATGACCGAACGAGTCACAATGGTAGGCCCCAATATCTTCTGCATCTTATCAATGCTGATAGTGATCAGTGCTGGTTCTACCTCCGATTGCTGGAAAACCCCGACGCCAACTACTACGCCTATCCCCTCGACGTCTGTGCTGAAGTCTCCGAGGCTCTCGAGGTTACAAAGGTTTATCGTCTTCCCACCATGCCCCACGGGAGGATCAACACCGAGCAGAAACCCTTTGATCGCCGAAGAATTCATTCAACTGCTGCAAGCGAATATCACCCCGATTTGAGGCCAAGCCCTCGCACAACCACTAAGCCATACCAAGTTGTTCAACCGGATGGCCCGTCATTCCAGATCCAAGGCAACCATCTCAAGTGGGAGAAGTGGGATTTCCGGGTGGGTTTCAACTACCGAGAGGGTCTTACCTTGCACGATATTCGATATGATGGCCGCAGTCTCTTTTACCGCCTCTCTCTTGCTGAGATGTTTGTCCCTTATGGCGACCCGCGTGCTCCCTACCCTCGCAAGGCTGCCTTTGATCTTGGAAATGATGGTGCCGGTATCAACGCAAACAATCTCCAGCTTGGATGTGATTGTCTAGGTACTATCAAGTACTTCAGTGCCTATCACAACACACCATCTGGAGAACCTATGGAGCTACCAAATGTCGTCTGTTGTCACGAGCAGGATGATGGTATCCTGTGGAAGCACACGAACTTCCGCACTAATACTCCCGTTGTGACTCGTTCTCGCATCCTTGTTCTTCAAACTATCATCACTGTTAGCAACTATGAGTACATATTTGCATGGCACTTCTGTCAAGATGCCTCCATCTTCTACGAAGTTCGTGCTACGGGAATTCTATCTACTGTACCAGCTTCTATCGATCACAAGGGGAAATATCCGTATGGAACCATTGTGGCACCTGGTGTCTTAGCGCCTTACCACCAGCATCTTTTTAGTCTCCGTATCGATCCTGCGATTGATGGCCACGCTAATTCACTCGTGGTCGAGGAGTCTAAGCCGCTTCCCATCAACGATCCATCTGTTCACAATCCCTTCGGCGTCGGTTACATTACCGAGAATAAGTTCATTGAGGAAGAGGGTGGCTTTGACCTTGACCATACAAAGGCTCGGACCTTCAAATTCGTCAATGAGAACAAGATCAACCCCGTCACAGGTACATCTGTCGGGTTCAAGCTTATGCCAGCCTACAGCCAGATGTTGCTGTCACACCCTGACTCATTCCACGCAAAGCGCTCTGAGTTTGCTGAGCATGCTGTTTGGGTTACGCGCCACGAGGATAATGACCATTTCCCTGCAGGAAAGTATACAATGCAATCCTCTGGTGGTGATGGCCTGGCCTCGGTTATCGCGAAGCGCCGCACCACGGGTACGGCTCAGTCTGTCAGGAACCAAGACATCGTCATTTGGCACACATTCGGCTCGACCCATAACCCGCGCATTGAGGATTGGCCCGTGATGCCCAATGAGAAGATGATGGTCGGTTTGAAGCCTGTGAACTTTTTCTCTGGCAATCCTGGCTTGGATGTGGCCCCATCTACGCAAGAAAAGAACAAGAGTGTTCTGTATACTGGTGGGGACGAGAAGGCTTCGTCATGCTGCAACTCGAGACTGTAGAACAGTATAGATAGGATGCAGAGGATGAAATATTTGATCGTATACTTGTAAGAATACTAAAATAAAAGGAAAAACTTTCTCGTTATCTGCTGCAAAGTCTTTTTCGGAAGTGTTGGTTGTTCAGAAGCAAAGATTGTTTTCTTTATCTTTTCGAGTTAAAATATTAATTTATGAAGGCTGGTATCGTCAGTTTTGACATCTTCTCAACCTTGAGTCTTTTCCCCTTTAAAGTGATGATACGATGGACAGTATATCTCCGGTAGATCAAATAGCTATTTAGTTCCACCCAAGTCGACCACGTTCATTCAAGGCTCATTGTGCTGTGGAAAGTGTTATTACTTCCAGACATGGTGGTTCTTATTTTACCAAGATTCTATTGACTTTAATTAATATCTAGCACATCCGAATACTGCCTTAAAAAAATGCGAACCCAATCTGCGATAGATGTACTAGAGGAATAGCTTGTAAAATAGATTCATTTTCACATCTGGCGACTCGTGGATTAAGTAGAGCTTTCTTCCAGATATGTGGCCTGAATTCAGGCCAGATTGGGAGTGATAATCGCGAGAACTGGTGGGCAATTATTACAACAATGCCTGAATTTACACATGACGCTATCGAGCCTTGTTTGATACTGACATTCACCAAAATCCACAAACTCTTCGGTCCGGGTTGACTATTTTCTTTCTGTTTGAAAAGCAGTCATGCCTGGCTCGATTATATGCTGTTTTAGTGCTCACAAAAGTTCCACTCGACATTCTTCATCTTTTCATACGATCTGATTTCATTCGCCGATCGTTCCTGCATGAGTTCCTTTCGAAACTCCCTAGCTTTCTCCTCATCAAACGGCAGGGCTCCGTTCGGTTTCAACTCTTCAGGCCACCAATCCTTCTGCTGCGGCGGCACATTTGCCGTAGAAATCACGGGAATCGCAGGGTCCACGAGAAACAAGGCTAGAATCTTTCTGTGGCCAGGCTTTTTTGGATCAGCCAACTTGAAAGAATTGACGTGGTGCTGAAATACATTCGGGAAGAATAAAGCCCGCTTCTCTCGTGTGAGGACACTTCCGATGCTCTGGATCCGAGAACCTCCACCAGGCCATTCAATTGCAAAGACACGTTGGATGGTCTTCCAATCGTACTGTTCATACGATAGGAGTCCCTCGTCCAGCTCGTCTGCATTGGCCATAGTGCGGAAGTCAATGTAGCTGTCAGTGATGTTCTCATTGTCGTAGTAAAACAGAGCTGTAGAACAAATATGCTCGTTGAGTTGGCCCTCGGTATGCCACGAGCCACCTGGATAGGTTGGATTCTCTGGGGTGAGATGGATGTTGGCCAGCTTTACGATAACTTGCAGTCTTTTGGGTCCGGGTTCGGGGAAGATCTCGTGCGCCGGCTTGACATCCTCAGCACGGAACTTCAATTGGGGCTCGGGGCTGGGCTCTGGCGCGATAACAGGATGGGTTTTGGAGAACCAGCGTAGGTCTCGACGTTTGACTTCCTTCTCAGAAACGTGGTTTGGGTCGCGCTCTTGCTCTTCCTCTTCCTCGTACTCATCTTCCGTTTGGCTATCTGGCATGTCTCTATCCTCGCTGCTGTCATAGTCTTCCGACTCATATTCACTGTCTGATTGATCCGTCTTCTTCAACGAATGCCGGAGCGTAGCTTTAAGAGTTCTTTTTGGTTCCCGCCAGTGTCGAGGCTTTTCACGAGGTGTGTCGTCATCCGAGTCCGAAATCTCCGAGTTACTGTTATTATTGTCATAATCACACCTACGAGGCTCGTCATCGCGTGTCGGTCGAGCCAGAGGTGTGCAGGTATGGTCAGAGTTTGCGCAAGTACGCTTGCTTCTGCATCTTCTCCTCGCCTGTTCGATCTTCAGGCGCTGCATAGGGAACTCTTCTAGCCAGCGATAGACAATGTCCCATGCTGGCAAGGCCTTTTCGATAAACTTCTCGATGACGGGATAGAGAGACACGTTCTTCACTGGATGAAGGTTGTTGATGTAACTTTCAATCTTAACACGTCCGTTCTCGACCGAGACGTCGCAGGGCAACCATTGGAAATTCGTAGATGTGCAATGCCAAAACTCGCCTCTGATGGACCTGTCTGTGGGTTTCTCAACAACAAGACCCTGGCCGCAATCATTGAGGGCTTCCGCGAGTCCAATGCGTCTCCCAAGGAGAACACGAGATTTGCCGTACACCAGTGGATACATAGATGGGTGGACCAAGTTGAGGACCTTTCCATTGCTGCCGGGATGCCAGTCTTTGGCTTCATCAGGGATATCTTCGAGAGCTTTGACACCAGTTTTGAGTGAGTGCCATAAGTCGTCAGGGATCAGGTGATCAGACTTTACGATGGCAGCAGTGTAGTCGTAAACAGGAAGAAGCTTCGTCTTCTCGTAAATCTCTGCCTTGAACTTTATCTCTTCGATGCACTAGAAAGAAAGGGAATTAGCTTATGCAGTGCGCTTAGGCGTGTGATATACGTACTGCATCAGCCATAGCAGGAGTGAAATCCCCATACTTGAGGTATCGGCCCCAGTCGAATTCCAATGCCTCAGCTTTCCATCTACTCGCAATTGTCTCATCATTCACCTTGATCCACCACTCTGGCTTGTTAGTAATTTCCTCAATGAACCGAAGCATGCAAAGTTCGCGATTGGTGAGAGTAGCAGCTTGGAAGTCCGAGTCTCTACCCAGAAGGGTAGGGAAATGGTCGTTATTGTCTGGCATGTAGTTGACAGGAAGGCCGAAGCCAGGAAGTTTGATGATCTCCATGTCTCTTCTCCTTTTGTAAGAAATATATTGGAAATTGTTGTAGCGAGATTGAATTGCATTAGAGCTGTTTCTGTAAGATGCTGAAGTGCCGGTGAGCCTTTAAATTAAAATGTTTCACGGAAACCTCCGCCGTCAAACGTTCCGTCTTGTATGCTAGTAAAGCAGGGATCAATTTAGAGGCCAGTCTAGTTGAAACTCTATGTCGAAAATCACGGTACGGCTTTTACCCTATATGGAAATGACCGACAGCCTAGCTTTCAGCTGAAGAAAACCTTGACAAATTCTTTAGGCAAACAGGCAGCCAACATCCACTTGGTCTAATGAATATTCGTATTACCTTCCATAAGTGTTAAGTGTCTACAGACCCATTTAAAGCATGTGCCGTGTTAGACACGTCACCTTCCAGATTAGCATTGCGTTGGAACATTTCTTGATTCAGCATGAGTCAAATTGAGATTTGAAGCATTAGCTTAACATATATTTCCCCAATTTAATTGTCGAATGAAGCAATATCAGGAATTCTGTATATCAAAGTGACAGAAAATACATAACCTCCATACTATATCAAGTTGAAGTCATCCATGCAGAGTTGGGCATTCTCACCAAAGCTGGACGTAGGTTCCAAAGCGCCTCCACTTGGACATCGAGTAGTAAGCGTCCAGCTGATTGATCTCTTCAACGCTAAGATGGCGTCTTCCTGTCCTCAAATCGGCAGTAGCAAGATCACGCCACGGCGTGCGCATGATTATCTTATACCCGACTGTAAAACCCACGATGATAAGAATGCCGATGATGTACTGGAAGAAGTTGTTGGGAGTAAAGCCTCCACCGCCCTGGGAAGACAAAGTCAGCTATCACAGCCAGGTAATACACTTGGAATGATATAGGACGTACCAGAGGCTTGATTCCGATGGCAAAGCAACTAACAGTAAGTAACACACAAATGGCGAGGAGCCAGGTAGGAGCCAGCGGCCAGCCAACAGACTTCCAAGCGTATGGCTCTCTAAAAAGAGGGTCGTTCTGTAGCTTGAGCGCACGATGGAATCGGAAGGATGTGAACGCGATGATGATCCACATACAAAAGAACGAGGCACTTGTAATGGAGATAAGCCAAGTGAAGGCTGTACGTCCGCCAGCTATATACATGGTCAGTTGATCAGTCCATAAATGGAGAGCATAATGCTGATAGTGACGTACCCGCCAAGTTGATGTATGTGAGTATGACGCCTACTCCGCATGTGATAGCAAGGGCCCAACGTGGACGACCTTGGCTATCGACCTTGGCAATAAACTCAGGTACCAGCTTCTGATGTGCCATAGTGCGGAGCACACGCGAAGACAAGTAGACAGCCTCGGCAGAGATTGCCAAGATACCTACAATCATTCCAGCATTCAGAATGTCCGAGATGACGGCAATCCCAGAGTCAAGTGTGGCAATGACAAAGGGAGAGGCGGTAACGCCTGATCCACCAAGCAGTCGCTCGTCGTCAGAACGGACAAGCAGAGTGATGAACATCACACTCAGCATATACACAATTCCTACACGGTACGGAACAAGCTTGGTAGCGTGACCCAAAGCGTGTCTTGGGCTTTTGGCTTCTCCGCCCATGATACCAATGAAGACCTGATCACCGACAGCCCAGGTGGCTAGTAATGCTGCATTTGCAAAGCCCTGAATATTGCAAGTTAGAAGAAGACAATGACATAAGGTAGTCCGCATCTAAAACTTACCGAGAAGCCATTCTTGAACGCATTCAAGTCTGTCCAAGTACTACCCGAGTGGACAAAACCATTGGGTCCGGCACCACAGACAAGAGCAAGGGATAGAAATATGATTATAAGAAACAAGAATATCTTGATAAGCGAAGTGACGTACTCAAACCAAGCAAAGATCGTGTTGGGAAGAAGGAATATGACGAAGGTTGCGGCTAGGAAAATGGTATCTGGTAATTCATCTCGTTAGCTTACAAAATCGAAGTTGATTTCCATAAGGCAGTCTCTTACAAACAGCGGCTGGTGGAATAGCACCATCTGCCCAGAAATTTATGAGGATATCACAAAATACGGCCTCGGCCGCAATAATAGCAGTCCAACCTGGATAAATCTAGAGTCAGCACGTGGTCCTCTTATGTTACAGTTCACACTAGATTCCTCACCTAGCCACTCCGCAAATCCGGCACCGAAGGCCAAAGCTGGGTCGACCCAACGTCCAGCATAGTCGATGAAGTTACCAGAGGTTGGGAAGGCAATAGTCATCTCGGAAAGAGTCTGTAGGACAGCCCAAACACAGGAGCATACCAGGGCGTATGCGATAATCATGTTTCCAGGGCCGCCACCAGCAAGAGCGCTACCTGTTCCGATGAACACACCACTTCCGATGTTCGAACCGAGGGAGATAATCTGAAAACACGTCCGTTAGCAAGTGTGGAATCTGCATGGGCAAGCGAATTGCATACGTGTACTTGACGAGGGGTGAAAGATCTATGGAACTGTCCATTGCGATCATCGTTGAGCTCGGACGATTCTGCCTCGTGGTGACTTCCAGGTTGCTCAAGAGGAGACCCATCGCCTGGTAGCTTCTCACGATCACTCTTGTAATCCATTGTGTCGTGGCATACAAAGTGGGAGAGCTTGCAATGGAACTGGGGCGTTAAAAGGCCTTGGACATATAGATAAAGAGATTGATTGGGATTGAATAGTGTGAATGAGGATAAAGAAAGGATTCACTGATTGCACGGATAACGCGACGTATTTGAACTACGCAACGTCGATCTGAACCCCAAGGGTCATGGTCCAGCTCAGTTCCCCGCAAGAAGCGATGATTGACTGCAGATGGCATGGGTCGAGACACAATCGCGTGGTAAACACCTGCTAGTCTGTTGGAAAACACTGGCCAAACCTGTCTATACATGATTAGACCCAGTAAATAAAGTATATCAGGTCCACCTGCTTTCGTTCAACCTCTAAGATCTCGATATGACTGGCTTGGCATAAACCGAACAGGCACACAAAAAGACTACGCCTCAGCTAGCGCCGCCATAGTGCTATCACTGTCGGCAGACGTTCCTTTGGTATCTGCAACGATGCCGAGCCGCTACGGGAAGGGTTCCGATGGCCTTATCAAGGCGCGCGATTGTTATCAAATATGTGAGAGCGCCGAAAGATAGCTAGACTTATCAGGTTTTCAGCAACTTGCCGGGCCAACAGTGTCATTGCATTCTGCATTCAACATACACAATGTGGGATTAAGAACATTCGTCCAAGAATAGTAAGTGACACCGTGGCAGTAAACAACCTCTCCTTTTACATTCTGCTTAATGTTATGGGTCGATTACCCCAGATATTAAGATCGATACTCCAGAGCTAAAATCTGGGGAAGTCTATCCCGGGGGTGGAGTTTCCCCATAATGCAAGTTTAAATTACCTTTAGAAGGTCTAGCCGGTGAGTTCTCATTACGTACAAAAGTACAAGCATAATGCTTGAAGCCTTAGTATTTGTCCAGTGACCCGTAGCTAAGTGTAAGCTCTTCTAATATTGGCTGAGGGATAAGGCGGCTTGCAAAAGGATATCCAATAGTGGGGATTCCCCTATCATGACTAACCTAACTACTGATCCGCTAGTGAGTGAGTGGCTCAATAGGAGAGCGGATGGGATCCATCCCGTATGGACTCGACGCTTGAGTCAATTGTGGCAAAATGTTGGTTGTGGCTCATGACTGACATCACGTCATGAGCGGTGAGAAAAAGATTGCGAACCCACTTTGCTATCGTGGCGTAGGACTGACAAGCCAGCGCGATTGTTCACCACAACGCGCTTTTAGATTTTTGGGATCGATGTGTTCAGAAGATTGAGTGTATAGCTAGTATCAGACTGACGGTAAATCATCGCTTAAGAATAAATTCTATAGCTTGGTGGTCTTTCCAATCGTCTAAACGTTTTGTAGCTCTGCTTTAGTTGCCGGCATGTCTCAATTGTCTCAATCCCATTTCGAGGCATTCATTGCCAGTGTTAACATTTGAACAATTAAGAAAGCCAGTTCTGAACATAACACCATACACATCTATATATACCCTCTGTTTTTAGAGATAGATGTTTTAGCTGCAGTAGTATCGGGGGTTAATGTCGAGACTGAAGTAAGTTCTATCTGTTACTGAGTTTCTCCCTACATTGAAATTCTACCTACTCCGATAACACATCCTTCTAAATAACCAGAGTGAGCTTCTTACGAGGAGCCAGTTTATCTTCTAATCATAACTCTATATCCCCCGGTGTAGTTAACGTTGATAGACCATCTAAGCTCAGGCTGCTATAACGGCATAGCTATTGGTATGAGGAGACCACGGCAGAGATATCTTACCCTGTACTTATTAGCCCAACAAATCGTCCTTACATACTGGAGTTACCCGCTGTCAACCCCTCCTCGTTCCCACACCCCACGCCCAGCGAGCCTCGGCTAAGGAGGAAATAAAACTTCTGACGTTAGATGCTCAAATTCGCCCTATCAGCGTCCGACGTCTTACTTTCCCCGAGGCTCGGTTAATTTCTTAGCGCAACAAAGGCCAACCAAGTACGGGGTACTTAGCCTTTCCTTGTCTCTTTCTTCCATCATTAATCTTGTCCTATACACCAAGAAAGACACATATTCTCCCAAGCTCCATCTACAGAAAAGTCAATCATCATGTCAGGTCCCGGTGTTGGTTTTGAGTACCCGCCCGTCGAGGTCAAGTGGCTGCAGCGCGACGTCCTACTATTCGCCAACACTATCGGCGCTACCGTTGATGAGTTACACTTCCTTTACGTACCTCACCACTCTCTGGTATTACTAAGCTCCTACTGACAAACAATAGGAGTTCGACCCCAATTTTGCCGTCTTCCCTACCTACCCCGTCATTCTTCGTAAGTCCCGTCACTTGTGCATATAATTCCAATGATTAACCCTTCACAGCTTTCAAGAAGGACTCCCAGGAAGTAGTCGACTATTACAAGGCCAGCAAAGCCGTTCAGATCCCTGGTATCCCCAAGCTCGACTACACGCGTGTTGTCGATGGCCAGCGAAAGATAGAATTCCTCAAGGCCCTCCCAACCACCTCGGCCGGCCGCAAATTTGAAATCCGTCAAAAGGTCATTGGTGTCTACGACAAGGGCCGTCCCGGAACTGTCCTCGAGACCGAGACCAACCTGGTAGACGTCGAGAAGGGCGAGGTGTACACCCGCGTCATTAGTAGTGGCTTCTTCATCGGCCAGGGCAACTGGGGCGGTCCCAAGGGTCCCGCCACTAAGAACTACCCCCCGCCAGAAGGCAAGGCTCCTGACGCTACGATTGAGGTTCAGACCACGGCCGAGTCAGCGCTTCTATATAGGTTAAACGGTGATTACAACCCGCTGCATGCTGACCCTGCGCCCGGGCAGAAGATGGGTTTCGGAGGGACGATTATGCACGGGTTATATTCGTGGAATTCAACGGCTCATGCACTGTTGAAAGAGCTGGGTGGTGGAGATCCTGCCAACATCAAAGAGTATCAAGCAAGGTTTGCTAGTCCTGTGAGGCCGGGCGACAAGTTAGTTACGCATGCGTGGGTTACGGGAGAGAAGCAAGGCGAATGGTCTGAGGTAAGGTTTGTCACACAGGTTGCTGGGGGTAAGGTTGTTTTAAGTAATGGATTGGCTTTGATGAAGGTTACTAGCCAGGGAAAGAGCAAGCTGTAGTCAGAAAAGCTTACTCCAAGCTATATGCAAAGAGATTTACTTACGGTCGGAATGTGGGAGCGAGAAGGTGTTATATTAATATGTAAACCAAATTGACATTGTGAGATTTCAGGGAAGTAGACTAGCTAATTTAAAATACCTATCGGCACCGTCAACCCGAATATGCTCCATGCTTATTGGTGGAAATTGCGAATTTGATCTAAACAAGGCATGGCTATACGCAAGCTCAAACCTTGGTCGTTTCAAAAACCCTGCCATCAGCAGACAGAATCCAGATTGAAATTGTCTCTATTGCTTCGGGTTAGTAAGTGACAAGATTAAAGTATGAAAATACTAAAACAAGACTACAGTTGGTTATGTTCATTTATATCAAACTCTCATTTGCTGCGATAGGGGAAGATTGATCCGTGCTGGCTTAGCCGAGGAAAAGAAGCTGGCTACTTAAAAACAACTATAGCCCTAGTCCTACATTATAGGCCTCTTATTCCTGTATCAATTCAGTACCATTTTCTAGTTCTGTTCATTCTTTCATTCATCGCTTATTAACCAACTATGCGTCATTCATTTATTCCGATTCTAATGGCCATCGGTGCCGCGGTTCAAGCTGCTGCGCAGCTCAACGGCAAGGTTGGACCATTGACAACTCGTCAGGCCAAGGCTGCGATCAAGACTTGCAATATCACCGATTACGGTGCCAAGGCGAATGCTAAGACCGATAACAGCGCGGCTATTCAAAAAGCCTGGGATGATTGCAAAACCACTGGTGGAGAAGTTGTCATCCCGGCAGGCGACTATGGTCTTGGCACTTGGTTAACCCTTTCTTCCAAAACTCCAATGAGCTTTCGCCTTGATGGAATCATTTACCGCATTGGGTAAGTCTTCAAAGAATAGTGCGGCGAGTCTTTACTAACGCCTAAAGAACCGGTGACGGTAACATGTTCATGTTTAAGCACTTGGAGGACTTTGAGTTTTACAGCAGTACCTCCAAGGGTGCGATTCAAGGATATGGATATGAGTTTCACAAGAGTCAGTACAGTGTACTCAATCGAGTTGCAAAGCAGAAATACTGAAAAGTGTAACAGATAATAAATACGGCCCTCGTATCCTCCGCTTCTTCGATGTCAAGAGGTTCTCTATGCACGACGTGGCCCTGGTTGACTGTAAGTATTCTTCCCCGTGATCAAATTATAATATTAAGACCTCCATGTAGCTCCGGCCTTCCACTTTTCTTTAGACACTTGCTCTGATGGAGAGGTGTACAACACAGTTATCCACGGAGGCGCACGAGGTGGTCTTGACGGTATTGACGTCTGGGGATCCAATATTCACATCCACGACGTCGAAGTCAGCAACAAAGACGAGTGTGTCACTGTCAAGAATCCTTCTGATCATTTGCTGATTGAGAATATCTTCTGCAATTGGTCAGGCGGTTGCGCTATGGGCTCGCTTGCAACAGATACCAACATCCATGACATCGAGTACAAGAATGTATACACCCAAAGATCTAACCAGATGTATATGTTCAAGTCTTACGGCGGAAGCGGTACCGTCTCCAACATCGCTCTCAAGAATTTCAGGGGCCATTCTAATGCATACACTCTCAACGTCGATGCTGAGTGGAGCTCTATGAAGCCCGTCGCCGGTGATGGTATTCTTTACAGCAATATGAGCTTCTCAGGGTGGTCTGGGAGTTGTACCGATGGTCGTCAGAGAGGTCCTATTAAATTCAACTGCCCTGCTGATGTCCCTTGCGTTGACCTGCAGGTCGATGACTTTACAGTTGGTAGTAGCAAGGGCACTGTGGTTCAGCACGTTTGCAAGAATGCTTATGGGTCCGGAGTTTGTCTGAAGGAAGGCGATGGTGGTGCTTATACAGCAACTCAGACTGTTAACAACCCCAGTTTCGCAACTCAAACAATGGACGGGGAGCTCACTGTCGGTCTTGGCCTTACTGCATCCATTGCTATCCCTACGATTCGATCTTCCTTTTTCCCTGGTACACCTGTCATGAACGCACTCATGGGTAACTCTAAAAAGGAGGGCTAAGCAAAATCTGCACGGAAGAAAGTCAAGGTTCACGTATTTGAAGAGCATTTGTCTCCAAACTGACCAAGGCGATTTAGCTCAGAATATTTCAATATTGACCATGAATAAACTATACACTAACTTCCTAGTAGGCTAGAATGTACAGCTTGTATTTCAGTATCTTGACCAATTAAATATAATTGCGAGGATAGAGAGTATAATCGACCGAGACCACCCTAGTAGAGCGACATGGTTGGAAAACGCGTTCCAGATTGCTTACGACACTCGTTAATCAAGCTCAAATGGCTCAGCAAGGTCTTTGTTGCGGCCGACATCTTGTCTCTTTTAATGCAAGGCTCGTGAGTCTAAAATTTTCTACCTTTCTAGTGGCGGCTATAGTGAGGATTGGTATTAATGCCGATTACAATGACATAGGAGCAGGTCAACTTGCCAATGTCGAAAACTCCAAGTCACAGAAAATCGGAGAGTATATGGTTATCACCGGCATCATGGTACAGCTTGTTGCGTGTAGACTTTTTTTGATAGTTACCACAACTTTCCATCGCCGCATGGTTTGCCGTCCTTCGGTCGCTTCCGAGACAATATCATTGCCATGGAAGCAGTTCCTGTCAGTGCTCTACGCCGTTTTAGTTCTTATCCTCGTGCGATGCATCTTCCGCGCCGTCGAATATTTACAAGGGCAGGATGGCTATCTCATCACCCACGAAATTTGGCTATACATTTTCGATGCCCTTCTGATGTTCGGTGTCATGATAATTCTGAACGTTTACCATCCCAGCAGGATAATCACTGGCAAAGACCGGAGACATAAAGACTTCACATTGTCAAACATGCTAAACCAGGACTGTTCTTAGTCAAGGATACAATGTAATTTGGTAATGGGAGCTTTGGCCTATGGAGCTGACCACACTCTCAACTTCTTTTTATCGATTTTACCCTTTTTCTTTACTTTTTATTTTTATTTTTCTATCCTTTCCTTATTCTTTCTGTCTTTTTATTTTATTTTCTTTCTTCTTGATTTATTTCCTTTGTAAACAAAACAGCAATGTGTTGAGAAACAGCTCATTACAGTTATAAATGGCATAGCATCGCCAATATTTGTTAAAATTTTCATTTGGCTTATAATTTAATAATAATCTATCCCTCATTTCATCAGGATGGCCTTCCGCAATGCGTTGATATAAATCGCTCCGTGGCAAGAAAGACGTGACACTGAGATAAGTCAAGGACATGCACAGTATTAATGTAGACTTCCACCCTGCCTTACCAATCGCCTGTATGTAGCTTACTCAATACCCATTGACAAATGAAATAAGCAATTTCACAGCAGTCTCGATTTTCTCACTGCATCCATCCACTCTTTACTCGAGCCTAGTATTGGACACACGCATTACTACTTGTGTGGCTCTAGTACTTTCTTTTTTAACGACAGAAACGAAAGAAATGTGTTTACTGCTCAGACCGGTATTGACTTGGGATTGATAGAGAACGTATTTCATACTCTGTCGGACAGTGTGGTAATCCCAAAAGAATTGACGGTCATGGCTGACACACCTCAGCTCATATGCTAGGGGGCTATTTTTCATTAACAAAGCTTGAACTGGAAGCCTAGCTCTCAAGTCTACTGCATGCCATTTATTTCACGTTTTATGGCAATGCCTCAGAGAACCACAACACCTCAGTCAACCCTCGGTGCTAAATAACCCAATGGATAAAGCTATCCACACCTAGCGTTCTCACTGCATTTCCCCGTAGAGACGAGCCTTGGCTCGTTATGAGTAACCTTCTTTAAACCGCTTACAAGTTCAGGTATTCTTATGAAGCCACTAGAGCAATCTGTCCGTCGTTATGGACGGTTGATTTCCCGCATCATATTTAAGCAAAAGCTCCTTGGTTTTGCACCTACAGACGGCAGCCTGCCTTCAGCGGGGGAGCCGATACTTCTCGACCCTGACGGGTATGAAAAGGTGTGCATTATCCTTATGAATATGGCGTCTGATTCGAAAAAAGATTACCGGGCGCGAGTCAAAGATCTTCACCACACTGGAGTTGCCGCTGCAGACAAGCAGTGTCATTGTCATCGGAAGCTTGCAGAAGTTGTGGCCCCTTCGCCAGATTGCAGATGCAGCCAAGGTCTACTTCAGACACATCCAAGAAAAGTGGGAAATGTTTGACATGCAAGTTATCAAGAGTCCTTGGCCCTGCGCCAAGGGCGTACTGGCTATTGACGACAGTAACAAATGTGCCGCTATCTTTAGAGCCTACAACCTGCCCGAACAGATTGGTGTCTTGCTGTAAGTAAGCGCATCTGTGATATTTATTATATCGTTCCAACTATAGGTATAGAGAACATGGGTAGGCCGGTATAGCTATAACCCTATGTAATGAAATTAATATCATCCCTATTAACACTATACAAATTAGGCCAAGTGTATAGTTTTATAACATTTTTATGAAGTAGAACAGCGAATCTCGACCCTGTATAATGGTTTAATATATACATCTCTTTAGATAGCCAGCCGGCCCTCAATAATAAGATACTATAATAAGTGTTTAGTAACTATTAAGTCACCTTTTCTTATAAATATACTGACCGTTAGATACGTCTAAGATTTCCATCGACAGTCATGTGAGGGTCTCAAGCCAGAAGAGCAGCTGGGCCACATACCCACATGGGAAAGAGCTGAGGAAGCCTATGACGTGTCTAAACGGAGCTCTGGCCAGGCTGAGTTCACGCTAATGCAAGCTGCTGATAAGTTTTACAGAAAGGTTAAACGAGCGGTGACAGCCAGATCTTTAACTAGCCATGGGTTAGAATAATTAGCCATCAAAAGCTTGCACGACACTGCCACTCGTGGTGGGGTAATTTGGGTCTACTCAAGCCCAGGGGTCAGGGATTTATAGTTTACGTAGGTATAATCATAGTTCAAATGCCGGTGCGCCTGGACTAGAAGCACGTGCTGTCATCTGTTATCCTTGATAATAGAATGACCCGACTTCAGTTCAATCGTCAATAATCATACACATTGGTATAGTGACGTCTTTACGCCAAAGGGCATCGAAGGACGCGCGGCATCGGTCCTACAAAACTTGGCGTATATTTCGCATGATAACCGCGACGTAGATCAACAGAATCGCAATGGCTATAAAATTGTCCACCAGCCCACGAGTATAGCAACTTTCACTGTGTTCATTACATACGCTCTTACAAGTCAACTATTTTTTAGCTCATACAAACAACAACAGCATACTGTCATCAAAATGTATGTGCGTCGCACTGCCGTCCTCGCCATCATGGCGACCATCAGCGCCATGGCAGTCACAGCCCAAAATCTGTCGTTTGGAGCCGACAACTTCTACCGTGGCGAGAGCGTTCAGATGCAGCCTATCACTTTCCCTACCGCGTACCGCACCAACGTCGTAGGCAACCTCTTTTACCCACGTAACCTAAGCCGCAGTGTCGAGACTCCTGCCATCGTCGTCGGCCACCCCATGGGCGCCGTCAAGGAGCAGAGCGCCAATCTCTATGCCACCAAGCTCGCTGAACAAGGTTTTATCACCATTTCCATCGACCTTCCCCACTGGGGCGGCAGCGATGGCGAGCCTCGCAACGCCGTTTCGGCCGAATACTATGCAGAAGCGTTCAGCGCCGCTGTTGACTACCTCGGCCTTCAACAATTTGTCGACCGTGAGCGCATCGGTGGTGTAGGTATCTGCGGTAGCGGCTCCTTCATCATCAGCGCTGCCAAGATCGACTCCCGTCTTAAGGCTATTGCCACTGCAAGCATGTACGACATGGGCGCCGTCACTCGCAACGGCCTCCGAAGGTCACAGACCCTAGCCCAGCGCAGGGAGCTTATCGACGCCGCCGCCGCACAGCGCTGGAATGAGTCCCAGGGTGCAGAGCCCGAGTTAGTCGGCGGCACTGTGGATAGGTATGAGGATGTTACCGATGCTATTCAGCAAGAGTTCTACGACTTTTACCGCACCACTCGCGGTGAGGTCACACCCTCAGGTGCTTTACCTAACACCACGACTCACCCCACGCGCTCGAGCCAAGTCAAGTTCCTCAACTTTTATCCCTTCAACGACATCGACACTATCTCGCCCAGACCCCTGCTCTTCATCTCTGGTGACCAGGCCCACTCGCGCGAATTCAGTGAGGAGGCCTATAGACTTGCTGCTGAGCCTAAGGAACTGATTTGGGTCCCTGGTGCTGGCCACGTCGATCTCTATGACCGTGTTGAGCTCATTCCTTTTGACAGGCTGATCCGCTTTTTTAAGCAAAATCTGTAAAATCACCTCGTGAGGTGGACTTGACCTATATTTATTTGTTTGTGGACAGCTGTATGGCTTCTAGGAGCGTCCGTTCCTACAGCATAAGCCCTTGCATACGCATCTGATTCTCCTCCTTTTCCTACCTCAGGGATACTTTTATAGACGTATTATTCATATAAACCACTTCTACATCTCAAGAGGCAGGCGTCCTTCTACGGCTCTATACGCTTTTCGTGACCCCGCAGATACTATCACTATCCAAATGGGTATAATAACATATGCTAATTTCAAGGTGTAGGTCAAGTGTAGCGCTCGCTTATCATTCCCATTAGGATCTGTAAAATCTTAACTCAGCCACATGGCTCTATTCGTCACCTCGCCTACTGCAAACGTTTTTGCGCTAATGCAACTTGCTGATAAACTTGTGGAGCTGGCTTAAATACCCGATACTTGGTATAGATTAGCTGTCAGTAGGCTGCATATCTCCGGTACTTAGTTATGACTTATCACTGATTGGTGCCCCGATCGATCATGCGCCCGAACTAGACTGACTCTGAGACTTGACTATTTTCTTAGCGAAGTTTTATCTGCAATATCGAACAAAGGGATGGATTGGAACAGCGGTGATATTATTCAGTCAACTAGCACAATCTTATTCGTGTTTGTTCTAATTCTAATACAGATCGAGGTACTAACCCCTAGAAGAGAACTAATGGATTTCAAGTGTCGACATGGTGTCGAAATCCCATCTATTGTACACTACCTTCGACAGTGGGGCCGAACCGTGAGGTTACGCGTATGGAGGAGACACGTCATCGACAGATATTTCCGTCCCTCATAGCCTCTACATTAGATGCTGCTGGAGTGTCGTGGTGCATTGTCTTTTTTATTTAGTCCTCTTCTTCTGCTACACTATTAACTTGTGCGGTTCTACTTAATCTGGAGTCTTACCTTTGTTGACAAGTATCTGTCCACTACTACGATGAACCTCTGGGTGATATGGTTGCATTTCTTTTTCCTCTTTTTACACGAAATACAATGCCAAGGTACGGCTCAAACTATGACCTGATCAAAACAATTGCTGTATTGAATTTGAATACTAACTTTTATAGCGCAACCAGCACAGGTTGGAAAAATCCACCAAATTTCAAGCATCGAAGACGTACTATACTCCATTGACCCGTGGCTACTCTATCAGTCAGACAACTTTCTACTCGATTTCAGACTCTCTCTAGATGTGGAGCGCATACGACTTGATCTACGGCCAATTCAGAGGGTCAATCTCGCCTCAAAAACCTTACACCTCGAGCCAGATGGAGCAGATGAGATTCTTGATAATTGGGAGAGTTCAGTGCTATTTGAAGATAGGGAAAACATGCTCTTCGAAGGCGTTACTCTTCTTTTTAACCGAGTTTCTCATGAATGGGACGAAGCTGGCCGGGCACGAATCGCGATCCGACATCCACAACCTTATTTGTTCGAAGGCTTCTTCACCTTGAATGGTCATGCCTACCATGTCACACCGAGCGATGAATATCTCAAAAAAAGAAATGATGGGGATCCTTCGCCGCCAACTTCAGGTTCTACACATATGGTCGTTTGGAAATGAGCTGGTGGAATTCAAGATAGATCAGAGCGTCACTGCTATTATGAATCTGGCTATAGCTGTGACAGGCGTAGGTAATACTAAAGACAGCTTATTATGATTGGAGCCCAAGCTGGTCTACTACAAATACCTATATGAGCCTGCTTTCGAGGTGCAGCCATGTCTCGTAACTCAAATCATAATTATCTTAACTCGATGTCTTTGTGTAATATCTTAGTAGATCGATAGCGTAATGAAGACTGCAATTTCTTCTATATTGTCGCGGGAGATAAGAAAAGCCATAAGGTCAAGTTACGAAAATAGCCCTCTCTCAACTGGTGCATTGCTTATCTGATCATCTTGCATTTCCTGAATCAAGAGGTTATTAGGATAGTCCTCAATATCCAGGTCTACATATACACGAGGTACCCGTTTATATGCGCAAATAAAAAGGGTCCTTTCATTAATGCTTATATTAGATAGAATCTTTAGCATGTATTCGCCTATATCCTCGGTTATTATAAACTCCACTCTAGAATTTTCCACTATATTAAATTACTCTTCAGTAAGAATACCAGTATAGATATACACAATAGCTAGCCAACGGTGCGCACCATTGGTCTTAGCCGCAAATATTTTAGCGTGCGTGTCATTCAAAGCCTAGCCTAAGGCTATAAACAAGAAACTGACAACAAACAGTGGAAATGGTGGCTTAAAAGTGCGCAGAGTGTGGCCCAGAAGTTGACAGGAGGCTCCGACAACCATTATAGCTCCCATATCCATGAGCTGGCAGAGATGTGTGTTGATCATCGCGGAGCACAGCCATCCCATGAAAGTTGCAGCGTAGCTAATGGTTTAGTTAGCGCATCGTGATTAGTAGGCTGGTACTTTGTGAAAAAACAAGAGGCTACTTACACACTCGACACAATGGCTGTGTTAATCTCATAATCACGGATCATGTACGGGATCAAGGCTCCCACACTGCCGTCGTTCACACCAGCCACCAGGAATGAGAAACATGCGCTTAGAATCTTGAGATAAACAACCCGACCAAGGGACTTAGGTTCAGGGCCCGTAGAATCTGGACTCGTGGCGCCTCCCCTAACATTGGGTTGTTCAGAGACCTGACACAACTCTATAGGAACAGATTGGGTAGTCGTTGTAGTGGTCATGTTGGGACTGTAAGCTGTCCGCAAACTATGGGCAGTGTAAGTAGAAAATCTCTTCAATAGCCCTTAGCTTGGAAGTTTTTAAGCTTACGCCCTCGGATAATTTTGTAATTCCCAGAATGACTTTTTGCCGATAGCTCGAACTCTATAATCGGAATCGGACTTACAAATCAAGTTTCCACTACATGGTTGGGTTGGAATCCACCAATACGGTAGGTATATCTGCATGGGTTTGCGCTTTCTAAAGACAGACCTACCTTGTGTCTCCCTCACACTTTGCATTTTTCACTCCCATGTGGAAGTGAAGCTAAACCACTAACTTTTTAGTTGGTTGAATGGCACCTGACAAAACATGTTTGTACCGCTATGGTTTAGCCGAGAATCGACTTATCTCCGATCCGATGCGAAACACATGTCATCCAGTGAGCAACACAAGGGGCGAACGGCAACAACACAGACACAATGTGAAAAGTCCATATGATAATCTCCGAGTGTGAATACAGATAAATACGACACATGACGTGCTCAGATACTGTAACCAGAGGTGGTTTCACATAGTAGACAAACTGTTTTGTTAATCTTAGATCATTCGATATACCTAGTCATGATTGTGAGCAACTATGCCTCCTAACTACATCAATTCCACCGAGACATCAAAGGCTTGGAAAGTTGCATTCAACTCTGACTTAGTGTCCGTGTTAGGCCGCGCAGCCAGGGCACCAATCTCTGCTTCCCAGTTATCCAGATCGTCCAGACCGTATACTCACGTAATCTCCCTGAGAGGAAGCTTCCGTCCACTTGGATCGTGAAAGAAGACCCATAGGGCGCCCTCATTCTTCTCTAGACTAAATGTCAAGCTTTGGCTGCCCTCGGTGACGGCAGCCACTGTAGAGGCAGGGAGCGATGCCACGCACCAGTCAGCCCAGTTATCACAACACGAGACACTTGGTCGTGGCTCCTCGTCGAAATACTCTATGCCCAACTTGATCCACTTTGTCGAGGGCGAGAGCGGGTGGCGGAGTATGACAGCAAGGCCGGCCTGGTCATACTGGCAGGTATACCTGGCCGAGATCGTTAATGGCAGATCCATTGCTGGATGCTATAAAGAAGAATAAAGTAAAAATTGGAGCTATCAAGACAGACCGGCGATGTTATCAGCGTATACAAGAAGGGCCTAGAAAAGGGAGTGGTTGAAGAATTGGTAGTCATTGGGATTGCGCAGATCGAGGAGTATAACCGGATATCGTAAGTGCATATAGAAAGTATTAGAACGACTTAATAAAACCCGCTTTGGAAAACGCCTGTATCTTACCTCCTTTTTTGATGTTTGACATACGGTGTTTTCAGTAGTTGACGCTTGAAATATTTATCAGATGGTCTACGAAATAGATTTCCCACTTGATTCCTCAATGCTCCTGATCATAAGGGTAATAGCTGGAGGCATTGTCCATTACGTACTGAATCGGCGATGACGGAATTTGCGAAGAAAAGGCAAAACTCACATCTGTTCTAGTTGTGTTTAAAGCATTCAAGCTATGTACCTAGTCAAAAGTCTAGTTCGTCCACCGTTAAAATGTTTTATTGATCAATTTTAATAAGATTGTTTCCACATTTTCGTTAGTGCGTAGGTTCATAGCTGAATTACCATCTTGGTTCAACGACAAAACCAGATTCAAATCAACCAGTAGTAGATTAATACATTATGAGGGTTCAGAGCCTAGCCTTGAATAGATAAACTCTGCGATGCTAAAAGGCCGAGCTATCATTATGTGATAGAGAATCTTGTCGGGATTAAAAGAATGCGCAGCAATCTGTTTGTTAGCCTCGAATGTAGGGGCTAGAATCTTTCGGGGTAAAAACCCCCGAAAACTTGTTGGTTAAAGGTGGACATGTTTGGATCAACTAAGTTTAAGAATGCCTGGCTACCTGGCGATCTTTGTTATGCCTTAAAGCGCATTTCAGTCCACTCTGCTCCTGCTTAGTGCCAAACCTGAAGAGGAATAAATAGTGATACTGCCTTGCGCCACACCTGATACACACCCCCGGACCCTTGCAATGATGAATTCGATGGTCCAAGGTTTAGACAATCATACCTGTTCATGAGCCACTCTGTATTGGCCGGAAATAATTTACCCGATCCTGGAGAGTGAAGAAGAAAAGGCCTTCTGCTTATAACAGTTAAATTCCTTTTAAAAGCAACTATAGAAATATATATAGTTACTATAGGAAAATTTGTCGCTATACTACTAGTTTCCCATCTCTGCTGGTCTGGAAGTGTCTGCTAACTCATGTCTACTAGTGCTATGTAGCTCAGAGACTGCAGCTTGGTCAACCCTTACTGCACCGCGCGCAGACAATCCAGTATTTCCATCTAACTCAGCTTTACAGTACCCAGGGTCTGCATTCTGCACTATTCTACCTGCTTCTCTCCTGCGGATTAGGAACCAGGCACCGAAACCGAGAACCAGGAAACCTACTACTCCAGCACTCACACCAATACCGGCCTTTGCCCCCATTGAAAGGCCCCCTTTCCCGCCCCCGTTGTCATTGCTGTTGCTGCTGCCAGATGGGCTTTCCTCGGTATCGCTCATTGGTGTGCTTGGTGTCCGCTCTATAGCAGGCTTAGTATGGTTACCAATGCATCTGTATGAGCTCTTGACGATTTGATTGGGGAAACGATCATCGAACCAGGAGCAGTCCATTGTCTCATCTCCAGCCAGATAAAAGCCCCCTGTAACTAACTCGAGACTGAAGAGCTCGACATTGGTTAAGGGACCCGTGATATTTATACTGTTGGCTTTGCGGAGCGCATTGACCGTTACGTTGAGTAGGCGAGGGTTATTGTGTATTTCGAGGTTCTTCACCTCGTTCAGACGAGGGAGTGCGATATTATTGAGTATGTTGTTGTTCACAATAACAAATGTGCAGTTAATTGTTTCTAGGCGAGGAAGATGTAGCTCCGGAAAACTGTTGCCAGTGAAGTTGAAGCTACCTTGGTTGGAATGGTAAGCCGCATTTAATTCGGGCAGACTTGCGTTAGCAAGATCTTGGAAGGTGGCTTCGCCGTTAATTTGCTTGATGTTGGGGAATGAAAGATGAGTATCTCTCCCGTTTTGTTCGAAGAATACTTCGTGAGCTTCGATAACAGATGAGGATATATGATTCAGGTCGGAGTTGGAATAAATCTCAATAGTGGCTGTGGCCGTCTCCAAGCTGTCCAGGAGTACATGCGTTAGCCCCGGGTTGTGGGTTATACTTAGTCGCCTTAGCCTCTGGATTGACGTGGAGATAAAAGAGTCCTTTCTCTCCTTGAATGGTGAGAATGCTAGCCTAGAGTCATCAGGAGGCAGAAAATTAAGTCCGGTCAGGTACAAAGTTGAGGCTAACGAGATATTAACATAAAGACTCGTAGCATAGATCCCGTGGTCGTTGCTAAATGTCATGCCGTTAAGTCCGAAGTAGCCGGACACGTTGAGTCGAGGGTCAGTTTCGACTGACACTTCACCCCATCCCCCAGAGATTTCTAACGAATCAGTTATTTTTAGAGCTGGTAGTGAGACATCTAGACGGCCGCGACGATCCTTCTTTGCTTCAGCCAAACCCGACAAGGTCAGACCTTCGGTAACATTCTCGAGGCTCGAGCTGAGGAACGTTATAGGCTCATTTTCAAAGCTATCGTCATACTCATAGCTGATTGAGCCGATGATTGTCTGCACCCCTGTCAAGTCGATTGTAGCCGTGACTTTGGAGATGACGATGTCACCAGTGTAAGTTGCGCACGATGTGGCCAAACTCGAAATTTGGCTCGTCTCGCTCAGTGTTCGTGGGTAGGCTTGGTCGCAATCTGCGGACTATCAGAGAAGGAGCAGTTTCCAGAATAATCTCCAATCACTTACCAGCCAAAACGATCGAAACATACTTGAACAGGCAACGGATAATCAAAAGATAGTGGTGACTCAAGCGACTCATGGCTTCGTCTTTGGAGTTTGAAAAAAATGATTGAAGAGAGGAATCAAGACAAGGGCGGGGTTAAACAATTAATTTATGCTTCGCCCTTGAGTTGCCCCGTCCTAAAGCGAGGGCGGCTGAGATAATATAGTGGCGTTGATAGTTCGCCTTGCTACTGTATAAAGTCATGAGACAAAGAACGCCCTGTGGATACCATTCATCTAAACTAAGTCTGCGATTAGCTATACTGAATATAGTTATCTGACAGGAATGTTTAATTCAGCCATCGACTAAATAGAAATAGTGCTATAATCTTAGCGCTTATTCTAAATGCACCTTTTACCCTATCTAAAGGGAAAGCCACATTTACCCATACTCAAGATCATATGAAGCGATACAGCAAGATAACCCTAAGAGGCTTGATTATCGCCAGACCATGCTGCTCTGTAACTCTGTGATCCCGCAAAAAAGGAACGGGTGAGAACAAACGGTCTGCGCAGCTCACCTGCTTTTCGAGACATCATGGCATGATAGGTCGCGTTGTGAAATGTCGTACCATTTAAATTGTGTAGATCGTGGTGCTCCCACTTGTCAAAATACAAGTTATCCTTGGGCATAGTGATGTCCGGGCTGTTAAAGACTGACGGTTCGTTCATATCGTTCCAGACAAAGGTATTCTCCATGGTGCCCCTGGACACAGTGTAGTTGAAGAGACCGCTCCACCACTCAACAGAAGCAGGGTTAAAGCAGTCAATCCAGTGCGATGCGCCTGGCCAACAGTGACCTTCAAAGATATCGCCGTCTCTAGTATGGACAGCTAAGTCGATAGCCTTGAGCTCCGACACAATCTTGTAGCCATTTGTGTTCTGGAAGTGGGGATCGATGATGACGATAAACTTGCGGCCAAATGCATCGAGTTGTTTGCCCATACTGATTGGGTCTTTAAACATATTTGGTTCCCACGTGAACTATTTTTTATCGACCGGGTACTCAATATCCAACCAAATAGCATCATAAGGAATCCTAAACCTATCCATACCGTGACCTACATCCTTGACGTCATCATAAGAGACATAGTTCCATCGGTATTGGTGGTAGGCGACTGAGACCTCCTGAGGCAGCGCTGTGGTGCCTGTTAAGGAAACATAGTCTTTTAGCACATCCTTGGGGGTTGGTCCCAGGAAGACAGAGACTTCAAGGAGTCCCGCCTCTGAAATCCAGTGCTTGTTGATGTTCTTGTTGCTCTAGGACTCGGTCTTGGTCATGTCGATCCAGGTCTAGTCTGCGTTCAGCCAGAACACATCAACATGAGAGTCCTTACGGCGAGCCTGCATGAAGGGAATGACGCCGTAAAGAATCATGGGGCTATTCAATTCATACTCAAAGACATCCGTATTATATACGCGGTAAGGCTCCGAGTACTGGCCATTAACCCCCGCTCGTGTTTGCTTCGGCGCCATGGGACCGGCGTGCTCACGAATACCATAAAAATGATCGTAGCCAATGAACGTAATATCGAGCGCAACGCTCTCGGGGCTTCTCAGTTTGGAGTCGGTATTGCCTCTAAATGTCTCTTCCTACTAGGCTGACTCGTCCTCACTTCCTAAAGGCTTTTGTTCCGCCGCTTCGAGAACTTGGTCGAGTTTGGGGCGCCAGTGTTGAATGTTAAGCAAACCCTGATCGTTCAGCCTGATTTGGGAGGTGCCGTCGCGCTTACAGTCAACCGAGAAGGGTAAAAGACTGATGACCGCCTCCAAATTTAACGATGGGCCAAAATGGACAACAACCTGGTCGTCGTTCTGTTTCATGTTCTTGGCGTCATTATCAAGGTTCAAACTGCCCACAATTGTAAGCCTCTCCCCCTCGTTGTAGCGTCCCATTGCACCCCCAGAGCTGACACTCTGTCAGCATATTGCCGGTTCCGTTTGCAGAAGCCAGACTTCTTGAAGTTGTTTTGTCTGACAGAGCCTTTCCATACAAGTTAGCGTGATACTCTTCCATCTCTTTATCTACTTCTAGTGCCATACCTGCCTGTGGTATCAATAACGCGATGAGGAGTAGAGAGCTTAGGACGATTAGTTGCCCCCAGGCAAGTGACTTGCGTGGCTACATTGTCAATCGACCTGTTTCGCCCAGTAGAATCCCTAATAAGTAGCGTTGGGAAACACTAAGTTGAATGATGGGGATAAAATGACGTTATTACCCGCAAGTCTGGTGTTTTTGGGAGTGCTGGCTGTTACTGATGATGTGTTTGCTGTTTGAAAGTTGTGTTTTCTTGAAACTGCACTGGGGGTGGTGCAGACACGCGTGTGTGAACTCCGCATCCGACTCCGATTGAGACATGTCCGATACATCCTTACTTGTCTCGTTGAAATCGGCAACAGTGGCAAATGTCTCAACCTTTGCAATGTATAAGAAGACTTAAGAAAGGAAGGCGATTGAGTCCAACATTCTTTTCGGTTATAATTTTCAGCCAATCAATTAAAAATCCCGTCTTTGCAATGTCTCTGATGAATCCAGTAGAAGAATCCCCGACACAGCGATATCATGAAGAAGCACAGATTGGAAGAACAGATGTCACGGATAATAATCAAGACACCCCAGATGACTGTAAGCTAAAATACAACAACAATTCTAGCTCAATATCTAACAATTCTACAGCGTGCTGTGACGGGTCCGATGATCAATCTTATCCAGACGGAGGTTTCCAGGCATGGTTGGTCGTCTTCGGAGCATGGTGCGCCATGTTTTCTTCCATGGGTCTTCTGAACACGCTGGCTGTGCTACACGCTTGGGTGACTGAGAATCAACTGCATGGAATGGCAGAATCAACGACGGCATGGATTTTTAGTTGTTATGGATTCCTGCTTTACTTTTGCGGAGCACAAATTGGTAAGTCTGATCGTTATTGTTGACAAGATTTCCGATTTCTGTTAACACAGAACTTTAGGCCCACTATTTGACGCCTATGATATTAAAGTCCTCATTATTCCCGGTTCGATCGGGATTGTAACCTCAACAATTCTCCTCAGTTTTTCTACCGGTATGTTCTTGAATTTGAGCCAGTGCTTTATTCTTTCGTCCTAATTCATCTCCTTATCCAGAGTTTTATCAATTTCTACTATCTCTCGGTATACTTGGTGGCATATCTGCTTCACTTCTCTTCTATCCAGCCGTTTCGACTATTAGCCACTGGTTTTTACGCAAACGCTCTCTGGCGACGGGTATCTGCTTTCCTCTGATTATCCTCTACGCAGCTCCTTCAATCGGCTTTCCATGGGCCATTAGGATTGTCTCACTTATTTGCGTTGTCAGTTCTATGATAGCCTGTTGCCTATTGAGAAAAAGACTTCCTCCCAACAAAGAAGGTGGGGGCGCCATTGACCTGAAGGCTTTCAGGGACCCCAAGTATGCTGTTATAACTATTGCCATTCTCATTACCGAGTTCTCATTGTTCATACCATATACATACATCTCCTCATATGGTATTTCCAAGGGGATGTCTTTACGGTCAGCTCTCATGTTGAACGTTCTCCTCAGCGTCGGAGCGATCCCAGGAAGAGCTCTGCCGGGTTACTTTGCCGATCGCTATGGTGTTTTGAATGTCATGGTTGTGACTACTTCTGCTTGCCGTGTATTGATTCTTGGCTTGTGGCTACCTATCCGGAGCGAGAACGAAGCAGCTATTAATGCATTCACGACTCTATTTGGTTTCTGGTCAGGAGCCGCGATTGCTTTGGCGCCTGTTTGTATTGGCCAAGTGTGTGAGGCAAAGGATTATGGCAAAAGAACAGGCACGTCATTCTTCATCTCTAGCTTTGGTGCCTTGATCGGTATCCCAATTGCTGGCGTGATTCTTGAATCTGGGGACAGTAACTACCAAGGACTTATTGTCCTTGTCGGGGTTACTTTCGTTATCACGACTGGTACATTTTATTGGGCGAAAAAGCTATTGTGCGCGTAGTAACTTGTGATTCGCGGCCTCTATATACTGATCGATAATATATAAATTCAATTAAATGATCATGATCACGACACTATAAATATTTCCTCTATAATATACAGCTTGTGGTAGCTTGGTGGTGGCTTACTGATAGCCGATTCTCTGCTCATACTACCACTCTTAATTCTTTTCCGGAGTATCCGCCTCTAGAGTAATCTTTTGTCCAGCTGCGGCAAGCTGCTCCTCGGCGATTTGGTTCCGTTCCTGATCTTCTCTTTCAAGCTTGACGTTTCGAAAGAAAAACATCATCAGAAGCAGTGGAATAGAGAGTGAGAGGGATCCAATGGCTAGTGTTTGCTGCGTAGAGCGGTAACTGATATTGATCGCATCTCTAGTTGGCGTGCCAAGCTTGTAGCTCTGTGCCGTTACAATAGAACGGAAAATAGCGGTGCTATTAGCTTTGTCACTTTCTGGGAGATTACTCAAGAGCCGTCGTGGTAGGAACGTGTTCCAAAGAGCTCCACCGATACTGAGAACCAAGTTAGTCTTTAACATGAGAGCGAGTGAGATAGGATAGTTTACCTATTACCAACATTGGCACCGAACCCAGACGAGGATAGAAACATGGCTGTTGCGATACCAATCTCATGATCTGGAACTGCAGCTTGTAACGAGACCTGAAGCGGCACCTGCGCAAAACCTCGACCTAGGCCAAGTAAAACTTGTCCAGTTGTAAGAGCTGCCTCGTTGGCAACTCGAGATCCATCGATGTTGGTAAAATAGATGGGTAATCCATTAGCCAAAGCAACCATTAAAAAGCCAATAATGATAAAAGGCTTAGTGTGTTTGACGAATCTGATAGCTACACCAATGACTAGACCACCAAGATTTAGGGCAACTCTTCGAGCATTACTGTTGTAATAAGTTAGCAGTCTAATGTTTCATGTTCGACACGGTGCTCACTCTATGCGGACTGCATGTCCAGGCGAATAACCTCCAGCCACCTGCAGGAAACTCGGTGCAAATGTCCTGTACGTTGAATCTGACATAGCAATCATACAAACTGAAGCACAAGCAAGTATGACATTGCGGTTTTTGATCATACGGAATGGAACGATGGGCTTCTTCGCATAGCGCCCATCCCAGACCAAAAATCCAACAAAAGTCAATACACCGACAACCAAAAGCACAATAGATGACGGCTCGGTCCAACGGTCAGTGTTTCTCCTTCCAGTGATGGACAATGGTAGGAGGGTCATTGAGAGACCGGCGAGCAACAGGAACGCACCGACAATGTCTAGCTGGACAAAAAGGACTTGTCGAATCTTTGTTGCCCAGGATGCACCTTCTGGTATCTCAGAAGCGGCTCTCAGTGAAACTCTGTGGTAGTAGATTCCCTTCTTTCGAGCTCTGAAATCCATAAAGACCATAATGGCGATAGTCGGGAGTGCGCAGAAGGGTATGATTGCAGCCCACATTCCGAATCCCCATCGCCATGATGAATTAAGCAGCATATGCTCGCCGAGATATGTGCCAGCATACAAAGTGGGAATAGCAGCTAGCGACTCAGGCAATGTAAAGAGAAAACCTCTATTGATAAGAGAAGTAACTTCTGCAATGAAGATCTGCTCGGTGATAGTCCACCAGGTGTCGCCAAAGGATTCGAAAATACCTCCAGCCTACAAAGATTAGTACTCAAAGGATCAAGAAGATTTCAAGTCTTACCAGGTAGGTTTCGACGTTACGGCAGGCAGCATAGAGCACATTTGCAAGGGCCATGCTTATCGCTGACGCTGCAAATCCTTGCGGCCTACCGATATACTGATTCCTATTAGTACCAATACAAGACTATTCTTTAGATAATGTCTCACATCTGCAACTTTTGCCAACAGAGGGTAACCAACAATCCGAACAATGCCATGGATGACATTGGCGGTAGATATAAGGGAATGTCCTTGAAAATGACTCGTGGCATAAGGATCGTAGACGCCAGCAGATGACGCAGCGAAAACCATACAGAAGTTCATAACAAATAGACTATTGAGAGTCAGCATATTGTAATTATTTCGCGCACAAGGTTAACTCGCCCACCGAATGCGACAACCAGGGGATATTTTGTCCAAATCTTGCGAATAGCTTCTGTCGGAGCTGGTGCCGCATTGTGCAATTGACCCTCAGAGTCTACCACCTCCTTGTCCTTGACGTCTTGCACTGAGTCCCCATGCTTATCATTCAACGGCTGTTGCTGAACGGGCGCAATTGTGTCATTCTGTTGAGGCATTTTGGCTTTTTACACGTAGTTGCAGACTTTTTCCTCGGGGCACTTGACACTTTAAATATTCCCGGAAACCGAATGACCCCGGTGCCAAGCAGGTCAGGAGACGAAATAGGCTTTGGTCTACTTTGAAAGTAGCTAAGATTTTACATGGGGGGCAGCTTTACGAGCATGACAAGACACGATTGCCTCGTATGATCCAGCTAGATTATCTTATCAGATCTTTATGATTTGCTTAGCAAAAGAGCCAAGCATTGGCGTCAGGATATTACTTCCCTTATAGGTTAGCGACTACCGCTTGAGTGGTTTTTAGGTGTAGGGGGACCAAAGCTTACCTCAGAGGCCACTAGGACATATTGGGAACTTTAGTTAAGCCGTAGATTTTATTAATTGTCGCATGACTTTGGCACAAGTTCATTCTTTATTTATTACCAGGTAAGGGGTGTTGCATATCCTGGACTCAAGATGGCCACCAACAACTTTAAATACACGGCGTTGCAGGACAAAGAGATTAGGCTATTAGTCCTCGATGCAGGGAAAGACAGAGACGCCTACATAAGAAGACGACATTACTCTTGAGACGCCTGCTTCTTGAGAATCTTCTCGATAGTCTTCTCAAAAGATTGAGGCTCCCTTCCTAGAATCTCTGCCAATGTTGTGGTCACACCAGCTAGCTGCCTCTCCACCACGAATGGCTTTCCAAGCACAGTCAAGTGTATTTACTATCTCCTCAGTTCCAAAGTATGCCTTCATCTAGGGCTAATTCTTATACTCCTTAAGGCTAACTTTTTCAATACTGATATTCTTGCCTATTATTTGCAAAAGAACCTCGACGGCCTTGGCCTATATCTAGGATTTTAAGCTACATAAGGTAATAATTTTATTGGTATATTTAAATATCAATAAAAACTTTATATATAAAGCAACTAGGCATATAGTCCCTTTTCCTAGTTTAGCTTGCCTAACCTAATTAATGCCAGGCCTGTTTAGATCCTCTAGAATTCTAATTATAGATAGTAGGTTATTAAAGCCGGGCAGCCTAGAATAAACCGGAAATGACTCAGCGTAAAGTCCCTCGCGGATACTTATCTATAAAAGTCCAGAGTCAATATAAGCAAGTTATTTTAAGTATACTTCACTATCCAGATGCACTACTATAATTACTGCTTTTGCAGATTCTGCATTGACTAATATACAGGCCAGAGAAGAATAAAAGATATAATTAACTCTAGATTTTTGCACTGCATTAAGCGCCTTATTTTAAACTTTAATGCAGTATAGATAGATAAAACTGGGGTAGGATATTAAGAAGAGAATATTAACCCTAGCAAAGATAGCTTTAAGATCTTTAGCGCTAGATTTATAAGAAGCTTAGCAAATAGTAACCCTATTTTTAATATATTTCTTAGGCATTTTTTCTCAGGATATCAGTTAATAAGCGTGACTTGATTATTGGGAACTTGAGATAGAAGATTGGTATAAATGCTAGTGCTAAGCGCGCCAGAAGCGGGGAAGATGCTGATGCAAGCCATGCTTGAAATACGTATGAGCTTCTATTTTCGTTGTTGTTACTTGGCCTTGATCTACTTCGTTCAGTTTATGATACTATTAATATTGGATGAGAGGGTTGCCTAGCATTTTTATATAGGTATCTTGTAAGCATGTGGAGTTCATTTTACTAATCTTATCTGTTGGATATGACATAGCGTTTAGAGGCGAAAAGACCCCTACGTTAACTGATTGATCAATGATCAGTAATTACAATAAATCAGAAGCCTCAACCACGCTTATTCGCTAGTCTGCATTTCAGCTAGCCTAGGGCAGTACCCCTCTGAGGAATCAAGGTGCAGAAGGCATTAGGGGGCGGTTAGGAGCCAAAGTAGAAGGAGTTAACGGATTGATAATCATTAATGAGAAAACCTATCTAGCTATTGTTAATTTGTCTAACATTGCTATATACTGTGAAAAGTATGACTGGTGGGTTGTCTACTAGACAAACTTGTCTTTTTTGACTTTGAGAGAGAAAAGGGAAGAAAGAAGAAGAATGAGGGGCGGAGGTTTCATCAAGCAACTTCTCTGTGCAGATTTCACATTACTAAGAAGATTAAAACAGTTCAAAGCGAGTTCCTAATAATCGTCTTTCAACTCAAACAATAGGGAGCAGAAAGTATGAACCTAACTGCCAGTACCGGACTTATCGGTCTAGCCGGAACAGGCATATGCTGTGATGCCGCTTCAGAATTGTAACTTTAACGAAATAAGGTTAATTAGAATTACTTGAGTTCCTTCTATACGAGTTTGTGCAGCAGTTGCAGCGTTAATGAGATTGAGTATTATCCCGCAAAGGTTCTTTTAAGGTCTTTCCTTCAATCAAGGTGTGGTTAGAGCTGGCGTTGCTTAATTACCTATTCTTTGCGGCTGGGCACTAATTGTGGTCCACAACTAGTAATCATGGTTCTCAAAATAGATTACATACGTTACCCTTGATGGCTCCTGCGTTGTCCCCAATAGCCTGCCTGTTGTGCCAACACCAACAAATCCGCAGGTAAAATTGGCAGCAAAAAGGCGCGACAAATCGGGTTAGGGCGGGCCAGCTACAGTACATGCTTTCGGATTCACACTTTTGCCCCCACACTGTATGTGGCAATATGTTGTTATAATAGTTGTTTAGTAATCTGTCTAACTCAAATTTTAATGTGTGATTCATGGGAAGCTAACTATTGGCAGACCATTGAAGATCTGCTAAGCCACTTAATCTACCATTCGTCCAGATACCTCGGTGGACTCCTCCTCCTCCTCCTCCTCCTCCTGTGGAGGTGGGGTCGGATTGCTTTTTTTGGTGTCGCATTTGTAAGCTGGAATTCCGTTGTTTACAAATCAAAGCAGATGCGCCGGTCCGATTGTTTGAGAGATGTAGTAACTTATGACTTCTTTTGGGACGAGTTGTGAGTTTCGGCCGTGGAGTGTTTAAATGATTAGTATAAGGCGGAAGAGAGAAAGTGGATAAGGGAAGATTATATACAAAGGAGTTCAATTCCAAGCTCTTCAATTTCAAACACAATTTCTTATCCTTCAATTTCCCAACTAAACACAAGAGCAAAAATGGCCTTCACTGAGTTCGTCGTCCCAACATTGAAGACAGACCCTGTAACGGAAGCGACATTCACCACCGAGCTTGCACCCTTTCTCATTAACATCCTTAATACACATGCCACTCCCCCCAAGTTCAAATATTTCGGGAAGATTCTCTTAGAGAATGGCAATGATGTGTCGGGGGATTTTAGACTTTGTGTTGGGGTTGGTTCGTCATTCCCTCTTCCTTCTCCCTTCTTTTTTCCCTTTTCCGTGCTGTCATCACCTCCATCCCCGTCCTATCGCCATCCCTTTTCCCCCTCTTAGCTTTTGCGCAAATTCGAACATAGTCTGATGCTGATACTTCGACAGAGTGGGAAGACGCCTCACATTTCAACAGCTTCGTCGCATCAGAAAATTTCCAGACCTTCAAGACCATGGTGATGCCTCACTCTCTTGCCCCGCCAGTCCCACAGCTATATAACACGGATTTCGAACCGACTAAGGTGTTTGGCAGTGCGTTGACGGAGGTGTGGCAGGTGCAGATCGGGGAGGGAGATGGGAAAGCAGTGGAGTCGAGAGAAGCATGGGAGAAGTTTATTAGTGCGGTTGCAGAGGCGGGTGGCATGAATGGGAATGAGAAGAGCATTCAAGGGACGAGTCTAAATCTAGAGAAGAGGAGGTGGGTTGGTGTGTTGGGGTGGGAGAGTAGTGAGGTGAGTTTGAAATATCTTTTGATTTTGTTGGTGAGTTGAGGGCAATTGGCTGACTTTGAGATTTTAGATCAGAGAGAAAGTACTAGGGAGTGCGGCGGTGAAGGAAGCGAAGGAGAGCCTTGACGTATTGGTGTGGAATACGTTCATTGTTGCATTTGCGAAGTAACTGTAAAGAACTAGAGACGAAATACAGAACACTCCGCACTTAGAGATTCAAAACACCTGACTCAATGTGACGGTTGTGATTCCCAAGGGATAAACTAGTCCGTACTAGGTTTATATTGGCAGATACGTATGGCATTATAATACTGAGCTTTGCAAAGTGTCACGTCTCTTAATAGTAAATAAAGCGGATAAGGCATATTTACGTAAGGGTTTTTTTATTAATAGCTACTAAGGGAAGGGTACTAATTAATACTAAATATATATATATATATATATATCCGTGGTGGTTTACGGTGGTGAATTAAGCTTACGTCGTAAGTTGCATTATGAGCCGTAAAGTCGAAGAGTCTGGCGCCTTACAGTCTGACTAAGTTGGTGTGGGGGGGTTAACGCCGTGATTGGTGAATATAAGCGGGGTATATGCAATGATCTGTTGGATCGTAACACTCAATATGCATATCCATACAACCAAATCAAATCAGTCATTGAAAGCAAGGCAAAGCAGTCGAGGTGGATAATCAGACCATTGGAAAATGGGAGTCTAATCAAGTGGTATCACAGACACGCATGTGCCTTTAGGAAAGGCTAAAAAAGCCTAGGGTATTTCTAGTTCTCTACAAAGCAACGAAAACACTCCATTCCATCTCTATCATTTCCCATTCCTTTATTATAGCCTTCTGCAGTGCTGTTAAACTGAAGCTACCCCGTATAAGTCGGTTAGCGTTTTACTTTAGCTAAAGTAACCTTAAACGGGTTGAAGGCAGATTTGTTTAACTAAGAGAAGCTAGAAAAGGGATAGTATAAGGCATATACCTAAAAGGGGGGAAATTATCAGGCCATGTAGGGAACAGAGATAATACAATCAGAATACATATTAGTTTTCACATATAAGTTCAATAGTTATAGTAATTTTATTATCTAGATGATAAAGGGTATATTGAAAAGTGCAACGCTTGCTTGTCTGCGACGCTTGCTTATTAAGCATGTTATATACTTACCTTCGGTAAGTATATAATAAGCATCCGGAGGTGGTGTCGCTTTTTTCTCAAACGAGCCTGAATGTGGCTTCGGTGCGCCCTGGCTGGTTGTTCTGAATCGTAACTATGTGGAGTAGGAGATTCTCAACTCAAATGATTAGTTACACATCTGTCTAAACATCAATCAAATGACGTGGCGCTTTTTTCTTAGCGTTGCATATGGAGGATATTAACGCCATTTCTCGGCGATAATCCTCGATCCTCAGAAACGAGTGGGCTACTATAGCAGCGTTGATGTTACTGCGAGTGGCAGGTTGATAAGAGAGGGTATAAAGCCGTCAATGTGAAAGAATCACTACACTTCCTATTTTAGCACCTTACTGCAAGATATATACATCAATTAAGTACTAGTCCATCTAAGCTTTATTATTAATATGTGAATAATATATAATCCTTCGTTTTATCTCCCGAGAGCCTATAGTTACCTCTGCAGGCGCTATTGGCCGCGATGAATATGCAGTCGATATTTGGCGTTGTGCGATTATAGCTGCTGCACAGATAATCATTCTCGCATACCAAGTAAACCCAGTCCTCGTCAAGGCTGGGAAACTAAATTAAGCCCAGCTCTATACCGTCTCTATAGCGATCCGGTGGAACAATCTGCGGGGTAATTTAGTTGCTTAGTGTCTGTCCCACCGGGATTTTCTGCTTGGTTAGCTATGGGGTTATGGAGACCCCCAGGTTTTAGGTTAGTAGCACACCGCCCTTAAACACTCGTCTACGGAGAGTACAAATAATATTTATAAGTCATTTAACTTCTTTCTCAAATCAGCTTATAAGTAATATTTATCATTCTCACATATTATAAGCTCCTTCTACCAAGTTCTCTTGATCTCCAGCAACGTAAAGTTCGCGACAATGGCAAAAATAGCAGAGTCAAGGTCAATGCTCAATGTCCTGGTATGTTTACGATGACCCGTGAACTAGATATCTGTGGGTGGACAGGTACACTACGCACCAGAGAGGAGGCAGAGATGGACAAAAGAATTCAGAGACAAAGCTGGCCTTCGAGACATCTTGAATATTTTCCTGACCTGAGAAACAGATTAGTGTGTTTGTGACTCCAGGCTCCTTCTCCTACGGATATTCTGCTTCTATCATCGCCTCTACACTTGGACAGTCTCACTTCATCTCCCACTTCAACCTGGTTCCAGTCCATAATCCGAACGCGAATGCTTTATTGGGAGCTACCAATGGATTGTTCCAGACGGGTGGCCTATTGGGCGCCTTGTCTATCGGCTACTGCGCTGATCGCTTCTCCCGACGTGCTGCCAGTATCATCTCGTCATTGATCCTCTGTGTTGGAGGCGCGCTTCAAGCAGCAAGCCAAAACATCTCCATGTTCCTCGCTATGCTTTTTTTTACTGGGATGGGTGTTGGACAAATTGCCGGCGCTGTTCCTCTCTATCAATCTGAAATTTCTCCTCCCCATTCTCGAGGTTTGCTTGTTTGTTTACATGGTGAGAATCCCTTTTCTTTCCTCGACCATCTTGATAACACTGCTAACAAGTCTTCCTAGGCGTATTGATTGGCACGGGATATTCCATTGCCGGCTGGGTAGGGTACGCATGTTATCCATTGAGTGGAAGCCTCCAGTGGCGTATTCCACTGGCCTTGCAGGTCGTCACACCGGCTTTGCTATGTATTGGAACTCTTTTTCTGCCAGAGTCCCCGAGATGGCGTAGGTGTAACCAAAAAGGTTCAGTGCACTGCAGTTTCGTTGAAAGCTAACTGGTGCTTAGTCCTACAGAATGATCGTCCCGACGAGGCCCTAGATGTGCTCAAGCGACTCCACGCCAACGTGCAGGACACGGAGTTTCAGTTCGCAAGAAAAGAATTCCACGACATGCAACAGCAGCTCAGCCTTGAAAAAACCACTGGAAAAGACTCATACATGGATCTTCTGACGCAAAAAGGTTTACTGAAGCGAGTTATCGTGGGGTTTCTTACCATGTTCGGGGCCCAATGCACTGGCACATTGGTAGTCAACAGTATTTAAAACCCACCCTCTAGCCTCTACTTGGGAATGTGTCGCATTTCTGACAATTTTGGTTGGTAGATTACAGGACTGTTCTTTACTCTAATGTTGGTTACGATGGACGCACCGCCATCGCTTTCACAGCTGGTTGGGTGACTGTTTCCATTGCCGGAAATGCCATCACGGCCATCTTTGTGGATAAACTGGGAAGAGTCAAGTTTATGAGTAAGTCTTATCCATGAGATATAGGCGGACACCCACTCATAAGTGCCCAGTTATCGGATTCACTGGTATTGTTTGCGTCCTGATCGGCGAAATCGTGTGTTTGGCCCTCCTCGAGTCGCGAGAAAGCTATGGCCTCTCCCTTGCCGCCATTGCATTTCTCTACGGACATATTGCTTTCTTTTCATCATGCATCGACGCGACAACTTACATCTACGCCTCTGAGATTTTCCCAACCCACCTTCGAGCCCGGGGGCTTAGCCTTTCATTGAGCGGTCTATTCCTCGTTAGCTTGTGCTTCACACAAGCTGCTACTTCGGCTTTAGCGTCTATTGGGTGGAGGTACTACATTTTGTTTACAGTCATGTCGGCGCTCATGGTTCTCGTGCTGTTCTTCTACTTTCCAGAGACCAAGGGGCTTTCTCTGGAGGAGATGGCAAAGCTCTTTGGAGACGAGGTAGCTACCGACGTAGCAGCTTCAGTTCCCGGGGAAGCTATTCTAGAGGCAAAGGGAAGTCAGGCACAAGAGATGGTTTCCGAACACTGCGAGAGAGTGTGATTAAACGTGACTTGGGAGGGATCTCTCAGTCGAGTCTTAAGATGGTATGTGAACCTAGGCAATGAAGGATCGAAGCCTCTGTTTCCACTCCAACCATGTTTAGGACCGTTAGACAGTGGAATCAAACGTAGACCGCTTCAATAGGGGACATGAGAGATGAAGGTCTGGCCGGCTATATGTAGAACAATGGCAACCGAATTTAGTTGTTCTTTGACGCTCGCTACGTTTCATACTAATTATCTTGTAAAATCAAAGGGTGCGCTTATATTTGGTTATGTTTTTTCCCGCGGAATTCTGTTCATCCGGATTATCGTCGTCGTTCAAGAGAGCAACTCTGAGACGCCAGGCCTTGTAAAACGAGGATGTTGGAGGGCAGCGCCTGAAGTTGGCGAAGTCCACAAACTTGGGTAGAACATCAGAGCATTGCTATTAGAAGAATGCAAACGCACACCACTGAAAGCTTAAGAGATAGACTCGGTTGAACAAAGGACTACGCCAGGCTCGCTGATAAAGGCAAGTTTCTCATATTATGACACTTGCTTATCTTTTCGGATATTATATGACAAGAATTAGATCTAATGGCATTCTAAAAGATTGCCAACGCATTTGGCGGGCTGCCTATGCTACCCGGGATATTAATAGGTACACTTGTGAGCAAAAACGAATATCGATTTAGCTCCTTGCATTTCGCAGATAGCGCCTTCAGGTCCCAGAGCTCGCCGATGTGCAGGCCGAAGAGAGATAGAAAGTACTGATGAAGAACTATACTTCCGTGTCAAAAAAGGTACGTCTTGGTTTGAGGAACGCTGTGTTGTTTGGGAGGAAGGGCGAATATACCTGGTTCGTTGATTCCTCCTTCACTCCCGTCTTCTCTTACAGGTGGAAGAGCCTCAAATGCTATTGAATCGCTTGCAACCGCCGAGAAGCGCTTGTTCCAAAACCACCGTGCTACTCGTTCATTGCCCTCTACACCAACAGCTTTGTGTGTCGCAAAGGCTTTCGCCTGCGCCTCATAGCTGCCAGGTGAGGTAATGTCCTCTGTGAATCCTGTCCGTATTATCAGGATGTCGCCATGCTTCAGAAGCGTTCCCTGGTATTTCGCTATTTCCTCTAATTCATTGACAGTGATGCGTTTCTCATCAAAACAACTGTAGCCGATGCCCATTGCTTGCGAGTATGCACGGTAATCGAGCAAAACACCCCGGCCAACCAGGCCACCGCGGTCGTGCCAGTGATCTAGGGTAGGAAACTGACGCCGCTCTCCTTCTTGTGGAAATGACTGCTCGAGACTCTCCACGGTGGGTTTGCATCCATTATAGCTAGTCTGGCTATCCTGGTGTTGATAGTGAACCAAGGAATCCCACTGAGACGAACACTGAGTATTAAATTCAACCTCATCGTCAAACCCATGATGGCCGTCGGCGCAGTCCTTTGATATAACCTTGTGCTTTAGGCCTTTTCTGTCGAAGCCTGGCTTGGATAGGGCAGCCAAGGACCAGTTGAGAGAAACGGAGAAGCCATCACGGGCTTCCTTGTAAGCTTCTCTTACGACGTGTGGAGTCAGGAAATTGATGCATCCCAAATGATCTTTCTTGCCGTCCTTGTCGAAAACTCCCCATGCGCAACCCTTGGGCATGCCCTTGACGGGAGGAAGAGAGTCGAAATCTGGAACCGAGAGAGATGCCATTCGAGCTCAGTTTGGGAAGAGACTAGTCTATGATGAGGACAGAGAGAGGAAGAAATTGTGGGTGTATGTCAAGCGAGATGAAGTTTCTGCTTCAAGCAACTTGTTGCGAGACCCTTTTGGGGGCAGTACATCTTTGATCTATCCATCCCCTTTCCGAATGAGCCAAGACCCCTAGCTGAACCTTGGTAATTACCCCACGGGGTTTCCCCTAATGCCGCAATGCAGTATGGAGTACCCCGCACGTTGCTGCATCATGTGACGCCAAATACAGCGAATGAAGGCGGAAATTATTATGGCCATCTTCGGCCAGGTCCGGAACGTCTAGCTCAACCACTAACTTATGAATCTCGGCTCGTTGATTTGTCAAGTTTCACAAGCCTGGGACGAAACATAGCCGGGCCCGGACCCCAATCTTGTCGATTTCCACCGGATCTCTTTTAGGATCCATCCCCGTATTACCTCTGACCACGACAAAGCTGGTAGCTTCCGGTGGAAGCATGGATGCATGGGCTTTTGATGCCTAGATGCAAACAATGCAAATGACTAAGAGAAATTGTACTAAAGCTCAAATGTTAATTAAAATTTATCTAGGATTGAATCGCGGACCTTGAAAAGCCATTCCCTTCACCTACACAACTCTCAGCAAATTGCATGTTGGACAATTACGCGACACGCTTCAAGCTAAGGCCATGCCCAACATGGGAGAAACTCTTTCCCACAACATCTCCTCGACAATTGCCATGCCGGGCGTGAATCAGAAGACTCCTAGCCAAGGACCACAGGAGCCATATCGCAGGCCACAGGCAGATAACAACCAAACTACTGCTCCCCCGCAGCTTCAATCGCCGGTTCGCTTGCCGGTGAACCAGCTCTTCTCAGTCCATGGAAGAACGGCGATATGCACCGGAGTCACTGGTGGAATTGGATTTGAGCTATGCGCCGCATTGGCGGAAGCGGGAGCAGATATTGTATCCATCCAGCTTCCTAATGACCCAGCTGGACCCCGTCTCCAAGAAATGGTGGTGGTATTTGGCCGCAGCTTCAAGAGCTTCGAATGCGATGTTGCTGACTCCAAGTCGTTGCGAGCCTGTTTCGTGAGCATTTGGGCCGCCGGTGTAGAGCCTGCCATTCTCCTCAATGCTGCCGGCGTCAACCAGCGAGGGTCTATGGAGGATCTCACAGACGACGACATAGACAAGGTGAGTGGCGTCATAGTGCCAAGTTCGCATCGGCTTCATGGTTCCTTACTAACCACACCTAAGGTCCTGGCCATAAACCTTAAAGCAAGCTTTGTGACCTGCCAAGAATTCGCGAAGAAGTCGTTTGAGAAAGGAAGACCAGGGAAGATTATAAATATTGGATCCATGACTTCATTCATAGGCATGTATAATGTGTCGGCATACGCATCATCCAAAGGAGGCATATTGCAGATGACGAAAGCTTTCAGTAATGAACTTGCCCCAAGGGGAATACAAGTGAATTGCATTTGTCCTGGGTATGTTATTAAGCCAAGACTTTCACGATTCACCAAGTCCGGAATTGCTAACACGGAAGTTTAACCTTTTAAAAAGTTATATCAAGACTCCCCTTACTGAAGCTTTGGTAAAAGACAAATCTTACAACGACTTTATTATGAGCAGGACGCCAGCTATGAGATGGGGCGAGCCAAAGGATCTACGGGGCGCCTTGATTTTTCTCGCGAGCCCAGCGAGTGACTTCATAACAGGCGTACCGATAATTGTTGATGGGGGAATGCTAGGGAAGTAAATTCAATATGTGAGATAAAACTACATATAGTTAGTACCACATAACCACATCTCTAATCCTATGCAGGGAGTTTAAAAATCTGTAACTAAAATATCTCTCAACAATTAATATCCTTATCTCTAACTTAAATTATTCCTAGAAAGGATACCTGTTATAGTAGTATTAATACTCTACCTATAACAAAAACCTTTGTCTTGATAAGTATTTTATTTTATTTTATTCAAAAGATATAAAAAGCAAAAACTTTTAAAGCATCAAGTCTCTTCGAGGAGCATAATGTATTCACTAAGTCCTAATTTATACGAAACTCTGGATAGTAGTCTTAAAATCTTCAGGCTCCCTTCCCAACAGCTCCTTCAGAAGTGGAGAGACATACGCTCCTTCGCCTCGCCTGAAAGCCTCAAAAGCCGTTGCCCAAGGCTTAGAAAGATCAACGCCGTGATAGGTAAAGTTGGGGAAAACATCGGGCTGTGTCGCGAATTCGTCGTCAGAAACCTGCATGATTTGAACAGTGACCTTTGCGATCTCGCCAAGGATCTTGACCGTCTCTGCCAAAGTTAATGTATTCTGTCCGGACAGAAGCACAGTCTTGTTTTGCCACTGGAACTCTGCTGGCTGCTTGACAAGCCGCGAGATGAGCTCGGCTGTGCCCTCTCCGAGCTCCTCCCTTTTAACCCACGCAACACCAGGCCCCGACCCATCGTGGGGAATCTTGACCTCCTTTCGAGGCTGCGCAGGGTCAAAGAAGGCAGTGTACAGGGGGTATGATTCGGAGTACAGGCCCTCGCGCACGATGGTATAGGCGAAACCAGCGTGGTTTTGTCGACATTTCTCCAAATACTTCTCAGTATCGAGATGTGCTTGCATGACGTGTGCCACGCTTTCTTTGCTGTCTGGTGATCCAGCGAAGCCTAGAGATCCGTAGAAGATGTACTTGACCCCACTCTGTATGGCAGAATCTATCGCAGCTTTGTGGCGCTTGTAGTTCTTTGAGTCAGCTATGAAAAAGTAAACTGGAGCAGCGCTGAGTGTTCAACTCCTTACCTGAGATCTGTATTCATGCTCAACAGAGGCATAGGAGATCAAAAAAAGTACACTGATGCCGTTAAATACGCTCTGCAGTGCAGAATCATCGTCATAATCAGCTTGACGGACTTGGGCTCCGAGGGCTTTGGCAGAATTAAGCTTATCAGGCTGGCGGGCGATAAGGACAAGATCAGCTGGAGGAACGCGTGCCAAAATATGCTTGACAGTACCGCCCCCAATGCCACCAGAGGCGGGAAAGATTCCAACTGTGTGAGAAGAAGCCATTTTTATCAACGATCGATTGGTTTGATTTGGACAGATACTAATTAGTTGGACGAAGGATGGAACGAGGTACTTGTTTTATAGATGCAACATCGCGAACCCTTTGTAATGGGTTTTAATTACGAAGCGATCCAATCAATTCCAAATCCTTCCCTACGCTGCTATTAGTTAGCTTGCTTATAAAAGAATCAATTTGTGAAATTAATGTCACATTATGACGAATTCACTGTCAACGAGCTGTATGCTTATAAATCAATGCTATGACAATATTATGGAAATGTATCAGAAACTTAAAAATCATCTCCACCGGATTAGACTGAAATAGACTAACTCGGAGGAATCAAACTAATCATCTTTCCCCACGCTTCCGGGCTGTCATCATATCCCAAGAATAGAGGCGTCCTCTTTAGAGTTAGCATTGGAGATGTTCGTTTTTCCTCGGCCCACTCGTAGAACAAATACATATTGGTTTCTCCCACAGCTGGCAAAATCGCATTGAACCTGATTTTAGCTATTGCAAATTCAGCGGCGAGGCCTTTGGTAGCCTAGCTAATATGTCAGCACATTGCTTCTCATCTTGATACTGGATGTGACATACCGAATTGACGGCACCTTTACTTGCCGCGTACCATACCAGGTTGGGCCTTGGCCGCACCCCACTCATACTTGACACATTGACAAAGGCTCCAGGCTTTCCATTTTTAATCAAGTATGGGACTACTACTTTGGTACTCCAGAGAAGTTGCTTGACGTTGACTTTCATGATGCGATCGTATTCCTCCTCGTTGATGTCGACGGATGGTTGTGCAGTGTGAAGTACCCCGGCATTGTTCACCACAATGTCCAGGCTTCCGAAGTTGACCAGAGCGGTGTCCAAGACAGCGACCTAGTCGGCGCTCTGGGACACGTCTCCGCGGACCGCAATGGCGCTTCCTGATGGCAATTTCGCGACTGTTTGAGAAGCAAGGCTCGCATTGACATCCATTACCACCACCATGCACCCTTCCGACACAAATTTGGCGACAATGCCTGCACCAAAGCCTGACCCTCCGCCAGTTACGATGGCTACTTTGCCGCTGAGCCTAGACATTCCGGATTGTTGACAGCACGAGTCGAAATTCAAACCTCGTGCGTACGGCCGTATATAATCAACCCATCGCAACCTTTAAACATAATATGCTGGGGAGGGGTATCCGTGAAACACAAACATAGGAAAGCGGCAGACAAGGGTCTGCTATCCGGTGCAGTAACGGAGTAGGTTTACACTATCAAGGCTACCCACCCTGGCTCGGTGGGCAGCCCACATTGATTGTCATTGCGCATTAGCTCAATCGAATCGGATCAAGGCACTTATCTTGGTGGGTCATCAAGAATTGAAGTAGGAATAGTGTGGGTTTCATCCGGTGGATATGGGTACGGAACGGAAAAGAACAATCTAAAGTCCCCAGTGGTGTATTCGGATGTAGCCGGCGGGATGATCTACTCCCACGATATTCTACCCATGATGTTGACATTGGTGGAAATTCGGAATATCGGATAGCCTCTGAACCGACTCCCAAACATCCAAGGCAAAAAACTCCAGGAATGGTGTCACGCATGTTAATGGCAACTATAATACAACTCCTCCTATAAGCGATTTGGATGGTAGGAATTCTTTGAATCACCTGGCATTACTCTCTTGCAAAGTCATTGTCCCCCAGCCAAGCAAACAATCATACACCCATCAATCGCCAAATAATCAAACAACAAGACAAAAGAAACATCATGGCTTTCCCTGCGCCATCCCGACCAGCCCCTGAAAAGGTTGCTTATCAAGGTCCTCCACTGCCAAACGTTGCAGATGACCTCGTTGTGCATAACATGGTGCAGCTCGACTTCGAAGAAAAGCTTTGGGTTCCCCAAACCAAAGGTGTATGGTTTCGTCCCTTGCTTTTCAATGTCAGCCAAGGCTACTTCGTCAATCTTTTACGAGTTAGAAAGAGCGGTATCTTGTCGCGCCATAGACATGCCGGCCCCGTTCACGCAACCGTATTGAAGGGCCGATGGCACTACCTGGAACATGAATGGTGGGCCGAGGAGGGTAGCTATGCTTTCGAGCCTCCTGGTGATATCCATACTTTGGAAGTACCTGAAGGGGTTGAAGAGATGATTACTCTCTTTCATGTAACTGGAGCATACATCTATGTTGACCAGCATGGCAACCCGGAGGCAATCGAAGATGTTTTCAGCAAGTTGGAGCTTGCCAAAGAACATTATAAGAACGTCGGACTTGGTGAGGATTTTGTCCAGCAGTTTATACGTTAGGAGTGAACTATCGAGACTAGCGCCGTTACTTTGCAAAATGTTTCCTTGAAATGGTCTGGTATGGGAAATAATGTACACGGCTGATAGCATTACTAATAGCACGTGTTTTAATATTAAACTTCATTAAGTGTTAAATTTTACGCTTTTGTGGTGTCTATATTCGTAATCGCTTTATTAACCATTTGAATGGGTGAGGAGTTGTAAAATCGTTTTGAAATTACCCGAGACTAGTCATTTACAACTTAAATACATATCATGGACTAGTACTACTATGGTTTGATGAAAGAAAGCCTACTCCCTATTCTTAACCACATGGCTACGACCGGGTACTTCCACCGGATATCAAAGACCCACTCAGCTGGCCCCACAGAAAAGATCCGAGGCTGAAAATTCAAAAAAGCCAGCTTACGCGATCAATTGTACTCGGGCCGATATCATATTAATGAGTGATGCTTCTTTCCGAGATGTACCTTGAGAACGCGAGGTAAAGCCTTATTTAGTTAATAGAATTCTTTCAGATTGAATAAGCAGACATTCCGTCTCGGTCATGGTTAGTTTTCCAGACTGCAATGAAGACGTATGTAGCAAACAATTGAGCAAAGCCAATCACGACAGCAGTCTGCGTGTCACTAGGTTCCCTCCAAAACAGATTTAATTGTGGAGTTAGGCTTTCCGATCTTCAGACATAAGCTAGAAGCTCCCCACACCCCGGTTAAATGTTGTATGGAGGGCCATCGCCCAGTTTCAGTCGGTTAACAATCAAATGTGTTCGTAACTACGTCACAAATGCTAACGTTAAATTCCGCGATTTTTGGGTATTTTTGCCACAGCGGAAAAATTTCAAGGGGATAATTTGAGAGAAAAGAGGCTCCTGGTGCGGTCCTAACCTGGAGATTACTAGGGCCTGATCCAGCGGGCATTAGCCACTCATGAAGTATAACGGATAACGTTTGTTCTTGGGAACTGTAGTAAGCAACGTTCATTCCTCGACCTGTGTTCAGATGATATAAAGAGCATCCCTATGCTCCTTACTACTTCCGAAATTGCAACTCACCTCTGAAAGCTATACATCCAGGCTATCTCAAACATCAACCATGTCTGCTTACTTTACGCAACGTTTCGCGAGCTCCCAGCAAGCAATTACCGATGATGCAACCGGTGCTGAACCACCACACAACGTTGCTGCGCCCAACATCCCGTTCTTTACACCTGCGCAAGATCCTCCCGCCGGAACAGCGCTGGAGTCTCAGCCAGACGGGAAGCCTATCCCAAAGCTATTTACTCCGCTCAAGATCCGAGGCGTTACGATGCAGAATCGTATCTGGGTCAGCCCAATGTGCCAGTATAGCGCACATGAGGGTTTTCACACACCGTGGCACATCGCCCACTACGGAGGGATAGCTCAGCGAGGGGTAAGTCTTCACCCTACCACCCCAAGAGAAGAAACCTAACATAGATAGCCTGGCCTTATCATGGTAGAAGCTACAGCAGTTCAAGCCAATGGTCGTATCACACCAGAGGACTCGGGTATTTGGCTCGATGCCCACATTGACACTCTGAGAAAGCATGTCGAGTTTGCTCATGGTCAGAATATCCTCATTGGAATTCAGCTAGCCCACGCAGGCCGCAAGGCTTCCACTATTGCTCCCTGGCTGAGCTCTACGGCCACTGCGACAAAGGATGTGTATGGATGGCCCGATGATGTGATCGGACCTACTACTGAGCCGTTCAGCGAACATACTCCTACGCCTCGAGCTATGACTTTGACCGAGATTCACCAACTGAAGCAGGACTTTGTACTTGCTACACAGCGTGCTATTCTTGCTGGCTTTGATATCATCGAGTTGCATTTTGCCCATGGATACCTTGTGTCGACTTTTCTCTCGCCTGCTGTTAATAAACGCACAGATCAGTACGGTGGCAGCTTCGAGAATCGCTCTCGATTAGCTCTTGAGATTATCAAGGATGTACGGGAAATCATGCCTGTGGATATGCCTTTATTTGTTCGTATCAGCGCTACCGACTGGTTGGAAAATAATCCAGAGTATCAGGGTGAAAGCTGGACTATTGACGAAAGCACGAAGCTCGCATCTATTCTAGCTGAGTATGGGGTAGATGTTTTGGATGTGTCGAGTGGCGGAAACCATGTGATGCAAAAGCCAATTGGTGGCCCGGGATACCAAGCTGTTTTTGCAAAAGCCATCAAAAAGGCTATAGGCGACAAACTGCTTATTAGCTCTGTTGGTAGCATCAAGACAGGTGATCTCGCTGAGCAACTAATTCTTGGAGGCCAAGATGCAGATGATACTCCGCTGGATCTTATTGCGGCGGGCCGTATATTTCAGAAGAATCCGGGACTAGTCTGGGCATGGGCAGACGATTTGGGAGTATCTATTACCGTGGCGCACCAGATTGCCTGGGGGTTCCGTGGTAGGGCTCAGAAAACTTCTCAAAATGTCGTTTGATAGTGTACGGCATTGTACTAGAGCATCAAATATTATTAACACCCTAACATCAATAACTATCTGATATTATTTCGGCCGGTCAAATGAAAAGACGTCTGTGAATTCGATGGCTCAAAGGATTCTAATGGATACCAAATAATTGTGAGTTTTCACCGGTGCAAGCGGACGGATTTGCTGAAGGAATAATAATTGTGCTGAGATTGCATATACCGCAAGTTTAAGCATATCAATTTTCGACAAGTCATTTGTTTTGTCATCCATACGTGATATAATACCGAAACTATCTCTTTGAGCGGCACAAGGCATCAGTGAGGTCACGACCGGGGTCGGGGGCCAATCAAAATGATCGCGACGATCGGTACATTCACCCACACCTAAATTGGCGTGTGATAGAGGTACCAACAGTCAGCATTGTTTCAAATCGCTATATCACATAATTTGCAACCGTACCTAGTCTTCCGGCACCCTTGATTTCCTGATATCGGCTCGAGATAGCCTCCTTTTTCCTTTCTTTTTTTAAAGGGTCGAGGCTGCCCTTGCCGGTAGCCTTGCAAGCTAGGCAGGGCGAATAGCTGCCTCGGCGGACATGATTGATATCTCTTTGTAGGTGATTTTGCCGTGCTTCTATATCCTCGATGTCTTCTTCCTTCCCTGACCGACTTCTCTTCCTTTTGCCGCCTTCAGCAGCATATGTGTTAAAAGTCGCGTTGCAGATGCATTCCTTCCAAGCTCGTAGCGTGCTGTAAGGCTTCTAACGAGGGTGCCGGGTCTTCTTTTGCAAAATGAAGCTATTCGCAAGTGCGACTTCGAGGAGGAAGCTCCAAAGCAACGCCTGCCATGGACTGCGGCGGAATTGATGCTTGTACGTCGTATAGGACCTTATCTGATTACCGCGGTCCATGTGATTCATTTCATCGTTATATTGAGCAGCAACAGTAGGTATAGGGATTATTTTAAAGCTATTCCTGTTGAAAAGGCGCTATAGCTGTTATGCCTCTGCCTTCGTGCCTCTCTTAGCCGGCAGCTTCCTCTTTTTTAGTGTGCGCTCGTGAAAGGCGCCGCTGTATACAGTTGAAATAAAGAGCACTATGCTGCTATCCTTCCAAGCGATTTGGATAACCTAGGGGGAGTAAAAAGGGACAAATTAGTAAGGGAAACACAGCTAAAAGTTATCTATACCTGTTTATCCGGCATCAGGATTAATATAACCTCGTTATACCTCAAAGGCATGCCGTCAGGAGCTTTGCCGGTCTCTTTTATCTGCTTTATCTCGGTGCTAATGCTGCAGTTAGGGCATGCCGTACCTGTGGCACTAAAGCCAAGCTACTGAAGGAGGCGGAAGAGCTGCGGTGACGAGAAGAGGTTATCTGTGAAGACGTGATATGTCCGAGGAAGCAGCCTTTTTACTAGGTGAACCACGATGCTCTGTGTATTGCTGAGAGGGATCTCGGTCTATAGCTTTCCCTTCTTGCCTTGCGGCTTCGTGTGACGGTTTTGATTCCCAAGGGATAAACTAGTCCGTACTAGGTTTATGTTGGCAGATGCGTAGGGCGTTATGATACTGAGCGTAGCGAAGTGTCACGTCTCTTAATAGTGAATAGAGCGGGTAAGGCGTATTCAGGTGAAGATGTTTTATTGATAGCTGTCGAGCTAAGTGTACTAACTAATGCTAAGTGAATGTATATATACATGAGGGTTCACTTGTACAGTGGTGAGCTTTAGGCAAAGGCTCACGATGTCAGAGGTGAGCTATAGGGTAGGTTTCACGTATGCCTGAGTGAGCTTGGTGTGGGTGAGCTTAGTGTTGGTTGGAGGAAAATTGTGGGGTACACGTGACGTAACCGCCGAGATCGTAACACTTCGCTGTAGGTAGGTTGACGATAAAAGCGGTATATGGTGATGACTTTATGTGCTAAAGCTACCGAAGAAAGAAGCCCTGTTGGGCGATAACCTAGACTTTGAAGCCTACCGGTGTAGGCTTTCCCTTGATAAGCGTTATCTCTTTCAATCTGCCTATAAATGGCACTATACACTTATCTACAGTCAGATTAGTCCCTGGAAGATAGAGCTCGTTTGATACCTTCTGTGTGAGATTAGACTACTCTTTAGCCGCTTGGAAGGTCTTTGGAAGATTTCCTTATTCCTTATATCGACTTTGGTGTAGTTAAAAGTACGGAAATACCTGTTGATTATCTTGAACTTCCGTAGCGGCATCAACTTGATGATTGAGTGAAGAGGGCGCTGATCTCCTAGGCTAGGTGCTCTCTAATGGTCCTTTGTTGTTATTTCCCTATGAATCCCTAGGTAAATAATGACTCCATACCATACATAAGCCGTTGAAGTGGAGATGCCTTCCTATTTAAGGATGCGTGAGTGTTCAGAAAGGGGGGTATTCCAGTTATTAATAACAGCATTTTTAAGTAAGTAAGCGACCAAGCTGTTGGTGTAGTCGACCCATGACTGTATAAGGGAAATAGTTATAAAAAGCTGGAATAATTCAAGTGGTTCCTTGGGCAGAGGGTTGATCTTGAAATCATGATATTCTAGCTTGAAAGGTTGAAAATCATTACCGCGGCCCTCTTTGGGCGGAAAATTAGGCACGCCGTTGGGGTCATTAGCTGCCCTCAAAGGCAGGGTATCAAAGCTGTGATTATCTAAGCTATCTTGTATCTTTAAAGAGCTTATCGTTTTAACTACAATAGGCTAGGGGCTATTTGCGTGAGGTTTTTGATGAATTTGGTGGTGAAAAATTAAGCAGCTGTCTGACGAGAACTTTACGTGCCCCGCAGGTACTAGTGTGGTTAGTAAGTAAAGTAGGGCGAGTGACTTTTTGATGCCTTGTGCCGCTCAAAGAGATAAACCCTAGTTACTTGAGTTTTCTTTACCTCTTAATGCGGGCTAGCTAAATTCCTCTATTTCTCATGTGACCTACTTGTGGCGACTGAAGCGAGATGAATCGGGGAAAATGTTATTCCTTAGCTCGGTAACCACGAGCAGCTTTGATGACAACATAGAACTCAGTTTACCCCGCTTAACAAAATCCTAATGTACTTCTGTCTGGTTTATTGCCAATCTACCTTGGTAAATTTATTTTTCCCTATCACGGAACCTAACCGATATCCGACATGCAACCATGGTGCCGGTCGTATCTGAGTCACTGTCGAATGAGACCAACGAACAGCGCCCGAGGAAACGAGTTCGCATGGCCTGTAATAGATGCCGACGCCAGAAATTGAAGGTATGCTTCATGTCCTATACTCTGGTATTGCCTCGGACGAGCACCTCTACTTGCTGGTGTGATGCTAACATAAAGACCTATTGTGTTAACAAGCCTGTCACCCAAGTGCGATACCAAGCGACCTTGTGCCCTTTGCAGTCGCTCAGCCGTTGAGTGCGTCACAGACTCCCGAGATCTCCCCTGGTACGTTCAAGAATAAGCCATTCATCTTCCTTACTCCTATTGTAACACGAAGTGAGCGTAGGCAAAAAAATAAAGATAGGGACTCTGCTGTTGATAGCAGTGGATCACCAACAACGGTTTCCTCAAGACCTGACCGAACATTACCCGAAGCTCTTCTGCCCAATCCATGGCTATCGGAAAAACCGTGGCGACAGACTTCTTTTCATGAAACCAGCCAACTGGATGAGAATACAACGGTTCCCCGGAATTATCCCCGAGATACCTCAGCCGTAAAGTTGACACAGGAGGTATGATCCTCACTGAGATTCAAAATGAACTAAGTTGATTTTGAATGGCCAGATCTTACAGCAATTGAGCCCTGATACGTCACTGAATACCGATACTTCAGCATTACCGGGTGGCTCAGGCAACAATACAACTCTGTCTTCAGATGCCGTTCCGATCAATCAAATACTGGGATTGAATTTGCCCTCCAAAGTCGTTTCAGATGACTTGTTCAACGCCTACTTTGATTCCGTGCACTGGTTCATGGTCTTGTTCCATGAGCCTTCATTTCGTCAACGATACGATGCCATCATGTTGACAGGTCAAGCTACGCCAGAGGATCTTCCGTTTCTGGCTTGCTTGATGCTGGTTCTTGCTATCGGAGCTAGATATATAAACCGAAAATCAAATCTCTCCTTGGAGGTGGCAGATACAGACCTGGACGCTCTGCAAAGCAATTTATTGAATAGCACACGTGTGCACTTGTTGGATATTGTAGAGCTTGGGGGAGTTGAAGGCGTCCAGATATGTGTTCTTCTGAGCACGTTTTATCTTTACCATGATCGGCCGAATCTAGCCTTTGCCATCCATGGCATGGGAGTCAAGTGTGCTCACACTATGTGTCTTCACCAAGAAGCCACTTGGAAAGAGCCTACAACCCTGACCCGTGAAGTCAAACGACGAGTATGGTGGGCATTGTACGTTGTTGACTGGTAAGAGGCGTTTATACCGTCACCCAAATGCACACCTGGCGGGCAACTTGGCTAAGTGTGAGCAGTTTCTATTCCATCATCTTTGGCCGCCCGCGCTCTATTCGAGACGAGGAGTCACATGTGGCCATGGTTCGAAATCTTGAGGATACAGCTGCCCGTCATCCATCTTTTAATTCCACCGAGAGTGTTGGCGAGTCAATCTATCCAGTCACCATCTTTTCTTACCAGCGTTACAAGTTCGTTCTCTACACGATAGCGGCTCGTGTTATGCGCGACATTTACTTTGAAAACTCCTCAACGTCGCTGACATCAGTCTTGCACACCATTCGGTCGATATGCCGGGACCTTGAGTCGTGGTTTCAGAGCCTCCCGCCCGAACTGAAGCACCCGAGCGACAACGATTCCGAGTTCGTGATGCAGCAAGACCAAGATCCCCTGACAAGCAATACTGTGAGGATATTTAGACTGCAGGCCATGGCTTTACAGCTCGCCTACGATAACATACAAATTCTACTTCATCGGCCATTATTGCAACTTCCCCTTGGGCTATGTTCCCCATCGCATGTTGTTCATGGTATGCGCAGCACGGATGCATCGAATGTCAAGGGCAAGACAGCGAACAAGCCAAACCCGTGTGCCGTAGACAGTGCAACATTGGCACTGAGCAAAACTCAGTGCTACAAGTCTGCAGTTCGGACAGCTTGCCTGAACGCTTCAATTGTTAAGGAGGCGAGGCACACTCACGCAGCATCCTATATCGGTATACAGTTGTTCACAGCTGGCATGGTTCTCAGCATTGTGGCGCTTTCAGCACCGCTCTCGTCAGAGGCTCAGCAGGCGAAAAGGGCTATTGGCCGCATTGTCTCTACAACGGCCTCGATCGGAAACAAAACACTCCTGTCGACCCAGAGCCAGAAAATCCTAAGGGAGTTGGTTCGCCTCATTCTAGAGAAGGAAATGAATTCCATCTTCGCGGAACCAGTAGCCCAGTCTGATACTCTAAACCATGAAAAGCCGACTCTCCAGAATCCGAGTCAGTCGGTGCCAAGCAAAAGTGTCCCCGTTCCAACTCAAGGCGAAGGCTATAACTTCGGATCTGCTTCCCAAACAGGGATGGCTACTTACGAGCCAGATGGTGACGGCTCTATGGCCCAAAGATCTGAAGTTGGTACAGAAGTACAACAGGATGAGTTTATGCAAGGTACTTGGAACGATCTTCTACCCGCAGAGGACTTCAACTACAACCAGGCCATATCCTCTGTTCAGCAAGGTACGCGCAACGACGTCTTCAACGTTCCGGCGGAGTGATCATTGATGTTCAGGAAACTGACTCGCAGATTAGTATTCTCCCAACCTAGGCACCCGCAAGCCGCTGGTTCAGATTGGTCTAGCTTTCCTGCCACTTCGTCTATGTTGACTGAATCTCTGGAGTTGAACGACGAGTCAGCCCGGCCGTTTCTCTTTGCAGCTCCTGGAAACGGCTTCCAAGGGGCTGGCCAAGCCTGGCTTTGGGAGGATGGACTGTTGCAGCCTGTCAACACGGATAGCGGCGAGCAGTCAACATCATGATGAAGTACGAAACTATCCTCAGCAGACGAGGGAAGAGTGTCTGCTTAAGTGACTATTTACTGCGGAGTACACTATGCATCAACTTGTGAACTGGTCCATTCTAGACAGGGTTCGAGGCTACTGTACGAAAGCCTAGATGGATCTATATTAATTACACTCTATTTTAACTAGCCCTATCATAGACAACACATTTAATTACAACTTTTGCCCCTAAGTAAGGTAACTCTCTTATAACACCAGCTAGGAGCGTCTAGTGCTTAATAGAGTTTACCTATCTCCTAAGAGCTCAAGGGGCTGCGAATTTCGTTGATTTTATATGTGACTTCAACACAAATCTAGACGTCAATTAGTGAAAAGAAGAGAATTTTTATCCAAGTGCATTATGCCGTTAGATCCTAACCTCAAGGCCGCTCGGCCAGTGGTTCTTTCGCGGCAACGACTCCAAAAGGGCTTATCTCGTGATGCTTCCAATGGCCCAAAGAAGGCTTTCACTCTGCGCGATGCTGAACGTTAATATCCCGGCTCTAAGAAGTGGTCTATTGCGCGTATTGTCAAGCGGATTGAAGAGGCCAATACTCTCGATTTTGAGCAGGTTCCTGAGCCGAATAAGGGCCGGCCGCGACTCCTCTCAGACGACGAAGAAGAGGCTATCGTGAGCTCCATTATTTGGATGCAGAAGTCCGGTCTTCCGGCCTCCAAGCACGAGATTGAAGATGCAGCAAATATAATACGAAGCCGCCGTGATCCTGATGCTGTGCCGGTTGGAAGGATGTGGTACAGGCGCTTCTGTGACGATCATCCCGAGCTTGATAGATCGATTTTGAAGTCGAAAGAAGACGCTCGATTTAAGTATAACGAAGCCGGCGTGGAGGAGACAAAGCAGTGGTTTAAACGGCTCACTGAGGCTATCACGAGATATGGAATCGACGCCTTATAGTGTTAGAATGCTGATAAAGCAGGAATTAGAGCCGGAATACTACGAGAGCGGGTGCAATGCCTCGTCGTGCATACCAAGAAGAAGACTGCAATAGAGGTTTTCCCCCCTGAAGATAGGGAGACTTGTATGGTGACCGGTACGGACAATGCCGCAGGAGCAATTACTCCTCCTTGGCTTATCTTCAAAGCCTTTCCAATGCCCAAGTGGGCGAATATTGACGGCGATCTTAATATGTGATTTGCATAGTCGAATACGGCCTTCTTGAACAGCGAGATAACATTCGAGTGGGCTAAAGACTTTAACCGGCGGTCTTGGGAGCAATCTGCAGTCATATAATATCTTCAGCTGAAATTTGAAGAGTGGTTTGGATATAACGAGCACCTGAAAAGCTTTTCTAACCCTCTTACCCCATATGACGAGCCTCTGGGCACGAAGGGAAAGGTTGAATAAGATCTACTGTGGCGGTTGCTTGTTATCGACGCTTTCTCCGGTCACGGCTCCTTTGCCTTTCGAGAATGCTGTATAAAATTCAATATTCTCGTCGCTTGGCTTCTTCCTCATTCAACTCACACTCTTCAACCGATAGATATTGGTGTTTTTCAGTGGTTAAATAATGCACACCAAAAAAGGCTGCGAGATGCTCTACGGAAGGGAAATATGAGCTTCAACCGCCGTGACTTTGCGGGCTCTTTCAAGGTATGTGTAATCTTCTTCATCCCTCTCCAAAGTACCCCTCTTTTCACATACTAATCCTCGTGATCTAAGGAGATCTTTGAAGAAGGCTTCACGGCGACCCCACATCATCACAGGCTTCGAAAAGTCAGGAATTTTCCCGCCCACCTACGAGCCTGCAGTTAATTATCTTATGAAGAAGTAGCTGAAGACTCGTCAGGCTATTGATCCTGCATATTGTTCATTTTTTCTGGCGGAAAATCGCTTTCCAATGGCTTCAGATACTGCAAGAGATGTAATACTTGTCTTGCGTTAACAACATGGACCGCACCAAGACGTTGATAGAAATCATCGGCAAAAGAAGACTTAATTCTCTCGATGACGTAACAATGAGTATTGTAAACTCGTAAAGCGATCTATTGAGCGCGGATTGCCCGGGCTAATATGCTTCCTTGGGCCCTTGGGATATATGTAACATCATCCTCAGCCGTGAATCCTTCGGCCCCAAATCCAGAAACATGTCAAATAGGAGCCCTAGTGATTGCTCGTTCCACTAGATGAAGGATGGAGTGATCCGAAGAGTCCGGTACTTCGTGCTTGGGATAAAGGAAACAGATTTCTCGACATCTCGCGAGTATGTCGAGCACGGCTTTGTAGAAGCGATCGTTCTGGGACATGTAACTCAGTCTAGAAGACCACTCGATGACCTGCATCAGTTTCTCTTTCTTTGGGTAGAAGGAACGAGTTAGTGATAGGCTGACAATTCTTTCCAGGATAGTGTAGGAAATTTCAGTCAAGATGCTTGGTATGCGGACTACCGCAGATCTTAAGATATCCAGAGCTTCTTCGATTCCTGTTCGTCCAATGAAGGGGTCCGGAAGGCAGAATGATATAAGTCCGTGGAGGTATGCCAGGTAAAGTCTGCTCTCAGTTCTGGTGCTACCGACAAGTCGACCGAGGAGATCGTCGAGCTTGTAAGCCTGTACTAACGTTACCGTGGTGTGCTTATTGAGATGGTCGAATGTCTTCATCTCATATCGAACATCGCCTTCAGGAATAAGGACTGTTCTGCTAGCTGGTTCCCTGCTGCTGGTTAACACTAGTTTGCTTTTGAATCCCACTAGTGTCTCTGTAGATTGATCCGAATTGATGTGCATGTCGCGGAACTGTTCGGATTTGACCAAGTAATCTCCGGATTTGATAAGAAATTCCAGTCGCAGATTTGGAATTCGGATCTCGGTCGCCCGCTCGACAGTATCATAAACCAAGTGAAGCCCCAGTGATGCTTCAAGCGGGTCGAGAATCATTGTAATTCGCGTGCCCAGCTCACTTGAGGGAGCAACAAGAAAAACATCATCGTCCCGGCCAAGCTTCCAATTACCGTCATCTTGTGTAAAACGTCAGTTGTCGTATCATCCGGAGCCCAATGACTGTGAAGTTTACGGAACTCTATAGTTTTTGATTTGCTATGATACCAATGGGCAAAATTGTCATCCAACTGATTAGGGACTGTCCCCTTCAGTAATCTGGATGGAACCAGATCTAGCATTGGTTCGCTTTTGTGTAAGTGAACCAGGACATTTTGACCTTGCATGCCAAAGTGGATAGTATAGCCTAGAGACGGTCTGATCGCGCTAAATCGCATGCCCGGTATATCACTTGGCATGACATCGAATACCATGGATCCGAAAAGTTTCCCCTCGGGCTGGGATCTAGGTAAGACCAAAGACCATCCTACCACTGGGTTTAGTGGGACCAATGACTTGAGATATGTTCTCCCTACGGATATCAAGCAACTAGACCATCCGGAGCAGAAGCACACTAATACTCTCGTGCTTGGCTATTTGTTGCAGTCACAAAATGGGGTCACTTTGGTGCTGCAGGAAACCAAAGGTACCCCATTCAATAGCCGGATGCTTCTAGATATAATATCGGGAATGGATACACAGATACGTGTAGTTTTGGACGTTGGCGCTCAGATAATTGACCTCAATAACCTAGACTTTGCGAAACAGTAGCTGGCACGTTATCGGAATGAAAATGACACCCAGGCAGTCATCTGCTTCAATGAAGATGATGAGATTATTGTATTCGACAGTTCTGGCAAGGTTGTAGAGCTTGAAACGTCACCCAAGGCGATACTGGCTCTGGATGGGCTGAGCAGTTTCTCGAATATGAAGCTCAGAGTTTGGACCAACGCTATCGTCCTAGAAACGGCCATGTTAACTTGATTTCTTTTTTGGATAAAGCTTATGCCTCAAAAATTAACGTGCTTCGAGCCCGCTGCGACGACTTTGGACTGACTGAACTTCATACGGCATCATTACAGGAAGAGCAGGAGCGAGAACTTTCTCCCGAAACCGAGCAAGAGCGACAAGTTGAGAGACCACCTGCGGCAGAGCCAGAAACTCATTTCATTAGGTAGTCTCTGATAACGTGGATACTGAAGGGCTCTTCCTCGATTAATATGACATTGTCCAAGACTGAGCACAAGCCGGCCTTCCAGACCCTAAAGAGCACATCCGCCGCTCAGTATTTCGACGTTCAAAGCTTTTCCAGCAGACTACGTGCCACATAAGATTTTGCAAAGACAGTTAAAGGGACTCTTGGAATCAACAACAGCTACTCGGACTTCTTTCAACGTTCAGTGCAATGGATCCTGACCGGCAAATGCCAAGCTGAACCTATCAACCTCGTGACCATAAGCCCATTTGAGGCTCAAGAGCTACTACCATTGATCGAAAGGTCTCGAGATGTGTCTTAGCATCTCTATGCCCCTAGGGTAAACCTTACCTTCCGATCGCTTGACCACTTACAGCTGTATCGCGTACCAGGAAAGTCCACTGTGGATGCCATCCCAAGGAATACTGTTTTATTTCTGACCCTTTTTTCCGGACAATTGTACCTATCGTCTTTGAAGGATTATACAGCCGTTTGCGATCTGCTCGGACTGGCTTGGGGGCCCAGATGGCTTTATTCCACCGGGTTCTGGAGAAAACTCGGTAAACAGGTCGAACTTTCGACACAGCCCTGTTCAGTTCTTGCGAGTTCTTATAGAAAAGATCCGACAGGAATGTGGATTAATCGAGAAGACGGATATCAGGAAGATTTTCGAAAGTGCGTTCACTGGAGTGTGATTTCGACGACAGGATTTAGGAACTATAATTCATATCAGTATTCAATAGGATATAACCTACACCACTCTCTAATGTTATTTGGGTACGTCAGAAAATGTTACTGGCAGGTAGAGATACTATCATCCTCGTCGGCGGCGACAGTATTCTCTGGGTGTATTTTATAAGCGCAATAGAGATCATTGCTTCAAAAAGAGAGGCATTGGCTGGTACGATCAACTTTGACCTCCACCTGATGATCGAATTCGCCAACGCACGCAGCTTTTCCGTCCTTCGACACTTGAGGGACTTCTTCTCGCTTGTAATCTTTACACACGCCTGTGAGGTTACGGAGCCGAGGGATAGGGTGTATGCCCTGGTAGGTCTCGCAGAGGGTGGCTTTACCAGCGAGATCAACATCAACTATAGAAAGAATGTCAGGGATGTTCATCGCGGGGCTTTGGCTCGGGCGTCATCGTACCATCAAGATCTAAAGTTACTATCGCTGTGCGACTCGGCCTCCGAACCAACATGGATACCTGACTTGGAGAGGATACAGCACTTGCGACCCATGACTTATGGTCGGGCTGCACTTTGCTCAGCCGAGAGAGCACATGCATTTACCAAAGAGCAACTGCTAGTGCAAGGAGTCCGATGCGACTACATCACGGAGCTGATCGGACCCCAGGACGGCCAAGATTCCCAAGCACAACTCGAAGCCGTTGTACTAGAGGCAGCACGACGCTTTCTGGGTCCTGACCCAAAGACCTGGAATTTCCAAAAGGTTCAGCAATTTTCCCTCAGGTTGCTCGTGAATGACTTCTACACTTATCCTCCCGTCATTTTCAAGACGCAAGACCAGTTGGCTGAGAGAATCAGCTCCAATAGTGAGACGCTCGGTGCTCAACTCGCATACTTGACCTATTTCATGCATGGTCGATCCATATACTTAACGGAAATGGGCTACATCACATTAGGACCGCGAAACTGTCAGCCTCGTGACCTTGTAGTCGTCTTTCTTGGCAGCCATCTCCCCCTAGTCCTTCGACCTATAGAAGACGGCGAGTACAAGATTAGAGGACCATGTGCTCACCTAGCGCTCTTATCTGGCGAAGCGATCCTTAGCGAGATGCCAAAGGGTTGGCGATTGCGGTACCTCAAACGTGTTGGGGATCCGCTTTTTGAGACTCCAGAAGGAGAGCGGCAGCATATAGATTCGAGGCTGGATAATATTCCTGTCCCGGAAGAATGGGAACTTCGTTGGAGAGATAATGGCACGCCGTTTTGGTATATTGCTAAAGAAGATCGATGGACGAACTTTGATCCGAGACTTACATTAGAAAGCCTTCGGAAGAGTGGAGTAAAGGTGAACGATTATATATTGCGGTAGGCTAGCTAAATTCTGTATCTGATATTTCTTGATCTGGCATAGTCTGATTACATTTCACCAATCTACTGATACTCATTTGCTGCAAGTCTGAACTTTCTAGCTGACACCTTATTCTCAAAAAGGTGGTCTAGAGTCTCGGCAGTGAGCCCCTTCACTTCGGGCAACCTGAAGTAAGTCCAGATAAGAAGAAGGATAGTCAAGCCGGCAGCAGGGAAAGCAGCCTTTCCCTTCAAATTTGCTTCTTGAGGGTTCAACAAATACGGTGCCACAATGACGTTGATGATGGATAGAAAATAATAGGTGTTTCGGGCCAGTGAGATCGTCTTTACTCGAAGGTTGGAAGCACCGACATTCGCCGCAATACCGTATGGGATGGGACCAATTGAGATGCCTAGAAGTTCAGATTGTTAGCGTTGGTATTGTGAACTATGCAATAAAAAATAGTCTCACCGTAACAGAAGAACCAAATGAGGAGAAGAGCAGACTGAGCCCAACGGATGTTGTCTTTGCCATGTGGTGCAAGATCAAGGAAAGCCACAAGGCTCATAATTGGTAACATGGCACATAGCCCTCCTATGTAAAGTGTGCGCCAACCGAAACGAGTCATCATGAACCACGACGAAACTGTGCCAACAAATGCGAGACCGGCATTTCCTAATTACAAGAGTCAGTGAATATTTTCTTAGAGTGATTGTCATGATTTTTCAAGATATGTACGTACCCAGTGAAAGCTTGAACGAGTCACCCGAAGAGAGTCCCGCAAGGGTGAAGAAGTAGGTGATGTAGTTTTGGATTGCGAAACCTGGAAGGATCTGGCAACCCCAACTGATCATAGCAATCTCAGTTCGTCGCAAATTCTCCCCTCGGAAGCAATCGAGGTATGATCCTTGAATATTCATGTCTCGCTCTGTCTCAATTGTACGAGTCATCATTGCAATTGTGTTCTTTGGATCGATGACATCACTAGGTGCAGAGCATAGACGTCGAAGATTCTTCTCGGCTTCTTCAGCACGGCCATTCCTGATTAGCCACCATGGTGACTCAGGTGCAAGATATGTGGCGATGAGCATGAACGGAGGCCAGCCCCACTGGATAGCAAAGGGGATGCGATAAGACCACTCTGTCGGGTTTTTAAGCATCGAGGTAAGAACGCCAAAAGAGATCATCTTTCCCATAACCCAACAAAGATTGACATAGACTGTCAGATATCCATTTAATCGTAATGGTGACACCTCGGCTGCGTAGGATGGAGTCGCTGCTGCGAAGAAGCCGCATGGAATGGATCTGCAAGGTTCAGGTTAAATATTTATACAGTTGAATGGAAGAGAGACCACGTACATCAAGAGGGTTCCGACGACAAGAGTTTCGACATCTTCAGCGAAGAAGTTGATGAACACGAAGCCCGCGAAGAAAACGTGTGAGGTGAGCATGACTTTTCTCAAACCCCATCGATCGGCGCAGTAGCCATTGGCGAACACGCCAATTATCAGTCCAATATTACTGGTGATAGTAAGTGCCAGCTGCCATTTAGCCGGGACAGAGTATGAACCATTGGGTAGCTGGACTCCGTACTTCTTCTGGAATTGGGGAAAGGCGAAAAATGAATTCATGAGGAGCAACCCGTAGGATTCCATGATTGTTGACATGGACATTGCTACACTCCAAGCCACAGCCTTGTAGTAGTAAGAAAATGCCTGCTTTGCTGTCAAGGTTGTCTCGACGCGTTGGGCCTCGTTGGCTGCTGCATCTTGCTCGCTTAATGTCTTCAAGCTCGTGGGAGGGTGTTGTTCGTCCTGGAGAGAGACAGGGCCCTTTTCTGTAGACATGGCGACAGGCAGGATTGAATAGAGGTGTTCAAGCAGAATGAAAGTGCTTGCAGTTGCTGTTAATCATTTTGTACGTGGCTTTGGCCTATTTATGAACTAGTCTGGCAGCCATCATTAGACGTAGTATTGTTATAATGTCTACCCCAGATTTTCCCTAGTTCCCATATGTACCCCACAACTTCTATCACCCTCCTGGCCCTTTTCCTGACGTGCTACCGTCTTTTCTTGACGTGATGGCATATTTCGCCGATGTAGTAGCTGGTCGATACCGGCTGTCGGTGATCCTGTCGATGTGATTGGTGTCTCGCCACTCGGGGAACAGTAGCGTAACTTGACTCGGCAGATATTTATAAGAAGTCGGTAAACTACTTCCTCAATAAGAATTTAGCTTGCTCGTCAGTCGTGTCCATTATGGCGTTTATGGAGACAATGGGCGGAAGACTGTTTCTTTAGTCGAAGTCAACGTTTATCCCCGATAATAACCCTTGTGTTGGGTCGACCAACCTGGCCAGTGAAGCAACCAATGTCCGACAACAAATTACTCAATCAAAGCATTTCAACATCGCTATATCAGTTGCATCTGTAATTGTGTCTAGTAAAAGCAACATCTTGTTGGTACTAAAACTGTGTCTATGTCATATACCCCGATAACTAGTTGAAAGGCTCAAATAAAAACGAAATCACAACTCTACTGAGCTCGACACACTGTTCTGCTGAAATTTGCAATTGATTACGTATTAGTCAAGTTGAATTAATGGCATGTATTGTGCAATTTTCTTCATTTCATACATGTACCGTAAATAAGTTATTCATCACAAGGGGCCAAGCGTTTTGTGAACATCCTCATCTCCAATCTCGGCCATTTTGTCCTCTAGCATCTGCGTCATCCGTCGAACAACATCAACATATTGCGGGTCTTTATAACAATTGAACAGTTCCAGTGGGTCTTCCTGGCAGTCAAACAACTCCCACTCTCTTTCCTGGCCTCCAGCCCTTGTACCTTCAAGGCCAAAGCCCTCATTATACCAGTAGATCAACTTGTACCTCTGATCACGAACACCGTAGTGAGCATAAGCCTCGTGTATGATGTCTCGGTGCATCCAGTAGCGATGGTATGCGACTTGTTGCCAATCTGATGGTGTCTTGCCCTGGACAAGTGGCCGGAAAGATACACCTTGCATGTAAGTGGGGATGCGCGTGTTTGCAAAGTCCAAAAACGTAGGTGCGAAATCGACGTTGCAGATAATATCACCGCATACCGACTTGGGTTTGATCTCTCTTGGGTAACGGATCATGAAAGGCATTTGGAAGCTCTCTTCGTACATGAATCGTTTGTCAAACCAACCATGCTCACCAAGAAAGAATCCTTGGTCAGATGTGTAGACGACGATAGTGTCCTCCGCGAGACCTTCTTTATCAAGCCAGTCAAGCATACGGCCAACATTATCATCAATGCTTTGGATGGTACGAAGATACCTCTGCATGTAACGTTGAAACTTCCACTCTGCGAGCTCTTGCTTAGTCTTGAAGGTGAAGACTTGGGCCGTCTCTTTACAGATGAGCCTCAACCCAGTGACATCTTCAGGCGCAGGGATCTTCCGATCATTCCACCACCACTTGTCAATCATTTTCTCTCCGGTCTGGCTTCTGGGACCTTCTGGTTGTACTATGCCTAGGTCTGTGTAGGTCAAGTCTTCTGCAACTTTCATCTTGGCCACCTTCGCAGCATTTGCACGGTTTTTGTAATCATCGGTGAAGGTATCAGGCAGACGCACAGGGTCCTTGTAGAGGTCCTTATGTTTTTGATCATACTCCCAAGATCGGTGCGGGGCTTTGTGGTGGCACATGAGAAAGAATGGCCGTGACTTGTCGCGCTTTTCCATCCAGTCTATACATTTATCCGTGATGATGTCGGTCGCGTATCCGGGAACTCGAGACGTTCCAGAGGGCTCGATGAACTGAGGATCCCAGTATTCACCTTGACCAGGCACAACACTCCAGTAGTCAAAGCCAGTGGGTTCGTGATCATCGCCCTCGCCAAGATGCCACTTGCCCACCATTGCTGTTTGGTAGGCTGCAGGTCCTGACTTCAGTTGTTTGGCAACATTGGGCAGCCTCTTGTTGATCTTCGAATCGAGCGTCATCACTCCGTTGACGTGATTGTGGGTACCGCAGAGAATTGCGGCTCGAGAAGGTGTGCAGATACTGTTGGTGACATAGCAATGATCGAAACGCATTCCCTCGTTTGCAATGCGATCGAGGTTTGGTGTGCTGTTGATCCCGGCACCGTAACACGATATAGATTTGGCTGCATGGTCATCAGCCATGATGAAGACAATGTTCGGAAACGAAGAAGGCATCGTGAACGCGAAAGTTGGTTTGACGATTGACCCGGTCGTTGTGCAAGAGTATAATAGAAGTTCAGCTCATGCTTTGCCAAATAGATGTCGCAAAGAGACAAGAGTAACGGAGTATGGGGATATGGAATCCAATATTATCAATGAAATAAAGAAATAAAGAGCAGTAAGCCGATCACAGCTTCCTTCTGTCTTACTCGGTACTCGCTGAACCCCAAGTTTCGTGTGGTGGAGGAGGGGGCAGAAGCGGGGGGACCGGTAATCGGTAATCGGCGAACGAGACATGACACAATTTCCAACTTCCTTCAAAAGTAGTCCTCATCGGACCTCGGCGAAAAACTACTTTGATATGGCCACTCGTTTAGTGCATCCCAAGGAACGAGACTAAAAGGCTCAATTGGGATGTCCATCAGTTGTGCGCCTGGACTGGGTCCCATAGCGGCTTGCATCAGGATGTCTAATCCCAGGTGACCGTCGGTGGCTGAGCCGATTTCTTGCCGAGTTTCCATCTCGTGTGATCCTCGGATCAAATCTGGATCTGGGACAGCTGACTGAGTCTGGGTTGCATGTTGCTCGCAGGGTATCCCAGCCTCCGCACTATCGTCAACAAATCCTGCTCGTTGTAGCACACTATGTATGCCCAGGCTTTTGTGCTTCCGAACCGTTACAGCGAAGCGGGGCTGTTGACTATCGCCATTACCATGTTCAGGCGATTCTTGTCGGTCGTCAGTCTTGCCAGCTACGTGCAACTGGATCAATGACTCTAGATCCTTGATGATGTACTGCTCTACAGCTGAGTGTTTGTACAAACATTTGAGCAATTCCAGAACTTGAGAAGCATGTTGACATGCTTCTTGCGGTGTGAGATTGGACTCTGAGGGGATCAATGAAGACCTACTCAGGAATAGAATCAGGCGACTTGCGTGGTAAGCGCAGATAGCCAGTATATGGTGATTCACTCGCATCACATCTCCAAGCATCGAAAGATCCTCCATAATCGCAATATTCGCCCGAGCGTGATAAAGGCAAAGTCTAGCACCCATGGTGATGCGTGCAGGTTGGCAGGATGATAGAACAGCGTCAGAAGCCGCTTCACGGTAGCCTGAGAGAAACAGCCTGTATGCATCGCAATGAGCTTGATGCCAAGTGAGATGTACCGTCAGATATCGTGTGAGCCACCTAGAAGACGCGTATCGTTTCAGTTCTTGGCAACTATATTGTGGAATTTGAAGTTGTTGTAGCATCTTAACAAATTCGTCGACCAAATCAGGGAGTTGTGGCATAGGCTGAGATGAGAGACGTGCTTGTCGCGTCAACCTCATGACATCGCGCAAGATCGTAGTCTGTTTGATGTGAGTCGAGAGAAGCCCGTTTTCAGATATTCCATCCAATGTCAAGGGTTCATCGTCAACCATGGAATCCTTGTCCGCGTGAAATTCCTCTTCGACACATGGCATTTTGAGGTAGATCAGGTCTGGCGAGCAAACTTCTGATTCTGGAAGCCCAATAGAGAAACGACCGTTGATAAGCATCATGCACCACATTAATCTTCGGCGAATTTCTTGTGCTACAGGTCCAAGATCGATCCTCTCATATTGCAATCTCAGAGCACTAGCTGCACGGCCAGCGATACCGAATAGCATATAAGCACGCTGGAACGATCCAGTGTCGATTCTGTAGTGGACAATCAGAAGCAGGGCCTGGGTTCTAAAGATCGTTGGCTGTTCAATATTAGACCAGATGACATCTTCTGCTCGCTGAATCCATGACGACGTTGAAACTGGGTGGTACTTGGAGTACTGAAGATGAAATGAAGATACAGCGCAAATGGCCAGAAGAAGTGGCTCGTCTAGGCTTCCATCAAGACACCGTTGAGTTATTGAGACTTCATTTAGAAAGGCGTATGACGGTAGAGGATATAAATGGCGGAAGAAGTCAATGATCAATTGCAGGCGGTCTCGCATGGGTGGTAAGGGCATTGAGCGATTTCCATCGTTGACTTGTTTCGGGACCGGGCCAGATACAGAACCTCTCCAAGCTGATTGTTGTCCAGGTGATGGTCCCGGTAGATAATTAGATACCTCTGGTAAGGCTGGTTCATTGTATAATAAGGTGTAGTTCCCATCACCTATAGATAATGTGGATGGAGATGTTTGGTGAAGCTGCGAGACTCTAGGCGAACTTTCACTAGTAGACTCGATCGACTTATTGCTGGTACTTGGGGATCTATGTGATACTCGACTTTGCCGTTTATGATTCGGATACACGCAGTCCTTATCTCGTAACTGACAGGTAGTGCATATTGGTAACTCGCCAGAGCACTTTGTTTTTTGACTACGACACTGAACGCAAGCCCGAGAGCCTCGGCGACGCTCGGGTTGGCTTTGACTTTGGGATGTAGTGGCAAAAGCACAAGTGAAACCTAGACGGTCACAATTGGAGCATGAGTCTGGACCGCCGTCGCATCGAACCTGTGGCTTTAGTTAGAAGCTGCATTTTTAAGTGAAATAGGTAAATGGCACCTTGCGAACGCGGCATTGAGTGCAAGTGTTGGCAGATTTCGGTGGGGGCATTGGCAATTACTTTCGATCAAGATCCAGAAAATCACTGCGGAACTAAACTATGATGCGTTTTTGCAGTTGTTAACTTTCAGTAAGCTACTTGGTCATTAGTGTTAACCTTTCGATCGCGTGCTTCCAATTAGTAATCACGACAGAGGAAGTCAACTCCCCACTCATCTCTAACAGGGTATCATCAGAAAAGGCAGCTTTCAAACTCACAAGAAAAGATTATGTGGATCGTTTCTTGTTACTTGAATCATGTTTTCAGCCACCTAGATATTATAGTTATTAGTTCACGTGTCGATTCAAAGTTGAATTTCGTCAGAGCGTTTTACATACTTTATTTATTAATCTTTTTGAATTTAGACTCCAAAAGTATGAGCGTGGATAAACTCTAACAAGGTTTTAATGACATGTTTTTGAATTTCTCCTTCCAAGTATTTAAATGCTCATCAACCACCCATGTCCAAAGTTTAACCAACAATAATGACTCGGCCTAAGTGCCTCGGATCTCGAGCCATGACTCGAGTCTCACGGACATTCTTCGGGCTTTCGCTGTCATCACCACAAAGCGATTGTCATACGCAAACTATACGAGTATCACAACGATGCAAAAGATGAAGAAATTAATATATTCGGTCCTTATAGCTTGTTTCATGTATACTATCTAAACATTGCGTTTTCCATTGGTGGGTATCCTTTTACCAAAAGAGCCGATTTCGAAACTGATTCTAGGCATAAGGGATTTCCTAAGTTTGTCAAAGACTGCTCTCCCTTTTGAGTCTCTACTAAGCGCGTGATATGCTGTGTGCAAAGGGAAAGTTGCCGAGAATTGTCCATAGAGCAGGAAGCTATCTTGCATCACGAAGCCCATGCTTCGAAGTATCCTTGCGCTTAATTCAATGCATGTTTCTCTCAGTGCTGTGATAGGAACAATAATCGCGAACGCAGCTAACTCGGGGAAACGTGCCAAGAGATCTTGAATATGCGACATGCAAATAATCTGAACCGACCATAGACAGGTGAGAGCATTGGCTGTACTTAGACTGGAGAAGCACAAAGTATCATTTTGATCTTCGAGGCCATTGTTATTAGTCTGGTTCCAGTAATGCGCCATCGGGGACTCTGCTTCAAAAGACTTGGCCCATAACTCAAACTTCATTTTCATCTTCACAAGCTGTGTGATGATTCCCTTCGCTTCCTTTGATGCCGTTTGGGCGGATTCATCCCTTAGAGCATCGATTCTCTCAAGTATACCAGGGAGAGCCGCTGCTAGATTGAGAAGGTTTTGTAACTGTGACTGCTCATAAAGCTGGAATGGTGCTTTTATCCAGTCTTCGTCAGCCAAGAATGTCGCTTTCCGTAACATAAGCGCTTGTATCACCTGGGCTATAAGTTAGCTGAATGAAAGTCAACTGTTTCTTTCCCTTCTGCTTACTAGTAGTGGCCTTATCCCAATAAATAGTTTATGGTGGATGCCGGTGCTGAAGACCTCCGGCGATGATAATCGAATAAGTTCACCTGCGCCATGGATATGGACTAGCGAGCTATTAGGAGTCGTTGGCGAGCTAATCTGTTCTCCCAATCGCAAAGCGTCAGAAGGTATTCAACTACTATAATAATAGCAATGACGGAGTTGAGAATAATACTAAATGGGATAGCAAACTCACCTCTAAGAGGGCGATACACATCACGGCAGCGACTAGCTCAGAACTATAAGAGCCTTTTAACGATTGTAAGTTTTGCTGCAATAAACGAAGGGCGTATTCGTAAGACGATGAGATCGGCTGTACCAATTGCTGACCTGTTTGGTAGCTTGTGATGGACAAGGCCAACGCGTTCACAGCGGAAGTGAAGCATTCGCCAAGTGTGCCGCTTGATCCAGCAGCTAAATCTGGAAGTACCGTAACCCATGAACCACATATCCTTGGTGATTTAGGCACGATTTCTATAATATCAGCAATAATTTCCTGTTTGGGGACATAGTTGTGAATAATTAATGGTATGGAATTCTCCCACGGATCTATAAGACACGGATAGATTGGGGAGAAAGTGGGGAGATCAGTCTTTCGTTTAATGAGATTATTGGTTGTTAATGGAACCGAGGGTGGTAAGCTCAAATTAGAAACTCCTTTCTGTGAAGTTTTTGATCTTAGCTGCCCCAAGCCAGTGCTTGTTTGACATGGGACAAAGAGTGCTTCTGGATAGCCCTCACAGGAGCGACCGCTATTGAGACACTGGGAGCAGGAAGGTTGTTTTCCATCGCACTAATAGACAGCTTTGTCAGTGACGGGGCCCTACAAACCAACCAAGAAGAGCTAACAACTCAACAGGGAATGAATTAGGTATGCTAACACTGATTTTGCGTCTTCGACAAGTTCGACAGAGCGTCTTTTTACGGACTTTCATACTGCTCAGCTTAACGATGAGAGACAGCTGAAACTACAGTATGTGTCATCAACTTGGCAAGGGTTTGCAGGCTTGCGGCGAAGATTGAGAGGTCGACAGTGACAGTGCTACGTATGCACGAAGGGCAAGAAAAAAAATAGAAACAACGTTCTTCAAAAGGTAATAAAACCCTTGGAAGCAACGAAAATCGGGTTTGTCATCAAGTTAACACCGGCAGAATCAGTCATTATGGAGGATCGCCATAGCTCGGGTTTTGCATCCCTTTGCAGTTTAGTTGTTTTTTCTATCTATGACAAAGTTTCACTCTCATTGGTCATTGAGCCAGCCACAAAACAAAGTGGTGCTGAAATCTGAAATGCCAGTCACATATTAACCGACCACGCCCGGAAACAGACGGGATTAGTCCTACCCTAGCGGGTGAATGCTAAGGATAACTACTATGGTGTAGATCGCAGAGAATCAAGGAATTATGACCGCTACAAAATCATTCGAGGTGAAATGAAACGCTTTGAAAACGGTCCCATCTTATTCTCAAGTTCTTAAATCTACTAAGCCAAGATTCTCCTATCTGTCTATAACTTTGTATTCCTCCCAATGACGGGAACAAGGCTGTAGAGGAAGTCGGTCCTTGAGGTTCTTGTCTGGAGATTAACATCACCAAGAGTGGAACCCTTACAAAATCACCCAAAATCATCTCTGTATGTATTCCATATCGTAATCATCTCTTCGGACTTCAGATAGACCTAGCTTATATGGCTTTTTATAACTTCAACCAAAAGCCACCCTGTTTCTGCTTCCTTTTAATCTCTCGCGATGCAACAACAAACATACCTCCAACAACAAGAGTACTACCCGAGAAAATTTGCGCGCCGGTATATGAGCCTCCACCCAAAGAAATAATAGCCCCCGAAACAGGCGACCCGAGCAATGCTCCGATCCCAACAGCAGCAGAAATAATACCTAGTCGTGCTCCTGTTTTTGATATGTCTGAGTTGATAATAGTGACTACAGCGAGGAAAAGTGATTGAACACCACCTATGGACAGACTGTAAAATGCTGTCCACGCATAGAGTCCAGAAATCGTATAGACCGGGATCCAGGTATACATGCATAAGGCAGAGGAAAACAAAAACACAATAAACACGTTCATTGTGCCAATGTATCTTGCAATCACACTGGGTAGTAATCGAGCAATAAAGCCGATACCGTTGAGCACAAGCGTTAGGTTCAAGGAATCAGTGTATGACATGCCTTGTTTCTCTCGAGCGAAAGAGCTCAGGAAAAAGAATGGAAAGAATACTCCCAAAAAGGCCTAATAATCAGTCGTTAGATTGCTGAAATGGAAAGGATGTTCCTTACGAGAAAAGAACCAATGAGGTAAAGAGTGAACTCAGGCTCTTTGAACACAGACCAATCCACCAGGGGAGCCGGTTTCTTGGGCGCAGGTGTCGGTTTCCCACATGCTAAAGCGATAGCCAATGTCCACAACTGTATAAAGCCCATCGCACGCATAGTCCATCCAAAACCAATAGTCGGCAATAACGTTCTTGCCATGCTGGGATAGATAAGACCTCCTGTGGTGCTTCCACATGCTGCTACACCCATGACGAGCGCAAGTCTGCTGTGGAAGTATGTAGTAATGAGAGTCATCATCGGAGTGAGAAGAAATCCATTGCCAAGACCAGTACATACACCTTGTGCAAGAAGGATTTGCCAATAAGTCTGGCCCAGCGAGGTCATGAAGGTCCCAAGAATGACCAATATGGCGCCAACAAGAGTGGTGATTCGGAAATGGCCGGCATCTGTAAGACGACCGCTTACGACACCTGTAAAAAATAAGAAGAATACGGCGATAGAGCCTATCCATGAGATATCGGACCGCGGCTGTTGTAAAGCCGAGACATAATAGGTCTGAAAAACACCAAATGAAATAATCATGCCCCTTTTCAAATGCTTAGCATAAGGTCTTTTTCATGACATGTGAAGGGACCAACTAACCATGTATTCATGATAGTGAGAAAGCAAGCCAAAACTATTACAATCGGGATTAGGCTTTTACAACACCCGCTGATCGCTGTTCTTACCGGCCATCCAGGCTACCAAACCTCCATCTGGTAATGTAGTAGCTGAGTCGGTCGTGTTCGAAAACCCGTGACTTAATACTGGGCTCAGAGTAAGCGGCAGGTCCAAGCCATTCTGAACATCGCTGTCCGGATCGACTGCACAGTGATTATTATGTATATCCCTGGGTTTCGGTTCTGCCGTGTTTTCGAGGCCGTCATTCTGCTCGTGGTAAGTCATGGCGTTGGTATTGGGTTTGGCTTTGCGATAGATTAATACAATATAAGTCTGTTTTTCTATGGCTAAGTCATGTCCGTTTATTTATATCAGAAGCTGAACATACATATGTTCTTTATAATAGACAAGAAGTTGATAGAATTGCACCTGTAGAATGACACAGATAGACCTTACTTAAACAGGGTATAAAACCCGTCGGCATTTGTAAACATCCCAGCGGCTGAAATATCTATTACTAACACTTATTGAATCTCCACAACTACTGCATACCCGCTTTGACATTGCAAATACAAGGACAACGAAATACATATTGATTATAATAGGCATAGCTCAAGGTTAAAGTTTGTTTCAAATAGCTGCCTTTTTACTTTAATACAGTAGTACTGATAAAAAGTCTACACAAAGAACAACTAATATTTTTTACCCCGAAATTTTACAACTCTGAAAGGGGTCTACTTGACTTAGTAAGATACTAGAAGGTCCTGCCGATGCCATCCTTCTTGACGTTATATAAATATGCAGCAAATCCAGGTTGAATGGCTTTTGCGATGATGATGCAACTACAAGGCTTTTAAGCGTCTGAATGTGAAGAGACATAGCTGACAGGAGGAATTTTGAGTGCGAATGTGATGCCCACGTTCGAATAGCCAAGATAATAGGTAGTACATTCAACAGACAAAACAACAGCATCGCGTGATGCCAATACGATAGTAGCTGAAGTCAACTAGCACTAGAAAATCTGAAGCTTTAAGACGGTGGACTTGATGTTGGTCACGGAGGTTAATTGATATTGTGCATTCTCCACTCAGTATACCATTGCTATTGTACTAACTTTATGTTTCATTTTACACGCTTGTTGAAAACGTGTTTGTGTCTATAGCTTCAATGAAATTTGTATTCCTTTGATAATTCAGTCTTGGAAAACAATCAGTTGATCACCACGGCCTGTCCAGGCTTGAGCCAGCGAACGTTCGACAAGATTCCCTCCTGCTTGAACTCTTCACTCAACTCCTCCTCATGCTGAGTAAAATGGTCCCAGGACTCATAGTGCATTGGCACCAGTACGTCTGCCTTGATGTCTCGGAAGAGACAGGCAGCTTGACGACCGTCCATAGTAATTTGAAGGACTTCACCTTGGTGACCGGGCTCTCCCTCGCTGTTGATGCCATCGATGGAAGCTTTGCCAAGATTCATCAGAGCAACAGCGATGTGATACTTGTCGGCCATCTTGGCCAATTCCTTGACATAAACAGTATCGCCAGTAAAGTATATGGCGTAAGGGCGACCATCAGAAGCGACTCCAAAGTCCTCAGTGTGGACGATGAATCCGACGCACTCATGACCGGGATAATGCTTGCATGGTGTGGCAGTAATATGGAACGTTTTGCCAGAGATACAAATGTCCTTTTCCTCCCAATCAGAAAAGCCGTGTACATGAGGGCGAGGGGCAAGGTTGTTTGCCCCATCTTTAGTGGTGAAAGTGTGACGAGCATCCAGAAGTTGACGTCCAAGATCATCAAGATTGTCAGGATGGTTTTCATGGCTTAAGAGAACGGCATCGATATGAGGGAGTTCGTTCATCTTTAATGCTGGATCATCATGAACCTTAAGGGGTGGCCCTCCGGGCGTAACCGGCGACCATTCAGCGCCAGCTGGAGAGAAGAAAGGATCGGTCAGAAAGGTAATGCCATCGATATCGAGAATCGCGGTGGCGGTTCCGATATGAGTGATGTTGACTTTGCTCTTGAACGTAGATGTGGATGTAGCCATGACGGACGGTGTTGAAAGATAGTTGAAAGAATAATCGTTAAGTGATTTAATACTTACTTAAACTTGGGACCAGTGGATTGTTTATAGTACCTATATACTTGCACAACATGTAAGCGATCTCAACTAAACGTTAAAATAGACTAATGTTATGCAGGATTAAAAATCAAGAAGGACAACAGGCCTAGAAAGTATCTCCACTAGATGCCAGTAACATAACTTACAGATTCTTTAAAATGGGCCTTCTACTCAAGCTTAGACGGTAGTATTGCCACTAAGCTATAAAAGGCTATGAAACCCGACCCATAAATAATAGTCGTTCATATGATGACAAACGCCCATATCTGCTGTCTACGACGATATCGTCTTCCATCTATTGGCTCGAGCAATTTTATTATTACGACAAGGCATCAGCATAAAGTAAAAGAAATCGTTGCATCATTAGAGGATGATTCATCCACTGACCACGCTTCTGCTAAACTCAGGGTAGCGGACATCCAAGATAAACAAGCAAGTCTTTCTTTTTCAAAGAAACTTTATCATGGAAGAAACACTATGAGAGTCTGGACCATGAAACAACGGTCGCACAACAAAAGTCAGTAATTCAAATCAATAGTTTCGAGACGAAACTCTCCACCCTGGAAAATTCATTCCAACGAAATCAATACAAGATCTTAGCTTAAAGAAAGAGCCTTTCGCAGCTTCGGATAGCCCAGAAGAACCTTGAGGTAAACACACAGCATTCAGCTTTGAAGACCAAAGAATTAAGGGATGAGTATATATGTGCAAACGATAAAGTGCAACTTCCCGACACATAGCTACAGCACAATACTACGGAAGATAAAACATGCTAAGTATAGCCGACGTTCTTAACAAGATAACTGTAATTATTTTAGTAGAATGCAATTAAAGCCTTCCTCTATAATTAAATAATATAGAATGTGAAAGAAGTGGGCAAACTGTTTTATATAACTTACAGGGACGACAAGAGAACCTCTATCTAGTTATTTAATTACAGCGGCTAACATAGGCTGGGCTATTAAAGAAATAAGTAAAGATAGACTATAATAAGTAAAATAATACTAGACATAGCTTAAGTGGCTACTTTACTCTATTGTATAGTTAATTCTTCCAAAGAAATATCCTCTGACTGAACTGCCTCTCCATTCATAATACCATCGACAAAACATTCCCCAATAAATAGAAACTTACCCTCACTACTCTCACTACTCTCACTACTCTCACTCCCCACCTTTCTCAAGGTATATGTAATGGGCACCTGTCGAATACATAAATGGCATCTCCGAGTTTAACGCGCCGATAAAAAAGTCCCATGTATCCCTTACTCGTGATCCCCAGCCTTCGATTTCCCATTGCACGTTTGAAAGCAATACACGCTTTCTGGAACGTCTTACCCAGGGTCCGCTGACTCAGACTAGAAAGCTCGATCCTCCCTCGCCTTACAAGTAGTCTCTGACGCGTCGAGTATGTTTGCCCCGGAAGTGAGGGCGACTTTCCTGTCGTCTCATCTATAAGAAAACTGAACATTTCAGCGAATGACTGTGGACACTTTCAGAGACCTCTGTCGTCTTTACCACCAACGAGTGTGTTCCAGAGATCGTCGAAGTCGACAGTCTTGTTAGTTCGATGATTGATCTGAGAACAAAAGTCTACAGCAGTACGTAGCGCTATATTCTCTGTTTTCGGGCTTTGAAGAATTAGATCCGGATTGGTAAAAAAATCCGTAACCTCGACTGTAGTGTCAAAGAAGACGCCTGGGGCTGCAAGTAAGCCGCCATGGATCTCAGCCATGGGCTCCCCACGACGTTCAATGAGACCAAAACGTCCGCAGGCATTGTAGATACTATTAAACGCAAGTGGTAAGCTGTATGCAATCTCTGAAGGTAGAACCCTCCAGTCAGGAACCCATGATGGTAGACTAGGTGACTCGTGGTCCGCTGCTACTAGTACGGTCAATAGACGCATCGGAGACCTTGGGTCATCACTCCGTATGTATTCTGCTAGTTTCAGTGAAATGCCACAGGAGTCGAGATATACACACGCGTCTAGGAGCGTTTGCCACGGTATAAAGGTCTCACCACAGGCAAACCATGTACTGTCGGTTCCGGAGAGTACGGCCTCCTGGATAATCCAGACTCTCGTGAACCATTTTCGAGTCAACAGCTCGCATAGACATTCCCATTGTTTCAAGTCAGCCGCCGGTAAACAAAGCCTCTCCACATCATCAAAACTCGGGTTGCCAAAGGTGAATTGCAGACATGAAACAATCTGTTCGAGTAGTCTCACTGCCAATTCTGACCCTTCGCTGGCCTTCCCAAGCCATTTGACTGTGGTTGTTGCAAGCGTATAGATTCTGCTCATCAATGGGATTTACTGTGCCTTTTCGTTTTCATCGTTCTGGTTGATGCAAATCTGGTCTATTCACGTCAAGATAGATTCATGGGGCTTACGAAACTGCCTAAGCGCAACTTCGAGCGACTTGGTGATATCCTTCACGAATTCGTCGCATTCTATAGTTTTTTCAAAGACTGGGGGACCCCATATGTAACTCAAAGCAGTGAAGAAAATCGGAGTGGTGTAGTCTGCGCAGGACATCGCCCAGCGTGGTGGGAAGTTGAGAGCAAAGTGATTAAACTCTACAGCACAGCGATGACGAGACCCTTGAAGTTGTTATGTGCCGACGCCTGGCTTAATCTCGAGCAAACGGATCTCATAAGGATTGGATATTGGCCAGTATAGACCTTTTACGCTACTGCGGGGTAAGCTTTGACGAGGTGCCCGTTTCTTAATCTGGGCGATGAATGCGTCTAACCGATCTTGACGACATGGGGTTACTCCAGGCCGAACGATAAAGGAATCGTCGTGAACGAAATGGGTTGCCAGTCCCAGCCTTTCGTGATAAAGGTCAAGTGGGTTCTCGCCTGTTTGGGTCATTGCAGCTGCAGAGCGATATCGTTATGGAACGCTGAGGCTAGAAGACCAAGACCTGCAGGACTGCAGCCTAATTTACGAAGAATATAGGCAATAATTGCCGCACTAATTATTAATCCGAACTGCAGGATTCTATCTATCTCTTGGTAGTTATCAGTACTAAAGGAGTAAGTATCCACTGTTCTTATACACGAGCTTACGCACATACTTGATAGATAGGCAGCAACAATATTATAGGTTTAAATATCTACCTCATCTTCTTGTCTTTCCAGTACTCTACATTGCAATTCTGTCACATTGTTTAATCTCACCTTCCACTCCCAACACACTGAAACTGCCCTCCACAAATATGTCCCTGGAAAGTTCGGCTCACAAGTCCAACCTCAGCTCCGCAGCGGCAAGGGGTAATGAGATTACTGGTCTCTCAATTTACCACGATACAAATGAAGACATAACACTTGAGAGAGTACAACAGCTCATGTCAGAGATGAACGCTGATGTCCCGCAAGGTGGGACAGACATTGTTTTCGGAGATAAAGAGACCCAACGCCTGCGTTTCTGGGAACCCACATCAAAATCCTGTAAAGCGCCAATTGTCGTCTTTGTCCATGGAGGGAGTTGGGCAATCGGTACTTATCTTGACTCTGTTGGTTCAGTGAAAGTCAAATACTTGAACGATCTTGGCTATGCATTTGCCTCTGTCGATTTCGCCCTCATACCAAAAGTCACTGTGGAGGAGCAGGTCCAAGAAGTCGCCGATGCTGTGTCATATCTCATGAAGAACTCCCTGGCGCTTGGTATCGATCCTGAAGGCGTTGTTTTGATGGGTCATAGCTCGGGTGCCCATATTGTGAGCCTGGTCGGTACCGATGCACGTTATGCACAGAAAGCAGACTTCAATATCAATCTTTTGAGAGGAATCATCGCGCTCGATGGCTCAAACTACAATGCAGCTGCGTCTATTGCCGACAACACGGGATCGATTGTCACGAACATGCTTCATGCATTGGGCAGCAACCCAGAGAGGTTGCAGTCAATGTCCCCCACCTTACACGCAGCCGGTCCCAATGCTCGAGCGTTTCTTCTTCTTCATGTCCAGCGCAAGGGAGATATTCGACAGGCGGTAGAGTTTTCTATTGCTTTGAAGGTTGCTGGCACGAATGTTAATTTATATGTCTTCGAGGGAGAGGGCTTCGAAGGGCATGTCGCTTTACTCATGAGACTTGGCAATGAAGACTATCCTGCAACGGGTGTTATGAAGGAGTGGTTGGAGAAGTATGCCCCAGTTAAGTAGTTGGGTTATATGGAGGAATCACAGGTGTCTCGACATTTATTGATGGAATGGCGTAACAGGGGTCAGGGTGCTCCTGAATTAGCACACGAATCCACGTGATAGGATTGTCAGCGACGTATGTCACACGACGATATAAATATTTCTTACGCTTCTTCATACTATTGTTATCACTCCACAACGTAAATTATCTACTGTTGCTTCACTGAAGGCTTAGGAGTAGGGATAGTATTCTCTGCCAAGTCGAAAATGCTATAAGATAAGCAAGCATCATATTGCTTTTTATGAAAGCTAGTGATTGATCTGTTTCCAAAATGACCTGATTTTCCACATAATACCTGCGCTTATAAACTATTTGGTCTTTCATGACTAGCGTTTAGAGAGTGTATGGGCTCGTCTAGCTTGAGCTATCCACTTTGTTTATCGCTAGTGCCATACCATTGACTTACACTATTGAGCACTAGTGATTACAGTGGAAATTGAGATGCATTGTATATTTCTATATCAGTCAAGGCTGTACAAGCAATTCCAAGAAAAAAAGAAGAGACTACTCGACCTTCGTAACTACAGTCATTACCTTATCTCTCCAACTACGATGAAAGCAACGCGTGTTTCTTTGACATTAGCTGCCCTAGTGTTTTACGACAATGTATACGCAAGCCCATGCAAGCCAAAGTCCTCAACAACCGCGATCCTTACTTCCAGCGAGGTCTTAACCACCACAGGTACGATCTCTGTCTCAGAGTCCTCCGTAGCTGGGCTTCCTTCTTCCATTTCTGAGTTGGCCTCTACTATTGCCACTGCGACTAGTTCAGTTGCTGAGTCCGCCTCGACCATCACCACCGTGATTACTTCAGTTGCTGAGCCTTCCTCAACTGCGATTTTGACTTCATCTGATGCTCCGACAACCACCACTGCGGTAGAAGAATCTTCACCATCTGGCCTCTTTATCAATCCCTCCTTTGACGAATCCAACGCCTCTGGAGATTATGATGGCTCTCCATGGATATTGGAGGACGCTGTCTCTCCCTTGTCGGTCAGCATCAACTCTGATCTTGGGCACTCTGGCTCACATTCAGCGTATGTGTGCCCCAAAATAAAATTTTATTCTCTCACGTCTCGTTCTAACAAAGATTATTCAGGTACTGGTCTATCACAAACACTGCGCAAGCTGGCAGTATCCACCAGAGACTGGATTTGGAACGGGATGGCTTTTACACACTATCATACTGGTGGTATGTCGACGAAATCGAACAGCCTAGCGGACTTTCAACCTGCTACATACAGATGAAGCAACAAGGCGTCGATGGGCGAACATCTGCTTTCCCTGATTTCTTCATCCTTCCAGAAACTTTGCCACTCTCGACCTGGACAAAGCGCGAAATTATTTTTAACCCTACCAGTATTACTCCAGCGTTCATGAAGCTTTCTGTCGCTTGCTACGGAGGTGCAGGTAGTGGAGTTAAAATTGCTATTGATGATGTTTCGTTGGTCAGGCGAGTCTAAGATATTAAACAAAATAAGTATCAGCTTCTTACACCTATTATTCTTTTCTTCTGAACTTCAGTACTGAAGTTATATCTTATACAATAACATATATATGGATTTATTCCAGTTTCTCCTCCCTCTTTTAGCCGATGTAGACAAGTTCAAGTTATAAATGCACTAATATCTATAGAAGTAAATATATACCTTCTAGTACATAAGGTAAGTCTATAGCGTCACTAGAACAAGACGACGCAGGGTAACTCTGTAAAACATCTCATGTATTCCCATATGTTAACTAATTGGATGCTTGATATGTCAAGCTGCCATAGCAAAACTCTTAAGCGCATCGGCCGTCTTCGGGATCAACACTACGTACCTGGTTAGCCTTGTTCTTTTCACGAACCAAAGATAGAATTCAGATATAGAGATACAGGGAAAGGAAAACATACCGCCACTTGAATCTGCTGTTATGGTTTGTGCCTCCCTGTCGGCAGTTCTCAATCATATGCTGCAGCCAAATCTGGCATTCCGTCGATGACAACGTGTAATCCTTGGGCTGAGTATTCTGCATCTCAAAAAGGAAGTGGTAGTTCTTGTTAGACTGCCAATAGTTGTAGCAGCCCTTCTTTATCTGACCCTGACGGTACTTTCCGGATCCTCCGTTTCCAGAGCACCATCGACCGGCGCGATCGAAAGCCCAGTTTGTGTTGTCGCCAAACTTGACACCACTCTGGTAGCAGTACCGGTTTTGACGCTTCATGAGATTGGCGGTGTTCTCGGAAGCCTGTCCAAAGTCAAAGCCGTCTGCAGCGATATCGTGCTTGGATGGATTAGACACGGGGCTGGCGACGGTCACTGCCACTGCGGACAGGATGACGAGAAAGTTGGTGATTTGCATGATGAAGACAATTGAGAAGGTCTGTGAAGACTGGGATGGTGTGATTGTAAATTTGGATTGGAGTTGAAAGATGATGATGAGGGTGAAGAAGATTATGCTATGGGCTGAGAGATTGTCTGGTTTTTATAGGTATTTGCCCTTGAGAAATCGTATACGTCTTATGTCTTGGAGCAGTAGTCTCATCACAATGATCATGCAGTCACTACTACGTGTCTTCTAATCTCAACATATACTGTACAAAGCTATCCAATAACAAGTCCTGGTTTCCGACTTGACCGACAACGGAATTGTCCGCGGCTGATATTTACTTGCACACAATTTCTGAATGGAGCACTTGGCGTAATACATGGTGTAGTAAGCACAGGTACAGTTGTTTAAAATAGACTCTTATTGGTCATTACTGGTCCGGGCGAAAAGTGCAGAGAGCTGAATATCTCCACCAGGCTCTGTAAGCTTACATATCATAACGGGACAGGTTCACGATAGTTGGGAATTTGAGCGGGCTAAACACGGATGACTATGTTGCGCTGACGTTAGAACCTCGTACTATTTTGTATTTGCTAGCTCCCGCTATATCTTGGCAAAGAACGGATATACTCATTTAAGCCATGATAGAATTCAACCAATTGACAATTCTCAGTTCGCGCTCTGGTGGATAGGGGAGCAATATAAACCAGTATCTGCGTCACTCTATATTTCCATTTATATCTCGCCATGTTGAGAGTTCACCGTGCTGCTCTGCTTAATCATGACACATTGTGGAAGCCTAGCTCACAATGAGAATAATTCTCAAATGTTAACTCCGGGGATCTCAAAGAGTCCATTTCAATTACTCTTTGTGTTGCACGTGCTTCTTAACCTCAGCGCTAACACCAAGCCAAAGCATGTCAGGCCTACTGTAGTGGCCACATACATCAAGGAAGCTTTTAGACTTCAGAATTTCATCCACATCCAGTGTCGCATAGATAATTCCTTCTTCGTTCTCTGGGAGGTCTTGAGATATCATTCTTCCATCGGGCCCAAAAATAGCTGAGCTACCGCCTCCTGAACTACCCATTATAATACTGCCCTCGGTGCCCATGGTCTTTAAACCTTGGTCACTAATGATCGATGTTGCATGTAGGGCGAATGATTGGGATTCAATGGCATATGTTTGAGACAAGCATCTAGCACCTGCATCGTCAAGTTAGTCGCATGATCAAAGGCTGTACTGTAAATCTCGGCATGTGTTGCTTACCTTCCTTGGTCATAGACCAGAGTTCTTTCTCACTCTTGTAAGGAAATAGAGGCGGCCATGCAGCAACGTGGATTTGCTCACGTTGACTATATAGATAATACTTGAGCAAAGGCTGAGTGTGTTCCCAGCACGACAACGCTCCTACACGGCCAAGGCCAGTATCAACAACGCTAGTCAGAGCATCGCCAGAAGCATCGCCGAATATGGTCCTCTCCATATGAGTAGCTTTGAGCTTGCGTCGAAGCGCCAGTATCTGGCCATTTGAGTCAATGATTGCCTGCGAAATGTACAAAGTATTATGTGAGTTCTCCGAGAACCCAAGCACAACTACGATGTTGTTATCCGCGGCACACTGTTGGATCCTGGCCATCTCAGGTCCATCGGTACGAAGGGAATTCTTGATGTATCGGCAGGTCAGATCCGGGTCTACTGGTCGCGACCTGTGGCCAAACTGGCGTTAATATTGCTCTAACCGAGAAGCAGACTCGGAGGGTTGTGGCTTACCAGATCCAGGCAGGATATCCAGTGATCCAACACTCAGGAAAGGCTAGCAACTTGGCGCCGTTTTTAGCCGCTTCATTAATCAAGGCACAAGTCTTTTCGATAGAGCCTTGTAGGTCGAGCCATTTGGGTTCTGCTTGTGTGACAGCCACGCGAACGTGTTGACGTGGTTCTTCGGTAGGCTCTGACCTTGTCATTATGGAAAGTAATGGTTCTTAAGTTTGTACTTCGATAAGATCTATGTGTGTAATTAAACACGATTAAATGGAACGGAATGTGGTTAACAAAAACTAAAAGAAAGAAAAATCGGAACCAGCCACAGGTCAGTGCCTTTTAAATGCAGGAGCTTTCCGAAAACAACGTATGACCCCATACCGAGACCCGATCCTAGATATTCAACATCTGATTACTGCCGCAAATCCTTGTTTATCACAGCGGATCTTGTACATCCGCCGCTAACTAGTGGCGCATTGGCTCGCACACTCGCTTCCCCATGAACACGTCTCCACTTCCCCCCCTCATTATGAAGTTATCAAAGCGGCTTTTTTTACATCCGCCTTGATAAGAAGATAAGGTCACATGGTCACCCTAGATCTATAGAAGCCCTGGATAGTTACCGAAGTATATTGATTGGCAGATCGGGAGTGTTCCGTTAGCGTATACGGTTGTCACTAACAGGTGAGATGACATCCGGCAAATAGTTCATTGGGGTGATAAGGAAGGTAATTTGACATAAATGTAGCTATGTATCCTGTTTGTTACCTCATAATAGCATTCAATATCGACACACTCTACTTGTTGTAACATAATCTCGATTGTCAACCACCTACACTATTCACACTAAACATGGTATTCGGAGTCCTCGAGTCCAAAGGTTCTACACAACCTCCTGGAACAGTTCTTCTTGAACACTCGCGCCAGGATGGCATGCCGACAATTCTCGTTCCACCGCCTTCCAGCTCGGCCGAAGATCCACTCAACATGACCCGCCTCCGCAAAGAGCTATACTTCTTGAATATTCTCTTTGGCGCTTGTGTCACTGGAGTACTAGGACCCGTTATTGTCCCCGCCTTCGGCATCATGTCGCAGACTTTCCACACTTCCCTCACACACATTACCCTTCTCAACGGCTCTCTCGTCGTTGCCTTGGGTGTCAGCTCCTATGTGTCATCAGTTATCTCAGACCTTTGGGGCCGCAGACTTATCTTCCTTTTGACTTCAGTCATGCTGGTTGTGTCCTGTATTTGGGCAGCGGTCGCTCAAGGGTATGGGTCTTTACTGGCTGCTCGTGTAGTTCAGGGCTTATCTATGGGGCCTTTCTTCTCGCTGGCCGGTACATCTTGTATCAATGATGTATTCTTCCTGCATCAGCGAGGCCGTAGGGTTGGACTTTGGAACTTCGCCGTCATCGTGTCGGTGAACATAGCACCCGTCATCAGCGGTTATCTCATCGTTGACATGGGCTGGCGCTGGGCGTTTTGGATTCTCGCTATTGCTTTCGGATTAGGTTTCATCATGGTTGTTTTCCTCCTCCCTGAAACCAAGTATGAAAGAAGGGAAGTAATGGAGGCAAATCTAGACCATGGTACTGCAGTCTTGGACGTCGAGAAGATTGACAAGACGACGTCTGATGCGGAGCCTCTACCAACTGGCTTACCTTCTGTATATTCTGCAGACGCAGCTGAAGCGTCGGTCGATGAAACACTAAACCTAAAGTGGAGAAGGTTTATTGGTATGCAGTACATCCAGTCTGTTAGCATCAAAGGCGTGTTGTCTGGCGCTATCAAACCTTTCACGATGCTCTATCACCCCGCAGTCATCTGGGGATGTATCATGTGGTCAATAACTTTCACTTGGGTCATTGTTTTGGGCGCTGTAGCCAGCCAGATCTTCGGAGCTCCCCCGTACAACCTCGACCCAGCCCAGGTCGGCATTGTCATCGGAGTAGCACCTCTTATCGGCGCAGCCTTCGGTACCATCCTCTCAGGCTGGATGTCTGATATGGCTGCACATCAAATGTCTGCTTATAATGGTGGCTTGTACGAACCCGAGTTTCGACTTGTTGTCATTGCTCCAGCTACTATCACTCTGGCCATCGGTGCCTTTGGATTGGCTGCCTCTATTGAACATGCCAAGCCAATAATCGTTTGCTGTATATTTCTGGCCTTGATCAATTTTGGGGTTGGTGCAGGATGTACAGGTATCGTCACATACACTAACGATGTGTGTATGGATCGCGCAGGCCATGCGTTTGGTCTGGCTATGGTAAGTCACATTAACAACTCCAACATTTGATACAAAATTCTGACTCGCAGTTTCCGGCAGCTTATCAAGAGTTGTTTTGCATTCGGGCTGACATTTATGTTGAATGACTACTATGCCAGCCAGGGGCCGATGGTATTTTTCAGCACATGGGGAGGTCTTAGTCTGGGCGTTTGTCTGACTACTATTCCTCTCTATGTTTTTGGCAAGAGAATCCGGAGCTGGGCTGATCGCCATTAGGACCAAATTATTAACGGCATATCAACTGGGGAAATGATATGATTATTTGCAGTGACCTATAACTTGATCATGAAAGAGGTAGATACGATCCAAACAACACAATGTAGAGATTTCTATGAAAGGGGACCTCACAATAATTTTTTTATTTTAATCTTGTGAAGCATCGCTTAGTTTACCATCCCCAAATTTTCCAGAGGCTTCACCATCATTGGGTTCTGGAAATAACCACTCTGCAGTGGGTGTTGACAAATCAACCGAGACCAAGTCTAAAGGTTCGTCAAGGTTGAAAAATAGCACACCCCAGTCGAGCTGCGACTCATTCTTGTCTCCTTGATTGACCCTCCCGTCAGTGAGAACTTCTTGAGCATTCAAACCAGGATCCTGTGGTTCTTGATGCTTCATGTCGATTGCTTCGAGATGAGGAGGAACGCTGTGTCGAAGCGGTAGGGCAGAAACGGCCTTCCATCTATAAGCGAGCTCCCTTAGGAGGACCAAACCTCGCTTAGCTCGTGGCCATCTTTTCTGCATCGCTTCTAGCGCAGTTACGCAGACGCGAAATCGATAAACTGACTGGTTGCGAATGGAAGAATCAGTCGCTGTTGCGTTTAACAGTAGGCTCACCGCTGCTGTAAGTATGCAATGCACCGAGAAGAATGGTGCATGCTCTAGACTTCCGTCCTTGTCGTACTGTCGGATTAACTTTACTAGTGCGTGTGATGCGGCAATGGTCGTTCTGACAGAGAGACGATGAATTGCGCTTTCTTTTGGCTCCTTCAGGTACGGCCTGTGAATCAGCAGTAAAGACATGTGATAGACCATGTGTAGTAGAATCACTTTGCAATCTATATTGTTCTTTTTAAGCTCAAGGTCATCTGTGAGCTGACTGAAGAAACTGCTATGGTGGTCGCGGGCTTCCAATAGGAGTCGGTGTCGCTCAGCTGATTGAAGTTCGCCAAATTCGAAAGAGTAACTATCCAATATGATTAGCATTTGGAGAGATATAGTAGATTGGGACGTTACATCTTATCCATATACTGATCGTGAATGAACCACATTCGGCAGAGCGAGTTGAAGACAATGTCTTCCAGTCGTGGGTTCGCGTTGCATCCTTCGATATATGGGGTCGCACGCACCCTACGCCACGGAAGCATGCAGTTTCTTCCAAGCATCGATGTCGCGACTCTGTCACTCTGATTCAGAATCTTGTCTCCCTGTCATGGGCTTGAGTAAGCGACGTACCTGTCCATCAGAAAATTAGACCAGAATGTCTGGATTCTGATATGGTTCTTCTCAGTCTCCAAGCCGCTGGCATCATCATTTTGATTTGCGACTGGCATCTGCATGACACCTTGGAAGGAACTGACATGAAGTCCAAGTTGAACAACGAGACTGGCTGCCATAGCTGCGTTATCGTCAGTTCAAGATAGATTAGATCAACTGGATCCCTAATCGGAAAGGGGAATAATCATACAGTTGTACAACCACGCATTGTTCTCATTTTCTAGTCCTAGCTCGCGCCAGCTGAGGATTGATAATGACTGCGCCGTTGAAACATTTGGAAATTCTCGGCAGCAACGCATAACAATAACCTCAGCCCGATCAGCATACTCCTGGCCCAGTTTCTGTGTCTTTGCGTCATCCATGAGGAGACTCGCTGCTGCCAAGACCGACATCTGTAAAAGCTCAAGATCGAGACTGATCTGTTTTGACTCCATTGTGTCAAGGACGTGGTAAGGTACGAACTGGTGAATAGGGTTAATATGTTGTCGGAATAGACCAAGTAGATATAGAGTGCTGTCTTCGATCTCTGGTGTTTTCGCTGTCAACATTGCATAGTCAGTATTGCTAGGAGGGTTGGTACTATAAACGTCATTTGTCTTGCCCTTGATGATACCCTCGCTACCATGACGTGTTGAAGGAAAACAAAAGCTTCCTGAGGGACCGAGAAAAGATGTTTCACCACTGTCATGTATGGACATCCGCCACATCATGGAGCTAACGTCATTGATAGCGGAAAAGTGGCTGACATCAGCATGGCCGATCTCGCTGTTGTGACTCTCATGGGTCATCATACCCGAAGCCTTTTCAGGTTCAGCACCATCTTGGCCCAAATTAGTCCCGGTCAGGTATGATGAATCTAATGTCTCAAGATTGGCATGCCCGCACGCAGCTTCAAGTTTCCGGGCGTAATCTTTCAAAGCGAGCACTTGATCCTCTAGATCGGATACAAGCTCGGAACCTTGTTTCTTCCTTTCGGTTGTTATAAAATCAGCTTATTTGGACTGCAATGATACACAACTATAACTACAAAACACACCTCTTGGGTCTTTCTAGCACGAAGATGCATTCGAGATCTTTCTTACAACACCATGAGCACGGGGATGCTCCATCACACTGTGACCACTGTCAGAGCGGTTTTAACTTTTGAATAGGCATTGTAATACTTTTCTTTTTCTCTTGCGACAATTTTCGCAGGCTTTGGGGATTCTAGATCTTGCCTCTGACGTATTGGTGGCATCTGTGGAGACGGAATATGATTGCCCAGTATCATGACAAGTTGGCCGTATTGAGGCCGATTTATTACTAGCCATGGCATTGATGTTTGCAGTGATAATATTCGGGTGCCGGTCCATGGTGGTACCAAGAAATGATTGATGAGAATTGAGTTTCACTTTTAATGAGATAAGTTGGGACAATTAAGTATCCCACTTTGCTGATTAAGCAAATCATAAAACTAAAATCGAGGGATGAAGTCCAGGGTAGGTTCTCGGCTGTGTGCAAAGGTACGGATAGATGCGTGTAACTAGCTATGCTTCCAATACCTCGGCAATAATTTTCTCTTGATGTTGCCTTGACGCATTCACAGGGGGTGGTGTATGAAGCTAAGCCTCTGACTTACTATAGCGCAGCGTTCGTGGTAATAGCGAACACAATTTATGTTTGTTGATTAACTATCGAAGCATTGTGGCAAAAACAAATCCTATACAAATGCAGTCATAGTTAGAGCGTCGTTTACTATACATTCTCTACAGGCTTGAGTGTTCTCAAAGTCCTAAGCGTGCTTGAAGTCCCCAAAATCCGTCGCAAAAGCTCCTTGTAGTCCCAGTCGAGGCCATTGGCAGCCAACAAAGTCAAGCTGGCTTGGTCATCACGTCCAGGACGACCGGGTCCCGTCATGTTCTGCAGTTACATTAGTCTAAGAAAAAGTAACAACGAAACATGGTTTACTTACAGGCTTCATATTAACGTCAAATAATGCGTATGGTGACTCAGACGAGTCCTTGAATCTTCGAACATCAATCCGAATGGGGGCAGTCAATCCAAGAAGCCTGGCTGCTCGCTCACATTCTCTGGCCACTCGTTCATGAAGAGGTCCGTTTTCACTCTCGGGCACAACTCTTGAGTTGGCGGTAACGGCTACAACACCGTTATATGGTGCAATTCCGCTTTGATGATTGAAGCGAGTGACGATAGGAAGTGACCAATAGTCTTGGCCGTTTGCAGTAGGGGGCATAACAGTCACTGTTGCTTCTTCGCCCTGGAGAAACTCTTCGACCATGAAAGCCATAGCATTGTTGGATAATTCCTCTGCGTGAGCCAGCAACTCGTTCTTGTTGTGACACACCTTAACGCCGAAGCTACCACGCCCACGAATTGGCTTGGCAACAACTGGGTAAGAGATGTCGTCAGCCGATTTGGTCACCTCGGCTAGCGAGGACGCAGTGAATGTTCGTGGCATAGTGAATCCGCCAACAACGCGCAAGTAATCATTAACAAACTTTTTGTGATCGTATTTGTCGACTACCAATGGACCTTGACCAATGACTCGGACGTCATCTTGGAAAGGAGTGAGCCGAGTCGACGTCTGTAATGGATGCGAGGCGAATACAATGGTATTAGACCAGAGATAGTTTGCGCCCTTATTAATTGCTTCCAGAATACCCTCCTCGGTATCAGGAAAACACCAATCCCCATCTTTGAGAGGATCTGGCGATTTGTTTGGTGTTACAACCTGGACATCATCGCATTGTTGGAGGTTGTAGGCGATATCGGCGCCCGAGTCCTGATAACCGCCTGGCTTCTTGGGCTTACGGACACCATTGATAATGGGAGGGTCCAATGCTTGGTAGAGGACGGCAACGCGTCCGGATGCTTTAGAAGATGAGAAACGAACTTTGCCATAGTACGACCGAGCTAAATGAGATGCCGGTCCATTCATTGTAGTGTACAAAGATGAATGCAAAGCACGATTAGGCTGAGAAAAGGCGTTGTAGGTTGCAATTATATTTTAACCCGATAGGTCCGCGTCATCATCGTTCTGAGAGGCTTGGGATCATACCTTCAAGGGGCTAACCGGCGTCATTCTGGTCAACGGATAGCTCCGTCGCTGTAAAGCCGAGAGGCGGATAAACCCGAACGCTGACGCTACCGGATATAGGCTAGCTAATTGTCTTATGCCCGCAAACATACTCGAGCACATAAAATCCAGGATGAATTGAGTTCAGGGTAAGTTCCCTATGTGGATTACTATTATACGTAGAAAGCATTACAAAAAGAATAATAACCCTCTTCTCAACCTCAACACCAACGTAGGTGACAGCTTGAGGCAACGACATATAACTATATTCTTTAGCATGAAAGAGCACTTACTGTCATGCATTTCAACACCTCTTTCACGTCCAAATTCAACTTATATAGCTATCACTGTCTCAAAATTTTCACTTTCCCTCGCCTTCATATACCCTACTCCCTAGCTTCTGTACTTATAGAACATTTACTCGAATTATGTTTTTGCTTGTTCAAATGCACTGACAATGGCTGAGAATTCCAATTTAGAGGTTGTGGGTTTAACGCATGGTCATGAGGTGATGGAGGTTTATTAATAAGAGCAATTAACTAAAACGTCAATGCGACAACTTCTCTCCACCGCCTTTTAGCGTTTGGGAGATAGTCCGGAGGCGTGTCCAGGGACAGGACCGATTCACACACGGGTCACTGTCATAGGCCGTAGATTATGATGGGAAACAATAGCGTCGGCCTTACAAGGCAAGATGATCTAGAATTATGTGGCGTTAAATAGTTAACACTTGGGGCTTGTCGTTGCTAGCACTAGTAGCACCATTTCATCCACACTCTGAACCGGCCGGCAACCCGAGAGCTTAGAGGGAATCCTATTTGTGGATTGGGCTGTTTTAGGCCCCGCTCGGTGATCAACTAACCCATCTCATCTCGACAAGAAAAAAAAATGTCTCAGAAATTTACACCATTCAAGGCTAACGATGACTTAGCTGTTCACATCAGGAGATCCTTGGGTCGAGAACAAGAGAGATCGGGAATAGCGTTTGACGCTTTGAACTATTTTTGGCGCTAAGGATCGATAACTCCCAACATTGATTCAGGTTGTTGTTCTGTGTCAAAGGTTGCTCTTTGGACTTTACAGGCTATAACCGCTAGTTTCCGCGGAAAGAAGTCGGCATTAGAATTTGACATGGTGAAAAAGCACTGGATAACGATATCCTTAGCACTAGAATTATTAGTGTGCGAAAAAGAGGCTGATTTACTGACTCATGTTGGATGTAATCAGCGCCAACCTGCCTCCCCCTATAGGTAGCAAGGTTTTATACAATAATGGGCCTACCCTTACAATGTCTGCATGGGATAAAATCTAATTACATATCAAGATCCCTTCCGTTGTCCCTCTTTGGCCTGCGCCAACAAGTGATATCTTGCTATGGACGATGCCAGTTATTTCTCTGAGAGTAACATCTCTCCCATCATCATCATTCCGCATGTAATTCTCAGCTTCATCGCTACTGTACTTGTCGGCTTGCGAATATATACCTCGCGATACATCACAAAGACTTCTACCACTCTCGATGAGTGGATAACTATAGTCGCTCTCGTCAGTTTGGGACATTCAACACACTCAAGCCAAGCCTCAACTAACTGTAACTTCAGTTGATCAACCATGCAATCGCGATCGTTGAAGGCATTTGTTCGTAACCCTCTTCTTTCCTTGGCTTTAATTTACTGACTGGCTCTTTAGGCGTGCATTATGGTTACGGTCAGAATATCGTCGTAGTAATGAGGGACTATGGTGGTCCCTCCGATTTCCTGAGGGTATGTCTCTTGATCTGATTGTGTTGCGATCTTCCAGAGTGTCTAACATTCCTTTATTAGACGTTTGTTCTCTGCGAAGTGGGATATGGACTCGGCTGTGCCCTGTCCAAGATAGCTGTGCTTTCTATGTACTACCGTATCTTCTCCACCTCGAAGACACTGCGTTACGCAACTTGGATCCTGTGCATTATGATTTCTGGATGGGGGATTGCGACTGTCTTGGTTAGCAGTATGTTTCATCATCAAATCTTTACAAATGAAATATCGCATGCATTACTAATTTCTCGTTTACATAGTCTTCAGTTGCAACCCGATTCGAGGCTTTTGGGACAAGACTATCCCTAGCAAATGCGTTGACACGAATAAGTTTTTTATTGGAATTACTATCCCTAACATCATATTCGATATTTTGACGGTCGCCCTACCTGTCAACGAGGTCTGGAAACTGCAATTGCACAGGGACAAGAAATGGGCTATTACCAGTATATTCCTACTCGGAGGAAGGTATGTCGAAACGAGTATCTGGGAAACGAAGAACGCTGACAAAGTTCTTAGTGTCGTCATTGCCTCAATCGCGCGTCTTGTCCTCTATTGGGTCTTCCACAGCTCTCAAAACATCACCCAAGTGATGATCTTCGGTCATCTAGCATCAAGTTCCGAGATAGTCCTTGCCATTATCGGAGCCTGTTTACCTTCTTGCGCACCGCTCTTGAAGCGGATGATGCAGAGATTCGTTTCTACAGTAGGCGATAATACCGAAGGTACTGCAGGAAACGCCCCAAGATCCGCACTGGTCACCGTAGGTCAGATACGCAGCCGCGGTATTGTTACCACGAATGTGCATAGAGGCAAAGATGAGGAGGGCTCCTTTGAGCGTCTTGATGACAATGGGAGCTTCCAGGAATCAACTGACGGCTTATATGTCAATGGATCTGAGTCTGCTAGGAATGAGGGCAAGCCCGGGGTATGGAAGCAAATACACATTCAACGCGAATTCGAGGTAGGAAGTGTAAACGGAGATATCCCAATGAGGGAACTTTAGTTACAATGAATTGTTCATTTGCGGCTGAAGTTACTTTTATTGAATATATAGGCTGTTCATGTCTATATATGATATAACTAGTTTTAAAGTATATATATCTTATTGTTGCAACCCCAATAACATCTTGTTCAGTTCTTACACCGCCTCATTTACATCCTTATCTAATCTTAAGGCCCTAAAAGTCTCAATATAAGCAGAAAAATGATAACTAATCCCTTCATAAGTTCCTTGACACGGCCTTGTTCCTCCGACATCGCTAGGTGTTTTGTTGCCAGCTCGATTGTGAAAATACTATTGCTCTTGTCAACGTCACTCATCTTGGCCTTTAAGTTTCTCAATTTATCTTTCAGGGATTCGATCTCATTAATCGTTTTAATCTTCTCGGTCTGGATCGTTTCATTTTCCGTAATGGCTGTTATTGTCCCGTTGTAATAGATAGAAGCTACCTCGCATAAAAATAACGATTATACTCCCAGACTAAAAGATTTAACTTTCTCCTAAAATATATGACCATCTCAGCGTAATTATTACACTGTAGAATGTCATGTGAGCCGAGTCATCGGACGAATGCCGCGGGAAAAGCCCGAGGAGACCCACTCCGAGACCGGTGCTAAGTATTTGGGAAACAGGTAGTCATCTCATTCAACTACATTTAATCCAGAGTATCTTCTGATGGCCTCACTTTACATTGTTGGTAACGCAGTAAAACATGACGTCTCAAGTACTTACCAAAGAAGAAAAATCTCTTCACGACCAAGTCAACATCTTACCACGACGCCAGCTGCTCATCGCCCTCGCAACCTTATCAACCGCATTGATTCTGGTTACCATTGACCAAAATGGCATCTCAGTCATGCTTCCTACTATCGCACATGACCTAAACGCTGAGAATACTATCTCTTGGGCCGGAACATCCAGTCTGGTCGCCAACACGTGTTTCCAGATGCTCTACGGCAGGCTGTCTGATGTCTTTGGTCGCAAAGTTGTCTTTGTATCTGCCATTCTGCTTCTTTGTTTTGCAGACTTGGTATGCTCGTTCAGTCGGAATGCTATAATGCTCTACCTTTGCCGAGCTATCGCTGGTATCGGCGGCGGCGGTATACTGAATGTTTCGAACATCATTATATCAGATATTGTCACTCTTGAGCAGAGAGGAAAAATACAAGGTGTTGTCGGAGCTACCGTTGGTCTAGGGAATATTGTTGGTCCTTTCATAGCTGCCGGTGTCATTGGACAGACGTCATGGAGAGCTTTCTTTTGGATTCTTTCTCCACTGGCATTTTGTACAGCGGTGCTTTCTTACTTCTTCCTTCCTTCTAAACCCGCTACTGTTGGGTTTTGGGAAGGAATCAGGAAAATTGATTGGGTGGGCACATTCGTCTCGGGCATCGCGATTGTTCTTCTACTCATTCCTATTTCCGGAGGTGAGTTATCCTAATCAATTAATTCGTTTCCCATCTCTGATACGGCCGACATATAGGAGGATCCTACTTCTCTTGGGACTCGCCTCTATCCATAAGTATGCTTAGTACTGGTGGCGCTCTACTAATTGCATTTGTCGTTTGGGAGTGGAAAATGGCAAAACTTCCCATGATGCCAGGTAAGTATACGTTCTTTATAGGTAACTTTCCACCTTACTAATGCAGCAAACTATTTCAAGTAAACATCTACAAAAACATAACGTTATCTATCATGCTGGCACAGAACTTCTTGTTCGGTGCTGTTTATCAGTCTTATCTATATTACGTTCCTCTCTACCTTCAAAATCCTCGCCAGTACAGTGCCATGGAGTCCGCCGCAATCTACACTCCTTTAGTGGCTGCGCAGGCGATCTTTTCGATGGCTTCAGGGCAGTATATCAGTTTTCGTCTGAGATACGGAGAAGTCATTTATACTGGTTTTGCACTTTGGACACTGTGAGTCTGCCGCATGTAAAACCTGGAGGCTATGGCTAAGATAATAATCAAAACAGCGGCGCGGGTCTGGCTCTAATCCTCAATCGACACACTAGCATTGCAGTCATTGCCATAATTTTAGCCGTCGTTGGAGCAGGGGTAGGGTGTATTTTCCAGCCAACCCTGATCGCCCTTCAGGCCCATTCACCGAAGAGTCGTCGGGCTGTTATTATCTCGAATCGCAACTTCTATCGCTGTATGGGCGGCGCTTGTGGCCTGGCCATTTCTGCTGCAGCCCTCCAAGCCCGTTTGAGGGCAACCTTGCCAGCTGGGCATAAAGATCTTGCCAGCTCAACCTATGTATTGCCTGATGGAATGAGTGGGAAAGCTGGCGTCCTGGATGCCTATATGTCAGCGAGTCACAGTGTGTTCATACTCCAAGTGCCTCTTATTGGAGCATGCCTGCTTGGTACAGCGTTTATCCGAGATCGTGGTTTGGATCCTGTAAAGGAGACTTAGTGTATCTGAGACTTCACCATCCCTCTGAAATCTAGTCCCATTAAAAATGCAGGTATTTAGTTCTGTGATTATACCTGTGTCGGTTGAACGTTCACTAGAATGACACACATATTGCCCTCATTGATCCAAACGGAAGAGTTCCGGGATGCAGTTTTGTGATTCCGAGGGTGCCAGCTAGCTCTAACCTCGCTCTTTTGACTGTTGCTGAATGTGAAAGTCTTCTCACAGCGACGCACACGGTTACGCAAGCATTATAGAAATGTTTCTTCCGTGGTGTGGCATGATCTTCAAAGGCTCCAGTTATCATGATTGTCACATGAAATTAGTAGTTTCTGTCCCCGAAACACCAAGCGAGGAAACCAGTCAGATTTGTATTTAACCCTCAGTTTCTCTTAGCAAGAGCAACCATGAACTTCTCAGACCCCGTCATTTACGTATAAAACAACTCAAATCAGATATACCATCATTAAAGCCCATGCCTAACACGGTCATACCATAGTCATATCCCGAGGAAGAAGACTAGCATCACCCTCGTCCCATGGATGCTCCCTCTCCACAGCTCTGATCAGGTCCACGCACTTTGCATTCCTTGGCTTGATCCTGTAAGGGTAGTCGACAGGGCGACTCAACGCACCCTCAGTCGTGAACTCTACCTTGGGCTCGATGATGTTTCCTCGTTCGTCCACATCCTTCTCGATGTCGAATGCTGCTACTACGCGTGCGATGACAATAAAAAGACTCTCATCAGCTAGTAGTCGACCAGGACAGATCCGACGACCATATCCGTAAGCGTTGTTGTCGGGATCCGGCTCATTTCGGGGTTCGAGGTACCGTTCAGGGTCATAGCGTTCCGGGTCTTCATAGATTTCTGGGTTGTGCAAGAACCACCATATGTTCGGTAGTAGGAATGACCCCTTTGGAATGTATAGGTCCCGAAAGTAGATGTCATCGTCGGCCTTGTGGGCTGCACCCATTGGCACGGCCGGCATCCATCGGAGTGACTCCTTGACCATGCCATTGATATATGGCAAGTTCTGTCGATCTTCGAATCCAGGCAGTCTATCGGGACCAATAACACTGTCGATCTCAGCTTGGGCTTTCTTGAGGACTTCTGGGTAGACCGTCATTGCCAAGATAAAGCTCTGAATAGTCGACACTGTCGTATCCGCCCCACCAGCATACATTATCGCAGCCGTGCACTTCACATCATCTTCGTAGGTCTCGTCCAATTTGCCGGTTCCGCTGTTGTTCAGCTTGTCTTGTGTCAACACGGAGGATACATATGATTCGTACTGGATTCCCTTGGCCATTTGTTGTCGAACAAACTGGTAAGGAGCGTCGATAGTCGTGTCCAGTATATTTCTCCATTGGCGGGCTCGGCCTTTGAACGACATACCTGGGAGGCATTCCGGGAGGTACTCAAGCAATGGGAAAAAGTCTACCACGAATTTCATTGGGACAACCACGATACTAATGCCTTCCACCATGAACTCGACCAAACGCACTAAAGGATCAGATTTATGTGGTTCGATAGAATAACCATATGTCATCTTTAGAATCACAGCACCCGCTTCCCTAGAATTATGTCAGTGACAAGCATAAAGATACCAAACGAGCGTGACTGACTTCCTTATATGTTCCATCAGGTTACCAGGGTCATCAAGAGAGCGCAACAGAAATCGATGTGATTCTACATCTTGGATTTCGCGAAACTTTGCAGCTCCCGCCCTCGTGCCCATCTGCCGGTGTATCATCTTGCGATGACGCTTGAAGGTATCGCCATATTGCTGAAGACTTAAAATCCTTTCGTAACCACACAATCTACCTCCGAAGTTTGCTGATGGGCGTCCCGAGGTTTTACCCGATGACTTCTCGAAGAGTTGATGCGCTGCCTCGCGGTCATGAATAAGGATGAGAGGTTGTCCTAGGACGCTGACGCTGCTCATGGGACCATATGTATCTTTATGTTTGAGCCAATGCCTGAATGCAGGTACTCCCTTCGGGGGCAAGTCTCTGATATTTCCGATGATAGGGAGGGGTTTGGGTCCAGGTGGCAGGTTGTGTCGTTTCTTATTGTAATAGAACAGGAGGTAGAGAAGACTCCCTACGAGGATAACTATAATGGGTAACATTATAAGAGCTGTAGGTCAGTAGAAACAGAAAGAGAGAAGTGCGAGGTAGAAGAACAGAGGCATCGAAAACAAGAGGAGACGCAAAACATTATATACCCGGTCACAGAGTGATGACTTGTGTCGCAGACGCGTTACGGGCTCTCCGCTGGATCTGGGGTGAATCATAGAATAGAAAGATCACACATACGATCGTAGCCATTACAATTCCAACGCACCAAAGATCAGCAGCGCAAGAATGGGCCGGGTGGGGGGGCTGGCCTTAAGGCCCTACCTAAGTACCCATGTTATAAATTTCATACAGTAGGAAACAGTACCTTTTCTATAGAGTTAACTTTCGAGCATGGGGCAATCCCGGTTTAGGATTTATCTCTAACTATGTGAGGTGTTGATTTTTTATTCTCGGATTTTATGAAAAGTCTGTTGCAGTTGTTAAAATATGACTCGGGGATCTTCTAAAATTGTATCTTGCCCCGTTGATAATTAGTCTAATTTACCACGCCTTCGTCTTCACATTATTCTACATTGTCGGTATATACTTCTTGCTTTGCAGAATGCCCTTTACGCCGTGCATTGCTAATAGAATAAACCTCTACTACTCTAATAGTCAATTGGTTATGTTGTATTAAATCTGGAAGACCACTTTCAAATCCAGTATAGTCTATCTGATTAACTGTATACAGGAGATGAATACGTTTATAAATCAACTAATAAGGCTTGAGAATAGCGAGATGCAGGAAGCTAAGAGGGACATGGAGACTAAGCCAGGGAGTGGTGTTGAGTGACGATAACAGGCCTGATTTCATGGTAAATTAGACGGGCTATCTTGTTGTGTTGATTTTTATTGAAAAGAAGAGAAACATACTAGATACAAACCAGCAAGAGGGGCTTGTCTGACAGCAAGTCATACATCTGAAGAAAGAATAACGGTGAAGACTTCATTTCTCGTAACAATATTCTATAACTTGTACTTGACTACTTCCTACACAACATTGAAGTCAAATGTAAAGTTAAAAGGCTTCATATAACACCTGTGCTGTTCGAATGGCCGCACAGCAACTGTTGCACTACCCAGGCCATTGTTGTCGTAGTCAAGATGCAAAACCGTCATGTTCAAGGGCTTCAAATCATGAGGGTGCTTAGCATCGTCAAGATCAAAAGGCATATATCTTCTGGCTGTGAAACTGAAAGTCTCGCCCTTTGTACGTCTCGCCTCAAGCGTCGTGTCTTTGTTTCCAACCTTGAGCCAGCGCAGATCTTCACGATTCCCGTTCTCTTGAGGATAGTCATAGTGTGTGAACAAGTCTGGTACACTAGAGCTGTACTGGCCAATGCGACCTGCTTGTTTGGAGTCTTTGTAGCTCTCACCTGGGCCACGGCCGAACCACGACACGTCATTAAAGGACTCGGGCAATACAGCCATGAGACCGATGCGTGGGATTGTATGAGACGAGTTCTTGCCGATGAATTCGCCACTGACCTGAAGCTGAAGTTGCGGGCCTGAAGAGGGAATCTTGTAGATCATGTTCGCCTCGATGCCCCAGGCCTGAGTCTTGACGCCAACCCATATCTTGTAGTGAACTGTAGCGCCGCTCTCATCAGTGTTCCAAGTGACGTCTCTGACCTGAGGGTAGATCATTGGAATCCTAGCTCGTTCCCACATGGGACCATCGCCTGAGCCAGAAGCATCGTTTTGGGTTAGAGCGCGGTAAAAGGAAAGCTCTGGGCCTCGCTGAAAGATATCAACCCCATTCTTGGCCCAGGTGAGATTGCCTTGAAGCAGATCGAAGCCAAAGGAGGAGTCTCCATTTTTGTATCCCAGGCTTGTTCCCTTTCTCTCAAATCCCGTTGTCTCAGCGCGACGACTGAGAGAATCCATGTCCTTGACCACTGGAATGGATTGTTTGATGTGAAGCTGATCCCAAGCGATGAGATGACCCTCGCCAGCCCATAGAGTATCTTCCTTGAGTCTAAACTCCACAGTAACCCAAGACTCGCCAGTAGTCATATTTTTGGTAGAAGGAATTGCTAGAGTTCTGTTTTCACCTGCTGGTACATGAGGTAGATAAAGGCTTTGAGGCTCAGTCTTGAGGCCGTCTGCAACCAAGTGCCATGAAGCATCAAGGTGGTTCAGATCCAGGAAGTCGTAATGGTTAGTAACAGTCATTGCACTGCCGTTCTTTGCTAGCTTGACTGACACTGGCTGGATCACTTTGGCATACTCTCTGAGGGAAGGCATAGGCGAGTGATCGGACAAGGTCAAACCGTCCATGATAAAGTCGGCGTCATTAGGCTCATCGCCAAAGTCACCACCATATGCATAGTATGTGAGGTTTCCCTCTTCCTTGAGGATTCCATGATTGCTCCATTCCCAGACAAGACCACCCTGAGAGAGTGGCTCAGTCCTGAACATGTCAATGTACTCGACCAGACCACCAGGGCCATTACCCATAGCACTGAGGCAAGGTCAGTTTGGAATGTGACAATTCATAAAGATGACTTACTGAGCAAACTCGCATAGTATAACTGGTTTATCGCCGTGGTCTTTGATGAATTGTCGCACATAATCAGGAGTGGTATACATCTGACTGTACATATCTGTTGACTTTGCTTCATGATCTTGCTCATAGTGGATGATGCGACTTGGGTCTCGTTCGCGGATCCATTTACTCATAGCAGCGTGGTTTTGGCCATAGAAGCACTCGTTGCCAAGAGACCAGATGATAATGGAGGCATGGTTCTTGTATCGCTCGACAAGCTGACGGGCTCTGTCGATATAAGCATCTTCCCAATCGGGGTTATTAGACAGCCACTCTGCTGCCTTCTCCTCGGTGTCTTCAAAGGATCTGAAACCATGGCACTCGAGGTCGGCTTCACCAATGATGTAGAAACCTAGTTCATCTGCCACGTCGAAGAAGTCGGGATGGTGAGGCTGATGAGCTGCACGGATGGCGTTGATGTTGGAACGCTTCATGAGAAGAAGATCGTTTCGCATGTTCTCGTAGCTAACTGTGCGGCCTGTGAGATGATGGTGCTCGTGTCTGTTGACACCGTATATAATGATAGGCTTTCCATTGACGTAAAAGTTGGGACCCTTCATTTCAACGCGTCGAAGACCGGCTTTTTGGCTGATGGTTCGTCCATTGAACGCAATGAGAAGAGTATAGAGGTTGGGCGTCTCGGCAGACCAGAGGTGGAAGTCATCACCAGAGATTTGTTTCTTGTATATCTCGGCTGAAGAACCTTTCCACTCGTCAATTGCTGAGCCATTGGGAGACATAAGCTTGATGGATAAATCGCCTTCTTGCCCTTGTATGGTGACATTGACCTTGAGGGAACCTTGATCGAATGTGTCGCCGAGCTCAGAGTCAACTTGGTAGTCGATGATGGAGGATTCAGAGAATGGGATGAGATAAACATCGCGAAATATACCAGAGAGCCACCACTGATCTTGATCTTCGATGTAGGATCCGTCAGACCACTGGTAGACGCGCACGGCAAGTTCATTGGCCTTGTCTGAAGAGAGATAGTCTGTGATGTCGAATTCGTGAGGGTTGCGACTGCCTTGGGCATAGCCCACGTCTTCACCGTTGACGCGTACATGAAAGGCACTATCCACGCCTTCGAACCTCAATCGGATTTGTTCGCCTTCCCAATCTTGAGGAACATCGAATTGGCGCCAATAAGAGCCAGTTGGGTTTACATATGAGACGTTGGGTGGTGTTACCGAGAATGGGTAGTCGATGTTGGTGTAGTGAGGATTTCCATAGCCTTGAAGCTGCCACATACCTGGGACTTCGATATCATCCCATGAGGTGGTGTTTGCTGTCTCCCAGATTGGTGCATCCAGAGGACTGGCATCATAATGGAATTTCCATGTGCCATTAAGACTATGGAAAAGACTTTGGTCACGATTGAATGAGAGGGCTGATTCTTCGTCTGGGTAAGAATAAAAATGAGCTCTTGGACGGAGAGTATTGCGATGCAAGACGTTGAGGTTTGTCCAGTCAGGCAGAACTCCTGGGAATGCACCAACCGACATTCCAGCAGCCGATAAAGACATCATGATTACTCTGTGGAATCCAATGACTTGTCTTGTTATTTCTTGACAACATGGATGATTCTATTGTTTTTATATGCCTTTCTTTTTAGTTCTCACCTCGGCTTAACTGGTGTTCCATTGACGATGCCAAGCCAATGATCGTCATTGTCGGTTTCCGCACCTATCGCAAGTCAGCAAATATGGGACATATCCGTGACCTACAGCAATAATTCCCCGCAACAACTCCATCATAACAAGCAAATGCTGCATATCTCGCACCATGTCGAATTATGTCATGGGCTTTTTGTGTTTTTCCCCTCTTCCCCCGCTGAAGCGTAGCATTGAGAAAGACTGCATGATGGATACAGCATATGCGAGAAGAAAAACCTGATTGAAGTCGGTGGATTGATGAGAGATCCTTACTAAACTAAGTGCTAGCTTTTATTCCGATGCCCGCAATCGTAAACTTATTCCGTTTAAATTAAGCATATCTCAGATGATCGTTCTTCTGCAGCCATTTACTGTGTGCCAATGGTGTTGTTTCGTCGCTCGTGTGTGCTCACGCGCTGTCTGGTTGGCATTTCGCAGATGCTTTCTGAGAAATGCACTTCGTGAAAATCTTGCCGGCAAGGCAGTTATCTACTCCACCATGTTAGTGTATCGAAAGTTTGACAATACCACACGGCGAATACTCATAGACTTAAGTGTAGCCTGCGAGTAAATTGTGGCCAATTTCGCTTTAACAAAGAGAAAATCAATTCAAAACTAGCAAAGAAAGTAATAGAACCAACATTTATAAATTCCATCAAAAAGATTGCCCTGCCTGTTGAACCATCGTCGGGCTCTTATACATGTGACGGTACCAATGGGTGACCAGTTCCTTGAGGCGTCTGAGGTTGAGTAGGAAAGTAAGAACCTTTATTATCGTATTGATACTGTAACACGCTTGAGCCTGTGGGAAGAGGAGTTGGTAGTATTTGATGAGACATCGAGGCAGGGTTGGGTTGCGGAGCTGGGACATATGCATTACTGCCAGATGGAACCGGGTTGCTGTTAGTCTTCTCCTGTTGACTGATGGGTCCATAGTTCTGCGGATTGTATGGCTGCGTGGTGAAAGGCGCTTGAATGCTTAGAACTGATTCCCTCCTATTGATTTCAACGGTTGGCTGAGCTTGAGATTGATGATACGCATTGCTTTGGTGAGGCATCGGGTAGCCTGGTTGTCCCTGATGCTGAGGCGGGTGGGCAGGAGTAGTTGATTGATGGGAAATTGCGATTGCTGGAGGGTACCCCGATGGAGTCGCTAGTGGGGGCGGGAAGTATCCAGCTTGTGACGCTCCAGCAATTTGGGGTGAAAAGTGCTGCTGGGGAGACTGCACTTGATAGTTCTGTGAGTTGTCTTGTCGAGGTGATGAGGCAGGATATTGTTGAAGTGGTGGTGCATAGGGTGTAGGGGAAGCCACATTCATGGGGAGAGCTTGTTGTATTGACGACAAGTCAAATGTTTGAAGTGAGGAAGGAATGTAAGGGGCATTTCCTGACTGTTGCTGGTATGTGACATGATGATGGGGTTGTTGTTGTATGGCTGGGGTTTGAGGCGGTGAGAACATTTGACTGTTAACCGGAGGTATCGGCGATTGTACACCAGGTATTGGCATATTTTGATGCTGTGAGTAGTCATACGGATGCTGCAATGGCTGTTGTCCAGTCATGTTCGGTACTAGATATATGTTCTGCTGGGGTATTGGTTGAGATAACAGCGGATCCTTGAAGTCTTGAAGATAGCCGTTCGGGATTGGATTGTACACAGGGTGAGGAGATGCTTGGCTGACAGCGGCGCTATATGGGGGAGGAGGGAGCGGCAATGATTGCGACGGACCAGCCGCTGCATAGACAGAATGTTGTCCATTGCTCTGGTAAGGCTGAATAGAATACCCAGCCTCGGCGGCTTTGGCATCTTGTACAGCCTGGAACACACCTGCCTTCTGGAATGCCTTTCTCGCATCTTTCTTCTTCAAATGGTCAGTATGTGCATGTTCAACTGCCATTCCAGCTCCATCAAGAGCGGCATGAGAAACAATTTTAATAGCTGTTTCGTTGGCGACGATAGCTTGAATCCCATGCTCTGCGCCAGCTGTTGCGACAGCGTCAGCACCCATCGTGCCAACACCAAGTGTCACCACGCCGATGGTTCCACTAACAGCCATGCTGCCCAGAACATCTCGCTTTCGGGTTTGATGCGTTGCGTTGAGCCTATTGAGGTGTCTTTCGATAATCTCTCGCTTCTTGCGAGCGTTGTGAATGGCTGGTGCTGCCATTGCAACGCCGATAGTAGAAACTCCAAGGGTTAACGGGATTGCACAGCCAGAAATTGCAGTGGAGGTGGCAGCGCCAGAAATCAATCGTGTATAGTGCTCCCACTCCCTCTGCAACTCCTCCAGTGTAAGGCCCTGGCATTTTTGGTCGTATGCTTTAAAGTCGAATGGCATCTTAATGATGTATGCCTAGGCAAAGATCTGTGGAAAAGAATAAAATTAATGCAGAGAAAAGGGCGCCAAGAGGAGACATAAGTATAAATGCTTGGCACAAGCTGAAAGCCAACCTAAGCGCAAAAGACAATTTTAGCAGTTCTAGACCGAATCCATGGTCTGATATGCAAGCCACACAAGGCACACAGAGTAAAATGCTCATGATTTATGCTGCTAGCATGCTAGAAACGGCTCAGCTAAGGTGTTCTGGGTTAGCCAGACGCAATAGTGTTCAGCCGCACGAGGCTTCTTTGTAGAAACAAGGCAGACAAAAGTAATAATTTTGCAGAAAGACACCAATAGTATCACTCAAAATATTAATCTCTCATTTCAATGCTACATCATGTTCCTTTTTTGTTCTCCTAATACTATTGCTCGTATATTATTATAATTTACCTCCAATGTCATATTGTCCAACTAATGATTAGTAAATATCTGTAACAGTGAACCGTATAGATAAAATAGAGTCTTGCTTTGTATAATATAGCTAACGTTAAGAGATATATAAATAATTACATATCTGAAACCGACTATCACAATGTTATATCCTTGAAGAAGGGTTGGCACTGATAAGCTTGTGCATCTTATCGACAGCCTCCTCCGCATCATCCTTAGTGTCATGGAACCATATCCAGTTGAATCTTCCCTGTTGCACATGGGGTAGAATATTGCTGAGGTCATCACCGACCTCGTGCTGGAAGAAAATCATCTCACCGAGCTCGGCCGCCTGCTCGAGCTGCTTCTGTGCTCGTGGTCGCCTGACCGAGTCGTAAGCGGCGAGAGCGGCTTGAATGGCCGGTAGCTGGTTGACGCCGCGCGTAGGCTGCTTCGAAAGCTCGACAAGTACTGCGGAGAGGACGAGAGCATCTTCGAGACCCATTGCAGCGCCGGAAGCCTGGAAAGGTAGAGATGCGTGAGCGCTGTCACCAACGAGAGCAACGCGGTCGCGGACATATGATGCTGTATGACGATGATGGAAGAGTCCCCATTTGATGGGTTTGACCTTTGCGAGTAATTGTTGAAATCTAGGATCAATTCCAGGCATGTCAAAGTCGGCCATCATTTTCTCGTAGGAAACGCGCTCTGTGACTGTGTTCTCAAGTTTCCATGCATCAAGCCCATCAGCTACACAGAGAAGATAATTGAATTCCTCACCGCCAGTAACTCGGTAAGTGACAGAACATCTCTTGTTACCAAAGTAGACCTTGGCGACATCTGTAAGATCACCGAGGATCTCGTAAGCCTCGGACATGGGAATGACAGCACGGTAGCAATAACAACCAGCGTAAACAGGTGCGATCTGGTTTGGGTATTTCTCCAACACATGTCCTCTCACAACACTCTTAATGCCATCGGCACCTGCTAGGATGGTGCAGGTGGCAGTGGTGCCGTCCTGGAAACTAAGGATAACACCATCGGGGCGCTGTTCAACGTTTGTGAGACGCTTGTTGAACTGAACACTGTCTTCGGGAATGAAGCTTGTCATGATTTCGAGCAATTCCTTACGGTGAGCCTGATTTGATGATCAATTACCAAAATCTCTGTATAAGTTACGATGGTGAACTTACAGATTTGCGGATGTATTTTGGGTCACCCCATGATGAATTTCCGGCCCATGGCTTATCACGGCCTTCGGTGATAGTCAGTATATGTTAAATTGTACAACGGTTGGATGTGTTACGTACCGAGACCTTCTTCGAGAAGCATCCCCTCAAAGAAAACTGTCTGTGCATCCTCGCTCTTGTTTCCAACGCATATCTTTTCATATAAAGGTCGAAAACCGGGCTCAATTAGATCCATGCAGCGCATGCCGTTAGGAGGACATCCAATTCCAGCCCTGAATAGTCAGTTGATTTTGTCGCGGAAATGTAGATGATTTACCTACCCGACTACTGAGAATTCCTTGGCGTCCTCGTAGAGTGTAAAGGTAATTCCCTGTTTGTGGAGGGCCATTGCTAAGGCGAGCCCGCCAACACCAGCGCCTAAAGAGCGAGTTAGAGCTTGTGAGCAAGAGAATAAATTGCGTGAAACTTACCAACAATGCCTACATGAAACTCTTTCTCAGACGTGACAGCCATTGCAATAAGATAAATCTAGTGAGTATGTATGGTAGGAATAGAGCTAATTGAGGTGTTGTTAATTGGCAATCTTGGGCGTTGTAAAGTTCTTATTAATTATGTTTACAACCCCAAGACTTGTACATAAGCGCGGGGTAAGACCGGCTTAGATTGCCTCAAATAGAACGACCTATCTTACCTCCCACTAGAGACAAGGTGCAAAGAGGATTGACAAAGAGCGAAAGCCGAATAAGTGGATTCTAGTCTGATAGGCAGTCGTTTCTCGGGTAAGATGCTTGCCTTTGCTTTTGGTTGCTGCACAGAGAAGGTGAGGTAGCTTCCAATAGTGATAAGACTAGATTCAGCTACCACAGAATGACTTGTGGATCTTTCCCCGAGCAGTATGTTTAGTCTAGCCCACATTGCCATCTTCCCCAACATCGGTAGGTAAGAGCGGGAATGACTCGATATGCGCTATCCGTGACTATCACATCTCGTCGGAACGTGCCCCGGGCTGTTCCGTTATCTCCGCGTTCTTGAACATCCCCACGGGTTTTCAGTTACCCGAATACGGTGCATTACCTGATATTTGTCAACCATCAAGATATACAATAGCCAACTACAGTAACTTTTTATTCCCGAATTGAATAACCTTGCTTGTTTTGAGAGGATTTGACCATCGATTTAAAGTTAAAAACAGGCATAAGGTCCCCCCCTTTCTATGGCATACTAAGCATTGCTGTGCTAGCTTAGGCATTATTCCTTATATTCACTATCATTTACTTTTCCGGAACATTTACGTATTCTTTGTTCAACAATATAATGGTCGCAATTCCCAAAGAAGCGATGCCTGACCCCGAACGACCTTGGACAGATGTTGTTGCAACTAAGAGATCAATTCAAGATGCCTTGCTTGAAAAACATCGGCCGGACGCAAATTCGACACAAAGTGTTTTGGGTACCGATTTTGTTGATATCAAAGATGTAATCAACCTTTTGGAAACAAAACAGATCACGGCTATTGAACTTATCCGCGGCTATATTGCGAGGTGAGTGTATATCCAAATATACAACAACATCAAAAGCACAAATAATGCCATGGATTACTAATGATTACTTCTTCTAGGTCATATAACGCGCACCAAAAAGTAAATATTTTACAAGCCACTCTGCATACCTTCAAATTTGAGCATGGAACTGATTAAGACAGACAAATTGTCTAACAGAGATTTGTTTTGACGACGCCATGGCGCAAGCAAAACATCTTGACGAGTACCAAAAAGAAACAGGTCGCCTGATAGGGCCTTTGCATGGAGTACCCGTGACAGTAAAAGATCAATTTAACATCGCTGGACTAGATTCTACCTTGGGGTATGTGGGCAAGGCCTTCGCGCCAGCATCACATGACGCTCCTCTGATAAACACGTTGAAGGAACTCGGAGCTGTCATTATCGCAAAGACAAACCTCCCTCAGAGTATTATGGTAAGTAAAAACCTTCAGTGAGTAAGATAATTAATTGACGAAGTCAGTGGTGCGAGACAAACAACCCACTTTGGGGTCTTACTACACATCCGCATGACTCGAAACTCACTCCTGGTGGTTCCTCCGGAGGGGAAGCAGCCATCCTGGCACTTGGCGGTTCGTTAATTGGCTGGGGAACAGATCTTGGTGGCTCTATACGTATTCCGTGTCATATGAATGGTATTTGGGGGCTGAGACCAAGTGTAAGTCAACTATCATGACCGGCTCCTCGAATCTCAAGTTATCAACTGACATCTACATTAGAGCGGTCGAATATCGTATAGGGGTGTCGAACTAACACAGGACGGCCAACAACACATACCATCAGTTGTAGGCCCAATGGCAAGGTCATTGGACTCACTCACACTGGCCACTAAATTGTCTATTGAGGCCGAGCATTGGACTATAGACTCACAGCTACCACCCATTCCATGGAGGGCAAACCTGTTTCAAACCTTTTCCAAAAAACCACTTGTTATAGGTGCTTTGCTGAATGACGGCCTGGTAAAGGTGCACCCGCCGATCGAGCGAGTGTTCCGTAAGCTTGTAGGACAGCTCAAGTCTGCCGGTCATGAGATCGTGGAGTGGAACTCGAGTATGCATTCCGATATCATGAAAATCACAGTACGTCGCAGAAAATTACAATTACAGGGAGATACTAATTCCCGTTTCAGGACGGGTTGCACACATCAGACGGAGGGGAAGATATCCGAAGGGGTGTATCAGAAGGAGGAGAACCTTTTATACCCCGAACCCAAGCCTTTGTTGATTTGGGCAAACCCATCTCAGTATACTCCTACTGGCAACTCAACAAACGTAAGGTGACAGCTCAAAATTCTTACCTTGACATGTGGAACACAGTACGCTCTCCTTCTGGAAAGATGGTTGATCTTCTTCTCGTGCCCACAATGCCGCATACCGCAGTGCCGCATACATGTTGTTACTGGGCTGGCTATACAAAAGTTTTCAACCTTTTGGATTACACCGCATTGACATTTCCAGCGGGCAAGGCGAATAAAGAGCTTGATGAGAAGTATAATGTGACTTATGAGCCTCGAAACGACATCGATGCCCGAGTATGGGGATTGTATGATGCGTTAGCTATGGAGGGTCTTCCTGTAGGATTGCAGCTCGTTGGAAGAAGGTTTGAGGAGGAGAAGGTGTTGGGAGCCATGACGCAGATTGAGAAATTACTATAGAATGTGATTGATAGACAAGTCTCTGATAAATAAATTTGCTTGAAGCATTACTATTGATCCAGATCGTTCTGGGAACTACACATGATTGACTTATTTTTTAAAAATGATAATCTCTTCAATTTTACATCTGCAAATTTGAGGGAACATGTTGTAGTGGTAGCTGTATTCAATATCGACACGTCATATAGTCGAGTTCCAGATTATCACATCAAGACACGCAGAATCTGTGATAATTTCACACATTATAGTGTTATAGTGGTATATACACTATGATGTATCTACACAGACTTGAAGGTTCGGAACGCATCATGGCAGAATGGTACAGGTGGACTGTCCCACTTGGGCATAACCTCGTCCGCCGCATACTTAACCACAGGTCCCAGTACTCGAAGATCAGAGCCAAAGACAGAGTCAGAGAAATGCACGTAGTACTTTTCATCTTTGATGAGGTTGCTCTCCTTCTCCCATGCCTCAAGAATGGAGTAATACAGCGGTGCTACATGGATATCACTTGACCAGTCGGGAAACTTGTACTTGTCCTTGATCTTCGCGACCGTGTCTCTTTGATATAGGCGGATATCGGTGTCAAGCGTTGCCATGTTGTATGCTGCAAGAGAAGCATGGCCATGGTAGGATCCTCCAAACCTGGTTCGGTCACGGATACCGCACATGATGGTAAGAGCAGTCAGGATGCCCGTGGACATGTCGGATATGGGTAAACTGGGCAGCACTCCTTGACCAGGTGGACAGTTGAAAGACTGACCCATGACCCACTCGCTTCCAGCAGCAGCATCGGCAACCTGTTGCCAACCAGGTCTCTCCGCATAATAGCCATCAGGACCATAGCAGTTCTCGTCGACGTAGATGATAGCCTTGCCTCGCTTGTTGGCGAGATCAAGTGCAGCCTTCAGACCAAAACCACGGCGCTCCAAGGACCGTAGACGATAGCCTTGTAGGATGACATCGGCTTGTTCAAACAACTGCATGAGCTTTACATGATCAGCTGGATCTTCCAGATCCAGATCAATGGTGATTTTGCCAGCCATGAGAGATGAAGGCTGGGAAGGCGTATAATCCTTCAACTTGGATGAGTTGACACGAATGACCTCAGCACCAAGAGAGGCAAGAGCAGCACCGGCGGCGGCTCCAGCAATGATGCGAGTCAATTCGACCACTTTTATGCCAGCCAAAGGTCGCTTATCAGCCATGCTAGGAAACGGGCAGGGTTCAGTCTTGGTCTGCTGCTTGTAGTTGATGAGGGGGTGTCTTGACAATGACTTGCCCATTTGAGTCTGACGCCATCCCGCAGGCGAATGGACGATGGATCCAGAGAGTCCCTTTTCTACCATGAGTTGCTCGATTTCGCGAGCACGGTATGTGCGAACACGATCTTGGATGAGCGAATATGCTTCTTCGTTTGTGCGAATTTTCTCGTCGAAATTCTTGGTGATACCAATCACAGAAAGCATTTTCCATGAATCAAGAGATCCGTGGAGCTGGAACCAAACTCCCTTGTCAGCCGTCTCGTAAATTGCTGTTGCACGATATACAAGGGGTGAATTAGAAGCACGGTCCTTGTCCCATTGAGGAACCGTGGGGAGATTTATGACAGGAGGTCCAGTAATCCCGTCGATGTTGACGAGAGCTGCAGTAGCCAGGTAAAGACCAGCGTGATCCACATCGATGTGGACCGTTTTGCTCTCTGTGATCCCACGCAGATGTAAAATCTCTAGACCGACGATACCGACCATGGCATGGAGGACTGCAGTGACGGCTTGGGACTTGATTGGTCCAGGAACGCAGGGTAAGTTCTGGCCGTGGAAATGGACACCATTGAGTAGATCGTCATCATGTGTGAATCCTGGTGTTTTGGAGGCGAGCAATCGGAGTATTCTCTCGCACTCCTTGGGAAGTGGTTGGAACTCAGTGTCAACGACGGTTCCGGGGCCGTATGTTTCAATATCTGTATTGATCATGCTGTCTAACTTGATGTGAGTTCGTCAGATTGTTTGGATAAACTCAGAGATTGCAACGGCAATATGAGTGATGTGGTCAACTAGGCAGCCGCGAGTGATTGTTTCAAGGCATCCGGTTCTAGCCGATAGATTGCCGTGCAGTTGGCTTAGTTCCATGTTCGGACGGATATTCCCCGGATTTGCCCCGTTGCGCAACCTGTGAGATCACTCGTCCTAGTATATTTTAGCAAAATAAACGTAAAGTGATGTATACATGTACAAGAACTTATGCAACCTAAACAATTGTTAGGCTTGCAGCTATCTGAGAACCATATTGTATTTCATGCAAATCCATTATCACCTAAGACGCAGTTCTTAGTAACCAGAACAAATTTCCAGAATGACACAAAAAGTACGCACAGTTGCCATTGTAGGCTGTGGAGTCATTGGCATGGGATGGGCCGTTCTGTTCATGTCTTGTGGTCTGAAAGTCATCATCTCGGATCCCGCTGAAAGCGCTCATGAGTCCCTCAAGAGCTATCTTAAACAGGCGAGACCATTCTTTGAAGAGCATGGAGGCTTTGATAAGCTCGCTTCCAACTATGAGTTCGTCCTTGACATAATGCCACGATTGTCCGAAGTAGACTTTATTCAAGAGGTAAGTTGCCAACGTTATATCATAAAGAGTCCCAATTATAACTAATAATCCCACGGAACGCTCCAGAGCATGTTGAGTTTAAACAAGGTTTGATGGAAAAACTAGACGAGAATACTAGACCAGGGGTCGTTATTGCCTCTTCCTCTTCTGGCTTACCATCATCAACCTTTATTCAAAATTGCAAGAAGGACCCTAGCCGTATTCTCATTGGCCACCCTTTCAATCCGCCACATCTGATTCCCTTGGTTGAAGTTGTTCCTCACCCTGGAACCAGTCCTGATTCAATATCATCCGCACTGGCCTTCTATAGGTCTCTTGGTAAAAAGCCCATTCTCTTGCACCAAGAGGTTCCAGGCTTCGTATCGAACCGTCTACAAGCCGCCATCAACAACGAGGCATACAGCCTTATCAGTAGGGGTGTTGTGTCAGCTAGAGATCTGGACATGGCTGTGACACAAGGTCCCGGTCTTCGATGGGCACTTACAGGGCCCATCGTCACTAACGCTCTTGGTGGCGGAGGAGGACCACATGGGTTCGCCGAGAGGTTTGAGAGACTTGGACCAGCCATTAGAGGCTGGGAGGACGACATACTCAAAAACAGGTTCGATTGGAGTGAGGACAGGGTGAAAACACTACAGAACAGTGTAAATGAGTCGTTGAACGATGTGGACTGGAACAACCTAGTCGACGAAAGAGATTTAGTCTTATTGGAGATGTTGGCAGCCAAGAGCAAGACAAAGACCATGGGCATAAACGTGTAAGATATTACGCTTTGGGGAATGAATCGTGTTATCGAATCCAACGTCATCATGCTCTAATCTATATTTGACCAAAATATTCTGGAATAAATCAATCTCGTGTGGAATTAGTTTAAGCATACGAAGAGAGACTACCTGTATTAGAGAGTGTAGTTCTTGATGTACTTTGTGAAAAAAGTCCTTCTTCTCATAGATGCAAACATGTGAGGAGACGCATAGCTGAAGGAATAAATGTGACGGTCAATTCATTACAACTTGTTCCCTAATCCGTTTTCTATCTTATGTTGGAGATTTACTTATCCCCAAGCCAAAAGTCAAACCAGTCAACGAAGCTCTTGAAATGTTGCTCCTTGGCCCATCTCTCATATGGATCAGTCAGACGTCCTCGGGACTTGACGGTAGGTGTTAGTAAACCGTTCTCAGGGATTGATTTTCTTTTAACAATACATACCGCAAAGCCGTGACCAACATTAGAGAAGATCTGCATATTAAATCGTCCGCTTCCTTGAGTCAGAATCTCGACTGTTCGGGTACGCTGCTCATCCTCAAAAAGCTTGTCTTTAGCAGGTACGGACAGGAAGATGGGCTCTACAGTATGATGGTCAGCTACAGCATGTTTTTATTTCCGTTGTAGAATGCAGTTCTTACCCTTGACCTTGAAGACATCGCTCTCATTGAGGAAGGATGGATGCGCGATGGCACCTACTTGACAGATGCCCTCAGCCGACAATTGGTGAGTGACAAATCGAGCACCCCAGCTAATTCGTTGTCAATTGCGAGCTCGTTCCAACACATTAACTATCATTGGCTGGAGTCTACTGACCAATATCCAACGGCTGCGAACTTGACAGCGTCGCTGGTGGCATACTCGGCCTTGACAGCCTTGACCCATCTGGCAGCAGCTTCTTCAGAAGCGTGTAGATGCTTGTCTTTCCACGACTCAAAGTCGAAATTTGGGTCATTCAAGGGATTCTGCGAGTATTTAGATATGGGATCCTAATATATTTAGCTGCCTGTTCCTTCATAAAACTCTTTCTCAAACTTTACTTACACCAACGAAATAGTCGACACCGAGAGTTCGGTAGCCGCACTCGGCATAAGCATCCATCATGAGAAAGCAGTTAATATGCAGTCCGAAAGCATCAGGAAAAAATAGTAGAACATGTCCATTCTCTTTTCCTGGCTGCGGTTCGGCGACATATGTATCGATACCATCAATCTGCTTCACAGAACCAGTCGGTTCTCCAGTATGGATCTCGCCCTTGAGGCAGCACAAGTCGGCGGGTTTGGCGAGTACTCTGTCCATGGTTTTGTCGTTGTTTGTGAGAATCAAAGTCCTTTGTCGATGTACAAAAGTGTCCTTTCTTGACGTATTGAAGTATGTTTGGATTGTGGCGGCTGGTACGCGGGCCCGCTTCGTTGTCGGATGCTTCGGGTAACTTTACCCGTCAGCTTCAAGCCCTGGGCATCGATCGTCAACGCTAGCAGGAGTCCGAAGTCCCATTATGAAGACGCAAATGGAATATCATACTTTATGACTGTTTACGATAAGGCACTATATTCATTGCCACGACGACCCGGTGCCTCACACTGTCAAGTCAAATTCCTCTCACAACAAGAGTTTTGTTTGCCAACTATTTTAACTCTTAACTACATTGAAGATTATAGGTTATCTCTGTCTCGACTAGTATCAACCCAACTCTGCAGACTCAACAAGTTAGATCGTTCACTGACATCAAGAACTGATAGTAAGCGAGAGAACTCATGTAGATATTGAGTGTCCCGTTGTATTCTTTCCTCTGTGTTACCGTCTAATGACGATAAAAGTGAAACGGCTACATCTCTGACTTTGTAAACCTATGAAAGGTAGAGAATGCTAAGTTAGCGGGAAAGATTATTATCAAGTTCAAATATGCTTCAACTCACTAAAGAAAGACCATTAACCTCCAAACTGGTTTGACAGAAAGAATTTAAAAGATCGACCAATTGTCGACAGATATCCGAACGTTCGTCGCGCAATGCAAAATCAAGCGGCCCTGTGGACTCACCACCCTGGCTGCCAAGTGTATCAATCTGATCAAGTAGCATGACTTGAAGCCAAAAACGTGTGGCGTGTATATTGACACGAATTGCGTCGCGCTGGATGCTGGCAATATCAGCTAAATCGAAAGAGCCAGTCGATATATTCGACTCATACCATGTTCTGTATGGAGGCAATGAAGAGTTGAGAATATGTGTAAGGTGATGGAGCTTTTCCTGTAGAGATGCCAAACGCAACTTCGGATCTTTAACGTGACTGCAGATGCAATGCCTTTGAACGTCCGAGCCTGCGCATCCCAAACCTCCCAGAAATATCCGTGAGTGGGCGTTGAAACCCGACGTGAGTGACTCGACGCTTTCTTTCCCGGAACATGGCAAGATACCACTCGTTATTATATATTCATCATCAACCGGAGCCGGCATGAGATCATCGAAATTTATTTCGCATGAAAGTACGGGGTCGAGAAAGGTTAAACGCTCGTTGCGTAAGTTATACATCTGGTGTACATAACCGTAAAACATCAGCCAAAAAGCTTTTTTTCGTAGCTGGACCTCAATTGGGTCCAAGCCTATATAGGTTGAGACGTGATGCACTTCCAGTAGACGTAAGAGCTGCATTGATTCCACCTCAAGCATCCTCCAGAGGTTGACATTGCCGATTTGGTGAAACGCATTACCAAGGGCGAAACTACTCGCCCATTTCCGATGACTAACAGTGTCGAAATAAGTGGTGCTTCGAAAGCTTTGGTTGATCTTGTAGCAACACCCTATCATATCTGAACGTGTCTGAAAAGGAATGGGGCAAGGGAAGTCGCGATATATCTGAAACCTCGATGGTAACAGTGCGACTGTAACGGCGCATAAAGAGATGATCAAGGTGAGAAAATCCTCATCGTAAAAGTCTTGATTCGCGTCGAGGTCTACTTTGAACGATGGGCGATGAATCACAGGGATCAGTGGATAAACAAATGTTAAGTAGTCGTCAAGGATGAATCGAACAAGGTCTCGAGAAAAGAGTACATCCGTCGCATACGGGAGTATACAGCTTCCAGGAGAGTCAAAAGGCTCTACAAAAGATGCAATGGAACTCTCAGGTGCTGCCGACGAGTTTGTTGGAGTAGGACTTCGACCTCCGTTTTGTTTTGAAAGGGCCGACCCTGGAACGCCAAACTGATGGTCGGTTTTTTTTTTTGGGCCTCGCACTTTTGTTGGCAGATTGAAAGTGCACTGCGATTCTGACTTTTTGCAATTGTCGCATGTCGTGGAGGACTCGGGTATATCAGTCCGAAATATGTTGTCTTGATAGTTAAAAGTGCATTTTCGTTTTCGAATACGGCATATATCGCACGCTTGGCGTGCAACAATCCTTGGAGAAGCAGGACTTGCCGACATTTTGAGTGATGACAGGATTGAAAAAATTACAAATGGAAAACACAACCGTGTACAATTGGGATAACAGTTTGTGCCATTAGCCCAAATCAACCTAGCATTTGACCCATGGTAAATGCAGACTAACTTAAGTAGCGAGACAGTGGAGGGGGGGAGGGGCCGATCTACCCCCGCGAAAGACATTTCGGCAAAGAACCCGAAAGCCGGGGATAACTACAAATACCGTCGCGTACATGAACTACACTTCTCCAAGTTTGTAACAATTGCTTGCATGGTCTATTCTATGTCTTGGTGTTGATATCTGTATTTTCAGTCTAACCTATCTATCTCCCAGATTGATCAAGGCGCCAGACCTTTCCAATATCTCGTCTTGTTCACCTGGAACGAGGCTTGCATCGGCGTATCCGCACTGCTCGTACCAACCAGGACACTATATTCGCCCTTCTCGCTGCACCACTTGTCGCGAGCCTCGTTCCAATAACTTGTAGAAAGAATTGCATCCATCTCAATCGTGATCTGTCTCTCTTCTCTTGCCTCAAGATAGACCTTGCGGAACGCTTTGAGTTCCTTAACAGGTCGGCCAATATCAGTGGTCGATGGTGGGCCAACGTAGACTTGAATGGTTTCGGCTCCAGCGCGAGAACCCGTGTTGATTATCCGAAGTGTAACCTTGCAAATGGTATCATTAACCTGCACGATCAAGTTCTGCAGCGAGAAGCTAGTGTATGAGAGACCGTGGCCGAAAGCATAGAGCGGCTTGCTATCGATCTTCTCGTAGTACCGGTATCCCACATAAACGTCTTCGCCGTAGAGGACCCGCCCTGCCTCACTACGGAAGTTGAAGTATGTATGGTTGTCTTGAATTCGGCGGGGGATAGTCAATGGTAGTTTGCCAGCCTGTCGCCATCATCAGTGATCTCTTCTAAATATTTGCCATCGTATCGGCAGTCAAGGCTTACCGGATTCACATCACCAAACAACACATCTGCAATGGCGTTTCCTGTCTCATTACCACCATACCAAGCTTGGCACACTGCTTTAGCGTTGTCTATCCAAGGCATACCCACCGGCGTGCCTGACTGGACTACTACAGCAGTATTGGGGTTTGCCGTAAGTACGTTGGAGACAAGAGCATTGGTATGCGCAGTCATCTCCATGGTGGTTCGATCTGTACCCTCAGACTCTAGCTCACCATTCAAGCCCACGACAAGAACAACCTGATCGACAGAATTGGCTACTTGAACAGCGTTTTCAATAGCTTGGATAGGGTCGGTTCGTCTGCATGCACCAAATCTCAATCCCCCGTGTCGGCCACCAACAGGTCCACATGGTGGTAGCTTGCTCGTTTTGAAGCAGCCCCATTCGATACGGACTTTGTAATCTTGACCAGCCCTCAATTCAATGCTACCCTTTTCTTCCACAGTGCCGGAGCCGAAGAGCGTCTCCCCAGGTGTCTGATCCTCGACATTATCGATCAACAATACATCGTCAATATAAAGTTTGCCAGTGCCTTCCACTCCCAGTCCAAAGTCATAGAGACCGCTTTCGTCAGGAGTGAAGGTTCCTTCAGCCCGGGAATACCAGACTGCGGACAGATCTGGATGCTCATAATCCAAAAAGAAGCAATTTGAGTCGACAAGAACGCGCTCATCTAATGCAACTCGGTCCTTGGCTGACGCTGGCTCATTATAGGCTCTCCAAGTGAAGCCTGGCTGGCCATCTTCCGTCTTGAGCACATTGCCCATCTGAGGAAGCATCTGATGGTCTGTTGTACCCTGTGCAAAGACTACACTTCCGCATTTCTTTGCGATACCATCATATGGTGTAACACTGTAGTACGGAATCAGGGACGCGCTGCCTCCTCCGCAGTAGCGAGCAATCTTTGCGTTTGGTCCGATAACAGCGGTTGTCTTTGACTTGGCAAAAGGTAAGATACCATCGCTGTTCTTGAGAAGAACAATGGACTCTGACGCTGCTCGTCGCAAAAGTGATTGGTCTTCTGGGCGGTTCAATCGTTTCTCGGAAGCATTCTCTGGTACACTTGAGGCGAGAGAATAATTGATGAGATTAAGAACATTACGCACGCGAGCATCAAGCTGTTCTTCTGTGACCTTTTTGGCCATGACAGCGTGGATTAGGGACGAGCCTCTCCAGCGTGTTGGGCCAGGCATTTCCAAGTCAAGGCCAGCATGAATCGCACCTGTTGTACTGTAGGTACCAAACCAGTCACTCATAACAAGGCCATCGAATTTCCACTCGTCCCGAAGAATGTTTTGCAAAATTGACGTGCTTTCGGAGACGTGTGTTCCATTAACCTTGTTATATGCCGTCATGATAGCTCGAGGATTGCCAATGCTAATGGCAAGCATGAAAGGCAACAGGTAAATCTCCCGCATGGCGCGCTCCGTAATAATGACGTTGACGGCCAATCGCTCATGTTCCATATCATTGCAGACAAAATGCTTGAGCGTAGCTGCAATGTTTTCCTCTTGGAGACCTTTGGTGTAGTATCCTGACAGGATACCAGAGAGTAGCGGGTCTTCGGAGAAGGACTCGAAGCCACGGCCACCCAGAGGACCTCTCTGGATATTGAGTGTAGGACCAAGGACACAGACAGCTCCCTTCGCCTTGGCTTCTTGGCCTTGTAGATGGCCAAGCTCAGCCAGCAACTCTGGGTTGAATGTCGCGCCCAATGCTGTCCCACATGGCAAACATGACGAGGGGACACTGGCGAAGATTCTCGTGCCGCGCACGCCGTTCGGTCCGTCGGAAACGCGTATGGATGGTATGCCGTGATGTGGCAAAGGTGTCGTGTGCCAAAAGTCTTTTCCCACACAATAGTTAGCATTTGAGAGGAGAGTCACAAAGGTGACCCTGTGACTTACCTGCAAGAAGAGCCACCTTTTCATCCACTGTCAGTTTCGACAACAGCTCATTGATGGGCAGCTCGTCTACGCGAGTATATCTCATGAGGGGGGACATGATAACAGAATGCAAGAATGACGGATGATATCTGGTATGAGATACTGTACAGAAAGATAGTGCTGCTTATCACGTTTTGAACAGTGCATCAGATATTTTTCTCTCAAATACGATCGAGAACTGATTATCTCCGAGTTTCGGACTAGCTGATCACTTTTATAAGATAGCCGATAATTGGATACCGGTAATGTTGCCCGAGTCAAGATCAGCTTTACAAACTTACTACGTCTGGTAATTCTCCGCCTCCGCCCTCCCCGATAGTCAAGTACGAACATTTCTCCGCCTTTTCTCCGCACAATTGACCGCCAACACAGTCCGAGGTTCGCCAAGGCCATGACCAAAAGCTCGCTAATATGCTCATCATGGCCAGGATATTCGGTCTCCTGAGATATCAACAGGTCTGGATGTTCCCCAAAGTTCCTCCTCTCTCGGGCCAGGTGCCAGGCCCCCCCAACCCCAGATATCAGTTGATAGTCTCCACCCGATAAGGTTGAATCCCCAACTTCTCAGCGCCCTGGCCAGAAGCAACAACACATAGTTTCTTATAAAGTTGCAGGCATCCCCATGAAGGTGCTTTGTTTAGACCCAAGATCAAGATCAGCACAACACATAGAAGATCTTACTTTCTCATCATTCCTCCATATTCGAGTGCCCATCATGACTGCCAGCGAAGCCCAAGTCAAGAAGCAGCTGACCGTCGCCGACACACTAGCATCGGTGTTGCCTTCTGATGGGAAACCTTGGTACAAACAGGGGCATCTATTGAGGTTGAACCTTATTATACTTTCCCTGGTGTTGTTTTGTAAGTCCTGGCAGCGACTCCCCTTCCTCTATTGACCAATGCTTACGCCAGTGTGCAACAGCATCTGCGAACGGATACGATGGTTCTCTGATGAACGGCCTTCAAGCTCTTCCCAACTGGAACGAGTTCATGAATCACCCAAGGGATGCCTGGCTTGGCTTCATCAACGCCATTTACTGGTTCTTGAACGGTGTCTCCTTCTTCGTCGCTGCCTGGTCTTCCAACAAACACGGTCGCAAGCTAGGTCTTTACGTTGGCTATGTTTTTCTTGTCTCTGGGACCATTCTGCAAACATCTGCGCACAACCCAGCAGCTTTCATCGCCGCCCGTGGCCTGCTTGGCTGTGCTGCAGGATGGTACACCGCCGGCGCACCCCTGCTTATCAGTGAGATCGCCTATCCCACCCACCGAGCCATTGCGTCTGCATGTTTCCAGTGTGGCTTTTATCTCGGCAGCATCATCGCAGCATGGGTGACATTTGGAACCAGAAACTATGCCAGCTCTTGGGACTGGCGTCTCCCATCGCTCATGCAGATCCTTCTTCCAACGCTAGCTTTCCCCGGGTTCTTTCTGGCACCTGAGTCTCCCCGATGGCTCGCTTCTGTCGACCGTAAGGAGGACGCAGCTGCTGTTATTGCCAAGCATCACGCGAATGGGGATAACAACTCACCACTAGTCCAGTATGAGACCGAGGAGATCGTAAACACCATCAAGGCCGAGCAAGAGGCACATGCCAGCGCCAGCTATGCAGACATGCTCAAGACCAAGGGCAACAGATGGAGACTGCTTATCTCAATTACACTTGGATTGTTTAGTCAGTGGAGTGGTAACGGCGTTGTCTCATATTATCTTGCTCTTGTCCTTCAAACTGTCGGCATCACCAGCGTTACTCACCAGACGCTTATCTCAGCATGCCTGCAAGTGTGGAACCTCATTTGGGCTGTCGCAGCGGCAGCAATGGTCGAGAAGCTTGGCCGACGACCTTTGTTCCTGACGTCTGGTATAACTATGTTGGTGAGTTACATTGCCATTACTGGATTATCCGGCTCTTTTGCAAGTACCGGAAACTCTGCTGTTGGCATTGCCGTCATCCCTCTCCTCTTTGTCTTCTTCGCGGGTTACGATATTGCACTGTAAGTAAACAAGTTGCATCCCCATAGTGGTCTGAACTAACACGGATTAATCTAGAACACCCCTGATTATTGCCTATCCCATCGAGATCTGGCAGTTCCAGCTCCGTTCCCGAGGTTTCAGTGTTTTGTGGACCTCAGGTATCGTCGCCGGTATCTTCAACATGTTTGTAAACCCAATCGCGCTTGGAAGCATCGGCTGGAAGTACTACTTCACCTACATCGTCTTCCTCGTTGCCTTTGTGCTAATTGCCTACTTCTGCTACCCCGAGACCAAGGGCCTTACCCTTGAGCAGATGGCATACATCTTTGATGGAGAAGATTCTGATACGAACATCCTGGAAGGCAAGCCAGTGGAAGGCAAGACCAAGGTTTTATCAATTGAGTTGGAGCATAAGAGTGGATAAACGAGATTGCATGAGACTTGTCAGCCTTTCGGCCGAGCTTTGTTGGCAAATCTAATCATTATGCCCTGAAGGGGAATGGTTGAACTAGAGCTCAACTTGCAAGGATTGAGAAGGAGGGAGACATGAGTTCTCAAATCGCTAGTGTCTAATATGTACTGTTTACGATTGAATAGTGATTAATTCGGTTGGCCGACCCTTTCACACTACATATATCCGAACATGCCGAATTCGCAAACAACTCTGACAAGGACCACAAATGACTAGGTTTCCCCTCATTTCCCTACACATACGCGCACAGTTGGAGTCACTAGAGGCTTGGGACAGTTGACTTTGTAATCGACACTTGTTGGTGTGGAGAGCCCTGATAAAAAACAACGCGGAAAGCCGGGGAGGAAATATGTAAGCGAGGTTAGTTGTCGGCAAGCAGATATGGATCAAGGTACCTATGTCCCCGATAACGCGGGCCTTGGTTTTTGGGCCAAGTGGTCTATGCAACAACAATACACAAAGTCAACCATTGCTAGAATACCAAAGCCCATTCTCATGAGATCCAGATCTTCTCTTAGTCTAAAGATGGCACCATGGCCAATCATCACTTCATCATAGTATTGTAAAGCATGAGTCAAACACATCTGCGTTGGGCAACAGTCAATGACCTGTGCTCACACTTATTCAAGATTGATGACTTGTGCTGGAAAATTAATTTGCTAATCTCCAGACTTGCCCCATATTATATCCTCGGATTAGATAAATAACATAGATAATGATTTTTGAACTTACTGACTATAGTATCGCAGGATGAACTAGAAGTTAACTGGAGAGAGTGTTTCATTAAGTTCATAAAACAAAATATATAACCCCGTTTTAAGAGTTAATACCCTACACCACGAAACTAAACATTACCCATAATAAAATGAGCGGGATGTTTACCCGGGCATTCCGATCCACTTCCAGACAATCGCCAGTAACAGAATTGATCAATGTCTAAATGTACCGCAACCAGGCAATTATTGATGATCAACAACAGAAAAACCCACCAGAATTCCTCAAACATCATGTCTTACCAACAAGAAATTTATTCTCTTGTCGCTGGGCCACTCGGTCATATCGAGGGACTCACCATCACTGCCAACGCTACACCAGCAGTACATTACTTTGGTGGTCTTCCCTATGCAGCCCCACCAACAGGCCAGTGGCGATTTCGCTCTCCTCGCAAATTGCCCGTGGGGTATACATACGGTACGGCTTCTCAGCCCGGCCAATTCACAAAGGGAACATGGGTCTGTCCTCAACCCGCCAGCAGTATTCCTCCAGATCCCGCAGATGTGAGCGAAGACTGCCTTCAGCTGAATATTTGCATTCCAGCTCGCCCAGCTCCCCAAGAAGGATGGCCTGTGTGTTTTTATATTCACGGTGGCTTTCTCCAGGTTGGTAACGCCAATACACCGCCAGAGGCTCTGGTGCCGCTCCTGAGTGAAACCGCGTTTGGGGCCATCATGGTGCTGCCCTCATACCGGCTTAATGCTCTGGGCTTTTTGGCCGGCAAAGAGCTGGCAGCCGAAGCAAGTGTCGACGGAGATACAACAGGCAACATGGGTTTGTGGGATCAGAGAGCGGCTTTGGAATGGACATACGAGAACATCAAACATTTTGGTGGCAATTCAGCCAACATCACCGTTGCCGGATACTCTGCCGGAGCATATTCAACCTTTCAGCAACTGTCTCATGAGTTGTTTTGCGAACCAGAGAAAAGCGCAATCATCCGGCGTATCGCAATGTTTTCCAACGGCCCCGGTACTGAACCCAAAACTCTACAGGATGTGCAACCACAGTTTGACGAATTTATCACCAGACTCGGTATTCCTTCAGATCTTGAGGATGACGCGAAGCTGGCTAAGCTACGAGAGGTCCCTTATGCAAAGTTGATCGAGGTACAGAGCAAAATGAAGATATCAGAATTCCGCGTTTTGGCTGAGGGTCAATTCTATCCAGCATCTCTTTTGGACAAGATTAACAATGGGGAATTCGCCAAAAAGATGAAAACTCGTGGCATCACCCTACTGAATGGCGAGTGTCAGGAGGAACACACCATGTATCGTCGTTGGCGAACACCAACAGAATCGTACGCTTCTGTTCATCAGCGGCTATCATCAGATTTTTCACCGAAGGTTACTGAAACACTTATGAGTCAGTTTTGCGGCGCGGATGAGCAATTACCTGCTGGGAACAAGACCTGGCGAGAATTTTTTGGTCGCCTCTACGCCAATGTCCAAGTGCATCTCCTCGAGCGTGGCTTCCATGATGCTCTTGTGAGAGGAGGTCTTGAAGCTGGTAAGGATATTCTTAGATATCGCATCGAGAGACGTCTTGCATGTGTTGAAGAGAAGATACCTGCTCATCTCGGTGTTACACATCTGACTGACATTCCCATTTGGTTATGGGGCACTGGGTACCAAGGTGGCTTGACTCGGGAAGAGAAAGTGTTCTTGAAAGGGTGGAATGAGGGACTCGCTCAATTCGTAAATGGGGACGATGTCAATTGGGGGCCAGTTAAGGTAAACGAAGTAAGGCGATGGAGGAGTGATGGAGAGACGGATGTTGTGGAAGACGATTTGTGGGAGGATGGTGTTGCCTTTTGGAAACTGATCAACTCCAGTGGAGGGATAGTCTAAGAACTCAAGATTAGCGACGTTAAAGTCTCATATCTCCGGTGCATGTGAGAAAGTTATGGTAGACTGCTGATCGCTGCTAGCTAACTATATAGTAATATAGAGAGTAATTATAAACTTAAATTGTCTACACATCTAATGGAGAGTAATAAATTTCTAGTACCCCTTGAAGACTGGTTTCCTCTTCTCAGCAAATGCTCTAAGCGCCTCGTTCCTATCCTCCGTAACTACGACACGCGCAGACATCTGATTCTCCTTATCTTCTCTCGCCCACCTTGCTGCCTCTAAACTAGCCCTGATTGCAACTGGCGCTCCTTCACAAATCTCCTGTGCAAATCTCACAGCCTCACTCAATGCCGCCTTCCTGGCCAAAGACAGCACATCCTCCTTCTCACCACCCTCAGGCACCTCTTCTGGCTGTTGTACCTCAACCAGCCTATTCGCCATGCCGAGGAAGTAGGCCTCAGGGGCAGGGACGCGGCGGCCAGTTAAGATAACGTCGCGAGCGCGTGAGGGACCAATTAGAGGGGGAAGACGATGACAGCCGCCGCCGCCGGGGATAATGCCCAGGCGGGTTTCAGGGAGACCGATTACGGCGTTAGACGAGAGAACGCGGAAGTCAGTTGTAAGAGCGAGTTCGAGGCCACCACCGAGGGCGATTGAAGAGATGGCGCAGATGGAGGGGATAGGAAGGGCAGAAATGGAGTTAAAGGTGCCGCGGACGTTAGAGAGAAATTCGGCGGTTCTATTTTAGACCGATTAGCCAACTGAGTATCTTCTATGATAGACCGAGGCAGAAACCTACTCCTTCTGGGTGAACGTTTTGCGTTCCTTCAGATCTGCGCCGGCGCAGAATGACTTGTCTATGGCACTGGCAAGAACCAAGGCTCTTGTCGGTCCATTGCTTGTCGCCATAGCATGCGGCGTCTCATCACCCTCAGGTGTATATTGCTGGTGGATGTCATCAAGCTCGGCGCGGATTGCAGCTACAAGCGAACGAGAAAGAGCATTGCGAGCAGAAGGACGGTTGAGCTCGAGGACACGAATATGGCCCGACCCAGGGGCAGGGAGGTTCGTTACACGAACGAGGGGGCCTGAATCTGCGGCTGTTGAATACAAGCGGCGAAGAATAGGCAAGCGCAGAGAAGAGGTGAGACGAGGAGGCATTGTTGCGGTTTGGTTGAGTGTGATAGCAAGGAAATGCAACGAGGAGAGAGAATTGGAAAGTTTTCTAGGACCTTTTCCAAGAAAGGTTTAGTAATATCAAGCAGTTATTAGGAGTAATCCTTGCATTCATATACAAATTTAATCATTCTTAGCTATTGAAGCATTTATTATAGATATATTAAGTAGGTAAATAAAACCTTCTAGCTAATCTAGACCTATCTTTGACGGTTGTTTAAAAGCCGAGGTGACTGTAGATAAGATAAGATAAACCTCAAGCAAATTAATTAATGACTTGACTTACCCGAGGGTCACTTTATCTACAGTCACCTCGGCTAATATCTAGAGATTTATTCCCTAGGATTGTTACACTATTGGCAATTTCCCGCACTTGTCCGCAAATCCATCTAAAAGTCCCCGAACTTTATTCCCTTGCCCAGTACTGTAGGAATACTCCCCCCCACCCCCGGAGATAATAGTATTTCCCCACGTTATTAGTTCTATTCCTTATCTACTTCAACATAATCTATATCATCATTGGCCTCTTTAGCTTATTAGTCTCTTTTATTGATGACTGCCAAGGTGCATCCTGCACAGTCTACAAGGGGCTGGCTAGTCACGATATGGTAAACATGGCTGTGGTAGAAGGCTATAAGAGGAACTGATGAGGCCACCTGGATGCTAACATGTACTTCGGAGACAGTCTCTTTAATCTCTCAGATTGAAAAGTGAGGGGCTATATGGAATAGCTACTCTCCCTTTATCATTCTAAGCAGAGGATCACTAGATCATCATGGCAGACAATAAACCTACTGGTGCTCCTGCCGATGAGATCGAGCTTGTTAAGAGACAAGAACAGGAAGTAATGCCCAATGCTTATCACGATGTCAGCGACGAGTACCCAGCGAAGAAAAGGAAGAGTGTCCTCCTCAAGATGGATCTTCACATTATACCATTGCTTATGATTCTCTATTGTGAGCTATTTGACACAATTTGCAAACAAGAGGAACGCATACTCACATAGCGACAGTGCTCTCTTATATCGATAGAGCTAATATCGGAAATGCAAAAATTGAAGGCATTGAGGCAGACTTGGATCTGTCACCAAAACAATACCAGATCACCTTGTCGATCTTCTTCGTTAGTTATATTTTTTGTGGTAAGTCGTTACTCTGACCCTGAATCTTTTTTCTGATACTGATGTAAAACATGAAGAGGTACCTTCGAACTGGATCCTCGAGGGATACTTCTCGCAGAGGCCTTCGCTCTACATCGGCATTATCACAGTCCTTTGGGGTATAATGATGACACTTCACGGCGTTGTCAAGAATTTCAATGAAATTGTGACCGTCCGCTTCATCATGGGTATCTTTGAGGCCGGCTTCTTCCCAGGCGCAATAGCTGTGAGTAAAGTCACCATATATCTTACGTCTCCCGGCTCTTATCACCGTCATAGCTGCTCAACAAGTGGTACACCAAGTACGAGCTAGCCACGAGGCTAGCTCTGTTCTACACGGCTTCTGCTCTCTCGGGCGCTTTCTCAGGCTTGCTGGCTTATGCAATTGCCAAGATGGATGGTGTTGCTGGCCAGGAGGGTTGGAGATGGATCTTCACTATCGAGGGTATTGCCACTATCTTCATAGGCTTCATTACCCCCTTTTTACTTCCTGATACCCCCGAAAGAAGGCCTAATTGGCTGACGGTTGAGGAGTGCGACTACCTCATCCGCCGTATGGTAGCACAGAATGGCGGCGAGAGAGCTGATGAAGAGGGCCAGAAGCTCACCCTCGCCCTCATCAAAGATGTCGTCACCGATTGGCAGTACTATCCTCTTATACTATGCTACTGGAGCAGCACAGTCCCAATCTACGGCATGAAGTTTACTCTACCTCAGATTATCAAGAATATGGGTTACTCATCTAGTAACGCCCAGCTACTTAGCATTCCTCCCTATGTTGCAGGTGCTATTAGCTCGGTCGGGTTCAATATGCTTGGCGACAAGATGCGTCGCCGCAGTTATTTTCTCATCATCCCTCAGGTTCTTGTGGTTATCTCCTACTGTATTATCACACCTCTTTCGTCACACATCGCCGATCACATCGGTGCTTGCTTCTTCGCTGTCATACTTTTGAACATCGGTGTGTACCCGATCAATCCCGGTACTTCATCGTGGGCGAGCAACAATTCTGCTGGAGCGGCTAAACGCAGTGTCGCGTTGGCGTACGTCCTATCGATCGCAAGTATTGGCGGTATCTTTGCGAGCTACATCTTCATTGACAGTGAGGCACCGGGATATCCTACGGGCTTTGGTGTCTCTATGGCGGCAGCAATCGTGGGCATCTTTTCCGTTTGTTTCTTGGACTTGTACTACAAGAGAGTCAATAAGGATCGAGACCAGATGTCAATCGAAGAGATCTCGGAGAAGTACAGCGAGGAGGATTTGGCGAGACTTGGAAATCGCAGCCCACTCTTCCGCTACACTCGCTAGGTGTTACATCTCAGCTTCTCGACAGCTAGAGCACGTGAGTGATTCCGTTGGAATGCCTTGATATGAAGCAAGATTCTGGGAATGATGTATCACATGACTCTGTGGAAGATTGAGAATATTTTGGACATACAATCTGGAGAGATCAACCGCTGTGAAAGCTTTGATGGATAGCTATGATACATGCCTTTTCCAAGTAAGCTTTAGTTGCGGAAATGTAAAAGTCTTAAACATAAAGTATCTGGCATCAGCTAAACAGTGCAATGAAGTCCATAAGATTAAGTCACGGTAGCCAGGTCACTACAGAATCAATTTTATAAGTTAGGCTCGGAAAACAGAATGCCAGCCAATATTTAGCTTTAAACCTGCTGCTCCAAGCCAGACAAACCGGGTACTCAGACGGCTAAGCTCCCGGAAACCCTCCGGGAGAAAGTTCGGGATAAACCGAGACTAAATAGTCTTCCAATAGCTTTCTCAATTATGTCACACAGATTTTTCTTGGTGTGGCACCTCGCTCAAATCCGAGGTGCAGCATGATGCAGTGGAATCCGGAAAGTATGACCGAATTTTCGACCTCCGAGCTCTTTCTTGGTAATGCTAATGACCTTGCCTACGCACAATAAGAGGGAGGTTCTTTGCCGGGGTTTATGTTCACGATCTATCTAGATAAACGCAGTCGAAGGCATCAAGAGCTATAACAAGCTAGACGCAATCGTTAAACAAGACGTTGGAACAGTCAACATCGATCCAAGGGCAGCTACCCCATTGCGAGTTCTTTGGCCAAGAAGTAGATTGGCGTTATAGATGGCCAAATTGTCACACATGATTCTTATATAGCGGAAAATTGTGGTTTACATTTCCTGTGGATAGAGTCTGTAATGTCTTCTCTTTGGATGATATGCTGAATGTAGCGGATGTCGTATCCATACACATCCTATGCTCTGACTTGTCTTCAAGACACGAGGGCTAGTTACAATATCTACTTACTAGAAGAAGACTGCCCTTAATTTGAGACGATATTTATAGACTCTGCATATACTCTAGTACTCGAGACTGCAAACCTGCTTCTATTGAACCGTCCTTTCTCTGTGATCTTCCAGCTGCTCTTGTGTCACTCACACTGACGTTGCTAGTACTCTAGACTAATTTCTACCCTACGTTGAAGACTTCCCATATTCTGATGTACCATTAAAGTAATGATAATCGAGAGAAAAGCCATTCTTGTATGATCCAGTATCTGGTGGCAATATTGAGGACCTTATCTCCCTCAGAGTCCATTTACTAAGGTAGATACGCTTCCAGTCTCAATCTTGCGGATGATTGTGTCCGTAAGAAACAAAGCAATGATTCTGCTCTCCTTGCATCAGTATCATAGTAATTACTATCATTCGAAGTCTCAAAAGGTAAAAATCACTTACGAATGGGGACCGATTCTCATGAAGTAGGGCAGGATGTCCTGATACAGCCTGAAAAAGCCCTCCTTACGCATGACCTTGGAAAGGCAGTCGAAAGTACCCTTGTAGAGGGGCTCCCCAGAGCCAGGTCCAACAACGGAGGAGGGTTTGGCTTGGTTCTGCAGACGAGTCTTGACAAAGTCGAAAGGCTGGCTAATGAAAGCACCCAAGCAGCCAGCGATACCAGCGGCCAACGCTGTGCGCACCGGAGGCGATAGGGTGGTGTGCTCCTGCAGCTGATTCTTAGCCTCCGAGAAGGAAGTGAGCTGGCCGAAGTTGATAGACATTGCGCGGATGAGGGTCGGGCCTGCGCCTTTCCAGAGAGAGAGGATGCCCTCTTGGCTAGCAATGCGTCGCAGGGCGTCAATGGCAGATGAGTACCTCGCTTGCTGGCTCAAGGGCTTGAGTCCGTCGGCCTGCATTCGAATCAGGATGACCTCAGTCGGATTGCCAACTACCGCTGCCAGTGCTCCAGCTCCAACGCCAGCGAGCGATCGTTCGCCAAAAGACAAGGTCGTGTCTCTCTGGCGAGCTCTCCTCGCCAATTCCTTCTCGAAGGTCGAGAACAGACCCAGCCTCATTGTGCCGTACACCAGCGAACGCATGATCGCAGCGGAGAGGCCCTGATACATCTTCAAGACGCCACCTTCAGCCATCATGTCACGGGTAATACTCCAGGCCGTGACCCGGAGCACGCTCCTATCGGCGAGCTGCAGCCGGACCTTGATCGTGTCAATGGGCTGCACGCATGTTGTGGCGACCATGCCCGAGCCGCAGCCTACAATGAATGGAAGCGCGGTCTGAAGGGCAGGGAGTCCCTTGGTCAAAGTAATAGCCTCTGCATCTACCATAGTTACGTAGAGTAATCAAAGGATATGAACGATGGTCAGCTGCAGTCGAGAGTATACAAGTCAACACAATCATACACGTTGACAGTTACATTAGGCTAAAACTGAGATTGCTAGGCAATAGTATCTGTACTATACGAAAGAAGCGACAATCGACATCGTAGAGCTTTTGCGTGTCTGGGCACCGGGACTGATACTCTAGAGAGAGACCATGGGTAGTTGGGTTGCCGAGGGAAAGAGTCTAAGCAAGCCCGAGGTGATTGGGTTGCCGAGGGAGAGAGTCCGAGAGAACCCGAAGTAGCCCCGATACACGCAAAAGTGAAATGCACCATTGTCTAGGGGAAAGAACTAGTCCGACGGCAGAAGGAGACACGGACCCGTCATGACTAGACCCTGGAATGCAATTATTTCCTCCTCCTCTTACTACTGCAGCTGTTATCTACATAGTTATTTACTATGGAGCAAATGAGGCTGTTGTGAACTGGAATCTGACTGCTTTTCTCACTGTATATATATCATTCCTGGTCTACCTCTGCTTATTATTATCTTGCTGTCTATGTTTGTATAGTTGCATTGATCAAAGCTTATCACAAAAGTTTATTCTGCTCTCATATTCTTTCACAATAAGAAACGATGAGGCTGCTTTTGTCAGGCCAGCGTATGCGTCCTTCTCTCTGCAGCCATGTCTACGCGAAACCATCATCACCAGGATCTGCTACAAGAGCAGCGATGAATTACAGATACAGCTCAAGCACTGCATCACCACCGTCGCCTTGCTCAAAACAGGGCGCCCTGACAGGCATCAAAATCATAGACCTCTCACGAGTTCTGGCGGTAAGTTAACACTGTCTCGTCTTTCCACATTAGTGGAAAGAAAGACATAAGACATTATTTCTCACCAAACAATATTGCATGTAACAGGGCCCCTTCTGTACCCAGATCCTTGCCGATTATGGCGCCGAGGTCACAAAGGTGGAGGCTGTTGGTAAAGGGGTATGTATATCAAGGATTCTACAATTATGTGCGAGACAGAGACGACTCTTCTCTCCGTAACTGCAATGTGAACTGACTCATTTCTCTTGCCTCCCTTAGGATGACACACGGCACTGGATGATGACTGGTGAGAAGGCCGCATGGAATGAGTCCAGCGGTCCCATCTCCAACTACTTCGCAGCCGTGAACCGAAACAAGCGTTCTATCACCGTCAACTTCAAAAAGGCCGAGGGACGACAGCTGATTCTCGATCTGATCAAAGACTCTGATGTAGTGTAAGTTTGTTTCTCATTTCTTCATCCCTTCTCTTAGACTAGGAGCTTACATTAGAATCTCGTGTCTCTCAGGGTCGAGAACTTCAAACCAGGCACCATGGAGCGTCTGGGATTAGGCTACGACGTGCTCAAGGAGATTAACCCTCGTATCATCTATGCAGGCTTATCAGGTACTTAGAGAAGAAACATACTGGCTCTCTCTTCCCTAAAAGCCCGCGCTAACTATCTTATCTTGCCCAGGCTATGGACGGACTGGCCCCTACCGCACTCGCGGAGGCTATGATCCCATCGCCGCCGCCGAGGCTGGTCTCCTCCATGTAACAGGCGAGAAGAATGGTCCTCCTGTGCGAGCTGGTATCGGCCTGGTAGACATGTCGACAGGACTCTTCCTGCACGGTGCCATCCTCTCAGCCCTCATCGCTCGTGCGCGAGACGGAACAGGCCAGCGAGTCGACGCCAGCTTGTTCGAGACGCAACTCAGCCTTTTGACTAACGTCGGTCTCGCTTGGCTCAACCTTGGCATCGAGGCCGAGCGCTGGGGTTGCCAGCACCCAAGCATTGCACCCTACGATGCCTTCAAGACTAAAGACCGCTACCTCGTATGTGGTGCCACCAACGATGCCCAATATGCTGCGCTGTGTCGCCTCCTGGGTGTGGAGCACTTGGCCACCGATCCTCGATTTCTTACCAACCCCCTACGCGTGCAACATCGCGACGAGCTTGCCGCTCTCTTGGGCCCCATCTTCGCCTCCAAGACCATCGACGAGTGGATCGCGCTGTTCGAGCCCTCAGGGCTCCCCTTTGGCCCAATCAATAACATGGAGGCCACCTTTGCCCATCCTCAGACGGCTGCGAGAGATATGATTATTGATGTGCCTTTGGAAGCTGCTTGCGCTGGCTCAATCAAGGTTATCGGGCCTGCTGTTAAGTTTGGCGATAGCAAGACAGGCTTGCGGACAGGTCCACCTCGCCTGGGCCAGCATACAGTTGAGATCTTAGAGGAGATGGGTATGGACGCTGAGACTATTACAAAGTATAAGAAGGATGGTATTGTATAGTAAAGTATGAATAAAATAGATGTATACTTGAATCTAAAATTTCAAGTAGTAATTCTCTTTATAAACTATTACCTCCTTAATTAGTATAAATGTCTGCTGAATCATATTTAATTCTTATACAATTTTAATAAAACTTAAGAGTTTAAAAAGTCTAGCCCTATATCAAAGTTCATCAAGGCTGGATCAACGATATCCCCTATATTATACCAGGCATCTAAATCAAGTTGGATGCCAGCCATCAGGTCTGCGGGAAGTGGTATATCTCTCTCAGAGTGCATGTAGCCTGCAGCGCTCCAGATATTCATTAAGTTTGGTGTAGCGGATGGGTTCATATTTGGGCCTGCTGATGGTTGTCCTGAAGGTTGCCTACAAAGAGCATCGCCCGTTGGTCCTGCTCCAGGGATCGGCGTGGATATCGTTTCTTCTTGGGAGGCGACCGGGTTTCCTTCTGCAGGGACCGGGCTTGGATATGCGGTTGCAACTCGACTGGGCCCCGTCTCTGAAAACAGCCTCGAGTTCTTTGCTGTGGCTCTGTTTGGGCCGCCACCGGCGAACACCCTGTCGCCCGTCATTGAGCTCCTAGCCTTTGACATCGAGTTCCCTATACCAAGCAAAGGCAGCATGAAGCCAGCATTCTGTAGCATGTTGTTGATGATCTGTACCGCCTCGTCGGCAGCCGTATACATATTCTGTAGTTGATGCAATGCATCAAGGCACTGACAGAAGCGACCAATGCTGATGTTCCGCGTTTCCTCATCTGGAGAACGTATGTTCAGTAAGTGTATCAAAACCGCGGATAGGAACGCTGGGATGCTACTCGTTGGCGCGTAGCACATCTGGCCGTTGGACTGTAGATCAAAGGCAAGCTTGGTAATGGCCACGGCGGCCTCAGTTAGCTTGCGCCTTGACTCTACTTTGCGTGTCGAATCGATGCTATCTGAGCCACTGTAGAAGACCTGGGGCCGATGTAAGGCCCCAATCGCCGTGAGATATTTCATATAGAGCAGAATCTTGTGCAGCCTGATCGTGGAGTTTTCCACCTGCGCAGTGGCGGTCCCTTCATCTCGGGCTCCAAGCACATAGCGAGACTCTGACGTGAGATTCTGAAACCACTCTTGGAGATCAGCATCGCATTTTGCAAAGCTGTTGGCCTGCTCCTTCAAGCTTCTGGGTCGAACGATCGCTCTTCGCAGGTAGTTAGAGCCCCCCCCTGGCGTGCTAGCAATGGTGTACTGGGAGTGGAGAATCCGCCCAATCGTAATACACAGTTGACTGAGGTCTATACAGAGGGTGGCCATTCTCTGACGGTTTACTGGATCTTTACCCGTGTAGCTTGGAGCCACGAGCAACCTAGCGACTGCAGGTGGCGGTGGAGCCGAAATGTCAAAATCATCAAGTCGTAACAGTTCGACACTGAACTCATCCTCCCGGATTCTGGAAGGGCGACGAAGGCCGAGCCCAAGCAGTCGATCTCGTATCACGCAGGACCACCATATCCGGCGTCGCAGCCGTCTTTTCTTGGTCATCTGCTGCGGCTCCTCGAGGTCGCGATGGAGTCCTTCTATGTGCGCTGTAGTAAGAGCGAGGCCCATCCAGTACCACGTATGCTTGTCGTCACTGTCGGAGTCGTACCAGTATGTCATGAGGAGCAGCGACTGTACCAGAGTTAAACGGTCTGTCTCATAACCTAGACTATAGAGAAGCTTCACCCGGTTAAAGAAGACTTTTCGGGCTGCTCTCTTGCTCTCGAGGCCATGACTTTGCAATAGTTGAATATCAACAAACGTAACGCTGGAGAACATAATAGCCTGGAACAATAATAGACTAACAGTAGCACCCTCACTTGATCCTGTAATAGGTTCAAGAAAGTCTATAAGATCAATGGCAGGCATAAAGGGATAGACTATAAAGGCATAGATCCGGATAAGCTCATCTCGTAGCTGATTATCGGGTATAGTCAGGCAGTCCTTGCGAGCTAAAAACTCAAAGTCATGCTTGTCCAGATGAGAAGGAAAGGGGCTGATATATGATGGTAGATGGTATTGCGAATCACCTTGGTTTTGGTTTGTATGAGGCGTGTTCGCTGAGACGCCGACATCGTCTATTCTTGATAGAGAAGCAGGGGCCTCTGCAGTGTCTTGTTCAGTCCATCCTAGAGCGTACAATCCCAAATTAGACCTGACATGACTTTACCGTGATATTTTCTTCTCCTTGTATGAAGCTAGATACTTTGATCTTACCTTGAAAAGCGAGAGCCACCAGATAGTCAGATGTTGTTGGGTTGGCAGGCTGAGAGGAGGGCGTTGAGCGTATCGCAGCCCCTTGTTTAGGTTGCTTCTGTGGCTGTTGTTCGCAATGCGCCTCATGTACGGTGCCGTTCGGTTGGGACTGGGCCTCGTGTGTTAATCGTGTTTGTTCTGCTTCTTGCCGGTCGTGCCAGCTGTTGTTCTCGTCTTGGTCATCTTCGCATATCGTTTCTTCATCATCATGAGCCAGTGGCTGGCTAACGTGGCGCTCTTGAGGCTGACCAGCAGCCACAGAGCTGTGGTCAGGGCCAGCGCAAAAGACAGTGGTGGGAACTGAGCCAGGTGCAGACCCAGACGCGGCTGTGTCAGCGTCCGTGTTTATATTAACGAGAGGTGAGGATGCTCTCGTAGCTGTGGCATTCAACGCCAAACTCGAGCGGTGCTGACGTTTAGAGGGATTGTGCTTGCCTCGATTTGACGCCTTTAGGACGCAGTCGACGTCGTCGAGCCGACAGTTGGTGCATGGCACTCCGCCGTTGACAACGTCGCACCGCACCTTACGATCTCGACACGAGACGCAAGCCCTGAGTGCTCGCTTCTTTACAGCCCGGTTTCCAGCTGGTGATAGGTTGTTGTCCCAAGAACCAGGTCGTTTTCGCGGAACCTGGCAATTGATAGCATGGGCAGGGGCAGAGGCGCCCTGTGCACCAAGTCGGTTATCAGGCGATACCATTAGAAGATTCTGCCCCTTAGGCTTCACATATGGGTAAATTTGGTTTTTAGCTGTTCTTATTGTGTTTGATACCGTATATGGCCCGAGTGTTACGAACCAACTGATCTGGACTACCAGGATGGTTTGATCGTGTTTTGGTGACAGAAGAAAGTCGGAGAAATCCCGGAGGAACTACTGCACTAGAGGAGGATCGGACATAGGTGGGCCGGATATAAGTCATGTGACCAGCCAGAATAACCGACACCGACATACAGTCTTTGGCCTAGGAGGATAGAACCACCAGTATATAAACAGTTCCTACAGTAGCAAATACGACGATTAATTCCTCAGTATTTATTTTGAGCATTCTATTATAAATGAATGCAGTTTATTCCTTAATAAATAAGATTATTATTACTACTTCTCGATAAGTATGTTCAACTGAGGCAGCTGGGACAGGGTAGACAGAGACACAGCTAATGAAGAGAAGAGGGAGAAAGAAACGTCTACCACACTCTCACCACCCCACGAACCCTGTATGCATACATCGACCAAGGTACTCAGCTGAGTACTAGTAGGCGTCTATACGTAGGGTAGGTGATCGCAAGTTTGTCAAGGTTCAAGATACTAATAGACTGAGTTATCAAAATGGACAAACCGGGGAAAATGTTAACGTTGACTAGACAGCTAAGGAAACCCTATCCCTACGTTTGCAATATTCATTCTCTATCGTAGGAAAAAGCACTGAAAAGCATTCGGTGTCCCGACTTAATATCCATCTGCGTCTCTCCTCTTCAGTGTCGCCTGGCGTGAATTGTAGAGTCACACTTAAGAAATGATTGCGCTTCAATTAGAGGGAACAGTGGGTGGTGAAGACTCGATCAAATATTCTGCAGCTACTACCCGAGATTACCCTACATTCCCCGGACCTTGATGGGGCAGGGGGGGGGGTCTAACAGTTGGAGCTTGTGTTGCCTCGGCAATTAGATTCTCCTCGGTTATTATTATTTGTCAACGCCACAAGTATGTATCTCATTTTCAGCCTAACATTAAGAACTATATGTGTCAAGGTTTACTCTCAGCTATCTTATCCTTTCTAAGTCGGGTTATGATATGTAACTGATAACCCTATGGGTCTAGTCCTCATTATACATATTAAAGATATGAAATTTATTTTCCGTAGATCCGATTCATTGCCATATCCAATCGTATCGATTTATTAGATAATCGGGAAAGGCTACATAGAAAATGCAAAAATAACTATCTATTGAGCGCCCCGAAGTAACCCCGCATAAACTATATGCATGGATCAGGACTAGTTTTGTGGGTGTGATATGACACGAGTCAGAGACTAAGACTGGCCCTCTCTCTCTGCCACGGTTATATCTCTCCCCGACCTCCCCGCCCCTCTCCCAATCTCCCACCCGTTTTGCTACAGTCTCCACACTCGCATCAATGTCGTCAAAGAGAATGTCAGAAAATGATCAAGAGAAATCCTCAGAGACGGATCCACCAGCGCACAAGCGACGACGCATCGGCTTGGCCTGTAATGCGTGCCGGATGCGGAAGTCTAGGTATGTCTGCTTCTTGTGCATGGTGTCATTCTTCCATTTCTGTCCCGAAACTAGACCAGGCTACCCTGCACCTTTTGACTGACTGGCTGGGGTAGATGTGATGGCCATCGACCTTCTTGCTCATCCTGCCTGTCCCTTGGAGTAAACTGTTTATATGAGCCTGGTGATTCCACCACTAATGTCATCGTCCGGAAAGACTACGTTTCAGACTTGGAACAACGTGTCGCTTCCGTTGAGCATAACCTTCAAAGATTGAACGATGTTCTCAAAGGCCATTTGTCACCATGCACTACCAACAGCAATAATCACCATAACAATCACGATTCGCCATGTCATCAGCCAGTCATCGAGCAATCGGTTATTTCACCCAGACCCAACACTCGAGACAAAAGTGCACCAAATGAGACTTGTGCCACTGGTTTGGAGGAGCCTCATGACGAGGATGCCAACACCAATGGCATGGCCATGACCTTTGTCGAAGAGAAGACGTCTGTTTACTACGGTGAAGCCTCAAACATCAATTTTACACAACTTCTCCTACGAGCCTTGGCAACCGTACATGGAGCCACGCCTGTGGCACCCTCTGCCTTGAACCAGGCTTCGGGTCCCGGAGATGGTGTAACCGCTGACATGTCTCTCAACAAACGCGCCGTCTCTGCTAGTGACTTGGCTGCACCAGAACCCTCTCCCACCGCTCTACCGTCAGTCCAAGAGATGGATAACCTGTTGGACATATACTTTGACACAGCTGGGGTCGTGTTTCCATTCATATGCGAGGATACCATGCGAAAGACGTACGATGAGTGCAGAAACAACGGTTTCACAAGAGCACGCAGAACATGGCTCGGAACCTTGAACATGATATTTGCTCTTGCCAGTTGTTTTGTAACTTGCGAATCTACATCTTCATCTGCCAAAGTACGCTTCGAGAAGTCCAACGTGTTCTACAGGAGAGCAACGGCACTCTGCGGCGAATTATCGAAACGTGTCGTCAGTCTCGAGATTGTCCATTATCTTATTCTCGTCGTTCTCCACTGCCAAGGGACGCAGCGGTCAGTACAAGCATGGAACAACCACGGACTAGCCATCCGATCGGCCATGGCGCTGGGTCTGCATTGTCAATCCAGCGGAGCGTCCCTTGACTCGGCTCAACAGGAATACCGCCGACGGACGTGGGTTGTTATATACTGCCTGGACAAGGTGCTTAGTACTGCATTTGGAAGACCGGCGAGTATTGCCGACGAGCAGATGCATTCCTTCAACAGACGCGAATCTGTCACAGGATTATCACCCATGTCTTTGTCTAACCCTGGAGTCCCGGTTGACCTCCCTGGAGACTTCTTGTCCGTTTCCTTCAGGCTATACCAAGTCATGAGCAAGTCGCTAGTAGAACAATATGGAACGAACCTGGACCACAGTGACTCGGATCACGATGACATGGCTCCATTGAAAGCATCAGGCGAGCTCCGAAAACAACTCCGTCTCTGGGCAGGAAGTCTTCCAGGTCATCTGCGTGTCTGCCAGCCAGAAGATGAGTTCCTGGCCCAGAACTCACAAGGGAACAGATTACGTGTCATCCTCACGCTTAGGTATCATAATCTCGGTATCTTGATACACAAGCCACTTCTCAGCGCCACGATACGTCATTTGTTTCAGGCGGAGAAGAGAGTGGATGCACCGCCGTCATATATGATACAGCTTGCCATGGCAGAGGCACACGAGTGTTTACGATCTGCGCAGTTAACTATTGACATTGTACATGCTGTTATTAGTACAGATCCCTCACCCGGGAACAACCTCGGCGCCTGGTACTTTACACTATACTACGGTGAGTGACCATAGTATCGCTCCACTACATGGGCACATCGCTAACCTCATCTTGATAGTTTTCACAGCCTCATTGGCTGTCAGCGGCCGTTTGCTTTGGGCACAGCATGGCCAAAGCACTGTTGACGAGGTAGCAGTAGATCACTGTAAGAGTCTACTCAGCAAAGCCGAAGAGATATTCAAAAAGCTCGATCACGAAAATAGTCTGGTATTGAGCTGCCTCGAATACATTGCTCGCCTGGCCCGAATATGCAGTATGAAAGGTGAGTGACAGATCAAGCTTGCCGCAATTGATTCATGAACTTATGAATGAATCACCGGTAGATGTCCCTCCAAACCCCCACAAGGGTAGTTCAGACATAACGTCAGATACTACGAATGCAGCGAGTGGCACAGTGGATACCATGCCGTTTGACGATGATGGTATGGATGCATTCCAGCTGTTTGCAGCCGAGATGTTTGATCCAAATATTTTTAAAGGATTTAACCTATCGCCTGAAGGGGTGGGATTTACAGACGGGATTTGGGAAGGGTTTCCTTGTGGCGGATGAGCGGATTGTGATGTAAAATAATATTAAAATCTGATACAGACTCTCTATCCCTCATTATGTGACAAGTTCAAAATACCTTGAATCACAAGTACCTGGTAAGATTGGATTTGTCATGTAATGGCTAGTCTATCAGATGACGATAGGGAATAATGCGATGCCCATCATTGGAAAAAACTGTTGAATTTTAATCGGATTTAGTCTAGTCTCTGAGGTTAGTAAAAGTCGCTCGGTAATTGACGTGAGCCGTGTCTCACGGACCTACTCCGGCCTAACTCCCCGTCTGACTCCCCCACCTTCCGTCACTGTGCTTAGAGTTTGTGATGGCGGATTTGAAGATTTCCTCCGTGGAACCGCCCTGGGATGTCCGGGTTAGATTACGAGACTTTTACTGGTATAATAATCTGGCTCATAAGCTGATCAGTTCACTGTTGGTACTGAACACACAGGATCATACGCTTATACACATATACATACCGCCTAAATACACAGACATTCGACATTACTCATCTAAAATTTACCTAACGCTTCCATTCAACTCATCATGTCGTGTCTCCCCGATCCAACAGTACTCACCCAGCTTCACGTGGATAACCCTCCAAGATACTCCCAAGCACAGCTCAAAGACTACCTGAAAGTCATCAAGCTTCCTCAGAGATTCCTCGACTCACCGGTGCTAAAGGACTCGAGCCTTGCCCACACTAAGGAACACGGTCTGCCCCTCCTCAAAGCCATTACCCGTTACCACGCATGCAATGTACCCTTTGAAAACCTTGAGCTCCACTACTCAGCACACAAGACCATCACGCTTGACCCTGTTGAGCTCTTCGAAAAGATAGTCACCCGTCGCCGTGGTGGTCGTTGTATGGAGAACAACACCTTTCTTGGTACTGTTTTTCGCTCATTTGGTTATGAGGTTCGCGATTGCGGCGGCCGTGTGGCGCGTGCCATGAGTCCTTATCCGGATGTTAGGAAAAACCAGGCATATACTTACGATGGCTGGAACCATATGCTCAACCTCGTCCACTTCGAGGATGAGTGGTATGTTGTCGATGTAGGAATGGGCTCAATGGGTCCCAACTTTCCTTTTCCTCTGCGTCATGGTTTCGAGACGACGAGCATCGCTCCTCGAAAGATCCGTCTTCAGCGCCGTGCCATTGCCGAGTCCCACGCAAGCAACCCCACCAAAGGAACAGAGCTGTGGTGTTACGATGTCTGCCTCAAGCCTACTGAGGACGGAACGGAAGTGTGGACGCCTACTTACGCCTTTACTGAGACCGAGTTTCTACCCCAAGACTACGAAGTCATGTCGTGGTTTACTTCTACGAACCCGCGCTCTTTCTTCACAAGATATGTCACCTGCACCAAGATGATCCAGGATGAGGAGAAGGAAGAGATTATCGGAAATCTCACCTTGTTCAAGGATACGATCAGAGAGACGATTGGCAGCCAACGTAAGGTTGTCAGGGAGTGTAAGACGGAAGAGGAGAGAATCCAAGCGTTGGTTGAGATTTTCGATGTTAACTTGACAGAGGAGGAGAAGAATGGACTTCCTGAGGAGAGAAGACTGGCTTGAGGGAGGCCCTGGCAATATTAATATTGATCTTGAGAATGAAGACAGGTAGTTTATTCCAGATTTTGTTAGCAACCAAAGCCCACTTTCAAGTATCTTTTCAGGCATCTTTTCAAGTTTCTATGAGATCGTGTTCTTTATCATTTGTTATCTTTCACTAGGTGAAGAAGTCGGTCAAGCTATCAATGCATCTTTTCACTGTTGGATATTTAGCCAATTGTGGATACAGTTACACATGAATACATTGGTTAGGTATGAGGGTTACTGCGAGACATGTAATCTCAATATCTTGACTTGTCATTTCTTCTACGATAACGTCAAAGAACTGAAGTATCACAAGCTCACAACACAGCATAATTTACCTAATGTAGTGGATAACACCGATAACGCACTCTTCGCTAACCCATCCACTTCTGAGCCCCCAGTATTATCTACACGGTTACGTCGTTATCCGTAAGTCCGCTAGCGTCCGCAATTTCCCCGCAATAGGTCTTTCGCCCTGGCAGAAGGGAAGACACACCTTGGCTATCCAATACAGTACGACAAAATGTAATGTCTCTACGTCGCACTGATCACCTCTCGAACACCCGCTTCGCTATCCCGCAGTTTTAGAGGGGTAGAGGGGGGAGCCACAGCGACTGATAGTGCGCCCGCAGATAACCGTTAGTGGTTGATCATAATACAGTATGACCTAATACTAGAGCACCTGACAGTAGAACAGAGCACCATCAGAGGTTCAATCCGACAGCCGACCTTGTTCCCCGGATAACCAACTGCCGCCAGACTTGGAAGTCAGCCAGCTGTCTGTATTGGGGATAAATAATGGGGGAAAGTAAGACAGAGTTTTGACCTCATCCATTCACCTCAAGTCAGATCACCACAGTCATTAATTCCTGCACCTGCATCACCTTGTATTATATCGCATCGCGCTGCAGCCATGTCATCTATTCGTCTCCCACCCCCGGTAGTAATACCACAGTCCCAGAGCGTAGTCGATGTCTACATCATTGACACAACAAGCTACATGAGCAATGTCCCCGCCTCAAGCTTCGTGGAACCCCTCGTTTCTGGTTTTGAGACCCTCAACGCTGGCTCATATGCCTTCCTCATCAAACACACTAGCTCCAAGTCATCAAAACACGACACCATGGTCTTCGATCTGGGTGTTCGTAAAGATTGGGAGAACCTACCCGATACCTTTGTCGCAGCTGTCAAAGAAGAAGGATGGAGCATAGATGTTCAAACAGACGTTGCCTCCATCCTTCGTGACAATGGGCAGGACCTGAATAGTGTTGGAGCTATTATCTGGTCGCACTGGCATTTTGACCATGTTGGTGATCCGCAGACATTTCCTTCAACGACAGATCTAATTGTCGGCCCCGGCTTCAAACAAGGAGTAATGCCAGGCTGGCCGACTGCCAAAGACTCACAAGTTAACGAAACTGCTTGGCAGGGCCGTGAGTTGATCGAGATCGAGTTTAGTGGCGAGGCAGCGCTTGACATTGGTAAATTTCAGGCTTACGACTTTTATGGAGATGGAAGCTTTTATCTCTTGAACTCACCTGGTCATGCAGTTGGACACATGTCAGCTCTTGCTCGCACAACAGCTGATCCGCCTTCCTTCATGCTTTTGGGTGGTGACATTGCCCATCACTGCGGTGAATTTAGACCCTCCCCTTACACACCTTTACCCGAGATGATCTCTCCCAACCCTCTTGGACATACCCTCTCAGCGTGCCCCGGCAGGCTATTCCTATCCGTCCATCCCTGTAAGGACCCGGAGAGACCCTTTTTTGACCCCACAGTCGGACCGGTCTGGCACGACGAGGGACTCCTTGCCAAGGAAAGCATTGACAAGCTGATCGAAGCGGATGCATACGACAACATCTTCCCTGTCATGGCGCATGATATGACACTGGTTGGTACAGTCGACCTATATCCTAAGAAGGCCAACAACTGGATGTCCAAGAGATGGAAGGAAGACACGCGGTGGGGTTTCTGTGGCGATTTCACGCCCCTGGATGAGGAGATTGGCGCAAAGAAGGATCAGCCAGCAACACTTGAGGAGCATCATGAAGTGAGAGATTCTACACAGGACCCTAAGGTGGCTTCGATTGTTCATATGGAGTATACGGACGTAGATAAAAAAGCGAAACTTCACGACCTCACATTAACATAACATCTTAAATCTCTCTTAAATCTGACTTTTAATTCTATATGTATGTTTCATGCTTGATACAGTTCTGTTTACTTGTGAAAGAGCCTATACGCTAAGTATTCAAAGATGTAATCATGCCGCATCTGATGCAGGGAACCCTAGCTTTGTATCACGTCCAACACCCATCCATTCACGAAATTGCATACAAATAGGAAGAAGCACTGACTGTGAAGCTATTTGTGGAGAACAAAAATATATACCTTATATGTCTACCATTTAATTGCCAATGCTTTTCATAGCACTCTCACTGTAACGATCGCCCTGAGGCTTCAGAGCATCCACCAATTTACGCATCTCCTTATTCTCCTCTTCTGTTATCTCAATCTCTCTCGCCGCAAAGTTTTCAATCAACCGCTCAGGCTTGGTGGTACCAGGGATTGCAATCATTCCCTGGGCCGCAATCCATGCTATCGCAATTTGAGGCAGCGTGCAGTTCTTCTTTCTAGCCAGCTCCTTGAACTTATCAGCAATTCTCTTATTGGCATAGAAATTCTCTCCCTGCCACTTGGGTACTATTTGATTACATTAGCAACGGTATTTAACCTTGAGAATTTATGAAACGTACTTTGACGCCGGTAGTCATCGGGGGAAAAATCGTCAGGTGTTTCGTAAGGAAAATCCTCCACTAGCCAGCCATGTCCAAGAGGACCGTAGGCAACGAAAGAGATGTCTAGTTCGCGAGCTGTGTCAATAAGACCGTCTGTCTCGTGTAGAGTCTCAAACGCAGAGTACTCTGCTTGCACAGCGTCGATCTTGGCAACTAAGACTTAATGAGCATAGTGTTTGTTGTGCAGGATCTGTCATGCTTACTTGAGTTTGCCATACGCAATGTCTCTGCGGAACACTCAGAAAGACCAATATACTTAGTCTTTCCTTGCTTACGGAGTAAGTCCATTGCAGGAATAGATTCCTCTAGGGGTGTGTCTATATGTTATTGTCAGTATTTTGATCAATTGATAGCAGTGTATATGTTTCTCAATCTACTTACTCGGATCTATGCGGTGGATATAGTACAAGTCAGGAGCGAAGCCAAGTCGATTGATGGTTCCTTCAATGTACGTCTGGATATGCTCGGCTGAGTTGGTGATTGATCCATCTTCAAAAGCAGCAACACCGCACTTTGATGCAACTGAGTCACATCAGTTAGTAACACGCGTGATGTTTGTATTTTATTTTTTCCACGTACTAAAAAGCTTGTCGCGACAGTTATGTTTCTTGACAAATTCGCCGATAAGTTCCTCATTTTTGCCTGGCCCATATGAAACCTAATACAGTTGGTTGGTAAGAACGTGCAATTGACAGTGTCATTGGGTAAGCTGCATAGACGTACAGCAGTATCCCAAAACGTACATCCCTGTTTGAGGGCTTCGAGGAGGACAGGCTCAGCCTGCTCATAGCTGAGATCGTTGCCGAGTGCAAAGCTAATTCCCATAGCACCAAATCCAGGGACTGGGATATCCAAGTCCCCGAAGCGCAGTGATTTAACCATGGCAGTTAATTGGTAGTTTGTTGATAGTGTCGGTGTTAATGGTGTTGTAACTAATGTATAGGTATAATGTTGCAAATATTATAGCAGCTCATTAAATGCACGGAGCCAGTACAGTCCCGGGAGATAGAGGTGCCGATTACGCGTTATCAGTTACTAGTTTTAGATAAGGGGTACAAGCTTGGTCAAATCATACTAACGACGGCTGAGATCGGAAATGGGGTAAACCTGGGAGTGCCCGGCTTCGTCGGTAGTGGATACAATGGGTGATTTTCCGCGGCTTAATAAGAATCTCATATCAGCTCTTAACAGGTTACTGTAGATACCAGTAACAGTTACTTACCAGGCTTCCTGTACAATAAAGTCTCAGTGGGCAGTTCTACGCTCACTTGTCCCGTATAGTCCATCCCTTCAACTTTTTCTCTGCTGGCATCTGTAGGAGACCCAGTCCATTTTGTAATACAAACTTCGACAAGGGTTGTGACTTTTGACAATAGAGGTCTATATACTTTTTATTCCCCCCTTCTTGAATTGTAGTACTAGATAAAGATGTAAGAAACATGTCATTTTTTTTCATGTTTCAAAGTTCTTTTGTTTTGATGTTGAGTTCTGTTGGAATCACTTTTGGCTGCTTGACCTTGTGGGCTGATGATATTGCTTCACCATACTGTTGCGAAGCTGGGGGAAAAATATTTTTTATTCCAAGAAACTATTTCTCACTACCTCTCTCCTTGCCTATAGGCGCCCGGGAGCATCACGCTGAAAAAATATTCTCCTCAACCTCAAGGCAGCCAAGTCAATCACAGCACGAGCAGTTGGACCATCTCGTAGTGCCTTCACAACACAAAAAGCATGCATCTGCCCCTCAGCCTTCACGATAGATGCGTCGACCCCATTTTCCTGGAGCCTATGTCCGAATGCCACACCTTCGTCGAGTAGCGGGTCAACGGTGGAGAGGAAGATGATAGTAGGGGGGAACTGAGCCAGGACTTGGTCTGGAAGATGGGTCAGCGGTGATGCCAGTGCTGTCTCCCTGTCTTTCAGGTTCGGTAAGAAAGACTCAATCATCCAATCCATCGAGTCTTCTGTCAGGAATGGCGCCTGAGAGAAAGTCGTGTATGATCCAAGCTTCTTGTGTGTGACTGTCACGGGAGCCCATAGAACCAATTGGCCGATCTCAGTCGGCAGCTTGCGCTTCAGAGAAATCTGCATCATAGCAATAGCCATGTGGCCTTGTCGACGTTAGTATTTGTGCCTCATTTCACAAAGGGGACGTCTCGAACACACCTCCAACACTATCTCCAGCAAGAGCAATGGTTCCAGGTAGAATTTGATGCTGACTCGAATGACGAACCATGTAGTCAAGAGTTTCATAGCTCTGCTCAAGCGGGTATGGGAACGTTTGATGAGGTACACGAGTGTAGTCAGGGAAGACTATGACAGCTCGGGTACGGCGGGCCAAGTCTTCCATTAACACAGCGAAAGACTTGGCGCTAATCGAATATGAATCAGTTGACCATGTTCAGAAACACAGGATGTAGAAAAAGATGATTGTTAATTACCTTCCCATGATCCAACCGCCACCATGAGTATAGAACACCATAGGCAGTGGCTTATCAACAAGAGTTTTCAGCCTGAACAATGTTACAGTTGTCGGACCATATTTTTTGCCAACTTGAATGGTTGTTGTCTCGATATCTGCAGCTGCATCATGCTTCTGTATCTGCTCCAAGCTGTCGTACGCCTGTTGGTAACCGCCCATTTGATGGGGACAAGGCAAATCCTTGATTTGTTCGTAGAAAGCGGCATTGGTGGGGTCAAGCTCAAACATGATGGGCAATTAACAAACACGATTCCAAGTAAAGACACAAACCAAGAAAAACAAAGGATCATCGGTCTTATACTATAGGGAATGGTTAAAACCAATGCAGATCAACATTAGGTGGTACCTGTTTGGTAAGACAAAGGAGAAGCCGTTTCGGCTCAAACGGGGCATTGTAGGGAGTGTTAAGCCGAGAAATGTCTCTATCAAAAGATAGTCATTTTCCCCTACCTTTTAGTATCTCTAGACCGCGGAGATGTTCCCCGGACCGTGCTCCTCCTTAGGCAGTACAGTGTGGGAACTTCCCCGCATTCTATGACTGAACTTTATCTACAGCATTAGATCCGGTAGAAACAGTGCAGCCATCATGTTCCGGAGACTTACATTGAGCAGACCTATTGGCCTGGAACCCATTATGCAACATCGTTTACTTCTTCAACACTTGTTAGTCAGGTAGGCATTGCATTTCAGGAAATATTAGACGAAACCCGGGAAATGCGGAACTGAGTAGATATAAGACAGGGTTTAGGTTTGGTAGAACAGTGATAAGATATCGCAAAATCTAGGTAGGTCGAAGTCATGGCTGTCTCGTCAATGCAGTCCCTCGGGGGGCTTATACCGCCCCCCGAGATAACGCTCGTACTTTCCATGTCAGGCCAGGTCTGTGAGACACTAAGTTCTCGGCATCAGTTATCATTCTGGCTAGGTTTACCACTTGGGAAAGTACTGGTAAGGGCTTCCTGTATTGAATGTTCTTCTATATCGTCAAGGCACGTAGATAATTGATGTTTCATGTAACAATTGCCGAGTTGTTATCGCTAATCAAAACATTCCAATGTGAAATAACACCAGACCACTGATCGCTGCATTAGGCTTCTAAACATCTGATTCCTCAACCAAAAATGTTGAGCTTTTTCCTTTTAAACTGGGTTGCGTCTTCTGCCCAAACCCAACCAGGTGGCGAGCTAGCGTATCTGAACAGGGAGTCTAAACTCGCTATGCTTCATGGAGTTATTCCATAATCTATAGTGACTGTTATCGAATGATCTGGATTTCCAGTAGTATCTAGCCCCCATTAACCCCGCGTTGCCCCGGACTTACCTGAGAAATTGGATGAGACAAGACTGATTTCAAATATAAGTACCTCTTCTGCATGCTTCATTTTCTAGTCTATTATTGTCTCACATCTCCCTCAATCTTTCTATCACCTTCAAATTACTACGAAATGGCATCTCCCACGGGCACTTCTATTCTGCAATACTCAGGTGCTGATCAGAAAGAAAAGGGGGCTCTTGATCATGGTGATGCCCCAAGCGTTGATATCGGGAGAGAGGAGACCAGGGATGTTTTCCAAGAGAATGTTGATGGAGTTGAGTTCAGGACTGTCAGTTGGCAACGAGCTGCGGTGGTCTTCCTCAAGATCAACTTTGCCATGAGTATCCTCGCCATACCAGCAGCTCTTGGTGCATTGGGTTCCGTGGGAGGCTCTTTCTGTATCATCGGATACACGTCTCTGAATGTTTGTGAGTCAGCCAAATCCAATATTCGTCACAATGAGCTGACTAGCGTAGATACTGGCCTTATTCTTGGTGACTTCAAGCATAACCATGTAGAGTGCCACAGTATGTCTATATCTTCCTTATGATTATACCGCTAAGCGCTAATCAATTAATCCACAGCATTAGCTGACATGATGGGCCTCATCTGGGGCCGCTGGGGTCGCGAAATAGTGGGTGTCCAGATCATTGTCCTCCAAGTCCTCATCACAGCTGGTGGAATAGTCACGACAACTATTGGGTTTAACGCACTGTCAGGCCATGGAGCATGCACTGTCTACTTTGGCCTTGTTTCTGCCATTGCTATCACGCTGTTCTCATCCATCCGCACATTCTCCAAGCTAGGTTGGTTGACATGGTTCGGCTTCATCACATTTGTCATTGGCGTCTTCATCTTTGTTGTGGCCGTGACACAAGTCGATAGACCTGCTGCTGCTCCCAAGACTGGAGACTTTGATCTCGGTTGGGCGCCCATTGCATACCCTAGCTTTGTCGTTGGCATGGTCAACGCGACCAACATCTTCATCAGTACCGCCGGCTCTTCCATGTTCTTACCCATTATTTCTGAGATGAAGCGGCCCCAAGATTACCGCAAGGCCTGTCTAGTTGCTGGTTTCATTGTCGGAGCCATGTACCTGTCTTTCAGTCTGGTCATCTACCGTTACTGCGGCGTCTGGCTCTCCACTCCCGCTTTTGCCAGTGCTGGACCTATCATCAAGAAGATTGCCTATGGTGTCTCCTTACCCGGACTAATTCTTGGTGTCGGTATCTACCAGCACGTCGCGGCAAAGTACGCATTCGTCCGTATTCTGCGAGACTCGAAGCACCTTCAGGCCAATTCATTCACGCACTGGGCAACTTGGCTGGGAATTAACTTCACCCTTGGCGCAGCTGCTTTCATTGTGGCTGAAGCAATTCCCATCATGAACTACCTTCTTGGACTTGCTGGCGCCATCTGTGTTGCGCCTTTCAGTTTGGTGTTTCCCGCTCTTCTGTGGATGCACGACTTTAAGAGGTACAAGACTGGAACGACCCTACAGAAGGTCAAGTACGGTTTTCATATACTCATCATAATTTTCGGACTCTACATGCTTGTTGCTGGAGTGTAAGTACCGAAGTTTTGATTCCACTGTTGTGTCCCAGATTCTGACTCAGTTACTTAGTTATTCCGTCGGTGTTTTGATCAAAGAGGCATTTGACACTGCTGCTATTGCCAAGGTGTTCGACTGCGCCGACAACTCTGGTTTTGTACAGGACAAGTAAAATGGCCACTTCGAAGTCAATTCATCTACAGCGGCGAGGATATGGACCAGTATTGCGTATTTGTCAGTACTATAATAATGAATACATGTGACGTACGAACGATGGCTCCCGCGAAATAATGTTCTAATTGATCCTGCGTAAGCTCGAACTAAGTTATCGAACCTGGTCTCATCAACGTTGTGCGAACGGCGCTGATTTGAGAGAGCATCATGTAAGACGATACAACAAAAGCGACTACTGTATAATGCTGCTGTGTAAAGGCAGACATAACCAACGCTCGACGGACGCAATAGCTTTAAGGTACTGTCGGGGAACTCACTTAATTTGTTTACAATCTGTTGAGGATTTGTTTCTAATCAATCTCTACGGCAAGCTTCCCAACCCCGCGATCAACACATGCCTGTAAAGCGGTGCCCTTCTCCTTTTCTAATAGTGACGTGCTCTTGTAGTCAACCTCCCCCTTGCAGAGCGTCACCTTGCAAGCACCGCAAGCACCAAACTTGCACGAGTAAAGTACGTCGAAGCCAGCTTCGTTGAGAACGTCGAGGAGGGTCTTATTGGAGGGAACCGTCATCGTCTCGTGCCTATTTGTTTCAAGCTCTTGGACCTCCACCTCAAACGGTTCGCCCAGGTTATCACCACCACTACCGAAATCTTCGAAGTGAACCAAGTGTTCTGGATATCCTAGCTCGGAAGTGATGCGCTGACATTCCTTCATCATACCCCCAGGCCCACATGAGAAGATACGGGCAGGGAAGGTCTTGTCTTCGGTCGTGGGCTGCGGTATAACCTCTGAGATGTTGAGTCTCTGACCTTCTGACTTGGCATATAACGTCGTCTTGTCTCTTGGAAGTTCGTGGAGGAATGGGGCATCGTTGGGGCTCGGTACAGCATAGTGAAGATGGTATGGTTGTCCTTTGGCTTCCCACTCACGGATCGATGGAAGAAAGGCTGTGATGCCAATGCCTCCCACAATAAGTATACATTCGAGATCCGGATCGGCCTTCTTGTCGTTTTCCTGTGCGCCTAGGTTATTTCCAGGTGACATCTGGATCTCGTCACCAGTCTTCATTTCTTTGTGGATATATGCCGAACCACCGCGAGAATTGCGATCTAGAGAAATGCCTAGACTGAACGTGTACAAGTCGCCATCGACAATAGAATATGAACGTTCAAACTTATTGTCAGGTCCGAACGTGATCTGCGCAAAACCATAATGATCGAATTCGGGGTTGTCCAGTTTGAGATCGTCCTTCAACCTGAATGTGAGATTTCTAACACGGGAGGTAACGAGCTGAGCTTCAACCAGTGTGTATGTCTTTGGCGAGTTCCTTAACTTTTCTTTTCCAATTTCTATCCACATTTCTGGCATTGGTAGTTGAATGGACTCTGCCAATAGCTGAAGGGAGACATTCCTTGCTCTTAGTATCCTCTGGACATTGAGAACCGACCATTTGGGATATGGTCTCTTAATCAAGGAAATTGTGTCACCCTTGCAGATATTTCCCGTTTGTAATACTCGAAAGTTCCAACCCGATCGTCCGGTTCGTATCGTCCGCTTAAGGGCTCTCGGCCACTTGAATCGGGAGTTGAGTTTGAAGCATGGGTGTCTAGGCTCGCTGACCTCGAGGACAACTTCGTCACCAAGCTTGTATATATCGCCAATACAGACGTTGTCGTCGTTCATGTTGGTTGCAACAAGATTCTCGCCAAACGTTCCGATATCGTATAGGCCTGGTTCGGGGGCATCCTCCGCTTGCCAGTCTGGGTAATGCTCTGGGTTGTACTGATGCACTGCGCGTTCGGTTCCACCATGGCTCTTGGCAGCATGTTCGTCGCCTAAAATGCCAGTCACTGTGACACATGTCGGGCCGTGCTGTTCTTGTTTGTAGATGGCAGACGTGATTTCGCCTGCCAGACCACGCTCCTTTACTTTTCCAGCGCGGACTTGAAGGAGAACGCCAGTTTCTGGGATCGGCGCGTCTTGAAGTTCGAAGACATTCTCCTTTGGAATGTTTCTTGTTGATGGAACACCCATTGTGTTGGAAGAAATTGGTAGTTTCAGTAACAAAAAACACCAAAGTGAAATGATGCGATAAGTGGTTCAAGCGAATATCCCGCAGTCCATACACCATGAGCGTAGTTAACCCACATGATATCGGAAAATCACAGTCCTGAACGAAAGTTAATTCCGCGGTTTGATGACGATTGCAACAATTCTGCAACGCGACTGGACGGCGACCGGAAATCCCGCGGGATATCCGTCGGTAATACCGATCGGTGCCAAGTTCATATTGAGTAATCTCTTATTGATGCAGTGGTGCGAGTGGATCTATGGCCTTTTCGTTTCCTTTGGCCCATCCGGGCTATCCGATTGCCTATACATACGCTATTGGAGATGCAGATCCTGCATCTCCTCCACAACTAACTCATAACGAAGCAAAGTAGCTACTCAAAATCACAATTACAGATCATAGGTTCATTGTGTAGCGAAATTATCATTAGAAATATTGATGCTAACTTAAAAAACCATTATCCGTCTGAATACGTATCGTGCACATGATTAATGCTAGAGATGGAGAAGTTCGAAGACGATAATATAATATCCTTTTTATCTGTGATCTATAATCTATACTCTATGTACTATGTGCTCTATCTGCAATTTTATTGGACTGGAGCCTCCTTAGAGGACAAGCTTTGGGGCGGTTTTCTTGGCTCTGCCGCCGAAGCCCCACGCGATCTGATGGGCGATCTGGATGGAAGTGTTCAGATCATCAGCCCATGACCAAACAAGTCCAGTGTTCTTCTGGAAAAGACGACCCGCAGCCACAAGGTCCAATGGCGTATCATCCTCTCCACCGGCGATGATCTCCTCTGCGAGTGTGCCTGTCTTGATGCTGCCGACAGTGCTGATGAACATCTTGTCTCCAACTGACTTCTTGATGGCCTTGGCAAAAGGTGCCTGATAACCAGGACCAGCAGCAACCTTTTGCATCTTGTGAATACCACCACTGAAAACATCAAGAACATCGACGCCTCGATCCGCCAACAGGTGTGCAAGCTTGATGCTCTGATCGAGAGTCCAAGTCTCTCCCTCGTACTCGGGGTTATTCTCCAACCAGTCAGTGCCACTGATGCGAGTGAACAAGGGCATATCTTCGGGCATAACAGCTCTAGCAGCCTCCACGATCTCGAGGGCAAGTCGGACTCGGTTCTCGAAACTACCTCCGTACTTGTCGGTGCGCCTGTTGGTGGCAGGAGAAAGGAAGCTCGAAACAAGGTAACCGTGAGCAAAATGGAAGTTGATGGCATCAAACCCTGCTTTGACCGCTCGACGAACACCAGAAACAAAGCCCTCCTTCAATTGCTCAATTTCTTCGAGGGTGATAGCACGAGGAATAGGGTAACCAGGGGCAAATGGCTCGTTACTAGGACCCACCACATCATCAGGCCATCCACCAGCAGCCTTTTCAGCAGCAAGTCCAGCGTCTAACCAAGGAGCAACGCAGGACGCCTTGCGACCAGCGTGACCAATCTGGATGCCAATAAGGGAGTTGTTGGCGTGGGCAAACTCGACGTGCTTTCGCAGCCCCTCAACGTGAGAGTCGAGCCAGATGCCAGAATCTTCAGGTGTGATACGGCCCCGTGCTTGCACAGCGGTAGCTTCCAACATGATGAGACCAGGCCCACGCTGGGCCAGTCCACCGTAGTGAGCAAAGTGCCAAGGCTGCTGAAAGCCGTCACGAGCACTGTACTGGCACATAGGGCTGACCCAAACACGGTTGGGCATGGTCATGCTGCGAATCTTGATGGGTGTAAAGACCTTTGGCAGCGTATCATTGGGACCATTCAGACCGAGGCCGGGTGCAGGAAGCTGTTCAGGGTTGAAGTATTCTATTCCCTTGGCGGCAACGTTCTGAACGACCTCCTTGTTTGCGTCTTGAGGCTTGCTGCCGTTCTGGGAGGTCAGGACAGGAATGGCCTGGGACTGTTGCTGTGATTGGATTGTCATATTGATCGGTAGATGGTGTGTTTGAATAAGATTCTTTTGATAGAAGATAGAAGATAATGCGTTTGTGTTGAGTTCTGGAATAATTCTACCAAGCTAGCCCTTCTTTAAGTACGTAGATGGATAGTTTAATGGAATGCAGGAACAAAACCTGTAATCAGTGCTTTGAACGCAACGTTATGCATCAACGTTTGACAAATTCTGATGCCTTTCTTACTCATGCTTAGTTTACCGTAGCATAGATTTTCGTACGTGATGCGTTGAGGGACCACATTTGGAATCATATTTAGCACAACAAGAAAGGAGACACCGAAAATAATGATCTTGACTCGTGGTCGTCCCCACTGCCATGTTTTTCGGGGACATCTCGGATCCATCCGAGCTAAATACCGAAAATACTTTAACCTTTTAGCGCTATTATCCAGTCAAAGCAGTGCGATTCCGGTTACTTTTAGAATCTCATATGTAAATTGGAAAGTAGCTGGACATCGTGCAACGCAAGTTGTATTATGCGATGGTCCACTATTATCCACTTGATTTGGAAACAAACCTGTTCAAACGGCGGATTACGTGAACTATGAGAGTCTGTAATGCTTATTTGATGCGGTGCGAAAACCATAAATCTTGTACTGTAAACCACTTTAACCAATTTTTACAGACGAATACAAAGTCCCAACAACTCAACATACACAAACATCCCGTTTTGTCAGTACGCCTTCCGAGCCCAATTATCATCATGTCTGAAAATCTACAACACCAAGCTGCCGGCGACGCAACCCCATTCGCATTCATATGGCGTCAGCTTTTCCAATCAGTTCCCTCTATTCCCAGCGACGTGAATCTACAAGGTCAAGTTGCTTTGATTACGGGATCCAATGTTGGTCTTGGCTTCGAATCCGCACGCCAACTACTTGCTCTCAACCTCTCGCATATTATTCTTGCTGTTCGGTCCGAAAAGAGAGGAGAAGAAGCTGCAAAAAAGCTCCGGATGGAATTCCCTTCAGCAAAGGTCGAGGTCTCTATTATTGATATGTCGTCCTACGACTCTATCCTGGCTTTTGCAAAACGATGTAAAGCATTACAACGATTAGATATCTCCATCCTCAACGCAGGTCTAAGTCAACCCAGCTACGAACGTACCGAGGGAACGGGTCACGAAGTCACATTCCAGGTTAACTACCTGTCAACGGTCCTTCTCGCTCTCGTCTTGACTCCTATTCTGCGAAACAAACATGGAGTAGGATCACCAGCTCGTCTGAGTCTCGTTGGCTCTGACACTTCCTACTATGCCAATTGGGACGGCAAAGAGTCAGAGTCTATCATGGAGGCAATGGACAACCCAAACTATTTCAACTCATGGGAGGCCTACAAGACCACCAAGCTACTTCTGCTCATGTTTGCACGCGAACTTAGCAAGAGAGTATCCTCAAACGACGTCATCATCAATGTGTCGAATCCTGGCGCATGTAGAGGGACACAGTTCGGGCAGAAGGAGCGCTCCATATTGCAAGAAGCTGTTTTATACGTGGCATCGCTGATTCTTGGACGCACCCCCACTGATGGTGCTCGGCAGTACGTAGACTCTGTAACAGCAAAGGGAACTCAGAGCCATGGTAGCTTTGTTAGTGAGGGCAATATCAAAGCGTGAGCTACACCCAACAGCTAAAACGTTGAGACTAAGTATACTAACTCTTCCCACATAGTTTCCCTCCGATTATGTATGAACTGCGAGGTCTAGCCCTACAAGATCTATTATGGGGTGAGACAATGAAGGAGTTTACTAGTTTTGGCATTGGGGGATTTTGAGATTACTAGACAAGTCGACAATAAAGCAATAATACAACGTCTGAGAAAGTAAAAGTGAGATGACAGTCGGTAAAGTGATGATGGGTGACTGACGATGTAGGCTTTGTAATCAAGTTCGAAGCCGTCCCCATGCTATGTCAAACTTTGCATTGTGGTGGTAATCGCATATTTCAAAGCTGCTATATCAGCCAGGACCGCAGAAGATAAACCTTGATTGATTGACTGACTGAATATAAAAACTCCTTGTAGACAAGAATTGCTTCTTTACTGTTTTAATAGGTAGCCCTTAACTAACGAGCGAGAACTGGGTTGATTGCAGTATAGCCAGCAAAGTCTCCCGAGGCAGGGCCGAAAAAGCCTTTCTGAGCATCATTGACATAAAATTGAGAGAATCGGGTGCCACTGTTAGGTCTTCTGCATGTTCCTGACGAATCGCAAGATCCATTGGGTGCACTACAAGCAAGCGTGTCATCAGATGATGGCAAGCAGGTAAGAGGAGCCGATGAGAAGTTATCAAATGGGCATATAACAAGTGGGCTAAGAACGCCTACATCCTTGTAGTTCAAGCATAGGTAGTTGTTATTGCTGCCTGTAAAGAGCTGTCCATTGGGGAGGAGAGTAAATATTAAGGTTTGTGTTGACCCGGATTGTTCGAATGATAGAGGGATAAAGCGTGTAGAGTCGCCTTGTAGAGCAAGGCCAGCGACTGGTCCAGTACCGACAATGGAGCCAGGCGTTGCAGATGGGGCTGTAGATGAGGAAATGGTAGCCGAGACTCCTTCAGTGGTTGTAGTTGTTGGTTCTTCGGTGACCGAAGTAGGAAGAACTTCAGTCGTGGTTGTGGCCAGCGTAGTACCAGGTGCCGAGGTTTCAGTGGACTCGAGGCTGACAGTCTCAGTCGTGGAGAGACCAAGGGTTTCAGTGAGGGTGGCAGAAGCTGAAGTGGCCGATGATTCAATGGTCGAGACAGCATCTGAGTGGGAAGTAGTCGTATCTGTATCGATAGGTGTTAGCCCCGAAGACTTGCCGCGAATGAAGTTACTTGCATGCAGGTTTGCACACGCCGGCTTGGACAACTACAATGGCCGCGGAAAGGCCAGTGGCGAAGAGTAAAACACGCATCTTGGAGATAGGCAAAGGTTAAATAACGTTAACGAGAGACAAGTAACTTGGTGAAGCAGTTTCAGTTGTTTTTTGGGCGGGAACTGATCTCTTAAGGACTTGGCAATAGGGGCAAGTCTCAACTAACACTTCAGTCTAAATCGATTCATTAACTCTGAATTGCCTATTTGAGGATGGTATCTCAATAGCGTGGCCGCTACATTCGTTAGTCCGTACTTAGGTGAGATAGATTTATAAGGGGAGATCAGATTTTAAGCAGATAAGGTTCTTATCGAATCTCTTTAGCACCATTTGGGAAATTACATTATCCTGTCCTGTTTTAGGGAGATGTGGTTAGGCGACAGTCCACAATTTGAGGCGTATTATATTGTTATGCATATATCGTAATACCATTACGTTCTTATGTAGTACTCTGTACACTAGGTGTCAATGCAACTGAGGTTAGGCTGCTTCTTAGTGTATTGCCAGTTAAATGCTACCATGTTTAAAAAAGACTCTTGGATAGGTATAAGTCCAACTGTCAAAGACGATATAATTTCAATCAAGGTTTCAGGTAAGAATCCGTGAATCAGTAACCAGGCCAATCCTAACTATTCACAACTTAACCAGGAAAAACTTAAAATAACAAATAAAACAAGAAACACAAATTCCTATCCATCTCCTCCATCCCAGCCGGTCAAACCAAGTATCTACTCAAGCAAGACAAATTATACAATGGAAACGTGGAACTGTGACTCCGCACAGGAAGTCTAATAAGCCAGGTGCAGAGCAGGGTCATCTCCCTTTTTGCGCGCCTCGAGTGCAAAAGTTGGATCCGTAACCCATATCGTACAGCACTTGACTGGCTCCGACTTTGTACCTTGGGGAATTCGCCACTCGTAGTTGAGTAAAAGATACATCATGACAATCTTGACTTCCTTGGCTGCAAAAAAGCGACCAGGGCAGGCGTGTTCTCCGTAACCAAAGCCCATGTGCTCGGCACTAGTCGAAGATAGTTGGATCTTATCCTCCCTGGCGGCGTCTGCTTGTTCTCTTTCACGAAAGAAGCGGTAGCCATCCCATTCGTCCGCATTGGGGTATATTTTCTCATCGCGCATGTTGTGGCACGAGACTGCAAGTTGATGGCCTTTGGGAATAAATGTGCCATCTTCAAGTGTAATGTCCTCGAGCGCTTCCCGCACCATCGAAGCTAAGTTGAATCTGTAAGCGGGCAACCTTGTAGAAGGGACATGGGTTCGACATACCAATTTGAACAGGTTTCAAGCGTTGAGTTTCCTTAAGCGCGCTATCAAGGAGTTTCATCTTGTACAACGCTTTCGTATTCCATCCCTCCTCCTTGATAACCTCTCTGATCTCATCTTGCAGTGGACCGATGATTTCAGGATGAGCGCAAATGTCTGTTATAGCTTGACATAGGAGATCAACCGTAGTATGGATCGATACAGCAGTAAGAAACAACTGCGTGTCTGCTGGGTCGTACGGAGCTTTCGCGGTTTTCTCAAACCATTCCAAAGAGTCATTGTATACAGTACCTTTCTCCTCTAATCGACGTCGCTCAAGAATGGGATCGATGAAAGCATGAGAGTCACTGACCTGCTTTCTCAGCACTCGGCATTGGCGAGAGAAGAGAGAAACTGTGTAGCGTAAATACTGAGGCCATCTGCGTAGGCGAGCTGCCATGTCAGTACTAGTGACAGAATACTCTGAAGCAATTCGTATCCACTCTTCGTTTCGACACAGATCCTCACCCAATAATACACGGCTTGATATCCTCGTGATTAAAGGTAGCATTGTGTCTCTTAGAGGAACTTTATGCCAGTCTGTAGATAATTAACTTAGCATCAGTGCCTTATCCCGAAAGTGTAAAAGTCCTTACCTTTACTACTACCAATGTAGTCTTCGATAGCCATATATGTTTCTTGAGCCAGCGGTAGAGTAATACGGTCTAATTTCGAAATAATTAGTACTGATATAACATTGCTAAAGCCAGGCTAAAGGTTGTCCACTTACTCAATTCTTTCTTCAAATACCCGTGAACAACGTTTTTTACCAGTGCTGCCTCATGCATTCCACCCTCACGGAACGGCTCAAAACCGGGAATCGAAATATGAAAGGCCTGAAGGCTGTTTAGCTGTATAACAACAATCTATTCAACAGGTTCAACATACCGAATCGTTTGATGCTTTGATAAAACTGAGACGTGAATCCTTCTTGATACTATCGGCCATTGACGGAGGTAAAATGGTAATCTCGCCCAAATCGCATATCAGGCGCATAGGTGTTGCTGGGTGCTTGGAAAACCATTCTTCGATGGTTTGGCGTGTGGTGGTCAGGATTCTAGACACTGGACCATCATCTGAAAACTCGTAGAAGCGTCTCGGGTTGAGCAAAGGCGCACTTGGTTTTGGGACCAAGTAGCTTCGTATTGCCAGTGTCAAGATGACAAACAAAGAAACATATGCCAGCATGTCGATTCGGACCTCCGGCATGCGGTCGATGATACTCATTACAGCCATGATGGTAAGATGATCTATCAAGCGTTGAAAAATATACCAGTTGTGCTTGATTACTTTTCGGGGTTTGGATGGCATTCAAATATATAGAAGTTATCCTGTATTTATAACAGATGTCTACATATCCCGTGACATTGCGGTTAACCGTTTGAGTAACTTCTGTAACTCTATTGTGTTACGTGCCACGTTGGTAGGGCCCCAATTATCAGGCCAGTTAACAAAACGAACTCAAACCTTATGCACCGAACAGTATCAGCATTTACACCTCCACATTGGTAGACTCGTAACCATGAGACCAGTTCCCCACTTACTCACAAAACAACCTAGCATTTCTCACCGAATAATGTTGATTTTATTGCATTGACCTTCACATTGATTGGTAGATGGTCCCGACTTCCAGGACAGTTTACAAAAGACCCAACCTTCCTTACCGAATAGTATGGATTTCAGTATTTTCACCTTCCCGCTGGTATATTCTTAAGTGCCAGGTCAGCACCCGCCTCATCAAAGACAACCGAAACCTTCCCGCGGAACAGTTGATTCTGGTGTTTTGACCTCCACGTTGGTGGGTCTCAGTATCAGGCCAGCCTTTCCACTCACTCACAGACCGACCGAACCTGGTTTCTTATTGGAAAGTGATTTCGGTACAGAATACGAGATTAGTAAGATCATCACTGTTAGGCCTACTCGCAAGAATGACCCGAAATTTGCAGTTATATGCGACACAAGAAGCTTGGCAAAAAGACTTCACAATAACAGTGCTGTTTATCATACACATAGAAGCGCAGTTCGACCTTTAGAACATTATGGGTAGAGAATATAGAAAGACTCTAAGAGTTATGAACTGACAGATATGATATTAGTAAGAATTTATTTGAAGAAAATGCAATTAGTCAAAATAAAAGAGTAATTTCTCCGGACATTTTTTCTCATATTGTATGAAGATAATTAATATCTCAGTGTCTACTATAGGGTGTCTATAGAGCCCCCGATCATGATCATCCAGGGCTTAATCTCGTCTGCGAGCTGTTTTCCCAAAAAGAGAATTTGGTAAGACTTGGATTTCTCTTTCCAAGGCAGGAAGCAGGGAGCTGTTCAACCTAGCACCATTGCATGTAAGTGGAAGCTCCGTCAATCACGGCTCCGCATTTGTTGATAGTTGTGCTGTACTTATAGAATCAAATAACATCACGATGGAAATTGTCAATCTAATTCACTTCGCTCATGTTATCATCTGTTAAAAGCTTGTTTAAGATGCCGTGTACACAATATCAGAGAACCAAGATGGCGCTCCTCTCTCCCCTTGATCAATTGAACTCTTCGTTTTATTTGCGCTGGTCTCTTGTACTTCAGGTCAAGGATCTTAACAAGGCTGTTGGTAGCCTTTCAAAAGGATTAAGTGCTGTTACAACGACACTGCCGTACCTCAAAGGGCGCATCATCTACTGTACAGATAACAGCAAAGACGGGACGTCCTCTATTGCTCGAGCTGTAATTTCTGTGTCAGATGACAGTCCGAATGTATTATTACGAGAACATGGTCCGGCAAATGGACTACCTAGTCTAGCAAGGATGAAGGAAGAGGGTGGACCCGCCCACCTTTTCCCCGATGATCTATACTCTTTGTCTATCTTTATAGATGTTACTTCCAAGCAATCTCACCCAGTATTTGAAACGACATATGCACCTATCGAAGGAGGTCTGGTACTGAGCATGTGCGTTCATCATGGCGTTATGGATGCCCGAGGACTCGCCACATTGACCGAACTATGGGCCTCCTTCACCAGCCAGCAACATCAAAGGGAGAACATCGGGTTTCTAATGAACCTTCCCGATCCCAACGAGCCTCTTACACGAACGGTCAGACTTACCGCATCTGCAAATGACACTGCAAAGCCTGGGATCACCAATATCGAGACAATTTTCCAACATTATAAAAATGACAGAGTACTCGAACAAGATATCCCTTCGTCAACAGAGGCTAGCAGGCCAAGATCAAGCAAGATATTCGCTTTCTCAGGCGATAAGCTCGAGTACACGAAAACCTTTCTGGCAGAGAACAACTGCCATGTCACGATAAACTCCATTTTGAGCTGTGTGATTTGGTGCAACGTTACGCGTATACGTCTATCACGCCTGTCATGGCAGCCACCGATACAATTCTCACGGTTTTTCCAAATGGTAGATGGTGAACGGCGTTTAGGCCCAGCAATCGATGAACCAGGGCCTTATCTTGGTAATGTCGTGCTGACATCGTCGGTTGATGTCTCCCTTAACACATTAGCGACGACTGGCTCTTTCGACCAGCAGTCAATCTCCTCGATGGCTCCAGTAATGCAGGCCGTAGATGAAGCATCAACACAAGTCACTAATAAATATATTGGTGGCTTCTTGGAAATGTTGCAACAAGTTGAGGACCTTGAAAGTCTTGGTATAGGACGCATGAGTCAGCATGGGGTCGACTTCATCTCATCCAACTGGGCAGACCTACCACTCTATGACTGTGATTTTGGACCATTGTTTAGCCAGGATTATGCAGAAGGAAAGAGGGGCAAGCCAGTCTTTGTGCGGTATCCGTATATTGATTGGGCTGATGGCAATTTGATAGTGCTTCCAAGATGGGAAACGCCAACTGGCAAGGATGAGACTATCGAAGCGTATATTATGTTGGTAGAGGATGATTTAATCGCTTTAGAAGAGGACACTAGCTTTTGCAGCTGGCTGAAGGAATAGAATTCCCTCTTTTAATGACTTCAAGTGGCAGTACAACAAGAAACGTCATTCTTTAACTTGCAGAATCGTGAATATCCATTCAATACTATTCTATCTAGCCTACTTCCGCCTCCACAATACCACGATTCCCTTCCTCTATCTTCGTTACTTATACATAGCTAAGCCTTTAGTTCAGTCTGCTGCACGGCATCGTGTGCCTCGTCAAACGAATCAATCTGGTAAGAGCTGAACTTGCGTGCAGAGACACCCTTGGCAAACATAACATCAAGCTCCTCAAAGGTTCGGTTGCGGGTTTCCGGAAGGCGGAAGTAACCCCAAACGAAGACCACGAATGCAGTACTACCCCAGACAAAACCGGTGTAACCCTTGAGGTTCCACTCGGTAGGGTTCATAAAGTAGGGCTGAAGGACACCGGCGATAACAGCCATGATAGCATAACCGTTGCGGGCCAAGCAGATAGTCTTTTGACGAAGTCGCGTGGAACCAATCTCAGCTGGAAGAGCCCAACCAAGCTGGCCAGCCGAGAGCTGGAAGACGAATGTCCAAACCAGGGTCAAGACAGCTTGAGCCATACCAATCTTGTCGTTCTCAGTGCGGGTGTTGAGGATTCCAATGATGAAGAGAATAATACCCATGACAAACATGCCGTAAAGGTAGGCTGTTCGTCGTCCGACATATGGCATGACGCAGATCCAGGACAGGATAGTAGCGAAGAGAGCCATTCCGTTACCGCCAACATTGAGATGGTAAGTTGTGGTAGAGTCAAGCCCAACCTGCTGGAAAAAGTATGTAGAGTTGTATGCAAAGTACAGACCAGAAAGGATCTGACCGGCAAAACAAACAATCGCGATCTCGGTTCGTCGAAGCTCAAAGCCCTGGAAGCAATCCTTGTATGAAGTACCAACTGAAAGCTTCTCCTCGAGGTTGTTAGTGTAGACAATGAGGCCAAGAGCGTCCCGGAGTTCGTCGTCGGTGGCGCTGGGTCGGAGACGTCGGAGGTTCTTGAGGGCTTTGTCGTGGTCTCCGATTCGAACAAGATGCCAGGGCGTGTCGGGTGCGAAGCAGAGGATTGGGATCAGGACAACAGGCCAGAACCACTGCAGAGCAAAGGGGATTCGGTATGCCCAGGGTGCCGGTGTATTGACGAGACCAGCCATGACTCCGGCTGAGATAAGCTGGCCAATGATGAAGCACATGTTGGTCCAACTGGTCATGTAGACGCGAAGAGACATGGGAAGGACTTCTGAAGCATACGCAGGGGCAGTGGTAGCGAAGACACCCCAGGGTAGACCGCAGAGGAGCTGGCCCACGAGAAGCACCGTGGTGTTGGGCGCAAAGAAGGTAATGAAGATGAAGGCGGCAAGGGCGACTAATGAAGCAATGAGAACCTTGATATGGCCATATTTGGCGACAAGCACTCCATTGAGCAGTGTGCCGAAAAAGGCACCAATACCTGCACCATTGCCAAGACCAGCCTGCCAGGGAGCAGAAAGCTGGTAGTTGTTTGTCTCTTCATTCCAGTGACCGTACTTCTTTGCAAACGCAGGGTAGGCGTAGAAGTTGGAAAGCAAATTGGTATCGTAGCCTTCCATCACAACACACATGGAGACAACAAGACACCAGAACACGGTCCATGGGTATTTTCGGACGGCTTGAAGAGGAGGGAGGTTGTGTTCGGCCTGGGCACCAAGACGCGCCTGGTCAGTGGTATCGTGAACGCCCTTGGTGGGAACTCGGGCTTCGACATCGTAGCTCTCGGCGTGTGAGACCGATGCATCAAGGGTTTCCTTGCCCATCTTGATTGGGAGCGATAGATCGATTTGTAGGTGTTGTGAATGTGGAAGATGAGATGCGATGCTGGCGATGATCCTGGCTTGATCGGTGCCGCATCCTTGAGGTTATATAATGGAAACCTTTGGTCCTCACAACGGATGTATTTCCCAATCTACTGTTTCCTCCTTGTCATCCCCATGGGGTATGCAGATTCGCCCCATGGGGAGGTGGTAATGGTTTGACTCGTTTGAGATCCGAAAATTACCCCATTTGGTTAAGTGTAGTTGACCTTCCTGAAGAAAAGCCTAGGCCTGGGCTTGATGTAGCGATATTCTCATTGGTAACATAAACGAACTAACCGACTCGGTGGGTACCCCTCTCTTTCGCTGCTTTCATCGGGCCGAGAATAGCAGGTGGTAGAATGAAAAAACAAGGCCACTCCATAAGCACTTGATGAGCCGATTATATCTCCATTGAGTGAACAATTGCCCCGGTTTGGTGGATTTACGATGACTACTACTATGCAGGAAAAGCGCGGCCAAGTGTGCGATAATTGCCGCTTCCGAAAGGTCAAGTGTGATCGTGGTTTACCTTGCAAGAATTGCCACCTCGGTGATCTCCGTTGTCAATACCGTCACAGCATTCGGAGGAAAGGACCAAAGCAGGGCCAAGGAAGACGACAGGCGCAGCTTCGACAGGGCCTTGAAACTCTTGATGCATACCAATTCAGGATCGTCACGCCGGGGGATCAATCGAATGCAGCACAGCAAAACAAAAGTGAGCCACCATCACAAACACAGGCCCAAGCACAGGTACCATCACCACCGCAGCACGACTTTCAACCTCTTCCACCTCCACAAGACGCGAATTTGGGCGACACGACTCTGTACATTGGACCAGAGATACCAACCTTAACCAATGACTCTATTTTCGAAACCGAAGACCTCTGCAACCGCATGTCGCTATCCCTCGTCGCTCACATACAGCTCTTTCAGAGATTTCTCTATCCGATCATGCCCGTGGTCGACGACGACATTCTCGCCGATGCTGCCAAAATAGACCAACTTCCGCCTTCACGGTATGCCCTCATACTTGCTATATGTGCCGCGACAAGAATGCAACTACGACTGGATAAACGTGTTGACGGGTCCGACAACGACCTCAACACGGAAATCCCACCTGAACCACGGCTAGACGGAGACATTTTGGTGAGCCTTGCCGAGAATTCTCTACGACAGTACAGTGTCATTGATGATACGACTCTCGACTCTGTTCTGGTTTCATTCTTCCTTTTTGCGAGCTACGGGAACCTCAACGACTCTCGTCATGCGTGGTACTACCTCAATCAGAGCATCACTCTCGCCCAGGCGCTTGACTTGACTCGGGAATCAGGATACCATGGATTACCTGACAAGGATAGAGAAAAGAGACGACGTGTGTTTTGGCTTTTATTCGTAACAGAACGGTATGGATCCCTCACCATGTCTTTGTCTATTACAAAATTGACTTTTATTCTAGGACGTTCGCCTTACAGCATCGAAGACCAGTCATGTTACGAAGTACTGTGAACAAGCCACAAATTGTTGACTCGAACTGTCCTGTTGTCATGCACGATTTTATAAACCACATCAGCCTGTTTGAATCACTCCCATACTCATTATATGAATGGCAACCAGAAAACGACGACAGACGATTCGAAGATTTGAAACTTGTCCACAACATAAACGAGAAGCTATGTAGGGTCAAACCAGAACAATCAATCATTGAAAGCCAACGGTTCGATACCCTTATAACGCAGCAATGGCTTCGGGTATCTATGTGGCGTATTGCATTTGGACAGAACCCATCTTCTGCGTCTGGATTTGGGCTTTTACTTCCTCCTGCCCTTCCAATGGATGCAGGGAAGATCATCATGTCAGCTTTGGGGTCCGTGGGGACCAAGTCTAAAGACTGCCATGGTATCGGAATGGTAAGATACTTATGTTTTTTGTGAATCCTTTTTAACTTTTCCCAGGAACAAAAGTTATTCGATGTCGGAGTCAGTCTTGCTGACACGGCTCAAATTCCCGGCTGGACATGCAATGCACTAGATAACGGCCCTCGTGATTTACTCTCTGTAGTAATCCATGCTCTATCTACTGTTCGCGGATCACAGTCACACCTGCTACCCAATCTTCTCAAGCACTCAGAATCATTGTTCTCTCTCTCAGATCCGAGCGCACATATCGATTTTCAGTGGGATATGCTGGACGGCCAAAATTGTAAGATAGATGCTATTGTGGAGGAGATAGCGGAAGAAAGTGACGAATTTGTTGAGCCGTTGGATTGGGAACCGGAGACTGGTCTTGACCTCTTGGATTTAAGCACACCTGTTGTGACTGCCACGTGGAGTGATGCATCGGTAGTGTGTGATCAGTTTGATCCCGAGATTGGTTTGTCGTTCAATTGAGTGTATCTTGTGGAATAAAATTAATCATTTCATTGATCTAACGCAACATATGTATCATTTCCCAGAGTTCCTTTTGGTTTATATCACCATGTCTCGTATCCTCATCCTCAAAGATTGCACGAAAGAGCATGCCTCATTTTCTATACCCGTTCCAAAAGAACAACCTTACTATCATAGTCAGTACCAAATCGATACTGAATACCACCATTCATCAACGTTGCGCCAGAATAAATTTCACCTCCATCAAGCTTGTACCTTGCATTTGCGTCGAGACCCGCCAGGCGAAGTAGGGGAAAGTTGGAAACAGTAGTTGACATCATTTGGAAGGCGAAGAGGACAGCTTCGCTTCCATCTTCTGACACAAAGATTGCCGCAGGGAAATTGGACTTTTCAGGTAAGACAAGTCGCCACATGTCACCACTGATAATGATTGGGTTGATCCTTTCGGCGAGCGCAATCAGTTCTGGTATTTGCTTCTTGTCTTCCTCGGGCGTGTGGTCCGGGTCAAGTTCAAATCCAAAAGAGCCTCCCATCATAGCGACGTGAGCTCGGAAGCTCATCGGGATTGAACGTCCTGTTATGTCGTTTGGTGAAGAGCACACATGTGCTCCCATAGATGATGGTGGGTACACCAATGATGTGCCGAACTGAATGTGAACACGATCGTAGGCGTCCATGTTATCGGATGTCCAGACTTGTGGGAAGTACTGGAGAATGCCAGGATCAAATCGGCCACCGCCAGAAGCACAGCCTTCCCAGAGGACATTGGGAAAACGAGTAGTCAGCTCATCAAAGACATGGTAGATACCAAGCATGTAAGCGTGTTGGTTACCAGGTGTTGGACTTTCATGCATCGCTCGGTTGTTATCCCACTTGACGTAAGTGATAGGTGCTGAATCCAGGATCTTGGCCACTGAATTTATGATATACTCCTGCACTTCAGGAAGTGCTACGTTCAGGACAAGCTGTTGACGAGTCTCACTGCGTGCGTAGGTACCAGCGCTTAAAACCCACTCAGGGTGCTGTTCATAGAGCTCAGACTTCTGGTTAACCATTTCAGGCTCAACCCACAGACCAAACTGTAGGTTCTCTTCAGACCCTGCAGCCTTGAGCTTGGTGACACTCTCAACGAGAGGACCCAAGCCCTGTGGGAATCTCTTGGGATTTACAACCCAGTCACCCAAGCCAGCGTGGTCGTTGATACGAGGATGTTTGTCTCCAAACCAGCCATCGTCAAGTACAAAGAGCTTGGCGCCTAATTTAGCAGACTCTTGTGCGAGCTTGTAAATTGTCTTTTCGTCAAAGTTGAAGTAGAGACCCTCCCAGCTGTTGAGCAAGACTGGGCGAGTTTCGGAAACAAACTTGCTTCTGATAAGGTTCCGGCGATAGAGACGATGGAATTTTCGTGACATGTCGCCAATACCGAAGTTGGAAAAGACCGAAACACATTCGGGCGATTGGAGAGACTCGCCGGAACGTAATGGCCAAGAGAGTTGGCATGGGTTTATCCCCATGACTGCTCGGGTTAGCCCTTGGTGACTCTTCTCAACTTCGACGTTAAAAGACCCAGTGTAGACGAGAGAAAAGCCCCAAGCGTCACCGTGAGACTCGGTTGTAGTTGGGTTGACCAAAGACAAGAATGGGTTGTGGTAATGAGATGAGTAACCAGTCGTGCTTCCGAACCTTTGACTGTTAGCCGAAGAATGTGCCTGGCGCTTCATTTACTTACCCTTGCGTTCCATACTCGACCTTTCGGCGAGTCCTACTGCATTCTCTTGTCCATTCTCCCTGGAGCTGCAACATATCATACTCGTCGTGGGGGAAATCAACGCTGAAGCTAGCTAGCTTCTCGACCACAATGACATCATCACTGTTGTTGATAATTTTGACATTTCTGACGATAGCATCAGAGTTTGAAAAGATCGAGTATGAAAGGTCGGCGGCAACTGAACTCTGCTCATCACACAGATGAATCACAAGTGTTGAAACCTCGTCGTCTGAGCCAAAGGTGCAAGGCAATTTCTCCAAAGCGGGCTTGCCCTTGATGATTGTGTACGATTTGTACTTGAAATCACAGACCGTGAAACCCTTTGCGTGCTTGATGTGCACAGCAGGAGTGCGAAAGTCGCCCCGGCCAAGGTCTGGAAATTCGCGACGAAGATGGGCCTGCGTGGACCAGCCTCCGCCGTTGGATTGAATCTGGGCAATGGGGTTTTCCGTCACGCGGGCACCGAAATGATCCAGAAGAAGGTCCCCAGTCGCTAAGTCGACATGGAAGCGGTAGGAGACATTCTTCCCATTGAGGGCGAATGATGTCCCGTCGACCACGATTGCTAGAGATTGTCAGTTCAGGAGCTCTAACGAGATTGCTACAGGGGACGCACGGTCGATTTTGAAGTTTGTTGTAAGGGTCATCCTGGCTGATAGACAGAACACGAAAAAATGGCTTTAAAATACCAACAAAGATCAAGGTCTAAAGTAAAATGAGGCTCTCTATAAATATGTTGAATGGCTCAAGAGACAATTCCTTAGCACAGTTTGGTTATCTCCGTTCCCCGCCTATTTTTGTGGTAGAAATCCGAGTATTTCCCCATGGGGCTAATTGAGCTCTGATCGCGCGGGGAGATGAGACATGTCCGACTTGGCTCATTCTGCAGCACTGCTACTCCCAGTCAACCAATCGCCTAGTCCACTCGGAGTTCATCTCGTCCGAGTTTAAATTTAGTGCGGTCCACCATTGAGGCAAACCGAGAATTGGCATTGGCGAGGCCAAGAACATTGCAGTTCACTATTTGGTGCGGTAACAGGACGTCGATTGAAGATAACGTTGATTGTTTCTAATTAGATTCATGCGTACAATATGACATGATCGAATCTAGATTACACTGTCCATCTAATGCATGGCCATATCATCCACCTTCTTCTGCCCAATCGCGTTGGAACCAACCGGTGCATCAGGCCCATCAAAGATCTCTGCTACTTCCTCAAGCGAATGACCCTTGGTCTCAGGAAAGAAGAAGAAAATCAGTGTCAAATGAATACCGATAGCGACGCACCAAACAATGTAGTACTTCCACGAAATCGCCTCCATTGCAACAGGGTTTGCAAAAGCATTGTACACACCCGCCAAATTGCCCGTCAGCTGGTAAAGCATGGATGCCTTTGCGCGAAGCGAATAAGGTGTTGCCTCCATGATATATGTCGCGCCGATGGGACTGATGGCGTGGTAGAAAAAGGAAAAGACAAAGATCATAGCTAGAACTGCACCCGCAAAACCAATGTGTTCAAAGTTCTCTTGCTGGTTGCGCGCGGAGCAGATTGTCCAGATGATGTACGAAGCACCCATGCCTGACATGCCAAGGAGGAACAGAGATCGACGACCAAATCTATCAACAAGCGTCGCAAAGACAACGGCAGAAGCGAAACCCCACATTTGAAGACCGCCGTTCAAAAGTAGCTGGGTCTTGTGGTCGGTGATATTGATTGAATTGAGCACTTTGGCCAGGTAGTATGAGGTGAGAGCGTTACCGGACCACTGCAACATGGCGGGAATGTACAAGGCGAGGAAGAATCGATGCCAGTTACCACGTGAAGAAACCCACTCGGCCCATCGCGACTTTTTCTGGATTTTCTCAATTTCGAGAGTTGCAGTGATTTCAGCCATCTCGAAACGCGCAAGTCTAGAGTTGGGATCTCCATAACCGTGCCACTTTACCAGAATATCCTGAGCTTCCTTATATCGACCCTTGTAGATCAACCAACGTGGTGATTCGGGCGCAAACATAACTAGAGAAGCCTGAATAACGGAGAAAGTGGCTTGTAAAAGACTGGGTAGACGCCATGCCCAAGAACTCGTCATCCGGAAACTACCGTACGTGACCCACGCAGCGATGATAGCACCAAGTGGCCAAGATACCATCATGAAAGACACGACCTTTCCTCGGTGTGTGGGGTATGTAACTTCGGATAGTAGAGGTGGTGCGGCGGTTGAAACGATTCCTAGACCGAAGCCGATGATGAAACGGGACGCGACGAACATGCCGTAGTTGTAAGAGCAGGTCTGGACGATGGCTCCAATGATTATGGTGAGTGATCCCATGAGAATGGGAATACGACGACCGAGTCGGTCGCAAAGCTGAGAGGAGATCAAGATCGAGATGAGGACGCCACCATTGGGACCAAAGGTCATGGCTCCAAGACGAGTTCCTTTTGGTTCACCGAAATATTCTTGCCATTGTGGAAGAGACTGTGCACCATTGAGCATGCCTAGTTTGTTAGTACGTTATGATCTATTTTCCATGAAGTTGTCGTGTTGTTCTTACTTGCGTCGAAGCCAGTGGCCGTCTGAGTTAACAAACCACTCAGAAGCAATAGATTGAGCTTCCATAGCGTCCAATCCGCGTACCATGGCGGGCGATCGTTTGGAATGACATCGTTAAGAACGAGGCCCTGGAACTCATTCGAGTCGGCGTCTTGAATGTGCGCTTCTTCAATTCCCTGTTTGGAGGCCATGTTGAATTGTAGGTGGGAGAGACAGTTATCTCCAACTGGGTACAGGAGACTGAAAGTGATCTCCACAGTCTTTATAACTCTTTGACATGTGGAGAGTCTTCTTTTTCGGTTCCTTTACCGAAGCGCTCGTACCAGAATATCAGGAGATAATCTGCCGCCAAAGCCAAGATTTACCCCCAGACTGCCCTCTTCAGTCCACTCAAATGACTTGTGCCGATGCCCGATGCATCTAGTCCCGCTCTTTACCCCAGATCTACCCCGGAGTCAAATGCTTCTGAGCAGGAATTTGGACATTGATTATCCTTGGGTCGGTTAGACTCGTTTTCCCCGCACCAGTATGTGGCGTCTCGGGGGAAACGGAGCCGATAAGACATGACTTTTGTGAGGGAAGTGGCCCGGGGTATTCGTCGGGTGTCCTTGGTCCGGTGCTAGCGTCATCTCCCCATTGGCCGTATAAGATCAGGGTTATGCATTCAAAGCAATTATCCACGAAGTCTTCAACTTTCGTTGCGAAGCCTTATATAGTGAATTTGGCAAACGAGGGTTCTAAAAAAAACTTTCGATTCACCTAAAGTGAGCTGCCAGTCTGGCAAGGCCTGTAAATATCTATCCAGAATACCATCAGATCTGGGCAAGGTTGAAGTGCCGTCGCATTATTCACACATGCAAAGTTAGAGAGATTGTATTTTAGACCCGAGTACCTCATGTATCAGAGTACAATAACTTTAATTCTTCTTCAGTCGCTGAGCCTCAACCTGGATCGCCTCAGGCAACCACTCTTCCAAACTGGGACTCACAGGCTTCCAACCCAAGTATTTCCTCGCTCTCTTTGCATCACCACGGCTGTTTAGTCCCCAAGAAAGAGCCTGGAATCCCAATTTCTCCTGTGCTTCATCCACATCAAGCACCTTTGTCTCATCACTGTCAAGAAGACCCTGCTTCTTAGCCTCCTTGGCAAGAAGAGTGGAAATTTCGCTCCATTTGTGAGTACCGTTTTCAGCGAAGAAGTAACCCTTTGGACCCCAGATCTCTTGTTCGTTTTGATTGTCAGAAGATGCTGCACGCTGAGAAAGGAGGACGATCAGAGTGGACAGGTCGTGGACGTGGACGTTATCCCATTCCGTCTTCCCGGCGCCAATGATGGGCCCAAAGCCCTTCTCCAGCGTAGTCTCTGCTAAGCCTGGAATTTGGCGACTGCGCTGGTTGGTAGGTCCTCGACCTGTTCCGTAGATTGTGGGAGGGCAAACAATAGCGACCTTTACAGCATCAGGGTTCTTTGCGGCCTCTTCCAGAACGATTTTGTCAACGTCGCGATGGAAGGCGGTATCGGGCAGAGATGTGACCTTGTCGATACCCTCCAAATCGTTGTATGATTGATCTGGGAGGGGTGCTTCACCGTAGCGCTTGTTGTCTTGGTCATACCAGCAGAGAATTCCTGTACCGCTGATATGAATCCAATAACCGGGGTTCGATTCAGAGTGTGTAGACTGTAAGCCGGCCCCAATAGCACGTGCTGCCCCAGCGTGATCAGAGCTGTCAGCAGTATCTGAACGGCTAGTTAGCATTATGAGTCCAGTGTATAGCTGAAGATAGACGTACGAATAACAATGTCGGCCTCTGAAGCAGCCTTCTTGATAACCTCAGAGTCATCCAGCGATCCGATGGCCAGTTTCACATCTGGATATTGCTTCTGAACATCCTTTCCCTTTTCCTCACTTCTGACAAGAATCGTGTACTTCCAGCTTGGCTGAGCCTTGGTCAAAGCATAGAATGCGTCACCGCCGATAAAACCGGTGGTGCCAGTGCTAGCCGACGTTAGAGTCAGACGAATGGTCAATTAAGTAAGACACTTACATAAAAACGTTCTTTGAAGCCATCTTGATTATTGTATATTCCAGATTCGACTGATCGATTGTGTGCACGAGAGTAATTAATTCCTTATAAATTGGTATTTGTAGAAGTAGCTTTTTCTATCGAAATATCAACGACGTCAAAGACGTCTAAATGACGTCGTATCCTCTGGGCTCCAAGCGGGGCTGACAACGCTTATTAGTTTAGATAAGATTTACACCGACAAATATGTATATACACTAACAATTCTGTTACAACACTACAGGGCTGTGGATAAGACATTTTCCAGATCTCTCAATCAGTTGCGCGATATGATGCAGAAATGACAATTATCTACCTCTATCAGGATTGTCTGGAAGCTTCTTCCCAGAGTTTTCGGACTTCGATCCTGAACGCTACATCAGACCAAAGAAAGTCCCTCAGTATCTCATACGTTTCAGTCCATGACTGCAGCACACCATATCTTTCAGACATTGCTGATCTCAGCATATTGATGTAATTTGAGCGTACAGGTCCACGGGGAGAGAATGCGCCTCCCATGTAGATAAGCCAGAGCAATAAATCTGCATGCTCGTCCCACACTGGATCATTATATGCCTGTTGAAGTTCAAAGAGCAACTGCGTGGATATGTTGGCCTTGCATATTAGCAAAGCCTTATAACAAAAAGTTGGAAAATAACTCACAGGAATTACCAAAGCGCACCATACTGTACAGCATAGCATAACAGAGCATAGATACGCTCCAAGATAACAACATCTTGATAGCTGTGTCGCCTTCGGGAGGGCTTCTAACCGTGATTGTATAGATGCTGTATGACCATTGATGAATACTGCCGATACAACGCAATCGGCCGGTCGATAATCGTCGCGGATACGTTCAAGAGCGTAGATATCTTCTAGCACTTCTATAAACTCATCACTAAAGAGATGAGATCGGATCTGGAAGCCTGGCGGTAATTGCAAGAGATCCGTAGCAATAGAATCTCTTTCCCACTCGAGCTCAGCGAAGCTCTTGTGATGGAACATACGCTTTGAACCGACTAGAATCGAAGAATTTAGGTCTTGCCTGTTGAAGAGGTTAATACGATAGCAAGAAACGCACTTCCAAGAACTTACCAAAATATCGCACGTTTAATCCCCTCAGTGAGACAAATACCTGAGTTTTGGCAGGTTGTAAGTAGAAGCTGCACAGCTCCCATATGCAGGTCTACCTGCGATACCGTTCCTAGTCGGGCCTGGCACTTTGATGTCAGCTCAGCACATGGGCATTCGGTCCAGGTTCTCATACCTCAACTCCAACTAAAAGTAAAATCGCACCAATTGTTGACTCTGAGACACTATGGTTGAACATCATTGTCTCGCGAATATGATGGATGGCCTGGCCTCGATAGATGAGACATTCCTTATTGATGATGCCTCCACTAGCTGCAAACGCTAACGATAGCATCACCGCATTTGACAAGGCAGGGTCAACAAGACCAGCACGAAAAACTGACTGAAAGTTCTGGAAATCGAGGTCTTTAGAAACACTGAAGACTGGTTCCGGAGCTAATCGGGCTTCGTCTGTTCGTCTTCAGTTAGCTATTATTAGATTCTATTTGCAGCGAGTGAGAGGCCCACAATTGTTAAGGAAATGTTGCAGTCTCGTTCCTTTAATTGCAAGACTGTCGAATGGATCAATTGTACTCGCGCTCAATGTCGCTGGCGATGGGGCTAAGTATCTATCATGGTTTCCTTTGCGTATGGCTCTTTTTATGCTGTTTCCATTCTCCGGAGTGTGGATGCAAAAGTTCTCCATGGATGCTTGTTGAATATTTCTCTTGTTCTGCAACGCCTGTTTGACTGCGTGTGAACGGGCCACTCGTTTCGTGGTCTTGTCATTCTGCTCTTCGGGAGTTTGGAAGGTGATAAATTGAAATTGCACCACTGAAGAGGTTAGATATTTTCAATTGACATATTTTTCATAATTGCTTACTTTTTTCTTGTGCATAAATATGTCTCTGTCTTCTCGTCTACTGAAGAAAATACATTGGGTTGTCCAGGCATGAATGGGAATGGTGAGATTGGCCGAGCTCATTATCTCATCAACTCTGCTGAGAAATCACAGCTTCGGTATTTTCCGCTAGCGTAGATCGGTCAGACTTAACTAGTCCCAGAAAAGAAAAACCTCGTTTCCTGATTAGGAAGTATCTCATTGCTAGATGTATAACAATGAATCTCGCGATAGCCTCATTTCCCCACAAACATTAGCGCATCTAATAATCAAATATCAGCATATCAGTCACTATATTTCTAATCATCATTGAAGACAAATTACATCCCAACGTTTGTCATCAAGATCAGAGGTATAAAAGAACCAAGATGGGACTAGAGGGAGATGTCATTGCTATCACTCAAACACTCAACCAACACCACAGTTCTTATTGTCTAAACAACACAAATTTGTACTCTTTACTCTAGTCTTAACCTTCAACTTCACCATGTCAGACTCACGCCTTTTCCAGCCTATGAAGATTGGCAACATCCAAGTTCAACATCGTGTAGGCATGGCTCCCATGACTCGGCTTCGGGCGACTGTGGACCGTATTCCCAATACCCTCATGAAAGAATACTACAGTCAACGCGCTTCCACACCTGGGACTCTCATTATCACTGAGGGAACTCTCGTGTCACCTACCTCAGGTGGTGGGTTTGCCCGAACACCTGGGATCTGGAACCAGGAACAAGTGAGTGCTTGGAAAGCCATCACAGATGAGGTGCATAGCAAGGGCAGTCATATATTTGTCCAGCTTTTCGCTATGGGTCGAGCTGCCACTGTCGAAGTTGCAAAAGAGGAGGGAATTGACATTATATCAGCGAGCTCGCTTTCTTTCGAGGGGAGTAATGCTCAGCCTAGAGCTATGACTCTTGAAGAGATCCACAGCATGATCGATGCCTTTGTGACTGCGTCCAAGAACGCAGTGGCAGCTGGTTTCGATGGTGTTGAGATTCATGGTGCAAATGGATATCTTCTTGACCAATTTCTTCAAGATGTCAGTAATCATCGCAATGATGAGTTTGGTGGAAGCATCGAGAATAGATCGCGCTTTATGAGCGAAATCATGAAGTGCGTCGCCAAAGCCATTGGGCCAGAGCGCGTTGGTCTCCGTCTTAGCCCATGGAGTACCTTCCAAGGCATGCGAATGGAGGACCCCATCCCGCAATTCACAGACATCATCAACAAAGCCAAGGCTCTTGATCTGGCCTACCTCCACCTCATAGAATCACGAATCTGTGGTAGCGTTGATGATATCAACAATGGCCAGGAAAGGCTTGACTTTGCTTATGATCTCTGGAAGGGTGCTTTCCTCATTGCGGGAGGGTATAAGCTACACGGTGCAGAGGATCTTGTCGACCGTGAGCATCCAGACAAGGAAATCATGGTCATGTTCGGGAGGGACTTCGTGGCAAACCCTGATTTGGTATTGAAGCTGCAGCATGGTTTAGACCTCAATCGGGGTGAGAGGAACACGTACTACACTAGCGACTCCGTTGGATACATCGACTATCCATTTGCTCCCAAGGTAGCTGTTTCTGCTTAAAGTGGTTTCAACATACTTTCTTTTTCTGTTTTCCTTAGTCTTCAACAATATTTAGATAGTCTCGCCTTCTATAGCCTTCTTCAAATCCTGATTCATCCTCACATATCCCTCTCTCAACTCTTCCAACTTTCCCATCGCCCCTACGATAGGTGCCAACATTCCAGAGAACCGTTCACCCTGAACAAAACGTGTCAAAGTGTCGTCCCCGTCAACTCTTTCTAGTAAACACCAATGTTCTGTGTCAATGAAGGCTGGTGTAAGAATGCTGCCATTCCATCGAAGTTCTTTTTCTGGAATAAGCACAGAGACGGTATTGGTATATGATTGGCTCTTGTTGATGATTATAGTTTGCTTGCTGCCGACAGAGAGCTCAGAATGCGGTGGTTGGATCTCGATTGATGTAACAAAGGTGTTCCATTCGGGCCAGGATTTGAGATCCATTAGGAAAGCCCAGACTTTGGCCGGAGGTGCTGAGATGATTAGGGATTCTTGAATTTCAGGCATTTCAATTGACGGTGATTATCAGAGACTGCTGTCCCATATCATCAAGACGCGTTGATACTTTTTATTGTTTGTTATGGGAATCACTCCTGTCAATATCATCCGAGCCCGGTGAATGGTGAGTGTTGTTAATCCGTAATAGGCACGGTACGGGGCGTCTCTCTCCCATAATGACGTAGACTATTTGGACGGAGGGATTGTTGACCCGCGACTAACGCAAGCTTATCATCTGCATCACAAAAGGTGTTTCGCCCTAGCCCAGCAATGCTTTAGTCAAAAAGTAACAGAGGTCGATAAATTGTTAAAAAGCGATAGGTTTGTTGGTCTGATGTTATTACTCCGTTAATTCATGAATAAAAAGATAATCGCTGGCTCAAGATCGTATGCTCCTCCATCCATTTGCCATCTCGCGCATGCCAATCCTTCCGTTCTGTCACACTCCTGTCCATCCCAGCCACTCGTGTTATTCTTGTCGCGTGAATCGAGCGATGTCTAAGGGACCGGCTCGTAGCCTCCGCTTCGCATGTGAGCCTGGCGGTTGGAGAATAGGTAATAAACGAGCATTCCGACGATGGGGAAAAGGAAGACAACGAGACACCAGAGAATCTTGTGGGAAACGGGGCGGTTGGACTGGAGAACCTCGACTACGTCACAGTTAGCGAATGATTAACCATACAACAGGATAAAGACGTACTCCAGACGAGAATGTCAAGCACTAAAACAATGAATCCAATGATTCCACCACCAGTACCGTAGTGCCAGGGCTTAGCAGAGGTCGCGCTGATGGCATCATCAGCGATGGGAGCAGCAAAGGCAAGCGTCGCGAGCCATAGCTGGAGGAAGGAGATGATGGCGTTATTAAACATGTTGGTGGATTGGTGTGTTGCAAGATTGAACTTGGCAGAGACAAAGAGAGGAAGAAGAACGGAAAATGCAGCCTTTTTGTGAGGCGCACTCGACATCAAAACAGGCTCCCATGGCACATGATACAAACATTGCGTCATTGATTGGTGTCCTGTCACTGTCACTACCCGCTTCCAGACAAGGGTGGTGGGTGATCCACGTAGCGAGGTATTTACCCTAGATATTTTTTGTTTGTTCTAATTAAACACCTATGTAGACATCAATTCCACAAAGCTATGGGGTTTTTTCCATCAGTAGTTTTGATCACAATAGCTTTTTCTCTCTTCAACATTTTTCAGTTTGTCTGAGTGAAGAGCTAAAGCGTGGACAGACGACTGCGTTCAGTACAGGTTATGTCGATTCTACAACCAGGTTCTCTGGAGCTTCGTTCACATACGTCACATAACAAGACTCACTTGTCGCATTGAGATGCGTCAATAAATGTACGCCAAGGATGTTTGAAACGCGCGTATATACTCTGAATACATCTACAAAATGTGAAGCTTGGTTGTAGTCTCTGTTGTTCCAATAGTTATCTGTCAATCACGAGTAAAAGTCTGTGATGGGCGGAAGCTACAGACCGCTTAGTCATAATTATGGAGAGACTGAATATGGCGCTTTCAGCGTCATGGCCTGCCGTAACAATCTTGCCGTACCGTTATCCCGGTTGCTCTCACGTGATGTTTTTCACTATGCCCAAGATAGATCGGCTCGCAGTGTTAGCGTTGTTCTCTGATCAACCGCTTAGACATTACACTAAGCTACATGTGTACTCAATCTGTCAATCCAGCACCACAATGTTGCAGATCATTAACAATTTGCTATAACCTCTATCTAAGGCAAGCTGAAAAATGATGTCGATCGTGCGGCAAAAAGCGGGGTAGTGTATTGACCAAGTCTCATCATTCTCTCAGAGATTTCGTTTAAAAACCTTGGCCTTCTTAGTTTAGCCATAAACGATGTCTCTAGTTTTCATTGTCTGCAATCTTTCAGAATGGCTACCGTGGCTTCACAGTCTGACCCTCAAGCCAACAACCCCACTGGGAAGACGACAATACAGGAGTCTCAAAGCCTAGTCCCTGTTTGCGACTGGACTGAAAAGGCTGAAACAAGACTGAGAAGAAAGTCAGTAACTCTTAACCCTCGAATTACCTGCTGACTACTAACACAACACATCAGAATTGATTTCACAGTCTTACCGATTCTCATGCTCGGTCTCTTTGCCTTACAGCTTGATAGAGGAAATGTGGGCTATGCCATGACTACAACCTTCACCGAAGATCTCGGTATAACTAAGGATATCGTCAACTATGGCAACCAGCTCATGCTAGCCGCCGTTGTCATCTTCGAGATTCCCTTCAACATGGTTTTGTCCAGGATCGGCCCTGCACTTTGGCTTATCATACAGGTATTTGCATGGGGAACAATCGCAACAGCTCAGGCAGCTATACACAACAAGTCAGGATTTTACGTCACACGCTTTCTGCTAGGAATGTGGGAGGCTGGATACTTGGCTGCTGCGCTGACGATCATCGCGTCATTTTATACGCGGAAAGAAATGGCACTGCGAGCTACGCTGGTTTATGTTGGGAATTACTGCTCAGCTGGCGTGAGTGGGCTGCTTGCCGGCTTGATCTTCAGAATCCCAGAGACAAATGGTTTGAAACGATGGCAGTGGCTTTTCCTCATCGATGGCCTCTTTACTATAGCTGTCGGCGTTGTTTTTATCTTTATCATGCCCCGCTCCACGACCGACACGCTTCCACTCGCCGGCATCAAAAGGTTCGACGTCTTCACCGACAAAGAGAGAGATATCCTTGCCAAGCGCGTCATTCTTGATGATCCGCGCAAGTCAGTGAAACTCTCTGGAATCAGTCCCATGACTGCGCTGCGCATTTGCTTCTCAAACTTTCCCATGTGGGGTCATTTCAGCATCAACGCTGTTAATATTACTCCCAAAGGAGGGTTGGTCTTCTATACGCCTACCATCATCAAGAATCTCGGCTTCTCTGCATCGACTGCTAGTTTCTTGTCAGCTGTTCACAACTTTGGAGTATGTATCTTGTCAATCTTCGTGTCTTGGATCAGCGACAAGACATTGTTACGAGGCCCGGTTTGTCTATTGTCTGGCGTATATTCACTTGTCTTCTCAGGGGTTCAATACGCTGTCGTCGGGAGTAGCGATGTCTGGATGAAATACGCCATACTGACGCTTCTTAACTCTGGTGTGGCGATAGCTCAGGCGCTTAATGATGCGTGGTTCAGCATCAACACTCACGATCCTCAGATCCGATGTATTGGTATTGCACTGGCTGTTACGGGTTCCAACGTTGGAGGACTCGCTGGGCAGAACATATTTCAAGAAAGTGATGCACCATACTACCCAAATGGCTTTCTAAAGATCCTATGTCTTTATGCAGGGAGTATTGTACTTATTGCTGGTATGATACTCTACTACTGGAATGATAACCGAAAGATGAAAATGGCGGGAGAGCTGGAAGATGTGGATGAGGTGGAGGGATCTGATAGGGGACAGATAAAGAAGGTTAGGAATCAGCTTTAGGAACTACCTTTTTTCCAATGGCCGATAAGCGAATAGAAAGTACCCTGAATTGATTTGGTCAGCATTCGTGATTAAGTATATTGAGTGAAGCCGGCACAATATGATCGACTAACACAGGGGCAGGGCTGCCCTCAAGTCAAATAATCAAACCCGTGGTTATATCGGTGAACGATACTTATTTGTACCCGCGGCTCGATCCATTGAAGAGGCCTGCTAATGCCAAGGCCTACCAGACGCCATGCTACGAACACACGCTCAGCCTCGCGACTACCTTCCTTTTTTGCAAAGACGCCGCGTCATTCGAGCTGGAGTCTAACATCAACAGAAAATGTGGCCTTGTGGAGCAGGATCACGAGATAATCCGGCTATGCGAAGAACCCACGGCCGAGCTCGAGGTTATCATGAACAACAAAACGCGTTAGAACTCCACTTACGTGATGATTGAGAAGGCTTTGCGAATCAGAGACTGCGAGAGAATAGCAAAGTACAAAGCAGCGCCACGGACAATAGGTCAGATAATTAGTAATCAACAGGATCTTGAATTGGCTAATTCCAGTTTTATAGAGTCAACAGAGTCTGAGTTGTGCTTTTTGGGCATTGAATCTTCTTTGGTATTTAACAACCCAGATTTAGCATTCACTGAAAACTGAGCCAGATGTCCATGACATATGAGATTTGTGACCATGAAGACGCGACTACCTCGCCCTTACGTATAAGCGCTTTTTCAGTGGTAAAATACTGAATGTCGTCAAATAGCTTATCCGCAGCTTCTCCCTTGGAAGCAGCAGAGAACTGATCGAGATCTTTTCACCTTAACACTGTTTGGACTTGGTAAGGCGAGCCGGGAGGGAAGGTAATAAACTACCAACCTAGAAGCCCAAAGGGACCCCATAACCTATATAGCCCGTTGTTAGACACTGATTCTGAGAGCGCTCTCAACGAATTATGATGAAACCATAGGCATGTGGACTTTGACATAGTAGGCCAGGTTAAATGGGACATCTGAGGGGTAAAGAATCTACACTTGTGCTATTGAGACGATTTATTTTATAAGAGTTTCTTAACAGTTGACGCGGTATGAAACGAGGAACAGTTGATGATGGCACCTTTTAGCGACGCATTGAAGAGAAGTCGGGTTCCTTATTGTAAAACCTGGGTTCACGGGGTCATTAGAAAGAGTTACGCCAAGCAGAATAAATGCCAGCAAGGTCATTCTCAAAGAATTTAGTACATACTAGGGTCAGCTTTCTAGAAATGGCATTAGGATCACGTTAGCTTTGGATAACAGTTATCCGGAGATCAGATAATGTCTATCCATTAATAATACACTAGACCGGGAATAAGAAATGCAGAAGAAAAGCATAAGGAAGCCACGTCATGTTGTCCCCTTCATTGGGTCCGGTCTGATCTCAGAGCAAGATGGATTCAATTAGAAGATGTTTACTCTACCCATAAGCGGATTGTCTAGATCAATGAATCGGTCACGTGCGAGCTTAATGACCAAAGAAACTTCTAGGTTCTATAACGTTATCCTGTGCTTTGGATATAATTAAACCCTTCTAAAATTTTTGAAGAATTTACCGGAATGACTAATGTGCATCATACTAATCCACAATATCTTGTAGAATAACATCTTAGTTGTTGATGTATAGTGAATTATATACTGCCACAATGAAAATTCCTCCAGTACTCATCTTCCAACAACCATCAACACCATGTCTGACACAACTCTTTTATGTATTGGCTCAGGGCCAGGAATTGGCCGTTCAGTTACCTCCCTTTTTGCAACCAAGCATTACAAAAATGTTGCATTGATCGCTCGACGCCCTGACCAGCTGGAGATCGAAAAAACTGCCGTGCATGAGGCAGCAGGCCAGAGTGTCAACGTGCAAACATATGCTCTCGACGTCACTGACACCGACGCATTATTGCCTGCTCTTAACCATATCGAAGAGGATCTGGGTAGAATCGAGTGCGTTTTCTACAATGCCGCTCGAGTTCAAAAGTCTTCTTTTTTCGACTATGATGTTAAGGAGATCGAGTACGACTTTAAGGTATAGCACTGAAACCTTCAACTTAATTGCTTATAGTAGTTAACCAAACCCAGATCAGTGTTTCCGCACTTTACACCATCACGCAGTACTCGATGCCCCGTCTTGTTGAACTGGCAAACACCCCATCGCAATACAAGCCGGCATTAATTGTAACTAGCTCTATGCTTCCATTAAAGCCGATGCCTGATCTATTTGCCTTGTCACTGGTCAAGGCTGCGCAACTCAACCTGGTCCATAGTCTAGCTATGGTATATAAACCACAGGGAGTTCACGTGGGGGTTATTAATGTCGCAGGGTTTGTTTCTGAAGAAGAAAAGGAACGAAATCCCAAGAACATTGCGGACAAAACCTGGGAATGGTTCACATCGGATGGAGAAGACATGCCCTTTGAGGTTCGAATTTGAAGTCACGATAGTCTCTTACATATTGAATCATCGAAAAATATCAGAAATGGTCTTTCTTTCTTGAGTGATTGTCTTTGAGAAATGTATTTGGATTATTCGCGTTACAACAGCTGCCTAGGGCAATAACGGTGTAAGATAATGATGGGATAGATTGATGTGAGAATAAAAAGACTAACTACGTGCAACACATGTACATTCAAGATATATAACTAACAGATCGGATTATCCACATACCACCCTGTTCAATCCTCAATCTTAACAATCACATTGGCTGTGGTTACAAACCACAAAAGCGGGCATTATTACCACAGCCTGCTTTTGCTCCTCCACCAGCTTTGCGTCTGAGAATGAAACGTCGTCAGCATTGGCGGCTCATCGTTCATTCTCATTCGCCGATATCTCATCCCAGGCGATTGACAGTGGCCATCTTACTTTTTGGTAAGAGCTTGGTCGCCATGTTCGTGGCCAAGTAGTTTCATTTCTAAGCGTCTTTTATTTAATTGGCCTACACCTCCATTGGCGCTTCGTCATCTGTAGTTCATGGTGGCGATAACCGCCAGCCTGATATTTCTCATTATGAGCATTTGGCAGCATATTCTTTTATGTGATACCATTATAATGTTATGAATCACTCATAATATTTCCAATTGACTCAAAGAATAACACTGCTTAATGTCAGAAACTTGCAAACGCCATGGTCGATAAAGACAGCACGAGACATGAAGGGAAACTGTACGAACCGGTGCCACAAGGTTGGCCCACTGATGTAGCCACATTGAAGGACTCTTCTTTACCCAAATGGCACAATGTTCTTCTGTCTAGCAGCTTATTTCTCATACCAACACCATTTATAGGTACGTTTAAAAGCATGACTCAAACAGTTGATCTAACTTTGTCTGCAGTACTCGCAGTGTACATCGTTTCTCTCAACCAGCAACCTGAGTCGCAACTCGGAAGTCGCGTTTTAGAGGCTGCGAGCATTGCCGCAACGTTATGGCCCATCGCATTTGCAGCTGTGCTTGGTACGGTGTTAAGAAGTGTCGCACTGTACAGTTGCGAGAGAGGGACAACACTTGGTGTGAGTACATATCCCTCATTCTTGTTTTGCTATCTGTTATTGATGATAAAGCGACATATCAACTGACAATATGTAGACACTTGAGACCTTACTCGGCAGCCTTACGTTGACGAATACCCTCAAGTCGTTCTTCTGGGTAAAATTGTTCAGCTTTTGGTCTCCAGTCCTGATGTTAGCATGGACTTTGAGTCCTCTGGGTGGCCAAAGTGTGCTTCGTGCTGTGTCTCTGCAAGCTGAGACAGTTTCTTTCGACTTTCCCACCATCTCCTACCCGTCCACTAACTTGAGCGCCGGGTTTGATAGACTACCAGCTCTGTATGCACTGCCTTTTGGTCTGCGAACAATATTTGGAGCAGCATTCTCATCGTCGGCCACCCGTTTAATGCACGTGAATGGGTCAAGCCCTAATTTCACAGAAAGCTTGGAACAGGTTGGTGAACCTGACGAGGCAAGGAGACTTTGCAAACAAGATGTCTGGGGCAATGTGCGACTTCCGTATTTGCATTTGCTCGATGGATATGATTCTGACAAACCCCACAAATGGGTGTATGTTCCGAATGACACAATTCCGCCCTATGAATCCCTTGTCGGGATACCGATCCGTGGAGTACCAACCATGCGAGCTGGAAACTCTACTATGATGGTTCAATCATCATACATTTCGTTATCGGTTAGTCTCATTTTCACCATCTGGCATCACTTGCTAACAATCGGTGCATAGTGTAAGCCGTGGATTAATGGAACCGCTTGGCTTCAAGACAATATATCACAGCTGGTTCTGGCTGATTCTATTGCCTCTGAAGGCACCATCGGCCTCAACTACCTCAACCATTCCTTCTTCCAAGAATACCGCGAGAGCAGGGAGTCGATATTTGGCTCACCCAATGCACCACCAAATTTCCAATTGGACATGATTAAGGACAAATATCTCAACGAGACTTGGAAAGGTATCAACTCTACAGTCCTGGATACGAGTCGGGATCGACCATTAAAGCAGAACTTGGCCTTCTTTGCCGCCAGCGTCAACGACTCTAGTGATCGATTTTCCTGGGGTATGACCACTTGCAGCCCCAGCACTTCCTATGTTGATGCTGAGGTACGATGCTCCCGGTCTACTGACTTTGGATTCCTCTCATGTTCCGTTGAGAGACTACGACACACAAAAGGACACACCATCAGGGCAAACACCTCTGTGTTCTCATTTTCATACAACCTCCCGGTACTAGCGTGGACCACTCGCCTCATTCCAGACCCTGAAGGAGGGCAGAATGACTTACTCAACCTCTTTCTTCGAGATCCAACCCTGGCACGCCCGATTGGCGAGTTCTACAAGTTCACCGAGTTTATTACGCCACCACCTTTGGACAAATTACCACTCTCGATCTTTGAAGCTAGATTGGGAGCCATCCTGAATACAGTTATCAGATCTTCATTTGAGCAGTCCATCATTGTTGGCGCCGATGGGATATCGCCAGCTTCGAAAGTCATGTCAGACAGATTCATCAATAACACCATTACACCCCTGGCAGACTGGGGGAACAGCACGGGAACTTGGACTGAATTTGCTGGAAACGTGTACAAGGTGGATTGGCTCTGGATGAGTCTTTATGGCATATCCCTCTTGGCCATGATCATCTTTACTATTGCAAACGTTGCATTACAATGCAAAATTCGGAGTCCAGACATCTTGAGTAGTGTCTCAATGCTGACAAGAGACTCGCCATACGTCGCAGTGCCGGCTGGTGGCAGTATGCTGGGAGGAATTGAGAGAATAAGGCTACTGAAGAATGAGCATGTAAGAATAGGCGATGTCCAGCCAGGGCGTGATATAGGGAAAGTCGCATTCAGCAATTGGGACGGAACTGCAGTGCTTGACCGTGGACGGAGATATATTTGAAGGCCCTTGATGACCATTAGAGTTAATGATCATAATATATGTTGTTTGATCTGTTGAGTTGATAATGCATATAGATAAATATTGAAGTGTCATCGAAATTCGTTTTAACGCTCCGAAGACCCTATAAGATCTGGTTTTACAACCTCAGAGCCAGTTGGTCAAGAACCAGGTGTATCTCAACTGTGCTTCATGAAAGCACACCCGCGTTCATGCGTACCGTCGATCCTCTATCTGAGAGCAATAACCTCTCTATCGTTCCAAATAAAATGTATCTTGTAGAACCAATATGCTCTGCACCACTGACCACGTTCAACTACCTGATTAGAAGTATGTCGGTGATAATAGCGAAGGGTGTTCTTCTCATCATCACGGCCCTGAGGTAACATGAATACCTCTCCATTAATGTCCAGAGAGGCTTGAATATAAAACTGGCGTGATGTATGTCAAAAGCAGCCGGTGTACACGCTTAGAGCAAAGAGTCCGGGGATTGAATCGCTGTGCTCTTATTGGAAGGTAGCATTGGATAGCGGTAGTTGGCGTTACAGATATTTCACAGGTCTTAACGACATCAATCGACCTTTTGGAAAGATCGCACCGAGACAGCAGCGTCAATGGCCAGGAGACCAGTAAGGATACTTTCACCAGCCAAAGCCGTAGCATGGGCAATACCAGGCGATACTATATTTAGAAATACCTTTGTTCTATATATGTAAACACCGATGTCAAGAAAGACTTGTCATCTAGATAGATCACCTCGAGTCCATGTTGTATTCAGTTTATCCTTTAACCGATGTATTGGCCATCCAACGCTGTTGCCAAAGTGGTCTATAAAGTCAAGCACCTCCTGCTGCTCTACAGGATCAGTCAACAAACAGCCACCTATCCCGTCAGTGATCTTGGTGAGATTGAATAGAAAGCTTTCAAAACTCACAAGTGAAAAGTATATGATGTACGGTAAACCCAGCACCAACCACCGAACGGTTATGGATGCCGAGACCGATAGCTATACGAAGATCGTTCAAGGCCGCTTTCTGTTGTCCCAAGTTTAGTAATGAGGCTTAAAAGAAGATAAGTTAACATACATCTGCGACTACCCGATCCTCAATGGTTCTTAAACTAGAAACCCATAGTCTGGGCTCAGAGATATGCAGCAGAATGCGAGCCATACAATAGTGCTGATATCCCATAACTGTAAATTATAAGTTATGTTTGTTGGCCAGACAGGATGCAATACACTAACCTTGAGCAGGATTCATCATCCACACTATAGGAAAAGCCGACTTGACCCCAGTAGATGTAGTCTTGACATCGGAATAATATGGATGATAATGTGCCGGTATAGAATCATGCCATCTTGCAACCTCCTCACCAAGCTGAGCCCACGTTTCGTAGTTGGGCTGTGCTCCTGGGCCAAAACTAGTCGCTAATACCTCACAGCAAAGAAGAATAGCCCTATTGGCAAAATCTTCATCAGTCGTGTCTATGAATGATCTGGAACGTCGGTACTTGTTCAGATCTACTTGTATGGGCTCGCTTTTGGTGAGAGAGATGTGCAAATTCTGTCGAAGCATTATCCAACTGGCTGCTTCGCTTAGACCTCCTTGGGCTATGAAGTCAGGTATGCTGTTCCAGAGTCGTGCGCATCCAACGAGGTGAGTGCCAGTGTCAACATCTTCTAAGGCGTTAACGCGCAAACTATGATGATGGCTCTGCTTAGAATGGCTTACCACACATCTCCTCGTATAACCGTAAAAGCACCGCAGCTGCTAAAAGATTTTCATCCAAAGATGACATTGGATCATCAAGAATAGGGATTAGAATACGTAGGGCATAGCTATGATACTCTTCACTACTTTCATCATCAATACCAGTGATCATCACTTGATGACGTGACGAGAAAGCTAAGATGGAGTATGCTAGGAGGGGAACTTGGCGAGCCCTCTTTGGCACTTCACGACCGAAGCGTTTCGAAGGATCACAGAGATCAATCTAGAAATAGGGCGTTAAAAACATTTTATCGTCTGAAAGATAATCATTTACCCTCGGTGCAAGATCTTGGAGGTAATTCATTAAGAGAAAAGCTGCTCGTCGACTGTTTAATGGGGAGGTGAATCCGCATGGTCTGCCGACAGAATAGTCGGACAAGGAAGACGCTGAAGAGGACGGCCTAACTATACATCAATTTGGGGGCCAATACTAAATCTTAGTGAAAAGACTCACTCTACATCCTCGCTTGATTTGGAAGTTGCCGAGTTACATTCAAGAAATAGTGACGGCGGCATAACCACATTACGAATAGGGGAATACGCCATCGTAAAATAAGATGCTGGGAAGAAACTACGTAAGAGTATGGAGAACAACTACGAGGAGACGAACAAAGTAGTGGTTACTTTGATTAGGTAATCAACAATTTCCCCAACGATCAAGAATGGCATCTTTTCCGCCCTGGCAATCGCCTGACCTAGCACTCTTGTTAATACGATGCGAATTAAAATTCTATGTCAGAGGAAGTATAACTGACGTATATTTGTTACAGTGAAAAATGGCTTCTAATTGCTATTATATAATTTGTCGCTCAAATATTCACCGGGAGCGAGCTCACAATAACCGAGAGGGGAATCATACATCACCACAATTATATCCTGGAGAGCCGATAAAGTTTGGTCTTTGCCTTGGCTACTTGAGTGGACTTCCCCGCAGACCATGGTTCGATTCGTTATATTTGTTCCGGAGCTAAGCTCGACACCAGTAACCTAGCCTCGGAACAAACACCCCAAACCTGGATCTCGTCATTTTGATCTGGAACATCACGTCGATTATTCATAAGGCGCAGCACCAATTGGCTCCCAGATTTGTCGCTCAAATGTAAGGGTAGAATTAGAGCCAGTGGATAGTTCTGTAATATCTTCTTGCCACGTCACAAGCTGGTTTTCTCTACAAGTCATTCAAACAGTAACATTAGTTTTTGATCCACTTGGGCCCGGAGTTACCTCCCTCCGGAGCCAAATACAGGTATAAGTCTCCTGAAATGTCCACATGGTCCCCCGCCCCGCTAACTCCATCTTGCTTTTCGCTTCCCCGGACGCTCAAACTGCATGTCACGATATGGGACGTACTGGGCAGAGAATCTCGGGCTGTAAGGTGAGCGAAAGCCCATGCTTCTTGCTTTTTGCTTTTTGGCTAACTCGTGCCAGAATTGCCGTTTAAGGTGAGCTATGTCATACAGCTAGCTTGATCATAGCTGAAATTAGATCTGTTTTATTAGACATCTGAAATGTACCTGTTCTCCTTTAATCCATCTATGATAGCAGTTTGCTGATTAAATCTCCACACTAAAGGCGACGATGAAAGACCGTGTGCTCAGTGCGTCAAGAAAAACCTCTATTGCGACAGAAGTCTCAAATTCCGATTTCGCCACAGCAGCCTCAGCTCAACGTAAGTAATGGTGGTCTTCTACAACGCGACTTACGTACTAAGAAAGCAGAAGGACCCCTAGGGGAAGATTGAAATTTCCATCGAATCAACAGTGGAGCAAGCTCTCGAACAAAAAGATTGAGTTTGTGGATCAGACGTTAGACACCGTTCGATCGTCCAACTCTTTCTCAGAACCCGAAGCTGATCCCGGCTCTTCGGAAGACCAGACCGTTTCCCTCCTGCAAAGACGGGACGCAGAATTCACGTCACCATGTATCAATGTTCAAGATGATATTGACGGTCTGGGACATCATCCAGCTAGCCCGATTTACTCACACACAGATAGTGAGCCTCAAGGCTCCAGTCATCTAGACCAGGCCACTTTGCCATTTCATCAACCCCCTCATCAATTACCTGAGCTGGTGTTGCAAGAATACACACCCATTGCGACCGAGCAGACTGAGAGTAGTTGGCATAATACCAAGTATACACCGCAAGGTACCAATAGTTCATATGGTGATAGGCATCAGTTAGGTCTGCCCATTTGCGTGCTCAAACAAAACGATGCAGAGTTGCTTCGTCACTTCTTCTCAGGCTTCAGCAATGCATTCGATCTTGGAGATCCAGATCGACCGTTCTCCAGTTGGTTGTCAACTCGAGTATTGCAATTTCCTCGTTTTCTTGAGTCTATCTTGACGATAGCGTCGAGACATCTGGGCAAGGAGGAGACCAATACAGCTTTCTCAAACTCAGCGGCTAATGCATCTTCTGATCACGCACAACATCTGCCCAGTATTGCTTCAATTATTGACTTGACTATCCAAGAAACTCATTCTGTTACTAACCTGTTATCGCGGTTTGTACGTACTATGGAAGGTCAGTGCCCCTCCTTTCAATGCCTTTTATTCCCGAGTCTCACGAAACCCCTCTGCGGAAGTACTGCCATGAGAAAAGCTGCGATACTGATTGACCTATGCGAATAGCGAAGAACTTGATATATCCTTCCTCACTCGACCAAGAGCACATGATGGAGGAACTGACAGAACCTTTCCAACAAGAGAACATCCCAGAAGCCGCGTGGTGGGCGAATTTGCGACTGAAGATCTACTTAGCAGTTGTCACTCAGGCACCTTTCGCATCAAACTCAGATTCTGTGTACGCAAATAAGAAAGGTGTTCCTATAAATGATAAAGAATGGGCAAATCTGATGCTTCTTCACCTGGCAGACATTTCCCGGTACTGCTTCTCGGACAACAAACATGCTGATCACTATACTGCGCTACTGACAGATCTCACTACATGGTCGAAGTCGAAACCGGATTCATTTGATCCAATATATATATGTAAACACCTTGATGGACAGGTCCTTCCGGATGTCTGGGTGTACAACGAATCAGTGGCTGCTGGCTTGCAATACTATCATCTTGGTCGAATGCTTCTCATTTCTCACGATCCGCGTCTTCCCAAGATTGGACCTGCAAAGAACAGAGAAATGAAGCGAATAGAGGTACACAAAACACGGCGCTACCGAGAAATATTTGTCTAATACTGATTAGATCGAGATGAAGAACGATACTAAGATAATCTGCGCAATTGCGGAAGGCATGGGTGAAGCCAGTCCCACATATCTGTGTGTTATGTTATAACCCCGAAATTTTGGCGATTATGCTTATATATTTTAAGGATTGCTTGCATGGCCATAGCCTTGGTTGGAGATCTTTTCGACAGGCGCGCTGAACAAGATACCCTCCTTCACATTCTTACCAATGCGGTCGATCAGTTCGGATGGCCAACTTCTTACATGTATGATTTGACCTATACAATTATTTAAAATCTGGAGGCTAACACTTCGTAGCCGAGAAACTCTAAAGGAGACGTGGGGATGGCTTAAACCAGGCCATGATAATATCTGCTAAGTAGAGTAGTTTCGAGTCTTCAGTTCACACAAGCCAAGTTTTCTATATGGGATTCTAACAGTCTTATCAGTTTTGGGGTTTTCCGGAATTATTGTTAATACTTACAATCTTCAAATCAAGCTATTTCATCACAAGCTGGTCGGAGGACAATAAAAACACATACAAATGATGTAATCCAGATCGTGCCATGGTTCTCTATAGGGTATTTCTGGAGGCGTAGCACTAAACTCAATTCGCTTTAGGGCCGAAGAGAGTCAATATCGACTGTAATAAGTTCGTGACAGATCCGGGATGTTTGTTCCGGCGACAAGCGAGACCAATTCCATAAGCTTCGGGACAAGTACACCAAAACAGGAAGAAACTCAAGTGCCAACGCATATCCTTACCACTTATTCTCACAGTAGTGTCAGTGTAACTACAGTAAATTTCAAGGATATGCCTCCCCGTAGATTGAAGGCATGGCCATTTAACTGGCCCTTGTCCCAAGGCGGCCTAAGGATCGTGGAGAAACGGTGTCTACCCAATCTCCTTACGTTGAATCTTATCCTCCAGGTTGATAAAGGAAAGTAACTCCGGCAACATGCAAATTTAATTCTCCGGCCCAGACTCTTAGATCCGGGAACACAAAACATGGAGCTGACGGTAGTTGATGCGGAGAAATGGAGTCATTATGTGCAGAAGATTGCTTTTTGTCCAAGATCTTAGCCACTTCCCCCATAATAACCCCAGCTTTTGAGGTGATCCACCCCCAGAAAAACAAGGTTTCTCGGGATCATGAGAGAGAAGTGGGCTAGTGACATGACAAACAACTGTCGCATGAGTCGTTAGCCTGATGAGAATATATATAGGGCGCTAAGCTACAGTTGCGCATTGAGATCTTTCTTCTCTACAATCTCATCTGCATCACAATATCACATTTTGTTTTTCGTTTCTTTATCGATATCCGGCAACATGTCTACCTACGATGATCACAAGTCCTCAGTTGAGGGCCATGGCATGGAAAAGTCGACATCCACAAACATCGAACATGTTGAAAGGTCCCACGGCACCGTTGTCGAGTTTGACGACTCAATCGAAGATACCAAGCCATCCAAATCAGTTTGGCTAATCACATTTACCGTTGCCATGGGCGGTTTCTTGTTTGGTAGGTAACCTACATCCTTCTCTTCTGGACTCTCCTAAAAGGAACTGTCAGGTTACGACACTGGTGTCATCTCAGCTGTTTTAGTCACCCTCGGCGACGATCTCGGCCACAATCTTGACTCTCATGAACAAGAACTCATCACTTCCATCACCTCTGGAGGGGCTCTCATTGGTGCTCTGATGGCTGGTCTTCCAGCTGATAAGTACGGTCGCAAGCTTGGAATCTACATCGGTTGTTTTCTCTTCCTTGTTGGGTCTATTGTCCAGGCTGCTGCGTTCAATCTTGCCACCATGACTGCGGGACGTCTTATAGTTGGATTTGGCGTTGGCTCAGCTGCCATGATCATTGTATGTACCAATCTCGACTGGCCGATATCCTGAACTGATTTATTTAGCCTCTCTACATTGGAGAGCTCGCCCCAGCCAAGTACCGCGGTCGTATGATTGCCTTCGACAACCTCAGTGTAACACTCGGTCAACTGGTTTCCTACGGTCTTGGAGCCGCATTTACCGATGTTCCTCATGGCTGGAGATACATGATCGCCGTCGGCGGCATTCCTCCTATCATCCTCGCTGCTCTGCTTCCCGGATGCCCCGAATCGCCTCGACAGCTCATCGCACACGGAGAGAGAGACGAAGCTGAGAAGTGTTTGCGACGAGTCTACCCCGCTGCTACTGACGAGCAGCTCAAGTCCAAGCTTGATCGTCTTGTGTGGACGTTTGAGGTCGAGTCTTCGGTTGTGGCCAGTAAGTCTCTCTGGTGGCAGTTTAAACAACTTCACTGCGTGCCTTCCAACCTTCGCGCGCTGATTTCTGCTTGTACCGTCATGGCTAGTAAGTTTCTAAGTAAGCCTATGATTCTGAACTTCTGTCGCTAACAATATCACAGTCTCTCAGCTCGGTGGTTTCAACACTCTTATGTACTACTCTGCGACCCTATTCTCCCTCGTCGGTTTCAACAAACCTACCGCTGTTGCGATTGTTGTTGGTGCCACTAATTTCCTCTTCACATTTGTAAACTTGGTTGTGATTGATAAAGCCGGACGCCGTATTATCCTGCTAGTCACTGTGCTCGGAATGGTAAGATACTCCTCAGTTTCCGGCAAACCCACGATATTGACATTTTCCCAGTCTGTGAGCATGGTCATCGCCGCTGTCGCATTCCACTGGATTCCTATCTCCAAAGACCTTGTCCTCCAAGCCGATTCCGTTAACTGGGCAGGTATTGTTGTGCTTGTTACCATTATATTCTACGTCGCCTTTTTCGCTAGTGGTGTCGCCACGATCGGATGGGTTGGAACAGAGCTTCTACCTTTGGAAGTTAGGGCGCTTGGCACAATGATGAACACTGTTACATGCTGGGGCTGCAATATCATCATTGCCTCTACTTTCCTCTCCATGATGAAGACTATGACACCCAGCGGCGCTTTTGGCTTCTACGCAGGTATCTGCTTTTTTGGCTGGATTTTTGTCGTCTTCTTTTACCCTGAGGTTAAGGGACTTCCACTTGAAGAGGTCAGGAAGGTTTTCGAGAATGGCTTTGATGTCAAACTGGCCAAGCAGATGCAGCGTGATCTCAAGATCAATAGCCAGACTTCTGCGGAGCTCAAGGCGTAGATAGCAAATTTCGCGTACTGCACACTATCTACTTCATATCTTCTGTCAAAAATATTCTCCATATCTTTGTTAGTCTATGATGTATAGCAATTACATTGTCTATGCTGCTCTAAACTTCGCATACAAATAAACAAATCGATTAGTTTCTATACCTGATGCTTCAGCAGAGCGTTTACTAACCGAAATACTCGTCTGGCATGAACGATTAAGCGAGGGGCAGATAACATCCTCTTTCTCTCATCTATGTATAGCGTAGCCGACAATCAATTCACTGAGAAGATAATTATAGATTCGAACCGATGAGCCTTACTTTCAAAGCGAGTGTAAGGCCATAGAGGAAACTTATCGAAGGTTACTTTCTTCCGAATTATTACTGCTTGCACCGATAAAATGAATCACGTTAACCGAGGTAGGCAGCAGAGGTTATACACATCTCATGATGGTCATTTTTACCGCTGATTAATTACGTCACTTCATGTCTGAGTTTGTCTCTGATCAAGTAAGCATAGGGAGCAGTTTGCCTTGTATGGCGGATCAACAACAGCTCAAGATGTATAAGGATGTATGACTGAAATAGGCAATTTTCCCCCACGCTTAACTAGTCCAAGACAATCGGTGGACTTGGTAGACACACCACCAGCATATGAGGAAATTTCTGCTAGATCTACGACAGGGATTAAGGCTTCAGAAGCGAGTCTAGTCCACCACCCCAACTTGAAGTACTCCCTAGTAGCGTGTCAGCTTAGTCTTCGTTCCTATTTGGATTGATGAGGAAATATTCAGAGCTTGTGGGGAAGGTTCACGCGGGGTAAAATTATGGGGAACGGTCAAAGTCGCCAAATGTGGGAATATCTTAATCACGATTGCGTCTGGTATGGATTGGTTTGTCTACCATCATAGGAACTGCCATGTATAAGAAAGCATTGTTGTCTTCGTCGTATCTATTGTTCATCTCTATGCAGCCAAATTTAACTCTCTTTCTTACCTTATTTTATGAGCATTTGGTTGTAAGCGGTTGTATATTGTTCTCCTTACTAGTTTCCTAGCTTCTTGCCATCTTTTAGATTATCAACGATGTCAACCTCAGTTGCCGCCCTGGGCTCTTCACCCTATGCGATTGCAGTGGGTGTGGCTATTTTCGTGTACTTTGTCATTCACCCTTTTATTCTATACTTAAAGGACACTAAGGGTAAGATATTTTGCCTCAAGAGTGAACGTCCAGCATAGTCTTACTGACTCTACCCAGGTCTTCGACGCTTCCCTAACATGTCCCCGTTCTCCGGCATGTCTAGTATTCCCTTCATGATCCTTGCTCATGGGGGGGCACGATCGACTCATCTCGCGAAATTACACAAACAAAAGCCTATCATCAGAACAGGGCCCAACGCACTGTCCTTCGCCGGTGGACAAGCCATCAAAGACATTTATGGTCACGGAACTACCTGTATCAAGGATGGATCATACATCGTAGGAGCCGGAACTCATTTTCACCTAGCCGATGTGGTTGATAAACACGATCACGCCCGAAAGCGAAAGGTTCTGTCATCTGCTTACGCACTCAAGAATCTCGAGGGTTGGGAATATAAGGTTGCGGATAAGGTGCAGCGAATGATAGACCACTTTGACAAGGTCTGCACTGCTCCTTTGCCTAAGGGTGCCCAGTTTCCCGATTCTAAAGACTTCAATCTCGACTTCCGTGCCTGGTCTAACTTTTTTTCTCTTGATGCCATCGCTGATATTGGTCTTTCTGAGAAACTTGGTCTACTTGATCGAGGCCACGATCGTGTGGAAGCTCAGGAGACATGCGGTACTGTCTACGAAACCAATCTACGACAATGTCTTTATCCCACAGCACGCAAGCAGTCTTATCTTCTTTGGAGTTACGACTACTACAAGCTGCTCAATAAAATTTCCAACGTCATTCCGTTCTACCGGAAGATGTCCGAGTCAGCCAAGGGTTGGGATGATATCGTGTTGCGTCGAGCTCAACTCCGGTTACATCGATACCAGAAGGGGGAAAAGCTCGACGACTTCTTCCAGGCTCTAATGGAGGACAAGAACGGTAACCCTCATAATCTTGAATGGGGCGAGGTTGTTGCTGAGATCAACATCATGATGAACGCCGGAAGTGTCACCACTGCTATTGCTTTGGCCAACGTTCTTTATCAGTTACTACTGGACCCAAGATCGATGCAGCTCCTGCAACAAGAACTTGATGCAGTCCTTGATCCCGACGAGGTGATTGCTCCCTATGATAAGGTCAAGCATCTCCCCTACCTCCGTGCTTGTCTCGATGAATCGCTTCGGCTCTGGCCACCAACCCCTCAGGGTCTTGGTCGTCAGACCCCTCCTGAAGGATTAACCATCATGGGCCAGTACATCCCCGGTAACACAAGTGTTAGTGTGTCTGCTCTGGTTGCGCATCGCGATGAGACAATCTACCCCGAGGCAGAAAAGTTTATTCCTGAACGATTCCTAGGCGAGAAGGGTAAGGATCTTCAATCCCACTTTATTACTTTCTCAGCCGGCGCTCGAGGTTGTATTGGGCGCAACATTTCTTATCTTGAACAGACTGTGTGTCTTGCTTCGATCGTTCACCGATACGAGTTTGCCCTACCAGCAGGCTTTGAGATGAAGAGAGAGGAGACAATGAATCATATCCTGGGCCCTATGCCTGTCAAGGTGTGGCGAAGAAATCTTGGAGAGCTAGAGTAACAGTTTCATGGCGCAGATTATATAACAATTGGGCATTACAAGTACTTAGGTTTATGTCAGTAGAATAATAAAATGCAGTTTAGACATCCCACCGATTACGATTGCATCTCTCAATAGTAATTAATAAGCTAGCAGAATAATTTTTGCGACATATGGGAGAATACTATCATTCTTTCCATATGAACGGTAATCGTAGTCTGAGACAGAATAAATTCGTATCAGGGAAGGGGGCCGATTTGAGCCAGGTTTAGTCGACTTTTTGCCCAAATTGTACTTAAAACAAATGTTGCTGGATAATCCTTATACATTTATATTATAAGCCTTCGGCACCTTATAATCGCCGTGTGCCGACCTCATCAGCTAAAAGAGAGGCAACTCGAGGGTATTGTTAACGAGATATGCAAATTACGCATTCACTCTCTGTCATGGTTACATTGTATCGGCGCTTGACATTGCCGTGAACCGGGAGCTACAACGGTCCGCTGCATTGCTCCGCTGAGTCAGCGGCACATATCGGCTTTTGAAAGCACCGATCTGCAGATCATTCCCGAAATTAATAGGAAAATAGTTTAGTCCCTTGAGTTTTCATACCAAATTTAAATCTAAATAAACATTTCAATTCTGGAATTATGCCATAGATACAGGGGGATGCCAGTACCAAGTTTCGCTTATCACGACAGCTATCATCGGATTCATATTGAAACCCGGTCGCCGGGTAGGTGATCAATTACTTATAAAGATAGATGCCACAAGACAAGTCATGGCTCATTCTATATTCATCACCAATTTTCAAATTATCAAGTACCCAACAAATCTCAACGATGGGATTCAAAGTCGTTATCGTGGGCGGCAGGGTTTCCGGCTTGTCGGTGGCTAATATGCTTGAGCGTTTTGACATCGATTATGTCCTCCTCGAAGCTTACCCACACATCGCGCCTCAAGTCGGTGCAAGTATTGGCATTCTACCCAACGGTTTTCGTATCCTAGACCAACTTGGATGCTACGAGCCTATCCTTGACATTGCAGGGGAATGTCGCTATACCCTTGGCTCCGTGCGGGGGCCAGATGGTCTTCCACTGACTGCTTCCTCAGAAACAAGCCTTTCCGTTCACTTTGAGAAAAGGTAGGAAAATTCAGATGGCAGTGGTTTTAATAGCTAACATGTAGGTAGAACGGGCTATCCATCGATTTTCATTGATCGACAAATGCTACTGCAGGTTCTTCACAGCAACATCAAACACAAAGATCGGATTTTGCCCAATAAAAGAGTCACTTGTGTCGAATTTACCGCTAACGGAGCTCGAGTCCACACCAAAGATGGTTCCACGTTTGATGGAGACATTGTTGTCGGGGCCGATGGCATTCACAGTAAAGTCAGAGACGAAATGTGGCGTCTCGGCAAAGAACAAAGTCCTGGATACTTTCCAGTCGATGAAACCTCACGTATGCTTAGTCACAAATCTCCTGTTAATGATACTAAAATATTTGAACAGGTGTTCCAGTTTCAACGCGATGCATATTTGGAATCTCTAACCGGCCCCCAAATTATGGCAGTCGAAGTCAGCAGGGTGTTAGAGGACGAGGCCACTCCTATCTTGTGATTGCAGCACCGATGGACCGAACCTATTGGTTCCTCTTCGACGGACTCCCGGACACCGAATATGGCAAAGGTATTTCGAAATACTCCAAGGTCGATGAAGAAACTCTCGTGAAAGCTCATCGTGATGATCCTATCACTGAGGATATGACCTTTGGCGAGTTGTACGACAGGAAAATCATGTCAACTTTGGTACCACTTGAAGAATACGTCTTTGAGAAATGGCACTATAAGCGGATTATCACGATTGGTGACTCAGCTCACAAGGTAAGTTCCTGACGTAACAAGAGGGTGACAACACTGACACCTTCGATTTGCAGATTGATCCAGCATCAGGCCAAGGAGGCAATGGTGCTATTGAGGCTGCAGCACTATTAGTCAATTCTCTTGTACAGCATCTCAAGACTTCTCCTCAAGGCCTCTCGGAAACTCAAATTGAGACTGCGCTTGCAAACGTTCACACCCGACGATACGAGAGATCGCGTAACCTGGTAGCACAAGCGCACTTGCTACAGAAGATATCAAGCCAGAGGATGCCATTTGCTAGCATTTTCGCATACCTCCTCCCATTGTTCGGCCCAACTGCCTTTGCCGACGTTGTTGTGCCAGTCTGCTCCGCTGCTCCCAGGATCGAGGGTATTCCTCTACGAAACCGACCACACTGTGTTCCATATGAGGACGAATTGCCTGCCAAGCCCTTCAAAAGCAACCTTGCTAAGCAGGTTCCATGGACTCTTGCGTGCGGCCTTGGCATACTCGGATATTTTGCACTTGGAAAGAATGCCATACCGGGAGGAACAGGTATCGCGGAGACATTCCAGCAATTTGGCACTGGAGGTGCTTTGGCTAAATTGACTAGCTTTCAATCTTCTACCGGTCTTGCCATCAGTTTGATTCCAACTATTTCCACATGGATGGTCGAGGGCTCTCGAAACAGAAGTGTCCTTGACCCTCTGTCCTGGTTCGTAACCCTCCCACGGGAACATTCTTATGCAGGAACTAACTCGAAATAGGACATCATTGCAGGCCGTCGTCTACGCTCTGGCTGGGCCAACATCAATTCCCACTCTCTTCAGTCTATCTTCTATTCTCTTCTCCAGCCCATCCATCACACAGAGACCAGTTAGCACAAAGGTTGCTAAATCAATTGTACCAGGTATGGTTTTGGGCTACGTAGCACCTACCGTGGGAGCTTTACTTGTCCAAGGCACCAATTATGTTCATCAGGTTGGCCTCATATGGCGAGCACACCCACTGCTCTGCGTCGCTTTCACTAGAGGGATCGCAGCACTCCGTTCTGGGCGTGACGAGAAGATGAGATGCAACGAACCTGAAAAGAACAACGACAAGAAGCCACTTGACTTCATTTCCGACCAGGAGCTTGAGATGTACAACGGGGCGGATGTTCCACTCCTCAAATCCGTACATGGATTTGCTTTTGCTACCTCCATCGTTTTACCCCTTGCTTTGAAGCTTACATCAAACGTTGGCGCACATTTCCTCGAAAGCCGGGTCGACGCGGTCTTACCCATGATGGGTTCCGTCCCCACGATTAGTGCTATCAACGCAGCATCAAGTTTTGTCTACTGTCTTTACTCGGCTTGGCAGTTGCGATCGCTTGGGTTCGTAAAGACACAACAGGCTCTCATTGGGGGTTTTGCTTCGCTCGCTGTTTTAGGTCTTTCAGGACCTGGTGCTGCTATAGCAGGAGTTTCTTATTGGCGCGAGTCTGTTATCTCAGGTTTGGCCAAGATGTATACCTAGATGGAACTGTAGGAGTGCTACATAAATTGCGAGACAAGTTGATAGATAGACTGGGGCTAATTGGGAGACATTTGGATATAGGAGACATAGAACATAAGCAGATATTGGGTCGAATTAATTTATTGCAAGTTCCATAACAAGACAAGCGTCAATAATTGGTGACAACCATGGTAGGAACATACTAAGAAGTTGGAGAAGGACAAAAGATTGTGCTCACATCCGAAACGAAAACAACAAAAAGAAGGGCAGGAAGCAGTATGATCACGCTAATAGAAAGATCATGGAACTCTCAACGAAGCTGACCAAGGCTCGTAGCAGGCTACCAGTTAATGTAGCCGATGAGAATCATCTCGGCGATGATCAAACTTACCACAGGTCGGTCAAGAAAGAATGTTCTCGAGATTAATACTTACAAACGAACAGCGCGTTCGAGGACAGTAGCCTTCAGTCCATCAAAATTGCCAATGTTGGGACGTAGGAGAATGTGACTGAGAAACTGGTGATATCTAGTCGCTATCAAACCTCCGATGATTGTTAAGTCATCTAGGAAGAATATGAAGACTGGGCGAAATAAGGACAAGAAGGGTTGGTTGCAGGGTCACCTAGTCACGCTAGGAGAGCTTGAAGCTTATCTCCTTTCACACCTATACATCTCAGGTTGCGCAGCCATCTAAACACTAAACGACCGAGCTGGTGAGTTGCCTAAGGCATTTATCATAAAGTCTAATGCTTGTGGTTAGCAGTCGGATGAGGTAATTACTTATACTATTTGCAAACATGTTGAAGAGCACAAGCCTAGATATAAATGGCTGGGATGGGGTATTCAGTTTATTGAGACACTCCTGAAGAGTTCTAGTGGTAAAATCTTGAGGAGATTATTGCGGGACAAGGAGACAGGTACCGGCTAAACTTGAGTTTGGAATGGTACAGTCACCTTCAATTTCGCTTGCAATAAATTCTAAAAAGTTTGCATCAAGGGGTTTGCGCACATAACCTCATTGTGTGAAATAGACATTATTTCTTTAGATGTGTAACCTCGATCGTTCTTCTGGGACATTGATTATTGTTAGTCATTGATTTCCTCCACGTGACACGACTAGACTATTCCTATATTTGCCCAGACTTTCGCTTCCTTAGCCAAGCCCCTCTCTTTTCCTAGATATGTACAACAAACAACAATGGAAACAGAGCGACGTATTAAAAAGAAGAATACCCGTGTGGCAGTCGGATGGTAGGTATATTCCATAATATTTCGGACTACGGCTGATCTCGATAGTACTGCATGTAGAGGTATGTGCTCTATCTCAGGCCATGCTAAGGCGAATTGCTGAACACAGTAGTACGTCACGTAAGATGTGAGTTTCCGATTCAGAGTCTAAGTTTTAATCTAATTAATTCAAGGTAACAAGGAAGGTTTATCGTGCCAGGCATGTGTAGAAGCAGGTATTGACTGCGAACGCGCTCTGCAAGTCCGGTTCCGGACTGGCCTTGACCAATCAGCTGGATATTCATTCTCTTCTAATCAAGTCTGGGTTCGACCAAGGAAATCATGTAAGATGCATTGAAAGCTGTTTGACACGAAGCTGACAGCTTAAGTGGAATACGTTGACGAAACCGATCAAATATCACAGAACTATAAGGACCAAGACCAAGAGTGAGCACGCTGGCCTTACGGTTACAATATGCTAACATTTCCAGCCTTTTGCTAAATGAAGATTTGCCACTTAGTCCCGACCTCACGGACCGAGACCAGCAGATGTCTGCGCTCGCTCACATATCACCGGCCTCAAACACATCTCAAAACTTATCTTCTTCGTCACAAACTAGCCATCATGATTTAATAAACTATACTAGGAATTTACAGACGTCTCAAAATCTTCGCAGCAGCTCTGAGCTCGGCTCTTCCCCAGGCTCGACCGGTTTTCGCCCTGCAATACCATTTACAACACGCGAGGCCGTGCTGATCAAGAATTTTACCGAAAACATGGCTTTATGGGCTGATGCGACCGACATAAATCGCCACTTCGAGTTGGAAGTTCCGCGACGGTCCTTGTATTTCCCTGTGCTACGTTACGCCGTCTTCGCGTTTTCTTCGCGTCATTTGAATCGAGACCAGCCAGATACTTCTACTGAGGCATTAGAATACTACAATTCTTGTCTAAATGTCTTGATTGAAGCTGTCGACAAATTGAATGGACGGATCGATGAGGAAACGCTTGCCGCTATTGCTATACTGCGGCAATATGAGGAGATGGAAGGTAAGCGTCAAGCTTCGTCATAGCTTCCTTAGGATTACTAAACAGGGCTTTAGCGGAAGATATGGAAATGCACCTAACAGGTACATCCAGGATTGTCAACTCAATGTCAGAGTTCGACTTCAACGGTGGTCTCGGCGAGGCCGCGGCGTGGCTCTGTCTTCGACAAGACATCTATGTCTCATTAACGCGACTTCGACCTTTGAGATCAAACCTCGAGAAATACCTCCAATCTGATATATTTCGACGAAACGATGATCCAGCCTACGCAAGTAAAATGGTCTTCCTTCTTGCCCGATCTCTTGCTTCCATCTATCCATCAGATTCGTCATTTTCCAACGAAAACTTGGAGAGTATTCGACTGGAGGTTGACGGCTGGTTTGATTCCAAACCAGCCTCTTTTAATCCAATTCTAGAAAAGGGCCGAAATAAGGATGAAGGGAGATTATTACCTGAGATTTGGGTACTGTCACCCTTCCACGGTAGGTCGCACTGTAGACAATCTGTTACATACTGACCAACGTTAGCCGTTGGCTTGCAATACTACCATATTGCCAAGATTGTTCTCGCCATGTCTTCACCTGTTGCTACAGACTCAGTCTTTCAGCAGATTCGTGAGAGCAAGAAGGTTGAGGTTAGGCATCGATTGAACTAAATTTTGAATAGTATCTAACTTACTCAAAGCGAACGATTCGAAACCATTTGCTTCATATAGTAGCTTTGGCACACTCTCACGCAAAGGCAGAAAATGCTCTATTCACAGCCAGGCATTCATTATCAGTCTGTATGTAGCATCTGTCGTGGAATCAAAAGAAAGAGTCTTTCTTCTAACAATTTATAGGGGGCAGTGTTTTTACTGAGAAGCTGGACCAAGATATGGTTCTTGACCTTTTGCGACATATACAACAAAGGACTGGTTGGCAAACGGATTCACTGAGCTTCTCATTACAGAAACAATGGATACAAGACACGAACGAGGACAGCTAGTTCAATAAAGGCTGACGCCAGTTCATTGATATTTCCCAAATCTATCCAATATTACAGCTTAGCCTCCTCAACGCGACGTCCAATCTCGTCAAACCTGATTTGCTTTCCGGTCACAAGAGCTTCCTGTAGGGCAGCACCAATCTCAACAGCTTTCACAGCATTTGTTAGCTTGAGAGGTAGAGGCTTATTGTCGAGGCAGGCTTCCGTGAACTCAATCGACTCTTGGACAAAGGCCATTTCGAAACGTCCGTAATAGTGCGCGGGCACCTCACGGGTGATGCCATTGGAGTTATAGTAGTTGACAAGGTTGGACTGGGGGTTTCCGTTGACAGTCAATTTTCCTTCTGTTCCAATGACCTCTGTGGTATCTTCTTGACCATGAGCCATCATTCGGGAGCAGTAGTAGTAAGCAATTTTACCACCCCAAAACTCGACGATTCCAACAGCGTTATCATAGTCATTGTATTTGGCCAAGTCAGGCTGGACGGCACGGACACCGTGAGCTGAAACGCTTTTGGGAGTAACTTCATCGCCGAAGAACCAGAGGGTCAGGTCGATATCATGCACAGACATATCAACAAAAACACCACCTGACCAAGCAGCATATTCAACGAAAAAGCCTGAGGGGTCGTGCTTATCGCAAGTCTGACTGCGGATAATTGTAGGTCGGCCGATGGCACCCTGTTGGGTCTTGCTGAAGGCATCGCGATAGGACTCGTCGAATCGGCGGGAAAAGCCACACATGACCTTCAGGTGGGGTCGTTTCTTGGCTTCGGCTACGACTTGGCGACACTGAATGGTCAGTCAGGTAAAATAAATACCAAAATCAATTGTACTTACCACGTCAATGCTTGTAGATAGAGGCTTCTCACACAGAACGTGAAGGTCCTTTTGCATGGCCTGGATAGCCTCCTCGGCATGGACAGAGGTAGCAGTACCAATGACAACAGCCTGGAGACCTTCTTGTTCGATCATGCTCAGATAATTATCGTAGAGCTTAACCCCATGAGGTTCGAGGTTTACCTTGGCCCAGGCCATTTCGGTAGGGTCGGGGGTGAAGGCGGCCACGAGCTCCGCGCGGGGTGCTCGCTCAAGGAAGTTGATCGCATGTCGTTTACCCATGCGGCCGAGGCCAGCAGCAGCAATCTTAAGCTTCTGAGGTGCCATGATGACTAGGAAGTACCGATATTGTAGGGATAAGAGGTTGAGGTAGAGAAGAACCAGCAGGCACTGAGCTTACATTTATACCCCGTTTGTCCCAACTCATCTCATCCGCGCTCGCGTGAGATCCCCAGATTATTCTCCATCATCTCCCCACATAGCTATCCTTTTGGTGGATGTTAATATCTTCCCTAGCTTTTGCATGTGGCTTTCTATCGTCAGTCAAGGTATGGTGAGATTCACGCGATATGTTTAGGGCGGAAAGAATTGCCTAGAGTAAGGATTTACTTGCGATTCTGAGGATAATCTTTCCTCCACTTAAAAGCGGGTCGGATCTTGTGGGCAGACTAACCATTGGTAAGGATAGACTTGCCCAGTCTGTACCAACGATTCAAGCACTGAATACGAGTCATGGCTTTGTTCCCCAATACAGCAACTACTTCAACAACGGATACACTTTCTAAATGTTCTCAAAATTCCCTCAACCATAGGATTGGTATTGGTTTCCATCACGCTAATCGGAGTTGTTTCATTCAACCCCATGGGGGAAAGAATCTTCTCCACTTCCCCAGAATCGAGATTTGACCAAGATTCATCCAAGTGCACGTCTAACTAGAACGAGCATGAGCACTGGTTTGGGGTAACGTTATCCTTGGCGCCAAAGTTCTGATTCCTCGCTATTGCCAGACCAAGTTTTGACAAATTCTAGCATAAAAGGCCAAAGATGTCCAGGTTGACTTGCTCACCTATCATTCTTCATTACAGGTCATTCACCACATATTACCCTCTCCGTTCAAAATGGCAAAAAACACCGAAGTCTTAGAGCCGTCTCACACCCATGTTAGCCACGTTGAGAGTCATGTCAAAGGAGAGCAGAACCTCATTGAGGACTCTGCTCCTGGCCTCTTCCTCAACTTATGCGTTGTTGCAACAGCAATTGGTGGAATGCTGTTTGGCTACGACACTGGTGTCATCTCTGGCGTGCTCGTTGTTCTTGGAGATGACCTTGACGGTCGGTTCATGAGCCCTAGTGAGAAAGAGCTTATTACTGCTCTTTGTGCTGCTGGAGCTTTTGTTGGAGCCATCATAGCTGGAGTCACAGCAGACAAGTATGGACGAAAGCCTGCTATCTGGTTTGCCTCGGTGCTCTTCACAATCGGCGCTGTTGTGCAAGCTTCTTCATACTCGCTGATCCAGATGTGTGTTGGCCGAGTTCTTGTCGGCCTGGGAGTTGGCTCAGCCTCTATGGTATGTCATGTCAGCCCAGACAGTTTTATTGTTGCTAATACGCAAGTTAGGTTATTCCTCTCTACATTGCAGAAATCGCTCCTGCCAAGTACCGCGGCCGAATGATCTCGATCGATATGGTTTTCCTAGCAACTGGCTCCCTCCTCGCCTATGCTTTTGATGCAGCCTTCTATAAAGTCAATCATGGCTGGCGATACATGGTGGGACTAGGAGCACTTCCGTCTATTCTCCTTGGAGTTCTTCTGTTTTGGTGTCCTGAGTCACCTCGGCAGCTGTGCTTCCATAATAGACCGGAGGAGTGTCTTCATGTCCTGCAACGTATGTATCCCACTGCCAACGAAACCCAAGTCGCTCAGATGATGGCCGACATCCAATATGGTGTCGCACAGGCGAAGGCTCTGAACGAAGAGATCTCAGTCCGCCAATCTCTCAAGAGTCTCATAACTGTCCCTGCCAATCGCAGAGCCGCCATTGTCGCATGCGGTCTGATGGCCACTCAACAACTCTGTGGCTTCAATACTATGATGTACTATTCGAGTACTCTCTTCCAGATTGTCGGTTTCAATAATCCTATTGCTGTTGGGACTATTGTAACGGCCACAAACTGGATTTTCACATTCGCTTCTGTCTTCCTTATTGACAGAGTTGGACGTCGCAGACTCTTGCTCTGGACTATGTGGGGAATGTCTGTCTTTCTCCTACTAGCAGCCGGAGTATTTACCAAGATACCCATTGATCAGCAGACCCTGCAACTCACCAACGACTCAGTTGGCTGGCCTGCTATTGTGGTACTTGTCTCTATGATCCTTTTTGTTGCCAGCTATGCTGCTGGCCTGGGATGTGTGCCTTGGCAAGCCAACGAATTCCTCCCCATGGAGGTCCGTGCTATAGGTACCATGATGATTAACATCTGCAACTGGGGCCCTAATATCATCGTGTCGTCTACGTTCTTGTCGATGATGCGCGGGATTTCCCCATCAGGAACCTTTGGCTTTTACGCTGCATTGTCGTTTATTGGTTTTGTTTTCGTATTTTTCTGTTACCCTGAGGCTGCTGGTATGACATTAGAAGAGATTCGTGTTGTCTTTGACCATGGGTTTGGTGTTCGTTATGCGGAGGAATGGCGCACACAGAGAAAGTTAGGCAATATTACTCATGGGGCAAACGAAGCTACACAGAAGGTTGTTTGAGTACAGTTGGGGATAGCTAGTATCGTCAGCAGCCATTTTCCAATCATAGGGTATATTAAAGAGGCTTTTGCGGGTTTTCAATTTTTCTGTTCTCCGTCTTAAGTAAAGAAGCGATTGGTAAATGAACCGGTTTCGATCAACCAGGCATGCTCACAAGTGACTAGAGGCTCGGATAATCACAGCGCCGAATTTGCTAATTGTCATCGTGCAAAAGACACACTGCCGATCTCTCGGCAGTTACAGGGTAAGTGTTATTTCGTCCTATGCCCTCGCTCGTGACGTGGAGTGTGGCTTTGCGTAATGCCAAGATTGTAAATATCACAAATAATCGAAGACGATTATTTATGATAGGCCTATTTCTTTCTTGATATTTCCACATATGGTACAAAAGCATGCTGATCTGATTGACGTCTCTGGAAAGCGGTGGCCACGAGATTATACATGTACAAAAAATACGAAACATTTTTGTGTCTATCGGATTGTTCGGCAAAAATTGAACTTACTGAGCTATAAGGTCAATTTGATCGAGGATTCAGACTCAATCACAACATCTGCTCCTATCAGCTGGGTAGTAAACGAGGTCAGTAAGTGAATAGATTGCTAGTCGATATATACGATAAAGTTAGACTTAATTGCTTGGCTATGATACTAGCGTTTCAACTTGAGAGATGATAACACTTTGTCCAATCTTCTTTTATTATCCCTTCTCTTTAATCTCCCCTTCATTTTAAACCTAGTAACAAGCTTCATCTGCCGGTCAACATTCCAAGCATAACAACGCTAAAAGTCACTAAAGTATAAGTCTAAATTTTTAGCGCACTACCCCATGGGTATTTCGGGGGCTCAGCCTCTGTCTGCGTCACCATGCGACGCTGCCTTACTTCCACGTTCCAACTTCTACAAGCTATAAAACTGGGCAGTAATATATCCTTACTTGACGATGAATGTGGAATCAAGCAATTCTGCAAGCATTTGCCTTCCATAACATCCGAAGCTATTCCAGATTAGTTAATGTATATGAGGCTGGAGTCGTGACAAGAACCTGCGCCTCGCAATAGCTTGTCTTGGCGGTGACATACGCTTGACGCTAGACTATTTAAACAGCATTGATGGTTATCCTAATCAAATATTAAATTACATGAAAAAGACGTTGTCACCCATCTCAACTCTGAAGTCTTACCACACAATCTCATTCTTTGTCTACTCTACCACAAACAAGTCTTACCATGCGTATCTCTCAATTCCTCGCCGTGGCTGCTCACGTCACCAGCGTCTTGTCCTGCGCAGAGCATAACAACCACTACTCTCTCAAGAACAAGAAGCGACACATTGATCCTCGAGCCGAACCTGGCAGTAAGGATTGGGCTTACGAAGCATCCTACAATTGGGGACGAATCAACCCTGGTACGAACAACCGCTCTATTACCATCACAACACTTTGCTGACATTGTCTTTTGTAGATTACCATCTTTGCCAGACAGGAACTCAGCAATCGCCCATCCCCATAGCTCTCAAGCAAGGCCTGTCTCTTGAGCACTTGATCAAAGAATGGAATTATCCCAATGAGATCACAGGAAACTTCTTCAATTGGGGTTATGGTCCGGCTTTTACTGTGCAGAATGACGACGGCATATGGACCCAGAATCCTTCTTTTAGCTTTGACAATGAAACTGTCTATCTCAAGGGCTGGCACATTCACGCTCCTGCTGATCACACTGTTGAAAGGCATCGATCAAGGGCGGAGCTTCATCTCGTTCACGTCAACGAACAAGGCAAAGAGCGCGCCGTGCTCGCTATCCGACTAGACCCAGGAAACAAAGAGAACAGCTTTTTGTCTCAGCTTCCCGCAATGATTGGTTTCAACGAAACTGAAACAACAGAGGAGACAACACTCAATCACAGATTGCTTCTTGAGAGTGTACAGTACTTTGACGAATTCTGGACTTATGAGGGAAGCTTGACTAGCCCACCTTGTACAGAGGGAATTCGGTTTTTCATCGCCAGGCAGATTATGTTCACGAGTGTTCATCAAATGAGGTCTATCCTGGGCGCTTCGACATACAGTGCTCGCGAGGAACAGCTTGTATGGCGACATCGCATTAATGTGTAATCCATTACGCACCTGTTGTATAGATGATAGACGATGGCGAGGTTTAGTTAGTCTAGTTTGGGTAGACAGGAGTTCGGTATGGTGATGGAGTCGCGTTCTAATATTGAAATCCATTATTAGATGTTATTATAACTGTGCCAAAAGATCCCCTTGCAAGTGAGATAATTGAGGTTATGCTTATCTACTCTCTCGGTATGAAACAAAATATAGAAGTTATGCCTAGGATCCAATCTTGAAACCGCCCGGCCAGTATTTTTGAAAGACTCGCAGAGGATCATACTTGCGAGAGATCTCTAGCAGACGCTGCTTGTTCTCCTCGCCATAGCCATCATAGATATTCTGGAAGCCAGCAGCATCTCCCATGTAGTTGAAAGCATCATATAGGCCTGCCTTCTGAGTAGCATTACTGATAGCCCATGTGGTGTCCTCGATCCACTTAAAGATCGCATCATTGTGCTCATCGCCGCTCCATTCCACCACCTCGGCCCAGGCAATGTACGTTCCCTTGGTCTCCGTGTCAATTCCCAAGGCGTTACCTCCAGGGTTGTATTTCTTGGACGCCCTTTCCCACAGAGAGCCGATGGGCTGCCAGTCGACTGAGATAAGCTTGCGGTCCTCGACGGGAAGAACCTTGTACAATTCGGGTAAAGCTCCAAGGAAGACGTCATTGACGATTTGCACTCCCTGTAGAATTTCCTCGTATGTCTTGCCCGTGGTGGTACCAGCAATGAACTGGTCGTTGATCTTTGGTGTGACTAACTCACCCGTCTCATCCGAGAACTGGGCGAGCGTCTTCTTCTCAAATGTGTTGGCAATGGCAGGAAGGTCAAAGAATGGTCTGAAACATTCAGGCTCAGGGTCAGAGTCGCTATCATAGAACAGAATTGCGCCGCCAATGGTTGTTTCTTCGTCAACAGCAATGACTTGAGGGACAATGTGTGCGAGAGGATCGGTGTTGAAGGCGGAGAAATTGGCGACGGCCTGAGGTGTTGTTAGTTGAATGACATACATTTCTTTATAGTGCTACATACCTTCAGAAATCCAGGGATGTCAGTCACGCTGTATACGCCAGCGTAGATTTGATCTGATGGAAGAGTGGCGAGCCTGAACTTTGTCACGATACCAAAGTTGTTTGAACCACCCTTGAGGGCCCAGAAGAGATCGGGATAAGAGTCCGCTGTGACCGAGATAACTTTACTGTCGGCGAGCACAAGCTCGTATTCCAGTACATTGTCAGCCGCCCATCCACGCTGGTTGCCATGGAAGTTGATACCTCCCGCCAGCAGTAGACCAGGCACACCAACTGGTGAAAGGCGACCTCCAGCTACCGCAAGCTGGTGTTGACCCAGATAACGGTAAACATGACCCCAATCCAGGCCAGGTCCTACCCAAACAGTATCTTTGTCTTTGCTCAATTCGAGAGTCGTCAAATTTGACATGACAAAGAGGGGACCATCGTCGATGTTGTTTGCGCCAGTGATGGCCATATGTCCACCTCCACGAACAGCGAATGATGTAAGACCGAGGCTCATGAGCTTCACGGCTTCAGCCACTTGGGTGGGACATGTTGGACGAAAGACGCAAGCCGGATTGAGTATTTCGTTGTTGGACCAGAAGTTCTGGGACTCATATTCGTAGACTGCATGTTCGGGAGAAAAGGTGTTGTCAGGGAATGTAAGCTTGAGTACTTCGCATCCTGTGTCTGATTTCTCTACGGCGTTTGCAGGGTCTAGCCATAGAGCTGTCAATGACAACAGACTGATGGCAGTATTGGTGAACATGGTGACCGGTGCGGAACAAAGTAGACGCAAGGAACCGGGTCAAGGGTTCTTTAGAGTTGGATGGGTTCCGCGGGAGTTTTACTCAAGTTTGCTGCAATTTGACCGAGAGTTTTGACGTCCATGTGCGGACCTGGATAAGCACGAGAAATAGTTGCATCGGCTTATTAACTAGAGATGGTAGGAGATAACCACTCCCAAGAGGTGGGTCAATTCGCAGGCTTTCATTTGAGTTGTGATGTGCGGTCAGAGACAAGAGTTCCGTTTTTATTTTAATTAGCCACTCATCGATGGACATCAACTAGAGACAAATAGTATTAGCTCAGGGCCCAGGAACCAAACATGGACGATATAGCGGGAACAAATCCGCTTGGCATAGCGCACGGTCTACGATTCGGAGTATAGTTCCTAAAATGTAAGGATCAAATTGTCTTTGCACGTGCAGAAACAGACACTCAAATGCCGATCCGGAAATATTCCGGTCTTGTGTTATGTCAATCTCCCGAGGTAAAGTCTCGGAAAAGTTGACGTTATCTGCCAGCTATTGGTTAGATAAGTTCATTTCGCCCCAGAGTTCAGAGATATTAATTACCTGAGAGGATTTATATGGGTTTACGCTCTCTAATATTTGGATCTACGGAGCTAACCACGTCGTCAACCTTCTGCTTCGGCAGTCTTTAGTTATAAGCTTGTCTTGTTTGGGTAATCAAAATGGCCTTGGTCGTGTCGAAGAAAACCATTCCAGTCAATGCAGATTGCAGACAGACTGAATATACAAGAGGCATCAATTAAATCCGATCGGCGGAGACAGATCAAGCGTCTAGTTAATGACTTTGTGTACATAAGGACGACTCGGGATTTTGTTTCGTTTCGAAAGAATGGACACATTGTTGATCGCAAAATATGTCGCACTACCTTGCATGAACATGACTCCCCTGACGTCCTCCCCTGGTTCCATCTCGGTATCTTCGGCAGCGGCGCAAGAAATCTGACATGCCAGGCAAAAACGTCAAAATGTCAAAGCGGCAGATATTAATTACAGAAAACGTGGTTTGCACCCCTGCAAACACCTGGCACAATAACGCCATGCCTAGCGGAAGTATATCGACTGAATCAAGTGATCGATCCCGCCGCACGACATGGCCAAGGTCGCTTCTTGGCTGGGCACAAAAGATCTTCGAATGTCCAAGCGCACAAGAACTTTGGGAAGGCACTCTGTTGATCAGCAACTTGATTGAGTTCGTGCGAGCACTAGTCAGCACTGGAAACAGAAGAAGTAGATCAAGCTTAGGTCAAACATTAGTTCTTATATCTAGAGACTCTTGACCATTCTTTAAAAACCATCAATAGTTCGGCACTATTCTTCACTACTGTCTTAGGCCCGTTTGACATTTGTGTTTCATTCTGTTTCGCGTCGGCAAGTATCAGATACACTTGAGCACACCAAAGCCATGTCCGTCGACAATGGGGTTCTATATCCTATGGATCCACCTTCAGGAATGGTCCGTGATGTCGACCAGACCGCTGAGTCTGCCCCCCTGGTAGTCATCACGGCTGTCTTTTTCCCACTGGCAACATTATGCATGATCATTCGAGTCTACACAAGAACATGCATCGTATGCAAGCTCTCTTTCGATGACTGTGAGTTGCCTTGTACATATGAAGTCCACTTGCTAATACGGAACAGATCTTATGATTCTTTCTTGGGTACAGTTTGACTCTCATGACTTTAGTGTGATCAGTCTAATCATTCGCTTAGGTGTGCAACGTATTACTTGTTGCCTTTACACTGAATAGTAAGTTTATAAGTCAATAGCATCTTTTGCATTACTGACAACCGCAGTGACCAATTATGGAATGGGTAAACACCTTTGGAACGTTCCATTCTCACCAGACTTATTTCCTAATTTCTCCCTGAATAATCTACTTGCGGCCATTTTCTTTTGTGCAGCTACCGGGTTCGCCAAGGGTAGTATTCTGGTCTTTTACCTCCGGATATTTCCCATGAAATCAGCGCGAATCCTGATTTGGACTGCCTTTGCTTTCATCATGGGATACTCAACAGCTTCTGTTCTTGTCAACATATTCTCATGTAACCCCATCCGAGGTTCTTGGGATCCAGAGGTTATCGCAACTGCCAAGTGTATTAACAGACCGGTGTTTTACTTTTTGCAAGCCGGTTTGGGAATTTTTGCAGACATCTTGACTGTCTTGATTCCACTCCCGTGGCTCAAGACATTGATGCTGCCCAAAAAGCAAAAGATCGGCGTTGGCGTTCTCTTGACCATGGGTGCATCGTAAGTTACCCAGTTATTTTCGCTTATCAGGACTGTATCTAACAAAACAAGGGTTTGCATTGTCAGTATCATTAGGTTACAATCTCTCAGTGTTTTACTTAACGACCCAGATTTAACTTGTAAGACGACCCACAATCCTGACATTTCTGTATTAGCTGACAACCGCAGACAACACCGTGATGGCACTCATGTGGTGCGTTCTAGAATTGAACCTCAGCATTATCGGCGGTTCCATGGCTACCATCAAACCGTTTCTCAGAATAGCGATCCCTCGTATGTTCACCACCAACTATGGTGGTGCCAGTGCGAGTGCTGGCATTCATTTGGAGTCGAAGGATAGAAGTACAGGATATCAGTCGAGATCTTTACAGAGTCTTAGGCCAGTTCACTCTTCAAAAAAGCCACAAACAAGTCATTTTCACGCCACCAGTACGGAGGAGCTTGTTATGGCTTGAGGGTTCCATGTGATAGCTAGGGCTCAGGAGTTGCGAAATATGATTTACAATATAATAAATTTATTTACGATAATATTAATAGTGCCTGTTGATGTGAGGTACGGTGTATTGGAGAGGATATAAAGAAGTAAATTTTGACCTATGTAGCTTCTCATTTTAATCCTCATATCAAAAGGGCACAGATGTCCATCTGCTGCATGGTGTTACTACAGTCCCACTGTTCATTCGGCTTCCCAACCTTATTCTTCCAAGAGGTCCTCAAGATATCACGAACAATCACGCAGTTTCCTATCATGCCAGTTCCTTTGGATAATACGCCATCCAGTAATGCTTCGAAGAATGGCTGCTGGTCTTGATCAGCCATGCAACCAGCAACGCAAATAGGCCAGCTCAACTGCCGAGGAGACACCATTTGGTTTGCCATTTTGATCTCTAGTATCACTCGGCTCACCGCTCTTCTCATTCGAGTCGAAGTGATATCCTTTGAGACTTCAGCGCTCACAGCATCCAGCTGGACCAATGCTGCAGCGGCGAATATGCGAGTGACGCAATCTTGAACGGATGGCTGCAATGATTTCGCTTGGTTAGATGCTAGGGTAGCCAGAAAACAGGGCGACAGTCCTCGAAATTCTATCAAGGCCATTGGTGTTGATTCTATGGCATTCTCTAGTTCATCTTCGATGTTTTGTCTTGTCTTCTCAAATTCCTCAGTATCAAAACTGTCTGTAGGAAGAGAATTTAGCTTGTAATGACTTAAAGCAGCCAAGTCCCCTATGGACTTCATCACTGAGTTATGGCAGCCCATTATATGTGCAAGCTGAAAGTTGCAACTTGGTCCCAGCCACTCATTGTACGGAAGTTTGGCTTTCTCCCGAGTCGCTACACAGGCCAGTAAGTCCATCCAAAGTAGGACAGGAATATGGAAGGCCATAACAGCAGTAGCTCTGCTTTCAAAGATGGGGGACTGAAGCTGATCATGTATCTTGACTGCAATGGAAGCCATGGCACATAAATGCGGTTGCCAGTCTGTCGCACTTCCTCGCAGGACCTGCCGTTCGTCAGCACCCATCACACGAGCTTTTGTGTATCTGCCATGGGCTGTGTTCATATTCACCTCAAAACTGATAAGTGTTACACCGCAAGTGATTATCTCGACCAGGATCTCATTATCTGGCCGAAGTTCATTGATATCGATTGACAAAAGAAAGTCGTGGAGCTGCCTAACCGCTTTGGTATGAAACTCAAGTTCAATGTGATGGTTATTTGTCTCGCCCAGCAACGACCGTTGATGTAGCGCTGCAAGACCTAGAGATGCTCGACAGAGCGGCCCATTTTTACTCAGAAGCCAGAGAAGCCACCCTCGAGACCATTTCCCTTTGTCAAAAAATGGGTATTGGTAGGGAAAAACATGATCCAGATAATGCATCAGAAGATCAGCTTCGCCGTATTCAAGGGGCTTAGGGAATGATTGTCCTGAGAGGACCTGGCTTTACAAGGATCGAGGAGTCAATGCTGACGATGTTGTAGATCCCGAGCGGACATTTACTGGAGAGTTAAGTAAGACCTCATTGCTGTCATGACACACCACTTACGTTGAGAAGTTTTGTTGACTTCTATAACCTCTTTAGCAGCTCTTGATAAGTTCTGTCCTCGCCGTATGGCTCGAGTATGGCCTCTGCGTTGATGAGCCTGGAGACTCTTTTTCTCTTTGAAGTTCTTCTTTACAGCAAGCTTAATTCGTTGCTTCTGTTCCTTTTCGTTTTCGCCTCCGTCCATCCATGATGGCATTGGACCATAGCCGTGACAATGGACCTGCCTACTAGTACACTGGAGACATGCTGATGGTGTAGCGTCGCATTTGACATGCCTGATTTTGCATGTCCAACAACAAGCGGCTTTTCCAAGTCCTGCCATTATTGGCCGCTGTGGTGAGGTCAACACGAAATATACCTACTCTGCATGGACAATTAGTTAGGCTCCGAAAGTAACAAGAAATGGCACCTTTCAAAGTTCGTAAGCACTTGTTTATCTATCGTGTCTGAGTAGAAGTGATATTGTCTGAGTGATGGAGGGGTAATACACAATACTGCTCGTGATTCGCCAATTGACCCAGCCAAACCCACATAGTATGCACAATGACCTTTCCTTTAAGGGTTAATGACTTCCGAACATGAATTCTGCGCCACTTTTCACAAGGGAATGTCGAAGCGCTGAAAGAACAATTTCGGAGGGTAAGTCGAGGCGACTGTAAGTTCAATATCGGAAAGCATGTTGAAGTTCGCAGATTACAAAACCGTATGTGTATAAGTACCTTGACCTTTTCCATCTCAATTTTTTATGTCCTTCAGTCATTTCCAACTATCCTCACATTCCAACTCCATACGTTTTCTACTTCTAGATACTTGCTCAACATGACGAATAGACCAACCCTGTCACTGGTCGAAGCCAGCATCAGCGACCTCAAAGGATTGCTAGACAATGGAGTTATTACAAGTGTCGAGCTTGTTGCCCTTTATCTGCATCGAATCGGCAAGTTTGACTGCAGAGGTCCATGCCTCAATTCGATATGTTTAATCAACCCGGAGGTATTTGCGGAGGCCAAAGCCTCGGACGATTACCGTAACTCTGGAAAGCCGCCACGACCTCTGGAGGGCATTCCATTTACGGTCAAAGACAGCTACAAAGTCAAGGGCATGACAGTTGCAGCTGCGTCCCCTGCTTTTGCAAAGCTCGAAGCAACCTCGGATGCTGCCATCGTTGAGTTGCTTCGTAAAGCAGGCGCAGTTGTACTTGGCAAGACTAATATGCCACCGATGGCTGACGGTGGTTGTCAGCGAGGTTTATATGGACGATCAGAGAGCCCATATAATCTGAAGTATATGTGCACTGCTTATGCCTCTGGCTCCTCCTATGGCTGTGGTGTGTCTACTGCAGCAAGCCTGGCCGCTTTTGGTTTTGCTGGAGAATCTGTCACTTCAGGTCGCTCGCCAGCATCCAACAACGCACTAGTCGCCTACGCCCCTTCTCGCAGTATTATTCCTCCACGAGGATTATGGCCTTTGTATCCGACTTGCGACCAGGTTGTTCCTCACACAAGGACTATGGAGGATTTGTTTCACGTACTGAACGTGGTTGCCACTGATGATGATGCCGCTGGCGACGCTGATTTCTGGCGTGCACAACCATATGTATCATTGCCGAGGGTTAGCGAGATACGACCGACCGACTATCTCACACTCGCCGATCCAGATGCGCTTCGCAATAAGCGGTTAGCTGTCCCTCGATGCTTCATCGGGATCCCAGGTGCAAAGCCTGAGAACGCATGCTCTCCAGGCGTCAAGGCGCTTTGGGAAAGAGCACGCGCAGACATTGAGGCGCTGGGCGCCACTATCATCGAGACTGACTTCCCCGTTTTCAAGAACTACACGAGACAAGACTTTCCCGGTCAGAGCATGAATGTTCCCAATCTATCTCAGGAATGGGCGGCGCGGGAACGTTGTGAGATGATTGCCTTAAGTTGGGACGACTTCCTGCGCAGCAATGGCGATAAAAATATCCCAAACTTCACATTTGCTGAACTTGACAAGATCCACCCTCATATTGCTCCTATGGATGACCCATCCCAGCACACTGAGTCCCAAAATCAGGTTCGCTATGAAGACATGGTTGCTGCAGTCAAGACTCGGGGAAACAGCAGCCTCGCCGACCTCCCTGGATGTCGGGATGCGCTGCAAGCTTTGGAGGCCATGCGAAAACAGGATTTTGAGGACTGGATGACCGAGAACAAGTTTGACGCTGTAGTGTTTCCGACCAATGGCGACATTGCGTTAGCTGATTCTGATGAATCCTACGAATCAATGGTTGATGCACTACGCGATGGAGTCAAGTATGCAAATGGTGGCCGATCACTCAAGCATCTCGGAATTCCTTGCATCACTGTGCCTATGGGAAACCTCGTAGACGAGAAGATGCCGGTCGGTATTAATTTCTGCGGCAAGGCGTATGATGACTCTAATCTGATGAGTTACGCCTTTGCCTATGAGACAGCATCGAAACGTCGGGAGAGTCCACCTTTGGCGCCATCGCTGCCTTCAGATGAGATTTTCATTCCTGAGCGTAGTCCTGCATCACCAGCCATGATGGCACCCACTTTGGAGATAGCCTCGATAACGGCTTCAATCGAGGATGGTCCAGACTTCGATGTTCGCATGGTCAAGGTAACGGGAACCTGTCACCTCTCAACCCCAACTAAGACTTCAATTAGCTTAGACGTCTTTGCTAATGGTGAGCTAACATCCCCCGCGAGTTGGGACGGAGATAATTGGGTATGGACGGCTAGACTCATTCGGCATAAGCGTGACGACAAGTACCCGGCCTTGGCTAGGGTTCCAAGGGACCAGTTTCTTCTTGTTTTCATTGCAAAGGCCAATGATAGACGTTTTTCTGGTTCTTTTATCTTGGTTAATTAGGGAGATCTCATAGTGCAGTAAAGTGAAATATATTTCTAACAACACTATACTATCTGCATTAATACTACTAGTAACTACGTATCGACTTGAAGAGAAACAGTTACTGCTAGAATGATTCACTTGAGTTTAAAATATATCTGCTAAATTCTACTAAGTTTCCTATATCCTGCCCTATAAGATATTAATTAAAATTATCTAGAAGAGGTTAAAATTCCCTATTACTTATTATAATAATAAATAGATCTATTTAACTTTTACTTATATAGCACTTTAATATAATACTAGTAATATACCCTTTTATTTACCTTTTCTAAGCCTATTTATTTACTGTTTCTTGAAAATATTTATAACCTAAGAAGTTATATTATATGTACCCTACCTCATACGAGGAGATGAAATGCCGCAATATGGGTTCCATAGCCTTATAGTCAGATGCCGAGGTCAATAAACGGCATGAATTTGGATCATTCTACTTAAATCACTATGGTTTAACCCGCACTTCAAACCTTGACCATCGGCTAGAGATTCCTCTTCTTCGTACTGAGAGAGTTGTTCAATGGCTGGCATAGGCCCCTAACGGACGAGGGGCGGAGCTGGGGGCAAAGTTCAGAGATTAGTCCCTTAGTCTGGTTCGCGTGTTGACGGGGTTGAGGAATCTGATAATATGGATAGATCAGATAACCCAGGAATGCTCATGACCGGCCCAGACGCGAGATCCTCGTGATTTGATGAGTCAGACAAGATGCTTACCCAGCGCCTCGGGATGCGTAAACTGCGGAGTATTGTAAATGATGTATCCTTTGCTTTCATGATTTGTTAAAGAAGCCAATCACAGTCGGTGAAGCTCCTAGCCATCTGATGGGACAGGCCACGCAGAGAGCATTAGACCTGGGACCCGATCAATATTGACACCAAGTGATGTAACTAAAATACCTTACCCAGTCAGTATGATAATAGCATAGCATAATTAACTGCTAAAAAAACTGACTAGTCTCTTCCCTTGTCTCCCTCTCCCATAATGAAGAAATGGACCCATAGACTTTATTTTTTGAATTCATATTATATATGATGTCTCTATGAAGCAAAGCTGTGATCATTGTAAAGCACCTCTTTTTGCAACGTCCTTGTTTCTTAATTCCAATCCCTTTACCCGTTCTTATTCATTGTTAATTGCAAAATTTACATTGTTTTGAATGCCTAAGCCCTTCTATTTCGCTTCTGCACCAACCCGCCTTCGATTGCGTTGTTATACCGAGAGGTTAGCTACGAGGCAAATCGGCCCAAACCTATCTGTGTACGGCTTGAAGAGAAAGACATTTTATCGGCCTATATCAAGTGAGCAAGCATCCATAATGATGAATGAGGAGCGCGAAATTAGCCAGCTAGCAGGACTGGATTCTGATGGAGGGCAATATTCCAAGAACTCGGCACTGAATACTGAGCGATCTCGACTAGAAGCGGAGATAGTCCATCTAAACTGCCTTCTTGTAGCTCACAAGGATTGTTGCGGAGCTTCGCACTGATATAAACTCACCTCATTACAGTCGGCATCTCGCGGAGGAAGAAAGGGGTGGCACCGTATCACTATTGGCGACTAGGGACTGACAAAGCATCAGAAGCGTAATGAACAAACTGGAGCAATGTACCCAGCGATCTCTCTATTGCCTCAAAACATATATTTATTGTATTCAAAACCACCGCGTCTGTCATGAGTGGTTTTATATTCCTCTACAGACTTGACTTGTGCCCAATTATCGTGATTTTGAGACTCTAGGTGATGTTTAATTTGTTTGAAATTCAAGGACAGATATCACAGGGCTCGTGGCTTAGTCCATGTCGACGATATCGAGACCAAGCGGAAGCGGAACAAATAGCCTCAGAAAGCGAAAATAAAGCTCGCAAAATTCTGTCTTTACTTTATTAAAGAATTGAGGTCAGCTCATCACAACCGACGTGCATCAAGTGACAATTCGAAACGCCGTAGGACTAAGGCCAACCTGGTTAAGATCCAGCCTTGAAGGTAAAAGTCTTACATCGTGTCACCAATCAGTGAGCCGCTTATCATTCCTCAAGTCGGCGATCATCTCCTCACAGGTCTCTGAAAAGTCATATCCGAGTTACTGGTCAGCTTGCATCCTTCTCTGATGGCCCAAGATCATCTGCAGCTGTAGACAGATCGTTGTCTTCGCCAGACATTGAGCTATCGGTGCTGAGCGGTGGGAAGAACCTGGCAGGGGATGGCAGTGGAACTGGTACCAATCTTTCTGTGCGCCATGAGAGATACTCAATCCCAATGGGGCATGATCCTTTGGTTACTTTTGTTTCTGAACCACCAGAAACAGTGCCAGAAATCCGTGTAGCCACCTTTGGATGAATTGTCCCTTTTATGCTTTCTTTCGACCTCCTAAATTCAGGCTTAGAGGACTGTGGAATGTCTTGCTTCGGCCGCTTCGTATCCACCACTACTCTAAAATGATCATGAGGGAGAACACCAAGGCCGCAGGGTTCCAAAAGCTGCTGCCCAATGTCTTGCTGATCGTCGTTCCAAACGGAATCCAGTTCAATATAGCTGCTTGGCTGATTGCTATCGGTGATCAGATCCTGAACTCCATTATTATTACTCCCATCTTTGCCCGAAATCCTCCGACGCAGATGCTGGTATTGATCCGCTAGCGGCGTGTAGCTGATGCAAGATCTGGATGTTGTTCGTTGAGGAGATCGAGCGGAATCTGATGGTTGCTGAGGATTCTCTTTAGTTTTGGAGTTTAACGATGTGCATGCAGTTTGTGAAAGATTGGTTGAATCACCTGCTAAATCGATGCAGAAAGGCGCGTTGCTATAGTATGTGATAGCACCTTCGTGGTGTTGCCATCTGCCAGCCGAACCTCCAAAATTTTCCAGGCCCAACCTTGACTTGCCAGATTTATCATTGTCGGCAGCTATACCAGAGGAAACCGACCCGCCCCGAGAAATATGCCCCAAATGATTTTGCAGAGCAAACAATGGCTTGTACCGGAAACTTTCGACTCGAGCGCAAACCTGGGGATCAAATGCAGGCGCATCGTTACCTAAGCCGCCGAGTTGGGGTTCATTGTTTGTAAAGCGGCTTATCTTCTGGCGCTCCCTTTTCTTTTCCGACTTATCGATATTACCGACAAAAGGAGTTTCTGGCGCGTCGTAGTCAGAGCTGTAGCTACTGAAGTTGGTATTTTTAGATCCGCCTTGCCATATAATTTTATGCCCGTCAGTGGATAGCTGGAGTCTGGTACTGTTTTCGGATACGGCCGAGCGAACGAAGTCTGGTGTCACATTGATCAAGTGCAGCTGCGCCAAGTTGTACAAGAGGTTCAAGGACACCCAGCCTTCAGCGTCTAGGTCGACGCCCTGGCTACCTTGCTGTCCAGATAATAGCTGCGGCGGCACTAGGTCCAAATGGCGGATGTAATTCATGTTCTCATACGGAACCTGAGCACGATCAGGGTCCAGATCAAAGGGTCGCGTTGCTCGTTGTTTTGGCAGAAGCAGGAGTGGGGGGAACGACTTAGTACCAGAGACCGAATCTTCATCATTGGCTCCGGTGTTTAAGCTGTCTTTGCAGGGATTAAAAGGTGAGACAGAGTTACTTAAATGACTGTCGTTTCCCCGAGTATGAAGTTGCTGTTCTGGAGGAAGGATTCTGGCTTCTCGGATAGTCTCATGTCTATCAGTAGGTAGTTCGTGGGTAGGTGATTGGTCCGTCACCTGTCCATCCGCTACATCGCCCACCATGATGAAGCTACCACCCGGCCGCACAAGTGGCGTCTTCAAGGTATCAGCAACATAATCTCTGCCTGTAAAGAGCTGTTCGATACGACGAACAACGAGACTCTTCCGTTCCCTGTCTGTCATGATTGCATGTTGCGGGTACAGACCGTCCGGGACATCTCGCAGATAATCCTCAACCTCGCCCTTTGATGATTGAGTTGAAGTCAAGATGTGGTGGTTAAGAGGGGTCCTTGAAGACTCCCCACCAGTCGACATGGAGGCATAAGCGGAGTCAGTTGGCCGGAGGCTGGAACCTCGAGAGGAAAGAGCAGGTTTACGATGAACTCCAGATTCGGAGTATGTGTAATTGCGGTCGTGTGGCGATACCCTTGCTCTTTTTTGCGATAATGACCCCTTTGGAGACCCGTCAACATTAGTTGCAAAATCTTCCAGTATGGCTTCGAGTGCTCTCTTTTTCTTCTGGGATAGCCCATGAACCCTTATCTCAAATAGCTCGTCTTTATAAAGCTGAGCAGGACCCGGTTTCTTGTATCGCTTGAGTTCCCTCTTAAGCTGTTGAATCTTAACTGTTAAATCGTCGATAATACCGCGGTAGTCATGGTCGCTACTGGTCTGTGCCGTGATGGGTATAGAAGGTGCAGCCTGGTGTCGAGCATACAAGTCTGGCTTCTTTGCATCCCAGGCAATAAATTCTTCTCGGTGCAAGGGGAAATTGACTAGAGCTTCATGTCAGTTTCATGTTAACTCCTGTGAGGCAGCTAGAGGTTATTCATACCATTTATGGCATTGTTGTTAGTGATTGCATTATGGCTCCATTCATTGTGCCGCTCTAGTGGGTCATTTGATCCTGTTACGTGACTGCTGGTGATGGAATTGATATGGAGAGAATGATCGGCTGGTGATGGCGGGCTTCCTGGTGGACTGTTTCGATTTGTAGGCATGTTAGCCGTGTGAGTATACGAGAAGTGGAGGAAGACCCTAATAGGACTTCTTAATCTTCCAGATGGTAAGGATTTTCGCGTATAACCATCGTCAGACTTTCACATCTCGAAAATCATGCAATACTGTCGGGAGACGTTTAACGATAGTCTTCCGAGTCAATCTCTCAATAATGGTGGTAGAGAGCCGGAGTCGCGGCGTGGTCTAGTACAGGATGAGTTTAAAAACGATGTGCCGTCAATAGAGGCGGCAATAAGTTTCATGTACCAAGGTATTAACCTCATGAACTCGTACAAGAGCGATTAATGATAAAAAATGGCCATGATGCTCGGTTGGTGTATCGCGCGTGGTGCATTGAAGGACGAAAAAGTGCAGGAAGAATGTGAGGTCTAGAGCCAACCTCTTTGCTTTGGCACGGGTCACTTGCGAGTGACCCACCGCTTAGTGAGGGGGTGGAATACAAGTGGATGATCCAAGAGCCCGGCTCCGCGAGACAAAGTCTAAGCCTTGTTTGTCGCTGTCAGTAGCTGACGCACCAGTCAAAGCTCCAGGCCACTGCAGCCCAATGTGCACATGGCGCTATCGTAACACGTTGGAATTAGATTCCGAACCAATCAAGGGCGCCAGAGTTGGAACGGAGCTCAGCTCCGTTGGTTCACAGTCTCCTCTTATATAATACAGTGGAGTAGATTGGAAAGACTTGCGCACAGTGAATTTAATTGGTTGGAACTTAGATGCAAACTTTTTGCCCTACGTCTCAAATACTTGCCTATATCCGATTTATTCCCAAGTATCCATGCTATGGCGGCATATCTTTGCCAGTTCGTCCGACAGTCTAACACGTACTTTATTTGGCAGTACCACCAACCACATCGCCCAGCAACCTCGGCAGCCTTACAATTCGATGTTTGCTTTCAAGACTGCTGCTATTGGAACATCCTTTATACTCTCGCTGACCTTTAGTTTATATTGGAGGGTAGATAGAAATATATCTGCGATATTACAAGTAATCTTGGCGCTAATCTTATTAAATTTGTTAGGTGTAGAGTATTACTTTGAATCGATTTTAGGGGGAATATTCTTTCTAGCCTTACTGTTCTAAGTGATAGTAATTTTCTTTTTAAAGTTGAGGTTAACTGAAGGGTTAGGCCTAGTGAACTTAAAGGTCTGAACTGTGGGCAGCAGGGTAAATAGGGCGGTTAAGAAGGACTTGGTCTGTATTGTTAAGATAAAAAGTGTCCGAAAGACATATTTTAGACTTGAAGTAAGCTGTAGAATATTGAAAAGGATGTTAAGGTGTGTGAAAAAAGAATAATTTACATAAAAGGCAACGAATATTGATACTTTTATTATTTTGCAATTAAAATGATGCCTAAAATGCGTCGCAAGGTGTTACGCACGTCCTTGCTTACTATGTGTTATCAGCGTAGTAATGTTTTTACGGATCCTTTAACGAACACTAAGGACAGGCCACCTTTAGGGACGGCATAAGTAGATATCTCCAATGCCTGAGGGAATACATATGGAAGGTCAGGGTAAATCTCAGTAGAGGAGTGGAGTGGCCACGCTTGGAAGTAGTTCACTTCCGTCATTCTATACTTTTTCTTAAAGACTAGGCAGCAACTAAGTAACAGATCGCCCCATATTTCATCCTAGACAAGAATCGGCCTCTACTTAAAATGGGAAAGTAAAAGAATAGAAACTACGTAAAGCAAGCTAACTGTTGAAGACTTATGGGGTAAGCTTACATCCATGTGTCCTTGACTTTACGCCAGTTCTACTTAATCAACACCAGATCAATATTGATATAAAACCTCTTCATGTACCACTGTCATGGTTGATTCGGGTCACACATCCGGCTGAAAATCAGCAGGACTCGTTCTACTGATAGCTCTTGACTTCAAGCTCACAGGATATATAGTCGCAGGGGATCCATAGCCTCGGTTGTCTTTGATGAATGACAAGCCGCGAGCCTGGCGATATCGTGTGCATACTTATACTTATGTCGTTAAATTTCAGGCTACGATTGGCTGAGCATGACACTGAGGTGGTGTTGTCTCATGTTAACTTAGCGGCGGAACGAGGCCCACGTTTTCGTATCACAGTATTATTCTTTGTGTCTAGAAAAGCATCCAGGTAGGAAATTGAACCAACCCCCCCCCCCCCCCCNTTTTCTCACCATGTCCGACTCCCCCCCCCCAACAGATTGATCAAGGAATCAAGTTGGCAATCAATAACATCTGCCAGGAGAGCTAATACTCTTATGTGCCTCATTAGATATGTGCATGTTCTTGGTTAAGTTTCTATCCTGCCCTAGGTCCTACATATATATCGTTATCCTGCAGCCCGACTGAAGTATCATTGTTATAACGATCGCATACCCATTATGTAAAGTAATACATAGCATACGGCACAGTTTATTCTCAAGTCATGAATGCTATGTTCTGTCGAGAGGCTTGCCATAGCTAGTTCATCAGAGTCAGTCTCAACCGTTCTACTCAACATGATTTGCTATAACCGGTTCACCTACTCGGATGAGGGGATGACACCGAGAATGCGCCAATATACTTCTTAACACCTTGTTGAATTGCAGGAGTAAATAACCGCACCAGTTGTGGCGACCAAGATAAAAACTTCATAATAGATCAGAGGCCGCATGTCTTTGAATAGAAAAGAAGAGTTGAATGTTGAGCTTGTCAATGGGTATATTGTAGTTGTTGGTGGGAAGGAATGAAAGAATGAAAAACTGATAGGAAAGCTGGAGATGCTGTCTAAGGCTTTCCAAGAGTATTATCTCGCCCTTTGTATCTTCATGTCTATGCGTTCACTAGATCTGAGATGACTATATACACTGCAATCTAGTCCTGGCTACGCAATGACTTGGGATGGAGAAAAAGGTTTGCAATTTTACTGGCAATGAGGAAGCTGCTCATACACTTCTAAACCAGTTACCTTGATCATCGCGGCTTGTTTCTTCAAAATTGCAAAGGAGCTCTTACGCGACCTGTCTGTTTCTCGACCCTTCATACTGGCTCAAGCTGGGATGTGCAAGCATTTCTATTTCAACCGCGACTCCAAGGAAACAAACTCTAAGCACTTAACGCCAACCGCAGTGCCATAACGATCCCAAATCCGGACAATTGTGTGGTTATACTATGAATTGTTTATTGTTGGCTAGGATGAAACGAGGTTATGGCGCGGAAACAGGTTAGATGGTTAGACAATCGTCATCCAATTACCCCTGCCATTGGACTTAGCAGCCGAGAAAAGGTTAAACTGTTTTTGGAGTGTTTTGTATTTGATAGTAAAATGAAACATGGCTATTACTAAAGAAACACGCGCAACGAGTTAGAGAAGCCTTCAATTACCAGCAAATGGCACTAGCGAGATGAGAAGTCAGCGAACTACTTCTTCAAAGATAACATTTCACCACGTGGTCTGTATCTTCTCATTATAGGTATAACGTAGGCCGGCCTGTTCTTAGGTTGTGGCATAATAAGTAATATTAAGAACTAATATCCGTCATACCATCAGAATACTTTACAAGAATATCCCAAAGCTTCTCAAGATCGCTATATGTAATATCTTCCTGCGCCTTAATAAGCACAGCCGAGATGATAGCGTCTTTGGAAACAGTAGGTGAGCGCTCCTTAGCCCTCAAATACGTAACACGTAACTGTGACAAGAGACCATAAAAGGTCAAAGCAGCTGTCTGAGCATCCAAATACTGATCAATAACCCTCGAGTCAACGGAGAGAGCAGTCCACGTTTCAGCGGAAGGGTTAGGAATAACACTCTGAAGAGTAGACACGATACCCTTGAAGCGGTTCTCTTCGTCGATAATAACGCCGTGAAGCTGATTAGCCTTGTTATTGAGATCCCTCTGAAATCCTCGAAGCGTCGTCAAAGCGTCGTTGAGCTTATCAATCTGGTCCTGAATTTGATCGCGCTCCTTGGCACCGTTGATGGCCCCAAAGATCACATCAAGGCCGACGGCTGCAATGATGCCAATGCCAGTGTCTGCAAGTACCGCTTCAGCACCAACCTCGACACCAACCTCAACTCCCGCTTCAACACCCAGTTCAGCACCAGCTTCAGCAAGACCCTCAATTCCAAGTTCAGCAGCACCTTTGCCGCCTACTTCCCCAGCACCCTCGAAGATGGCAGTCTTGGCAAGCTTGCCAATATTAACGATGGCTTTGAGGACAAGAGCTGAGCCAGTGAGTTCAGAGAGGAGAGATCCGAACTTTGCTGGGACGGATCCTTCCGGGGGATCAGGCATGGTGTCCAGTTGAGCTTCAAAGTCTTTCAGCTGTTCGTCGCTGAATTTAATGGCGCGCGCTATAATAACAAGTGCCGCATTTCCAGCAAGCAGCTGCTTTGTCTGGCCTAGTGTAGAGTTGTACTGGAGGACTTGGGCACGAATGCTGTCTTGAAGAGAGATCGCTTGGTCATGAAGGCCGTTGGCTTCATTCTTCAAGTCATCAACGTGATAGATCCAGTTATCCCAAGGAAGAATTGAGCCAGAGTTACCCATGATACTGACATGCACGTGTTAGTTGACGATGAAACTTGTTGAAAAGGGAAGTCAAACATACCAGATATTGAAAAAAATGTAATTTAAAAGGTGGTCTGTGTGAGGTGTGTGCACATGCGAGTTGATATGGTATACGGGCTAGTATTTAAAGAAATCTTGAAAGGGCTCATCGGCCTTCCCATTATGTCAGCAAGAGTAGCTCGTAGTAGGTGACTGAACTCCCTCTAGCGAATTGGCAATCTCAATCTATCCATGAGGAGTCGAAGCTGTTGCAGCGGAATCGGCCAGCCCGGTGGTCGTTGGGCAAAGACAGTAAAGTCATAACTGAGACATGCTGAATACTGCATAATAGAGGGGAAAGGAAGCCATCGACATGAAGTTGATGCATCGTTGGCCACTTTCAGACGAACTATTGGTCTAAGTCATCTGATCAGCCGGTATGATAGTTCCGGCCTTACCACACTTGCCACCTACTCATACCGAGACTTATGCAAATTGGGTTTTCAGCTTTTAGCTGTTCAAATTGTGGACTTGACTATCAGCGTGCTGACATACATCTGCATTAAGATCACCACTCGGAGTCCACGCTTCAGACACATGAGTTTGCAGTGTCCAATAGCTGTGTTGTTCTGAGGAACGCCGACAGAACAGAAGGTCGCCCTGTTTTGGTTCACTGGGCTGATTTCACATGCCTGACGATAGACAAAGGATACGAATTTTGAGGACACTGAAACATGACAATCCTCTATACTTTCATGTCAAGTACCGTGCATTTCCGCGCCATTGATCGAGGACCACGTCAAGCCTAAGGCAGTTCATCAGGTCTTGCTGTGTCAATCACTTCCCGATATCATCTAAGGTCAATAGTAGATGAAAGGAGGGCTATCGTTAATTTACTTAACTCTCTGGACTAGAATATCATCAGCTATAGAAGTCCCCTAACCCATACCCCGTAATAGCATGGCGCGGACCTCGATCAATTTAGTAGAAGTGTACTTTGTACGACAGTCTTATTAGTATCAACGAAACGATTACCGAAGTTCTTTTAGATCGAGATGCGCTTGTCAGCGGCCTAGACCGGGCCGAAGCTGCGCTGCATAACGGCTGAAGGTCTACGTTACATCATTGATCTGAGGCGTCGATAGTTCCATGTCTGAGATTTCAAATTTGGACTAGCGTAGCCCGTCAGCAAACTGAGATTGGTCACGGATGTTCCGTTGAGGTTGCTGCTGTCGCTGAATATGCACAGCTTCGCGGGCTTCATTGACCGCTTCGAAATTTGAGACATGTAATGCGCAACCAAGAAGGTGAGAAAAAGAAGGAAAAAGATATCTCGAGATCAAGCATGAAAGATACAGCCATGCTGAAAAGCTATCCGGACCATGATATATCCACTCTTTCAACGATATATAATCTTTTCTTATTCCAGCACTCTAACAGGTTATAAAGTCTTCTCAGCAACCTTCTTTAACATTAAGACAATACATCCTATCTTTAACCATTCCCTCACGATCGTCTCTTCTCTTGAACCAGAAATATGGGTCTTCTTCCATTTGATGATTGGATTTACCATCTTCCCTACATGAGGGAGGAAGTAAACACCAAACATGACCAAGTCGTCAAAACCCAAGATACTGTGCAAGCAGATGTCCTCGCCTTCAACAAACAACTCGACAAGTTCAAGCTTCTTCTCGTCAATAATTCCATCTTGCTCTACATCTCTACCACCACGCAGATGGATGACTTGAAACTTGCAGACTTCACCACCCAGATCGATGCCCTTCCTGCGCCAGTGAAAGGAGACACCATCCTCAATGGTGCGGAGGGGGGTACTGAGCTTATCGGTGGTGCCACTGTTCTCAAATTTGTTGTCAATTTGGCCAAGCTTGCTAAGCAGGTTATTGGCGGCGGTGCCGGCGAGGTAGCAGTGGAAGAAACTGAGAAACTTGTTAATAACCTTGCTGAAGATGCACTTGATGCTGGCATTACCAATGTCGAAGAAGCAGCTGCGTCTGAGTCACTTGAGGAAGTTGGTCAGGCTGCTGGTGAAGAAGTCACCGAAGCGGTCGTCGAGTCCTCCACTTCCGCTGCCCTTGCATCCACGGGCATTGGTATTTTTCTTGCTGTAGGACTCGATGTCATATTCGGTGCTATCAACGGTGCCAAGGAGCGTGATCAACTCCAGGGTATTCTGGATCAGCTTGACGCAAAGATGAAGATTGTTAACAAGTATCTCTCCACTGTCAACGACAAGAAGGGCGAGATTGACACCAAGACTATTGATGGAATCAGCACGTTTCAAAAAGTGGCCTCTGAAATGGCAGTTCTTCTTCCCACCGGGCACAAACCCACCTTCAGAACCGATTTCTCTGCTACTCTTGATAATCTAGACAAGTGTCTTGATTATCAGCAGCTTGCTCTCACTCAGTTCTCGCTTTTGACTCAGCTGCGGGATACTTATGTCAAGGCACTCAAGCGAAATCCAAATGTTGGAAAAGACGCGGTTATCAACGCTGTTTTAATCTCTGCCCCTGATTGGGTGAAACCTGATCTTCTGGAGGAAATTTGGACAGAAGTCTTGGCGAAGTACTCGAACTTGATTGCGAATGCGAAATGAGTCTCTGGGTTGACAAGATGAAGCCTCATGTATTTAGGTTAGAGTTGATAGAATATTATCACAATTTAGCTATACAACTTAACCTGCTACTAGCGCATGCGGTCCTGGTGGAATCCTATGAAAAAATGCATAGGTATACCCGCAAGCCAGCTAATTCCGAGAAGGGACTGGCGACTTTGGCGTATTAGCTTCGGCGCAATATGCACCACTATACATATCCTTATAGGGTTGGTAACTTGAAATTAGTAACAGCAAAAACCTAACAACCAATACAGTGTTACATATGGGATGGGGTCAGTGTAGGGCGGAGAGAAAACTACAGAAGGGTCAAAGCTCCGAATCCCATTACTATTAGAATACTGCATAATATAACGAGCGAGAGTCTATTTTCAGCGATAATTACTCATGGACACATTGCTGAACCAACTCATGCTCTTTCATCTCAATTAACACCACTTCATCGACAGAAGATTATTCTACATCTACCTCACTACCCCCAAGCTCACCTTATCTTTACCAATCCGAAGAATCTTACAATGATGGACTTTGTTTAGAATATGATTAAAGGTCATTGGTATCTCTTGCGAGGGGTCATGACACAATACAAGGGCAGGAAACATCCCGACAACTTCCAATACTATCGCCGATGGGGATTTGCCATCTATCGCATGTATTGTGGCCCAGATTCCGACAAGCACTGGAATATGCTTCTGGACGCTCTGAGACGGCAAACGATGCTAGCCTTCGGCTGCTTTGAAGATGACGAGGAATCGGACCAAGGCGATGTACAACGACTTAAAGAATTATTCTTTCTTGACGCCCGCGAGGACCCAGTATTACCGGATGGACTTGATGTTGCTGGTATTCGCGAATTCTACAAGAACAAGAATTCGATATCCATTGACACATGGCGAACGACCTCTATTACCACGGTCTCCTTGCTGATGAATCGGTAATTATTGACCTAGCCAAGGGTGAATTCATTGTGGAGGTAGTTGCTTTGAAACGGCGGGAGGGTTTCCGCGCTTGGGGCTAGATGGGGATTCCAACAGGCTACCTGCTAGAGTTATGGCAAACACTTATTTACCAGGAAGATGACCTCGAAACCGCTCTTGACTTCAACGGATCTGAGGAAAATCTTAACAATTATGTATGGGTTGGGGACATAAGTGCTGATGGCACAGGAAGGTGTTCTGAAGTTCGTCCACCGTTAGTGCACTACACTGGTCAAGGTCTAAAGCGTGCATACTGGGGAAGCAGTATTATTCCATAGATACTATGGCTCTTTTCATCACGTATTAATTCATGACGTCCATGTGAGATTACGATTCAAAACAAGCAAGCAGGAGACAAGTAGGACAGGGTTGATACCAACTATCTAGGTTTATATAATAAGACTGGCGAGTTCCTTCCATTTCCGTGTCCTCATCTTTGATATCACCAAAAGCTTTGGGGCTAATCCTGCCTTTGGTAGGATATTTAGGAAAAGAATTCCTTAGTATTGCGAGATCGCTAATATAACTGACTTGAATCAGTATATAATAGGTGTTTCATAGATGCGTCCCTATGGGCTCTGGCCACACTTCCACTCATAAAAGATTGCCCTAAGAAGTAGGATTAGTATTGGTTCGGTAGAAGGTTTAAGATATTCGAGAGATTGTACTTACTGCATAGACCAGCTTTCCGTCTGGGATTGAGATGCAGCTTCACAGCCATTAATACCAATAGCCAAGAGCTCTTTACACTTGGCGACAGTGATATCCTGTTCAATACCAAACCCATTGGTAATTTCAAACTCGTAACTACCACCAAGGGATTTGATATCGTAGCATTTCTCCTTCTTTTCGCCAATGGCAAACTTTCCGGCACCAGCTTTCAAGCACCATTCGGTGGCAGCGTTCATTGCTGTTTTTTGGTTAGGTGCCCACGGCTTTGCTCCCGAGGCGTTGAAGCAGCTCTTGGAGACGGGGTATTCGAATCCAATTGTGCGGACGCAGACGTTGGCGTCGGCCCACAAGCTCAGGCAATCCTTTCCAACGGTGGGATTCCACTCCTTGAACTGATCAAACGAGATGCCGTGGTTCTTGGAGATCTTAGCGCAACCATCGCCCTTCTTAACAAAGTAGAAGCGGTCACAGTTATCAACCATGCCGGGCTGGATAGGGAGTGGCGTCGTCACGGCGTTATCCCCCGTTACTGACGAAATAGCCTTCGCGCTTCCCTCGGCGGCTGTAGCTGTGGGGGCTGCCAGAGACACGCCAGCGTTGGCGACAAGAAATGTTGCAATGGTAGTGAACTTCATTGTGATATGTGGTAGCGAATGACTGCTTGATCGAATTGGTGTTGTAGTGATGTTCTCTTGGTTGGCGCTGGGAGATGAAGACGTATAATTGCAAGACGGAGGGATATTTATATTCAACGTTCAACTCAGAAGTCTATGATTTTGTTGGGGGCGGAAATTATTACACTGTAGTCCTCCATCATGTGCCTTTGCAAAAGTATCCTGCTTACCGGCTGTTTCCTAAAGCGCAATCCTGCCAGGGGGAGAGTGGATAGTTCACGTCGGTCTGGAGGTGGTCTTTGCAGGTTGGTACATAAGAGAAATTCGACATAATATGTCGGTGCATGTGGCACAGCTAGGCATACGAGGCTTGGAAAACTCTGATTTGTGTAGGATAGGCATGAGTGGATCGAAACATCTGAGTCATTTACTATAACCCTGCTCTCCAGTAAGGGTCTATGGCCCTGCAGCTCGCTTCGAAGATCCATGTCAGCGAGGAAAAAGAACGAGAGCGACTAGATAGGCAATTCAGTCAGCAGCTTCAGCCTATCGGGCAGCGTGCCGGATTCGGTTAGGGCCGAGAAAGTCTCCCAATCGGTCGAGGCTTGTGGACCTCTTCCGTTCAACCATTTAGGTATCCGCAAGCAGTGTAGTCTGCAAAGCCGATGCTGGCACATCTACAGAAGCACATAATTTCGGCCTGTCGCTCGCGTCACGCTGTAAGTCTTGTCAGCTTCAACCCAAAGGGCGCCTAGAACGGTATATGCCAGGAGACATTATTGCAGTAGATGAAAGCAAGAGGGATTCTTGAAAGGACCTTGGGCTAGGTGATGTAGTAGATAGAACAATTGACCTGCCTGTCACTATTTGCTATACATGCAGGAATATTCAGATCTCACTCTATTGGAAAATGACCCAATACTCAGAAGCTTGATAGCAATTTTACAAGAGACCAAAGGAGCAGGTCAATTTGGCGATATTAGATTAGCTTGACTTCATTCAGTGTAGTCTTGTAAGAGCTTGGAAGAACTGGGCTTACTTGATCGATAGTAAATGACAGTACACAGTCGAGTTTCTCAGCACAAAGCGAAACCACACGGATGTCACAAAATAGTTTGTGTGTATTTATGCTTCTCTTCTTTCACTCTCAACCTATCTAAGGGGCTCGCTAAATACGCTTAATCCTTTGACCATTCCGTATAAATGGATAACCTGAAGCCTATATCCATAATATTCTCTTGTAGGTTTTTGTACTCTGCATTATATCTTCGTTCGGGCAATTTGCATTGCTGCTGATTTCAGTATAATTGGTTCCTGCAAGATTGCATCTCCAGGGTAGCATGTGGCGTCATGGGGGAGAAAGAAGAAAAGGAAATAATAGCACTATAGAAGTAGATTTGCTACATGTTTAATTAGATATAAGAGTAAGTCTTTATGATTATTATAGTTATTTTAAATAACCAAAAGGGCAAGAATAGTTCAAGCTTTAATTAAGGGTTCTGGCATTACTAGTTTTTAAAATTTGATTAAACATGTTATGATGTTTTTATTACTAATTTTACTAAGGAAGGTGAAGAAAAGTGTATTATATACTTATTAAGTTTATTACTACTAAAATATATAATATTAACAATAGTATATTATGTAAATAAAAAGAGTTACTATTATTTTAAGTTATAGGCCTATTCTACTTATATTACTACCTCTTAGTTATAACCTGTATATTATTATATCAATAACTATAATAAGCTTTTAGGCCTTATATAGTAGAAGTAACTCAACTCTTAACTGTTATTTTATGGACAATAGATATCTCCTTATACTTAGTAACGTAGGTTATAGATATATAAACTTAATAAGATAAGGGATTTGATTAACACAAAGCTATATAGTCCAGACTAAAACCTAGCCTCTATAGCAGAAGAAAGTATAGGCTTTTCGAGTTGGACACTTGGTGAAAGTGTTGCAACCGTGACATGTGGCCACTTGATAGCGTTGAAATCAAGCATAACAACCTGAGAGTACTGAATCTGGGTATAGATGATAGTGACAGTCTTTGGTCTATCAACCTCCACATCAAGGAAAAACTCTGGCACAGCATCTCTGGGACCTTGGGCAGCAGGAGAAACCGTTGAGCCAACCTTCATAGATGGATCAAGTTTAATCTCAGCACGGATCTTTGAAACCCAGTATTGAGCTATCACATCAACAGCGTTGGCATTGCCCTTGTCGTTTCCAGTTTTCTGTTTGCCTTCATCTGCACCGATGTTGAAACCGATGTTGCTTGTTCCGCCACCAAATTTATCGGGTGGAGCATTAGTAGAGACGAAAAACATGGTGTTCTCGATGATATCCTTTCCTTCGTTGGCCTGTCTCAGGATAGTGTTTGGATCATCAATGATTTGTTGCGTGATAGTTCCATTGGCGATGAAGGGCTTTAGATCTTGCGGTAGACGGCGAGTAGCGTCATTGTCGGCATCCTGGTTGAAGAAACGTTGCTTCTTCTTCTGAAGCTTAGAAGAAGTGTGAGGGTCAACAATTGGAGGAATCCCGATCGGATCAATCAGAATTGGGGTAATATCGGTGGGAGGAATATCGGGCGCGCCCTTGCAGGTTTTGGAATCTCCAAAACCTTGGGCATTGATGGTTGTACCATGGGGGATAGATCCCATACGACAAAAGGAGATTGGAAGCTTGGGCATGTCCTCGACCTCAGGCACGCGCATCCAAAGTCCGGGCTCAAAGTGAATGGCCGGAGGGTCTGCTGGTTTAGGCTGCCCTTCTGGCGCTGGCATCGCATCAACGACAGTCTGCGTCTACGGCAAACCAGTGAGAGTGATATCAGCCTGGCCGAACAGCCCACGGTTGGGTACACTTTTCAGTATATCGCCAAACACTTGGGTTTCACCAGTCAGGTTGAGTTGCAGGAGGTTACTTGTTTGATTATCGGTAGGCTTCTTGTGAAAATTTGTTACGGTTTTGGGGTTAGAGCTCAGAGGTCTAAAGATTGTGTTGAAGCCGAAACCACTAAAAGTTCCAGTGAACTCTTTCAAGGCATCCAGAGGTGGAGCAGGGGGATCTTTGAAGGCGGTATCATTGGTATCATTCTCCTGAGTAGGGGCGTAACCGCCACTCTTGGCTGCTCCGTTAGACGGGTGAAGAGCTGGCTGAAGAACGGTAGGCCCATAGTTGAAGCTCTGTGGAACGTCGATAACGACAGCAGGGGCAACAGGCGCAAGGTCCTCAAGAGATGGAGTCATGATTGAGAATGGATAGAAACAAATACGGACTTGATGAAATTTGCTTGAGATGAAAGATTGCTGAGAAATATTGAATTCAACCAGGTGGGATACATGTCATCTTTTATCCTCCCAAGGCAGCAGGTGTCAAGGAAAATAATATCGTTCTAGTGGGTTATAACTTGGCTGTGTTTCTACTTCCATTGAGTTCAATTCCTATTTACGCAACTGACCTATCGCAATCGTGTATTTAGTTTTACCTTTATTGTCAGGCATCTGCTCTAGATCTGGCCCTTACAACATGTGGCTGGCTGATGCTGCAAGTCTCGGAGGCAACGGGAAGCCCCTCTGGGAAACGCTAACCGCTTCGTCTCGGCCTAGGGCTAAGAGAAAATTTTGTCTTGCATAGAATAAGCTGGAATTATGTAGACTTGCGAGGGGAATGCTTCAGAATCCCGTAATCGTCATTTCAGAGTTCAGGTATAAATTCGCGGCTATATATAGGACTTTGAGAACTGACTAGAGATTTATGTTAACAGCATGATAGCACGAGCTCAACAAAACTCACTGACAGGCAGAAACTCTAATCTAAGGCTTTGGGGAAAGCATCCTACGTAAAGAGGTAATTCAGAAGTGAGGCTCCGATGTTAGCCACCAGGAGTGAAACATTGCAAATATAATATTCACTATTATGAGATTAGACCATTCAGTGCATGCGCCTACTTCTCAGTCGCAGGAAGCTTGATCGAACCGGAGCATAACATCCCACTACTATTGAGGAGGGGTAATTATTTCAGTAGGCTTCTTCGACGCCATGTTTGTGATTCCTGAAATTATTGAATGTCGAGACCGCTCCATCGTTAGCTGTGTCTCAAACCAAGCATCGCCGTTGTTGTGATTGGCTCTTCAACTACGGTGTCTGTAGTCAACTGCGCAAACATGAAAATTGTAAGAAATGCGATTCGTCAACATCTGAGACCTGCATAGCTTTATTGAAATACTTGAGACAATGTAGTGATAGCACCAATAATGAGAACCATTTATTAGGCCCAGACTTTAAACATGCATTCTCTTCAGCCAGCCGCCTATACCTTGAAAATTTGGATGAAACATAAACGACCTATGAGGGTCCTTTTCCTCTCCAGCTTCCTGTCGCCTACTCCGAACAAGATCATGAGAACCATTGCAGGTTTCAAGTCAGCCAGCCAGTATTCGGCTCTTGCATATATGAAGCAGCTCATTTGTTGATATATGATTTCAGTTATCCACCTTGGCCTTGTTTTCAAGACATGCATAAGAAGCCTCGTCTAATAGGATGCGACAGTTATTGAGAAGTACTCCGGTTGATGTGAAAGTAGCAGCCCTCACTGTTGATGGAACTCTCAACACACTCATATAAACCTACGCGTTTCTCCAAACGAAACAAAAGACTTCTCCGCATAACCACGTCAACTCTTTCAACTCAATTACTTACATTCAACTCTCCATCATGGTTTCGGAAGGCCCCTTCAATGAGGTCCATCAGTTCACAAAGTCCTACAAGCACATGTGGGCTCGTGATGTCGCCCAAGCGATTATGGACTACGACCTTAAGGGAGTCGTTGAACGCTTGAAGTTGTCTGTGCCTGACAAATTCGATGAGCAGGAGAGCATTGGTTCACTGCGAGAAAAAACAAAGAAATACACTGGTCCGGGCTATATCCCCGAGGAGGCGGGCAACATTAGCGTAGGTATTGTCGGCGCTGGTGTGGCTGGCTTATTCTCCGCCTTACTCTTTGACTGGCTCAATGAGAATCCTAAGCTCAAGGGAAAAGGTCTCAAGATCAACTACGACATCCTTGAAGCAGCTGGCGCAGAAAGGCTCGGTGGACGTCTGTACACCCACCACTTCTCTGACGAAGAGCACGACTACTATGATGTTGGTGCTATGCGCTTCCCCAACAACACCATCATGACAAGGTAGACTACGTTCATGTCACAAACTTGGATATCTTTGGCTGAAATATTCTCAAGAACCTTCCAACTATTCTAGTACATCGGACTCACTCAGGCAAGCAAGCCGGGTCTGATCCCTTACTACTTGAAGGATGATCTGGACGTATGCCCTGCTTACATAAGCGATATAACGACCAGAGGCAATGTTTGGGACCCGGAGAAGCATCCAAATGATCCATACAAGGTCAACAAGGGCTTGCCTGGAAAAGGGAAGATCCCAAAGTGGTATGAAGCCGGTAGATATCCAGCAATGGAACTACTTCTGACCGCTTTATAGCCTCCTTGAAACCAATCCCGGCGATCTAGTTAGCGCGGCCCTGAAGGTCTTCACGGATGTTGCCAAAAAGTCGTTCGAGGCGGCAATCGCAGAAGAGAAAAAAGAAGAAGAGGAAAAGAAGGAAGGAATCAAGAGTGCTAAAAACAATGAGGATGTGAGAGGGCCGGCAGCCCAGAAACTATGGGAACTTCTCATGAGAGCTGATCATATGAGCGTCCGACAATTACTTAGCTCGTAAGTGTTCCTGGCCTTTGACAGGTGTTTCTTCAACAGACGGCAATTGACTCGGTCTCGCAGTGGTCAAAAGAAAAAGCCTGGAAAGAGACCGGAGCCTCCAGTTGAGGATGACTTTCCCAGGGTCCTGGTTACAACTACAACACTATCGAGTGGCTTGAGACAATGACCTAGTAAGTCTTACAGTGGCGTCCTGCTTTGCAATAGCTGACACTCCCAAGCGGCACTGGCTGGTATGACCAATCCCTCACAGAATGTGTCCTAGAGGAGCTTGACTTTCACACCCCTGACATGGACGACAACTTAGACACCAAGAAAATTCAGTACTGGTGGTGTGTTGACGGCGGCGCTCAAGAGACCGCCAAACGAATGGCTATCAAGGCCAAGAAGCGTATCGAATATAACACAAAGGTCCAGTCAATCGACGCTCAAGTTCCACTCCGTCGAGAGCGTAAAGGTAAAGCTGGTAAGTATACGGCAATGAAGATTAAGACCACCAGGACGGATCCAAAGACCAAGAAGGTTGAAACTAAGGACAGGGAGTATTTTGCCATCTTCAATAGTACCACCCTCGGTGCCCTGCAACGCATGGAGCTTCGCGATGCTGGCTTATCTTGGGGTACTAAGCAGGCTATCCGAGCTCTTGGGTATGGTGCTTCTGCCAAGGTGGGCATGAAGTTCCGCACTGCATGGTGGCAAAAAGCACCATTTAACATCGCTAGAGGTGGCATATCCCGAACCGGCTTACCTCTGCGTGTCTGTGTGTATCCTTCGTATAACATCGAGGCAAATGAGGGCAAGGACAAATGGGACCCTGAGAAGCCAGCTGTGCTTCTGTGTTCGTATACTTGGGGTCAAGATGCCCAGCGTCTCGGCTCCCTGTGTTCCAATAACACAACTCAGAACGACGAAGAGCTCAAGAGGGTGATTATCCATGACCTTGCGCGACTCCATGCGAGAGATGAGCTTGAGGACTATACCTTTGACAAGATGGTGAAACTTCTTGAAGAACAATACATCGACCACCACGGCTACGATTGGTACAGAGACCAACACATGTCAGGTGCATTTGCATATTTCGGCCCTGGACGGTTCTCCAACATGTGGCAAGAAATCATCAAACCCAATGCATTGGGCCAACTGTACCTTGTCGGAGAAGCAGCTTCATCCCATCATGCGTGGATTGCGGGTGCGCTTGAAAGCGTTGTCCGGGCAGTTTACGTCATGTTTCAGAATCTCCAGAACGGTAACGATACGTTTGAAGCTTACGGCATCGTCCTTGATTTGCTCAGTACCGAGCCTGGTGATGACAAGAATGAGACCCAGCCACTAAAGAAGCACGGCGATATGCCCTCGGGCTTACCTTTCCATCCTTTGCCAGAGGAGATGCCTGTAAGACAGTTGCGCACGTCTAAGGAGAAGAATTTGACTGGTAGTCCTGAGGAGGAGGCTGACAAGGAGAACACCGATATGACCTACGGTGCTGCATTAGCTGTTCTGGGCTTGATTGAGGGTTTCTATGAACTGGGAGTGGATCAGAATGACCAGTACTAGTGTGACGGTTGGGTTTTCCAAGGGATAAATTAGTCAGTTCTGAGTTTATGTTGGCAGAGTAGTAGGATGGAATACTGAGCGTAGCGAAGTGTCACGTCTCTTAATAGTGAATAGAGCGGGTCAGGTGTATTCAGGTAAAGATGTTTTATTTATAGCTGTCGAGCTAAGTGTGCTAACTAAGGTTAAGTGAATGTATATATACTTGTGATGGCTCACATCGTGAGTCTCATCGTGAGCCGTTAGTCGCAGATCCTGGCGGCTCACGGTCTGACTAAGCTAGTGTGTGTGGTTGTAAGCCGTGATAGGAGAGAAATAGTGGGGTCTACCTGATTATCCGTTGGGTCGTAACAGGGGGCAGTTAAAGAGAATCGCCCTTGCTGGATGACCCACAAAAGGCCCTTTATAATACACAAGTGCTCCACCTTTTTTAGTCTAGCAGCATGGTTTATAGGCCCATTGATAAATTGAAACGCCTATCTATACCTAAATTAAATTTATTACATTATCTCGAGAAGACTTAGAGAATTTAACTTTATAGTCTTTATATACTTCGTCGTAGTTATAACCCTATCTTGTAATCTATAATTATTATCAGATGGCACTAGGAGCGGGCCATGTACTAGTTTGGCTATTTATCAATAAGAAACTAAATTAGTTTTTAACATTTTTAATACATTTTTTATCTAATATGGTTTTTCGCTGAGACACACTTTATATTGAGAATTACAAAATGCCTCCATCCGGTCACGTGTTACATCAATGTATAATCAAGAGATATTGCATATTAAGCAAGTAGATATGGAGTAGGTATAGAAGTAGTTCCGTCTCAATAGATTTCATTGCCGTTTCCTCTTCCTTGACAATAAAAGTGCTGCTCATTCCCCGTGACCATAGCCAGCGTCACCCTGCTTGCCCTACGTCCGTCTGGCTTCAAACGGCCAATGTGCGCGTCGGAAGCACTCGATCCACGCGAATTTCCGGTTCCACCACCATACACTCCATCCGAGTTTGCAGTTTCGCCAAATTCGCGATTCCGGGTTCCTGTCTCAGCGATACCGCCTAGAACCATTGCATAGCTTATGTCGTCGCTTGCGTCAGTAGTCACAGCGACTGAACACTGGAAGTCGGGCCCTTTGCGACATGAAAAGTGGAGAAAGTGATGCGCAAAGCGTAACCCTGGGTCTTCTCACATCTTGCAAGCAAGCAGGCAAGCAAGCAACGTGGCGGGCGATGCTAATGTGAAGCCTCGTTTGTGGTCAGCCGTTCACACTCCAGGTTGATGATGGAATGTCCACATTCCGCCCGACTGATTTCCTTGAAAATTACATGAGTGTACTTCTGACTGCTAAACACTACTTCAAAGCCATTTCATTAATAAGAAAAGCAGAAATGACGCGGTATATATAAGTGTTCTAAGGATATGCGCACGTTTGAATCATGCACACATTGCACCAGTTGCTCATCGGTTTCCGCCCAACACCACTCAAGGCATCTTCAACAGCTCAATCCTGGGATCGACACCATTCACCGTCCCCTCCGTTCCATCTGCAACATCGCCCTCAGCCTCCACTCTCGCCTTCAACCCCTCCACAGCCCGCTGGCCCATCGCCATCAGACTTGGCATACCCAGCATCTCTAGTACACTCACATCGAACTGTAAGGTCGCCTTCCACCACGCTCTCAGCTCGATCGCCACCAGACTATCCAGTCCCAGCTCCTGCGGCGACCTCGAGACATCAATCACGCTGTCATCGTCCATGGGCCGCAGAAGAAGGGTCAGTAGCTGTGCGCCAATCTGGTGGGCCACGAATGCGGGTGCGTCGGGGCCATTGAGGGCCGAGAGATCGCCGTACGTGGTGGCCTGCGCGATGAAGGCAGCGAGTTTGCTACCATGTGCTGAGTCCCCAGTCTTGGTCGCATTGCCACTGGCATCGTTCTCGTCATTCCAGTAACTCGCCATACGTCGGTCAGTCTTGAACATGACGCGGTTTGTAGGATCGGAGAGCGGCAAGGTAGACCCTGCGCCGAGGATGAGTTGGCTTGTTGATGAGGGCGACGACGATGATGGCGGAGCACTCAGGACGGCGGAGAGAGCGTCAAGGAGCTGAGTTATGCGGATTCCGTAGTTTCCTCGGGCGAGCAGCCGTTCGCGCAGCGCCACGTTATCAGCGACGTATCCGTGATCCAGCATGATGCCGATGTTGATGGACTGCGCAGGCAGGTTCTGGCGGTGCCGGTGTCTGACAAACGCGTCAAGGAACGTGTTGGCCGCTGCGTAGTTGGCCTGCCCTCGCTGACCGAATGTTCCGGATGCGGAGCTGAAAAGGAGGAAGAAGTCCAATGGGAGCGAGCTGGTGGCTTCGTGAAGGTTGAGCGTTCCACGGACTTTGGGTGCCACTGCTTCCGTCCAAGCTTCGTGGGGCATCGTGCCGAAGTTGTGGTCGCGGAGGACCATGGACATGTTGATCACGCCCTTTAGTGGTACGCTAACTGAGGCTGCTTCTGTGACGGCTCTTTGGACGTCAGCAAGCTCCGTGACATCTCCTTTGATCCCCGTTACGGTGCACTCTTGGCTACGCAGTTCCTCGAAGAAACCCTTGTCGGACTCGGTCTCGCCGGCGGAACGAGATAGGTAGATGAGGTGTCTTGCGCCGTTTTCGACCATCCAGCTGGACACGGCTCTACCGAGACCACCTAGGCCGCCAACGAGGAGGTATGATGCAGCTGGATTGAAACGGTAGTTGTGTTGCTTGGTTGCAGTGGACGCCTTTGGTCCCTTGCCGTCATTGCTCTCCATGCTTACAACGATCTTGCCAATATGCTGACCCTTCTGCATGTACAAGAAACAGTCTCCGATATCATCTGCATTGTACACAGTGACGGGATTGATAGGCTGTATGTGGCCCTCCCGGTAGTACTGCACGACCAGCTTCAGCAGCCGATGGCCCTCAGACGGCCGGCGCCGCATGAGATGATCGAGGTCTACGCATTGGTAGCTCCTGTTGAGCAGGAAGGGATGCAGCGCCAGTTTTCCATGACCGATAAGATCCCGCTTCCCGATCTCGATCATGGTGCCGAACTCAGCAACGCAGTCCCACGACGTGTGCAGCAGCTCGCCAGAGAGTGAGTTCAAAACAACGTCGACGCCACGGCCGTGCGTAGCGCGTTGGATCTCTGGGAGAAATGAGGCGTCGCGTGAGTTGAAGATACGATCAGACGGGATGCCGCATACCGTCTCGAGGTGGTGTCGCTTGGCCTCCACCGAGACGGTGCAGTAGATTTCCTCAATACCGGCCATACGTGCAATCTGTAGCGCTGCGAGACCGACGCCTCCACAGGCAGAGTGAATCAACAGAGACTGGCCGGCACGTAGCCTTCCAACGTCAAGAAGAGAGTAGATGACCGTCGCGAACACGGTCCCCATCGTCGCTGCGTCGGTGAAGCTGAGTGCATCGGGGATTGTAACGCATTGGTCCCGCGTCACCTTGGAGATGGTCGAGAAGCCGTAGCCGCCCATGACCATGACCCGATCCCCGACTTGCACATCGCCGCCGGGGCCACCCACGGCTCGTACGACGCCGGCGTGCTCAAGGCCTAGGACATCGACCTCGATGATGCCCATTACGCTGAGGACGTCTCTGAAGTTCATGCCCACAGCCTTGGGCTCGATGAGGAGCTCGTCCTCGGCGAGTGTCAGTGTGCTCGAAGGTTGTGTCACCCACCGCAGCGTGTTCAAGCGGCCGGGCTTCTCGATCTCTAACCTGGAGCTCTGAACTGCACCATCATCAGCGGCAGCAGCAGTCAGTGCAGCCGCGGCAACGTTCTTGAGCTCGTCGCCGAGGTGGAAAGGGTAGATCCGGGGGATGTACACCTTGCCATCGCGACTGATGGCGAACTCGTACTCTGGACCAATGGAGTCATCACGGCTTTCTCTTCTTCGCATGAACTTTGCAAGCACGCCCTCAACTATGGGCAGAGTCTGCTCATCGATAGTCTCGACCTCGCAAGTGGCCAGGTCGAGAGCAAGTTCCGAGCGGATCACGCGTGCCGCGCCTTGGATCAAACCCCATCGGGGATCCGAGCACAGCTCGCCCTCGGTCTCTAGTTGAGAAGGCCGCGTGAGCCAGAGGACACCTGCACCTGTGCTCGAGCTGGACGCCGCAGACATTAGGTCCTGGAATGAACGGAGTCGCGAGGGGGAGATGTCATCCAGGAGCGGTCGTCGCGTCGACGACATGTCCATTACGCAGACCAGATCTCCTCCGCCTTGCATCGAGGGAAGCCCGGCTTTGTCGTCGAAGTCATGCAGCGTCACCTCGTAGTTTTGCGAAACAAGGTACTCTTGCAGGATGGTCTCAGCCAGCTCCCTCGACGCCTCGTCAAGGACAATCGTCACGGTCTTCTTCTTGCCAGTGTCCACGTAATCAGGCCGCGCCAGCATAAACGCATTACTGTGTTTGCCAGCTGGGCAATCGAGTACGTAGTCATCCACGCCTTCGAAACCAGCGATCTTCAGTTCTTTGTCCCATCGCTCGGGGGTGACGTACGGTTCATCCACGCGTCCTTCTGCCTCGCCGAGCCACCATCCGGGTAGGATGCCCATGATGTAGTTCCATGCTTTTGTCTCTGTGGTCAACTCCTCGAGATAAAGTCGACCCTCGTTGGATAGGAGCCTGTGGACGTTGCGAAGCGTGGAACTCAAAGAGGGTGTAGCGTGGAGGACGTTCGAAGCGATGATGAGGTCGAAGCTGTGCGGTTCGAATCCTTGCTCGATTGGGTCATGAGTGATGTCCAGGACGCGGAAGTCCATGGTGGAAGCGTGCTTTTTAAAGCGCTCTCCGGCCGTCTGGAAGAATCCTGCGGAGATGTCCGTGTAGGTGTAACTTGCGTACGTCCTGTGCTGGGCCGCGGAGTCGTGGATGGCGTTGAGGACGATCTCTGTGGTCCCGCCTGTGCCGGCACCGATCTCCAGGATGCGCATATGTGGGTTGGAATGGGCGAGGGCCTGGAATATGGCCGGGCGTTTGCTCCAGTTCAAGGCTTTGTAGACGCCGCTGAGGATGTTATCCTGCATGAGTACTTCGAGTGGTTCGACTTCACCGCGGAGGAGCGGGAGGATGTTGTCCAGGACCTGTTTGAGCGCCACGGCGAAGCAGTCTAGATCTGTTCCGAGCAATCTGGTGAACAAGGCACCCATACGAGCTGTGCCATGGCCGTTCTGCATCTCTGTTGACGCTGCTGGCTGGGCTTGCATCCATTCCAAGAACCTTTGCAGATGCCGACCGGGTGGATCGACCGACCGCTCTTGGCTATTAAGCACTCGAAGGGACTCGCGGATGCACAGCGACGTCAACTCACGCAAGTCGTCTGTGTAGGCCATCTGATCCTCGTTGGGAAGAACCATGGAAGCCATGCTGGCAAAGTCGACGTCCTCACACCAGTGCATGCGCGCTGCGGCATGCGGGTTTGGGGTTTCTTCCGTAACGTCGCCAGCCAGAGGACTCATCTTGATGCCCCGGACATCGAGGCCAAGTTGTCCCGCCGGGAAATGGCCTGTACCGCCACCAGTGACGGACCCATGGGGAGTTGTTGTGGATTTCACGGCCTGCACCAGCGGCGACGATGCTCCCGGATCAGAGGTCGAGGCAAACACGTCCATCTGCTCAATATACGTGGGCACCACCATCGTCCGCAACGTGTGACCCACGCCTCGGACGGCCGCCGCTTGCACCAGCTGCAAGAAAGAGTCGATCTGAGTGGGATGAACGGCGTAGAACTCCTCCTCATCCCACGTCGTCTGGATAGCCGTTGCCAGCGCTCTGTTGTCCGTTGTAGCGGCGGTGATATCAGTCAACCCTTGGAAGAAATGACCGTAGTTGCCACCTACGCGGTCCATATCCATATACCACCTGGAGGCATGGACATGCCGGGGCAGTTTCTCTGGCAAGACAGCAACATCACCACTCGATGGTCGTCGAGAGATGGCGGAAACATGCCCGGTACAGTGCTTAGTCCACGCTGCACCGTTGTGCGAACTGATGACAAACTCCCACCGCTCACTGTCCAGCGTATCTGTGAGTCGATGCCTGGTCAGCGTCGTGAGAACCTCGGTGGACTTGTTCTCATGTAGAAGCATTGCAGCATCGATGACAACCCCTCGGACGCTGAAGCCTGCAAACTCGGCATCGTCGACGCCTGCAGCCGCCATCTGTCGCACAGCTTCGCCTGCCATACCGACGTAGCCCGCACAAGGGAAGATGATGTCGCCTTTGACCTTGTGGTCCCGCAGCCACGGCACGCTGGACAGGTGAAGCACGTTTCGCCATAGCGGCTCGGTGTCGGTGCTCTCTGCCACTCGTATGCCGAGCAGCTCGTGCTTCTTGGCGGCCGGGGACTTCCACCTGTCCATGAGGCGCGACTTAAGTAGGTACGAGTGATCGTGCTGCCATGGGTACGTCGGCAAGTCAGGGACGACTTGAAGCGATCCTGACGGGTTGAGTAGCCTGTCAAAGTTGATGGGGTAGTTTTGTTGCCAGAGGTAGCCCAGTGATGTGAGGAACGTCTCGGTTGCGTGCTTGCTGCGGACCAGGCAACTTGTGTAAGGCGAGCTGCTGATGGGCGTCTGAGCCAGTGTCTGACGCAAAGGACCTGCGAGTGCTGAATGGGGACCCAACTCGAGGAAGACGAGCGGGCCGCCTGCCTCCTTATCCTTGCCTGCATGACCGACGATGCTCTCGACAGCCTTGCGGAATAAGACGGGCGACTCGAGGTTGGTGCGCCAGTACTTTGCATCTGTCTTGTCGGACGTTGGCAGCGGCTTACCAGTGACACTAGATGCCATAAGAGGTTGAACGCTATCATCTTGTTGGAGGTGGTGTTGTTTGGTCCCATTGATTCCATTGTTTCCATTGGTACCGTTCATACCATTGGTTTTATGGCCATTCGTAAGAGCAGAGCCATACATCTTCACCTCCAAATGCGGCGCAATCAGCGACTCGTACGTCTCGCCCACCTCCTCCATGTGGTAAGAATGATACGCCTTGTCGACCTTCAGCACTCTGGCAAACGCAGCGGGATCCTCTGTCTTTATTCTGGCCAGCACGTCGTCCACACGATCCTGATCACCCGAAATGGTCACGTTTGACGGCGAGTTCTCGCAGGCTATAACAGCCCCGTCCACCAATAGAGGCTCGATCTTCTCACGCGACAGGCCGAGCGCCGCCATCGCACCTTTTTTCTGGACAGACTCCGAGACCACGCCGCGGTAGTACGCAGCAATGATGGCTTCTTGACTGGTCAGTCTCCCTGCCGCATAGGCTGCGGCCAACTCGCCGGACGAATGGCCAACGACTGCGTATGGCTGCACGTTGTACTCAGACAACATGTCCACCAGCGCTATCTGCACGGCCGTGCACAACGGCTGCGAGTACGCGGCCTGGTTCACGTTGCTCTCTTCCGGCGCTTTCGACAGCTCGTCGGCAACGGACCATGAGGGTCCGCCTGACAAGAGGCTCAAAGCCTTGTCCATGCGTTTGATGCTCTTCGCAAAGGTAGAGTAGGCGTTTGAGGCTAAAAGCTCTGCTCCCATGCGCGGCCATTGTGCACCTTGGCCGGTGAATGTGAACACTAACCGAGGAGGAGTGCCGCTGGGCGTCTTAGCGAACGGGCTTGTGGTTGTCGCTCCCGCATGCAGCACTGAGAAGGCACGGTGAGGCAGGTGATCTCGTCGCGCCCCCAATGTGTATGCAACTTCCGGCACGCGGTTGCTGTTTTGTTCAATGTATTTGGTGTTGTTGACCACCTGTCTTTTTAGCGAATCCGCAGTGTTGGCGGAAAACACCACAAGTTGGGGATCACCAGCAATCCTGCGTGCCGGCTCGCCGTTCTGGCTGACGGTGCCGGTGAAGGATCGAAAGGAATCAACTACGACGTGTGCGTTGGCGCCACCGATACCGAATGAGTTGACGGATATGCGCTCCATTCGGTCGCTCGGCCATGGCATGGGCTCAACAGGCACGACCAAGTTCTTTTCTGCGAAGGGGATCTTGGGATTCGGCTTGTCGAACTTGATGTTCGGGGGGATAACGCGATGTTCCAGCGCCAGAACCATCTTGATCAGCGCTGTCAAGCCGGACGCACCCTCCGAGTGGCCAACGTTTGGTTTGACGGATCCGATGTAGACACCCTTCTCGCCGCCAAACACACTCGCGACGGCTCTCGTTTCGATCGGGTCGCCTATCGGCGTTCCTGTCCCGTGGCATTCGACAAAGGCTGTGGCATTTACATCGCTGATGCCCGCAATCTCATATGTTCGTCGGATGAGCGCTTCGTGGCCCTCGTAGCTGGGTAACGTGAGTCCGGCTTTCTTGCCGTCCGCGTTGCTGAATGTTCCCCGGATGACGGCCCTGATGGGGTTACCGTCGCGGATGGCGGTGCTCAGGCGCTTGAGGTACACGACATTGACGGCATCGCCACGGGCATAACCGTCCGCATCGGCGTCGAACGATCTGCATGAACCGTTTGGTGAGAGCACTCTCTGTTCTGAAAGGTCGGCAGTCAGGCCTGGTGCTATAAGCAGATTAGACCCGCCGACAATGGCAGAGTCACAATCACCAGACCGGATGGCTAGACAAGCCTGGTGCAGTCCGATCAGGGCGGCCGAGCATCCAGTCCGAATGGTCATACTCGGACCGCGGAGATCATACTCGTACGAGATACGGTTGGAGAGCAGAAAATCCCCCGCTCCGGACACCTTGTAAAGCCCAGGAACTTGTGTGTCCTTGCCCATCAGGTTGAGCCAATCTTCGCCAAAAGAGCCTACGTATGTTCCAATGGGCTTTCCTCGGTAATTGACTTCGCCTGCACTCTCGAGACATTCGCGCGTCAATTCGAGGAGAAGTCGTTGTTGGGGATCTGCGCGCTCGACTTCGTTCTTGGGCATAGTGAAGAGTGTGGTATCCAAGGCCCCCAGGTCTACTGACTCGTCGAGGAAGTAGCCACGATCCGTCCTGACGAAGCCTGGCTTGCCGGCCTTGGAATAGTATGTGGACGCATTAAATCGGGACTCGGGGATGGGACCTTGGGCGTCTTGCTTGGAGACGATGAAGTCCCAGAATTTTGAGGGCGTGTCAATCCCGCCGGGCAGCCGCAGAGCCATACCACAGATGGCGACGGGCTCTGCTGCGCTTGTTGGTACGGTGGTATCCATGGTTTGTTTGGTCACCTAACAGCTCGTCACAGGACAGAAATGGGAGCCCTCGATGCCAATGGGATGATTATAGAGCGTAGACTTTTGAGCTCATGCGCAAGAGTTGTACCAAAATGAGCATAAAACTTATAGTCTCTGCATACTAAGGACCGTGGAACTCTTGTATATATGAATGGTACTGCATCAGACGTTAGCCGGTATAGGGTTGTTCGATTTGGATCTTTCAGGCTGAGTAGATAACATGTGAATTACTTGGACCCTTGCGGACCCTACGCCTGGTGCCTCTCATCTCACGCCCCCGGGGAACAGTTCCGCAAGATGGGATCAGGGTCGAAGCGGGACGCCCGGTAAGTTAGTCGTGATCCTTTTCCTTCACCCCACACCAGAGATCCTTTTCCTTCACCCCACACCAGAGATCCTTTTCCTTCACCCCACACATACCAGAGATCCTTCGAAAGCTTATCTCAGCATCCCCGGGGTGGGATTAAAACAAAAAAAAAATTGCTCCGGATAGGGAGTAGTTCCCGCAAAGTTCCCTTGCATATTCAGGGACTGCGGTCTACCCGTTCTTAGCTCACATAGGCATCTTGTTCTGTGGTGTTAGTCCAGCCATCTGAAAAGTCTGGTCCATGGTTCTGGCTATACTAGTAGGTAAGACAAGGCGAAAGAGTGTCACGGAATTGTGATGAAATGAATCGGTTGACGCTTTCAATTGCTACCAGCGCAGTGGATAGATATCTAATCTGCTCTCATGCGATACTCCAAAACTAATCAAACGGATTGACCTGTCTACATCCTCCCTGGCTGGATTAAAAGATGAGTGTGTCCGCACGCTCCATCCCCCCAGTGGCGACAGCATTAGACTCCTGTATATCATGAGGCTGGCGGAACATGTCAAACTTGTCGTCATGCCAGGCCCAGGCCGAGACGGTGCGCCCGTTGACATCGCGATAAGTGACATCGTCGGCCGGGCGCAGAAAGTACGCGACGCTGTACCGGTCCTCGTCCTGGCGCTGGGCAGCATTGCGCGGCACGACGCGGTGCACGACAGACCGCAGCCGCAACCCCGAAAGAAAGCGCAGCGAGTCGCCCACGTTGACGACGGCGCAACCCGGCCTGGGCGCGACGAACTGCCAGCCATTGTCCTCCGTGAGCACCTGCAAGCCCCATTGCCGACACAGCAGCAGCGTCAGCGTGCCCAGGTCCGTGTGCTTGTTGTGGCCCAGGCCGCTCAACTCGACGTCCTCGTCCTGCTTTGGATACCGGAAAACAGACAGCGTGCTGCGCGATGGCCGGTCGTCTGAATGGGCCTCTGTGAGAGGATACTGGTCACCTAGGGCCACGGATAGCTCGCGCAGTACTGTCGAGACCACGGCGTGCGCGGAGGCGATGTAGGCCTCGAAGATCTTCCGCTGGGACTTGACGATACTGGCTACTTTCGAGCTGTTCTGCCGGAGCTCATCCCGCGATACCTTCAACGACTCGTAGTAATCTGGAAGCCCCGGCGCGGCTCCTGCCGATGTCGCCATGGGCTCGTATCCGTGTGTATCGCTTTGCCGATCGTCTAGCATCTTGACCTCCTGCGGCTGGTGGAAGTACTCAGCCATGACCTCGAGCAGCTTGTCCCACGTCTGCAGGAACTGGTCGTCGCCGCCAACAATGTCAAGATGGAAGAATCCATTCTTCTCGCATGCAGCGAGCAGTGCACGCCGTGTCTCGGGATCGCCCTCGATCAACCCTGCCAGCTTGATTTGTGGTAGCTGTGCGTCGTCGATGGAGGTGGGCTCCTCCGGGCTCATGCTAGGCGGTGGTTGAGACATTGTGCGATCTTGAACAAAGTCGTTGTCCGCCGTCAGAGGATGAAATTAGGATGAATTAGGACGAAGTAGTGTCAAATAGCTCGCAAACTGCAGTCTCCAGAAATTCCTAGCATTAATACTTCACTGTCTCTGATCTTTCTGTACAATTATAGATACTAGCGCTCCTGCAATGCATATCGTGTATGCTCTGGCCCTGGTCCATATAACTATGTCAGCGCGCATGTAGTTGCGACGGCTTTCCCGACACTGCCACCATCATCCCACCGAGAGTAGACCGAGAAAACATACGAGGTGACTTTCGGAAGAATTCTTGCTTGACGCCCGTGTTCCTTCGCGCCATCCAATCGGGAAGGTAGGAAAGCAGGTGCCGGGAATAGGCCATAATCAGAACTAGGCAAAAGACTATACAGGGCTGACAGAGCTAGTCCGGGGTACTACATCGGGTTCCATCTTTTAATGTATATAACAGGGTAGTATTATTCTTGCTTCCCTGATGCTGCGGTTAGCCACAAAGGATAAACTACTACTATGCTTTACTTAGTTATATAATCCTTGGAGTATAATCTAGCCTTTAAACTATTAAATAAGGTATATTATTAAAGGATTAAAAGTATAATTATTAAGCTCAAGTAACTACTTTAATTATTTATTAATTATAAGAAAAAAACTTATAATAAAAATAGAAATACTAATAAGAAAGTAAATTATAATAATTATAATAATAATAATTTTAACTAAGTTAATAAAAATAATTATAATAAAAATGATAATAGTATAATTAAAAGTATTATTAAATTAAATTTATTTATAAAAATAACAAATGCCTTTAATAATAATAAAATATTATTTATAATACATTTTATTAATAATTAATAGTATTTACTACTTACTCCCTTAGAGATCTTATAGCCTTTAAGGGTATAAAATATTATTTTTAATACTTTACTTATATAATTACCCTAGAAAAATATAATAACAAGGTTTAAACCAGTGACCTTCGAGGGGTATTCGGTTATGTGTCCTGACCCACTCGAGGGGAACTCCTTGGAAAATCCTACAGTCTATAGAGCAAGGGATAAGCTTCAGTCTTACATCGATACAGACCCTACCTTCTAAAATCTACCTAGCTACCTCTAAGCCCTATTACAAATATAGCCTATAATACGACCAAAAGATGGCAAAACACCCACTGTGGCAAGTACTGCGGATTATATTCAATGCCCCTGAGGGCTGTACTTACCCTCTTAGGCAACTTGCTTACCTCCCCAGGGGACTAACACCAGTTTAACCCATGCGACCGGGCATTAAGGAAAATCCCCGTAGCTATCCAAGCATTAAGAAATAGGTAAGTAGCTTTTATAAAAGTCCCACTGCAGCCAGCATCAGCATAACTGGAGTAATCCCTTTTCCTTCGCGGCATCCATTGTCTCACTTCACCTCTGAAACACACACACACACATGCACGCAGAAAAATACACACAGTGCAAGGAATATCTACCAGATCAAGATCAAGAATAAACCAGGTCCATAGTACATAGGCAAATCCAACAGTACTGATGCCTGCCCAGCAACCAACAACGCCTGGTGTAAGATCGTGCCTTGGCGCGGCGACCATAGCTCTCGCGGACACGGATGGGGCTTTCGCTATGCCGTTAGCGTCTGCGCAGCCCATGTACGCTATAAACGGTGGTGGTGTATGGCTTCCAGGCACGGCGACGTCAATAACAGACTGGACATGGGCTAAGGCAACTACCAACGTTGGCTCTGCTTCAACGGCGGCAGATATGACGTGGGGTAGTGATGGTACGAGCCATGCGTTCGGGTCAAATCATATCAACGGCGGTGCCATGCCTGCAGCAGCTGTCAGCCAGGCGGACTACCAACGCATGTTCGCTAATTACACGGCGCCAGGGTCGGCCTTGGAATGTCTCACACCACCAGCAGACCAATTCGCCGAACAGCAACAGCGACAAGATCCGCCTCAAGCATCAGCGTCAGCATGGGCCCAAGACCTGCGCTGCTTCGACCACGGCTGCGATGGCCGGCGCTTCTCATCCATCGGCAACCTGGTCCGCCACCAAAAGGAACAAAGCCGGGGTCTATCGGCACGGCGATACAAATGCCCTTACTGCGACCAAACATTTACGCGCTCAACGGCAAGGAATGTCCATCTCAGCCGAGGCCGCTGCGGCGGCGTCAACACCATTCACAACGACAACAATAACCCCAGCCCCAACCCCAACCCTAACAATGAGCGGCTGAGGGCAACGGCGTCCGCCCCGTCTGCAACACCTGCTATTACCTACAGCGGTTCTAGCGACTCCAGCAGTAGTAGCGTCAGCGACGATGGCCACTTTAGACAAGGGGAGGTGAAGATGGAGGCAGTAGCAGCTATGACGGCGTACCTATGTCAAGCCACGGGCCACAGATGTCAGTGTTCGCTGTACTACAGGTACTAGCATACGAAATAAGTAGCCAGAAGTCTACTACTACTACGTAGTATGCAAAGTATATAAATTACTACTCTAAAGTAGCTTGGAAGTACTTCATCGAACCTAGTAGGTATGCATCAGTCTCGACTGGTTGTACTCCCAAGCAGTCATCGGCTCTGTGAACTTGGGCACATCTCCTTCGCTCAGCAAGAACTCAGGCAACGAGCACACAGACGCTTGTCGGTCGGGTTTGCCAAAGTAGGCGACCGAGTAGCGATCCGGGGCAATGGCATCGGGATCTTGCTGATTTTTAAGGCGCGGCGGCAGCGTGACGCGATGGTTGGCCGATGGCAGCAGGCCGTTGGTCCAGCGCTCCAGGCAGTCGCCGACGTTGAGTATCATTGTTGATGACGAGAAATCACCATCCGCATCATCGTCTGTAGACGCGGGGGCTTCGACGGGGATGTAGCAGCCCCGATGTTCAAGTTCCTGGCGTTCGACCTCGAGTCCGCCTACGCTGTCCTGGAACAGCAGCGTGATCAGACCAAAGTCGGTATGCGGCGATATACGCATCGTCTTTTTCCCGGCTGCCAGAGAAGCCGCACGGGTGGCTGGGTAGTGGTTGAGCCGCAGTTCGCTCGGGTTGTCCGTCTTGTCCTTCTGGCATTGACGTGCGAGGCACTGCGGATCGAGGGAAAATGACAGCGCAACAGCCTCGAGGAGCAGGATGTGCATCGAATGGCACTGCTCGTAAAAGTCGCCCATGAACTCGCGGAAGCCCGGCAGGTCTTCCTCGGGCAGCCAGAGATTCGGAGTGACTGTGTCCTGCTCGGACCCGAGATCCAGGGACTCCCTCACATCGTAGACACCCCTCTCACCATCACGTGCCGCATTGAGTTTGGGAAGTTCTGCCAACTTCTCTTTCCCAACAGCGGTCCAGCCGCGGTGAGGGTTTGGAGCTGGACCGTGGGCGATTTTGGCCTTGACTGCAGTAGTCAGGGCGAAGAATCTTTGAGCCTAGTAAGCCGCGTTATATATCAGAATCTGTTGTCCACTGTGAATATCTAAGAGCACGTACCTGAGAGAAAAGCTCCCTAATGATAGCACGGGAGATGTTGTGGCCGCGAAGTCTGGCGAATCCATATGTTGTCAACGTCTGGCGAAGATCCTGACAGAAGCGAGCCTTCTCAGTCTCATTACCTCGAGCATAGGCTCGAAAATCGAGGAGTGGTATGCCCATGATATATCACGAGAGAAGGGACACGAGTGAGCTCTTGGGGTGAAGGAATAATCGGGGTGTTTCACCGTTCAAAACAGTTCACGGCAATGGAGCCATCTAATGCCATTACGTCTCTGGACAAGGTTCAAATACTTAACAGGCTCATCATCCTTAATGTCCTTTTCGACATTCTAATGGAACCCTCCCCCCCCCCCCCCCCCCCCC